AATTTCTTAACCTCAATAGGTAATCACTGCTATACGATTTTAATATATTCTAAGAATACGCTATTAGTAGAAAAAACTGCTGGTATCTAATATACTAATAAATACTTTATCTGTAACTAGTATAAGAATATTATTAAGTATTAGGATAGGATAAAAATCTGGTTGTATAATCTTGTTGAGTCTTTGGATATTGACTACTATATATGCTTTTCGTTTAGATGTGCCGTCAGGCTTTTGAACTATTCTCTAAACTATAAAGATTGGATATATACTCGGTGTATAAGATTTAGAGTATAATATCTTTCTTTCTTAGTATAGTTTATTAAATATATTGTTAATAACTTTCCGGTCTTTAGGTCTAAGGTGGTAAATCTTATTCTATAGAGCTTTAGCTATATCATTTTCTATAAGCGGGATTATTATCTATTAATCTTCTGGGATATCAATAAGAGCGGGGCTATCTTTCTATATATTATATTTTATAAGTACTTCTATAAGTCTTGTGACTATCTCTGTATCTCTATAAATTATAATACTGTTCTCTAGTCTTAACTCTCTATAAGTGTATTAGATAGAAGATATTAGCTTAGGTTTTCTTGTTAATTCTGAATGTAAGAGTTCAGTAATATCTTCAGAGACTGAAACAGTATATACCATTGGTGTATCAGATTTATACAAAGTACCGATCCTTATATAACGAGTGACCACATAGGGTTTAGAGGAGTGATTAACTGCTTGTATAAATGGGAAGTTAGTGTTAATAAGATATAAGTATAATAAGATCATTAGGTAATATCCTTTGAAAATATAGTCTTAGTCAGCCAGAAATTTGTCTATAACTTGCACTAGTATATCTATATAGTTATATAGTAATACTATAAGCGCTGATCTTGTGTATACTGCGTGTTCGTCTTAATAATGTGGCTTCACATAAAGTATAATAGGAAATATTAAGCCCATATACAATGCAATTTGTACAATATATGTTTCAAAGTTAAGACGAAATCCTTCTTGGCCTATAAGATCCATACCGACTAACAATCCAGCCTTCAAATTATTAACTAGATATACCTTAATATTAATTTTCACCACGTTATCGGTTCTATAGAAAAACAACAATAGATCTATAAAGATATCTAATATATAGCTTGAACCGATACCATTTACTGAAATAGGCTTATATAAACGCGCCGTAAAGCTAAGTATATTTATAAGTTGTTTATTAATAATTATTATAATATACCCTAAGTCTAAGTATACAATCAGTAACTTTATTTAATTGCTAACACCCAGTACTATAGATACGTATCTCTATATCTTATAGGTTTCTCCAAGAGCAGAGACTACTATATACTCAGATTCAATAACAAGTAGTTCTAGTAGTCATATATCCTCTAGAACAATAAAATTTATAAAAACTTCATCAATCATAGCAGCGGATCTTAGCTTATACTCTTTTAGGTGTATATATAGCTTATTATTTAAGTTAAAATAAATATTATAGTACAAGTATATAAACCTATCTATACTTAGTACTACAATATTACACATAGGATCTGTATAATTATTATTATATTTATCTTTATAGACATCTTCGTAGGCATTATATTTATCTTATGTCGGACAATACTCTTAAATAGGTAAAGACTCTAACTCAGTAGACTCTATCGGCTACTCATTTTCCGCTAAGTATATTATAGTACGTAATATATATACTTATAAACGGTTCTATAGTTGTCTATTTCCAGTGGATATACTTTAGCGCATATCCTGTGAATATATATCTTATAATTAATACAATATATTTAAGATAAGCCTCTGACCTTATTGGTTAGTCTATATAGCTAGTATAACTAGTTAGTATAAATACTTTATTCATTAGTACTAATAGCTTTACTATATTAAAGAATAGCTTTAATAGTTTTATTACACTAGAGGTACTAATAAGGCTTAGTACAATACTTATCTAAAGCGTAGCTGCTAGTAGCAGTTATTACGTATATAGTATAAATTAGTTCCTCTATTACAGGTTTAATAGATTAAGTTCGACATAGGCTATTATTATCTATAATTAGCAAAAGATTATTACTATAGGTAGTTTAGGGCATAGGGATTACCCTAGAATCGCAATACTTCGAGTCTAGGTTACTTATTGGTATTATTATTACAGCTTTCGACCATCGCTATCTACTACTTAGCTCTCTAATCTAGCTTCTCTATAAAACTTAATATAATTATACCTATACTAGACATACATAGATCCTTCTAGAGAGATAGATTGAGACGTATCTATACTATACGTAACTAAGCTGTTGGTATTAATATTTCTGTAACATATAAGTCTCTCATTACTCAGCGTACCTATTGTATAATTGATTTACCTTTTTTAAAGTTAGACTAGCTAAAGTTAGCTTGAATTAGTCTAACTTAGGCTATTATAGGTTGTATTTTAAACTTCTTCTCAAATATTATAAACTATCTATTCTTAAGATTAGCTTCATTAAGATATATATACTTATTATTATCTAGTTTAGAATTATACTATTCTATAGTAGCTTATCGGAGGTATAAAAGAATATTAGCTTAAACTACTTCCTTTATCTTTAAGAGCACTATAGCTTACAGCTAGCTAAGGAAAGCATAGATATTAATATAGTATATAGTACTATATATTATATATATATATTCTTTAGAATAAGAATCTAGTATGAAATAACTAATATCCTCTATCTTCTAGAATAGTACTTATCCAGCTATATTTAGCCTAGGTTCACTATCTAATCTATCTATATCTAGTATACTAGATAGACCTAGAGGTCCTAGTGGGCCTAGGTTATTATATATTATATCTTATATTACTACTACTACTATATTATAGATTATCTTTTACAAGAATTAGTATATTTACTCTAGGGTTATACCTATTTGTAATAAAGGTGCTGATATATTAGCTGGGGAGTCGATTGAATCGATTGTAATATTTTGAGTATCTACAAGTAAGTTATTTACTGATAGTAAGCTTTGTATATACTCAATAGAATTAGAGTCCAATTCTATATATATACGGTATTTATAGAAGGCTAGACTAAAGATTAAATTCTGGTTAGAGAAAGGCCTTAGATCAAATAGCTTTAGAGTCAGTATAAGCTAATTGACTAAAGGTAGGGATAAAGGTAGGGAATATATTAATAAAACGGAAATAGCTAATATAGAAAGGGGCTCTTTAAGTATAGCAAATTATGGTATCTATAGGAGTTACAGAACTAGATATATAGTATTTGTAGCCTGTATAAAACATCTGATATCATGTAAAAGAGTCTTTTTATCGAGCATCTAGTTAAGGCTAAAAGGGAATTACTTTAGGAGTTACAGATAATTAAACTCGTGGCAGATAGTATTAATATAATAAATATAAGAGTCAGTAAGCTGCTAATCACCATACTAGATACGAAAAAGATAAAGCTAGTATATAAGATAAACCATAAAGTCTCGATATTTCGTATTAGAGAATAACGATTATATATTAGAATAAGTCGTATAGTTAATAACTAATAGTAATAAAAAAAAAAATAAACTTTTCAATAAAACACTTAAAGAAGTGTGGGAGGAAATTTTTTTTTTTTTTTTTTTTTTTTTTTTTGCTGTACTTGTGTATACTATATATACCTTAGTACTATCTTTTTGTAGTGGGTATATTAATAAGTATAGCTGATTACAATACTAAGTAACTAGCCCACAAGGTAAGATATATAAAGTTCTGCTATTGTAGTTGTGTTATTGTAGTTGTTGTTAGGAATAACACTTAATAATTAGTTTTCATCAGCTCCACCTAATGTAGGGCGTGATGTATACGGCGCTAGTTTGTAAGAACAAGGTCACAGGTTTGTGAGTTCTCACCGTGCGTTGCGCATAAAATAAATAAAAATAAAAAGTTAATGAAATCGTATGACTCTCGGAGGTTCCCTCCTGGATGTCACACACGCAATACTACCAGTTATTACTGGGAATCAAGGAATCTAAGGAAGTCTCTTGTATTCATACTAACTAGGCTATCTCGCGAGACAGAAGGAAAGGGGGTCACCTGACACGCGGCAACAGTTAGTGTCATTTTGGTTGTAAATGGTGGGTTGAGATGAGAGCTAGAAATTTAAACTGTAGTAGTTGTTAGAAGGTGAGATGCGGATGGAAGGACTGATGCTTGCTGAATGGAATGATCGGCCTGAGGATATTGACCTTAGAAATGTGGCTATCGAGAGTTTATATAGATGTTTATGTTTCTAAAAACAATAATCGAGGCTTGATAGTAGATAGAGTAAGAGATGCAATCTATTTTGATAAACCTTTGTTTTATTGTATGATTCTTTCATGCTAAATATAGAATATTAGCATAATATGACCTAAGTATAGTATCTTAAACATCAAAGACCGAAGACAATTGATGTTGTATCTTTGTGCTTTTGTCTTTGTTCCCATAAAGTACATATAGGTCTTCAACTTGGAGCGACTCCTTGCAACAAAGGACAACTAGTTCATCTTGAAAAAATATCTTTCATCTATCCTATACTTTTAAATTGAACAATGGGAATCTCTTTCTTTCAACGTCTGAGCCTTAAATCCCATGCCCGCTAAGCTTCTTGCTTAAAATCAGCTCAATTTCCACCGGCAGACACATGGATTTCATCTCTTTGCATCACTTTACCGATCCTCAAGCATAACAAGCTAAGTTCACGATGTGCAACCAAAATATCCATCATTATCCTGAATGTGGGCATATAGCCAACTGTACGGTTGAGAGTTGCCTCGAATTCACTAACCAGCTTCGAATGTTAGCTGCCTTCGGTGGTATATCCGGAAACCAAAGCCATTCAAGCTGTGATAAAACCATTATCACCCATGATAAAGTTTCATTTAACCATCCTGAAACATGCCTTCAGTGCAAAATTGACGGGATTAAGGGGGTACTTCAGACAGATCGTCAACTTCCCTTTGCCCGTAAGAACATGGGCTTAGACGGTGAGACAATCCCAAGGTCTATTATCGAGTTTCAGGCCCGAATGGTTAACATGAGCCTGCTTTCAGAAGAGACTGGTGGTCAAACATCTGATGACCACCTAAAGAGTCATCTTGAGGGAGACATCCGATCTCATCGTCCTTTTGTTCGCCCTCTATTGTTGGGGATTGACTGTGACCATAACCAGGTAAGCAACACCATTTCTCCTTCCCCCTTTATTTACATGTCTGCAAATCTCGTCTCATATACCTCCGGATTTATGCGGTATGGCTATGTTCCGGGGTATCCGGATACTACGTCTCTTACATCCGATTGCCCTGAGCACAATTGTGCTTTTTGGTGTCCGGATGTTATGTCTCTTACCTCTGATCACCCAGAAAGTGATGCCGATGATCGTCGTCCTTTCGGATTTTAGTTATAGCTGACATATGGGATAGTCCAGTAAGATACGTGAAGAAATCCACGAACTTCCGGACAATGTAAGTGAAATTTGCTTTGACGAATCGATTCGAACCTGGTCCCTGTACGATGAAAGTTGCGACGGATATTCTACAGCAGGATCTGGTGTGAGTACTGTCGGCAATTATGACTCTGAAGATGACAGTTTGTCTTCTATACCCGACGACGACTTTTATTCTTGTTGCTCTGATACTCTGGACATAGTATTTGAAGATTTACCTGAAACCGTGGCTAATTGCTTCGCACAGTTGGATTTGGATTGCATAGAGAACACTCATACATTTGCGCCGACCGCTATTAAAAATGACAAGATTGACCTTCTTGGTGTACTTCCTACCCATGAAGAAATTGTCAGTGAGCTGGCTCAAGCTCTGAGAATAGGCCTTCACTCGAGTAACGCAAGTCAAACTTCGAAGTCTTCCCGCGAAACTAGCAGGCCTGGAACACCTCAAAAGCGCGCTGGTAAGCTCACACAGTGCCTGAGGCATTCTGATTCACAGAGCAGTCTTTGGCGTGCAGATATGTCGAGTGCGTCCTCGCCCGATTTCAAGGATCACCATGCTGACAATTAGCTTTTAGAACTTGATCTCATGACACCAGAGGCTAATAAAGGTGTACCTCACAAGCTTTGGATAACAGAGAAATTAGTAGAGCACCAAAATTCTGCACCGTACCTTCGCTCCCCTCTATCTTCTGGTGACGTGGAAGAAGGCGGTTGCTCACTGGCTAGCTTTGTTACCAAGCTTTGATCTATCGGCCGACTAGTTTTCCTATAGTATAACACTCGCATTGCGTTCTGTCTCTTGCATTGGTAGCTGCTGGCTTAGCTTACCTGGCGTTGTGATTCAATTCGATTCAGTTCCATAAATTCTATTTTCCTTTTACCCAGTAGACCTCATAGAACAAACCCCCACTTCCCCCCACTCGGCTGGAGCTCGGGCTGTCTTCGGTGGCTGTTATTTTCCGCTAGTTCGGACTTCTCCCGATCATCCGACTATACATCCGGATCTTTCCCCAGATAAGGGGCCCCCACCCCCACGTTGATTGTCAAGTTGTCTTTAGTGTTGTGTTCAGCAATTATTCCCTCGTTTTCTTTTCTAACTCCTCTCATTCCTCTGAATTGCAACTCACATAAACATAATGTCTAAGCCATCGGTCGGATTTGTTGGCCTGGGTGCCATGGGGTTTGGCATGGCAACCCACCTTGTGAAAGAAGGGTACCCCGTGCACGGATTCGATGTCTTCCCTGCCTCCGTTGAAAAGTTTAAGGCAGCTGGTGGAATTCCAGCTTCATCATTGCAAGAATCTGCCAGCGATAAGATGTACTATATTTGCATGGTCGCATCTGCCCCGCAGGTTCAGAGTGTTCTGTTTGGTGAAGGCGGCATTGTTGCGGGTATGTGTGCTCAAAATTCATGAAAATTGACAAAAACTAATCTATTAAAAAAATTGCAATAGCTCTTCCTCTGTCTGCGACTCTCATCCTCTGCTCTACCGTCCCAGCCTCATATGCCCAGTCCGTTACGGCGGAATTACAGTCGCGGGGTCGCGGCGATATCCACTTTGTTGACGCCCCAGTATCCGGTGGTGCCAAGCGGGCCGCTGATGGGACACTATCTATCATGGCTGGTGCACCAGATGCTGCGTTAGAAAGTGGGCGATTTTTGCTCCAGGCCATGTCTGACGTTACCAAATTATATTTGGTTCCTGGAGGTATTGGTGCTGGAAGCAACATGAAAATGGTGCACCAAGTACTTGCGGGTATCCACATTCTTGGTGCCAGTGAGGCGATGGGATTTGCCGCACAACTTGGCTTGGATGCGACCACAACAGCAGAGGCAATCAAGTCATCAGCATCGTGGTCGTGGATGCATGAGAACCGTCTCCAGCGTCTTTTGGAAGAAGACTGGCACCCTGGTGCCAGTGCTCTTACAATTATCCTGAAGGATGTTGTGAGTAGCAGTGATTGAAGTAAAAGCTAGGAGACTCGCTAATTAGTCGAACATAGGGAATTATCACAACCTCCAGTCGCCAGAACCAGTTCCCTACCCCCCTCTGCACCACCGCTGAGCAGGTCTATCTGTCTGCTCTTCTACAAGGATACGGACCCGTCGACGATGCTTCTATGGTCCGACAATATCACTCTGAGCCTGTTTTGAAGGTGAAAAATACTAAGTCGGCCGAGGAGACGGCCGAGGCCCAAAAACTAGTTTTGGATATGATGGAAGTGACAAATCTTGTTGCCGCCGCGGAAGCTATTGCATTTGCGCGCTATCTTCATGTTGACCTCAAGCAGTTCCATGAGCTGGTGACTGAAGCTGCGGGTGCCAGTCGGCAATTCATCACAAAGGGATTGGAGATGATTGAAGAAAGATTTGGCCAAGGTTCGGGCTCAGAGACAATTGATGGCGCTATTTCCCGGCTGGACAAGGCCGTGCAGAAGGCGAGAGACTTGCATTGCCCGTTGCATCTCGGAAATGCGGCAATCAACACCTTGTTCCTGGCCAAGCGACATGGACTAGGAGCTGAAAGCAGTTCCAGCGTCATTAAAGTGTTCGGTCGCGATTAAGAATCTATATACTTAACTATTTGATCTTTCTATATTCTCAAATTTAACAAATATCATGTTTGCTACTCTTAATTTCCTTCAATTCCCGTAAACAAAGCAAATGCCTTTTCTCTCTCTTGAAGACAAGACGAAGAAGAAAATATGATTTATCCGAAGCACCTTACGTAGCGAATTATCTCACACGTAATATTAATTGAATTTCCCGGCTAATTAAGTGTCGGCATTAGCCCATGAAGTCGCCCGCAAGTAACCTTGACGTAACTGCGGTCTCTCGGATCATCTCCGACCACATCGGACTACAAGCGACGAATCGCGATCACTATCGGAGACCGGACAACACAGCGAGGTCTGATAACGAGCGTCCCAGGGTTTAAAAGTCAAAAGTCCCCCGCATCTCATACGCTCCGTTCATTAATCACTCCCCACATCTATTCTTGCCCACAATGCCTCTCAAAGAAAGCCGCGCCACGCGCATGCTCGACCATGCCGCTACAAACCACTATGGCGTCCCCGCAATGTGCTGCTACAACGTCGAGGGCATTCTCGCTACAGTCCGCGCCGCAGAGGCCAAGCGTTCTCCAGCTATGATTCTCCTTTTCCCATGGGCAGTGCACTACGCCGACGGAATTCTAGTCCACGCCGTCGCCGAAGCAGCCAAGAAGGCCTCGGTCCCAGTAACAGTGCACATGGACCATGCACAGACACCTGAAATTATTCGTTACGCCGCGGATCTTGGTGGATTCGACAGTATCATGGTTGATATGTCGCATTACGAGAAGGCGGAGAACCTTGCCTTAACCCGTGAGCTGGTGGAGTACTGCCATGCGCGGGGCATCGCTACGGAGGCTGAACCGGGCCGTATCGAAGGTGGTGAGGATGGAGTGGCTGATACTGTCGATTTGGAGGGTCTGTTGACAACCCCGGAGGAGAGTCATGAGTTTGTTGATACGGGGATTGATTGGCTTGCACCGGCTTTTGGAAATGTGCATGGGGAGTATGGGCCTCGCGGAATCCAGCTCGAGTATGAGCGGTTGCAGTCCATCAATGAGGCTGTTGGGAAGAAGGTTCGACTTGTGCTTCACGGAGCTGATCCATTTACGAAGGAGATTTTTCAAAAGTGCATTGATGCTGGAGTGACAAAGATTAATATCAACAAGGTGTTGAACAATCCATACATTAAGGTGCAGCAGGAGAAGGCTGGAAAGGTTCCCTTGACTACGTTGTTGGAGGAAACTACAAATGCTATGCAAAAGGCTGTGGAGGGATGCATGGATATGCTTGGTTCTACAGGAAGATACCCTTAAGACTTGTCGATGACGAGGAAGTTATGTTTGTATTGGCTTTGTATTCAGACTATGAAGTCTGGTTTACAGAGAAGAAAATAGAACAAATATTGATCCAATGGCGTTACAATTAAAAGTGTGTTCTTGGATACCAGCGTCGCCTTGCGTTAGAAAAGTTGCCGCCGTGTTCTTGCTGGATATAGTGTAGTACAAGAAGCGCAAAATAGAATCAAGAAGGAATGGACGATTGAACAATCTAGCGACGAAGAGGAAGACCGTTGGTGAGACCTTGGGTCAAACCACCAATTAAGGGAAGACTTCCGAGCATGTTACCCAGAGGGCCGAGGGCGTCAGCCGCAGCCTTGGAGCTGGGAGTAGGGGTGGCAGAGCTGGAAGGAGTAGCAGAGCTAGAGGGAGTAGCAGAGCTAGAGGCAGGGACATGGTGAGCACTGGGGCGAACATGGGAGACATGTGCGCTTTGCTTGTGCATGACTGCGTGGGTTGGGAGAACGTGATGGCTCGAGTGCACCTTAGAGCTGAAGGTAGTTGGTGGCTGGGGCTTGGGAGTTGCCTTCATGGCGTGGCTGTGGGTGGAATGGGCCACAGCCTGGGCTGCAGGAGAAGGTGCGACTGGCTTGGGCATTGGAGGAACAACGTTCTCCATGACAAAAGCAGGTCCCGACTGACCCTCATCAGACTCGTCGGTTGGAGTTGCGACGCTGTTCTGTGTAGGAGTGGAGGCCTCAGACTGACCGACGAACATGTTCGATGGCATAGCATCAAACTTAGGGACTGGGTCAGCGAAGATTGGCGCAGTCGGCTTGGGAGCAAGCTTCTTGCTGTGGGTAGTCTTCTCAGCTGGCTCAGGGACCTCCGCTGGCGTGGGCTTCTCGGTCGGCGTGGGCTTCTCGGTCGGCGTGGGCTTCTCGGTCGGCTTGGGCTTCTGAGAGGGCTTGACTTTCTCAGCATGCATGGCAGGCTTGGAGCTCTCGGCCGGCTTTGGCTGGGCTACCGGCTTAGGGCTGGGTGCAGCCTGGGGCTTGACAGCGGGCTTAGGCTTCATGACAGGAGCTTGCTCCTTGGCAGGCTTGGGCTTGTGAACTGGAACATGGACATGGGGAGGCATCTGAGGAGCCTGAGGAGCCTCAACTGGAGCTGGCTGTGGGCTGGGCATGTTCTGAACAACCGCGTGGGTGGGCTGCGCTGGCTGAGCTTGAGCTTGAGCCTGTGGGGCAGCGTCAAAAGTGCCCTGCTGGACTTCTTGAGCAGCTGCCATGGCTTTCATTGCGGCAGGAACGGGGTTTTCCATCCCATCATCATCGGCGAAACTGTCGCTGGAATCTCCACCTGAGCTCATACCAAACATGCCAAAAGGGTCGCTGCTCCCATCAGGACGGGGATAAGAAGGTGCGGCTGTGGCACAAGCGGCGAAAAGCGCCAGAGAAACGTAGGCGTAGCGCATCTTGTTGGAATGGAGGAACCTGGCCTCGTAAAATGTCGAAATGAGTGTAATCGGTCGGATGGATTAAGAGTTTTGCCCTCACGCAAAAGGGATATCAAGCTTCTTTATACTGAAATGCTCGGATTGTTGTTATCCATTCTTCTGTCATCTCTAATTGCCGCGTCTCTCATGCCGGGAAACGCGCCAGAAAGGATCGACATCCTATCGTTCGAGGATGATGACGAGCGTTGCATTGTCTGAAGGGCGGGTGGTGCGCCGGTGGTATGGCAAACTAGGGGAAATGCCTGTAGTACCTTTACCCCGTTAGGCCTTTGAGGAATGATAATCGTTCAAGCTGCCTATCTGGGTCCCCCAAATGTTTTGAAAGGGCGTGGTCAATAGAAAGGCTTTCCCATCATAAGCACATCTCATTGTATGAATGTGATGCCCTTTCAAATAATATCGGGGCATTCACTCTGTATAAAGTCCAAGTAGACGGGCTTAATAGCTTCCAATGCACCTTAATTCCTCTCAATTTTGAATTGAACAAGTTTGAGACAAAACACAAGTTTTTCATACCTCATTCGTGGATGAATCTCACTCTACATCTTGCTCGCCAACGATTGGAAGCTCTCGTCTTGTTACACCCAACACTTTCTGTGTTTGCAATTTTCAAAGTCCTTTTCTCACGATAAGACAGTCCAAGCGAACTTCGAATTTGAATTGCTATGTAGGGATGTTCAGGCACGCGGTAAAATATTTCCCTAGCAACCTTTACCCATCCCTTGCAGCAGCCATTGGAAATACAAGCTTCTATCAACCATTAAAATGGCAATTTTAAGATCTTTTTTGTAAATCCCGTCGATCCATAGTCCGCGTTCAAAATAAAGACGACGGAGTGTTTTCTTCTATTGGAGGAAACCACAATAAGTCACATTCCTACTCTTCCCATTTTCTTAAACGCACCTACCTCATGATCATTGATCATGGATCAAAGAAAAAGAGCACTGCAAAATCGACTCCGTGCAGACTTTTGGGGCGTGGATAATCTAAAAAACCCCTTCAAGTTGTATTATCACTACGTTGCCGAAGTTATTTCCACATCATCTTCTCTGGCCGACACCATACAGTCTTGAGTCTGAAAAACCTCGTTTAGTCCAAATGAAACCGATTTCTACTATTGGGCTTAAATATTGAGGGGATTTAATGTACTAGAAATGTAAAATGCATTGTACTAGAAGTATACGCTAGGCGATGTTCGAGCGGGCATGTATACATTCGAGGACATGTCTAGTATTCGGACATAGAAGACAGTTTTCGTTCAAGTCATTATTTATTATGGCTAAATTTTCTCATAGGTAATCATAGTTCATAATATTAAAGTGACTGTGATCTAAAAAACGATATCACGTGAACTTGAACTTGAAATACGTAAGATATGATGATAACATAATGGGTAGCTAGGTCATAAGAGCTTAGAATCAAAGTCTTGAACACATCCTAGAGCCTCACAGCCTTCTTAAGATCAATATTGATACAAAAGCATTTGAATCCTGGCACTTGGTGATTTCCAGAGCACCAAAAATTTAACGTTCGAATGTAACCACAAAAGTACATCTTGCATAAGAATATATATCCGAGAAGGAACCATTACCTACCTTCAAACGAAGAAGTCTTTTCTTCGACCCCGGCCCCGAGATAAATTTAAATATTTCACAACTTGAACTCTAGATGATAAATCCCATGGAAAAATCTCTATTTCTTTAGAAACAGAAGCGTACAATGATGTACTAGTACTTCTTCTGTTCAAGTTCCTGAGGTGAGTCGCAATCGACTATTCCACGTTTAACAGAACAACATTGTATATCTACAGAACTTTTCTTTGTAGATTAAGAGATGTAATCATGACTTGAGATTATAAATTCTATATTGTATTATCATAGTATTGAATCAACAAAAGTTCACCAGTCGAGCCGATCTATACCAAAATAGATCCCATACCAAAAGATTCTTGGCAAATTGTTAAGGAATGCAAATGAGGGGAGCGCACACATGTAGCTCACAAGCGCGATACTAGTTTGAAGATATGTTCAAAGTTGTTCGCTGCATCGATAAAAATACAGAGAATAGAGTTGATAGTGAGGGACTTAATCAATTTACAACACGAAGCCTTTAATGTTCTCTAATGATTCTGCAATAAGCCTCGACGCCTCATCCAGATTAAACTTCTAGAATGGTACCTCTGTCCAGAGCACTTCTTGTGCAAGACCTTACCATATCATGGATTCTGTGCCGTGGAGGACTTTCCATCCAGCGCGTTCGCCGAGATCGAAGAACGCTGTACGTGGCTTGGAGTGATAGCACATTTCGAGAATGTAACCTTTCTTTTGTTTATCCAAGAAAGTCTGCATGATTTTCCTAGCTAGAATCTCTCCTTCTTCCTTTCGTGGAAAGTCTGGTACAGTGCCGACAACCAGAACAGGAGTTTTCAAGGCCTTTGCCTGCTCAGCAGACGAGACCCAGGTCAACTCTCCACTGAAACCAGTACCTTTGAAAGATTCCATAATAGCTCTAACATCACTGTCGAACTTTTCACCAGGTATATCTTTTGCACACCCATCCACTTCCACAACGCGAAGCCACGTTGCCAGTCCAGGTATGGTAAGAAGCTACAACCTTTGTAGAACCTTTTTTCTCTGTGATCTCTTTGAGCATAACCGTGGGCCACTCAATTACCACATCATCATAGGCCATGCCGGACTCAATAGCAAGCAAAATGAGATCTAAAGCCTCTTTGCTTGCATCGTCTGGAAACTTTCCACCTTGAGACTTGGTGCGGATAGTGAAGAGGATTGGTAGGGAAGACATTGCTTGCAGAGCCTTCACTTGCTATTTCACGTACGCTATGGAAGGCAAATTCAGGTCCCCAATCTCTATGCCAGGCGTGCTGAGAAGGTCAATCCTAAACTCCCAGACGTCTACGCCATATCCAATTCTCGTGATAATACTCTTAGCATCGTTTATATCCGTAAAGGTCAAGGGGATGATGAACGTTTGTTTGCCGCTGACATAATTCTTGGCTCTGTAATTGCGATAGTTTAATCTGTAAGAACTGAAAAATGAAGGGATATTTCCAAAATGCAATTTCGAAGTGTGACTGAACCTTCAAATGTTCGTCGTCTTTAAATGCCGATGGTTTATATGAGTATTTGTGCTTACCATTCAAGTCATTGCTAAGGATAGAATTCGGTCAAATAATATCCGCCTTACGAAGTTTGCAACAACTTTATTGTCTACTTTTTAGCTCGTCAGGTATGCGAAGTCAATGACTGGTGTCGGATAAGTCCTTTTCGGATCCCCGCAATTTCCCCGCAATCACAAGTACTTTCGTAGTCTTTCGCCGCTCAAATTATTTCCTAAATGAGAACTTGGGTATAAATTTACTTTACAGAATATTCAGACATCATCAGAATGGAAATTATGAAATCTTAAGTTTAAAGGTTGTAAAGTGTCAATATAGCATTAAATCAACAAAAGCTCGCCAGTCGTGACAATATATACCGAGATTGATACCAAGCCAAACACCCTCCGGCAAACACCCGGGGAAGTTCAAACGAGGGAAACTTACAGTCCTAAGGCAAGTATATCACTCCTCCAAAACACTCACTACTTTGGCCTTAACATCAAAGTTCATATCGATTGGGTACCCAACGCCCATTTCTCGATGAACACTGATATTCTCGACTGTAGTCTCGTGTGCCTCGAAATCGAACCGCCTTAGAATGTGCGCTAGTGTCATATAGATCTCGGCGTAGGCAAGACTATATGAGGATAAGCATTGAGAACCAAAAATTAGGAGAAAGATTAATTAGACAGAACGTACTTCATGCCTAGACATTGCTTGCTGCCCTTAGTAAAAGAGACGATGAAGCGAGTCAAATGCTGGCCCTCTTCCTCTGTGCGAATCCATCGCTCTGGGTCAAACTTCTTGGGATCAGGGAAGAGCGTTGGATCCATATGGACGAAGTAAACTGATTGACTGATTGGAGTCTAGAGTGATGCGGAGTGGTTAATTAATGGGTTGTACATCTAGATGCAGAGCTCGAAATAAGATGCTTACACCTGCAGGGATGACCCAATCTTTGTATAACATTGGTTCTATTGGTGAGATGCGCGCCAGTCGGGCTGTCATGCCGTAACTCAAGCGCAAACCTTCATTGACAACCCCAGTCTATATCTTGATGTCAGCATCTCATCCATGTGCACACAATCAACATGATCACACAATTTAAATCAATCCGAGAATACTAACAAGATAAGGTAGTTGTTCCAGCTCTGTCAAATTAGCTTTGGAAGTGGGCTTCTCCAGAACGGTTTTCAACTCAGCCAGTAGTTTACGTCCGATATCCTTGTTATTCATAACATGGAACATCGAAACAGCAATTGACCTTGCTGTGGTTTCTGTGCCGGCACCAATGAGTAGAGCAGACTCATCAACCAAGCGATCTACCGTCTTTTCTTCAGCAGGCACAGTTGGTCCGACAAGGGCATCAAAAATAGTATCCTGAGTCTTCTCGGTTCTTTCCTCAGATTTGGTGCTTTCCTTGGATTTGGTGCTTTTCTCGGACTTCATGTTTGCGAGGGTCTCCTTCGCTTGCTCGCGCAGTCTTGCCATTATATCCAGCAGATCGCCCATATGTGGCTGCAAGAAGCGCACGACTCCAGGAGGTGCGGTGCGGAAGATAGTAATTAAGAATGGAAAGAACCGGTTAATGTGAAACCCAGTCATGAGTCCATTGACAGCATCGACGAGGTCATTGCGAGTGGAATTCTTAGGATCATCCAAGTAGCCGTAGCTCCATCCATAGCAATACTGCGTGATGACATCGGCTGTAAGACAAGCAAAATCTAATTGCAGATGAAGGACCGCTGAATTTTCATGGGCGTATTCAAAGCGTCGGAGGAGCTGGTCGATTTTTTCATGAATATAAGGCGTCAAACTTGAGACTGATCGCTTGGAAAAGTAGTTCTGGATGAAGCTCCGGCGTAGTTTGTGGTGGTCATGATTGATTGTGCCGACCAGAGAATATGGGGCTCCGAATGCAACAGCATATTTGGGATCTCTGTTGCGTTTCCGGGAGCTACCGGCGTGAATATCATCATAGTAATAGGGGTCTTTGATGTGGAGTTCTCGGGGGTTTATGCGGACGATAGGGCCTTGGCAGTGTTAGTGACAAATTCAAGTGGATTACGTGCTGATTTCGCTAAAGCTCTTCAAGTTCTTGGGTTTTATGGAGACCAAAAAATAAGTACGTACCATATTTTTCGTGCATGCGTTCTATTTCCCATATGTACATGCCCTTTTTGATGACATCGTAGTAGAATTCGTAGAGGAAGGTTGCAGCTGCAAGCCGGGGGCCGGGGAACCCTGATAAAGGATGGGAGTACAACCGGTTAATGACTATGCGTACACGATGAAGAAACAGCAACGCCGCCGCAAGAATAGGGAGGATAAATATAAGCTCCATTGTAAATGGTCGGGCATAGAATTTACGAGAAGTAAACACCAAATAGCGAGGAGGAGGGACGAATTGCCCAAAAACCACCACGCAGAAACAAAAAATGAAAAGGCCCCGAGGGAAAGGAGCGGGGGGAAGCCAAAATAAATGTACAGCGCATCAATGTCATAAAACAAGAACCGGTATAGTCAAAAGTCAACTAGGATCTCTGGAGTCCACCACCAACACTAAGACACATGGAATGCATCATCATGACTGGCTAGCTATGGAGCTGATATTCCATGTGAACGGTGCCCGGGACGCTGGAAGCCTATGATACAATGCCCATTAAGCGTGGCCCCGCTTGGGCTCACCGCGAGCTCCATCAACGCTTATTGGATGAAATGCCCCCTAAGCGCTCAAAGGGGACCGATGACAGGAGACGGCGTTGAATGACAGGGGTGAAGAGTGTGATAGATGATACATTTGGCGCGGCCCGATCCCCAACCCCTACACATGGCGATCCAGTGATCTATGTGAAATGACTCTACACCCCCTGGTTGTTTACCAAGGTGAGCGGCGATACGCCGGGGGCTTAGACCTAGAGAGAAAAAAAGTCTAAAATTGGCAAGTGCATATGAAAGGGGCTGGAAAAAGAAAAAAAAAAAGGCAAAAAGTTGGACTATCTGGGAATTGAACCCAGGACCTCCCGCATGCGAAGCGGGCGCACTACCCCTGTGCTAACAGCCCAATGATGATGTAATACGTGCTAGAATGTGCATGGAAACCTCAGAGGTGAGATTGTACGGTGCTGCTCATGCATTGAAGAACGCTAGTGGTGGAGTCGGAACATGGGGAAAACATATAGCCGCATGGCAGGACCCGCGTAAGACAAATGCCCGACAAAAATATGGGGATCGACACATCCAAGAAATTATTCAAGAACCGAGTCAGCATAATGACTGTCTGGAGAACCAGATTATTGATTCAAAAAGAAAAACAGGCTTTAAAAAGCAGGTTGACGACCAAGTTCAATTGTGGCAAATCTTCTCTACTGTTGTTCGCGTTTCTATGGACACGGGCTGGGCCATGGATCATATAGCCGAATCAACTCCTTCCCCCACAGAATTCGACTCAACGCCCTAGTTTAGCAAGAATTGAAAGAAGAGAAGAGAAAGTCAAGAGAATAGGATCACTGCATTCCTGAAAAAAAGATATCCACAATTTACACCTATGAGAACATCCGTGAAAGGGTTGGAAAAAATAGTAAGAAAATAGATATGAAAAAAGACAAGGAGATAGAAGAGACAAATATAAAACGGCTCGCAAGAGATAGCACAGAAAGGGAAAATTCCAACTCCGTTTTTATTTCCAGAACTTAAGCGGCCAGCATCTTCTTGGTCTCGGCAATAGCGCGACCAGGGTTGAGACCCTTGGGGCAGGTTCGTGTGCAGTTGAGAATAGTATGGCAACGGTAGACGCTCATGCTGTTGTCGAGAGCGGCCTTGCGCTCCGCGGTGCGCTCGTCACGGGAATCGACGAGCCAGCGGTAGGACTGGAGAAGGATAGCGGGACCCAGATACTCCTCGCTGTTCCACCAGTATGAGGGGCAGGAGGTAGAGCAGCAGGCGCAGAGAATACATTCGTAGAGACCGTCGAGCTTCTTGCGGTCCTCGGGACTTTGGCGGTACTCAAGACCCTGTACTGTCATTAGCATTGATCGGGATTGATATCGTGGACTGAAATATTGGATGGTTTGTGTTACTCACATCTTCGGTGGGGGTATCACGCTGGAGGTAAGGCTTGATGGACTTGTATTGCTTGTAGAAGAGAGTCAAATCGGGAACGAGATCCTTGACGACGTAGGTGTGTGGCAATGGGTAGATGCGAGATTCTGAGTTGGCCTCGGTAGGAATACGGCCTGATAAGGAATGTTAGTGAATGTTTTTAAATCAACCAAATCTTCCCACTGGGTTTGTCCAATTGCACGGATGTTGAAAAGACCGAGCAGGAGTGGATTATCACATACACAAGCAAGCCAGGGTGTTGACACCATCGATGTTCATAGCGCAAGAACCACAGATACCCTCACGGCAGGATCGGCGGAAAGTCAGGGTAGGGTCGAGTTCGTTCTTAATGCGAATGAGAGCGTCAAGCATCATGGGGCCGGTCTTATTCAGGTCGAGCTTGTAGCTCTGCATGGTGGGCTTCTCGGTTGGGGTATCCGGATTCCAGCGGTAGACCTTGAAGGTCTTCATGTTGGGGTTTTCGGAAGGGGTGGGCTCGACATTTTGAGTAGCCTCAACGGTGGCATAGGAGCGAGCGAAAGCGGCGGGCCGGAACAGCGGGCGCGACGCAGCGAAAAGTCGCGATGTAGAGCGGAGGGAGGCCATGACGGAAGAAGGTGACAGAATACCGGACAGAGGTCAATGGGATAGCAACACACGCGGGAGAAGCGTGGAGAGGGGAGAGGGTCCAAGTCGAGGGAGTCGTCAAGCGTGAGGATCACCAACAAAACCAAGATGGCGAACAAAATGAAGTCAAGGAGTCTCGTCACTAACCTCGGGTTTGACCATCGGCAATGCGCTGAGTCAGCTAAGGCGGACCAATCACAGCGGGTCTAATTGTCAAACAATCGGGCGGACACGGCTTTTGCTATGTGACTGTGTGAAGCATGGGGGAATTGTTTACTGCCGGTTAATTGCTGATATGGTGGATCTAAATGTAGATATTGAGATTTGGAATGTATAAAAATATAAATGTATTCTCAATTTTCCCCTTCTAGCATTATTTTACTTCGTTCCCTCTAATCCTCCTTATGTTCTGCCCTGCGAAACGGTCCGGTTATTCCTGCCTCAGGCATCAAGGCACCCGCACTCCCGGATCGGTTGCCGAAAGTGACGGCTTCCCTGTTCCTCGGTTTCTCAGCCTCGGAAGCTACAGTGAAGCTAGTCATCTACGCACATGCGCTCAAGCAATCCGCTCATTTTAATTCGAGCTTTACATTTACATTTTCCTATCAACTGATTTTACAATTAACCGCGTTTCGCATAGTTCTGGTGCCACTCATAGTCCCGATTCTCCTTCAATAATGCCCGAACAGCCTCTCGGGCCGGCGTCGGTTTCCTTCCTAACAGGGTTGCCATGAGCGGATCAGTGAACCCAGCATCACCTTCTGCTATCGCGGCATGCCATGTCTCCAAAGCGCGAAAGAAGCCTTTTGGCTTTCCTCCCTCGTCAGTGGCTGTCTTTATTTTCACAAATTCCTCTGGAGAGACGATCTCTGTTTCAACCTGCCGATCGGTGGTCTCATTGATCACATCGACGATGTCGGTAAAGGAAACCGTCTCCTGTGCGGTGAGAAGAACGATTTCCCTGTCATGTCCACCTTGGACCATCAACCGCGCAGTGGCTTCGCCTAGCTCTGCTCGTAACGTGAAGGCAATTGGACCGTCGCCGGACAAATATATCTTGGAGGTACTGGGATACCAACCCATGAAGACTGGGAAGGCATCGGTGTACAGTCCTTCGCGGATCGATGTGAAATTGATGTCGGCTCTGGAGAAAGGATTAGCCATATGATCTTTTCATGCAAACTTCTTAAAGTAGCTTGACTTACTTGCGCATCATCTCCTCGGTGATCAAATGAGCCTGTTGGACATCGGCTCTGGAGTCCTTGAACCCACCAAAGGCCAGAGACGTGTACCATACCTGCTAATGGTTAAATGGTTGACATGGCTGGAAGAAGATATTGTGGACATACATGTTTGACACTCATCTTCTTTGCAGCATTGATGAAGTTTTGATGTTGCTTCTCTCGCTTCGCAACATCGAATGTGTTGGTGCTAACAAACAAAAGATTCTCTACATCTTTGAACGCAATTTCCATGGATTCAGGATCATCATAATTGACCACACGGAAGGCAATACCTCGATCTTCGAACCGCTTGCGATTGGACTCGTTTGAAGATGCGGCAGCGTATTCAGATGCGGGGACATTATCAACGAGGTAGGAAAGCACCTGTGAACCAAGACCTCCTGTGGCGCCTGTGATAAGATATTTGAGTGACATGATTGAAAGTCGTAATAAAGATGTCGAATATCAATGCGTAGTCAATTGAATCCTTGCTTAAGAGTAATTATCTTGTTCCAGCTCATGGAGGAGCGTCTTTTATATCCTCGAAAACCAGATTCAATTAGAAATTCATAGAAATCCTGCGGTGTAGCACCAAATGATCCTGGGGCCCCATGGCGTCGTCCGACACTCTGCCAAGTTAGCCGGGAGTTGTACTTAAAATTTGTCAGCCTAACTATTGTTAAGCAACCTTAATTTTTAACTGCACTAAGCGTTATTCGGTGCCTGGTTGCTCGGCGTTACTTGTTGTTATTCGGCCCCTATTAGCACCGAAGAAGCGGGCGCCTCTCATAGGGCCACATGGCTTCAGTGGGTATTCTCCGTTTATGTTCATTGATCTATGTTGTACGATGGGTGCATAGTATTAATGAGAAGGAACCCTGCTGAGGTGTATTTCAAAACAATAGGTGTTCCTTGAACACATTCCTTTGCCTACATCCAGATAATCCTCTTTTTCCAAATCTCCTCCACCTGAGTCCTATGATTGTGTTTTGACCCCACATCGACGACAGCATGTCATACGAACCTGACAAATTCCATGGCGCAAAAAACGGCGCTCAGAGGAGAATGTGCCGACAGAAATCCTTTTCGGGGGCTTCTATGACCGTCGGCCTTTCTAAGCATGTTGCCATTTTGTCTATATGAGGCACAGGAACTTCATCATGTCCTTCAGCCCGCTCGTCGGCGCCCAGCGGGCAGCCGCTGATCCCACGAGCCCATCTCCACTTCTCGGCGCCACTATCCCCCCTTTCGACACGTTATCTTCTAGTTATGTCTAACACAACAGCTCCTTTGATACTATATACTGACTTTCGGAGATAATACGATATTATTGGGATCAGGATTCGCAATCGCACAGCGCAATATTGAATAGCGTAAGCTGACGGACCACTGCGCGCAGTCTACGTTAATTGTGAATTGGGTAGCAAAATTTCGACGATTGTAGCCCCGCAATCCCTCTACGAGATCTCAGCGAATGAAGAGGAGAGCGAAGTCGAGGCGGAGAATCAGAAAAGCAGCGAGAGGACAGGATTGAGCTTCTAATGCCAAGGTCGCGCATTCATGAATCAAAAGCTAGATCGAAGCTCTATCTGCTTGTGCTATCTAGAAGGCTGGTAGCAGGATGACGCGTGAATATTTGGAGGCGTTGGATTTTCCGATACGATCAAGAAAGGCAAGTAATTCATAGCTAAGATCAAAAATATTATAATAGTAGAGCCAAGATCTTGCCTCTTGGGAGATCTGTTTCTTCAGAAGAAAATTGTTTGCTTGAATCATCCCGTGCCGCCAAGGAACATACTTTGGGACAGTACGCTTACTCCTCAACAGCAGGTAGGAAAAAATTTGATTTCGGATCTCACCGGGCAGGTCCAGGAAAGAGGTCGGCATTCCGTGAGTATAGGCTGAAGGTTTTCAAGGTTAATGCCTAGCAGTCCTGGAGGAAGGAGTTGTAGTTAAGATACATGAAGAGCTGGTTTGCTGACCTTGTATCAAGCCTATGGAAATACTAGTAACTTTGGAAGGACAACGAGTCATCGCCCAGATTCGGGGATGTACGACCACGAAGATATGTGATTTAATCGGAAATTGCAGCAACTGGAGGGAGTCAGGCTATATGTTTGCCTGTGAAACATGATGTGACGAAATAGATCTTTTATGGCGTTTTAGAAAATATGGACGAGGCCAAAGAGGTGATCGATGGCCAAGTGAACTTGATCAAGGAGATACCGTATTGTGGGGGATACTGTGCGATCGAAGATGCTGTATGATGAATGATTGACCTTCAGCTTGTGTATATGAAAGTAGAAAAGTGCATTTCCTTCGCCTATATGGATGAATGATTCAATAAAAGAAAAGAATAACATTTGATGTTATGGGAGTACGTATTTTGTATATAACTTTTAGATAAGAGGGCCTATGTCCTATGAGACGAAGACCTCGACGACTGTTGCGATGGAGACCTGTCCTCCCCACGCGTAATATTAACTTCATTGGTGACTCTTATTCCAGGGATCTTGGAGTTATGACTTGAAGCATCCTGAGTAACAGACACCTCAGAAGGCATCATCTCATAATCATCATGACCAAGCTTCGACCAGTTAAGCAATCGTTTATCATCACGAGCGTGGGATCCCAGTCCACTCATGGGCTTTGAGTGACTTCGCAGTCTACCCGCTGAGCGCGACCGAGTGTGGCTGGAAGTGTACTCTGTCAAATGGGAGAAGATATTGCCGAAAACAGGCTTCAGCGCAGGAACGGAGAGGGCAATGAGTGTGCCTGCGATTTCGGCATTTTCCACGCATAACATTGGGTTATAAGCCCAGCTGCCGTCAGCTGCCCATTGGCCTTTGACGACTAACCAAACACGGACGGATGAGATGATGATCACGCTGTTTAATGATGTTAGCTGATGTTCCATGGATACAGAAAGGAGGATAAAACTCACAATACACCAGGGAACATGACCATGGAAAGCTTGATTTTGTTCTTGAGAGAGACATGAAGTTGTTTGATGAGAATGGCCGGAATGATAAACATCATCACATCACAGGCTAACGAGAGGCCTGAGTTGACGGAATAGACCAGACCCCATGTAAGACATTTGTAATTATCCACACCGGGTTGCCAAGCATACGGCCATAAACCGGTGACGGGTTTGCAGTGGAATATCAAGAGGAAAATTTGGGGAAGGTATGCGGCGATAAGGAATGGTCCAGCAACGAGGATGGATTTGTGCAGCTTGCTTGTGCGCGCGGTCAGTCGAAAATAGAACGCCAGACCGGAAAGTCGACAAAGGAACAGGGCGGTGGTATAGAGAATGTGTGCAACGAAATCTAACACTTCGGTCTTGTGGACTGTTGAGAGCGAGAGGACGTATTCGATGTATTCGATATGACGGCCGCTCCCAAGGTTAATGAGAACGATGCAAAGAACGACAAAGGTGATGTAGATCATCTGTAGTGGGATGTGAGTTAGTATGAGTGATCGTTGTTTTTTTTTTGGCTCTTTGAAGAGGTGCAAAAAGACAACAATAACAGATGAACATACCAAAGTCAGAATTGCGAGCCAGTCGTCGAAGCCGATCTTTTTGACCAGAAATGCTCGAGCGTACAGACGCAAGATCATGAGAACTCCGGTGAAACAGATCATGAACAGGATACCCGCAAGAGCAGAGTGATCTCGGGACTCTGCAAGATATGAAAGAGAGACATTGCTGGGAATCCTTCCCGCTGCCTTTGCTGCGCGAATATCGGCAGGGATTGTCATAGCAGGTTGTTTGAGAAAATGTTCACGACATTTCCTAATATCCCCAGATATGTATCCTCACAGACCGGGGAGATGCTCTGGATATAATTAATGAATGACTGGAGCAACCAGGGAAGAACCATGGATTCTGTAAAGGAAGGAAAGAGCGCAGCGGGTCTTTTTCGTGCAATGGACCCAACCTCGATTGATCAGAGGCCATCAAGGTCTTGTACCAAGGCAAATGTGATTCCAGCCATAGTATAGGGTATAGTGGAGACAAATATATTAAAATTTTCTCATGTCATTGTGTACTGTACAAAAAGGGAATTTCATAGGCACTGACTGGTTCACGATGGATTGTCGATGGGTCGGGATAAAAGTTAAATTTCCCCGATCCGTGTTTTCCACCCTCTGAACAAATAGCAGGTCAGAATTGGATTCTTCTTTCTTTGAATTCCAGATTTCTACAGATGCCAACAGATTAGATAGGGAAAAAAGGACCATGCGTTAAACGCGGGCTTGAGGAAGAGCGCGACAATGCTCAAAAGAGCAATGGAAGAACATCGATCGTTCCCAGCAAGGCATTTCCCTAAGAAAATCAAGACCCATCCACAATTTGCAGGGCCTATCGTTGATTTTGAATGCGTAATGGAATGTCAATGGAATTGTTAGCTCAAAACCGAGCTGCTTGGTACTTGCTCTGCAGGCTCTACGCGATCCACAGTGGATTCGGATCGTTGCTGGTGATCTGGAAGACTAAGCGAGATCGGGATTGGATTACGACTTCACAGAACTGCCGAGTCTCCGGTACAGACGAGCTAAGAAAGATTAGGCAGGTGAAAAGAAAATGTCCAAGATTCTGACGATCAATGGAGAGACTCAGGATCAATTAGCATTTTCGGCGGATATTGCTTTTAGCCTCGTTGGATATTTTGCATTCTGGTTGGTAGAATCACGCTCAGGCGCAACCTAAACAAAAGCCAGGGCTTCACGGCGTTCCGATTGCTCCGAGGACCGTCCAGAATGCAGCGTCAATTGGAGATTTTTTCCCATGGGGCGCGATGGGCCACATTCCAGGCTTAGTCAAGGCTCCACTCTTCCCACGGTTTTGCATGAATAGGGTTCCCTCCTTAGTATATGAAAAAAACAAATTGCCCTGCGATCGCCGTTTTTCTTGCCACATGGTTTCTGTGGGGGTTTGCTCGATCTGACCTTTTGATATAATAGTACTGTATATATACACATCATCATGTCGCCATTGCTGCAAGCTCTTGTGAGCGGATTGGCCTTGGCCAGCTCCGCTATTGCTACGGGACAGCATGAGATTGATTCTTTGGTTGCTTCTCAGATTCTGACAGATCCCTACGCCTATGACTTTCCTCGCTTGGGTGCCCCTGGATCTTCGCAGTTCCCCATGCGCAATTGCCATGGGTTCAAGCTGGAAGAGGCCAGTGTCGACGATATCCAGGCTCGGTTGACCAATGGAACTTTCACTAGTGTTCAGCTGCTCGAGTGCTACCTTGACCGCATCACTCAAACACAGCCTTATCTGAAGTATGTCTGGATGCTATTTCCAATTAACTCGTGACTGTTAAACTGATTGAACTTCCCCAGTGCCATTCTACAGCATAATCCGGATGCTTTCCACATTGCGCAAATGCTGGATGAGGAGCGTGCCAATGGTAAGGTCCGTGGTCCTCTACATGGAATTCCTTTCATTGTCAAAGACAACATTGCGTCCAAGGACCGCATGGAGACTACTGCTGGCTGCTGGGCTCTGCTTGGCAGCGTTGTCCCTCGTGATTCCTTCGTTGTCCACGGCATGCGTAAGGCTGGTGCTCTGCTCTTGGGCAAGGGTGCTTTGAGTGAGTGGGCTGATATGCGCTCCAACAACTACTCCGAGGGCTTCAGCGCTCGTGGTGGTCAGTGCCGTAGTGCTTACAACTTCACCGTGAACCCTGGTGGTAGCAGCACTGGTCCCGGTGTTGCTGTGGGTGCTAACCTGATCCCCATCGCCCTTGGTACCGAGACCGATGGCAGTGTTATCAACCCTGCTCAGCGCAATGCTATTGTCGGCATCAAGCCCACTGTTGGCCTGACTTCCCGTGACGGTGTTATTCCTGAGTCCCTGCACCAGGATACCATTGGTACTTTCGGCAAGACTGTTCGCGATGCTGTCTACGCCCTTGACGCCATTTACGGCGTTGACACTCGCGATAACTACACACTTGCTCAGCAGGGCAAGACCCCTGAGAAAGGATACACCCAGTTCCTTTCCAACAAGGATGCTCTCAAGGGCGCTGTATTTGGTCTCCCTTGGGAGTCCTTCTGGGCTTTTGGCGATGCTGTCCAAATCGCTCAGCTTGAAGAGCTGCTCGATCTGATCAAGTCTGCCGGAGCTACTATTATTAATGGAACTGAGCTTCCCCATTATAAGGAAATTGTTTCTCCCGATGGCTGGAACTGGGACTATGGCTCCACCCGCGGCTACCCCAACGAGTCAGAGTACTCCTATATCAAGGTCGACTTTTACAACAACCTCCGTGACTACCTTGCCGAGTTGAACAACACCGATGTCCGTTCCGTCGAGGATCTTGTTCAGAACAACATTGACAACTACGGCTCCGAGGGTGGTTATCCTGGCATTCACCCTGCCTTCGGCTCCGGCCAGGATGGCCTTGTTGCCTCCCTGGAGAGCAAGGGTATCATGAATGCGACCTACTGGGATGCTCTTGCTTTCTGCCAGCGCACTACCCGCGAAGAGGGCATCGATGCTGCCTTGAAGTGGAAGAACCGCACCCTGGACGGTCTTCTCGTCCCCCCTGATGTCGCTCAGAGCATCCAGATCGCCGCACAGGCCGGGTACCCTGTTATCACTGTTCCCGCTGGTACTGAGCAGGAATCCGGCATGCCGTACGGTCTTGCTATCATGAACACTGCTTTTTCGGAGCCTACTCTGATCAAGTACGCCAGTGCTATTGAAGACCTCCAGAAGACCTCTGGCACCCAATGGCAGCGTACTCTTCCTGAGTGGCGTGGTTACCTCGAGCGTAATCTGCCTGTGATCATGTAAGACTTCGGGTCGTCATTTTCTAATTTTCTAATTGGAAAACAAGCAGGCAATCTTAAAGAAAAATTGCCTTTTTTGCATAATATGTACAGCATGCATCATGTATAGCATATACCAATTAATGGATGATAATTATTGCGAGATCAATATGCTTTGAAAATTTCCTGTTGAACGCGCTCGAATTATCCATCAATCCGCAAATGCTCCACACGTCGTCATCATTGAATGATTCAGGTGGATATGGAGAATTTGTATCATCTGATTCTTCCGATAAAGGTTGATTGCAATGCCTCTTCAGCTGCTCCTGCAATTTTAGCTTTACATTACGACATCAGACTTTTTTTCAACTTCGAAATTCCCTTCAATAGAATCTTAGCAATCGTTGAGTAATATTTCGTTCTAGCTACGGACATACCGAATGTGGAGTGCACAGAATCTTTCTAAACGTTACTCTATATTAAAGGCTTGAGCGCGAGGTTTAATCTCCGAATCAAGAGATAAAAAAACTTGAATAGATAGCGCCATAGAGAACAGCATATGGGTCCTTGCCAAGAGATTAAAAAACGGTGGATGGCGCTACGGCAGATCAGGTAGCTTATCCGATGATCATGGATGTGATCGTCCGGGAGAGCGTCCAGGTCCATGTGTTCATACCCATAAGGTAGCATCCCTGTCCATCCTCCCATCTTATTGATGCAAAATTGAACTCAGTTCTTCTGTCATCCGCTGATCTTCAAACCTTCTTGCTCGGAAGAACTGTCGAATGTTTAATGCTCGAATAGAATGTGTCGCACGTCCATAATACATCGCCAAGTGCCAAGACGGGGTAATGTGTTTTGGATCATTTCTCCGTACTCCTCACTAGGTGTATGAAGTGCCCAGTTACTCTCCTGACAGTCAGAGATCAAGCCCTCCTTAGGCCCGAATATCCGGGAAAAAGACTTACTTTTAATATAATATAGTTGAACGCTAGGAGTCTTGACCGTAGCCACGTTTCTGTAAATTAAAGGCAATGACTAGACCGCGGAGCATCTCCCGTCAAAGTCAAGTGCCCGACCACGATACTCAATGCAGTACTGTGGGCCGCTAGCCGCAACAAAGTGAAACATCTTCAGACTCCAACTAATTTATTATTTGGGTCTTTTCTCAGTCTGCGCCTTCTTTTTGAGTTCGGCGACCTACGTGGAGAAATTTCGGTCAATAGGCTTGTTCTCCATCGAACGCCATGATTCACGCCACTCGGATTGAATGCAAGATAGTTTGGGACTTCAATTGGCGGATTCATATGCTATCTAAATTGCTCCTCTCATACCCCTGGCAATTTTTCACCCCGCAAAAAAGTGGGACCATGCGTCTTAGTGGCATGGCGGAACTTGAACGATTTGTCGAATCGACGGCGGTATCATCATTGCCCTGTGGCTGGTGATGGGTTTCTAAGAAGGTCTGACAATTGTGGATATTGATGGAGCTACCTTGAGTACCCTCCTGCATGATGGAACAACCAAGAACTTAACCATGACTTCCGAGGTCCTTGATTAAACGGTCGTGCGTTAGAGACTATATAATCCTTTCTCTACACCCGGCATGAAACGATTTATTTTTTGCATTCCATCCAATCCTTTTCCTCTTCGTGTTCAATACTTCATTTCACCATGAAGTATACTGCCATCTTGGCGGCTTTTGCTGCCCACGCTGCTGCTGTTAGCGTTTCAGGAGCGGCTGAAGGTTTCGCCAAGGGTGTTACTGGTGGTGGTTCTGCTACCGCTGTCTACCCAACTACCACTGACGAGCTGGTCTCGTACCTTGGTGACAGTGAAGCCCGTGTTATTGTTCTTGATCAAACCTTTGACTTCACCGATACCGAGGGTACCACCACTGCCACCGGTTGCGCACCTTGGGGAACTGCTTCCGCCTGCCAGGTCGCTATTAACCAGGATGACTGGTGCACGAACTATGAGCCGGATGCTCCTGATGTTTCGGTGAGCTAGTAAGTATTTCTGGATTTTCGTTAAAGTTCACATTCTTCAAATGAAGGTTTAAGACAGACTGACCATTTCTAGTGACAATGCTGGTATCCTGGGTATCACTGTCACCTCCGACAAGACCATTCTTGGTTCTGGCTCTGCTGGTATCATCAAGGGCAAGGGTCTGCGGATCGTTTCTGGAGCCAGCAACATTATTATCCAGTATGTCTATCTTTCTTGAAGCGTATCACCACACTCTAAAATCTTTTATTAATAATAATTTAGAAACATTGCTATTACCGATATCAACGCCAAGTACGTCTGGGGTGGCGACGCCATCACCCTCGATGACTGCGACATGATTTGGATCGACCACGTTACTGTATGTTGTCTCTCACCGCGGAATTTAAGCTCTAAGAACTTCAAAATCATACTAACTAGTATTGAAATCCAGACTGCTCGTATCGGACGTCAGCACTATGTTCTGGGAACCTCTGGTGATAACCGCGTGAGTCTGACAAACAACTACATCGATGGAGTTACCGACTACTCTGCAACCTGCGACGGCTACACATACTGGGGTATCTACCTGGATGGAGACAGTGACCTTGTCACCCTGAAGGGCAACTACATCTACCACACTAGTGGCCGTAGCCCCAAGGTTCAGGGTAACACTCTCCTCCATGCCGTCAACAACTACTGGTATGACAACTCTGGACACGCTTTCGAGATCGGTTCCGGCGGCTATGTTTTGGCCGAGGGCAACGTTTTCCAGAACATTCCTACTGTCGTTGAGTCACCAATTGACGGCCAGCTCTTCACTGCGCCTAATGCCGCTGCTAACGCGGTCTGTGCCACTTACCTTGGTCGCGACTGCGTGGTCAATGGATTTGGTTCTTCGGGTACATTTAGCCAGGCGGATGAGGGCTTTCTGTCTGATTTCGAGGGAAAGAACATTGCCTCTGCTTCCGCTTATACTGCGGTCCAGAGCACCGTTCCATCCAGTGCCGGCCAAGGTAATCTGTAAAGATTGCTTTCTTGTTGCTGCAAGTAAGTAGAGCTCAATCTTTTCTGTCCAATGCCCCCATTATCTCCGTGTTTCCTCGTATTTTCCATGTCTCTTTGTCTTCTTGGCGACGAAGGTGGCATGAAAGCTGGAGTCAAAGCTCTAACTTCACCGTCTGATGTTGTTCCTACTCGATATGCGTGCTGGATTTGGAAGTTTGACATTATTTTAACCAAAACGCTTCTCTTAGTGCTTTTCTCTTGTCATCACTACATCTCTCTCGCCTGCTCTTTCTCTCTCTTCTCCCTTCCCCCATTCCCTCAATTTCTATCGGTACTTGGATACCTACGGGAAAGCTTGAGATCTGTTCCTGTTCTTGGTAATAACTGAAGTTGCCTCTTTGTCGGTGTCCAACTGCTCCATAAGAATGTAGATACATAATCCATTTTATTCAAAACAAAAACCATCTCTGACTTGTTTTTTCGTTGCCTATGTGGTTCTGCAATTGCTCGGGAAACATCTATCAACACGTGAGGAGGGTCGGGATTTTTGATCAACTGCAAATCACTTTGCTTTATTTGGAATTTGGGTTTAACACGTCGCTGCATTGATGGAAGTGACTCCGGTTTGGAGGTGCCACTGGTTATATAGTTGTTCCGAAACTGGCAATCCAACAGAAACAAAGTCCTCTCATAAAAAGAACTAACGATGGAACAATTCCTCGTCATTTTGTAGTCGTACTATTTATTTTTTATCTTTGCTACGTTGTAAATCATGTTCTGAGGGCTGCCCATGCAGCAAGGGTCACTGGCGGGCGGTGGTCCTACATAGGGCCGTCCACATCCCTCCGGTGGGCGACCCCGTAAATCAGGACGCCACGGCCTGATTCAACCTTCTGACCTACCATGTGGGGTGGTGATCCAATGTTTTATTTAGCCGACGGAACGTGGATGCCCCGAATACTGCCTACCAGACAAGACAGCTTTGGTACACACGGGAGGTCGACTTCTATGAGTGCTGTTGGATGAAGAAATATGTGGTTTCTAATCCCATCATGATGCTTAGTAATACAGAGCATTTTTTGATTACTGTGCACAGCCGACCATGTGGGCTGATAGAATGGAACGCGTCTGAGCCAACCAGTATATATGCATCCTCAGCTGTGCAAAACCGTACCATTATCCTGACTTAAACATCAAACAGTACAGCCATGTCGACTCAAAAAGCAATTGAAATCACTGGGCCTCAAGAGGCCAAAGTCGTGACAAACCGCCGCCTCCCTGAGCTCCGCGATGACTACATCCTTGTCAAAGTCGTAAGCGTCGGCCTTAATCCCACTGACTGGAAACACGTCAAATATCTCTCTGGGCCCGGTGCCCTAGTAGGATGTGACTATGCGGGCATCGTCGAAGAAATCGGTTCAGCAGTAACAAAGGGGTTTAAGAAAGGCGATCGCGTCTGCGGCATCACACACGGCTCTAACGACTCAAACCACGAAGATGGCTGCTTCGCAGAGTACATCGTCGCAAAGGCGCACGGTCAATGGAAGATTCCGCCAAACCTTTCCTTCGAAGAGGCTGCCACCTTAGGCGTCGGCATAGTCACCGTCGGCCAGGCGCTGTACCAGGCGCTGAAGCTCTCTCCGCCGCAAGCCAAGCCTGTTCCTAACGGTATCCCGCTGCTTATATATGGTGGGTCGAGTGCGACAGGGACTTTGGCTATCCAGTTTGCGAAGTTATCTGGCTATATAGTTATCACTACGTGCTCTCCGCATAACTTTGACCTTGTGCGTGGGCTGGGCGCGGACAGCGTGTACGACTATAAACACTCGGAGGCCGCGGCTCAGATCCGCAAAGCGACGGGTGACCAGCTGAAGTTTGTCCTGGATTGTATTGGGACTGAGGATGGGGCGGACTTCTGTGACAACGCTATGTCGACGGAGGGAGGGAGATATACCTCTATCACAGGGTCGAAGACGAAGCGCGAGAATGTTGTTGATTCGGGGACTCTGGGCTACACTGCTGTGGGCGAGGCGTTTAGGAAATTTGGGCGCGAGTTTCCACCTATTCCAGAGGATGCAGCTCATATCGCTGCTTTCATTAATTTGATGGAGCCTCTTCTTGCCCAGGGGAAAATTAAGACTCACCCTGTCAGAGTTGGGAAAGGAGGGCTATATGGTGTTTTGGAGGGCTTGAAGCTTATGGAGAAGGGCAAGGTTAGTGGGGAGAAACTAGTTTATAATATCGCTGATACCGCTTGATTTTGATGCTATTCATCTAAAAGAAAAGCCACTTAAGTGCAATTGGTGTGAATTAATTTGTTGCATCAGATGGCGTTCCAGCGCCCCATGCTTTCGATATACATCATGTGCGGAGCTGTTAGCGTTTCCCGGATCCAATGCAGGAGCTTCAGACATAATTTAGCAGGCCATGATCCCTTAAAAGGTAGCTAAGAGGAGGGGTTTATTTATTCCCCAAGAGAATCGCACTCAAGCTTGTAATTAGCCCACGGTAGATTTTTGATTAATTGAATTGAATTTAGGATTGACACTGATTAAAGAGAGGTACTCCATTGGGGTTTATATATTGATATAAATCCTCGAGAAGACATGGGCCAAAGAAAAAGATGGTCTTCAATACTATAAAGAAGACCAGACCTAGATTGTGCAACGACTCGGTTGATGATGAAATGGGCTTGGGGAGACATGCGCATGAAAAACACGGAGTAAAGACCTTAGAATTGACAGGTATTGTGAGTCGAGAATTGGGTTAAAGGTGAATCATACTACCAGCTTCGTGTCTTTTGCGTCGTTTGTGAAATCTACTTCAGGGTATCAATCAAAGCTATAAACCACCATTCAAAAAACTGCTACGCAATTCAGTTATTCTAAATTCCTGCTCTAAGATCGCTATCCAGGAAGCCAGTTAAACCATCCCCTAATTATCCCATGACAGTTCCGAGAAAATCTAGATCATTGACTAATTTACGTAAAATGCGGGGTAGTAGCAATGCCCATTGTGGACGGGCTTGGTGCCGTTCCAGACAACTATTTCTAATCTATCCGCAAGCGGAAGTCCTAAAAGTCAATGGAGATCTAGACCACTGGGAAGAGTGATAATCGCAAAGTCATGAAATAGGTGGTTAACAAGACAGGTTCCAGATGCTGGAGCATTTCCAGATATAAGGTGCAAGTGGAATGCTCCACATACTTAATATCAAAATCGATGTGCAAGGCTTTTGCAAGTGGCATCGTACAAGGTCTGTATACATACTTCCTATAGGTACTTCTGTTGTTAATCAAAGGAAGATTGATTGTTATATTTGAGAAGGAAACATAGGACTATATATACATCAAGAAGAACAAGTTGATTTCCAATCAACTTGATTCTTCGTATAGATACATCGGGATTAATTCCAATGGTGCGGCTCTGTTCCTGATCTGCACCAACCTGAAATCACAACATTCCCCCTCAGGATCGTCTTGCTGGCAGGGCGATACTGGAGTTGTGCAGAGCAGTCAGGCCTCGGTAAAACCACTCAAAACCTTCGTGGGAAAATAAAGTGGAAAGAGCGCCTGCGCTGTCATGCACGTTGCCTTGGAATCTCCGAAGCGTCGATTCCTAAAAGACTACAGAACTTGGCAAAGGACGTTGGCCCTAATGGCTTGGTGAGACCATCCGCGGCCTGCTCCTCAGTGGGAACATACTGCAGGTCAATTTCTCCTGCATTCAGCACCGACCGCTGATAATGGAACTTGACATTGAAGTGTTTGGTCCGTTTGTGAAATTCGGGATTGCGGGAGAGCGCAATAGCGGATTGATTGTCAGCCATGATATTAGTGACCGGAGACCGATACAGATTTGTTTCTCCTAGAAAGGTGCGGAGCCACTGTAGATGTAAAATGGCATTGTATTGGCCAATGTATTCGGCATGAGTCGTGGACGTGGCCACTTCCCCCTGACGTTTGGACGACCAGGAAACCGGCGCTCCCGCCAGTTGGAACACGTAGCCAGACGTGGAGTATGCTCCATCCGTGACGACGGAGCCACCGAAGTCGGCGTCAGTGTATCCGATCAATTGACCATTTCGGTAGGTGATACGGTGAGATTGCGTGGCTTTGATGTAGCGAAGCAGTCGCTGAAGTGCGGCCTGGTGATGCGATTGCGGCCGGGATGTGAAGCGACTCAACATTCCGAGCGCAAACGCAATATCCGGTCGCGTGCCAACCATCAAATACATGAGCGAGCCGATAGCAGTTGCATAGCGAGCTTTTGCTTCTTCATCCGGAGGTTCCTCCTCTGGGCGAGTATTCAGGCTTTGCTTAGGATTCATCGGCGTAGACTTCGGCTGACAACTCTCCATGCCAAAGTCGGAGAGCACCTTCTGGATGTACTGATGTTGGTGAATAGACACGGACCCATCAACGTGATAGTCAAACTCGATCCCGAGGAACGAACGAGGGATGCCCAGATCGTTCAATCGGAACTCGGTTTGTAAGGCTCGTTGTACTTGTTCAATTTCGTGCGTATTTGCCGCAGCAACTAGAAAGTCATCGACATAAACGCAAACGACGCAGTCCGCTTTCCAGAAAACACAGTTGTCCGATTGGGCCATAGTGAAGCCCTGAGAAGCCAGGACGCGGTGGACGCATTGGTACCAAATCCGCGGGGCCTGCTTCAGCCCATACAGTGAACGGCGCAGCCGACACACGTACCCTGGTTCTTCAAAGCCTTCGGGCAACTCCATATAGATAGACGAATCGACGTCTCCATGGAGAAATGCGGTAACCGCATCGAATTGGTGGAGTTTCCATCCGCGCAACACGGCGCTGGCGACGATGCAGCGGACCGAGTCCATGCGCGACACAGCCGCAAACGTTTCGTGATAATCGATGCCATGTTTCTGCCGGTAGCCTTTGATGACCAGTCGCGCTTTGCGCGTTCCGTTGGTTTTGGTCTTGAAGACCCATTTGCACCCAATCACATGATCCCCAGCGGGGATGTCCTCCCGCCGAACCTTTTCCCATGTTCCGTGTTCGAGAAGCGACGCATATTCTTTCTGGATGGCGGCCCACCAGATTAGCTGGTCTGGGCCTGACACAGCTTCGCGGAAGGTTGCCGGGTCGGCTTGTCTGGCCGGTGCAGTATTCAATGCGCCTGCCGAGTACACCTTCCCCAGCGATTCCAGGAGACGCCGTGATGGTCTTCGTCTGCGACCATACATCGAATACCCAAGATCCGATGTCAAGTCGGTTTCCTGTTGGCTTGGATTGATCACTGGAGGTGTCTCATCCTCGCGCTCAGATGGCGGCTTCTCTCGTTCATTCGACCGAGGTAATGGCGACGCAGGAGGTGTTGGCAGCTCGCTGGCTGAACTTGGCATTGGTGGAAAGACAGATGATGGAGGAGCGTTGTCCGGGAGGTCGTTGCCTGTTTCCCCCTCGATGAGTGGCGCCACGGGGGTCCTCTCATCGAACTCGACATCACGGGAGAATATTGTCTTTCCTGAGTGGATTTCGTACAGCTTGTACTGGTTGGGTTCACAATAACCTAGCAGTCGGCACTCGGACGACCTCGGTCCGAGTTTGGCTCGATGCTCTTTTGGGATCAACACCCAGGCACGAGAGCCGATCCGGCGTAGATGCAAGAGCGAGGGCGGCTTCCCATAAATCACTTCATACGGTGTCCTTTTTCGCAGAATTGATGCTGGCGCGCGCAGCTTCAGATAGACTACCGTATCTATAAGTTCGACCCACCAGGAAGGAGGAAGGTTTGCATCGGACAGGAGCGTGTTGATCCGCTCCCGGATAGTGCGGTTCGTTCGTTCGGCCAGCCCATTCTGCCCTTTGCAGTATGGCGGCGAGGTGTCAAACTCAACTCCCTGGCGTTCGAGGTGTGTTCCGACCGGCAGATATTCTCTTCCATTGTCGGTAAGAAATCTTCTAATCTGGGCCCCAAATTGTCGGTGCACCCAGGCCTCAAACTGTCGGAACTTCTGCAGCGCTTCATGTTTCCATCTCATGGCATAGGCCCATGAGCCCCGAGAATAATCGTCAGTAAAGGTGATCACGTACCTGCTGCCATCTTTGGCAATCGGCATCTCCATGATGTCCGAGTGGATCAATTCAAAAATTCTCGTTGAATGCAGACGTGGCCGCCTTGCACGGGAGTTCCTCTTCTGATGCTGCTTACCCGACATGCACGCCGGGCAACGCGGCGTTGCCTGCAGTTGCGCCTGCGTCAGCGGTCGGTACGGAGTGCCGGTCTGCCGGAGGACCACCCTCAAGTCGCCCCGGTTCAGATGTCCCATCCGAGCGTGCCATAGCGCTTCGGAGGCCTGGTCCACTCCTTTGCCCGCATCTGCTTCGAGTATCACAGCTTCACCACCGAGTTCAGAGGTTGGCGATGCGCATCCTACGCCACTTGACTCTTCACGGCTGTCGACGTCCATGGCCACCGCCTGCGGTTCCAGGGAATCTGCATGGCCATAGGTCGTCGGCGCCCTCGCCAGTTGGACTCGTTCTCGAGATCTCTTGCTCACATGGCACCGCAGGATCAACAGATCCTCCTCCGCATGGTAGGCGGTCCCCACCGTTCGTCCTCGGCGTTGCACAAAGACGTTCTGCGGGTGCGCTACCACCGAGTAGCGGTCTCTTAGCAACTTCGGCACACTGATCAGGTTCATCCCGACGCGTGGCGCGAAGTATACGTTCTTGAGCACCAGGGGTTGGTTGAACTTCCCCCGGAGCGTGAGCTTCACCGTCCCAATCCCTTCGGCTTCCACTGGATCGCCCGCCGTGTCCAACATCTCGCGATGGGGCCGCAGACTGCTGAAGCAGCTCCGGTCCCAGCAGATGTGGCTGGTGGCAGCCGAGTCCAGGATCCACCGGGGTGACGGTGCGTGGGTATAGAGAGTCGTCACCCTCGCCCTCACAACATTGATCCGCGGTCTCTTGGAAGTCGGCGGGCCCTGCCGTTCTTCCACCTGGCTTGATGGTATACTTCGCAAATTGCTTCTTGGTGAGCCGGAAACACTCCGTTCGGCCTTCAGGGCATGGTCCCTGGACGGCTGTTCTTCTCGCTGTTTCTTCCAGCACTGCGCGACCACATGGCCGCGCTTCTTGCAGTAGTTACACTTTTTGGTATTCTTCTGCACGGTATTGATTGAAGGGCTATTCGATGCGCCAGACGCTCCATGCGGGAGCGTTGCGGCGTCCTTCCGCTGCACCGTCTGTTCTGCATTTGCCAGACGGTTTCCGATCGTGGTCGGGTTGACTGGATCTTTGTCATTTTGGATCGCATCTACAATCAAGATGTATTCTGGTCCGATCTGAGTCAACAGAATCGCAATGTGCGTCCGGTCGCCGATTGATCCGGGGACGATAGCATTCAACCGGTGTACTAACATCCGTACACGATCGACAAACTCGCGTGCACTGCCACAGCGCTCGCCTGTGGTCTCACGCAACTGGGCGAACAGCTCGCAGAACGTGGCGAGTTCCATCCGCCGATACCGTTCTTCAAGTTCATTCCAGAGGTCGCGAGATGTTTCGAGTCCCGCGACATGAATGCTGATGTGGGGGGACAAGTAACGGAAGATAGTATGGTAGGCCTCGGCTTCGCGGCGCGACCATTCACGGTGGCGCTCGAACGCCTGGACCTCCACTTCGAGGCGCGCGTCGATGGCGCGCTGCCTCACCGCCCCGCTGAGGTGGGGCTCCACCAAGGGGTGGATGTCCGCCGTAATAGGTTTGGCGTACTTGAACAGGCAGTCAGGACGCTGGAGGTCGCCCGACACCACGTCCCAGACCTGTCTCGCTTTGAGGTAGGAGGTCATGAGACGTTTCCAGGTAGCGAAGTTGTCGCTTCCTGTCAGAGGCTCGATGGCCGTGACGGCTCGGTCTGGGGAGTCATGGACCAGAGCCGACATGATGATAAGTTGATGAGTTGAAAGCGGGGTAGATATATAATCAAGATGGATAGATAAGATGTTTCTCAGATGAGTAGAGACGGCACCCGAGAGATTGCTCCCGGGCTCATAACCTGTTGTTAATCAAAGGAAGATTGATTGTTATATTTGAGAAGGAAACATAGGACTATATATACATCAAGAAGAACAAGTTGATTTCCAATCAACTTGATTCTTCGTATAGATACATCGGGATTAATTCCAATGGTGCGGCTCTGTTCCTGATCTGCACCAACCTGAAATCACAACAACTTCAAACCCCCGCTTACATAACGGCGTTAAATTCTGACCTTATTGATTAGGGCTAGTTTGCTATGGCAGGAGAAGTGCTAGCTGTTCTCATTATTGTGAAAGAGACTGCTGATACTGTCACTAGCGTTGCGACCGCTATAAAGTCAGTGAAAGATTTATACGATAGCTTCCAGGGGCGAGACGACAAAAGCAATGACCTCGATATATTCGTCACGAAAGTTAAAGAAATTGTGCAAACAGAAATTCAGGATGCAGAGCTGCAAAATTATTTGGGTGCTGTTTCCTCCGCATGCACAACCTGGTACAGGGCCTCTGGAAAGATAAAAGCTATATCCACAATGCCTACCAACACAGAGACAGAGATACGAGCAAGAAATGACGAGTTTCGAGCTATCTCGGAGGATCTTAGAGACGGACTTCGCGAACTGGGAGAAGCCATTCATTACTTCAAGAGCAGCCGGCCGAAACCACAGACACTATACATGCTAGGTCTCTATCCTACCGCTTTCACCATGCGTAACGCAATGAGCTTCACAGACAACGCAATATTCTCTATCACGTCAGGTGTTATTGATAAAGACTACCTCCGGAGGAGCGTTAGCGAGGTAGAAGAAACAAAAGACTTTAATCGCAGCGCATGCGAGAATTATCGAGCTCATCGTGCGAGCCAGCTCAAAATGGCAAGAATCTGGGAGATAGAATTTATACCGCCTCGTGCCGTTGGCTGGGAAGTTTCGTCAGATTCGGGTGGAGATTCTCTAATTCCGAATCTCACGGATAAGGGGTTCCCACTTAATGGAAAGTTCAGAGAACCTGCAGGAGTCATTAAGTTCTACTGGGAAAAGTCCGAATTTGGCCGTGAGTCAGTGCCTTACTCGGTCCCATCCTTACTCGCACAGTTTGACTCCATCATTAAGGCAGGGGAATTGAAGCTTCAGCTGCATCAACAACGGAATTAGGGCAGTCAAACTTCATCTTTGATATTGCTGTTAGCCAAATTCGGGTTTGTACCCTGAAACGAAATAAGTGAGAGGAAGGGATCGCCTTCGTGCCCAGGGACTACCCTTGTTCTCAAAAAGCTTTGTTTCTATTAGCTAAATTCTGCTGCTTAATCGCCAGCTTTTTCGCCCCGTTCTCTCATTTGCTGTCATGTCACTTCTCTCCACGCTCTCTTCTGATTGCTGCTTGAAATATTGCTATCTTAGGCTTGTTGCTGGCGCTTTTTGCAGTCATTCACTGGCCATTTCCTCACCTACTCTGTACTTGTCTGATGCAGCTGCTCCCTGTGCCTTTTTTTTTTCGCTATTCCTTCTCGTTTATTGTCTACATCGTTTTGCTACGCACTTTTATGATGTCGTCTTCTGATTGGTTGCGTTTCTGTCCGACTTGTGTTCAACTACACCGCCGCTACTTGTCCGCGTTCTGGTGCGGATGCCCTTCCTGTCTTTTCCCTCCAAAGTTAAAACCCCAGGGACCCCGCGCCTCTCTTTGTTTATCCTGCTGCTATACCCTTAAAGTTTCTGCGTTCATTCATTATGATGAGAGATATGATGGCACGGACCAAACAGCCCAGCTGAGCTGCCAAGATGCCTGTTTTAGGCAGTAGTTCTCGACCGGTCGCCATCTTGAAAGTCAAGTCTACAGGACTCCCAAAAACATGGATATGGTTGAAGCCGCAGCGTCCAAGACTTGTATACCCCAACGCGTTATTGGCCGCAAGAAAGGCGAGGCTGACTTAGATGTCGCCTTTGGTTCAAAGCTGATGTAGCCAGGTTCCAGCGACTTATCTTCCTACTCGATTGGTTCTTCTATTTTTCTTGGAGCCGCATTGTTGTGTCTTCCGTCTCATACGCGGATTGAGAATTTAAAATACTGGTGATTGGAATCCGCTGCAGGGAGTTAATAGGATCCAGTGAGCTACTCCATCAAAGAATGGCCTATATACATAGAGACGAGTAAGATCACCCTATGATGAAGTCCTCTTAAATAATCAGCCACGGGTTTCCGCTTAACGATCTTGCATAATTTGTCCGTCCGTACCTTTCTGTTCCCTGAGCTGAGACTCAAGGCGATTGACACTATCTGCACGGGAAATATTTCCGCCGACCCTTGTCTGGTTGCCAAGAATTTTAGTAGTGGCAGACATTAGGCACTTAGAAATGGAAGAAAAAGGGTGGGCAGCATTAAAAAAGAGGCTGTTCCCCTCAGTTGCTGGCGCGGCACAGAAGCCTTCTTTACATTGCTTTGAGTTTTTCTATAAGCTATTTAGCCATTTATATGGATAGCTCTGCTGTCTGTATAATTTTTGGCAAAACTGGGCCAGGACTAAGGCGACCCGATAAAGCGGGAATGAACGATTACCGGTTACGTTATCAGCACTGGCGATAAGGTTAAAGCCGACGTGCCCCTAACGACACGCCATTCAAAGTCGTGATGAAGGGGTATTCAGACGGCATGCAAGATGAACAACCAGATCAATTCCAATTTCCCAGTAACCCCTAAACAATCAATATCCACTCGATGGAAAGATGAAGCTATCAAGAGGATGTCGTGCGACACGTGTCGGAACCGAAAGATCAAGTGCGACAAAAGCGACCCGTGCAACCAATGCACCTCATCATTTAATGGTACCTTTTCTAGCCTACCTCTTGGATGTTAATGATGCGAAAATGCTGATTGTACAGATTGTACATACTCCGAACCCGCCCGGAAGAAACGGAAAACAGCCTCTTCCGAAAGGATCGCCTTTCTCGAGAGCAAGATAAAGGAAATGGAGGGATCCACTACGTTACCCGTTGCGCCGTCCCTTCCTCAAGGACTACAAAGCTTAAATGATGACTCCCAAAAAGAGATATCTCGAAGTCAAGAAACCCAGCAGCCTTCATTAGTACCCCAGGGTCTGCCTATCGCGGCCGATCCCTATGCCAGGCTATATCACTCCGTCAACAAGGGTGACATAGAGTTCCAGGGCTTTTCATCTGACCGAACATTCATCCTAGGAATCAAAAGACAATTGGGATTCTGGGAAGACGATATGGAGCAAAAAAGACTACTGAATACTTCGGTGCTAAGTCTTTTCGATACCTCAAGTGGAATACCTCCCGTGGATGCCAGTCTCCCATCCAGAACCATGGCAACGAGACTAGTCGAGGCAGCGCTCAATGGTCAAATAATTTTTTCGATTGTTCACCGTCCCTCTTTCAACTCATTATTTAACCTGGTATACTCCCTTGAGGAATCTGACTATAGCACACACGAACGCCGTTTTCTACCACTTCTTTATGCTGTCATGGCCTTCGGCAGCCTTTTTGCTGATCTGGCGGAACTTGATGAAGAAAAAGATATGCTTTCTCTCGGGTATCTATGCTCGACAATCTACAGTCTCTTACTGTCATCGGCTTATATTATATTAGATATCAGTATTACGAAAAGAGCAAACGACTACAGGATATTGCAGATTGCAAGGACTTGATCTCACTACAAGCCATTTTCTTCAAAATCTCATTTCTCCTTGTCACATCTCGAGTCTTCACCTGCTATACCTACACCAGTACGGCACTATCTATTGCACTACGGATGGGGCTTCATCGTTCATTCCCAAACCCACCAGACTTGATATCCTGCGAAATAGGAAAGCGCCTATTTTGGGCATTATGGACCCTGGGAAATGATGTTGCAGTCACCTGCGGCTTGCCAATGATTTTTGATCGGAGTTCGATAGACCAGGATTTACCGATTGAGGTCAGTGACATTTATATCGAACAACAGCACATTGGTCAACAACCACAGAATGATGTTTGCTATATCGTTGCTTCAAACATGTACCGACGTTTGCATATCATCATTCAAGATGTTACCAGCCAGATTTATGCCGATAAACGTTTTAATAAAGTCCAGACAGGGGGTGGCATGAGCTATTCTATTAGCATGGAGACTTTAAAGAACATAGAAAACAATCTTACAGCCTGGGTCCTAGATCTACCCGCCCATTTCACGCTGGGAAAGCATTTTGAGGATTCTCAAGCTACAATGTATGACCCCCTGGCCACTTGTAACGGGAGATACTAATTATATAGGGCTCAATTCACCTTGGCAATTTTATATTGCCATGCCCAGTCATACTTATATCGACCTTTCCTGCAACACTTTATGAAATTTCCCGGCCAAAACGGCGTGTCGCAACATTCAGACGCATCATGGCTAGCCACAATATGCGTTCAAGCTTGCGAGAACATCATCATGCTATGTGAGGACATGTACAGAAGGGGGCTGTTGAAGGGGGGCAACTGGCTAGTTTCCCGTGCATTGCTCAGCTGTATTCACACGCTATTTTACGTCGTTCTTACATCAAGCACAACCCGTCCGTACAGATCCATCTCAAGGTGCTTGGCGTTGGGAAGGAAAGTATCAGATCGAATTGCAAAACGAAATGTTTCGGCGCACCGATGGAAGGTCATGATGACGGTATGGTAATGAGACAATATTCTTCTGGGTTTGGTTCTCGCTAATTCGCCTAAGGTCATGATTGCAACTTTGCCTAGTAGTGTTCGGCATATTCAAGAACGATTACTTGAGTTGGAAACTAAACTCCCAGCTTTGGCTACGTATGAAGCTGAAGGAAAACAGCCAGACAACTCTTACACTTTACCCTTGGCGCAACAAGCATTTAATCGTCTCGGGAGTGACAGTTCCATTAGTGACAAATTACGATGGTTGGCGCCTCATCTTCTCGAGGCTCTTGGCCATGGTTCTTCCGAGAATCAGGGATCACTATCACCATCCTGGAGAATGATTCCTCGGCCTCAGCCCGTTCCAAATGACAATCATGAGTCACCAATCAGTACTCTGCGATTGGATGGCATTGAAGACTACTTATTCGACGGCCATGGTGACTCTGATCTGAACCCCGAATCTTTTGAAATGTCTGGCATGACCGGCGATATGGGACTTGGAAACATAGACGACTTCCTCGACCTCCAGAATTGGCTATAGCTATGATCGAAATCCATCGGATTCATAATATAGGCTATCAAACAATACAACAACAATAAGCTATCAATCTCGGTGCTCGGCACCAATCTCGAATGCATCGGAGCCGTTGGTTCTACGCTAGCCCGAAATGGGATATCTTCAATGTCCGGAATTCCATAATTTGGGCAGTGATCGGCATTCCGCCTTCAATGCGCCAATCATATCATAAGCTTTGTGCCTTTTATGGAAATACGCTAACCGAAATAACGGACTGAGGGATCTATGTCTCCGAGTCAGCACTGTTAGATGAATCCCAAGCTAGATATTTTTGAACATCAAAAACATTATATATGAGATCGCCCAACTTCGAAATTAGAACCAGTTTAACTCCAAGCACTGCAAAATATTAAATTATTTTCACGGCCACTGTATCCCAAAATGGGTCAAGACAATGAAGAAGTGAGTGGAGATGATTTGATTATCAAGCCTCGTCGTGCTGAATGTTTTTTTAGGACTTGATGAATCTACCAAAAGGTGTTGTTGGATGGGAAAATGATAAAGATCCTCAAAACCCAAGGTTAGCTGGCCCTTGCGCACTCCATATTAAACGAGCATGAAGCTAAATCTAAGTCTCAGAAACTATGCGCCCTCACGCAAATGGTTTCTTCTATTCCTTGTTAGCATTGTGACACTAATCAGGTACAACCCCTAGAGTCATTTTTAGTAAATGTAATTTGTTCTGAATTACTACTGACATCCCGTTAGTCCATTTGCTTCATCCGTTTTCTCGCCTGCCGCATCATACGCCGCAACGGAGTTCCATGAGACTTCCTCAATATTAAGTACTTTGACAGTAACAAGTTACTTGTTTGGTTATGCAGTCAGTTCATCGTTCCTCCTGGAAAAATTATTGCTGATTTAGTAAAGACGGGACCCCTCGTGTTATCACCCCTGAGCGAGTTATACGGGCGCCAAATCGTACTCAATGTTGCGACGACATTCTTCGTTTTATTTCAAATTGGCTGTGCACTTGCACCAAATACATCTGCTCTGATAGTCTTCCGTGCTTTAACTGGCATGGGTGGGTCCGCTTGTTTGACCACCGGCAGTGGTGTTGTAGCAGATATGTTCGCCCCGGAGCAACGAGGACTTGCAATGTCATTCTACAGCTTCGGTCCACTATTCGGACCTGTTCTTGGACCTGTATGCGGTGGCTTTATTGCAGAGAATGCCGGATGGCGGTGGGTGAGTGCCACTTTCTTGACCTAATCGAGTGGTTACTAATTGCGATAGGTTTTCTGGATACTTGTAATTGCAGCCGGGACTATGACAACATTTGTTGTTGTTTTCAATCGGGAGACAAATCATTCCGTCTTGATTGAACGAAAGACAAAGCGGTTGCGAGTAGAGCTTGCTCGACCTGAACTTCGAAGCTGCTATGAGAAGGCAGCGGATGAGAACTCCAGCAAACTTGGTACTTTCGTTTACAGAATGACAACTCCAATGCGTCTGCTGTTCCGATCGGGAATCGTTGCAATAATCGCGACGTATATAGCCATGGTATACGGTTGTCTTTATCTCCTCTTCACAACAGTCACCGACGTGTTCCAGAATACATATCATTGGGGAATCGGTATCAGTGGGTTGTCATACCTGGGAATGGGAACGGGCTTCGTCATCGGTCAAATCATATTTGGACTTGTCAGTGATAAAATCATTGTGCGACTCACAAAACGCAACAACGGGGTTTTCGAACCGGAAATGCGTCTTCCTCTCTGCATTGTGTATTCAGCCTTTATCCCCATTTCATTTTTCTGGTACGGATGGTCGGTGAACGCTCCTACCCACTGGATTGTGCCTATCATTGGTCTTTTTCCATTCGGATTTGGCATGGTCGGGATCTTTGCTACATTGCAGACTTACGTGATTGATTCATATCCTCGTTATGCGGCCTCGGGAGTTGCGGCAATAACTGTGACGCGGTCGTTGTTTGGGGCCTTGTTACCTCTGGCAGGGCCTTATATGTATAAAGCCCTTGGATACGGTTGGGGTAATTCTCTTCTGGGATTTTTGACTCTTGCAATGTTTCCTATGCCGTTCATATTCCGACGATATGGCCGGATGTTGCGGGAGAGAAATTTGGCTATCTTTAAATAAAGTCGACTGGCCGTGAAAGTGTTATCATGAAACAGCATTTTTGATATCGAGCTAGGGATCTGGAATCTAGCATATTAGTCGTGATTTATTACATCAATATGATGTCAACTTAGATAATTTGAAGTTTCCTATAGTACATATAAAGCAAGTAATCAGGAATACAAATTTGGGAGACTGGACTGGAGGCACCATACAAAATTGTAGAGAGATAATAGGCGAGAAATTCAAGTTCAGCTTTGAAACTGAGTGCAAACTGGATACTTTTGGATTGTAACAATGCATTTTAGCCTTAAGCATCATAAGCTCGATCCCGTAGTCAACAACTTCTTTGAATTTCGGGGATAGAGCTGCCAGCCCTTTGGTTGCCATTGTCAGTTGGGAATATGTGAGGCTCACTGATCGGGGGGAATCAGTAAGTCGCATTGCTCGCGACTCAGATAATCTCTAAGGACCCTAGATTGAGTTGGATAACCCCACTAAGCGAAAAAGCCTGCTCGGGTGCTTTGTTGTTGTTGGTGGATATTCTGGATTTGTTGCTACAAATTGGAAGCGATCTGTAGAAAATCCTGGGTAGAGGTGTTTCATGCAAATCGTAACGATTAGTAGTGGTGTTGTTTGATGCCTACTTATGAATTATAATTTCCCTTCGTGGCTGTCAATTGCCGCTATACATAAGCCCAACTACTTCAGGAAATGTTGGCAGCAAAGTCTCCGCTTCAACTCCCAGGAGAGAAGCTTACTCCGCAATGCCCAGCAACCTGATAGTTCAGCAGGGAATGGAAATTTTGATCGGGTGTTAATGTGGGGTATTTGAAAGCTGGGTCATGGGTGAGATGACTTGAGTTTTATTTCTGGCTATTTTGTGTTTTTCATTGTGGAATCATCGAAGATTTTGCGGGCGCATCTCCTGGTATAACCAGTAGCTATAGGAAAACAGATTACTGCAACATTCTTTCCGCACAAGGAACTGTTCATCGGTACAAAAGCCTCCGTTTAAGTACTGCGCAGTCAACCTTGGTGCGGCGATATCATTCCCCTCTTCTCACAAAATCAATTTAACCTCTTGATATGTCTCAATATGGGGCTGGCCAAAATGAGATTGGTCATCACTCTGAGAATCAATCATATACTGCCTCGAGTGTCTCTCCAAGGCCTGCTTTGGAGACCTGGAACTACCCAAAGTCCAACATAATCAAAGTATTCGCCACGTTTTGGAGCTTTGTCATGATGGGAGCAAATGATTCCGCCTACGGAGTACGTTAATCTCAGATAATCGATGCGAATAGATCCCCTGCTGACATGTTATCATAACTGTCACAGCCACTTCTCCCTTATGTATGCTCTTCTTCCTTCCAAAATCTATAATCTTCACCAACTAATATTTCAGATCGAATCGCATTACAACCTGACCTATCTGGTCGTGTCGCTTGTATTTCTCTCGCCATTGGCTGGCTATGCCCTCGCTGCGGTATTTGCCAATCGGTTACTAGTAAAGTTCGGCCAGCGTGGAATGGCGATAATTTCTCCAGGCTGTCACCTCATTGCATATATCATCAATTGCGTTCAACCGCCATACCCTGTGCTAGTCGTGTCTTTTATATTTGCTGGTCTAGGAAATGGTCTAGCAGACTCCGCTTGGAATGCTTGGATAGGTGACATGAAGAATTCAAGTCAGATCCTGGGCGTACTTCATGGATTCTATGGCATCGGTGCGGTTCTGAGCCCTTTGATTGCGTCGTTTATGATCGCTGATTCCGGCCTTCCTTGGAACTATTTTTACTATATAATGGTTAGTACCAGGGCGGGGTGACAAACTTTCAAATTGCATAATCATGTATTGACTATATCGGTTCAATCAGGTTGGCGGTGCAGCGATCGAGGTATATTGGTGTATGTTTGCATTCTGGGAAGCAAGAGGACAGAAGTCGGGCACTCCGGATGAGCTGGAAAACGTTAATGAGAAAATTCCTGGGTTGCGAGAAGTACTCTTCAAGAAACCCTCTGCCAGAATTACATGGATCGGCGCAGTTTTTCTCCTGGGATATATGGGATTAGAGGTTGCTTTGAGTGGCTGGATAGTGACTTTCATGAGAGAGATCAGGCATGGCGAGTCATTTTCTAGTAGTATGACATCGACAGGCTTTTGGCTGGGTATTACATTTGGCAGAGTTGTTCTTGGCTTTGTGTCGCCTTTGATTGGTGAACAGCTTTCAATCACGGTATGTGCGACCGAAGATCAAATCACGTAACGTTGATTTACTAATAAAATTGCATCACAAAGATTTACCTTTTGCTGGAGATCATTTTCTGTCTGATCATTTATCTTGTCCCTGATTTTTATGCCGGGGCCGTAGCCGTTTCATTGCAGGGATTCTTTCTGGGGCCGATGTTTCCAGCCGTCGTTGTCGTCGCCACCAAGCTTCTGCCAACCAGGCTTCATGTCACTTCTATTGCCTTCATGGCTGCATTTGGCGGAGGCGGAGCGGCTGTCTTACCATTTGCTGTAGGTGCTATTGCTCAAGCAAAGGGCGTGGAAGTCCTTTTACCTTTCGTCCTAGCTCTTTCCGGCGCCCTTATCTTGCTTTGGCAAGGCATACCACGGATCCCTAGGCCGCAACGCGAACATTCCGAGACCGATAGTCGGATAAAAAATCCAGAAACCAATGCGTCATCCATCTTGCCGAGAATAGGTGGAGTCGCAGACATCGAGACTGGACATGAGAAATAAAGTCCATATGGTCATTGAGGCAGAAAATATATGATACACTAACAGATACAGCGTCTCGAATATGGTGAATATAATGACAGCTTCTATTTACTAAGCCCCTACTACCTCCAATAAGTTATTTACGTCAAATATTCTTCTTTTCATTTCCTGAACTCTCAGGACGAAACTATCGGTTCAAGCTATATAATAAGGTAGTCATTCTGGACACCATTTGCCGTGGTATCTGTCTACAGAAAGTTAAACAATGTTGAAACAAATATTTGGGTAGACTTACAAAAGAGGTCCATAAAATATTTCTACGATCGCGCCTTGGCTGATTTCCTCGGGCCTCCCAAACTTGTTGTAGTAAACTTTTCGGTAGATCGTTACTGAAACCCGCAATGGACTTGATATTATCAAGTATCAACAAGATATAATGGCGCGAGTGCAGGGATAGAGTGTCAGTACCAGCAATGAATAGAGGCATGATGACCAATTCTACCAATGAGTATGGAATCTCCGATACTGCGTCCAGAACACCTGCCACTGATTTCTGAATAAACGATGCATCGGCTGGCTGCTCCGGTGACAGGATCCTGGATGTGTATAGTAATAATGAATGTCGAAAGCTTTCCCCAACCGCATCCCACTTAGGCTCTTCATCTGGGAAATTCCAATCTGTAAGGTGCCATGAATTGATGCGCAAATGCACATCCATCACGAGCTTTTTATATTTTAGATCATCAAGTTCCCCAGTGCCGTGAAGTTTGGTATATTCTAAAGCATCGCCGACCATGAGAAACAAGTCTCTCGGGCATCCATTCACCTGTTCAAACTTTGGCGTACTGAGAGAAATGATCGTTCGGCGTAAATCCGAGGAAAAGGAAATTCGTTTTGGGTCAGAAAGTGATCGTATAACATCAAGCCTAAACCGACAAATGAGCTTCAATGTTTCGATGGGAGGAATCACAGTAGTCACCATGCTAGATTTCCCAGGAAAAATATGGCTCGTTCATCTTTGGACGTTAAAGTTTCGGATAGTTGTAACTGATCGCAGATGGACATGGCACCAGTGATATGGGCACCATGCGTTGAAATGCCTGACTCACATATCTGGATCGAGAATTAGCAAGACCGCTTTTAGTCAAGAGCGCTGACTCAGGGTAGGGAAGAAATCCAAGGTAAACGCAAAGAGACCAACATCGTGTAGAAGAAGAAGCTGAATTGTAGCAAATAGCCCATCTCTCTCATCTTCATGGGACTGTGATGATATGATCTTCTGAATCGTCTGTATTAACGAGCCGATACACTTAAGGCGATATTCATCAGCCACCTCTAGGAGTTCCCCCTCTCCGTTCGTCAGGGCCATATGACAGGCTGAAAGCCCAAGCAAGGCATAAAGTAGGCCAAGTTGTTCATACGCCAATGGTAGAATATATGATCGATATGGATTATTTGTTTCTGTCCCAGACAGCATGATTTGATGCGGGCATATCACATTGTCATCTAGATGTTCAATGCGGGTTTAGTAACAATTGGGACAACAAGGACAGCGCTGTATGTTATGACATACAGTATGTTAAAATTCTCTGCGTTCGCTCCAACATGAGCAGCTCGTTTAGTTCGAGGACATCGTTTTGTTGGCCAGACACGGGGCTGCTATTGGTAGATGAGGACCCATTTTGAGTTCCTCTTTCCCTAGGCACAGGATCTTGCTCATCCATATGAGGACTGAACCCTTCCCAGGAGCTCTCATCGAATCCTTCCCAGTAATGGGTATCCTTGGCGGCCTCTGGTTCAAAGTTAATGACATGATTAAAGTGTGTTGATTCATGATTGCGATTATTTTGCTTGACGGGGGCCGAGACACTCTGAAACCTAAACTTGTTAGGATACATGCAACCTAGCCCTTTAGTTGCACATCGCCCGCAGGTGGGCTTTCCGCGGTCACAGCGCCGGCATTTTTCACGACACGTTAGACATGCCGGATCTGTCATGAAACGTTAGCCGATGTTGAGACGGGGCGAGTGTGTTTAACCAACCGCCTCTCGGCATTGTGTACCGCTATCACTGTACGGATTCTATATGCTGGTATGGACTGTCCCGAGCTGGCGCGTGATGTGTAAGACTTGCGTTTGAGAAAACACTAGAGAAGATCGCTGAGCGACGTGGAGCTGGTCGGGGTTACAGCGGCTGCAAATGTGGAGAAACTTCGGCAGAATGCGGGGTAGGAACATCTCCAAGGTTTTATCAAGAAGTGACAGCATTTCTGGATTCTCGGGAGGCTCTGTGAAGATGAACTCACTGAATATGATGTGAATGCCTTACCAGTGGACGGACCAGGGATGGAATGCGCTGAGACCTGCCTAATCTGGTATACGGAACCGCACATACCAAGGGATTTTATTGGCGAGCCGTGCATACGACGATAGCCAACGCGCATTTTGATTGGGATAGTGAAAATATGCCCCACTTTAGAGCATTGATGGCGGAGATTAGGCGAATAAGTCATTCAAGAGACTAGGGGATTTTTTGTTTCGGCTCTTAACGAAGCAAGACTTAGATTGGCATGGATTTGGAACCTGTAATGAAGCTTGATTTTTACAATCAGTGCCCATCCATAGATGTTGATTTTGATAGGTTGCTTTCCTGAGATTGGGACCGTTTTACATCGGCCCGAATTCTTGAAGCATTTTCCGACTGATGTACTAAACTCGAGTGATCTTCTCGGTAGCAATGTCATTTAGAATATAGATAGCTCTCAGAGCACCTTCAAATGCCCAAATCAATTAAATAGATCAGATATCATCATGTCTAAGCGTTGAGTCCGATTTCATAACACAACTAATAAATGTAAACACAAATCTGACTCATTCCTAGATAGCGCAAAATCACCTAAAGCGATGATGTGATTGCTTGCTCTTGGCCACCTTGATTCATCATTTCCCAGTCAATGTGTGGGCCTTCAAACGAGGCTCTACCAGAGAAAATCCAAATAATGTTAATGATAACGAATATTCCCACCAAAATAACAGGGGTATAATTCATGGAAGTCAGGGAGACAGGAAGATTGGGGGGCATGCAAATCAAAACTCCCAGAATAACAATCCATGAGGCTGAAAAAACATTGCAGAACAACCCGAACCAGCCAAGATCGAGAGGTCGAGCGGGCAGAATATTTCGACCGCGAACCAAAAGAACACATTGAGGTACCGAATAGGAGATATTGAGGAAAAGAACAGCCGATGTAATGATGGAATTGAACGCTGTGGTTGATGCGAGGTAGAGCAGTCCGTAAATGCAAGTAAACACAAATGCGGCTATTGTCGCGTGGAGTGGGAATTGTAGTTCAGGATGGATATGAGAGAAGAAGCTCGAAAACGGTACTCCGTTCTAAATCAGATGGTCAGTATCTAACTTAAAATAACTGCAAGGGCATGAGAATATCCGACTTACATCTCGGGCAAACGCCCATGCAATTCTTCCGGCCGTTAGCCATTGGGAAGGTAGACAGCCTGTGTTATTTATTGATTAGCTTGCGGTCTCGTATGTGGTTCATATGGCCACTTACAAGTGTATATCACGAAAAGCAGAATAAAATAACCAAGCGTTACACTGCGACTACCAGTTCTGTGAACATAAGATACGCCAGCTGTCAACTTCTATATTTCTTCCGTCGTGTCTTGGATAGCAACTCACACTTGATAGATTAGTTCAAGGCTGGGAAGTGCGGCCGAACGCACTGCATCCATGTCGATTTGAAAGAGCATGAGAACGGTAAGAAGTGAAAAGGCAGTGAATAGTCCAATGGACATCGTCAACATAATAACCCGAGGAATATTCTTTCCGGGTCTTGGCATCTCCTCAGAGATATGTATAACTTCGCGGAGAGTTGTGTTACTAGTAGTATCCTTCAATAAAAGTAGGGTTTCTTCAAAAGGGAACATACCTCCGTCAATCCCACCATAGGCGTACATTGCGTTGCTGATACTAAGCAACCATGCTGTACCATCATTCCAGCCGCTGTTTCCCAGTCCAGGCTGTGTCAAGAAGGAGGTCGGCATTCGACTCTTGTGCATAACAAGAGCGATAATAAACAATATCAAATACCCAGCAAGTGATAGATATAGAGATGCCTGCGATAAAGCATACATCTTTGTTGAGAAAAAAACCGGAATCACTAAATAAAATGCCCTTGTCAAAATTCGAAGATTTAGGGAGGACATTTGATCCACTTACTGGTCACGAAAGAGACAGCCACGTAGATGCAATATGTCTGCCACTGATTTCCTGCATAATCTGGGTAGCAGAATAGGACGATTCCGTTGAGGACCTGCGCCGCAAGCGACACACCAGAGCATCTGACAATAGATTAGCGATATTAAATATAAGAGTCATTTGTCATACGTCACAATCCACCAAGCAAGCATTGATATCCAGCCGACAACATAAGCACTGTAGTTTCTTGCCTTTGCAGGGCTAAGGATATAGCAAAAATGATACTGTCCCCCACTGGACTATTCATTTGTCAGTAATAGTTCTGGATTTTATCTCCCTAATTCTCAATCTCTCACCGGATATGCCGAGGCTAGCTCCGCCAGTCCAACAGCTACGAATAATTGGGCGAAAAACGCGACTAGTAGGCTGAAAACACACGTCTGCGGACCGCCGTATCTTAATCCTTGCCCGAAACAGCTCTACAACAAATATCAGAATAATATTTCCCTTTCATCTTCCGGGTGCTGTAAACTTACCAAATACCCAATCCAAGAATTGGTGATGGAAAACCCAAGGCCAAGAGCGGATATCCAATTGAACTGGCGGGGCATAGCAGCTTCATGGCCATTTGCCCGAAGGATAGCGTCGTCTTCATCCTCTTTGTTAAGTGTGCATACATGCTCCACGATACCTGGTCCTATACTGGATCTGTCGGGGGGCATCACGTCTTGCTTTGTGGCTTTTGCGGAAGACTGAGTCATCTTCGGTCATAAAAAAGGGAGGTGTTGTCAACAAGCAATATAAACGAGTTATTCCTGATGCGAAAGATTATTTGAACGCGGAATAAGTCTCAAATTTATAATTCGGCATTTTTGAAACATGAAGTGGCTGCTTGGAATGCTATCAAGTTCTCATTTATGTCGATTGGCCAAAAAGAGATCCGGTACCACTTCCGGGGAAGGGAGCGTTCCACAGTACCCCGCAACGTAGAATTGGAGCCGATAAGGCATAAAGTATAAAGCAAGCAGTTTCCGTAAATTAACTATCCCGAATGTAGAAATGAACCCAACATGAAACCACCATTGATCATGACGTACTTGTTTTTATCGTTTTAAAGTCCGGAATTTTGAGATTGTCAAAGTTGCTTCCAAACCTTTTAGATAGAAGTGCGATGATTATCTCTACTAATTCTCCTCGGGTTGAAAAGAGCGAGCGGATTGGGAATATTACTACACTGGGAGACTCCCTGATAAAGAAGCCGTAAATAACTATATCTCCATTCAGTAAATTATTGGCATACCTGTAGACGCAATAGCTGTTTAAGGGATTAAGAGATATTGAGACGAACTTGTGGAATATTCAAACCCCTTAGAGGAGGAAGACATTCTTGGAATATTTTATATGCTTTGGACCGTAGTAAGTGGCATGCACAGTGCCAGCGAGTCGAAGTAATGCTAGGTCCAGGTACTAACCCATTTTGTTCCAAGATTCGCAATGCATATCCATGAAGGGTGTCAACCTTCTGATCCTGGCGAACGCATAGTCGAAATCATTGCTTTATGCAGACCCTTGCATGCTAGGCAAAAGACATGAATGGCCTTGGCAGTGAAACGCATATAAAGCATGGCCAGAATCTAGATAGCCTATGAGATAGTGAATAGAAAAACTCAACCACTTTCAATGGGAACTCCTGAGGCTCAAAAATACCTTGGAATAATAATGGGGGCTTCTAATTTGATCAAGATCGTTTTCCCAACGTCCCATTCTTCGCCTTCCTAAAATCACCTTGCATCTTCCCCGACCCTGGCACTTTTGTATCAGCATGCAGTATCACCGCTTTGGGTTAGTGTAACCACATAAGGTGAACTTTCCGCCACTAATACACATATAGCTTAGGGGATTGTGCAGTATATCGAATTAACCAGAGTTAATTACCTTCTCTCATTTCTTTTGAATGCCATCTGCCCCGAGAAAAAAGATTTCAAGCTTTTCTGTGAATACAAAATTGAAAGGGCAAAGAATAAAGTCCAGATCCCAACTGTCTTGATCATCTTCCCCAACTCCGGTTGATCGGATTCCACCCAACTTCTTCACATGGTGAGACTATGCCAACGGTAGAAGAGACAAATGCATTCGCGGCACCTGGCATTGAGAAGTCTGATGCAGAAGAAAATCATAATGACAGGGAGGACCTCACCCACATATTCCCCATCAGTCTGCAGACCAGTGGTTCAGCAAGTGAAGATGAACGGCCCAGCCCCGGAGATGTCGACCATCTAAGCGACCGGAATTTTTCCTTTGCAAGTAAATCTTCGGCGATCACAACGGGACTCAATCGAAATCTTCAACGAATTCGAGCGTAAGTACGCCATTGGAATGGAGTTACCACATACTAAAGCTCATAACTTGGTTCTATAGATTACTGCAAACTTCGGTCGGACAGGACTCCGTGCTAGCCAGCGTAGAATATCTCGCACATGCCTTACACTACTTTATCCTATCTCGATACTGGGTTAGGCTCCGCCAAACTGTTACATACCTCCTGTGCCATCGAAAAGGCCGCGACCTACAAATGATCGCCAGTCGCCCTACACAAAGCTTTGTACAAAAATCTCAAGCTCTTCTCAAGCTCTCTTCACTCTTTAGTGATGCTCGCTTTACACTGAGATCATTGGGAATTTTTTCTATTTGGGCAAATATACCCGAAATCTTTCGACCCCCAGTGAAGGATCGTGTTATTCTCAGTATCGATATCATGCAAGTTTTTACCATCACAGCTTACCATTTTCTGGAAAATATCGGTCATCTCGCGTCTAATCGTGTTCTGTCACAACGGATTGTTGGACCAAAGAAGAATATACCAAAATTCTATATCTGGAGTGCACGAGCATTGTGTCTTCATTTTGTACTTGAGCTAGTGAAGTTGACCAAAGAGGCCTGTTATAATGGAAATTCTGCTCAGAATGAAATTCTTGCTAGTGAGGACAATACAAAACCGGAGGATGACGATGACGACGCAGACAGCCTACAATGGGAGAAACGGTTATGGTCAACTTCGATCTGGGGAGTACTATGTCTATATTGGAGCTCTGGGAAGACGATTCCGATTGTGGAGGAGAGTTCTGGTGGTCTCAGCTTTTTAGCCGATTTTTTCACCCTACGAGATGCTTGGGCACATACCGAAAAATAATGGGTTGGTTCAAGTTATAATGTCTTACTTCCACAGAGTTGCAAGTCTACACTCATAGAGAGAAGCAAATTCACAAGATCGCTTTCGAGCAACACGTTTAGGCCGATCCTATCTCATGGGTAAACTCAGATGTTGGATGTGTATTGTCACAAATATCTTGGGTTTCTCTTTTTTCTTTTTTTCTCCAAAAGTTTCCGTATCTTCCGTGCCATAGACATCGGTACCGAATCCCGTATTAATGGAGCTGCGGGTACTCGAGGGGGATCGGCAATTCTATTCCATTTCAGGAAGGTCGTCCAACACTGCCTAATATAGTCAAATTGCCAACCCCATTGAAACCTACTGGTCCCAGCGAACAGGGACCAATCGCAGGTACAAAATAGGGTGGTGCACAGACCTCATGCATGGAAATGCAGCCTGAAATCTGTAGACTTTCGTTTGACTTTGACGAAATAATAAGTAAAGTGGTGAGAGAACATCGCCTATCTCAACCGCCGGAGTATCATCGCCAGCAAACAAAGTTAACTTTGCTACTTCTTTTCTTTTAATAACCATCTCAAACATTATCAAGTCATACCTTTCAATCACCTTCCACATTTCCTGATATTCAAGGTCACCATGTCAGTTGTCAGATACTTCCAGGCTCCTGGCCCCTTAGGAGAACTATTCGAGGCTGGCGGAACGTCAAACGTTGCCAAAGTCCCTTTGCGCGGGAGTCTTGTTGTAACAGGTGGCCAGCCTGGCTTTGATCTCGAACGAGGAGAGCTCGTTACCAATTCTCTGGAAGAGGAAGCTGATGCGTGCTTCAACTGCGTGGAGGCGGCATTGAAATCCGCCGGTGTTGCTGGAGGACTTTCACAAGCACACAGGTTCACTTGCTTTCTCACTGATATGCGCTACGAGTCTATCGTCATGCAAGCTTGGAGATCTCGAATGCCTGATCATAAGATACCTTGGGTGACTGTTGGCGTTGCTATGCTTGCAATCCCAGCTATGAGAATTGAGATTGCTGCTGAGGCTGTCATCGATGACTAGCTTTTTTCTTGATAAGGGGGCGTCTTCTTTCATAATGAACTTTTGGGGAAGTTTCAAATGTGCCATTTTCATCTCAAAGAAAAGAAATATCTTATTTGTGTATTTATTGTACTATAACTTGAAGACGCTCTCCCTCCAATGTGTAATGTTCGATTGATGCCTTGACACCGGACTATGTGATATAACTCCTGAAGCAAGAAAATTGGAAGTTTACCCACGATGGATTAATCAATTTACGAATGAAGAAAATCTTTGCGCATGGTTTAATTTCCTGAATTTATTCAATATATCAAGAAAATCAGACTAAAAGAGTGAAGCCCGACAGGGATAGGTAGCAAACCCACAACCATCATCATAACAAATATGAGAATTTTGAGTCAAGTCTATCCTTACAAAGAAAAAATTTGGGTTAAATCCAAACACCATTTTTGAATTTATGACAGTTCATTTGGGCTCACTTCAAACCAAAAGGTTTGAATATCTACTATAATCTATCAATTTGCTGAACTAATCGTCATCGGGTGGGCCCAGGATCGAAAGAGGAATTCTTCCCAGCAATGGAACTTTCAATACGTCTAACATATGACTAGTACGTGGTCTACTTATATAGAAAGAGGCCCGGCATATACTAGTAAAATAGTACAATGTTGAATTTATCCACTCCGATCCCATTTATTCCTGCGAGCTTCCTACCATCCTTCAATATGATCGAAATCACAATGACACGAGAAACAAATGGGCTGAGTAGGTCCATGGGTCTACCTTTACCCCCCTACGACCCAGAGATCACTCAAGTAGAAGATACACAACATCGTCCACTACCGAGCAGCTTCGAGGAACTCAAACAACTTCGCTATGAAGAAGAGGATTGCAGTCACGAATTTCTCAATGATCCCGATCTCACAGTACAAAACATTGAGATAAACACGCCAGATACAGCACTTACCGCGATAATTTTATCGCGTCGAGTTCCTATCGATGCGGAACAAACCAGACCAGGAATACTCTTCTTCCATGGCGGAGGCAGAGTTATGGGCAGTGTATTTACGGGTCTAAATAGCCTTACCGAGGCTGTAAAAACCCTCGACGCAGTGGTTATCAGCGTTAATTACCACCTCTCACCTGACTACCCTGGTATTGACGTTGTCGAGGGCTGCTACGCATCCTTAGAATGGCTTTCTCGGCGCCTGGACCTATTCAGAATCAACCCCACGCAGTTTATGATTGCTGGAGTATCAGCTGGTGCTGGTATCGCTGCAGGGACAATGTTGATGTCGAGGGATCGCAATGGTCCTACAGTTTACGCTCAGCTCCTGATGTGTCCGATGCTGGATGATCGCTGTAACACCATGTCGTGTTTGCAATTTGAAAATGGACGTGGGTTTTATACAACTTGGGATCGGTATGCGTGGTCTTGCATCCTTGGATCCCAAGCTGGTAAAGAGGGGGTTAGTCCTTACGTCGCCCCGGCCCGTGCTACGGACCTGTCGGGCCTTCCTCTTGCATATATTGATGCTGGATCTGGGGAGCCATTTCGTGATGAAGATATTGCATATGCTACCAAGCTATGGGAGTGTGGAGTTCAGGCACATCTGCATGTGTGGGGTGGTGGGTGTCATGGTTTTGATCTGTTCTATAAGTGTGAACTTGGTCGCCAGGCTTGTGCTGCGCGTACGAAGTGGTTGATAGAATTCCTCCGTTCTAGAAAATAGGAGGTTCCATGTCATAAGCGGCAAAGGCTACCGCAAAAATACTTTTATTCTCCAAGCTCGTAAAAGCAAAGATAGCAGACCTGCATTTCACTCCTAAGATTCACCAGTTGGCTTCCGTATTACCTCTTCCGTAACCTCGCTAGGAGGTCTTTTGGAGTGATTCATACTACTAGAGGGGTATTTGACTTGCCGATGATATAATAAAGATACTATGTTACGCAATAATCTCGGGCGCTTGACATTTTTTATATGCATACACACAAAGGGGAATGAAAGGATTAAAACGCGTATAATATGAATAGAAGGATTTCTAGTCTCGTTTAAAAAATGTAAGTAAGAACAGAGCTTGAAACAAATCGAGACATGAGATAATGACACAATCTTGATCGACACATAAACCGCATCTTGGCATTCAAGCCAAATCTCAACGATTCAAATATGAGCTGGGCGGGTAGAGCAACATGAGGGATCGTTCTGATGCAGGGAAGATTTATTGTCATTCTGGCTGGACCGTGGCACGTCGTTGGAGGGGTTAATATCGAAAAAGTTGACAGGTTTCAGGGACACCATCATCTTTTCAGTAGGCATAACGGGGAAGTCTAACAGAACTTTGGATTAGCAAAAGCCAAATGTATATCTAGTTTATTGATGAAACATACCCTCAGTTCGCGTGACGTGGGTAACACCAAAGCTGTGCCAGAGAACGACGTCTTCGTTCTTAACATTCTCGGTACGATTGGCCCAATAGGCCAAACCGGTATCCTCCCGACTCTGGTTGGTGAACTCACCCGAAGCCCATAGCTCATGATCTTGGTACTTGGTGACCCAGATGGGGTGGGTGCTAAAAACACCGCGCTTTAGGTTAAAGGTTTTGGGCCCCATCATCAACATTTGGCTAGGAACAGGATGTAATTTGTATCCGATAGGCTTGTTGGCAATAGAGTTTATCTTAGACTCGTTCACCATCTTGAATGTGCGGTTCTTGGTCAAGTCAAGATCGTAGCCGCCAGGCTGTTGGATTGGCGTCTGATGGACCTGGAAAGCACATCCGAAAGGATCAAGCTTCGGGTTGTTTCTCACAGGAATGCAATCGTCATAAACGACAGTATTATTACGTCCGTCTAGCGCAGGATTGACTCGAAGACAGAAAAGGTGCTGATGATTGACAGCAAGAACACCAGGTGCTACAGTGGTACCCCATGGAACGTGTAAGCCCTTTTTGATCGGCATTGTAGACACGATTCCTGTCGCCCGAACATCAACATGCAAGTTGGCAGCTTGATCGAGCACAAAGGCAAGAATATATTCGTAGTTGGCGACAGTGGCCGTGCATTGAACCACAAGCTGACGGTCGCGAACAACGGAGGATTTCCCGTTGCGGAAGTTGGTGTGTTTCCAACCAATGCCGTCATCAACCTCATGCATACAGACCACATTTGGCATAATTACAGGCTCTCCACTGCTTGTGACTCGGATTCCGTTGAAGTAGGCGATATGACCGAGGCAATCGCAACCCAGGGTCAGGGAGTTGGAGGTGAGACCGAAACCAGAGTCGCCAAGATCGAAGGCTTGCTTGCGGTGGTATGGCGAGCGAGGATCACCGTAGGGGACTGTCATCTCACTCATAGAGACACGGTAGAATAGAGAGCGACCGTCATAACGAACATCGTGAAGCACCGGCCCTTCACGCATATTCCAGCCAAGTTGGAAAGACCACTTTTGCCATTGAATATGGCGCCCTTCAATTGTAAAAGAAGGTCCCTGTGGTTGTAGGACCTGAAGAGGCTTTAGATCCTTGCGGAAAGCACCAGGGCCCATGAGGTCAGCACTGTATTCGACAGCGCTGGTGGGGCTCCATGGTTGAGTTTCCTCATCGAGTTCGTTGTTTTCTCCTGTAGGCAGGCGCTGTATCTCGATCAATTCAAGGGTGTGTCCATCGAAGATGGGGGCGAGAGGGAGGGGAATGGAATAGTGGTTGGCCTGGGGGTCATCGTTGAGCGCAAGATACATGTAGCATTGGAAGAGACGGCGGCGCTCATTGTGGTTGTCGGTACCAAAGCTCCAGGGATCATTCTCGATGCGGGAGCTAGGACGTAGATTAGTGAACTTGCTCAAATGCCTTTGGGGGGAGTGTTGCTCACCCAGCGGGAAGCTGCAGCTTGGCCACTTCCTCGAGAACCTTCGGGTGTGACAAGCAGGCTTTATGAACAAGATCATATTCGACCCAATCGACGGGGCCTTGTGATTCAGGGGCATCATATGTGCGCTCGACAACTCCTCTTGTGATGTTGACAATAGCAATTGTGAGAATGGGACTCTTCAATTGGTGAAAGTAAGCCCGGCACCGGCGGTCGGGTACTGCTCCGTCGTGATGAATATATTTCAGAGTCTCATCCTTGGAAGGTTCGTACAAGTCGATCACCTTGAATCGAACCTCCTTAGTTGTGATTCCAAGATGGCGAAGAATAGTCGCGGATGCGACTTTGATTTCCCCCACGTGCAATGGGTCGAGAGGGTGAGGGTCGGGTGCGGAGGCGGGGAGGTACATCGCGAATATTTCTATAAGAGGACAGAAAGTATCTCAAAGAAAACAGAATTTCGAATATCAATCATGATGCCACAGGGACTCGATCTCAGAGACTTATATAGATTTCTAAATTCTAGTTTAAATGCTCAAGTGTCAAATGTATCATCATCGGCCATTTCTCCAGGTACCGCATATGGAAGTAATGCCAACTGTGGCAATCGATTTTGGAATCTCTCCACAGCGCAAGATTATACATAAGAGGAAAGGTGCTAATCAGAATGGAATTTGTAGGAGCCTCAAAGTCAATGTGGATGTTGGATCATATGATATCGTAAAATACAGATTGATTGCGAGGGGGATAAAGAATATTATCCACATTTGAACCTTGTACTAGCCAGTTCCATAAGAAGGTTTGCTTGCTGGTATACCATATCGGGTAATGTTTCCAACCACCATCAGCATGACGTACTTCGATAGCGAAGAGCAATAACATGCATGGGAATCTCGTGAAAAGGGTTTCTAGGTAGCTGGTAACATATCGCAATGAGGAAATCCAATCAACTGTGACCTGCGCGCTCCTTTTCAAACTGGCATACCCTCGACTCATTTTTAATCAATGTCGCGTCCCTTTATATCATCATGCTTGCTTCAAGTTTGATTTGAACAATTTCAATCCTCTATATTTTTTCCCGCTGTAAAATTTCAAAGCTATTCTTTTGCCTTGACCCTTCACATCCATCATGTCTTACCAGGCCAAGCTTTCTCACGATGGGTACATATACACTAAGCATGATGGGTTGGTACAAGGTCTTCGCACTTACGGTGTCATTCAACCCGAAAACAAGATTCGCGACGCCGATACTAGAAAAGTCTGGGATGCCATTGTTATCGGTGCTGGTTACACTGGTCTGATTGCCGCCCGTGACCTTGTCAAAGCCGGTAAGTATCTTTTTACCATGAACTGCAGAAATAAAATGAATGAAATAAAATCACTAAATTTGAACAGGTAAAAAGACTCTCCTGCTCGAGGCTCGTGACCGTGTCGGTGGTCGCACTTGGTCTGCAGAGGTCGATGGTACCACATACGAAATGGGCGGAACCTGGGTTTCGCACGTACATGGTCGCCTCTTTGCTGAAATGCAGCGCTATGATCTTAAAGATGCGGTTCAAATGACGCGTACCGATGGCGGGGGTTGTTCTTATTTCACTCTAGATACCGGCTCCGGCTCGCGAAAGCTGTCTCTGGAAGATGCCGGTGCGATGACACAGCGAGCTTGGAAGCTCTTCATGAACTACGACGGTCTCGATGGCCGTATAATTTGTCCTTTGCCGTACTCCACCCTTGGCAACTCGCGGGTTTCTTTTGAGCAAGTTCAGGCTGTTGACCAAATGTCCTGCCGCGACCGAATCAATCAAATCAAGGACCAACTCTCCGCCGATGAGCTTGCTCTTCTGGAATCTTTGGTGCCACATATGTGTGCTGGTACTGTTGAAGATGTTGGATATCTAGAGATGCTTCGGGCCCAGGCTCTTCAAGGCTTTACCCCCGAAACCTTTGAGGAAGTTTGGACACTCTACAAGATCCGTGAGGGACAGTCCGCGCTTGCCCGTCGCATCTTCGACGATGCTGTCCGTCTTGGCCTACAGTACTCCTTCAGAACTCCCATTAAGTCTATCATTGATCGACATGGCGTTGTATCCCTCGGTACCACCACTGATCAAACCTTCCGTGCTCGTCGGGTCATCAACACCATCCCCCTTTCCGTTCTCCACACTATCCACTTTGACCCTCCTCTCTCGCCACTTCGTCAAGAAGCCATGCGTATTGGCCACCTCAATCACCTTACGAAAGTCCATGCCGAGGTTGAGGGAGATCTGCGTGGCCTCCGCGGCTGTACTTGGCCCGGTGATCTTCTTTACGTCTATGGGGATGGCTTCTGTGCTGGTAATAAGTCTACTCGTATCACTTCGTTTGCTGGTGATAACCGAGGCAAGCTTGATCCCACCAAAGAGCCTGAGCGTATCGAAACTGCTCTGCAGCGCTTTCATCCAATGAAAATTAAGAAAGTTCTTTTCCATGACTGGCTCTCTGATCCATATGCTCAGGCTGGTCCTGCTTGGTATCGTACTGGTTACCTTACCAAGTATCTAGCCGAGCTGCAGAAACGTCATGGAAATGTTCTTATGGCTAATGCCGATTGGGCATCCGGTTGGCGAGCTTTTATTGAGGGTGCTATGGAGCAAGGTGCTCTTGCAGCTGACACCGTCATGAACGAGATTGGCATTCTTGGTGCTAACCCGCCCAATGATCCTGTTCGTGAGTCTAGTCTGTGATTTATTTACAGTAGTTAGGCTTTCTGTAATGCTTTGAAGGCAGGTAGATGTTAGAGAAAATTGAAAATTGAAATCTTAAAATAAATACCTATTCAAAAATGAACTTGAATGTGCCCTTCGCGAGAAAATAGATGGGCGCTGCCAGACCACCCGACGAGCCAAAACGCCGAGTTTAGCGGAAGGCGATTTCCAAGCTTGGCTTCAAAAAATAAAGAAAGATTGATCTACTTGAATTATTGAAGGTTACCTGTGATTATAAAGTTCAAATACTCATTATGTAAGTTTGAGACAAGGAATATCCTCGAAATTCATTCTTCAATTTGTTACGTCCTAATCTAATTGTAAAGGCCACCGTTCGCTGACAGTACAGACCCAGTAGTCCATCTAGCGTCCTCAGTGCACAGAAAAGCGACCAAAGGGGCAATATCGCCAACCTCGGCAACTCGAGGGGCAGCAGGAGTTGCCTCAATCATTGGCTGCATATCCTTGAGAAATTGGTCATCACTCTGATACCATTGGTCTAGGATTTACTTAGTATGAATCAGAAAAACGGGGATATCTGCAGGTTTCTTACCAGTAGCAACAGGGCCGGGATTAACACAGTTCACGGTGATCCCATGGGAGTGACCAAGTTCCTTGGCCCAGACGCGTGCGAGGGCTTCGTTGGCTGCTTTTGTTGGGCCGTAGACGGTGTGACCAGCCACACCAAGCCTGGCAGCAGCTGAAGAAACAAAGACAATACGGCCTCCGCGGGGCAAATGCGGCAGAGCGGCCTGGGTGAGGAAGATAGGACCACGGACATTGCAGTCGAAATGAGAGTTGTACATTTCGAGCTTGAGATCTTTCAAGTCAGACTCATTACCGAGGGCAGCACTAGTCATTCAGTCAGCTAATGTCAACTTATTTCTCGAGAAGGACAAAGCTCACTTGTGAATGAGAATGTCGATTTTGCCGTCCTTGCTAATCTTAATAGCGGCATCAATGAGACGAGGAATCTCCTCCATGTTCATCACGCTAGCATGGCAGAGAGTTGCCTTTGTACCAATCTTTTCGATTTCCTGGACAACCTCCTCTGCGCGTTTCTTGCTGCTTTCGGATACATAGTTGACGACGACATTGGCACCGCGCCTGGCGAGCTGAAGGGCAATTTCAGCACCAATACCACTAATTAACAGTCAGCATTTGGAATACAAGTTGAAAGAAAGAAAAAGAAAAAAAAGTAACGGTATATACCGGGAGGAGCCAGTGACAATGGCTGTTTTCCCTTCAAGTGAAACACCAGAGAAGTCAGGCATGATTCGTTTGTTTCTTTCTTTTTAAATGAGGGTTCAATTGTGTAGGTTGTCTACTAGAGTGCAGAATGTACTATCCTCAGAACTACATTTAATTAATATAGTAGGTATCAGATCAATATATACTATATCATCGACCTGACATTACTTCATTGCAACTGTAAAGTGGAGATTCCGCGCGCCACAGTTTGGCGGGGTATGCCAAATGGGGAACATTACCTATGAGGGTAGGTATCCCAATCCACTGTCACAAGGGGACATAGCATTCAGGTTGTATCCACAATCTTCGACCAGGGAAATGCCGAGCGTATCTTTTGCTATCATTATGATGGAGATTTATTCTATTTTATTTTTTTAAAAGAAAGAAAGAAAGAAAGAAAAGCAAGGATTTGTAATATGCAACCCTCCTCCGAGCTTGTCACTTGGGAAGCAGGTAGCGGACCGAAGATCACGAAGGACTCCAATGCGTGGCAACAACAATGTGACCAAACTTTTTTTTCTATCTTCTTCGCAGGGAAGAGGAATGCGACCGATATATTAATTCAATGAACTTGTAGATAGACAAGGAGTCACAGCCTTTCAAGTTGTTGCAGTTTCATTTACCAACAACTCTCGATGGGTACAATGCCTTTATTCCAGGCCTCTATAAGAAGATAACACATTTCTAGATTGATTCCTAAGTACATATCAGCTGAGATACACCCGCACGTGTGGATATTTCCCATCTCAATTAGTTTATCAACGTGTTATCATCTTTCCATGGAGAGGGGTATCCTATTTTGTGTCAAGCTTTGAATGAACAGGCTCATCCCCAATTTCTTCCATCTTCTTGTCCAAAATCTCGGTCATGTGCTTTACAATATCCACATATTTCTCTTCGTGATAACGGTTGAAAAGTTCTAAGGGATCCTCTTCTAGATCAAATAATTCCCACTCTTTCTCTTCTCCGCCCGGTCGGGTGCCCTCAATGCCAAAGTCCTCGTTATACCAGTAGATAATCTTATAACGCTGGTTTCTCACGGCGTAGTGAGCATATGCTTCATGAATGACATCACGATGCATCCAGTACCGATGATATGCGACTTGTTGCCAGTCGGGGGGGGGTTTGTCCCTGTAAGAGGTTTCGGAAGCTCACGCCTTGCATGTATGTCGGTTTCCGGAGTCCCGCAAAGTCCAGCCATGTTGAGGCAAAGTCAACATTGGAAATTATGTCGTTGCAAACGCTGTTGGCAGCAATCTCGCGTGGATATCGGATAAGGAATGGCATGTTAAAGCTGTTCTCGTACACAAGACGCTTATCAAACCAACCGTGTTCTCCGAGGAAGAATCCTTGGTCGGATGTGTAAATGACAATAGTATTTTCAGTCAGACCCTCGTCATCGAGATATTGAAGCATACGACCCACGTTGTCATCGATGCTTTGAATTGTACGAAGATATCGCTGCATGTACCGCTGGAATTTAAACTCGGAGAGTTCCTTGCGTGTTTTGAAGGTGAATACAGTGCCATCATCTTTGTCGATTAACTTCAGTGAAGTCACATCCTCAGGGTCTGGGACCTTTCGGTCATTATTCCACCAAGAATTGAACAGCTTTTCGCCGACAACGGAGCTAGGGCCTTCCGGCTGAGCTAGACCTAGGTCTAGATAGGTCATGTCCTCAGCAACACGCATCTTTGCTATTGCTGCCGCTTTCGCACGATTCTTGTAATCATCTGTGAATGTATCCGGTAGGCGAACGGGGTCCTTGTACAAGTTCTTGTGCTTCGGATCACACTCCCAGCTGCGATGCGGCGCTTTATGATGACACATGAGAAAGAATGGCTTTGACTTGTCACGAGATTTGATCCAATCAATACTCTTATCGGTGATGATGTCGGTCGCGTACCCAGTCTCTCGGTGAATACCATCTGAACCAATAAATTCCGGATCGAAATATTCGCCTTGGCCAGGGACAATTTCCCAGTAATCAAAGCCAGTGGGCTCGTGAGCTTTCCCTTCACCAAGGTGCCACTTTCCCACCATCGCAGTCTGGTAGCCTCCGGTTCGCAAGTGCTTCGCAACATTTGGAATATATTTGTTGATTTTGGAATCCAGTGTCATGACGCCGTTCACATGATTGTGGGTTCCGGTTAAAATCGCGGCGCGAGATGGGGTGCAAATGCTGTTGGTGACATAGCAATGATTGAATTTCATACCTTCTGTAGCAAGTCGATCGAGATTCGGTGTGTGGTTGATTCCTGCGCCGTAGCAGGAGATAGATTTAGAGGCATGGTCATCAGCCATTATGAACAGGATGTTTGGGCGCTTATCGGACGACATCTTCTGCTGTTGTGGACTGAATCACTTCAGACATAGGACCAGGTTTGACTGAATCCAGAGAACTTGGGGACCCGGATTCGTTAAATACTGAAATTGGAGCTTCCATGTTTGAGCAGTGAGCATGAGGGGCATTCCACCAGCTCTGGCTTCCCACCCCACCCAATAGGATTTACAACACGGCTTCTCCCCATAATATACCCATAAACGACAGTCATAAAGAGTCAATTTTGGTCCCCTCCGCTTTTCTAGCCAATGAACAAACCATCGCGGAATTGGAGACGAAATGGACTTCGCGACGAGAGTGGGGTACAGAGACACGCTTATTTGGTATCCACCAATCAGCAGGTGAAACACGTCCCCGCCACGGCTGTCGGCGGGTGTCGCTTTTCTCAGTCTGTGATTCGTTATGACCCCTTCTTGCTGCTAAATCAAGATTATGTAACAGGTAAAAAGCGACAACCACCTCATGGAGTCACCATCTTCAAAGTGTTTTTATTGGATCTCGAGTCATATACTACGGGAATCAATTCAAAGCCCCCCTCATTTGATGACCCCGTGCCTTGGAAAGAATATGGTGTCATTTCTAGGTCGAATTGACAACCCAGAAGGCCTAACAACATGGTGCCGTCAGGAGCAATATTTACCCCATGCCCTTCCCTCCTGTATGGGTTAAATGATATGACCTGCCGGAGTTGTTCAACTATTACCTTTATTATTTTTGTCCTTCTATCACCATGATGGACAGCAAAGGTGATATCATCGATATTGAAAGCAGAGATACCTATGAGATTAGGGACAGGACTATATCCCAGCTTTCAATTTGGGAAACTTTCAAGTATCATTGGAAAGCTGTATTATGGTCCATTGCGATCTCTAATGCAACCATCATGGAATCTTACGATCTGATTCTTACAAGTCTTCTTTATGCCCAGCCTGGTTTCAAAAAACAATTTGGCGAGCAGCTGGCGGATGGGTCGTGGTCGCTGTCATCAAAATGGCAGTTGGCCCTTTCAGTGATAGCATCAGCCGGTCTTGCTATTGGGCTTTTGATCAGTGGGTGGATTTGTGACAAGTGGCGACCTCGCTATATGATGATCATCTGCCATATCCTCATTGCTGGCTTCATATTTGTGCCCTTCTACGCAACTACCATAGAAATGGTATTCGGGGGAATCTTCCTTATGTAAGAACCTCTGCATCTTAATCCCTTTTGCCAACTCAATATCTGACGTTACGATTGAAAACTTACAGTTCCATTCCTTGTGGTGTTTTTGCGTCCGCAACGCCTAATTATGCCGCCGAAATATGTCCAGTCAAGCTGCGAAGCTACGTTACTACTTATATCAACTTGTGCTGGGTTGCTGGTCACTTGATCTGTGCAGGCGTTGTTGCTGGTACTTTGGATATTGACGGCATGTGGTCCTACCGTGTGCCGTTCGCGGTGCAGTGGTCCTGGCCGTTGTTCATGATTATAATCTGCTGGTTTGCTCCTGAGTCTCCATGGTGGCTCACACGGAAGGGCCAAGAAAGCGAAGCTCGCATATCATTGGATAGAGTATGCTCTGCGCCGGAGGATGTTATTGACCCTGAGCATACCATGGCTGTAATCCAGGAGACCCTCAGGCTTGAAAAGGAGGCTATGCGCATCCAAGGTGGGTATTTGGATTGCTTCAAGGGCGCAAATCTGCGACGCACTGAAATTGCCGTGGTTAGTTGGGGAGGTCAAGTCTTACCTGGCTTTGTTTTGCAAAATTATTGCGCATATTTCTTTACTCTTGCGGGCCTTCCTTCAAACAAATCTTTTTACATGTCGTGTGGTATGTTGTACATTCTTCATTACATCCGATAGTCTCTTTTCACACCAGCTCAACAATTCACAGGAACATATGGCGTTGCATTTATCGGGACCATTTTTTCCATGATCCTGCTATCACGTTTTGGTCGCCGCCAGATTTATATTACTGGCCTTTTTACCATGCTTCCTCTCATGTGGATTATTGGCTTCCTCGATCTACGAGCCGATTCGAATACGAGACGGTGGGCACAAGCAGGATTACTTTTAGCATGGGTAGGTCTTATTGATATCCACATAATCATACATTCCCGACAACTAACGATCTCATAACTTTAACAGTTCTTCCTCTATAGTTCTTCAATTGGCCCTATCCCTTATGCGATAGGATCAGAAGTCGGTGCCGCACGGCTGCGCTCTAAAACCATCTCCCTTGCACGCGCCATGTATTACGTTTTGAGTATACTCAATTCTGTCGTCGCTCCTTACATGCTTAACCCCGCTAATGGAAACTTGGGTGGTAAGGCCGCTTTTCTCCCTGCGAGTCTTAACATTTTTGTGGCTATCTGGGCATGGTTTCGTCTGCCGGAAACAAAAGATCTGGGACCCGGTATTTTGGATTTGCTTTTCGAGGCTCGTACGCCTACAAGGCTCTTCGTTGAAGAATCCAAGAAGTTTATGTGATATCCATACTGTTAGAGCTGTCCAAGTGGGAAAAGCAACAGCATCTTCTGTCAGCTGGTCCAATGTTTGCCATAGTCTAAGTAAGCGATATAACGTACAATGCATTAATACCAGGCTCATGGTCCCTTATTCATTACTCGACCTTTCCTTTGGAAAGCAACAAATCCCAGGTTTCCTTTAACCTTCTCTCCCCTTTCCTTCTTTATGGAGTTTTGAATTTCCGGCTGTCACAGTGGGTGGGTATTGATAGTGATTTTCTCGCTTTACTCATACCCATCATCAGTAAAGTTTGCTTGTCGCATCAAACTGTGCACTGAAAGGTGTGTATTTCGATCTAGACGCTCTTCTGGTTGGGAAGGATAATCGTCCATATCTTTCTCAATAGTTTTCGGGTCTGATTTTGCCTTCTTCACGATATTTTCCAAGTCATAAATGATGGGCTCCGTAGCTGTCGCACATATAAAGAATTGTCGCAAAATCCTTAATGAAAGATCTGCCTTCATAAAAAAGCTGCTGATGTCGGCTTTCCAGTTCAAGATTGAAGGATACAATAGATACAGAGAGAGCCTAGTAGCTTGATAGGCGCATATGGCAACCGAAGGTGGAAATACGAGCCTTCGTGGCATGGACTCCAGCTTCGAAAGGATCACATGTATCTCTTCTGAATGTGTGATACAGGCGCTCACTGCATTAGCTTTGAAGGCCACCTCGACATTATCTGTGATAATATTCGGCGCAGAATCCGGGTGCGTGGGAATAAAGAGACGGTATAGATCACAGTGGGCCTGGTGCCACATCAAGGTAAGTTGAAGATATCGTGAAAACCAGCGGGATTCAGTCATCTCGTCGAGTTGATCCGCAGATGACATTTGATACTTGAATGATGCTTCAACGTCCTTGTGGAGATTCCAAAGACATTTTTGAAATTCCTGGACAATGCTTTCCAAATGTTCGAGTGGTGATTCGGCTAATGCAAGCTGTCTCTTCAGCCGTATTATATCCCTGCTGATTTTAGAGAGCTGTAAACAAGCTCCAAGAACGCTGCATCCTTTGGTCGAGTCTATACGACTCGCAATAACCTCATCGGATACTATCCCCCGGTAAAATGAGGTTTCCGGGGTAGGGAGCTGCTGGTATATAATAGAATACGGCATAAACTCATGGTCGGGTATACCCACCGCAAATATCACGTCGAGGGAACTCAGAGCCCATAGCACTCTACGACGTGTCTCCTGTGCTATAAAGCTAAGGTCGCGTCGCTCATAGTTCAGCCGCAGGGCAATCGCTGTCCGGGAAGCTAAACCTGCCAACAGGTATGCACGAGGGAAAGATTTTCGCTGAATGTGGCAATGAAGCGCTAGCATGAGAGATTGAAGCAGGATGATGTTAGGGCGATCCAAGTTATTCCAAATGTCCGTCTCCACCGTGCTGATCCAGAGAGTAGTTTGATTGTGGTCATTTGAGAAGCAAGCACTCGCTAAGGCTGCAAGTGAAAAGGCAAGAGTTTGGTTCAAACTGCCATCTGCGAGTTTTCGTCGAATAGAAGGTTCATGAACAAAAGAGTACAGTGGGATTGGATATAAATGCTCAAAGAATTGATCAAATATTAATTTTACTTCAGGCTCCAAGTAGGAAATCGTGGAGGAAAATCTGGAAGCAAATTAGAACCCGGAAACATTGTCAAACAATGGGCAACCTACACATTAGACTGGATTTCAAGGCCCTGCTTTTTGGTTTCTTCTGTAGGCATCGACTCAATTTCCGGATAGTAACAATTCCTACCGCGTTCAATGCATGAATCACAGGCTGAGGGACCACCCGAGCAGCGCATCTTCTGGCGGCGGCACTCAATGCATGCCCGGCGCGTCCGACAACGCTCCGGGCGGGCTTGTGTCGCACTAATACCCCCATGCTTGGGTAAATTGGGTTTTTGGCTCGATATAGGTCTTTGGTAGGAGCAAACAAATCCAAGCCGTTCACAATTCTGACATCCCCCTTCCCGGCGATCGCAGCGAACCTAAGTCATACATTAGTCTTTTTGCACTATCCTAAGAGGGTGAATCATTTTCCATACTTTCCGGCATCGGCATTGGTAGCACGGGGCCTTTCTGACGTTACCCATTCTGTGCTTGCCAGGTGTTGTAGGCGATCGGGTATCGGCGGGTGTCGCGTGGTGAGACACAGTCTTGTCAACCGTAAATCACATCATTTACCCCACAATTGGGCCATTGGTAACTCCACTATTAACTTCCTGATATTTTCTAGTGCAGTCACCAAGGACTTGTCGCCCTACAAACTAAACTAGCGAGGGTCCTTTCCCAGATAATTTATTCCACATGCATAACACATAGTAAAAGACGCCAAGATCCAAGGTTGCTCCTTTGTCTTCCAAATTGGGACATGTTGCCGATCTATACTTTTGGGGGTTCATCTCAAAGTGGGGGGTTCAAATTATCCTTGGTACTTCGCTTTTCGGTCTGCCTCAGGCTATCGCAACCAGTCAAGCTGGATGTCTCTACATCAGTCCTTACTTCAATGAGGTTGCTACATATGTCGATGAATTTTTCATGTTCCAAGGCGAAGACCCGGCCATCGGGGTAAGTTCTTGATGATATTTAGTCTGACTGTCGAATTCCCAGCTAACAGCAATTTCCGCAGCACCCAATGGCTCCTCGCTTGATTCACATCCTCGAAGTCTACGCCCAACTTTACCAGGAGAGTGGAAGATGCAACCCTTGATTGTCATTGCTAGGTAATGATCCTTCCATCTTCCTTTCTTTCAAGTTTGATAGATTATATTAACACATTCTGAAAGCTTTTCAAACCTCGGTGAAGTACTTGCCACTGCCGAGCTTGGCTGCCAGCACATCACCATCCTGGCTCACCAGATGAAAGGACTCCAGGAAACTCCCCTTGATGGTACAGCATTGAAGAAATGCCCATTCCTCGTGAACCCATCAGCCAAAAAGCAAGATCCATATTTTGCCAACGTGCAGACCCCAGCAAGGCTTCGAGTGCACTCAAAGAGCGACCCCCATGGCTGGTCCGAACTGGGATGGCAAGCTTGCCGACATCCACGCCGACTATCTTGCAAATGGTGGCCAGCTCCTGAGTGAAGCAATGGATGCGGACGCTTCTGTGGTCAAGAAGATGCAAGATCTCTTGGGTGAAAGCAAAGGCTGCCATCGAGGCTGAACTTGCTAAGCCTTAGATTAATCCCAGCAAAGAGTCGGTAGATCATTCGCGTTGACGTGGTAAATGATTACCCATTTCAGAACAGCTCACGTTCCCCACACCAAGCTGTTCATCTCTATAACACTAGCAGCTTCCGTGAACCTCCGCTACAAGTAGTGATATTCAGTATGATTTGAGGGCAACTAGAAACGGCTTAAAACCTTGGAAGCAATTATGTACACGGAAATTGTCCGGGTTGAGTTTTTCTCTCTGAAAAATGACGCGCGATATTAGTGTCTCTCCCTATCTCTGACCACTCCTTTTGAAAGACCCATAGTTAAAATTTGATGTTCTAGACAAAAATTTAATTTCGGCAGTTGATCCTTCAAGTGTATTATGTTGGCTTATTGGTCAACGGGTAGCATATACTTTGGAGCTATTGACCAACGTTTACCTGATTCATTTAGCTCGCTACCGACTCATGCAATATTCATGCACAGTTGACCGAGCATCCGTTCCGTCATACGTGGTCTTTCCGTCTGGTCAATTGGCATTTCTAGGCGTTAACAAGAACATACGCAAAAGCACCAATGGAGCGCTATGATTAAGCTGGCCCCTGCCAAGCATCCCAACAATAAACTCGGACGTTGGGGAAAAGTGAATATTCAGTCTTGACATGTCTAAACTACTACCTAATTGCTAATCTATTTCTGTTGCTACGGTTGCCTTGTTGCTCCCAAGTCTCCTGGGTAAACGCTCTCGACTTCTTTTTGATTTTTTTTTCGCAATACGTCGAGTACATGTCATTTGGATTGGGCTGATAACATGGTCCAATTTCCGTGAAGATCCTTGAGAAAGAAATACTCCGAAGTCCGAACTCAGATCCTATCGCGTAGAATCACCCCACTGCCCGGCTCTCCCCGCCGACCCCACATGCAAGGTCCGAGTCACGCTTGCAACCTTCAATATGGATATTGAGTCCTGGGAAAATCGTGTTCGTTTTGGTGTAATATAAATAGCAAGGTTCGAAAGTACCGCTCGAGATGGTGAACCGTTCCTCACGTGGACCTAATATCAACTTCGTAGAAACCTATCCCCCATTTGCACCACCCCCAGAATTTCCCTGAGCAAATCGCATGCCCCGTTTCTTTTACTCTCGCCCTGTCCGGGTAAGCTGAGTGTCTGCAGTTCACGTCCTCGGGGCCTTGTGCGCTTTGTACCTAAGTCACCTTCTGAGTTTCCCGCCTGGTCCCCTCAAAAAGGGAGCCTTCTTCGCGGCCTGTGGAGCATCCATCGTAAGCACCTTTGTTGGCTCTGATTTCGTGACTACATCTTTGCGACCTTGATTATCTTTTATTTTATTTTTTTTAGTTCTGGGTTTCCTGTAAGGCGCATGCATCACTTTGAATGTCATTCATGCATGCATTACCCTATCAGCTCTAGCCAGCCGCCGAAATTCACTGCTAACCGCTTACAAAGTCCCAGTGATTATTTATTCCCCGCTTGAGAAAACAGGGCATCCACCTGCATAATTCCCAATGGGTCTAACCTCCTCAAAACTGTTGGACAAACTGCGGGGGAAAAATAAAACGCGTATCGTAATGGTAGGGATCGACGGTGCCGGAAAGACCACTCTGCTCCATAAGCTTAAGCTCGGGGAGATCGCCACCGTGGCCCCGTTGACCGGTATCTATACCCTTCTTGAACATATATCCGAATCCACTCGGTCAGAAAGTACTAAAACTCTGGACGTACCAGGATTCAAGGTGGATACCGTCGAATATAAAAGCATAACATTTCTTACATGGGATCTGGTTGGGCGGGACGAAGTCCGATCATTATGGAGAAAATATTTTCAAACCACTCAAGCCATCATATTCGTTGTTGACAGCAGTGATCGCGATCGTATACCGATCGTGCGAGAAGAACTGTGGCGCTTGTTAATGGATGATACGCTCAAGGATGCGCTGCTTCTCATCTTTGCTAATAAGCAAGATTTGCCTGTAAGTTCTGCTCGTGCACTGTACTATATTTAGACCGGAAACTGATGCGATCACCCAGAATGCGATGAATCCCGACGAGTTAACTGATAAGCTGAGTCTTCATGGCTTGGGACATCGGCCTTGGGTATGTAAAATTGCCGAACCTTACCAGAAACTTTGAACAGAGCTGATAATTGCAAACTTTGAAGCATACGCAACCCGCCTGTGCCATATCTGGTGATGGCCTCTACAAGGGCATTGAGTGGGTGTCCAAACGCCTGCCCAAAGTCGATGATACGCGATGAAGCCTAATAGAGCTATAATGAAATTGAAATATTATTTCCCGAATTTTCAACAACAAATGAAATTGACATACGATCTTACTGTATCTCTACACCACCGTTATTGGAAACCCCTATCTACATTTATTCAGATCGCATTCAGAAATATCTGAAAGCCTTATTTTAAGGGTGCAAAAGTCTCCTCGCAGTTACTTCATTGAAAATGCCAAAGATGAGGTGATTGGTAAAAATAAGATCGATCAACCATTCAAGGAAGGCTATAGATGATGTCACTTCTCCTCGTACCATTCTTGTCTTCCTTTTCCAGGCACAAAACCCCATGCTCGTTGCCACTATTGGTGGGTGGTCCCTTTGGTGCCCCTTTCTCCCAATAGCGTCGACCCATGATGGGGTAGAGCCTGGTATGAATTCATGACATAGGGGTATTGGAGCTTGTCTTGACTTGAACAAATTTGCAGACCGAGATAATGTTTTTGCTGGGTGTGAAGATTTCATTATCTACTATTCGCCTTTTCTCAAAAAAGGATCTTTTTATTAGTCTAAACTGCCGTGTAGAAGTATTTCTAGGTTGAATATACTCATGAAGACAAAATCTCGATTGTCCGAGATGAACGAAACTTAAACTAGACCGAATGAGGTCGCACGAAGGTAACCTCGAAGTGAACTACGGAATGACGGGGATTCAAACAATTGGTGCATAAGTTAAAGAACCGGGGAATTAGTAGTTCTGTTGTCATCCCTTGATATCTCGAGATCATCCCTTGACCCTGAGGAATTCGGAGCACTGACCCTTTCCGAAAATCGCGGCATCTAGGTAAGCTCCTTTATAATCTGTGATGGAACCTGTTTATCCCCATGAAGGTCTTTTCTAGCAAAGGGCGTTGCATGTCTAGACATGACCCTTTGTAGGTCAGCTCCCGGAAAGTCCCACCCACGCGAACATACATGTAGTGATGTGTTTTCCTTCCACTTGCACACGAATATTTCAACTGCTCTGTGTGCAATTCGCGATTTGAAAAAAATAAACATTTTATGATTTTCGAAACTTCATATTCCTTCTCCGACCAGTTCAGCTCCGAGTGCCAGTATATACAATACCGAACTTGAATTAACCTCTAAACTCCGGCCCGGATCCTCAATCAAAAACAAATATCAACGAATCACGCCTCAAATGGGAGAGTCAATTTCACGTCAAGAAACGTTCGAATTCGAATCGAAATCAAAGTTTGACCCTTTTACGAGCCTTCACAGTGTCGACCATGCATCCTCAAATCCGGCCGCGGACAGCACAACCTGCCTCTGGGAAGGTGCAACTTCACAAAATGAACAGAAATGGCGACCGGGCGCTCGTGATTGGATGATTTTGTTTTGCGTCATTATATTGGCGACGATGGACGCCTTCAATTCCACACTTACAATTACTATGCTACCCGTGGGTTGACCTTATGAAAAAGGGTTAAAAAAAAGAGAGAACGCATGTGTGGCTAACATTCGGAGCAGATATTAGCAAATGAATTCGACAAGCCGCTTATCAGTACAATCTGGGTAACAACAGTTTACCTTGTCCTCGGCGGCAGCGCGCAACTGATTTTCAGTATGCTCTCCGACATTTTCAACCAAGGATTGGTTTGGCTTGCAGCCGCGCTGTTCTCTGCAGTTGGTACGGGAATTTGCAGTGGCTCTACAAGCCTAACTATTGTCATAATTGGAAGAATGCTGCAAGGAATCGGTGGAGGGGGCGTCTTGGCTTTATGCTTTGTTGTCGTGCAGGGGACCACACCAGAGTCAATCCATTCCCGGTATTCTTGCTGGATACAGCTAGCTCAACTCTTTGGATTCATGCTTGGTCCTATAATTGGCGGCTTGATTGCTGATAATATGGATTGGAGGACGGCATTTTATCTTAATTACATATTTTGCTGTCCGTGTTTGATGGTTATCCCCGTCGCTTTTCCATTCGGTGAAGTTATCGATGAGCTGAAACGTGAGTCGTTCCGAAATATGCGCAAGCCTGACTGGTCTGGGGCTACGATGGCCTCTGTGGGGCTTACGGCTATACTTGTTGGAGTTGGTTGCATTGGCACCTCTTATGGGTGGGATCATTGGCAAATATGGGCACCCATTGCGCTTGGTATCCTTGCAATTATTGTGTTGATCTTTTACGAATCAAAATGGGCTTGTTATCCGCAGTTTGGTGCAGAGACTTTCCGTAGCCTGCCAACTATTATGACATACATGGGATGCTTTTGTCATGGCTTTGTGGTAAGTTCAGTTCTTGCGAGCGTCATCGATGATTTCAACTAAGTTTTGTTTTCTAGTTCATCTGTCAGATGCAAATGCTCACACTTTACTTCATGTGTACACGATACTTCTCTGCAACAGTATCTGGTGTGGCCTTATTTGGCATTACTGGATTCGCAGCCACACCAGCAGCGGTTGTGGGGGTACTGCTTGCAAAGGAATATTATTGCTCGAAGTGGATCATATCCGGTGGTTGGATCTTGACAACAACTATAGCTGGTTGCTCGATTCTTCTGAACAGCATCACTCCTACAGTAGGATGGGTGATTCTCCTCCTAACATCTGGGTTAGGGCATGGGCTACTCTTTTCGAGCTATAATATTCGCATTCAAAATATGCCAAGAAAGGATGAGGCTGCCTCTTCGACCCAGCCTACTTTCGTATCTCTTTTCGCGCGGGCATGGGGTATGGCGTTCGCCATTCCCGTTGGAGCTCTCGTTTTCTTAAATTGCTTTGGTAATCAGCTTCAAAGTATGGGTTTTAGCTCGGATCTTACCAATACTTCGAGAGGATACTTGGCTTTGATGGATCAGGTCATAATGACTGATGACGGAAGAGAGGCTATAAAGCATGGCTCGGTATTTGCTTTGCAAGTCGTATGGGAAGTTATTGCGGGAGTCGCTGTTTTCGGCGGCATTTCTTCAGCATTCCTGTGGAGGAGCCGGGAAAGTTACGACAAGCGCAGTGGATGAGAAGGATGCACAGTATAATATTATTGATGTTGACATAATGATGACCAAGTTCGAGCTGCTGACTTTCCATCTTGAACGATGTCATGCAATAAAAATAGCTGTAGTTCAATGCTGAAAATACAGTTCCAAAGAAGGCCGACCCGCGGCGCTTTGGTAATTAGTTGATTCAAAGGAGAGTTTGCAATGGTCACACGCCATCTACCGCTTGAGTCTTCCGAGCTCTTGCTCTTTCATTTTGTCCTGTTTCTCCAACCGTTCAGGCACCACAGATGCGCGGCCACCTTTAACCTTCCATCCTCGCAGACGATTCTTCCCAAGGTCCTGAAGTGTTTTCTTTTCAACAATACTAAATTGGTGTGAGTCTTTCCGATCGAAGTTCAGCGGTTCATTTAGCGACACGGGGGGGTTAGTGATGATCCGCGGAATCCTCAGACTGTTGACAGATTGCGAGTGCATCATCAATGGGTGAAGAAGGATCACGTCGCCCACATTGCCTGTCATCTCATGGAATTCATTGCATTTCTCCAGAACCGAGTCATAAAAATCATCCTTGGGCTTGCGGAATTTCCAACCCCGAGGAACCATGTATGGTGATACCCCTTGAGGATTATCATACTTGAAGCAAAGTGCATTAGTAACCCACCTGGTACCGAACAGTTAAGACAGGAATCATGATACTTGCCAAAAATCGCGCAATATGCTTCACGGAATCAGTACATATCATGGTCCCCCCACCATGTTCTTCGATATCATTAAACAGGGGAATGACCAGCAGTCCCTGCTCGGGGGAATCAAGGAAGTGAATAAAGAAATCCCCGTCCACATGCCACCCCTCCAACTCCGATGGATGAGGCCACTTCCCTTCCGACTCGGGTGTGCCAAGATTCACGATAAACGCGTCGTTCCAGGTCGCTGAGTCTTCATCTATTCGTTCTTCGCCGCCCAGCAGCTCACAAATGGCAGCCCATGCTTTGGGTGCGAAGGTCTTCACGGGCTCCTCTCTATGTTCGGGCATATGTGTACACTCCGTCACCCATGTTGATTTGTCTGTTGGGGAGAAGCCGAGGCGTGTCCACACGTCGGCTGTCCACACGGCTGCTTTCTCTCGGGAAAAGCATTGGGGAACTCGTACGTAGCCATATTGCATAAAGTGAGCAATCTGCTCTGGCGAAAGCTTGTATGTCGGATGGGGCGGCATTGATGGTATCATGCGGTATTGTTGATATGTATTGACTTCATCTCGCGACGGCGCCCAATTTGTTCGGTTGGCGCTGACAAATCATCCACAGCGTGCACGTGGAAAGTCAGTGGGTGTTATATACTTCGGTCGGATTGGCACGCCCGCGGTCTTGATGGAATAATGGATTGATGATGGGGCAGTTGAAGCATTTTTTGTTTATTCGTTAGATCTTATCTATTTTCTTCCGCTTGAAAGCTTAGAAAGTGGGGCTTCATTCCAAAAGTCCCGAGGTCGACGATCAACTTGAACGCATTTGTGACCCGCAAGAGTAGTTAGTGTATGAAGAGTTCCTAGAAGCTTCCAAGATATTGATCCTAGAATTAATAAAAGTTTGCACAGACATTATTATGATTTTATTGACAGATAATCTTCAGCACATCCCAGACTGTTCCCAGGGTGGTCTATTTCGGTGACCCATAATGCTTCCAAGATTAGCGGATTTACTTGAATATAGAAGAGAATGATCAACACTCCGCCCTCCCCATTTATTCATCTGAAATTTATCAGATAGATGTATGTAAATTGTTTTGGAGGCCCTCGTTGTCCACTTTTACTTGTGGTGCTCTGTGCCTTCCCCCCAGTGATGTTCCTTCCCATACAACAAACTTATTTAGAACTTGAATTGGCTCGACTTCACACTTCTTTTCTGATTCCTCTGTAAGACTTTCATCCCTATCGCTACTCTCAACAGCTGACCGTTAGTCAATTTACCATCAACAAATCAAGGCATTTCTAGTGTCTCTCATTGTCTTCACTTATCACGCCTCACTCCCTCGTCTATCATCATGCGTCTGGCATCTTCGGCTGTCGCGCTTCTCGCAGCTCACATGGTCTCTGCAATCCCGACTAACTACGCGCGAAGCATCGAAAAGGAACTCCCAGATGGCCTCCCATATCCAAGTCCAAGCGAGCTGTCGCTGATTGAACAAGCCGCTCACGGGACTCTTCCAAATGGACCCGCGCCACCCGTCATTAGCAATAAAGGCATTACAAGCCTCAAACTGATTGCTTTCAACGAACTGTTCGAAGTGGCCTTCTTCCACGAGCTTCTCTTAAATGTCACCGAAAACGTCGAAGGCTACCGCTTCACTGACCAAGGCGACCGGGATTTTGTCACCCGAGCACTGACAGCTATAGTCGCGGTATGAATCCCACAATAAACCACAATAAACACTGTACTAACCTTCTCAATCTACAGCAAGAGGAACTTCACGCAATTCGTGCCAATAACGCCCTCGCCAGCTTCGGTCAAAAGCCCATTGAGCCATGTCAGTACACCTTTCCCGTCCATGAATTCGACACCGCTATTAAGCTCGCCTCAACATTCACGGATGTCGTCCTCGGGACACTGCAGGATGTGGTGGAGCGCTTCGCGATCGGCGGTGACTTCGATCTCGCCCGTGAAATTGCCTCAGTGATCGGTAATGAAGGCGAGCAGCAGGGTTGGTTCCGGATCATGCAAGCCCGTATCCCTAGCGAGCTTCCGTTCCTCACCACCTCCGATCTGAACTTCGCGTTCACTGCTGTGCAAGGATTTACTGTACCCGGCAGCTGTCCCAACATCGACGAAATTCCACTTCGAACCTTTGAGCCCCTGGAAATTCTTAACGCGCCAAAGGCGGAGTCAATGAATTTGACATTCTCATATGACGACAAATATAATGAGAGCGACCATTTTCTGTGGGTGACTTACGTCAACCAGTTGAATGTCCCCGTAGTCGAACCTTTGAGCATCATTTCGAAGGAGGGAACAAAGGTTGAGGCAGAAGCGCTTTTCCCCTATGGCAACTATGAGCTTAACGGATTGACCATTGCTGCCGTGACAAAAAGTGACGGGCCTTTCGCGGATGCTAATTCCGTGGCTAAATGGACGCTTGCTGGACCGGCATTGATTATTATTAACTGATTGCATTGCTGTGTTCGATGTCGCATTTTATCATTAGGACAGACCTATAATTGGACTCGAAATCCACAAGGCCTCGGGCCATTCGTGCTCTTTCTTTTTCGCTCCGCTAAATTGAAAATAAGATTAACCAGAGTAAGAAAAGAGACAAAAAATATGTCCGATATGTTGTAAATTGGCCTTTTCAAGTATTAGCCGGCAATTCGTAGTCTGATGGACACGATGTAGATGTTGGTAGCGCGGCGCCTATTGCCTACTGCTTTGGGGTTAGTGTGTTCCCGATATGGTTAACTTTCCGCCGCCTGAAGAATAACCTGCTATAGAAGAGGCACTTGAGCCCTGGACGTGAAGATACTAAGTATGATTGGTCTGAGGCATAGAATGGGATTTTGCCACTGGAAATGAAAGTGATTTTCACATCAACTGAGGAAAACCGAGGCACGTCCTTATTATAAATGTGAGTTGGCAATTCAACAGTTCATTCAGTGCTGACGTCATCGGCATCGGAGAGCTCCGTTGCAGACACACTGTGGAACATTGAAAGCAATTGGGAAATATACCGAGAAAGACAGGGTCTTTAATTATAAAATTGAACCTGTATTCCTCCAGAAAAGAACCGTCGAAAAAAGCCATAATATAAACCTCGGGCCAGTAATGCTTGAGCGCGCCAGCATGGAAACCCAGCCAGTCAGGCACAGGTTGCAATATTTATTTGTCCAACGTACAGATTTGGGAAGAGAATCCGACGAAATCCTTCCGAGATTCACAAAGAGGAAGTCGGGAGAGAACGGAGACTTTTACCAATTGCATGATCGCCCATTCATTAGCTATAATCAGAACGTGGACGAAAAACAAGCGGGGTTCGCCGCTAATTCGCAGCATCGATGCTTTCCCCGCATGGAACAGTGTCTCCGCCTTTCCCCCCCACTATGCAGAAACTAGAACTCGATTGATTATGAAATGTCATTTGCGGCGTTCTGGACCAATAAAATATGTCAGCTTAGGAATCATCGCCGGCCCAGACCTTCTCCACCAACCAAACGCTGACAAACGACTTCCCGAGGAGCTTCTAATATGTTTCCCGTCATTCGTCTCTTAAAAAGTGCGGGGTGCCCATCTCTGTGTTGCCAATTTGACTTTTCTCCCTTCTCAAATCCCTCTCTCTACCTATTCCCCCCTCCTTAATTAAAATCATACCATCGATTCTACATCATGGGTGAATGTCCCGTTCACAAGCCTGCCAATGTGGCTGGTGCTGGCACCAGGAATCGCGACTGGTGGCCAGAGAACTTGAAGCTCAATATTCTGCGCCAGCATACCGAAGCCACCAACCCAATGGGCACAGATTTTGATTATGCTCAAGCTTTCAAGAGCCTGGATTACTATGCCTTGAAGAAGGATCTGCACAACCTGATGACCGATTCTAAGGATTTCTGGCCTGCCGACTTTGGCCACTACGGTGGTTTGTTTATTCGTATGGCATGGCACAGTGCCGGTACCTACCGTGTGTTTGACGGCCGTGGCGGTGGTGGCCAGGGCCAACAGAGATTTGCCCCACTTAACAGCTGGCCCGACAATGTTAGTCTGGACAAGGCCCGCCGCCTTCTGTGGCCCATCAAGCAGAAATATGGTAACAAGATTTCATGGGCTGACTTGCTGCTTCTGACTGGCAATGTCGCCCTGGAGTCTATGGGCTTTAAGACCTTCGGTTTTGCCGGTGGTCGTCCCGATGTTTGGGAGGCTGATGAGTCCGTTTACTGGGGTGGCGAAACCGTGTGGTTCACCAACGACGTTCGTTACCGTCCCGAGTCCGACCAGGAAAAGCAAAAGCAGAGCGATATCCGCACCCGTGACCTTGAGAACCCCCTGGCTGCTGTCGTTATGGGTTTGATTTACGTTAACCCCGAGGGTCCTGATGCCAACCCTGACCCCGTTGCCGCTGCCCGTGATATCCGTATCACCTTCGGCCGCATGGCCATGAACGACGAGGAGACCGTGGCTTTGATTGCTGGTGGCCACACCTTTGGTAAGACCCACGGTGCTGGTCCAGCCGATAACGTCGGCCAGGAGCCCGAGGCTGCCGGTCTTGAGCAGCAAGGTCTTGGCTGGACCAGCAAGTTCGGCACCGGAAAGGGCGCCGACGCCATCACATCTGGTCTGGAGGTTACATGGACTAAGACTCCCACCAAGTGGAGCAACCAGTTCCTCGAGTACCTCTTCAAGTACGAGTGGGAGCTGACCAAGTCCCCTGCCGGTGCCAACCAGTGGACCGCCAAGACTAACGACGAGATCATTCCTCACGCCTTCGACCCCAACAAGAAGCAGAAGCCCCGCATGCTCACCACTGATCTGTCTCTGCGCTTTGACCCTGAGTACGAGAAGATCTCCCGCCGCTTCCTTGCCAACCCTGACCAGCTGGCTGATGCCTTCGCTCGTGCTTGGTTCAAGTTGCTCCACCGTGATATGGGTCCCCGTGTTCGCTGGCTCGGACCTGAGGTTCCCTCCGAGACTCTCCTCTGGGAGGATCCCATCCCTGCTGTGAACCACCCTCTCATTGACGTTGAGGATGTCGCTGAGCTGAAGCGCGAGATTCTTGCCACTGGCGTCGAGCCCACCAAGTTCATCTCAACTGCCTGGGCATCCGCCTCTACCTTCCGTGGTGGTGACAAGCGTGGTGGTGCTAACGGTGCTCGCATTCGTCTTTCCCCACAGAACAGCTGGGAGGTCAACAACCCCGCTCAGCTGCGTGAGGTCCTGAACGCCCTGGAGGACATTCAGCGCCGCTACAACAGCTCCCAGACTGGCAACAAGCGCGTCTCCCTGGCTGATCTCATTGTCCTTGCCGGTAGCGCTGCTTTGGAGAAGGCCGCCGGTATCCCGGTCCCCTTCACTCCCGGTCGCATGGATGCCACCCAGGAAGAGACCGATGCCGACTCCTTCGGCTTTCTCGAGCCTTGGGCCGATGGATTCCGCAACTACGGCCGCTCCACCGGCCGTGTGCGCAGCGAGCAGATGCTCGTCGACCGTGCTCAGCAGCTCACTCTCACTGCTCCTGAACTCACTGTCCTTGTTGGTGGTCTCCGTGTCCTCAACGCCAACTACAACCGCTCCAGCGCCGGTGTCCTCACCCAGCGCCCTGGCCAGCTGACCAACGACTTCTTCGTCAACCTCCTTGACATGAACACCGACTGGAAGCCCACTACCGCTGATAACGAGACCTTCGAGGGAGTTGACAGCAAGACTGGAGCTAAGAAGTGGACTGCTACCCGTGTTGATCTAGTCTTCGGCCACCACGCTGAGCTGCGCGCTCTTGCTGAGCTCTACGGTTGCCATGATGGCCAGGCTCAGTTCGTTCGTGACTTTGTCGCCGCTTGGGACAAGGTTATGAACTTGGACCGCTTCGACCTGGCGTACGCTGCTCCTTTCAGCCGCCCTGCTCGTCTTTAAATATATTATTGTGAATAAAACCTCTGGTGCTGCCATGTACCGTTCTATGTATCCAATTTAGCTTTTTACGAAAATTGCCTTACGATTACTGAATGACAATTAACTTCATATTTATCTGTTCATTTCTTTCTATTTATCTTCACACCTAAGCACTTGAAAAGGTAGTCAAGTTATATCTAGCCTTTTGTGATTTAAGCTTGATCATCTTAACCTTCCCGACGACCCTCTTTATTACTGCGCTAGAGTGCGTTGGGCTGTGATCCCGACGGGAACCGAGTCTGGTGGAAGTACACCATGCTTATTTCTCAACCCCCGACTTTCGCATTATTAATACTGTATACCAATTATTATGTTATGAAATATTCCGTGACACAAGTGGGGCATGTTGCTCACATAAACCTTTTGTTACGGGTTTCTCCCGTGCCTCACATCCGGCAGTTCCGGCGTATCCGTATCCCTTCATCTTTTTGTTTAGCGCTTCTAAGGGGAACCACACAAGACTGAACCCTGTTAACCTCTTCATCGATGCCTAATTTTGCCTAATTTTAGGCGTTTGGAGGGAAAATAAACTCAAGGGTTCTAAGTGGTGGGTCCTCCGACCGCGGATACCCTGCAGCCTAGAAGAGGAATAAAAGGGAACGAATACGACCTTGATTCTCCAGCAAAGACACGAAATGGACTCCTCAACCTCTAAGCAGGTCCAGTCACGACGTACACATCGGAAGTCTCGGTTAGGATGTATGAATTGCAAAAAGCGAAGGATCAAAGTAAGTTCTTGTCGGATTTCAAAAATCCTTCCTCTATAGTTCTCTCTACTTCACTTTATCGTCGTTTTAACCCACAATATGCGTGGATTCTGGCGTTTATTATTCTGTTGCACATCTGGCCGATGGCGTCGCTTGGATGAACCGAATGATGAAAAAACTAATGAGTCTCTCAAGTGCGACGAAAAACAACCCGCTTGTGTAAATTGTCTCAACCATGACATTGAATGTTCATTTCTATCGCGCGAATCCTCCGCAGTATCATCACCTCAACCAGGGACTCCGGAGCCAACAGAAGCCCGACTCCAGCCCAGTCGCTACAAACCATATCAATATCCAACGGGAGAATTGAAACAGACTTTCAAGCTCTCCAAACGAATCGAAAAGCAACCGCCATCCACGAATTCAATAGCAACTCAATCTAATATCTCTAATGATGTGTCAACCGAATCCATCATCTCTCCTGAGGATCTGAGACTATTCCATCATTTCACAACATCAACTTTTCGAACCATGCGACACGATGATCATGATCCACAGAATCTATGGCAGAATCATCTTCCAGAGTGGGGTATCGAATTCAAACCTATCTTGCATTTGATTTTGGCCCTTTCCGCCTTACACAAAGGATACAAAACACCCACCCTCCGCGATAGATATATCGCTCAGGCAGATGATCATTTTACTTTCGGAATGCGATCTGTCACCTCTGTTCTCTCTCAACTTCATTCGGAAAACTGTCAACAGATCTATATGTCTGCTGTGATGATTTGCTTTATATATTTCGGTCGTGGACCAAGAGAGGGCGATTACCTTGTTTTCAGTGATAAAGGTCCAGCCGAGTGGATGATACTCATGAACGGAGTGAAGGTCATTGTATCAAATCACCATGAAAAGATATTTAGTGGTCTCCTCGAACCTAAGGGTGAACGGGTAAAGTATGAACTTACACCTGCAATGCGGAGTGAGCTGCACGAGCATTCGGTTCATCTTCAGGCTGTGGAGCGGTTTGTTGGAGAACAGGTGTCCGATCAGACTGAACGAGATATGTATCTTTCTTCTACGAAGGGGTTGTTTGAGATCATGGATGATGTTTATGAGAAGGTTTCCGGTGGCTTGGATGGTGTTCTTATTATGGATTTGTTGATTGGGTGGCTTTATCGTCGACCGGATGAGTTTGTGCATCTTTTGGAAAGGAAGGATCCTTTGAGTTTGGTTATTCTTTCTTATTGGGCTGTTCTTTTACGATATATGGAGTCTTCTTGGTTTATGCAGGGCTGGACTGCTCATGTCTTGTCTGGTATCTCTAACTCTTTGAAGGAGGAGTATTGGCCTTGGATTCAGTGGCCGTTGAGAAGGGTTGGGAATTCCAATTAACTGTTAATTTTACATAAAATTCTGAATATAAACGACGGGATGAATATTAGAACAGCTTGCAACTTATATCCACATTACGCTTCAGAACTTGCCTTGCTGTAGTGGTCTGCGAGACTGTTCCCCATGTCTGTCCCGGGTTGCAATTTTAGCAATACCAGACTTGCCCACTTGGCAAAATGGGTTCTTGAAACAGACACTGCTCCAAGGCTATTTTTATCATTATTCCTGCCTGGCAAAGCACTGATAAAAACCAACTTTTGTTGAAATGAGCCGATAAAAATATCTGCATTGCCAGGTCAAATGCTCAAGTGGATTCAGCCTCTAAACTACATTCAGGCACGATCTGCAGAACCCCCCACCCGTATTCGTTAAGAATATTTCCCGATTCGGCACAAAGAAACATGCATGGATATTGTCAAGCGGGCGCTAACAAGTCCCTGATTCATTTTAAACTGAGCTTGATTTCCAATTTGAGGGTCAATTCTATCGCTCTTCAATTTCTTCATAAGTTTCCATACAAGCATGGACATCGTTTATCATCCAGGCGTTAATGGATCTGATCCATGGGTCGAATTCTATCCATACACACCTTCCGCAACGGCAGGTTATGCTTTCATGGCCATCTTCGGGATATCAACTATAGTTCATATTATCTTGACTATTCCCTTCCGATCGGCTTATTTTATTCCTCTAGTCCTTGGCGGTATATGTACGTCTGTCTTCTCCTTTTTGGCACAGATTCCAAACACTAACACATGTATCCTTTAGGTGAAATATTCGGTTACTACGGAAGGGCATGGTCGCATGAGTCCCGAACAGATATCAGGTCATGGGCACTACAAGAAATGCTTATCCTTTGCTCCCCACCTCTCATCGCAGCAACTGTTTACATGGTTCTCGGTCGTATTATTCGTTCCTTCGACGCAGAGCATCTATCCAGCATACGCCCAAAATGGCTTACATTCGTTTTCGTCACAAATGATATCCTATGTTTCTGTACACAACTTGGTGGAGCAGGTGTGCAAGTCACGGGTGATCAGCAAGTAATGGACATCGGAAAGAAAGTCGTCCTAGCGGGACTTATCTTCTCATTGGTCGTTTTCGCACTATTTGTTCTCATTGCGGCGACTTTTCATCGTCGACTTTTGAAATCTCCGCCTGGGATTCTTATTATGCATCCTGGTCTAAAATGGGCTCCTTATATGTGGGCACTTTATGTGGCTTGTTTTGCTATTATGCTGCGCAATCTCGTGAGAACGATTCAGTTTGGAGCTGGGAGGACGGCCCCTGTTAACACGAGTGAGGTGTATATTTATGTTTTTGATGCATTCTTGATGTTTTTGTCTATGCTTGTGCTTATTGTTTATCACCCTGGGAGATTGATTAAGAAGGCTCGTGGATTGGCGAAGTTTGACTCTAATAGAGACTCTATGGGCGATACGGGGAGTAGGCATATACTGTTGACGGAGTATGAGCCGGGAAATTCGAGAGGGTGAATGTTGAGTCGTTCGTTTTAGTATTCTGGGTTTTTGCCTGTGGTATAGACTGGCCTTGTATTTAATGACTTTTAGATTGTAAAATTTTTTTTAAACGTTTTCAGATTTTAAATGTCAGTGACTTGTTGGATTGTCAACTACGGAGTGGATTGTCCCAAGAGCTACGGGATTCCATTTGCTCAAAGCTGCGCTTAGTCGCAACTTGAACTTATAATAAGACATAAACTATGTATAAAGATGTATAAAAGTAAAGATGATCCAGGTCTAAATGACCACAGAATTCTTCCGGCGGCTAATTGATATAACTTCCAATTTATAAGTAGGCCTACAGGCGACGAAATCGATGGTTGCAATTATCTGTATTCCGAGACAAATATCTCGTTTATAGCGTCACAGTTCGAGGTGACGAAACATTAGGACTTAATGCGAATATTGTAGCTATATTTGAGACGCATGTCATAATTGCAAATCCAAAAAGTCCCAAAAATTCATTATCGAGCTTCATGTGCTCGAACGCCAAGTGGGGGTTTAAAATTGATCGAAAAGTCTGGTATAAACTTTCGTCCATTGAGATGAGTCCAGGTTGTCATCCGGCATTTTAAAACTTCACGGTCAAATATGACCTAGGTTGGTGATTTCTTTGCTCAGGATAAGTATTAGCACAAGCACAAGCCAATGTGCTATGTATAGGATCAATATTGATCGGGTCTCTACCCGGGGCCTGGTCAGCTTTGAGAATCATCACTGGGCTTTCTAGCCCATACACGCTTCCTATAGTCCTGTCAGCTCATGCAGAATGTTCAATACCGACTGGTTTCAGCTTACGCCTTATGATAAGTATGGTAGTGAGGATTCTTTAGCTCCGACCTCAACTTTGCAGCATAAACAATAACTTCTGCTCTTGTCCATGGAACAGGATCCCCATACTTCGTGAGATGAAACATGCTGTACCCTTCGACTCCAAGCAACCAATGTTGAAGATTGACGAGACCAGCTTCCTTAAGCAAATGATCGCGCGCCCATGGTCCCACGGGCCACTTTTGGTGCTGAATGTGGATGTCGACGAAGCCCGCTTCTTGTATACGCTTCTCTAACGTAGAAAATAATTGAAAGGGCCTTCCGCATTTTTCAGCGGCCTTGTGGTTAATTTCTCCCCAGTTGATAGCTGCGGAATCTAGTGGGAGGCTGTCGTCATCGCTGAAAAGGTCCATAGTTACTTCAAGTTGCTCAATCCAGCCACCAGGGTGAAGGTTTCTTTAACTGCCTTAGTTCTTCCAATTTCGAATATGTAATCGTGAGTTAGTGACTTACTGATAGGATTGCTTATAAAGTCTGTCTAGTTCTTCGGGGGTGAATGAAGCTTCCATGATTCGGAGATGAATTAAGTCGAATGGTTGTGACCAGGTCCATTCTTGCAGTACATCGTCAACTTCAAGAATACAATTTGGAGGAGCCCAGGTAACTGGGGGAGGAAAAATATCCACGCCACGAACAATTGCTTCGTACGTTAGCGGAACGTTCTCCAAATACGATCCATATGCCATTTAACATGTATCTTACTTTGTGGGAATCTATCGGCCACATCGCTGGAGAAGCATTAGAAAAAATCACCTTTGGCAAGTTATGAAACACTCACATAGCCCAATTTCCTGTGCCGGTTCCAATATCCAATATATGCTGTTTCGATTTAGTAATTGTCCAAGGAAGGAGCTTGGAGGCCATTGGAGACTTTACCCGTGCGTCTTCACCAACAGGGGCTCTGAAAAGAGAATTGTGGTGGTCGGAATTCATTAATAAGGCGACAATATGTCTAGTAGTCGGTTAACAAGTGTCAGTCAAAAGAAGCTAGGATGAAAAGGTACCCTGCTTCGTAGGTCTCGAATTGTTCCTCATCGGATGGAAGACTGAAAGAACTTTAGCACTTGAAAAAGGAACAAAATGGCTGAGATGGGACATACAATCCGCTGGCTTCTTTCGTAGTTCGATATCTTGGATTCATAGGTATAAGCGTGGGTCATTCATGAATCTGACGAGGGAAGGAAGTGGTCACCTCCTGCCATTTTCCATGCGTCCGTTATAAAGGGATGAGGCGATAGAGTATGTCTCTCTAGTAAATGGTAAGCCACTCATGTGATGTACAAGGGTGTCGGTGTAGATTTCCATACGATTGTAAACCATCTGAGCCCAGGTCGGAAACTCCATCATCATCATCATCCTAGCGGGGCACGTCAATAAAAGTCTCGTTAACATTAACTGGCGGGAAAGAGACGTACCGCAACGATAGCCTCGTCATGAACCATTCTTATCATTCCCTGCCAGGTCGGCACAAAAATAGAGTACTAGATATGATGTTGAAGAAACAATATGAAGGAAAAAGGTATAAAAGAAGGGGAAATGAAATCCTGGAACAATCTGCGTCTTTGATTTGAACAAAGGTAAACCTTAAGAGTGTAATTATCCCGGGGTCATGGGCTAAGTGCATCGAGCTGCTAGCAAGCGGGGAGATCGTGCCCGAAAGATGCCCCCACCCGACAGCCCGTTCCAGGCGTTGTACTTTGTGTGACAGAGAAGCTCTCCCCGGTACACACAAGCAGCGATCCAAATCATTTAAACGTCGTCAGATATTGTACCTTCCGGTCATAAATAACTGATTTGTAGAAAGCTCGGTTTACGGAGTTCTCATCACCGAGCCATAATCAAAATCTCCTACGCCCGGAGTATGAACACGGAATGCACAATGGGTCAATTCGCGACCATTTTTTTGTGATGGATCATGACCGGCGAAGGTTTGGATCAAGGACAAAGAAACTGATCCATCGGGTCTTCGGTTGTATCTGCTATCCCTTCCGACAAATCAAGCGTTGCTAAATTGAATAAATTGAAGCGAGGAGCACACCCTGGTCTATGCACTGACGTGGGTCTGTATGAATAATTGGCAGTACCATAGTCTCGGGGCGGTTTCGAAGATTCTACAGGCTACCATTTGCAGGGGGCTCTTTCCTATTTTTGACGTACTAGCAGGGATCTACCTCGTGTTCGCAGCCTTCGAATTAGACTGGAAGTTAGATAAACCCGAGCTTTTAGTCTGTCAGGTCGGGGTCGGGGCCGGGGCCGGGGGTCGGATTGTATTGCTCTTTTAATTGTTGGTCTGCCGATATAGTTTACTGATTCAATGGATATCGAATTACGTCTTTGTCTGAATTGTGGGGTAGTATCAATGACAGAATGCATGGTCCCGTCGCTTCTCCATCTCCAAATTGATCAACATTTGTCGCTGAAATTTATCGCTGAACAACTCAATCTTTGGATTACTCAAAGTTCAACTGCACTAAACGAGATCAATCGCCCGTTTCTCGCGCATTGAACGATCTGCCGCAAGCGCAATCTCCAACGATCGAATCGCATCCTCCATATGCTGTCCAAGATCCCGATCCTCCCAAATACAATCCAACAAAAACTGCTGTTCCCTCTCACACAGCTCATTATGACCAAGTTCATGCTCCATAGAAATCAATTCATCATGCACTAGCCCATTATCCATAGTAGAAACCTTCAACCTTGACGTCTTAGTATGACCATCAACATTTGCCGACGCACCAGGCTCCATTTCATCAGCAACAATCGACACCGAACCCTTAGGCCCCATAACATCTTTCACAAAGCACGCCGTTTCAGAAACCATAGGACCCCAACCTGCTTCATACCAACCTACAGATCCATCTTCAAACATAATCTGGAGGTGGCCATAGTTCACCTCATCACTTGCAACCTCGTCGCTAAGTGCAACTCCCATCCCACGCACCTGGAAAGGTCTACTATCTGAAATCTGCAGCATGACATCAAGATAATGCACGCCACAATCGACGATTGGATTCTTTGAATCCCGAAGAAGTCGCTTGTGAATTTCCCACGACGGCCCTGCAGAGCGCTGATTTAGATTCATCCGCATCACGAATGGTGGACCGAGAAGACGCGCTTGACGGATAAATTCAACCCAGCTAGGATGGTATCGGAGGATGTATCCCACGACTAGCTTGCGTTTGGTTCGGCGGGCAGTTTCTACTACGCGCTTTGCTTCTTCTGTGTTTCTTGCGAGGGGTTTTTCGACGAACACGTGCGCGTTTGCTTTCATTGCTGCGATGGCGTATTGCGCGTGGGTATTGGTGTGGGTGTTTATTGAGACGATGTCTGGGTTCAGAGATAGAGCTGTGTGGAAGTCTGTTTGAGTTGGGTATTTCTGGAGCTCTTTGGGGAGATTCTTTGCTGGACTGCGATTTACTAGGCTGAGGATTCGAAATCCGGGGTTGTGGTGGTAGGCTAGGGCGTGACTGATGCCCATTTGGCCTAGGCCGATTACTACGACTCCTAAAGGAGGGTTGGTGGTCGCTCCCATGGCTGCTTGATGGTGGAATTCGTGATTGTAAACGTTGTAGGGCTGGAGGAGTTGTAGCTTGCTGTGACTCGACGATGAGGCGAAAACGCGTACTTTATTTCCTCTGCTTATGCACGCGCTTCATAGATATGGGACGGTAGAGGTACATCGTGTTGATTTCTAAGATGTAACCCTGTTGTGGCTGGATGTTGCTGCCCCTCCTTCCTTGCTTGGCCCCCGTCAGATAGCGGGAATTTGACCCCGACATTGGGTTATACCGACATCGGGATTGGAGAAGTATGTGCGTGGTTCAGCCTTGGGAGCGTCAAAGATATCCCTGGCTTCACGAGACTTAGTATCACACGCTGTAGGAAGTTCTCACTTCAATGGTAGAAAGCGGTTCTATCAAAAGGTCACACAGCTTAATTGGAATCGGGAAAACCATTCATTCAATAAGCCCAGATGGCGTTTATCTACATAATTAATCTATGTCAGATTGATAAAAAATAACACGAACTTTATTAAGACCTGCGGGAGGCTTAACCAGAGCCTTCCGGTTAACTTCGACCAGTACATTCCAGCCTGGATTAGATGAGAAGAGAAACAAAAGATGAAAGACTCATTGCAGACATCAAGATATATCAAAGCGTTGCATAAGCTGCGCCTACATGACCAGTGTGACAATCAAGTCCTCTAGTCCGACTGGCTGATGGCATGCGCATCCACACAACAGACTTCCACGTCACTCTTTGACACAAAGGACATTAAAACCATACTATACCGGCTACTAGGCCGATCACCACTGCCATGCAGCTACCATCAAGCTTAGATGAGTGCCGGCCAGCAGCATCGGTCGCAGTCGCTTGGTCATTTGATTGTATTTGTGATTTGTTCGTGTGGGCTGAAGTGGCCGGGCATTCTTGCGATTCAGCCTGAGAAATGTTCGGATGGGTAATTAAGGGTTTTTGACATTCGACGATTGGAGAATGGGAGAACAAGGTAGATTGGGCGTAATAACTCCCCAGTTCGAGGAGGCGTGGAAGTGGAGAATTAGGAGATTCGTTGGCAAGATCCCAGAGGCCACTGGCAGTTTGACAGACCTGCTGCCACATACCACCAAGCAGAAGTTGTTGTTTCGGGACCGAAGGGGGCGTTTGAAGATAGGTAGATTCGTTAGATGGGTGGAATGTAGAGTCGACCGTGCAGGCATCAATTGCGGTAGGTAGGGATGGAGGATATGTAGGCGGAATGGAGGGATTGCGGTCGGCTGCAACGGCTCCGGTGCCAGTAGACATGCGCGTAGAAAATGGAGAGAGGAATTGATAATCATCTAATTGTTGAATGAAGTATGTTCGGAAGGCATGGGCGCGACGACTGAATAAGAACGAGGGTTCCGTCGCGATTGCCGAGCGACTTCGGTTTTCCACGGGCGCGGTCTCGCTGGAGATCATGGGAGCACCAGTGGCAAGTCGCGCGGACCTTGGCAATCGATTTACACGCGGTCGGGAGGGTATGGTTGGAATCCATGGTGTGTAAGCGTCACTCAGGTGCGTATCCGGGCAAGAAAGGTCGGCGACATTGTCTTGAATCAACGGGACGTCTAAGTTGATGAGTTTTCTTTTTAGCTTTCGGGGGTCTCGGTAGACTGAATTTCCAAGCGGAATGTACTTACGACGACCTCGACTGAGCAAATAGGACAGGTCTGCAAGCTTCAAGCTCGGTATACTCGGTAATGAAGGGACCAGGGTGAGCAAGGAGAACACGATCACGACCAGTAGTGGAAGCGCGCCCGGTTTATGCAGCCCGGGGCGCATTGTCCACGAGTCGACGGATCGTGGAGATCGCGACAGAAGAGGCTATGAATGTAATAACGGCTGATCTGATAGCGTGAATGCCATGGGGAGGTAAATTGTGAAGAATGCTGGCTCAGGGTATATAATTTTTGCCCTTAGTGAACGGGGAAGAAAAAGAAAGATCGTCTAGACCTTATCTTGGCGGCCGGAATCCCAACAGGAGGAAGGAACACACACACACTATGCAGGGGCTTGCCGGTGCTAGTTGATTTTCCCAGTGGGAACGAACGTTTTTTGTTCTTATTTTTCTTCCTTTTTCTCGCCCCGATCACCATCTATTCAAACCCATAAGGCTGAAGAAACAGAAAACCACTGGAAAGAAGGGAAATTATATCCAAGGAAAGAATGCCGGCGATCCAGCTGTCAGACTCCTCATGATATGCGTCTTGGCGTCTCTTCTTCTCTGGCATGACGTCGATGACCGTCGCACCGAGTAACGGGGCTGCAACCAGCCGGACAAAGATGATTCATGACCCTAATCCACTAAACTGTTCTCGTTTGTACTACATCACAATCTTAATCGTGTCCATCTATGAGCTTATTGCTCCCATTGAACCTTTTTTTTTTTTGTCTTTTGGGTCCGAACATTGAGTTTTTCGCGGCAGCTTCCAGGAATTGTGCCTGAGGCAGGGAGTCCCTGACAACTTTGAACCCACGGTTCCACACGTTGCCCCTGGGGCATGATTAAGGATATTTCTTGGTACGGAAGATGAAATTCGGGGCACTTTGATTAATTCAAAGTCAATCTAAGCCCTATTCAATCTGGTTCTTCGGCCAGGAAACCAGCTTCCAAGCACTTGAGCAGAAAAAAACAAGTTGTGAGCTAAAAGCAAGTTTCTAGACCATTTATTTACCTCCTCAATGGGGAAATTGATCGCCCATTTGTTCTTTCGCTTGTGTCCTTTGGGCCTAGCCGTTGATATGCTTTGATTTCGGTGTTTTTTGCCGATTCATGGTAGACAATAAACATTAACATCTAATTTTGCTATCTCTATGGTTGTAAGTCGAGAGAACATAGATGTAAATCCGCTCTAGCAAAACATTTCACTGAGAATCATCGTCTGATCTCTAATAACTCTTTCTGTAGGTCGCCGGTCGGAAAACAGTCGGAATCAAAACCCGGCCTCCAACTGCATCCGCTAAGCTAATCGGACAAAGACCCTCACAAAAATGGGTCATCTACTCCGATGACACAATTTCTGTTGTAGTTCACATGACCCCTCCAAGATAGCGATAGCTCCGCCAAGTAATCCATTTAGGGCCAGGTGTGATGTCTATAGAGAAATCGGGCCAAAGCGGAATCCCTTTTCGGTATGATGACGCTCATGGGGAATAAAAACGAACCTGAAACATTGAAAGTACATACGCCCCCAAATGTTCAATGGTAGAAATTTCGGTCGAAAGTATTGTGCTAATGCATGCTTAAATTCTCACTGATGCAAACCTATATACCTTTCTATATAACTCCCACTGATACTAGTAAGTCATTCCGGCCAGCCAGAATGATGCATTTTCCGCCATAATATACAAAAAGCATCACTGCAAGAGCCCCGCGCAAAATCCATCATGTTAATATACAAAAATTCACAACCCTTTTTCTATGCCATAAGATCTCTATATGCTGCTTCGTCATGGAATAGCCATGATCGACCTGGTGATGCCAGAAATGACGGCAGCCATTCCGGAAGGGGATATATGGGGGCATGCTGCGGCTTCTTGCCCCCACGGCTGTAATGTGATACTAAGCTGTTCTCCAACTGAAACCGTTCAGCCCCATGCCCCTGACCCGAGACAAGAGAGCCCGACGTAAGCTGCTGACCACCCTGTGTATCAAGTAAATGTGCGCTGTCATATGTTGTGCGTAAGGCATCGCGGAGAGTCTCGAGAATCTTGATGCCTTTCTTTGCAATGCCGTGGTGCGAACTGTGTCGATCAAGAACACTGAAGCCTTCAAGAAATGATAAATAGTTGCTCTGTAGGTCGGGCTCAATGTGTAACTGTAAATCGTTCATCGCTAAGACTCCTTTGTCTGCCTGGATGGAGAGTAGACAAATGCCCAGGTTGGCTAACGCTTCGACAAGAGAGGTTGGGAGCAAGAATAGTTTCTCTCCAGCGCCACCGTCTTGGTCGCCAAGCAGCGTATACAAATTGGTGATGCACGATATTACCTTGCAAGTTGTACCCATCAGAGTCCGGCGATGATGCAATGCAATAAGGTCGCATCCATTCTTTAGAACTGGAGACTTCTCTTGTTGAAGGCTGTTGCAAGGGTCGGCGAAAGCTTTGTATAGAGACGCCTTCGTAGCCCAAATGAAAAGGCGTAGCATTTCTCTTTTGGCAGGCAAAGCGGTATCAGCTGCATCCCATCTGGTATCCGGGTTATCCATCCAAAACACGGGCGGCAGTTGGTCTATAATGACTTGTTGGAATCGCTGTGTAAAATCCGCTATGACGATAGAGTCAACTCGATCATGCTGCCAGGAAGGTGGGCTCATAAACGCTGTCATGAACCGTGCCAATTTCATATGGAAGATCCGGTCTGTGAACGGCGTGTGGACGTAGGGGGTGATCGTGATGACTTCTAGGGTATCATGTGGGAGATCGATATCGAAGTAGCCTTCAGGAATCAACGGCCAGTGTCCGAAAAATGTAGACATGAAACTAACACAGACGACTGGGATTAGTGACGGATCTAGGGGCAGCATCTTTCAATCCACTATGCTTGTATACTTACCGATCCCAAACATACAAGGTCCAGAAAGTTCGTCTGCGAATCTCCATTTCCAAATCACTCACGGGAACCCCAGGATCCTTGAGATGTAATCCGATCTCATGAGCATCTTTCACAGTCGCACTAAGAACGGACCATGATTCTCGAATCCTCGCGCTGTTCTTCAGATAGAGGACATGACAGTAACGATGCTGGACTGTCACTAGTGAAGGCTTTTTGGACTGTAGAGACTTGTCGATCTCATCAGCAATAGCATAAAGCCATTGTTCGAACTGGTTTGGATGGGTCTTTATTATAGCCGTGGTGGGGTATCGCGAATGAGGAAGGGATTGGACACCGATAAGACAGATTCGAATCACCAGCAACCCGAAGTTCATGTCTTCATCCGACATATTATTCTCGCCCGCGAATTCATTACTTTCTTGTGTCATCCACCACGAGGTATACTGTGCCTGGAATGAAGGGGCATGAATCACCTCCTGAACGCGATTCATCTCCGTCAGGAACATGCTAACCAAGAAGTCGGCCACTGGTCGCTCAGGCCAAATCTTTCGACGTTGCGATGGCGAGTGATCTGGTGAGTATAGCAGCATATCTCTGTTTATCGCCGGCGAATTTCTATTAGATCGTTCATGTTAGGAATTTACAGAATAACCGATTCGAGGGGTTGTTGTATCGTCGACCCACAAGGTGTAGAGAGTGGGCGAAACGAGCGTATTCGTCCACGGTGATGCAAATCCTCTGGTTTCAAGAGTTCCCACGCTAGGGTCGTTTGAATCCGATTCGTGGGAGGAAATCGTCGTCGAGGTCTCCCTTTCTTCACTTTGATCTACCGCGGAACTCGATCGATGGATATTATGATAGATGCTGCGACCCCTGGAGGCATCCTTGGATGATGGTACATGGGAATAGACACAAAGGTGTTCCACCCCACGACCTACACAATGATTGCATGGGGTCTCACGATTACACTGCAAGATGGGCGTCAGAATTTTCTTTCTCAGGATCAACTGTGGCAATTTAGGTATTGAAGACCTTTTGCTTTCTGCGGTTGCATTCCAAACATGACTTTATAGGCTTTCGACGAGTTCTTTTCTCCGGTTGCATATTCAACAGGTATCATCAACCGAAATGAGAAGTTTCCTTTTTTCCAAGGGAAAAATTGAAAAAAAAGAAGATCTTTCTATCAAGGATAATGTGAAACCAAATCGGTGCCCGGCTTTTAGTATTGCGACAGTAAGCGCCAAGGAGAAAAAGGCCCCCATGGCAGATATTTACCCCAGTGCAGCTAAAACCACGTGTGAAATGCGATGTAGAAAAGTTAAAAAGCTTATAGCCTCAATCAAATTGATCCATTCTCGCCCTGTTCCAGTGGTGTGTTTCATCCATGATCGAAACTAGCGATCTTCAGTGATCCTTCAGCCCATTGACAGCATAGATATTCGTCACATCGCCTGATTAGGACCAGCCTGCCACATGGCAAGCAAGGATCATCCGGCTTTTCCAGACTTTGCAGATTTTGCAGGTTTTTCAAATGTAAAATATTCCCAACTTCCTAGCCATTTTCTCACTAAGAAACTCGGATATTCCAGCCCATTGTTCGTAACTGTTCGATGGACCCCGCGTATAGGGAAAGATGGCGACCAAGTGGGTCCCCGGCCAAACCGGTCAAACCGGTACCGCGGGCTGAAGACTGGGGGCCATATTCAGGATTGTTCAAGAGCTCGGAATCTCTCCGGCGACCTAAAGCCCCGACCCCCCGATCTTTGGGGACGGTTTTCAATGGTGTAGATGCTCGAATCTGATGATCTCCATATCGCACGTTACAACGGGAATATCCGTCCGATATACCGATCCTAACAATGCTTGAGTCGGTAGTCGGGGGCAAATGGCCTTCAGTGAAATTTCCGCCCAACGAGGAAAATGCGGTAAGCTCCGCAACCGTTGTCAGCACTTCTTAGTGCTCAGTAGCCCATTTTCCCTTTTGGGTTGGCTCTACCGGTCTATTGGTTCAGAAAGGCTGACGCAGGCGTGCCAATCTGATCTTAAGTCTTAGCCCCTTGTTAGTTGGCGAAGACCCGCGATCAAAAAACTTGCCTGGAAGTTTTTTAATAGTATCGGCTGTGGGCGCAGCTATCATTGTAATGTAAGTCGGGGATGCTTGGAATTTGGGGGTCGTTTTAGATATTGCTCATTTTGAAAGTTGATCTGCTAGATGCATGCCTTCCTGGGAAGTTTCGGTCCGGTTCGCGTATTCATGCAAGGGATGACGCTGAATATTCATGGTTGTTCATTAAGTGTGGAATTTTAGATTAAGAGGAACAGAACTTTGAAATCCATCATCTTTAATTTTATCCACCGGAGGGAAAGAGTGCCCTGGAATATTTATACTGCGACCCGTTACTTGGCATCTGACATTGGTTGAGAAAATATTTATCTCAAAGCTTTTTTGACTTCAAATGTTGAGGTAATACGCGGTTCATCTTCCCTATTTCAGACAGCTAATTCATCACCGAGTCTTATTTCCGATGCAAATGCCGAAGAGTCAAACCCTTCATCAAAGCGATGTGTGCAAACCTAGGGACTTTTAATAGTAGGAGACAAATGGATATATCATCCGATGAGAACTTGAACTTCAAGCGTGAGACCTAGAGAAAAGCCATGTTTTCAAGTTCCACTGGGGGAAGTTTATTTACGAATAACAAGCTAGAGCTACGGCATTACTTCTCGGTAGACTTTAGTGATATCTGAATCTTGAGGTAGTCCAAATAACCACTTCAAAGCCCTCGACTTATTAAATGTTTTTATCTTCATTACAACTTACAGTGGTAAAGTTTATTTCAAGGGGAATTTCATCTTGGAAGTCTGGATTTTCGGTCTAATCATGTTTGATGATTTTCTATACTACGCTTTCAAGTTGCACATAGTTAAACCCTCCAGGACCCATGTTTCCCAGGCGTCATGCGTCCGGGACGGTAGACTGAGAGTTTTGATAGGTAACAACATCGTTTCTAGACTTTCACTATGTGTCCTTACAGATACTATCTTAGAGCCGAAGTCTTTGAAGCTCGGTGGGTATTTTCGAAGTTTGTATAAGCAACAGAATCAAAAACTTTTTTGGAATTTCCCCAAGACGATGACTCAGAAAACATATATCGGTGACATGTACAAAGTAGTACGGGTTGTGGTTTATTCAAATGTTCGTTCAGTCTTGGATATACTAGTACAGCCCTGGAGCAAAAGTTAGGGATTCTATAATAGAGCAACAGATACATAGCATAATTAACTTGAGTCTAACTCTACCATGAAATCGGGGTTTGGTTTTTCTGTGATCATACACAACTTGTATCCGTCGGCCTCTCACCTGGGCACAACTATCCTTGCTACTAGGTATATCCATGTCGCATCGGTCAATGAAGATTTCTTTTCCACATGTCGCCTATGACTATGAAGTCTAGCTTTGTTATTTATTGAATACATGTCCAAAATACTACTTGAACTGCTATGAAGATATACAAACTCATGAAAGCCTCCAAGGAGTGTAGTTACTTAAAGGTTCACTAGGCTCGCCCCTGGCCCCCGCCAAGCCGGATGAAATTTGAGGATGTACATGACCGCCCCGTGTTGATTACTACCCCTGAACCTCATCTATATGGGCTCAAAAACTTAAAAAAGTGGATGTGAATTGTGAAATGCAAGGTTTGCGTGGGCAACTTGAATGGCGAGATGAGCCCCCACGCGCGGGTAGTGGGAAGGATAATGAAAACTCAGAAAAATCATCGAAATGTCAAAGGAATTGGAGAAATACCGGCGACAGAAATTCTATCTATTTTGATTGGCATGATAAAAACATGGGGTTTCTAGTGTCACTTCGAATCGTTGGGAGCTGCTTCTTACTGCGAAATTTGAGGATTTGGTTGATACGAATAATGCACGGACTATGGAGATGAAATCATCAGAACTTGTTCCTCAACACAAAAGCCATATCAGGTTGTACGTTTTATCACTCGCCTTGCAAAGCGACCCTGGGTAGTTGCAAAGCCCAAGAGGTGCGAAAAGTGTGACAATGGTAAAGGAGACGGGGCTTTGGGGATTGGGGGGGGGGGGGGGGGGGTATGATTATATGCCACGTAGATGTGGTACATATTGAGCGTATGAAATACATGGGCAACATCAAAATAACCGCATAATCATAATCGTCAAGAAAAAAGCTTGTAAAGCTGCAGGTAATTCTGTAAGTCAAATATCATTGAGTCTTTAAGATGCTAATAGCCAGTCAAATAATCATTTTAAAGTTTCGATTTAGTAACAAAGACCAGATAAGAGAACTATATCTTTTTATATTAGATGATCCTGGTAAAGCGGGGTCGACCAAGTTGAATAAGGAGTGATTTATCTCAGACCCTTCGTTCATGGAACCAATAATCGACCATAATATATTTTGCCATATGGTAATGAGGTCGGGATTTTTGACCAACAGATAGTGCTCCAAGTAGAACGTGGAAAGCAGCCCTTGTTGATTAAATCCAGTAACGATCCAAAGTTACTAATTAGTTAGGCTTTTTAGTGGAATGGGATTATCCAAAGCCCTGAATTCCTCGTACCCTGGCCGCTCAAGCAAATCAACATGAAGACCGGATACTCACAAAGCCACTGTAACATCCGCTTTAAGCTAAAGGTGGTGCAGGGATTCAGGATAGCCTTAGTTCCTCAGATTAAGTGCACGGGCCAGTCTGAGTAAAGACATTTAATGGACTTTGGATTTGAGTTCTCCAAGTCGTATAACTCAGCATAAGACGAAATCTAACGGGAACTGTTCCGAGCTTGTAGTCGAGTATTTCAAAATTAATAGTATTAAGTCACCTTCCCTAGATTCCCGACCGTCCTCTTGGAAATTCCCCCATACTTCGGCGGGTGATACAACCTTAGATGTTATTGAGGTTGAGGTAACGATCTCAGATGGTGGCAAGCAACGGCTTGCACCCTGGACCAGAGTCATAGCATTTGTGAAAGAGGGAGACTATCAACATGGCGAGAACGAGCCTTGACGGTCCATGGACTAGAAATATGATGTATACTGCAACAGTCCCGTACTTTCAGACGGGAGTTATCATTGTTGGAGATAGGGAAACTCTGATCGAGCAGTTGCCAACTGTTGATCTCAATCGAAGATCCACACCGCGGATTCATCATCCTGTAGCCCCGGCGGGCATGATCTCTCCAGATACAAATATCGATACCAACGGTGAACTCGTGAGACCTGACCCGCCGCAGCACCCGATGCTATCAAGGGCCCTGTTATTGAGCGACGCCGATAGCCCTTTGGAAAACTGACAATTTTTATTACCAGTAGACATTTGAAACATCAAGTAGTATGTATTGGTTTCAAAGATATAAAATGTGATTTTATGAAATAGCGAACATACTTTGCTTCTTTTCTTAAGAATAAACAATATTTGGCTGCCTCCCCTTGGGGGCACACCGTGACTACCCTGAGATGGTGGGGTCGCGGATTCGTGGTGACAGTCTAAAATATCTACTAGTACTAGTAGTCAGAAGTTTAACAACCCATGCTCTACCTTGTAGCTAACTCATCATTTGGAAGACGAGGGTTCATATATAAACATTTCATCAAAAATGGCTGAACTTGAGGCGATCTTGAAGTCTTTCGACATTTGGAGGTTACTGCAATAAAGTGAAGTCAAACAAGAGGTCGAGAGAAACTATGAAAAGGTGACTACATTGCTCGATATGCATGCGGAAAATCCGAAGATAGACTTCAATCTAAGAAATAAGTTCTCTCGGTGCAAATGCATGTTAGACGCATTTGTCGAATTGGCTAAACAAGCCAAAAATGACTGAAGACCCCGATGGCGGCACTTCGAAATGCTGAAATCGAATGGCCAACACGGCGCAGGATCTACATCAGGTTGAGAGACCCACCGCGTACTCGAATGAAAATGCGCCTACTCCTGATAGCTGGGATTTCATTCTTGGATGGCTTGAAAGCCTCCCTTCGGATATCGAAGATTGATATTTCATATATTTGCAGTTTTGCTTGCCATTGCATTCCTTTGTATTTCGCTGTGCCTTGTTAAATAACACAGATCATGTTTTGCATACGCAAAGTCTCAGTAGGAATCTAAAGGTTTCATGAATATTCAAACCACCTAATTGCTAGTTGAATTCTTCAGTATCTTCCTCCTGGTGACTTGTGCTGTGGCTGCGAACAAAGAGAGCAGATATAAAGCCCGCACACGCAAGGACTAACGCAAATTGGAAGGCTTGATGTAGCGCATCGAGGTAGCACTCATCGCCCGCGATACAGGTTGTTCCCTTTTCCACCGAAGCGCGATTTATCTGACGGTTGAAAACTGCACTTGCGAGAGATAACCCTAAAGTTGATCCTGTTGATCGGAAAGCATACAAAGCAGAAGTGGCTGTTGCATGTTTTCCATGTGGAACTGCATGCAACAGTGCAAGAATCAGCATCGTCAGGGCGCCACCCATTCCGAAGCCTTTAGAGAAAAGGTAGAGTTCTGGCAGAATCCAGTGTGTGCTCCTTGAGATCAGCGCGAAGCCCAGAGCTGCAATAGCCAGGAGCAACGTCATGGTATATCTAAAGACACCATATTGCCCAGACACTCGAATGACAAAGCCGACTAGAAATGATCCGACACCTGCACCGATGGAATCCGGGAGAAGACGAAAGCCCGTTTCGCTAGTGGAGTATCCCAGCATCTGCAGGTATAGAGGTACATAGAAGGTAAGTGCGTAGAATGACATTGACATGAACCAGGCGGTCAAGCAGGATGCGACCACAGTTCGCATACGGAAAAGCGACAATGGAATTATAGGCTCTTTGGCCCAGCCGTACTCGATAAAAAGAAAGGCTCCGAGGATTGCAAGTCCAAGCGGGATGACAACCATAGGTAGGATGCTCTCGGAGTTGGGCCCCTCGTGGTTAAGACCAAGCAATAACAGTACCAGCGAGGAGACCAAAGTGATGGACCCGGCAAAATCAACTCGTTGAAGCATCTCACCAAGTCCTTGTTTTTGCCCAGAGTGGTTCGGCACAAATGTCGCTACCCCCACGGCAGCAAGAAGGGAGATCGGAGCAATTCCTGTGAAAGCCCATCTCCAACCAAATGCATCATTGATTGCACCTCCTATCACTGCTCCTAAGCCCATTCCAGTCGTATACACGACAGCGCCAACTCCTTGCCAGATCCCTCGGCGGTGGAGAGGGATGTTATCGGAGGCTATAAACGTTGCGATAGAGATACATCCACCGCCTCCAATACCTGTTAGGACACGCGCAAGAACAATGACAAGCTTCGAGCGTGCGGAGCCGCATATAAGATTCCCGATGGTGAACATAGTTGACGCGACGCAGAAACTAACGCGTCGCCCGAATATGTCACTCAGTTTGCCGCTAAGCGGCTGTGTGGCTGTCAGGCCGATGAGATATCCCGAGCCTAGCCATGATACCAGGGCAAGAGAATCGAATTCATGAGCGATGGTTGCTGAGAGGGTCGAGGTGATGGTGCTGTCTGCTGCTGCAAGAAAAGTGGCGATCCATGTGGAGACGATCGCGGCCACCACTGCAGGGGCGACCTGCGGGTCTGAGTGTTGGCGGAGAAGGGGAGTGTGTTCAATATTTTCGGGCATGATTATATTCAGGCCATCGAAGAGGTCGCCTTGAAGATTGGGAAGGAAAATTAATCAAGGCATGGGGGAAATTGGTGTGGAATCTAACGCCCTCTTAGTGCGGCCACCAGGGGTTGAAGGGAGTGATGTACGATCTGCAAAAGAGATGACGTGAAGAATGAACGATGTACGGAGTATCCAACCATAGCAATGAGGTATTGAGTGTAATATTTTCTGAGTGTCACATAGTGTGACTGATTCTGTTTTTGCCTGAGCTCTTTATCATCACAACGGTGACTACCAGGGATCAGTCTCGATAATCATTCCGATGCAAGACTTTTCGAATCGAGAGCTGAAAAATGCCAAGCCACTAGTTCATTGACAGCACTCCCACAGTGATGGCAAATTTAAATCCGAATCGGAGTTCAATCGGATTCTCATGGATCCATTTCCATCCTTCCCGCCCCTTCATCATTCGCGTTCATTAACGTAATCCACAAGCGAGTGGCCAACATAAGCGAGCGGCCACTATGATAGGGTGCCTACGTCTCTACCGGTATGGAGAAAAGGTGCAAAAACAACGAATAGCAATGTTGAAGAGGGGAAGGAGAAAGGGAAGCTCTGCTACGTATTGAAGAGGGGAAATAGGCCTGTATTGGAATACTAGTCAGAAAAACCCACAGCAAAACATCAATATCTTTCCCTGGTCAACGCGGGAAATCAGTTGTAGAACGCGAGCAAAAGAGTGTAAGAAATATGTTGTGTGTATTTAATCGCAACGCGATACTAGCTGTGCCTTACCCTACGGTCTGAACACCAAACACGACTAGCCGCATTTGGTGACCCGCAGCGCAATGTAATTCTCACCGGAACGTAATTTTTTCGCCTTTATATACAATTTTCTTAGCAATTTAGAATTTATCATTGAAACCAATAACCTCTCCTGACTCGCTGTATAACGGTTCTGCCTCTGCCTCTCTTTGAGCCTCCGTAATACGTGGTGTGGTAGGAACACCGTACTTTTTCTCCAATTCTTTTACCGCCCGTCTCTCATCTTTTTTGTCTTCCTTTGCCTTCCTCTCAGTTATACTACGTTTAGCATCTTTAACACGTATAACACTATCATCACTAAGGCCCATAACACGCCGTCTAGTAGTTTTTCTCTCCCGCGGGGCTCGGATGGCGGCCATTTCCCGTATAGTAGCCGTAGTATTGGCTAAGGCATTAAAATAGAACTCTTGCTCATCTAAAACCTGTGCGAGTATTTTTTTTTCTTTAGGCGTTAAATCAGGCCGGCAGAGAAGAGGAGAGAGATATTTTTGCCTTTTTTCCACATCTTCAAAGGTTTTTGAAGGTGTGTTTTCAAGACTTGACGACAAAAGATCTGGTTCCGGAGAAGGTGTTTTCTCTCCCGATAGATCAATTTCAATGTCTGGGATAGGAGGAAGAGCATTTTTGAGGCTCTCACAGACTTTTTTTGCGTCAACTAGATAAATTCCTCGCTCTGAAAAGGCATTTCGACACATTCGGGGTGTCAAGGCTTTACCTCGGAATTAGTAAAGGTCGTTTAAGAAGGATAATTTTGATGCAAGAAGACCTCCACCCCATTAAGAAATAAAATATTCCTTACACCCCGAACCTATTTGACGATATCTCTTACAAACTGGCGGGCAATACCTATTACAATCCCCTTATCAATAAAAAAACAATAGGTTTTGGTCCTCATATATCAGTTAAAGATCTAGACTGTTTGCCAGAGTAATATTGCGTACTCCTTGGAATTGGGCTTTCAAATGGTTATCACCGATATTTGTTTTATATTAAGCGGTATACTCTCGAACTGCCTTATCTCGAAGTCCAGGAATGTAAAAGTCGTCATTGGATAGGCTATATAGTGATGGAAGTATTGCTGGGGTTACAAGTAAATTGAGCACCTCTGGTTGAGGGGAAGATTGTACCCCATTAAAGTGAAAATTAATGGGATAACTTCCAGGGGTGTCAGTGATCTTATTATTCTTGGATTGTTGGCTCTCCAGTCTATGTCACTCTACAGTATACTTTTACTGTACAGGTCTTTGGAATTCCAAAAGAGTACTCTTGCTGTAGCTTCGCCCCGTAGTCGAGCCAATATCTACAAGGCACGGAAATACATTCAGATTTTTCTTCTTTACTAAGATCTTCAATAGAATTGTCTTGCATTCAGTATATCAACTAGGATATATTCTCTTACAGCTTGTCAAATATTACCCTTTCTGTATTAGGGCGCCGGATACAATTTTTTATATACATAATATACTTTGCCTAAACTTTGTAACCTTAAATATCATCTACTGTCTGCATTGACAAGCAGAGGCTGAAAGATCTCGCATACCGCTGTATTAGGGTTTACAAGGTAGATCTCTTTGGAGGCCTATACTGTTAGTTCAGAACAAGCTAGATATGGCATGCCGATCTACCTTCTGGTAGAAAGAAGTTGAACTATGGCGAATATTTTCAATATACTATTACTCTTAATTTACACTTGTGGCCAACTTTGAAAATTTACCAGGGCAAACCACTCAGACAAAAGACGTTGAAGAGATAACTCAGGATTTTCTGCGAGGTACTTCAGGTGACTGCTGATGGTAACCCTGATTTTGATATATTGTTGGACTGGGACGAGCTCTATAGTCAGTTCAAGTAAGCTGGACAGCTCGAAGGTCTAGATAAAGTAATTTAAGTGTTTTGTCGAGACACCCAAGCTGCCCTAGACAAAGATGACCTCTTGAAGCGACTAAACAATCCCGGGAATTATCTTGTGGATGTGTATATAGACAGACAAGCCACATTGAATACTTGGCTGAGTAAAGAAAATTTCTCGCGCGACATGACCTCTTCACCTTGTTTAACCGTACTCCTTATTCTCCTGAATCATTTCACTTCCATCACGCGTGTCAAGAAAAGTCAACTCGACCCGCTGTCCAACATCGCGGATCTGCACTGGCGAACGGAAAATCTCCTTCGTCGAGATACCAGGGCCAGTATTGCGCAAATACTCAGTTTCTTTAGATTGCAATGCTAGTGCTACAATTTCCGAGATTGAATCCCAGCTGGATGAGCTGCGAGAGTTAAAGCAGACGTAGACGGTGTGGGCAACAACTAGTAGACAGTATATGAGTAGTACTATAATCGCGGCGATGGAGGTGGCTCCGCCCAGAGAGTATGCGTAGCCGTTCGCGGTCACAGACATTGTGAACTTGGTCTTGTTGGTCGTGTCAATTCCGGACATGTCCCAGAGCATGCCTCCGGGGCCAAGTTCGCCTCGCCCCTTAGCTTGCTTCTGGGGCATCAGGGCCTCAACCCACGTAGGATCACACCCCCTGGGAGCAGGCCGACGGCCCTGAATCTCAACGTTAGGGTTCAGATTTGATAAGCCATTGCTCACCATCATGGAGAGACTAAGCTCCACAGCGGAAGTGAGATCCCGAGCGCGCTTGCTCGGGGGTTCCATGGGCCAGAACCCCGCGGTTGAGATGAGAGTCTCGATAACACTTTGATTTGTGTTCGATATTCGTGGGTTTAGATAATTTGCCCATCGAGGCGAAAGATGAATACGAGGCAGCGCTATAATTCTGTTCGACGTGTCTGTAGTGCCGTTGAGATAAGTTTCTGCGGCCCATGCCTGGTCATGATACTGGCGATGATTTATTTCGTAATCCCCATCGACCCAATGAGCGTCTATTGTGCAGCTTAGGAGGGTGCCATTTCTTGTCGGACTCGGTGGAATTGTGACAATGGCACCAAGAGAATGATTTCCAAGCTCATGGTCGGCGAGTGGAATCCAAAGAATGTCCGGGTGGGTATTACTAGCGTTCCCGATGGCGCGAGCTAGCGATTTTGAGTTGGACACATTAAAGCATTCAGGGAGAGGCACTGGTACATCGCTTGGGGAGTGCTCAAGCATTGGAAAGTAGATCGGATCCCTTTCTCTTATCGAGAGACTCCGTATGCGACAGGCAACCGTGGTAACTGGTTGCCGTAACTTCGGGATTCTCCAAACCGCACTCGTTGCCCAATTGAAATGCTGGCGTATAGGAGGACATACAGGTATCTCAGCCCAGAATGTCCCTGCTACTGACAGCGCATCCGCCAGTGCCGATGTCAAGCTGCTAGTAACTGTCAATGGGTAGGAGACCGAGCTAAAGATATTCATCGAGCGAAATCCATATTTCCCAATCACGCGCGTACTTGACGGGAACTCGACCCAGGCGTACGGGTCATCCGGTAGGGTCAAATGATGGAACATGGGAAAGACCCCGGCCTGAAACGCCTTCCACCCAGAGAATGGACAGTCGAATTGACCTTTGTCAAGCAGGCAACCACGATCAACTCCATGATCGGTGACCTCGGACGGCCAGAGCTTATCCTGAGTAGTATTGAGCCAGAAGTCTGTCCCACCGGCCTGCCAGTCGTCGACCTTGGGCACCATCAATACACCCGACGAGGGTCCGACAATAGGCGCCAGCCAGGTTGCTAGTATAAGGACCAAAATGAAAAGCTTCCCATGTGGTCTCCTCCATTCCGAACCAATCATTCCCCACAGCTCTTTGGACCAGAGATAGTTGACATTGCTAAACTGCAAGCCTGCAAAGATAGCCCCAAAGGCTATTTGTTCGGCTACTATTCGGCGCTGGACGAACGTGAAGATAATCAAGGAAAGTGATGCGAGCATCGTAATCTCGTGGAGCTTTGTCGCAAACTGCAGTGCGCCTAGCTTCGCGCTGTTGTAGCCCTCGATCCCCGGGACTTCGCTTCCGAGCCAGTATCCGTATATATTTATCCATACTAGAAAGATAACTGCACTGAATGGGATAAAATGAATGAAAAGCTTAGATAGGGCGACCGAGCGGCTTCTCCAGACCGCAACCTTGGGGTATTCTTCTTTCTGCCCTTTAATGGTGGTGTAGATGATGCCAAGCCCGAAAGCGCGCAGGACGGCTTCCCATCGGGTAGTTTTAGGGAGCGAGGATGGGTTTGATTGAGGTCCTCTGGGCTCATAGGCAGTATAATCTGTTCTAGGCAAAGTCAGTTGGAGTTGTTTGATGGGTGTGACACAAAGATACAGACAGTAGATAGTTTGTGTCTTTTGTGTCTTTTGTGTCATTATATCGCAACCTCGAAGGCCATGTCAGGGCCCGCATCGGCTGATTTTCGTAGTGCAAAGCCATAGTAATCTGAAAATTGAAAGCCCCCAGTGATTATAACAGCCCCATCCCAGGCCCAGTAGAGTTTATAAGACATCGCTAGTTGTGCTGCTAATTGTGCTGCTTTCGCCGAGTCTAAGCCCTGCTCTTTTTCGGTCTGTTGCGCTGAAGCCTCATTGACGCTGCTGCACGCACGGTCTGACTTCTGCTTCGAGTTTAGAAATGACGCAGGGTCTACTGGTAGCTTGGTTATCTCTTTGGTATCGACCAACCAGCGCTCGGTGCTCGTTTTGGGTGCATATTTCTCCACGGCCCTATTACCCATTGGGGCAGCATGCTGAAATCCTTTGGGCGTCAGGAGTTCACGCTGCGGCTGAGAATAAAACCAACAGACTTGGCGTTACCTAAGGCTTCTTATTAACTTCCAAAATTGGAGGAAGTATTCCGAGGGGGCTGGGGCGCAGGCGGCTAGACAGGCTAGAGAATACATAACCGTGCTGTCTCACCGCCTCTCCGCACCCACCCTGAAGGTGTGTGCTCGTCACACATATAACAAATTTTTCAAAATTATCAACTTTGAAGCCTTCTAAATACCGCAAAACATGCCTAGATAATTTAAAAACGTCGAAGATCGTATTCAAGATACCGTTGCAACCTTCTATCAATACATAAAGCCTAAAATCACTGGAATAGCTAAGTAATTTGATATTCAAAATTGCATATTTGTAGCCGTCGGTCTGGTCCCCAGCTTTGGAATCAATATAGCAGCCTTAAAATAACACTGCTTAAAGCCATTTGATCTTAGCATTTCCAAACGTTGTTTGCCTTGTTTGCAGAATCCATGTTCTAGAAGCCCTTGAGACCATTCAAGCCTGTTACGGATGATATTTTACGTTGTTATTTACACCAGTACTGAATTACTGCCAAGAAATGGACTCAGGGGCCAATTAACCATAATAGGTATAGCGAGTTTTCAGAAGAGGGTTCGAGAGAGAATCTCCGTGTGCAGGTGGTGAAACTGATTTCGATCCTCCCTGTATTGAGAAAGGCCAAGCAGGAGGTCTCAAAGAAGCAACGCCGAGAAAATAGCCAGGACGAAGGCCAAGCAGGATAATTAAATGACGACTCTAAGGCTTCGTCACCCATCACATTGCCTCGAACCTACCCAATCCGCTTACCATTAATGGTGTCACACTACTCCGAATTTTTGCACTTGAAATCAGAGTTGACCAGATATATGTTGTAGTCATTGAAATAAGTTAGTTAAGTAGGTAGCGGAGGCTTAGGTAAGAGCAGCAAAACCACTTGCTGTGGTGAGGCTTAGCCTCCAAAAACCCCAACATAATGATTTTCCAAACTGGTGCGGGACACTAGATAGCGGTAGAGGTCTAGTACTCTTGGCACGAATACAACAATACAGGGTTTTTCGTAGCCTGGCTTAGCTTAGGGATTCGAGATCAGATCTCAGAGCTAAGGGTGTATCAGGAGTCAGGAGTCACGTGACTAATGATCCTGGTGCCTAAGGCATCAGCTCACTAGATAGCTCTCTCTCTCTCTTGATCGTTCTTCTCTTCTCTTCCCCGAATCACCCCACTCAGTGGTTTCCCTAGTTCTTCAGTCCTTTCTTTCTTTCATCTAGCCCCAACTAGCTGTTTCACAGTCTCTCTCTGTCTGTTCTAGCTTCATACGTCGATACAGATGCCGACAATAATATTAACCTTGGTATTCAGGTATCAGAATGCTGACACAAAACTAACTTGATCCAGTAAAGCGTGAATATAAAAAACACCATTCCGATTGGTTCAAATAACTGGGTCAAGGCAAAGTGCCTTCGCAGGAAAAATAGTATACACAGAACACCGCGTGCGGTAAAAAAAAAAATTGCACCTGACGTTATATCGGGGCTCATAGAAAAAAAAAAAAAAAAGAAATGGTAGAAAGATCTAGACTATCTCAATAGCCGTGACTTTTATTAAATTCTGTAGAGATACATTCACACATAATTTATACTATTTATAATGGTAATTACTACTAAGACTCATAGCTCGTCCTTTTCTATAAATCCCCCAGGTTGTTGGAATCGCAACGGTTTTTCCCCCCGTCTCTTCCTCCAATAATTAGTCGTCGTGACAACCTCCGGACATTCTCGAAATATCCATGTCCACTTCTTGAAGATAGCTTCAGAAACCTCATATGCAGCTGGATCCCACGATTCGCCCCACACAATCAAACCGAGTGCATCCGACGCGCCGATCCCACCGTGCATATCGCTGCAGAGCTCATCCTCATCGTATTTGTCCAAATTTCTCAACAACGCATCTCGGAAAGATCGCACAGGCATAAGGTCGATCCAGGGATGGTGGATAATTTCTCTTTGGCAAGAGCTTGGCTGCAGACTGGTTGGTAATTGTAGATCCGATTCGATCGGCCCAGAAATATTAAAATGAGAAGCAATATCCTCTTCGAGCGCATGGAAACTGAGTCCCAGTATCGAAGCATTGTTTAGCAGCGCTTTAACAATATTGAGATTTGTGACGGGTGCAAGGAGCTGAGTGTAGTCTAGGCCGGATTTTGCAGAGGCGATTCTCATTTCGAGTTGCGTGATCAGGTGATTACAGCGAAAATTCCATGTTTCGACAACGTTGAAATTATGGGCGTCTTTTTCATCATTGTAACATCTTGCGCCGGATGGTGTTATAGCCTTCAGCGACTCCGGCTGCTGGTCTTTGCAAGGGCCAGGTTCTGCGAACCTTTCAGCCCCTTCTGTATAGATGATCCATCGCTTTTGTTGGTTGAATGCGATTTTTCCGGACTTGAGCGCTTTTCTTTCGCCTATTTCAGTCTGAATTAGAACAGCCCTTTATCTGATTGATGGTGGCAAAATGGAGGTGCTGCTTACGACTAGCCCGCTGATTGATGCGGTTTTGCAGCCTTCGTTTCTCTGCAGTATCTAGTTGTGTGGAATGATCGACTCTGGTAGTGTCGAATTTCGTTATTTTGTGAGCTGTGAGGGGGGCCATGGTGAGTAAAGGCGTGGGGTGAGATGTCGTATGTCAAGATAGGGTTGGGCTTGGAGTCGGTATAAATAGCATTTCGGGTTTAACTCTAAACGCCGCATCCACCCAGTGCGGCAACCCAAAAAGCCTATCTAGGCCCCGCTCCCCTAGCTCTCCACGAAATATCTCAAGGATCACGAATCGAGGTTAAATGAAAGAAACATGAATCATTTCGAATAAATTGAATTCGAACAGTCCCCTTCATCAGTGGCGCAATTCTAAAGTATTGGACTTGGCGATTCACGAAAATTATCTACGTCGATCACTTTTAGCGTGCCTATGGATGCCCTCACGAGTGAATTTGTGCTATTCTATAGAGCGCAATGCGTTTTTTTGTTCCCTTTTAATGAATAGATTTCTTTAAGTAGTTTCCGGTTTCTCACTTGCATCTTCTAGTCAAAGCACCTACTTATGCGACAAGATCTATATTCGAGTCTTCTGTCGAGACTGAAGAGGCGGGGAGGTCCACGAGTTGAACGACGAACCTTTTTTGAAGCTGCGGGGGCAGAATAACTAGTCGTAGGTTTCAGGGACTCTTGCAAAATTACCCTGAAGTATACTACTGGGCATACGTTGGGCCACCTTTCCATGCGCAGCCATCAAATTAGCCAACCCATTAGGATTATAGGACGACCAGCCGGCTCGAGGTAACCCATGAGCCGGATCTTTCATGAACTCCAGATATAGATCTTGCTAGTCAGCAGACATAGCGGCCTCTAATCTTTACCTTGGACCTCCATCATGATATTTCCCCCATGTTTCGAACAGCAGTGGAAGCTCCGAGGTATGGTATGCGCCTTGCCATGGACGAGGGGATATATTGCTGAAATTGGCGTGATTGAAGTATAGCATTGATAGCCCGAGAAATAATACTACTAGTAGTATCATATAAGCCGCCCGGGTGTTGATTAAATCCAGTAACAATCCAAAGTTACTATCTAGTTAGGCCTTTTAGTCGAATGGGATTATCCAACACTGGGCGCTCTAAAAAACTAGCGAGGCTTTATCTATTCAATTCCTAAATGGCGAGGCAGGGAGAGAGAGTCATTATTATCCTGAGCCTGAATAACCTAGATCATTTCTGTTTGAAGAGAATGGAATAACAAAGGTTGACTTCCCACTTGTAAATTAGAAAGGTAAAGTGACCTCGGAGTTTATGGGGAGACTTTCAAGCCACCCAAGAGCGAGGTGCCAACCAGAAGGATTAAGCTCCAAATTCTGTGTAGATCCATCTGAAACGAATGCTGGTCTTCGCAGCCTGACATAAAGCCTCATCCATGTACCTTGATCGAACCCAACATCCCGTGTCACTGTCCTCGAAGCTCCGCTTTCTGTATTTTGTGACTGCTGGGCAACCTATCAAGTACTTATCTGCACCGAATAAAGCTCTTTGCAATATCTCACTATTCTGCTTGTTTTGAGCATGCATATTCAGAAGTTGCCAAACCTGGTCATATTTTTCCTTCACTTTTCTTTTCGGCTCAAAGTGTTTGGCTTACTCTTCATTAGGCTCGAGAGTGGAGCTCAACGGACACATAATAATGGCGATAAATATCATGCCAGAAACATAAAAATGGTTCAGGTCTTCGCAGGCTGCGGTGCTTGTACAGTTTGCTGCAAATTTTGTTTCACTCCCTTTGTGCTTGACTATCAACTCGACAATTTTAGAGGCGGATTGAACGCAAGATTTGGCATTGGAATTAACATTCAGCATTGGGGAGAAGTTCTTTCGGCCAGATATATTGTCATCCTCGCCGTGCGGCAGTTTAAAATGACAGACACATCGAATAGAACTTGCAACAGCCAGCTTTGGAAAGCGAACCTCGGCCGGTACATACGTAGTAGGACATATTCACGTCGTATAAGAAAGCCTCGGGATAAGGAATGTCTGATATGCCACTGCTTATATCGTTTAACGACTTGATCAGTTTCCCAGGGTGATTCAAACTTTCAGGAAGCTTTCCAAGTTTGTCGGAGATGCATCCAGTTTGAGGAAGCCTTATGAAGCCTTCATATGGAACAAGCTCCTCTGTATCTTGATAGAGATCCATGGAGGCTTTGAGGTCCCGCAACAATTTTTCACTATTCCTTTGATCAGGATAGTCTTCGTCAGTTTCTATCAGTAATAAGTTCTCATGATCCCAGGGAGTTCGAGATAGCCCCAACCGATAGTCAAGAGTTGGAACAAGGGCCTCTTTACCAATTTTCATAGAAACAGAGTTTCGAAGGATACAGACACTACACCATAGGCGAATCAAGAACCCAATAGCACGGCGGGCTTCATGAGAACCTGACATAACTGATGGTAAGAAGATCTTGATTTCTGTATGTAAGGCGTCCCTCGGCGTGAAAATGGTCTCCTACGCATCTTCCGGGCGCCCGGTCGCCCAGAGGTATTGAGCACGGAGAACATCACACTGAATAAAAATCAACCTGTTTTGGGTGGCTTGGCTTTCTCCGGCACAATTCAACTGGAGCTGGTAGGTCTCAAATTTGGGCTGCTTGGCTGTTCAACTCAATTCAACAAAATGGTAACAGTAGATAAGAGAAACGATGAGTGAGAGAAACTGAGAGAAATGGAGCGACGGGGGAAGGGTCCTCAGGGGTAATGGGGCTATAACTTCAACTATGAGTACTTATTAGGTGCCTAATCAAAGAATGATCAGTACGAACGAACTCGAACTACTAGAAGGGGGGTAAAAAAAGAATCACGGAAACCTATATAGGGTTGTTTGCTCTAATTCCATCAGGCTAGTGTATACATACTACACCCGGGCGCTCGTGGTAGACAACTAAGCCACTCAAAGGGCGGACATATACAAAAGAAATATAGGCAAGCTACGGACCATCAAGCACTATAGATATTGACTGCATGTTGATTGAGGATATGTGTTAATACCTCAGGCAGTTCAACATACAGCAGGGGTATAGTTGAGGCCGCAGATCCGCACCAAACCCTCGGCCCGGATGCCTAGGATGCGCTAGTGCACGATTGTGACAGGTCGGTGTGATGGCCCCAAACTAAAAAGCAAAGTCCTTCCCTTTTGAATTCCTGTAATTTGCGCTGCTCCCATGACTTTCAACCTTACAGCAACCCTGAATTTATCGGCTGGCAGTTGTGGACCATCCCGGGCCGTTCAGGGACAGGAGCGGCAGGTTACAAGTCCCGCTATCATCCAGCGGGCCGCCCGACTCGCTTGAGTATTGCTTTTGATGGCCCATCCAAGAGACCAGGGTTGGTTGTACTTCGTTCGAGGGGCAGTGTGGGGGGTATCTACCTTCTATCATTAGTAGCCTAGTGGGTTGTACATCAATTTGGAACCGTTGAGGGTCAGCCCCGAGTGATGGTGAGGCTATTCGTAAGACGAAATTGGCCGATAATGCACAGTGTGTGTGCGGACATGAGCATACATAGAACTTGTCTGATAATTTGGGCTATATTTCTTGATTACTAGGTTGGTGGGGCTGGTTCAAGTTCTATCAGCGGGCCAGGATGCATCCTTCATTATGGCATAGTAGTCTCGGAACACACTCACCTGCCAGTGGTGAGGCAGGGTAATATTATTTTGGTATAGCCATATAATCTTCGGGGTGGTTGGAGACCCCGGGAACGATGAAAAGTACACCGCAACATACACCGGGGGGCCGGGGCGATAGCTTATAAGTACCAGTGATCAGTGCGAGATGGGTGACGAGGGAACCCGGATAGGGTAAGATGGATGGGGTATCTGGTCGGTTGCCCATCACACCCTAGGGCATATATTAATTATCCCACTATATACCAATAGCAGATGGTCACAAAACAAAGGTTCCGTGATATGGGAGCGAACTCATTTTTCCGCCTCGTTCACCAGCTGCTCGACCTCTTGCTCTGTCCATCGATGAAACAACTTTCGCGCGTCGGAGAGATCGGCCTCCTTGGGTAACCCGTTGTTGACCGATTGCACATGAAGGACAGGAACATCATAATCATAAACCTCTTTCCATGAGACATTGACCGGATCCATAATATCCTTCTCCACGTATTCGAACGGCCGGCGTTTTTGGAGCTTAATAACGGTATGTTTGGCGGTGTCGCACAGGCCGCAGCTCGCGCGCGTGAACAGGGTCAATCGGGCTTGACTCAGGAGGGAGCGGGTAGGAAACATAATTGACAGCAATAACAACAACAACACCAATCTCAAAAGGACGAGGCACGTAGTAGGCTTGTAGATCGAAGGGGAGGATTGATAGCGGTCAGACTCCGCGATGGAACCTTCGAGCTTCGCGGGGCTAAACCTCTTTAGGCAACCCGTTCAAGCGCCATTGCCAATGTCACTGAGTTTCGGCAATTTCACTTAACATCCCCCTCTGTGAAAGCTCCCATTTATAATCCCCGGCGCAAGCTCGTTACACACCATGACTGAAAAGTGCGTCCACAAGGGATGTGGCAAGACCTTTTCCGACCCGGAGGAAGACTGCGTATACCATCCGGGTCCTCCAGTGTTCCACGAAGGACAGAAAGGTAAAGTACCTTGGTGTTTTAAGCTATTCCGCATTCAATCTCAAGTGTTGTTGCTGCTTGTTAAATCTTATTTAAATCTGACAAATCCTTTCGCAATTGAAAGCTAACTCGAGTCAAACCCTCTTTCAGGTTGGAAATGTTGCAAACCCCGCGTTTTGACTTTTGAGGAATTCCTCGCCATTGCACCTTGCACTACGGGGAAGCACTCGACTGTCGACGATACACCGGCTCCTGAGCCTCCTAAGGTCACTGAAGAACCTCCTGCCCCGGCTCCCGTCGAAGCTACAAAGACCCTGCCCGAGCGACCGGCAATCTCCAAAGCTATCCCAACACCAACTGCCCCCGCCAACCCACCTCCCGCAGAGCCTGATTCCGATGATCCTTCTTTAGAGATCCCTGCTAATGCGACATGCCGCCGAAGGGGATGCGGTACTACTTATACTGGATCTGCTGCGCGGGATGACGAGAAATGTGTACACCACCCAGGCCAGCCGGTCTTCCACGAAGGCAGTAAGGGTTGGTCCTGCTGCAAGCGCCGAGTGCTCGAATTCGACCAATTCTTGAAGCTTCCCGGTTGTACAGAGAAGACAAGGCATATGTTCGTTGGCAAGGCCAAACCCCCCGGTGAAGAGAAGGTGGAAACTGTTCGGTGAGTGCTGAGTTACAATAAACGGCCGAGAATGAGTCGAATTCGGTTCAGTCAATTACAGCAAGCAACATGCTAATTGTCGCCTTTCTGCTTTTCAGCAACGATTTCTACCAGACTACTTCTTCCGTCAACGTCTCTATGTACTTGAAAAAGATTGACAAGGAGCGCGCCACCGTCAAGTTCGCCGAAAACACCGTCACTTTTGATCTCCCCACCACCGACAACAAGCGCTTTCAAGATACCTATAGTCTGTTCGCACCAATTGATACAGAAAAGTCAAGCTTCCGTGTGCTGGGCACCAAGCTGGAGCTGACACTTGTCAAGGGAGATGGGACAAGCTGGCCAGTGTTGCGCAGCGATGATAAATGGACCGGGCAACGCATTCAGATTGGAAATGCTGGGCGCGCATGAGAGTTGTGCTTATAGATTATTTGGAAAAACTTCGATTTACGTGTGCATGTGATTTATGTCGGAACTTGGTGATGTGATGACTTGGGTAGCTAGATAGCTTTCCCTTACGATGAACAGAAATGCTTGTTTTCTTTGAATGGCTCGTTGCTTGGCCGTGGAAGCCGGTGCATCATTATGCGTAGTGCGTAGAGCAATTGGCCCAGTAGCACGTACCACCAAGCATGGCTTTTCAGCAGACAAATTTATAAGATACACGGACACAAGGCTTCGAGATGCGAAATGCAAATTGAAGATCCAATTTATATGTGGCGTATCAAGGTTCTGACAGACCCTGACAAGCTCTCAAAAGATCGGAGGTTCCACATGGTAGGACATCCAAACTTAAAAAGAAACTAGCCTTGAGCCTTACTGCCAACGAACTTTTACGATGCGATCGTTTTACTAATTCCTTAATCTGGAACTTCGGATATTTTCCCAAGATTGCCGATTGCCCTCAAATCTTGCCAACACTGAATAAAAAGACCTAAAAAAGGTATGTCGCGTACCCTCCACAGCTGAAGCGCATGGAGCTCCCGTAAGGGAACCCTAGCCCAGCCATATTTGTTTGGGAAAAAGGGAGACACTGTTTCTCTGCAGGGCCGGGAACGGAAGAAAGCCCATGGCGGTAAAAACCGAAAGGACAACCCTCAGCAAGCCACTTTGTGGAGCCCCGGTGGAAATTTACATAGTATGTAAACCTCTACTGATGATGAAGAAAGAAAAAAGAAACCTTCCTGGGCGCGGGCGTGAGCCTGTTTATATACCATAGAAAACTGGAATTGCGCTAGCTTGGATTGGGACTGGCAGAATAGTTTCCCCGATGACCGGTGACTAGTCTCAAAGTGGACTCTGAAGCTAGTCCAGATGTGGAAGGTAGGGTAAGTCATGTCTAGGGCTAGTGAATCCCAGGTGATCCGGGTCACGTGCCAGGGGACCTTGGTGGCGTTCGCAGATTCAGTCATGACTAACGGATACTAACAATAGGCCAGTTTACCCGAGCGATGGAGATTTTCATCTGAATTTGCATGATTCGGTAATTCGGGAATTTTATCTTTTGTTCTAACCGTTGACATGAGGCTTGAAGTGCTTGACAGGTTACACTGCCAATGTTCAGCATGTTAACTCCCAAGTAATAGTATTCATGATACTCTATACATCCCCGTAGACCTGATAGTCACAACAAACAAAGAATCCAGTTTCACCATGACTCTCTCACCGATATTTCTCCTCTCTCTAGCCTAAAAAGCAAAAAATAGAAATTCCATGTTGCATTCTCCATGGATCCCACTAATTGGGGCAGCCTTAAGTCTTCCAATCATGGGTCAGGAGCACGAGACCCAAAAGCCCGTGTGTCTCAACTTTCCCGTTGGTTTAAACCTTACACAACTTCAGGCCGCAGCCTTATACCTATTTCCACCCATTCCACATGCGACCTCTTGCCTCCTAAGGAAGAAAGGGGCAAATCAATAACATAAGAACTTCCATTTTGTGATTCAAACAACTTCAACTTCCCGACTCTCCCTATCATCCACCACCTTTTCTTGCAGCCTTCCTTCTGCAGATCTCCCGTTTCTCCATTTATTTCTCAAGGTGATTTGTTGAGCCTCCCAAGAAGAGGACCCTGTCTCAGGATTTCCAGACTAACCGTGTTAGCCCCATCCAGCCAAGTGCTTGAATTTAAAAAGCCGCGCTTTCGGTCCTGGACCCTGAAAACCACACTTTTCCCCCCCCGATTTATTTCCCACCCCTATTCCACAACATAACCCCCCACCATGGGCTCCCCAAAGAACCAGACCACCGCGCCAAACCTGCGATACATTCCTCTATCCTATAGCCCCGCAGACTCTCAGTCTTCCGCTCTCCGATTGATCCTTACTCTCTTCCCCGACTGGGAGGGTCCCAACAACAAGATCGAGTTCGTCCGCTTCACCGATGGCATTACCAACACCGTGCGTTCCTCCTACCACCCCCAGGCCGCCACCTTGCTGGACTGTTCCGAGTCCAAAAGGCATCTCATATAATTGGTGTTAACTTTCGCGATCCTCTAGCTTCTTAAAATTATCAATCGCAAGCCAGGCTTGACAGACGAGGAGGTGGATAATGACGCCGTGCTCATGCGCGCATATGGAAATGGCACCGAGATCCTTATAGACAGAGAAAGTATGAAGACCCAGGCTCCAGGATTGCCATCTCCGCGTATTCCTTTTAATTACCCGGCGCCCTTCCTGCCCACTGCGACAATTTGCTAAAGTAATCCCTTCGTGGCCATTTTAGGAGAAACTACATCCCATGCCCTCCTCGCTAGCTGTGGCCTCGCTCCTCCTCTGCTTGCGCGCTTCAAGAATGGCCTCCTCTACCGTTTCATCCGCGGAAAGCCCTGTGGCCACGAAGACCTCGCTACCCCTCCTATCTACCGCGGGGTTGCTCGGCGCCTTGCGCAGTGGCATGCCCTCCTCCCCAATACCGGTTACAGTTCTACGCCGGCCGAGAATTCTACTGAAGCCAATGGTATAAAGGAACAGGAAGACTTTGAGTTCATCCAAACGCGCCGCCCTGGTCCTTCTATGTGGGCTGTCCTCCAGAAGTGGATTGTTGCGCTGCCTGTTGCCACGCCTGAACAGCAGGCCCGCAGGTTAAGCCTGCAAAAGGAACTCCAGTGGGTGATCGGGCAACTCGATGACGGACAGGGTATCGGTGAAGACGGGGTAAGTCATGATCGCCAATAATTCTTGTTTATTTTGTCTTTCGATTTGGTTGGAACAAGTTGATTAATTTTTTTTGTCTTGGTTCCAGCTCGTGTTCTCACACTGCGATTTGCTTTGCGCGAATGTGATCGTCCTGCCCAGTGACGACAAGTCCAACACATCGGATGGCATTGCCCCCATTAACTTCATCGATTACGAATACGCTGTGCCCGCCCCTGCGGCGTTCGATATTGCGAACCACTTGGCTGAGTGGATTGGCTACGACTGTGATTACAACATGATCCCCACCCAGTCAGTGCGTCGTCAATTCTTGACTGAGTACACCAAGAGCTACATTCAGCACCGTGGCCTCGACGCCTCATCTGAGGAAGAGATCGTCGCCAGGTTATACCATGATGTGGATCGATTCCGCGCTATTCCCGGTCTGTACTGGTAAGTGACGTACCCCTGTGGAAATTACCGCCACAGCCAAGCTGCGAAAATGTACCTCAAGCTCTCCTGAACTAACATGTGATAAACTACAGGGGTGTATGGGCACTTATCCAAGCCCAGATCTCACAAATCGACTTCGACTATGCCAACTATGCTGAGCTCCGTCTCGGCGAATACTGGGCCTGGAAGCGCGAATTCGACGGCTCCCGCCAGGCCAGCAACGAGGAAATTCCTCTTCGTGAGAAGCGCTGGGCGCAGGAGGCATAAATTGCTAGCTGCATATTAAATGTCGAAACTGGCCCGTTTCTTTTTCTCTCCATTCTCACAAGTACGCGCGGGACTACCATGGGCTGCTTAACGCAAGTCCATTGCCCCTCTTCTTGCATCGTCATCCTTCCAATCAGAAGACCGACTGCCCAGCTGCACTAAATACCCCCCACTTTGTTCACTTAATTTTTATTTTTTTTGTTTCTTCTCTTTCTCATCACCGCTTCTGCTTCGGCAAATTACGCGGGTTTTTGCAATTGGGCCAGGAACTAGCACTTTCAACAGTCAATGCCGGAGCGAGTCGGATCAGACTCGGAGTACGGAGCCAATCGATACGAGAACGGGCAACCACGTGCATGAGTGGAAGATGTTGAACTAAAAAAGGTCCCACAGAACGACCTGCATGCATTGCGACGTCATCGGATGGTGTTTTGATTTTTTTCCCTTCTCTTATTCTGTCACTTTTACTGCTTATCTCAAGGGCTGCTGAACTTGTTTTCTTTTTCAAGTCTTTTTTCTTTCTTCGAAAACTGGAGTTTGTCTCTTGGTTTACTTGCACATAGTCTTTTGGAATATACTGTTGGCCTATTGAGAACTAGTTAGTCGTTTAATATATAATGCCTTCTCAATTGCACCTATCTACTGTTGGTTAATATATCCGTGGACATTGTACGTACGCTCTCTTGGCATGTACTTTTCACTGGAAACTTGCAGATCAGCCCCACCGGTGATGTAGTTGATGCTTCTTCAAGATACATATAGTTATTCTTTGCGAATCATGGTCTCCAGGGCTTCGAATCCTATTATACGATGAGCTCAGGCTAGGGACATGTCGCGAAAAGTTGAAAGTGCTTATGAAAATGAGAACCACTTTGCCAGTTTATCAATACTACATAGTATATATGTACATGTATTCGCATCCACTTTCTATCGTTCAAGTTATTAACCAATTCGGTCAAAAAACAAAGACAAATCATATGGAGATGCTGAGGGCATAGCCAAAAGCCCATTCACTAAGTCTTCAATGCCATCTACTAAGTTCCAAAGTAGAATCATCCAAAGTCGATCCCTCCACTGATCTAACTCCGTTCATATCAACATTCATAGGTGGCCCACCCGCAAGATTGGCGGAGATATTTGTACACGCAAATGACGGAAATTTCCTAAATAGAGATACAGTGGGGTTTAGAAATGATTTGCGCCGCAAGTGACTTGTCGTGAAGTATGAAGCTGGGGATATTATTTTTCATAATACGTGGATGTTGCATGCGAGTTGCAAGAATAAGGATCCTAATAATCGTATTCAGCTTGCGACCTACTTACGATTCGTGGATTCCGAGAAGCCATATTATAAGGTAAGAGCTTACAACCCGAATACTGAGAAGCTGGCTAACACTGTGAAGCGCTGAATGAAATTTTACCGACCATTAGATGGCTTGTGAAGAGATCTAAACTAGCACAATGCAAAATTGCCACGGTGGGGGTTTTTACGTCCAGACGAGGGAACCTATAGTGAGACTTGCGCTCTGTATTCCTTCAAAGTGATGCACTGTCATTAACATCGTGCCCAATCAATCCATAACAAGAGAGTTTATTATTCTTTACCAAGAAATGCAGTATTTTTAGGATCTATCACTTTAAAAAATACGTATCTGCAATGTCAAATCCCGAGTTCCTGTGACCCTGTCTCGCGATATTGACCGCAATGCACTTATCATTTCTCGGAGTGATCCAGGAAGATGCACCAGCGATGATTGCCATTGATTGGCTCTTCAACGTACATGATGTACCTACTGTATGTCGAGAAATAGAAATTCAAACTTCACAACCAGAATAATACCCTGCGGGATATTTTTCCTGCATACGCTCAGAGGCCCAGCTTCTAATATTGCATACACCCCACTTTTGCGCTTAAGGTCAGAGCAGAGCTTTACTTGCATGGAATCTCACTTTTCCATCCTCTACCATTCCTTTGCGATTTTCAGTACAATATTCCGGTACCAGCGTAACACAATGACTGTGACTTACACCGAAGATATGCTCGCTGGTGACCTTCTCTCGGGAGACTCAATAGATGCGTTCTTGGGCTTCCAATATGATTACCTCATTCTAGGCGGGGGTACTGCAGGCCTGGTAGTTGCAGCTCGACTCAGTGAAGACCCAAGCGTGAATGTTGGGGTGATTGAAGCTGGACAAGACCAGAGGAGCAATCCAATGGTGACGTGCCCTGCCTTTAGCCCTCAGATGATTGGTCGACCTGAGTATGACTGGCTACATAAAACAATCCCGCAAGTAGGTTTTTTAAGGCTGTCTACCTAACAATCACTCATAAAATATACTCATGCAAGGCCCAAATTTTGTAGCGAGGGAATGGTGGTAAAGTCCACGCACAATGCAGAGGAAAGATGGTAGGCGGATCAAGCGCCATCAACGCGGTACGTTGATCTTTTTTACATCTGCACCATGACTCGGACTCGTCGCTCAGGGTTCTTTGATGTAATTAAATATAAGGCGGGACTGATCAATCTATAGATTCAGCTCATGTACGTACGAGGTTCGCGTGCCGACTACGATAATTGGTCTGCCTTTGGAAAAGGTTGGTCATGGGCAGAAATATCGCCATATTTTACAAAGCATGAAGCGCTAGATGGCACGAACACCCGTACCAAAGAAGACAAGCCTTTTATGCCATTTTAAAGTGCTTCTCATGGAAAGAATGGACCAGTGCAGACAAGCTTCAATCAATGGAGATGTCCTATAGAGAACAAGTGGATCCAGGCCTGCGAAGAAGTTCCGGGCCTTTCTCGACCTAAAAACCCTTAGGGTGGGGATCATGTCGGATTTTTCTCTTCGCTGGTCTCAATCGATAAAGTAGATAATAAAGGTACTAGGAGTTGCTCTGCTAGTGCCTACCTCACTCCGAATGGTGGGCGGCGGAATCTGAAAGTGCTTACGGGCGCTATCGTTACGAAGGTTTTTCTTTCTGGCAAGACTGTCACTGGTGCTCAATTCCTGCACGATGGCAAATTGCTAGAGCTCAAAGCCTAGAAAGAGGTTATTCTTGCTTGTGGTGTGTTCAAATCGCCTCAAATCCTCGAGCTTTCCGGAATTGGTCATCCAGATATCTTGCAACCTGCTGGTATAAGGTGCAGTGTCCCCTTGCCTGGCGTTGGCGAAAATCTGCAAGATCATGCGATTAGTGGTAGCACATATGAGCTATCCGAGGGTATCACCTCGCTGGACTCAATGCTAAAGCCGGAAAATATAGTGGAGCAACAAAAGCTTTACATGGAAAACAAAACAGGAGCATTGGCAGCTGCAAGCTCTTGTATGGGATTCCTTCCGTATGCCACCCGCGTGGATGAAACCACGTTGGAGGAAACATGCGATTTGATTCTACGCCGTGAGAATAAGACAGCTGCTGAAAATTGCAGTCTGAACAGATTGTTCAAAAGCTTCGGGATCCAGGCTCGGGCAGTGTGCAGTTTGCCATATTCCCCGCAACACTTAACCTGGAAAAGGCTGCTGAGGATCAAAGCTTTCTAATCGATACAACATCGACCACCGGGAGAGATGGGATCACACTCGCTTCTATGGTGCAGTAGCCAGCATCCCGCTGATGTCGCCGTTTTGGCAGCTGGTGTGAGATATCTGGAGCAAGTCTCTGGATCCTCGCCTTTGCAAAAGGATATTCAGCGCCGTATACGTCCAGACCCTACCATTGATCTTTTGGATCTAAGTCAAGCAAAGGAAGAAGTGAAGAAGACATGCTTGACAGAGTATCATCCCTGTAGAACTTGCGCAAGGGGTGAGGTCGTTGACGAGAGGCTCAGGGTTCGTGGGGTTAAGGGACTCCGTGTTGTAGATGCAAGTATATTCCCAAGCCATATCAGTGGAAACATTATGGCCACTGTTTATGCGGTGGCCGAGAGGGCTGCAGATCTCATTAAGCAAGATGCAGTTTGATGACCGTGGGCCTTGTTGCCCAGCTTACATGACTCCTTTCTTGCGTAAACCCATCCATCAATCAGGGTAATCAATCTTTCATGGTTTAGAAAAATGAATATTATTATTGCTGATATGGCCGAAAATGCGAAACATAGTTCATAAAAAGGATCCCGAGCTCGAGCCTTTTTGCTACTGACGGTCTTCAAGTGCAGATCGCACCCAGTATGCACATTTGCAAATCATGTAGTGCATGTCGAAAATGGGACGACCATCATTGACACCCGGGCTTAAAAATTCCCTCCAAGAGAACCAATTAAAATACTTTTTACGGACTGTCATCTATGTATCTTTTCAAATGATTACCCATTGCTTGAATGATGGGAGAGTGCCTACTCTCCTTCAAGTTCGGGTATATTCTATCCGATGTCTTCTCCACTCCCCCGCAAATGACCTTACCCGACACGCGCTTCCCCAGAGTAATACATATAACGAGCTCGGGAATCCGGTAGTATCTTTGTAAATTTGTGACATTCTGGATCTGCCAAGGCAGGCATAATAGCATCCGATTCGCCAAACATGTCAATCAATCCAAGTGGCCCCAGGGACCAATTTCCTATGAATAAAAGCCTTCGCCCGTCGTGAACGTCACGACTGCGGAATTTCCCCCAATCCAACCTCTTACTTATTTTCTGACACATTAGACCCTTCCGTTATGTCTATCAACTTAAAGGTGGCTATTATTGGTGGAGGCCTCATCGGTCCCCGTCACGCCCAATCTGTTATATCGAACCCATCTACAGACTTAGTCGGCCTTGTAGATCCTGCGCCAACAGGAGAGGCCGCCGCCGCCAAATTGAATACAGCCTATTTCCCTTCTATATCAGCGCTATTGGCCTCATCCCAGAAGCCCGATGCTGCAATCGTCTGCACACCGAACAACACTCATGTCCCCATCGCAAAAGAGCTATTGGCAGGCGATGTCCACGTTCTTCTAGAGAAACCCTTTAGCGACACTCTGGAAACAGGTCGGAGCCTCTTGGAATTTACTAAAGCCCCTGAGAACACGCACCTCAAGCTTTTGGTTGGTCACCATCGTCGCTTTAATCCCTATGTACGCGCGACAAAGTCAGTCCTTGATGCGGGGTCTCTGGGCCGCACTATCGCGGTGAACGGCCTGTGGACCATCTACAAACCCGCTGCATACTTTGCGGCACCGACGGACTGGCGTGCATCTCGGGATCGAGGCGGTGGCGTGATCCCCATTAACCTCGTCCATGATATCGATCTGATGCATCACTTTTTCGGTCCCATCGTTCGTGTACAAGCTGAGAAGATTATTCCCCAACGCCCAAGTCCACCCCATGATGCAGATGAGGGGGCAGCATTGACTCTACGCTTTGCATCCGGTGTTGTGGGAACATTCCTAGTCTGTGACTCTACGCCTTCGCCAAACAACTTTGAAACAGGAACCGGCGAAAATCCAATGATTCCACCTTCCTCGACAGGTGGCGGATCGGACTTCTATCGTATCTTTGGGTCAGAGGCTTCACTTAGTGTTCCCGATCTTACGCGGTGGAGCTATGATGGGATGCCGGAGAAGAGTTGGACACAGAGTTTGAAGGCAGAGAAGATTACTCTGCCAGATGATGCGGCCCCATTTGACTTGCAGCTGGCGCATTTTGTGGATGTTATTCGCGGGGATGCGGAGCCTAGTTGCCCTGCGGAAGAAGGCCTGAGGGCTTTGATTGTGTGTGAGGCTGTTCAAAAGGCGATGTCTACTGGTCAGCCCGTTGACATTGCGGTCGATTTGCTTGCTTAAGAAGGTCATGGTGAAGTACTATGGGGCGCAGCAAGATTAGATAAATTTCTATGTATCCATGAGGTTATGTAAATACTATTAGCATCAGTGAAATTGAAAAGACTAGATTCTTTACTCGGTAGGCTTAAGGGCACGCAGTCTTCTTCAACACAAGGTTGAAAATAACACATTAAGGTGTATGTATATCTTCATCATGATGCCGTAGGCAATTTGAATAAATTTGAATATCATTTATATACATCAAAAACATCACAAACATCGACACGTATCTAAATAGAAGTGCAAGCCAGTCACACTTGAAACCATACAAATTCTTTGCATGGATTCTATCAAGCATTATCAAGCATACTTCGCGGGCTCAGCCTGGGTATCTTCGATCTGCTGGTCACCAACCTTGCTTGCAGCAAGCCCAGACGCCTCAATATCGTGGCGGAAACGTTGCTCGTCCTCACGGAGCTTAGCAAGCATTTCACCGTGTGCACGCCATACAGGCTTGTGCTCGAATAGCTGGTCCATGCTTTCCAGGGGCAGACCCTTGGTCTCGGGAATAAGGAAGTACACAAAGACGATGGAGCAAAGCATCAGCGATGCGAAGAAGAAGTATACGCCGTATCCCATAGCAGAGAACATTTGTGGGGTGAAACGGGAGATGAGGAAGTTCCAAAGCCAGTTAGATGCTGCCGCACAAGCCTGGGCGAGGGAACGCATGTTAGGGTCAAACATTTCCTGGTGAGTCTGTTAGCTTTATCCTGGTGAACTTTGCAAGATAGATAGATTGGTGGGGCTCTTACGGAGTTGAGGACCCATGGGGTACCGTTCCAAGTTGGGGTGTAAAAGACGGTCCACAGGTAAAAGAAGAACATGGCTGCGATACCGCCACTGTCCATATGGGCCTTGGGGTGTTTCGCTGGTGCCGCGATCTTGATGTACGCGCCGACGATCCATAGACAAACAGAACCACCGAAGGCACCAATCAATAGAAGGTTACGACGTCCAACGCGGTCAATCAAGTATAGAATCCACACAAAAGTGACGACAGTCTTCACTACACCGAAGATACCGGTGGTGAAGAGACTAGTGTTAGTGCCGGTGACACCGATACTCTGCAGGATACATTAGTCATAATAACTTGTAGATAAAACGGAGAGGATGTCTTACCTTGAAAACGGTAGGGGAATAGTAGTTGATGGCATTGATGCCCGATCCGTTCTGCCAGAAGAACAGCATGCTTCCCAGGAACAAGCGATACATGACTTTTTTGTTGGAGCCAGCTGCCTTGAAAGGCTTCCAGAAGCCAATGCCAATAGTCGAGCGCTGCTCTTCCAATGCCTGGTCGATGGCCCCAATCTCCTCAATGATGTAGATGTCACTCTCCTCCAATGAGCGAATCCAACACAAATTCTTAATGGCCTCCTCGCGACGACCACGCAAGAATAGCCAACGAGGCGATTCACGAATAAAGACACCGCCAATCAACAACATGCCTGCAGGGATCAACTGAATGGCAAAGGGGATGATCCATTGCTTGTGACTGGGTGCCATAGTGGAGTCGACGCCATACTATGAATAAGATTGATTGTTAGAACACATATGAAAATGTTGGTACTTGTTGATGGTACTCACATTGATCCAGAAACCAACAAGGCCACCGATCTGCCAGCCAAGCTCATATACACCGACCAGTCTACCACGGATAGCTGGAGGAGATAATTCGGAGATGTAGATAGGGGTGATGTTAGAGCCCGATCCGACACCCAGACCAGCCAAGACTCGACCGGCATAGATTAAGCCAAGGCCACGATCGCCATTAGCGCCGAGCATAATACCAGCTCCAAGAATGAAGACAACAGCAGAGATGAGTAAAGCGATCTTGCGACCCCAGAAGTGACCAAGTGGGTAACCGAAGAAGGCGCCGAAAAAGGCACCAGCTTGGTAACATGAGACAATGTTCGCGCTAAGCAAATTCTGGGCATCGGATGACATGGAGGCGAAGTTGAACTCGGCCTTGAATGAGTCCAAGGCCAATGTGGTACCAATGAAGGCACTGTCATAACCGATCATGCAGGAGGTACAAGACGCCACAGCCGCCAGAAGGTAGACCTTCCAGTTGTAGACGGCTTTGGGGGTCGGCCTGTCCTCGACCAGCTTGAGGATAGACATGATTGATGTGATATAAAGGACAAGGGGGGGAATAAGATAAAGTGGCGGGGTGTTGATCTTGCCAATGTACGATGTACAGGGGACAGTCAGCTCTCCCGTCTAGGGATAGTCACTACTCGAGTAGTGTGAAGGGGAGTGACTCAGTGAAAGGGATAAAGTGTCTGGAGTAGAGAAGAAAATAAAGATATCTCTCCGCAATCCAGGGGGATGAAGGAGACTAAATAGTTTCCCCAGAAAGATGTCGTGGGGAAGAAATGGGATAAAATCTGGGGGAAAAGCTCTCGAGGGAGAGAGAAATAGCTCAGGGAGGCGAGAAAGCCATAGAGGCGGAGAATCGTATAGCACAAATTACCTTTTCATCGTCCTTGGTTTAGTGTGAAGACGCCAAGTCGGCAAAACGAAGAAAGATGCCAAAGATAAAAGTTAGCTCCTTGGCCATCTTGGCCATCTTGGCCACGAGGGAGATTTTTGACCTTGGGAAGGCTTAAGAGGCGTTTTTTTTAGCGATGGGGGATTGGGCGAAATTGAACAAGGTTGCTGGTTGGGCGAATCGTGAGGCTGTGGAAAGTTTCCAGCCCGTGGATTGTGGAGCCGAAGTCTTGGCCTGGGGAGCATCACCTGCATCCATGTCACGAACGTTCTATCTGGATCTGGGGTACCCCGGGGGGGCAAAACAAACTAAAACAGTGCGGATAGGCGATTTAGCGTGATGAATAACTGTCAATTTGATTGGATGAACCAAATTGACCCACGAGACTTGAGGTTGTGGCTCAAGAGCCAATAACATGCGGCCGGTGGGAATAGTTTCGTTGGGGGGAAAGCGATTACCCGCACAATTAGCCACCATGCATCCCCCGTCTCAGCACTGACTTCGGCCCGAATGCAGAATATTTTACTCGTGAGCGGCCCATTATTCATTAGTGCATTGGCAATTCTAACCCTAATCTTCTAATTGGTCCCGGTAATATATGTGAGCAGGCTTTGTTCCCCATGGGGTGCACTGTGGTTGGTGGGAAAGCATTCAGCCCCCCCCCGGTGTGGAATCCCCGTCGCTGACGATGATCGAAGTGTGAGGGTTTACAGCAGATGAAAGCCATGAAGGGATGCAATAGAGTGTAAAATCACATTCCTTGTCGAATATATAACAATAGAGAATTCCAGTACGTATTTAGACAATGTGGCAGTAGAAGCAATACTTCCGGTGTGAAAAACGATCAGCCTACGTAACCGGGTATTGTTTCTCCACGTTGGACCGGCTCTACTTTTACTCGCTAAAAACCTGACGGATACCGTCAATTGGCCGATGAAGCCCCGGGCATTTAATTTAATCACCCCTCGTTCTCTGCATCTTATAACTTTCCTACATCTACTCTTCTTCCCCTCCATCACTTCTATACATTGATCAACATAATAAATCCACAATAAAAAGAAAGGCATATCATACATCATGGCCGCTCCCGCAGTCTCTACCAACCAGCCTCAACCCGAGGAGCCTATCTCTATCCCCGAACATCTGGATGGAGTTGCATACCTTTACGGCCACCCGCTTCTGAACTCTCTATCACCTCCTTTGCACCAGACCGTCTACAATGCATTGGGCCTCAACTGGACACAGATCCCTCTGTCCAGTGTAACTGGCACATCAGCCACCTACCCACCCCCCTACACTCTCTCGCCCTCAATCGAAAAATACATGGCCTCCATCCGCTCCAACCCCAAGTTCGTTGGTTCCTCCGTCACAATGCCTCACAAGGTCGCTATCATGCCTCACCTCGATGATCTTACCGAGCACGCCCGGCAGGCCGGTGCCTGCAACACCATCTTCCTCCGCGACGACCCCGCCACTGGCAAGAAGCAGTACGTCGGTACCAACACCGACTGCGACGGTATCCGCGAGGCTCTCACCCAGAATGCGCCTAACCCCGAGCGCTTCCGCGGCCGGCCCGCCCTCATCATCGGTGGTGGTGGCACTGCCCGTACCGCTATCTATGTTATGCGCCGCTGGCTCGGCTCCAGCCGTATTTACATTGTCAACCGTGACGCGGCCGAGGTTGCTACCATTCTGGAAGAGGACCGTCAACGCAACCCCGACTCCAGCGCTATTGCGCCTCTGATTCATGTCACCGACCCCGCACAGGTTGCGGCTCTCGAGTCCCCCGCTGCTATTGTCTCGGGTATCCCCAACTACCCTCCCAAGACACCTGAGGAGCTGAATGCCCGTGCTGTTATTCAGGCTTTCCTCGGCACTGCCGCTGATGCCTCTAAGCAGGAGGGTGTCATTCTTGAGATGTGCTACCACCCTGTTCCTTGGACTGAGATCGCCCAGCTCGCTTCTACCGGTGGCTGGAAGGTGATTATTGGTTCCGAGGCTCTGATCTGGCAAGGTCTGGAGCAGGCACGTCTCTGGACTGGCCATGATATCGTCGGTACCCCTGGTCTCGTGCAGCAGATTAAGGATCTTGTTGCTAAGACCTTGGCTGAGCGTGCTGCCAACAAGTCCAGCTTATGAGTTGTTTCATGATCATTAAAAAATATCCGTTTTCTTTTCTTTCTCACTTCATGTCATTTAATGATTATATAGAGCTTCAACCATTCTTGCATATATTACTTGATAGTTGGCGTCGCTTGTGGAATATATGACTTCAAATCACAAATTTCTCAAATCTCATAAATAAGTTTCATTATATACTGTCGTACTGAAAGTCCTGTACAACTTGATAATCTACTAAGAACTCAGGTGTTCCATAACACTTCTCATTGGCCATTTACGCACCGGGCCGAGTATACGACAGATGGCGGACCCGCCGCCAAACCTCACGCACCGTACGTTCCTGTGACTCCCGGCCAGTCTCGGTCTCAGAGGGTCCGGCAGGTCTAATGGCAAGATACAAGCGACTTCCCAGACGCAGATCCTCGATGGGTGCGGTATCCGGGTCCTCTGGTGGATTGGCCGTGGTGACCAAGCCACCCGCTTCAAGAAGAATAGCAATACCAGCAGCAACGTCCCTATAGTTCATATTAGTTAAATCCCTAGAGGGCATGAAACGGTCAAAAATAGAGTAAAACTTACCACTCCCAACAACCACCTTCCCACCAAATATCAAATGACCCCATAGCCGTATATGCTAAATCTAACGTGGCACTACCCAAGCTCCGCATACCGTGCACCATCCCGCCTTTACCATCACGCGACCCAATTTCCGCAGCCATATTCGTAAAGCTTTCGATTTTACGACGCATATTTCCGTCTGGAATGTCGCGGCGATCTTTACCCCATTCGCAAGAGAAAATGCATGATGAGGGCGCGTTGGCGGGCATCGGTGGGATAGATGGGTTGCGGATTAGGGGAAGCTTGCGTTTCTCGTTTAGCCAGGCGCCGCGGCCGGGGCAGGCGGAGAAAAGCTGGTCTTGGAACGGAGCGTATATAACGCCGATTATAGGGCGATGTTGGACAATGAAGCCGATGGAGATGCAGAACATGGGGAACAGGTGGGTGTAGTTCACGGTGCCTGGGAATGTTAACATGAATGAAATAAAATTTTCGAGTGCAGAGTTTACCATCTAGGGGATCAATGCACCATGTTGGGTGTTCGTCGATCAGGTAGTCGCGCGACTCTCCTTTGGCATATGTCTCCTCGCCGAGGAATCTAAGAGGAATTAGCAGTTGCTTCCTTAAATCTCATCATCGCTGCTCGAGGAAGAGACATACTTGTGATCAGGGTATTTCTTTTGAATCGCATTTCGAATAAAAACTTCCAAATCTAGACCCCTATTAGTCTGGAAACTTACTGGGGTGCTAATGCTTCCCCGCATTTGAGGCTCATCGCAGCTTACCCTCGTCTGTCTGCGTCACAATATCGACCGAGCTATCTTTCTCCTCGAACTTCTGGGAATGGCCCTCACTACCAGAGATACGCTGTTCTATCCGCTCCATCAGCAGGTCGCCTGCCTTGCGGCCGAGATCTACGGCAAAGGCATATATCTCGTCGAGCTCATCTTGGGTGAAGTTGGAGACGGCCATGGCGTGGCGTTCAAGGGGCGGTTCGGGATTTAAGTAATAAGAATGGTTTCAAGGATAGACGGAAGAGCTCAGATGGTGATAGGAGTAGATGCGAAAGGATTGTGAGATGGTTGAGGATTGATTGACTCACTTTCGGTGAAAATCGAGGCGAAAATACCGTCAGTAGCCGGCGTTTGCCTTATCGGTTTTCTCCACTTGGAGTGGAGCTACTGAGCTGCGATGATGCTGTGAGTCGGTGACGTTTTTGGGTTATCAGGTGTAGAGCTGGAGGCTTTGTGGTATATTTTTACCGAGTCTTCTATTTATTCAGAGTACTCCAAGTTTATTCCTGTCCTTTTTTTATAGACAAAACGTGGAGAGGAAAGATATTCGTGGTTTGGTTCCAAAGGACCCCAGCTGGAGACGGCCCGGTGAAGCTTTCTAATGCAGATAACGAGCGTCCTTTGTGGTCGAGTCTACACTTCACGATTATACTGAAAAGTCTGAGTGATAAGCTATACTGGAGTTATCCTAGACCAATTGCGCCTGGAAATCTGCAGGATCTGGCAAATAACTTGAAATAATTTGTGGAACTTGTCGTGTGAGCTCCAATATATATACAAGCAAATCCAAAGCAAAACTAAAGACAAAATTAGACTTAAACTCCAAGGTTAGGTAGTATGAATGACTACGAACTACTCAAATGCAAAGAAAATTGATCTTCCGTCTCACTAAGTATACAAAATTTGAAACATCCATCATGATCTTGTATATCCATTTCTTCGCGGGTTCGGCCTCATCCACCTAGGCAACAGTCGAAACCGGCACTATCCGAATGACCGCTACTGATAGAGATATTCCTTTGATTGATAAGCGTATACATTAAGCCTATATATAAATTAGATCTAACTCAATGATATAAAATGGGGCGCAGTTATCATCCATTCTAAGCATGGAAAGGTCGCACCGGTATACACATAGTGCTAGCCTCGCCCATCAAGCTCATATCCACCACACAACAACCCCCATTTCTTTCTCCAATTTCCCCTCCAATTCCCCCACCGAGAACCCCATTTGAAATTCCACTACCATAACTTGACTAAATGATTGGAAATATTACCACATTCTCATACAAAACCCACTACAAACCCACTTGACCCAAAAGCCCCCACACGGGAAAGCACATAGCCGTACCGAGGGGTAACGCGGAGAGAGCGGCCGAATGTAAAGCAACGCAGCATGAAATCACCATTCAAGCGGAGTTCTGCATCCGAGACGATCCTACAAATTCATACCTGACACATTTTCAAGAAAACCTCTCCATACCACTCTATCCTACCAAAGCAGCCGAACCTCAACACAGACTTCAACAATGGGCAAATCTATCCTCCTCATCAACGGTCCCAACCTTAACCTCTTGGGAACTCGCGAACCCCACATCTACGGCTCAACCACCCTCGCCGACGTCGAGAAGAACGCCAAAGAACAGGCTAAGGGCCTCGGTGCCACCCTCGAGTCCTTCCAGAGTAACCACGAAGGCGCAATTGTCGATCGTGTCCAGGCTGCGCGCGGAAAAGTCGATGGCATCATTATTAACCCCGGCGCTTATACGCATACCTCCGTTGCGATCCGCGATGCGTTGCTGGGTGTTGCTATTCCATTTATTGAATTGCATGTGAGCAATGTTCATGCGCGTGAGCCGTTCAGACATCACTCTTATTTCAGTGATAAGGCGGCTGCTATTATTGTTGGATTGGGAGTTTATGGATATAAGGTTGCTGTTGAGCATGTGGCGGTTAATTTCAAGGAGTTGGAGAAGGAGACTAAGGCTGCGCTATAGTTTGGATGATTTGTGGATTTTGGTGAACAGTTGATGTTATGACTGGGATAAAAGTTGATTTTTATGGTTCATGATATTATGGAGGGTTTATGTTTTGGATGTTGTCTACGAGTTCAAGTTGTATCCATGTATATAGGGCAATATAAATTCTTTATTGACATTGTGTTGTCGTATTTGCACTAGATACTAATACTGAGTACTACATAATTCGTAGACACTTTTTTAAGATACCTTTTGAGGGCCTTGTATGGGTTCTAGATTAATGACGATTCACTCTGATCGACAGCGGAGGTACTCGCCAACCTTTCCATTTTTTGAATCGGCGCAGCCTTGGTGGATAGAAAGGGTGGATGTGTCTTCGCGCTCAAGGTCCTCAAGGAGAGCAGACATCGGTGCACACGTATGGGTATCATTGAAGTGGGTTCTTCGTGTTGCACATGTGATGTGAAGACTTGCTGAGCATCCGGCTCAAAGCAAGATGCTCACTTGGTCGAAGGGGTGCCGACCAGCGGCTACAAGCAGGGATGGGTACACCTGGAGATATGTCCTCATCTTTTGGGTGTTCCTGACATGCTGAGTGACTGTGACTCCCTTCGAACTTCCGATGAGGGTCCATTGGTCGGCATTTGTTGTGTTTGGGCCAACATGAACGGCTCAATTTGAGTCGAGAACGAGTATAGCTCTGGAACCCCTGAATCGGATACGAAACCTAGATTCTGCATGAACTCTGGTTGATTGTCGGGCCTGAATAATTAGGTTAGATAAGATAGGATATATAGATGGTATAAGAGGGCTACTCACTTTTCAGCACCATCCAACGATGCCAGTTCGTCAAATAGTGCATCTAGGTCGGGCGCGATTCGTTGTTGTCGGCGTGATGGGCCGTATCCATCCATGTCGACAAAGGGGCCAAGGCCAAGAGATGGGTCTTGATAAGGTGCGTGGTATTGTGTGCCTGGTGGGAATTGAGGGGCGAGGTCGGGAATCATGGCTGGGCCAAGGTGGGATTTTGAAGGAGCAGACGTAGACTGACGGAGGCCACTGCCCAATCCTCCATCTAATTGACTTGGTTGTGCGGATATCTCGGAGGCCCCGCCAACAGTGGTCAAGGATGGTGTAGGTGTAGGCAAGATTGATGAACCATCATCGGTATTTGGCGTGGGTCTGAGCCAAGGGGTGGAGAGGAAGGGGTCGGGTGTGGATGTAGGATGAGCAGAGCCAGGTGCATGTCCTTCTGACCCACCGGGATGGTGAGGGGTACTTGTGGGTGGTAGGACATGGCCCAATGATGGGTCTTCATTCGCCAAAAGATGTTGTTGATGAGATATAGGTGGGGTTGTCATCGGTCCCTGGTTTCGTTCGATAGTAGCCAGACCAGAAGCTGGTCGATCGGACACAGACCAGAGATGTACGAGGTGAGACGATAGCGAATGAATTTTGTTTCGCAGTCCCAATTCCATATCTGATACAAGATCACGAGTAAAGATACGAGGGAGGCAGTATTTCAAAAGCATGCCAAATACAGGAGTGGTTGCAGACAGACTGTATGTCTCAAAGTAGACCTGAAGACAGTGTATCAACCGGTTCGAGCTATCAATCGCCCGGGCTTTGTGTGGCACCTCGGGGATGTTCTGATCACTCTCCCGCGCAGCAATCTGTAGACTTAAAGAAGCGACAATACTTTGATATGTCATCTCGAGTCCAAAAATATGCGGCGAAGCCAACTTAATCGGCCTACTCTGTAAATCAACTCGATAGCTCCGAGGAAGAGCAGCAGCCCAACGTTGCAAAGTCAGCTCAAGTGATTCCAGTTGCGATCGAGACACGGTCGGGTCTTGCTTATAACAACAAAGATCGTTCAGGATAGAGACAAGAGAAACAAGACGGTTAAAGGTGCTTAATGCATGGAGTGGCCCTCGATGCATAGAAGCCCGGGATGCTTGTGTAGGTCGGAGACCAGTCATGTCCTCCCAAGGGTGCCATTCTTCCAATCCATCCTCATTGATGGAACCCACCCGCGCTAAGTCGTCTCTGCGTAATGAGGGGCACTGTGAGGTTTGTTCGGCAATCAGTGTCTCTAGGACGAAACAGCCCAAAAATACATGTTTCGCCCGTCCGACTTGCTTGCCCTGGTCGGATGGCGTTGAGGAGGCTGGGGGGAATGAAGGTTGATCCAAACCTAAAGTTTGGGCAATTCGGACGGAATGACCAACAAGCATCCAGGCTGCGGTCCATTCCTGTTGGCCGAATTTGATGAGGGATAATATGAGCAAGGCTTGAACATGTCCAACCTCGTAAGGACCGGTTTCTACGGGAATCAAGTTTCGGGCGACATTGTATAGTTGTAATGGATTGACTTGATTAGCTTGTGGATCGGTTTCTTGGGCGGTGATGGATGCATCTTGTAGCGAGGCAAGGGTAAGAACTGCCCACAACGCGGCGTGATCACCCGAACCGGGAGATGTGCGGGTCATGTACACATCGCCCTCGGTATACTGGAAGGCAGTTCGGAGGATGTCGTGCTTCTCTAATATTGGAAACCAACATTGCGTATAGGAAAAGTATATGTCAAGAAGCGGCCAGGCATTATACGGAAGTTGAAGCGGGGAAGTGGTCGAAATCGCTCTGGGGTCTTCGGGATTGAGGGCGAGGGCGAGGGCGAGGGTGGGTGACTGAAACCCGTCGGTGTTGGTTGTTTGAACACCAGAGTCTCGGGTGCGGTAGGGTAGAGCCCGCGGTGCAGACCCCATCATAGAAATTCGAGAGGGTGAAACCCCAGAAAGGGATGCCTCACGAACCTCTAATCCTTCTGGTATTTGCCATTCCTGTGCTTCTGATGAGGCGAGAATCCCATCCATATCCAACGGTGTGTCTCCATCGCTGTATGCTTGTAGACTGCGGTCTCTTTCCTCCTCTGGCTGCTCCAAGATCACGAGAATTCTTTCAATATCCCTCAAGACAGTACTATTCTTGAACGACGAGAGTAAAGTATCCGAGCCTTCCGCCTCTTTGCCCATAGTAGCAAGGTGGCTGGGAAGGTTGATCGATCTCATCAAGGCTCGCATGACATCTTCGCTCCCTTGAATTTTCTGAAATACCAAGCCCCAAAGCAGCTCTAGTGAACGGATATAGCCTGTCGGTAGTCCTCGCTTCTTCGGATTGGCCTTGTAGGTGCATGGCCTGCACAGCGATGCGCATGTTGAGCACACGGGTTGAATGCCGTCGCACTTGTCTTTCTTCGACCGACAGCTGTCGCATGCACGCGACACACGCTGCCGCTTCGGCTGAGTTGCTGAATCGTCCGGGCCGTTCATTTTAGCATCCTCGTCGGGATCGGTCCAGCGACGTTTGGATTTTCCGCTCGCCCCAGCTGCTTGGCGAGGGTCAGAGCTCATGGTGACTGATTCGATGATCCACTAGGCGGTATCGGGCGCATGTTCCTGCGATGCGCAGCACGAGGGAGGGTGGTGAATCTTTTGCCGACGGGTTGGCGCAGAGTGGTGGATGAGCTATTCCCATTTACAACGGCCCCCACCGGCCTTCGCATGCACTTTCCGGGAATATAGACGAGCTGGGGATTGAATGGACTAAGGTGCACAATTGCCGGAAGAATGAAAAGAATTATGAAAAAATGCGAGCAAGGAAACCGGGGGCGCCAGGCGAGGTGTTCCCTTTTTTTTTCTTAGGTGGAGGGCAAGGTTCTCTGTCTCCGGGGAAAAGGCACACGGACTCGCCAGCGGTGAACCAGTCGCGGGTGGGCAAAATGTCAGAATGGAGTCGGCTTCTTGTGGTTCTGTACAGTAATGGAAACTATGTGCTTGGACCTTATAATAATTACTATTCAGAGTCTTCATAATATTGAAGTTAAATTCTTTCAATTTCACTATAGTTTTATTGATCGTCCCTCCCTCAACAAATTTCACCCACTTTCCCCCCCTAAACTCAATAAAATCTCAATCAAACTGTCAATCCGGGAACCTGCAGCACCAACTCAAGTACCCCACGGGGCGGGGATTCCGGTTAAACCGGCAGAGCGATTTGCCCTCTGTACTGTAATCTATGGTAAATTACCTGTCACGCGCAGGTATTCAGCACTGGGCAGAAAACCTCATCCCCCCGCAAAATCCCGCCTCGCAGGGACGCTAGATTCAAGGTTCAATCTCCAGTTCGACATTGATCCTGGAATAAATCCTGGGTCTCGCTTCATAACCCCCGACCCCACACTCTCCCCGTTACTGGATATTCTTGGTCCTCTTTTTTCCCTCTTTTGACTTTTCTTCTAATTCTGGTTATGGGCTCGCATCCTTTTGCATAACATCTTGCGACCATGTCCATCCTCGTGCGCCCGCCCAAGCGCAAATTACACGAGGTCGACGAGGGACCTCGAAAATATAGTGTTGGCCCTTCATGGTCCCCCGGAACTCATTCCAACTCTGCAGCTAGCTCGCGCCGTCCCAGTGAACCGTTAGATTCCCAGAGCGACTCCCATCCAAATGCCACCTCGCTACGAGAATTGCACTCCAACCGCGCTTCCCCGGTTTTGTTCGATAAGGGACCTTTACAGACGCCGCGCACCTTCAACACTACCGCATCGGTGGTTCTGATTGGTATTCGAGGTACCGGAAAATCCAGCCTCGCGGTCATCCTCGCTGCGACATCCGGCCGACGCCTCATTGATGCCGACCGGTACTTCCACCAGATAACGGGTTGCTCTCGAGCGGCATTCAAGAAAGAGAAGGACCATGGCGAATACCGATTACAGGAAGCTCGGATCTTTGAATCCATGTTGGCCGACAACCAAGAGGGATGTGTTATTGCATGTGGAGCTGGGTCGATGGAGCGCAGTGGCCAAAGATTGTTGCGAGAATATGCGCAGACACATCCTGTCATCCATGTAACTCGAGATCCGGAAAGCATCCAGTCATATCTGAAGGCCTGGGATACACAGAAAGTGCGTCACTTCTTGGAGCTCTCAGGACCAATCTATCGTGGGTGTTCGAATCTGGAATTCTTCAACTTATCAGAGTCGGCGAGTGGTGAATACATGGCCAAGGATGGTCAGAATATGTCGCCAGGGCCTAAGATGGATCAGAGGACACATACCCCGTTTTTGACACTGAAGCGTGTCCAGCGAGACTTTCTTCGGTTTATCGCTTTTGTGACTGGTGACCTCACCGAGTTGAATCGACAACATTCGTCGTTTCCATTGTCTCTATTGCCAGTGCAATCTCGGCCTTTTACCAATGCAGTTTCGGTCCCGTTCTCTGCTCTGCGTGACAAGGATCTCGATATTGAAGAGCTCGAGTTTGGCATCGATGCGTTCGAAGTGGTCATTGATGTCACAAGCCCTTCGGGTCAGCTAGGCACTGACTCGAACCTGGCCGACAGTATTAGCCGGACTCTTTCGACTATTCGCCGTAATATCATTGTTCCTATTATGTACCATGTTGAAAGTTATACCTCGCCCAAAGGGTCTCTCTCACCAGCTCCAACTGCTCGATCCACAGATGAAGCATATTTGAGCTTGGTGAGACACGGCCTGCGAGTCGCACCCACATTCCTGACGGTTGACCTGTCTCGAGACGATAGCTTGTTGGCCGAGATTGTCAATGCACGGGGCCGTACAAATATTGTCGCCCACTTTGAGGCATATCGCTCGCCACCTGGAGGTTGGGATGGAGATGAGTACGTCGAAATCTACGAGAGGGCAAAGAGGCTCGGATGTGACATGCTACGATTGTGTCAACCAGCCGAGACGATGGAAGATAACTATGCAGTGGAGCGATTCAGACACCGCATGCAAAGCCTCCCAAATGCTATCCCCGTGATTGCCTACAACACTGGTCCTCTGGGGCGTATGTCCCGCTGCTTCAACCCCGTCTTGACTCCAGTCACCCATCCGTCCCTTATCCCACACACTCCTAACCACGTACGCGCATCAATCACCGCCCACGATGCGCAACAAGCTCTTTACAACTCCTTCGCCCTGGATCCCATGCAGTTCTTTGTATTCGGTGCCAATGTAACCTACAGTATGTCACCGGCTATGCACAACACTTCCTTCAAACTGTGTGGGATGCCTCACAAATACTCTATTTTCCAGTCCCCCACCATCCGCGGACTGAATGAGCTCGTCGAAAATCAATTTTTTGGCGGATCAAGTGTCAGTCTCCCTTACAAAACGGAAGTCATCCCTCTCCTCCACTCCATGTCTCCACACGCACGGGCTATTGGCGCCGTCAACACGCTGATTCCCATCCGAAACGATGATGATTCCGATCCTCGCCTCTCTCAAGAATCCTCAATTTATCTGAAGAAGAGTCGTGCCGGTCCTATCAAGGGCCTTCATGGCGACAATACCGACTGGATTGGTATATGTAATTGTATTCGCCGCGGTCTGTCGCCCGCAAACGCCGTCCGGCCCACGACAACTGGTCTTGTCATTGGATCCGGCGGTATGGCACGAGCAGCTGTATACTCAATGATTCATCTTGGCGTGCAGCATATTTTCGTCTACAATCGCACCCATGCAAATGCAGAAAAGCTAGCCCACCATTACAACCGACAGGATCTTTACTCCCATGAACAGGCTAGAGCGAACGGCCGATCAAGAGTCAACACGCTAAGCTCCATCGACGAGCTTTGGCCTGCAGAGCATAAACAGCCTACGATCATTGTTTCGGGTATTCCCGCGCACAGTATCGGGGGTCAACCTGCGCCTAACTTCCATGTCCCTACACAATGGCTTGAAAGTCCGACGGGTGGAGTGGTTGTTGATGTGAGTTCCGACACGACAATTTCCTAATTATTCATTTCATTTCATTGACTAATTTGACTTCCAGCTGGCGTACAAACCCCTTAATACCCCGCTGATGAAACAAATCCGCGCCCTTTCCCATCGAGGCTGGGTTGCGCTAGATGGCCTAGACGTTCTTCCCGAACAGGGATTTGCCCAGTTCGAGCTCTTCACCGGCCGTCGTGCACCACGTCGTGTGATGCGAACAATTGTTCTTCAGGAATACGTGAATGAAGAGGGTCATGATGATCCCCGTGCGATTCGAGATCGACTCCAGAATCTGGATGGACAACCTTCATGATTTACTATGATTATGCTATGACCGTACCATATCAGACTGGGATAAGTCGTTGCATCGTTAAACTACATCTGTACATATATCACTTTTTTTTTTTCTTTTCTTTTTCTCTCTCTCCCAGTGTGGTTGTGGATCCGAAGGGATCGACAGCCGATCGCTGGGGTCTGATGTCAATACTCCGTTTCTCAACCCCGCAGAGATACCGGCCAGAATCCACCTTTCATACTTAGGAGGAGGAGATTGAGTCTTGGTTTACTGCAGAGATGAATATCTATGGGGCGGGAAATGGAGTTCTTGTTCTCATCTCGAATGTTATCAGCTTGCCCACCTTGTCTGGTGGGTAAGGGTAAGATGAGTGAGATCCTCCCACAGGGCAACATTTGTGGGGGCGCTTTTGTGATGTGATGGAAAGGATTGAAAAACTTAAAAATCAAAAAATCAGATGACGGCTGCCTCTAAAGGAGGATGTATATAGATATGAATGAATGTCAAATAACCAATTGTGACGCTTCTTAGCCCGCATACTGTGGGTAGTAATCTGTAGACAGTAGTAAGGATTTGTCCACGGGTAGTAAGAAGCCACCGATGTATTGCAAGGTTGTAGCTAACTGTTAATGGTAGTAAAGGTCCGTTGGAAGTGATGACGGTCCCGGCTAGGAAATCATCTTTGTCACTGTGCAGCTGATATCGTCATTGTCTTTGCCACTCGTGGGGACTGTAGCATATAGAGTTGCAGAGGATGAGCTTGAGAATGCGTTTTGGCCCCATTTCCTTCAATTGAAGACCCCACGTGTATGCCTGAAGAGGTTGTAGGGCAGGCGCCTGCCTAGAATGGTAAGCGCTTCGATTTATTTCTGATTGTGTATTCTGATAATCGATGTTTTCTAGGTAAGTATTCATCGGTGAGATCTTTGTATACTCCGTAGATAGGGGTTAATTAGATGAAACAGGATAAGAGGGCGATAGATTAAGGTCAGATGTAAATTGTAACCTGGAGAACCATAGATGTAGATGGACAGTGATTATGGAGTAATTAGTTAAGTACTTGGTAGCAATCCGGGGAGTTAGCCGATGATCATGCTCATGCATAGACATCGTATGTAAGAAGGCCGCCTCCAGGATGCACTAGTCTCGACCGGGTGCTGAAAATAGGGCCGATTTGAGACATGTTTCTGTGTCCCGTGTCGGAGTTCCATTCGAATTTCTGGATGGTATATTTATCTCAAATTAGGTCTTTATTAGGTCTTTATTACTTACTTCCCAAGTGCTGGACTTGAAACCGCGGGATCCACGTGATGTGTTTCAGACCTGGCTTGAAACGGCGGCCTGAGCTGGATTGGATTGAGTGGACAGGACTGAGCTCAAGTGCTAGGATCTGGCCCGTCAGGGGCGAAGAGGGGCTAGATGGCTGTTCATTAAGAAGGATTCTGACGTCGCTGTGCAGGTTCATTATTATTGATATATATCTTCACAGGAAGGATGATTATAAAAAATACTCTTATAAATGCACGCAGTAAAATATGAATAAAAGTAAAATAAAAGAGGAACGAAAAGAACCAAGAAGCGGGTCAAGACTAGAGTGGTTAGTGTGGTGGACATGCCCCAGTGTGGACTCAGTCTAATAAGAGCAGGGTCAACAGCTGAGACAGAGAGGACCATGGGACAGCAGTGGGACAGATTGGGTGTGGATAAGAGTACGAGTACCTAATATATTCTAGAATTATAGCCATATACAGATAGAGCTGTTAATTGAGTGATTTAATTACTCATTTTACTCTATTTACCATGATTATAACCGGAGATATCTTCGGGGCTGTGACACTCTCATTGGATCGGCGTATGTGGCACGTTCTGACGAGGATTCCACGTACACGGCTGGTTCGAGATCCAGTGTAAATTGAAGGACTTGGGGGGAATGAACACTTGAACAAATAGAGATAATGAATTCATACAAGCATTGAAACCCGTAGATCTGGACATTTGACAATTGTGCGTGTGTTGTCAGTAGAGAGAAGAGTCCAGACCGGAGTAGATTTAGCATTTAGCATTTAGCATGGGGATTCTGCCACCTCATTGCGCTCCTATTCCACCTTGGGCCTCCTCCCCTCCCCCCTTTGGTTGTCATCTCCCCCAATCTTCAAGTTCTTTTCCTTTTGTTTCTTCATAAGGGGTTAGTTTGCATTTCATATGTGCAACTAGACTTGGGTTTCTTGTTTTAATCACCAGGACAACTCTCACCTGGGTCCATTTCCTCACTGGAGTTGATTCCATTGCATACCCCAGTGCCCGCGAGGGGCAAACACCCCCCCCAAATTAAACACTCAATCTCGCCTGCTGCGCTTGTCACAACACCCGCGCTTTCGTCCACCTGAAACACCTTGACCACCACACACCCCCAGGTCAATACTACTGCTTGGTATGTTCCTTTCAATTTGAATGATTTCAAATCTACTTTCACCCAAAATTCACAAATCAGGAGGGAGTCCAAATCAAAAAAGGGGGGCAAATAAAGTCATGGTGCTTGAGCCTACCCTGCATTTCCAATGTGGCTCCCGTCCTACATCATTATCACCCATCATTAGCTCAACTGAACAAACTGATCATCTTTTCGGCCCCAAAGAGGGGCGGATGTCTCACGCTTAAACCGATCATGGGTCTTTTTTTGGCTAACGCCTCAGCAGTCTGCTTCAGCCACTAGACTCCTCTTCTTTCAGCCCCTTGTCGCATTGTGTGCCCGCCCCTCTCCCCTCCAATCCCTGTGCATCCTCATCTCGCTACGCCCGTCGCACGTTCTTTACGTTATCGTACGCCTGCTTGGAACTACCGGCTCTGCATGTTTGCGCCTGTGCTCTTATCCTGTCGTTCCTCGCTCGCTACCCGCTGAGTTGCGGTGATCTAATTCTATCTTACACCGTGGGCCTTCGTGTGAACGAACACCTAAAACGACTCTCTCAACTCTTTAAGTAAATACCCTGGTGGGCGGCCTGAGAATTCAGTGTATTCAAGATGGAGTCGCCATCTCTACAACCAGAATCGCCGATGGAGCAGGAGGATATCCCTTATCCATGTATGGGATGTGGAGAAGTACGTCTGACAATGAACTATCGTGATGGTCTGTTTGGGTTGATGCTGACCGATCCACCTGGAATTTTAGATCTTAGAAGAAGGGAAGGCATTCGAGCTTTGTACGTCCCCCATACATTTTTTTCTTTTTTCTTTTGTTTTGTTTTTGGCTTGGCTTGTTACTTGGTGCCCTTACTGACTCTCCGTGAAGCTGGACAAAGATGGCATATCGATTGTTTTCGATGCAGTACCTGCAATACCCTCCTCGATTCGGACGCACACCTCCTCCTCCTGGGCGATGGCTCATTAATTTGCAGCAGCTGTACCTACAGCTGTAACTCATGCGGCAACAAGATCGAAGATTTGGCCATTCTCACTGGTGACCAGGCCTTCTGTGCTCAATGTTTCCGGTGTCGGAACTGTAAGAGAAAGATCGAGAATCTACGTTATGCTCGCACATCGCAGGGAATATTTTGTATGGATTGTCATGAATCTCTCATGCAACGGAGGCGAAAGAAAAAAGCTGTAGCAGCCGCCAAAAGGCCAGGAGGGCCGGGTGTCAAACTGGACAAGTCCTTGCCATCGCTGCCTCCCAGCTTTGAAGAAACCCGATCGCTGGAGGAGACCCCGAGTGAGGGATATGTCGAGACTACGGCTGAGGTTGCGCCGACCAAGACAGACCTTGTCGACGGAGGTCAATATGAACAATCTTCTCGCCCAACTACGGCCTCGGGTAAGGATTCAAAGTTATCATGGCGGCTTCATTTAGCTCTACGGAAAGCAAATCTTGCTAATACATCTTTCATCGCAGACAATATCCTTCTTCCCTCGAGTACATACCGAAGCAGTCGACTTTTAAACTCACAGCGTGATAATGATCTAGGAGACGCCGGTGGAGAATTGCTTATCCCACTCGCCTTCGATCCATCGGAGAGTCAAAGGTCTTCTCGCCGACAGTCACAGGCAATTCAAGAGACACCTCGTGACTATTTCGGTCATATTCGATCTGGCGATTCATCAGTTAGGGCTTCCCGCGATGACTTTGAACCCCCCTCCCGTACATCGCTAGATCAATCCCCCCATATCGCATACCAAGAGAAAGGTTGGGAACGCACTGAGACCGATGCAGCTCGACGTGACTTGGAGGGACTTAATGGCACGGGTGCCAAGCCGCCAACAGCAATTGATCAGAATAGATTCGGGAAGACTGAGTCTGCTCGTAGCTCTAGATCTGATCTACCTTTGGCCCTAAAGGAATCATCAGCCTTCTCTGGTGCGACCAGTCCCGAAAGCACTCGATCAAAGGATGACGTTGGTCGTCACGCCCATTTGGACAACAATAGGTCGACACGACCTTCTAATGAGTTACGGAGGCTCCACGAAAATGGCTCAGGGGAATCTTCACACGCCGCATCTACCAGCCTGCCACATCACCCCAAGCGTGGCGATTCGCTCGAAAGCAAACTCCATTCAATCCCACGCAAAGACCTAGGCCAGTCTCCTAGCTCGTCTACTTATGGCGGATCACCCAAACTGCCCGAGATTGCTGCAGAGCAGTTGAAACCGAGCATCACATCTGGTAACACGTCACTATCTGATATACAGCGGCCCCTGGACAGCGCTGGTTCGCCGTCCTTGCCGCAATATACTAGCAACAGCGACTTCTCCCAAGATGAAGATCTGGCCCGGTTTATTGGTGGTGAATCTTTCTTGTCTTTCCGTACCACTCAGAATAACGCCAACGCCACTCGTCACAACCGCAGTTACAGTGAGAAGAGTGTCCATACCAATAAGGATGTAAAACACATGCGATCATCTACAAACGGCAGCGTGGGCGAAATTGCTAGCCCGACCGCCAGCACGGCTCAGAATGAGGAACTTGCCTGGCTTCGAGGTGAATTGCGCAAGGAACGCCAACGTGCTACTGAGATGGAGAACGCTCTTCGTGCAACCGCAGATGTGAAACAGGTCAACACTGAACTATCTGAAAAGCGATCTACCATGGTCGTTTTGGATGCGCAGCGAGAGATCGTCTTACGTGAATTGACCGTGCTCACCGACCATATTGAAGCCGAGAAGCGCGGTGCATCCGGTGCACCCTTGGACCTTGGAAAGCTTTCCAACCATGTCCTACGTGAGCTTGCTGAGTCTATCCACACGCTGAAGGACTCCTATACACCTCAAATTGAGGAGTTGATTCAAAAGCGAAATGATTTGGCTGAGGAATTGGTTGATCTCAATCGCAAGAAGGAGAAGGCATTCCAAGAATTTGAGCAGCTTTCTTCCAAGAACGCACAGTTGGCCGAGCTCAACAATCAACTGGTTCACCAAATCCAGGAGCTTTACAAGTCCAACAACCATGACCACCGCGGTCCAAATGGACTGGGTATCTCTCACAATAAGGATAAGTCTATCACCTCTATTGAAGCCCTGAAGCCTACAGCCAGCTACGATATGGCGCCGTCGATCTCCACCGCTCACATCTCGGAAGACGGCGAGCCCGCCACTGCTACAGTTGTGCCTGGTCCCCAGGTTGTCAACATTCGCAAGGGCCAGCCTCGCAAGTTCAACTGGAAGAAGGGTGGTCAGAATGTTGCCAAGGGTGTCAAGGGTCTCAAAGGAGCATTCATGGGTAATGATGAACCCGGGGGCTTGCCACGATCTCAGACCCAGGATCCAACCCGGCAAGGATTTGGCTTCTTTGGAAACCAGCGGAACAAGCAGGGAGGCAAGATGTCGCAGGCCGACAGCATATCAGCATTGTCTGATACTGCAGGTTGTACGTTCTCTATCGATCACATCCGTTTTTTCTTCTTGGCTCTAAACTAACTTTTGTTTAGGTCTCTTTGGTGTCGACCTGGAGTTACGCATGGAGCATGAGAAGAGTATTATTCCGGCCGTTGTCACTAGATGTATCCAGGAAGTTGAATTGCGAGGTTCGTATCATCTGCCTTTTTGTGCTCGTTCTTTTCTACATGTTGATCTAACAAATTCTCAGGTATGGATATGGAGGGTATCTACCGTAAATCTGGTGCTGCGTCAGCTATCCAGGGTATCCGCGATGGGTTTGAAAGGACTCCCGCCGACTATGATATTTCCGATCCCGATCTTGATATTCATGCTGTTACGTCGGCCCTTAAGCAGTATTTCCGCAAGCTGCCAAACCCCCTTATCACATATGATGTTTACGAGATGATCATTGAATCCGGAGAAATCACCGATCCCGCAGCTCGAATTGATGTCCTGCAGAAGGGCCTTCAAGAGCTCCCTCGAGTACACCAGGATGTTCTCGAATTTCTCATGTTCCATCTGAAGCGCGTGGTTGAGCGACAGGAGGAGAATCTGATGACCTGCCAGAACATTGCTGTCGTCTTCGCACCAACTTTGATGAGACCTGAGAGTTTGGCACGAGAGATGACGGATGTGCAGAAGAAGAACGATGTTCTTAAGTTCATGGTTGAAAATGTCCAAAATATCTTCATGGGTATGTCTGGTGGAGAGTCGTAACGGAAACAACCAACCACACTTTATTACTATTTTTCTACCCCCCTCCTCCCCCCTTATGCGTTCCAGTTTTTTCAAAGATTCCAATTTCGGGATCCCGAGTCCTATGATGAGTGCTATACTGATATCCCTCTGATATCATTTGTTTTTGTTTTGTCGGCGCTTTCCATTTTACAGATACCAACGTCTTTCCTTGGTCATTTGTTTTTTGTCAGTTCTTCCGCCTTTTCACTACCCCATCTCTACACCCTGTTCATGATCAGCGCTGCACGCTCGATACCAGATACCCTGGATTGTCTCCCCCTTGTTTCTACATATTCCGCAGGTTCGAAGCTAGTCATTCCCTCGGATCCTCACGGTCTCGCCAAATAAAAGCGCCTCGCCGATGTTCATTTGGGGGAAATCAAAATTTTACTTTTGGGTGGTCGTCATCCTCGTGTTTCATATTTTTATGCCTCATGCAACTCTTTTTTTTTCTCTGGTCACTTATTTTTCTTGTTGTACTCTTTCTCCGTGTTGAGCGAGCATTGGATCGCGTCTAGCGTTATGCATCTCCATCGCAGGACGAATACAGAGATTTGTAGATTGACTGAGTCCTCTGTTCCATTCTGCTTGCATTTCATGTCTTTTTATTATTTTTTGCAATTTATTGTGAATCAACTTCAACATGTCTCAACCATTAAACATGCTGGTAAAATACTACATAGTAAATGTCCTTATACTCCGTCGGTAGACTAGGTACAGTGGACGTACCCGTGTCCGCATCCCGCACCAATCATCCCCGACCGCCTACGACATCACAAGCTCCAGCTTCACCCACGCCAAATCAGTCCAGTCCGGACCAGACCAATATCCCCAACCCATGCCCGCCTCAAGGGCCCTCTTCCTCCTCATAACCCTCTAATTAACCCGTTCCCACCCACAACCGACAAACCACAATGTCCAAACCAGGCAAATACCTCCTCCTCTCCCTCCCCACCTCCATCGTCCCCTCGCATCATAAAGATGATGCCCTCGAAGCCGTCTCGACAACCGTCGCCCCGGAAAATGGCTCGGTGGCCTCCTTCCCTATCCCGGGGTTCAAAATCGGTACACTAGATGCTCTCGTTCAGCAGGCTGATGAGCTTGCTAAGCTTGAGGGACAATGTCAGGGTGTTGTTGGGAAGGTGGGCGATGCGTTGAAGAATATCCTTGATGGAGATGAGGCGCAGATTGAGAGAATGAAGGTTGTCAATGATAGTATGTTATTTCTCTTGTATTTTGCGGGGTTCTTTTCTGGTGATTAGAGTCATGGGCACTGCTGACTTCTTCTAGAACCCGTGGACCAGTATCTGCGCTCGTTCCAGTGGAATAAGGTCAAGTATCGGGCTGATAAGTCGTTGGCGGAATTGATTGATTTGCTTTCCAAGGTGGGTGATTTGGACTGTTCAAGAAGAAGAAGAAGAAGAAGGAAAAGGAAAAGGAAATGATTGAATTATTATACTAATCCCGCGGGTACTTATAGGAAGCTGCTAGCATCGACAATGATATCCGGTTTAAGTATTCGCAATATAACCAGGTTAAGAATAATCTGGCTACACTGCAGCGTAAACAAGCGTATGTCTATGTCTACATATCCAATCCCTCGGTGTCCGTATGAGTATCGATCATGGCTAATTCTTTTTTTCCTTGCAGAGGAAACCTTTCCACAAAATCTCTCGCCTCTATCGTCGATCCCAAGTCCATCGTTCACGACTCAGAGTATATCGAAACTCACCTCGTCGCTGTTCCCTCGCAACTAGTCAAGGATTTCCTTAAGATCTATGAAACCGTCTCCGCGATGGTTGTCCCTCGCTCTGCGCAATTGGTCGCATCTGACAGTGAATTCTCGCTGTACGCCGTGACAACCTTCAAGAAGCATAGCGCCGAGTTTGTGCACAAGGCTCGTGAACAGAAGTGGATTCCTCGTGATTTCAAGTATGTTGAGGGTGGTAAGGAGGAGGAGCGGAAGGAGGTAGAGAGGGTTGGAGGGGATGAGCGTAAGCTTTGGGGAGAGACATTGAGACTTGGACGGACGGCTTGGAGTGAAGCTGTTATGGTCATGGTTCATGTGCTTGTTTTGAGGGTCTTTGTTGAGACTGTTCTTCGGTATGGATTGCCGTTGGACTTTGTTAGTGCTTTGGTTCGGGTATGTGGTTTTCTTTCTCCCCCTTCTCTTTTTTGATGGCATCGGGCATTTATTGACTTTTTTCTATAGGTTCCATCGGCGAAACAAGCGGACAAGGCTAAGCAGAACCTTGAGGAGAAGTATAACTATTTGGCTGGGAACGCGTTCGGGCGCGACAAGAAGGGTCGCGTTAAGAAGGATGATCCTAATGAGATGCATGGGACTGAGGGTGGTGCAGACTACACGGCCTATGTGTTCTATGAGTTTGAGTTCAACTGAGATTGTTAAGATGAAGTTGGTCTTTTTCTCCATCTCTCAACCCTATATTCTCCTTGAGAGATTTGAGAGATGTTTTGCGTTGCGTACATATACCATCCAGGTTCATTAAGCACAAAGCTCTGTTGCATATCTTCTGACTGTTCAAGTTCTTTTAAATGTGTTTTTTATTATTATCTTGTTCTGATTCTCGGGTGTACCTATTCAATGATCACTTCTATGCTGATCATAAACTTTGAATATCATGATAAATCCAATCCAGCATCACTGCAATGCTTTTATTCACAGTTAAAGCGATCTATAAAACCTATCCAAGTATTTACAGCACCAAGATGCAGATTATATCAAACAGCCCACATCAAGCCTATACATGCAACTCCATTCCTTTCAAATCAAACCCCAGACCCAATTTACTGAGACTTAGGAGGCAAGTATCCCTGAGAATCAAGGTAGGCAATAATCTGCTTCACAGCATCCTGGACAGGCAGATCAACATTCTTAATGTAAACCTCAGGCTTATTAGGCGCCTCATAAGGCGCAGAAATACCAGTGAACTCCTTAATCACACCCTCACGAGCCTTCTTGTAAAGACCCTTAGGATCACGCTGCTCAGCAACCTCAACAGGAACATCAATGTGAACCTCAACGAAAGGCAACTTATCAGCCTCGCCGGTAGGAGGAATCTCGTGCAGCGCACGGGCAGTATCACGATCCTTTCGGTAAGGAGAGATGAAAGAGGTAATTGCGACAGCGCTGGAGTCGGCAAAGAGCTTGGAAACCTCTGCGATGCGGCGGATGTTCTCGTTACGGTCTGCCTCGCTGAAACCGAGGTCTTTGTTCAAACCGAAGCGGATGTTGTCACCGTCTAGACGGTAGGCGTGGACATTTCTGTCGCGGAGGAGTTGGTGCTCCAGCTCGACGGCGATGGTGGATTTGCCTGAGGCGGAGAGACCGGTCAGCCAGATTGTGAGACCCTTCTGGTTGCGGATTGTGTCGCGCTCGGAGCGGGTGAGGGCCGCGGCGTGGTAGGTGATGTTGCTGTGTTTGTTAGTTGATAGTTCTTTTGATGAGATTTGGGTAGGAAGAATTGAATTGACATACGTTGCCATTTTGAATTTTGAGATTTGAATTGATGAATTGGGAAAGGAGGAATGTCAGAGAAGGACGACAGAGGGCAGAGGAGGGGCACTAAGACGGTGAAACGGGCCGCGTAATAAGAAAGTGCTGCGGCAACGGAGCGCTGATCGCGGGGCAGTTTAGTAGTAGGCTTGGCTTATACGAGATGTACGAGTTTGTTATAGTGATGAATTTAAACTAATAGGAACTGTGTTTTATATATATGAAATCAGGATTATGTTCTTCTATGCTATACAAATGAGATCTTCTATATCTCCCACAATGAATCTATACCACAACATAAGAATAATAGAAATAAAGAATGAAAAAATAAAGCCCAAAACCTGAGGCAGCAAAGATGGCGCAATCGAGAGAATCCAAATTTCTCGATTTGAACGGTTTTAACGCCAGGAACCAGGGACTAGGTTTTCGCCACTGCAGAAACTCGGTCGAAGCGGATTTTTTTTATTCGTTCGCGCCACGGTACAATTGGGAAAGAGCCTAACAATTCTGATTAGCAAAAGAGTCCGAAAATAACAGATAATATTGAATGTAAACTTACCGCAGCCTGCTTAGGCTCAATAAATAATGCCTTAGCCTCAACCAAGACAACAGGGTCCTTCCCATCAGTAGGGAGAGTCTCAATACGACCCTCAACCCACGCTTTCCGACCCTCAACCTTAACAGTCTCCGCTCTCAGAGCAATATACTGATCCGCCATAGCCGGTGCCCGATAATCAATGTTCAAATTTGCAGTAACGCCAATTTTATTAGGGAGCGCTGGGAAACAGCATCGTGCCAGACCCTCATCTAGTAGCGTCGCAAGAAGTCCTCCATGAACAATACCGGGGTGTCCACAGATATCCGAGCCAAGGTACATCAGCGAGACGAGGCTCTTACCCCCGCTTTCACTGAAGACATATGGTGGGACGACGATCTTATTTGGACCCGCGAGGGTACCGGCTGTTAGACTGCGAGGACGTAGAGTCTCGGGGATCTTGAGGTGTGGGCGCGCTTCTTTGAACTCAGGGTTTGCGCGGAGAGCGACCGCTTCCGGGTGCGATTGGAGAGTTGACTCGATTTCTTGAGTTATCTCGTCTGTTGGTGTGAAGGCGACGAGGGTCTGTTCGTCGGAGAGAATTGGTTCAGCCATTATGGATGAGACGGTGCGGAGAGAACGGTAGGTTACTCCGGCTGTGAATGCGATGACGGCGATTGAGAGGAATCCTGCGACGCGGCGAAGGCGCGAGCGTTGGGGCGGAAGGGGCGGAGATGTGCTGGTATTATGTGATGCTGTATAATAAAGATAGCAGTGTTAGGAGGGTGCAAATTAGATCGTAGATCGCAAATCGCAGATGCAGATGTGTGTACCTGTAGATTGAAAGCGGTGATTGCCCCGGGCGAATGGATTTGAAGGTGAACGCGACTGAATCAGGAGGCGCGACGGAGAAGATGTTGATCGGGACAGGGTGAGGGAGGGAGTTGAACGGAAGGAAGGGAAAAAATGTGGTCGGAGCATTTTCCAATCTTGGGCTTTTTGAATTATCCAATCCGTGGACCTGTTTCCAAGAATTTGCGGCGGATTGTTGGGAGGCAAAGGTTGAGATGGGATGTGGATTCCCGGTGCGAAGTTACCTCGGCATCTTTGAGTCTTGGACGTGTCCCGGTGTAGTATGGGGTGGGCCCTATCTTAAACATTCGAGTCTAGATCGACCATTTTACCCAGACACACGGAGTCGGAGGCGTTCTTTGGCTTGAAATCCTTTTTTATGACGAATCTTATCTTTATATGCGAGTTGGAATTATTTTATGCAGGTTTAAGGTCATCTGCCTTAGTCTGAGGGTTATCGATGCCTTCTATCTACACAAGACACTTGTATGTTGATACACAGCCAGTATTTCGATATATAATCAATTCCGAGGTCCGATTTGAGAAAGGAAATTTATATATTGGAAAGACCTCTGACCTGGCTAATGTACTAAAATTATAGAATGTGGACGAGCAGTATATCGGATTTTTACAGTGGCAAGAAGTGAATATAATTGCCTGGATAGCTTTTTCAACGTACACAGCAAATATACAATCGACGACTATTGATTCATTTATCAGCACACTGTGAATTGCCATCAACGATTCCATCCGGTCCTAAAGTTTCGTCGCGATCAAGAAGGCAGCGTGCTCGCATATAAGGATCTAGTTTCCAATAATTCACCCGAAACTCCTCAATTATAGCATTCCGACGAGCCTTCAATTCTGAAACTTTCGCAGCATCCTCCTTTTCATCAGCGTAAGTCGTAGCAGAGATCCAAGCGGCGGTAGCAGCGACCATTCTGAGACCAATCATCAACCGTTCATACAGCAGAGAGTCTCTCGTTTCGATATCTCCCATGAGTTGATTCTCTTTTTCCTGGGGCTCGGGGTACGAATAGCTCCAACTGTCATTGCCGCCGATCGCTTTCGGAATTTGATCGCGAGTAATAAATTTGTCTAGATCATTAACTGAACGGGTGAAATGCACTTTGGATGCCACGACCGGATCCATCCAACCATGAATGAGTCTCCAGATTCCTTAAAATGGGTAGTTAGTATGATATGGGTGACATTCTTGCTCAAATATATATGGAAGAAGATTCTCAACTTACCAGAGAACACCCATGGCGCGTTGTGAATGAGTAGCCGTCCGAGCGATTCCGGATAATTTGCCTCAAAGCATTTGAGAATGAACTTCACTGGTTGATATTCCTATGCTCAGTAACTAGGTTAATTATCTATTTCCCAAAAGTATGCGTGATCTAGGTACTGTACCATATTCGATAGTCCAAATCCCGTCATATCAAAAACAATTGTCTGTACAAATGTCAATTCGGAGATAATTATCATATCTCACAAGGGGTGAGGACTTACACCATTCTCAATAGGAGGCACAACGATAAGGCGGGTGGACTCAATAACATGAACAATATAGCGCTCTAAAGCCTCTTCCGTCTGTGCTCCAGGCTTATGAATCCGAACCCTTACATAATTCACGGGTCGTCCATCGCGATCAAATCCATGCAGGAAACTTTTTCCGGTTCTCAGCTGCTCGATAAAATCTTGTCCTTCTTTCCTTGCTTTTGTAGTGAGTTCATGGTTCCGGGATTGTTCAAGGGCATATAACTCTCCTTTTGGAAGGATGTCATCATCGACCCCCATTTGCTTTCTCCAAAGGATATTAGTGATCATCATAGTGAAGGCTTTGCCAACATCCCACTTTCTTGCTCGTAGGAAGCGAAGTAATAAGCTATCGGGATGCTCCTGTTTGATCATCTTCAAAATTGAGAAACACATTTCCTCGGGACTCATCTTGGACAGAATACTTTCCATCGATTTAATTTCGGAGTCTTGAACGCCCATTTTGCGGAGCTCTGTGAAAAGTGTAGAGAAGTGTTCCGGTGTGACTTTTCGAGTGGTCATTTCACTCTTGATATTCTTTTCTGCGTCCGCATTCAGGAGATTATTGACTTTATCAAGAGAATGCTGCTCCTTGTTCTCTTCATTTATCTCGTCACTGGTTGTCTTTGCCCCAGGGACAATATCCAATGTATTTCCATCGCCATTGAGTGCCTTCACAATGGCATCAACTGTTGGCTCATTAACTTGGTCGAGAACCTCAAAGAGTTTGTTGGGTGACCCATCTGGTAGTGGGACTTCAAATATGGCCGATAGCACGGAAGCGGCCGAAGAAAATATAAGAATCCAGAGCTCGCGTAGCTTCACATCTTGCGTTGGCGTGAGGTTATGTACGTAACCTGTAGAAGTATCCGGTGTGATCGTCATATCGTTATCCCTCGCCTCTTAGTCTGGGCGACTGCTTTTGATTTCACTAATTTTTGTTCCCCAGATGTCCATCGTGTTGCTCATTTATTTACACTCGCAATGGGTCCACATGAAACCCAGGTACGGGTCGACGCTACCTCGGTCAACCCCCTCATGAGGAGGATACGAGGGGCCCCCAGCCCCTGCCGAGGCGGTTGGGCCGATGCATCAATCTTGGTATGACAGCTCTGGATCGTTGCTTGGGGAGAGTGTATTTTCCGTGTTCGCGGGGAGATAGTAATTGAAGAACATATGCATAGTTTGTGGAGGATTTTATAATCTGGTACCTTTGAGCACTAGTCTTCAAAGAAAGGGCAAAATACAATTCTATTGTTGAAAAGCCCATATTTAGCAACTATCTTCTTTGAGAATTTTACCAAATACTCAGGCATTCGGTCAAATTCTTGCGTCTTGCCTAGTTGACCCTATCTCCTTAGGTATGTACTGGATTCAGTTCCAGATTGCCCCCTGGAAAGCCTTGACGTATTATACAACTCGAACTGGAGAGCACTATTTAGCGATGATAGAATGTCTTTTAGGTTCGCATTTAGTCTGCCGTAACGCCGCATTAAAATCATTAAAATGAATTATGATCATCGTAAATTCACCCCGCAACGGTATATCGGTCCTCGGCGAAAGCATGATCGGAACGAGATGATCTATGATATACCATGGGACGATGCGACCAAAGATAAACTGGAGCTAATCTGTGTAAAGATATCTTCTAGAAGGCCGAATAAGCAATATAGCGGTCTCTTCAAAGGCCTTGTCGTTTCCTTTCCTTTTCTTTATTCACCATTCTGGTTGAGAGTTCCGTTTGGAGGTACCTTTCAAGATAACCTATGTGCGACGTCTGTATCTTCCTATACAATGTTGATTGGTTCGCTCTGTATTCCAAAATAGTAAATTCATGTGATCCCGAGGGCCGTTTCATTGGATTTCTGGATATGTTTTCAGTGGGGAAAACTTAAGGTTCACTTTCCATAAACCCTAGTCTGGGAGGTTGTATAAAACTGTGTTTGAAAGAAGGAAATTAAGAAGACATAATGGTGTATGAAAGCAATGATGCCAGTGATAAAGAGCACCCCCGCTATTTGAGGCGCTCTCACATTCATCTGTCTTCCATCTCCATCGCTTCAGCTTCTCGAGTGCCAGAGATGCACAGTATGCTCCCGAAAATGAATATATCTCCACATGTCTTACATTCTCAGAAGTAAAATGAGCGAGAAGCAAATCGTCCACGGGTGGTTATTAGTTATACTTGAGCCGCGCTAGACCATTCTTTATCCCACGTACATAACGGAGTGGCGTGGTTAGAGTGTGGTGCTAATAACGCCAAAGTCGAGGGTTCCCCTCTGGGACCATTTTTTGTACTCGTTTTCGTACTTTCTGTCTCTTCTCTTACTTAGTATAGAGAGGCCACTGCAAGATTCACTTCTTACGGTTGGTAAACTATACTATAAAATTTCGTTAGCAATTAATTTTAAAAAAGATACCAGAGCGATCTCAGTATCTATCATTACCGGTAAAGGTTTCATACAAAAAGATCTAGAATAATATTAGACGTCAGATACAGAAAAAGAGTCAAAAAATGGTTCCAGAGGGGAACCCTCGACTTTGGCGTTATTAGCACCACACTCTAACCAACTGAGTTATGGAACCAGGTTGTTAAGACAGCGAAAATGTTTTGCATCTATGAATGGAGACAATCAATGTATCAATATTTGTATTATTGAACGTCTTGCTTCTGGCGACTTGGCACGGAAAGACTCCCAAATGCTGTTCATAAGCCATCTCATTCTCGAGGTACATCATTTCCAATCTGTTACTAAATAGATCAGTCTCCTTGAAATGTACTTGGGCCGATGAAATGGATATCATGAAAAGTTTTCCGTTCTCTGATAATATTGATCTATATTTTCTATAGAGTCCACGGTTCAGAAGTTAACCTTGCACATGACATTTTTGACTTTTCTATAGACCAAAATAAGACTGTGGTGACACATAATAAGTTTATAACCGGTCTTTGCTTAACCTGAACCATCCGCGGCTTGGAATACCCGTTCCACACTTAAACCTTAAACCTTCGCCGTGGGGAACCATCCCAGATTGACCCACGGACGTTTGCAATGTATGTTGAATGTGATATATACAGCCATTTGTCAAATTTAATGAAAAGGAAATATGTTATCAACAACCTAGGGTGGGAACTTGTCGTGACAACTAAGTTTACATACATTCCTATTTAGTTGGAGAAAAGTTACGCATAAGCATTAAAGAGCTAATTGCATTCGATCATACTATTGGTCTTCTGTTGAGTCAGAATTTCCGGACTGTTCAAAAACTATTCATGGCCCCGCAGATTGTTCCTTGTTTTTATCCAATGGAGAAGTCATCAGGGACCTAAGCGTCGGTCATAGCTTGCATAAAGTCCGAGCCAAATGCAGTAAAAGGATCACAGTAGAGCCGATCCCGCCAGTCTGCATTAAAACTACCCTATCACACGCGGCTGGGATATTGCTTCGTCGCAGATAAGAGATTCTCGATGCAACCCAGTAACGCGGGGTTGATCGACAGGGGTCCCGCATACCGGGTGAGAACAGCACGACGCGACAGGGGTCGCAAGGGGCGCCAGGACCTAAATACCAGCTATGCTCGCAACTTGAACGCGATGATCCCATATGCAGAGAGTTTTTCTTTCAAAATCACTCATGCCGTCATACCGAGTGCTCTTGTCGCTGTTCCTGACTAGCAGTTGCGCGACGGTCAATGCTGCTCTTCCCGCATTACCAGATGATTATGATGTGCTCCAATATATTGACCCGCTGATCGGCACGGCAAACGGAGGTAAGACTGCCGCTGTGTATTGAAGGGCCTTGTTCACTGATCTATCACCAAACTTTTAGGCAATGTTTTCCCAGGTGCCACTTTGCCGTATGGCATGGCTAAAGCCGTGGCTGATACAAACTCGGAAAGTAATCAGGGCGGCTTTGCGTACGATGGCAGCAATGTCACTGGGTTTTCCAGTATGCATGACTCCGGAACTGGAGGTAGTCCGTCTCTTGGGAACTTTCCTCTATTTGCTTATGCGGAATGCGCCAACGATGAAGTTGATGGCTGTGTTTTCCCTAAAAAGTCACGAGCCACTCCGTACAAAAATGGCACCGTGGAATCACATCCAGGATATTTTGCTATCTCATTAGCTTCGGGACTCCATGCCGATATGACTGCAGCTCATCATACAACTCTCTTCCGTTTTAACTTCACAGATGCCAAAAGTCCGTTGGTTCTCTTGGATCTCTCGGATCTGTCTGACTCGCGTCAAGACAATGCAAGTATTTCAGTTGACAAGTCGACTGGACGTATGACTGGCAGTGCAAAATTTTTGCCGAGTTTCGGCAGTGGAGATTATACTCTGCACTTTTGTGCGGATTTCAAGAGTACTGCCGAGTTGCGAGATAGTGGTGTGTTTGTCGACGCCCGCGCCAGTACGGATGTTCATGACTTGAAGATCTCCCGGAGTATCAACGGTTATCCTCTTCCTGTGAGTGACACTCAGGGCTAGAATAGTAATCTGTGCGCGCTAACAGTTTTAGGGCGGTGGCTTTGTTCGGTTCAAATCTCCTTCTGACGGGGTGGTGCAAGCTCGTGTCGGCGTGAGCTTTATTAGTCCAGATCAAGCCTGCTCTCATGCCGAATCTGAGATTAGTGACTTCGATTTTGACTCCACTCGCAAAGCAGCTGTTGATCAGTGGACTGAGAAATTGAGCCCGATTCGTGTGTCACGAACTGGCGTTAAGTCATCTGTTCTCACTAATTTCTACAGTGGAATTTACCGTACTATGGTGAACCCACAGAACTACACTGGCGAAAACCCTCTTTGGACAAGTTCAGAGCCGTATTTTGATTCTTTCTACTGGTTCGTAATATTTGGTGCATCGAGTTACTGCTTTGAGAATTTCCGCTCACAATTTGCAGCCTTTGGGATTCTTTCCGGTCTCAAATCCCATTTCTTACTATCCTGGATCCTGCCAGTGTCGCCCAGATGGTTCGCTCATTGATAGACACCCAGCGTCATCTTGGCTGGCTGCCTGACTGCCGCATGTCACTATGCAAAGGTGGGACTTATGCCATGCTCCAAGAGAAATCTCAAGAATTCGACTAATATTTGATGATCTACAGGATATACCCAAGGCGGATCAAATGCTGATAACATTCTCGTGGATGCCTATGTTAAAGGTCTTACCGACGGCATTAACTGGGAATATGGATACGCTGCCGTTCAAAAGGATGCCGAAGAAGAGCCTTACGACTGGTCCAATGAAGGTCGCGGCGGACTAGACAGCTGGAAAAAGTTGAATTATATTCCAGTCGAAGACTTTGATCATGTGGGGTTTGGAACCCTCACTCGAAGTGTCTCACGCACTCTTGAATATGCATACAACGATTTTGCCATTGCTCAAATGGCTCATGGCATGAATAAAACAGCCGATGCCGAAAAGTATGAGAAGAGCTCGGGTGCATGGAGAAACCTCTTCAAGAAAGACCAAACTTCATTCCACAACAAGACTAATACTGGGTTTGTGGGGTTCTTTCAACCTAAATACATGAATGAGACTTGGGGTTATCAGGATCCCCTCAAGTGCTCAAACATTGACACAAGTGGAGCTATTTGCTCTCTCCAGAACACTGGTCCTGAAACTTTTGAATCGAGTATCTGGGAATATCAATTGTAAGCGTCCCTGTTATTTCTCCTTCGGTTTTTGTTTCTCTGTTTTGCAGTTGTACTAACGGAGACTAGCTTTGTGCCTCATGATATGGCAGCTCTTATCCCTATGCTTGGTGGGCCCTCTGGCTTTGTCAAGCGACTCGACTACTTGCACGAGCAGAACATCACATACATTGGGAACGAGCCGGCTTTCCTTACTGTCTATCAATATCATTACGCGGGACGCCCAGCCAAGTCAACTGCTCGGGTTCGTACATACATCCCAGATTACTTTTCCCCAACTCCAGCCGGTTTGCCTGGCAATGATGACTCGGGCGCGATGGGATCCTTTGTCGCAATGTCTATGATGGGCCTCTTTCCCAACCCAGGGCAGAGTGTGTACCTGATTACTGTCCCTTTCTTCGAGTCAGTGAGCATTACATCACCACTCACCGGCAAGGTAGCCACTTTTCGTGTGGTTAACTGGTCTCAATTCAACTCACTTAACAATACTGGGGGAACGGGCTTCATTCAATCAGCCACTCTCAATGGTAAACCTTATACCAAGAGCTGGATTGATCATGACTTCTTTACTAAAGGTCAAGATTTGGTTCTTGTTTTGGGTCGCAATGAGAGCTCGTGGGGTACCAAGCCTGAAGACCTGCCACCGTCATTATCTAGCAGTTCTTCTGATATTAATGCACGTGAATTAGGTGATGGCTATGAAGATCTTGAGAGCAAGGGGATTTATGTCGGAGGCGGGCCACAAGTTGCTCGACAGTTCCGACCTTATGATGCCACCCATTTCGGACATTGAAGTGCAAGCTGAGGTCATTATTAAATTATTTATTCTTGGCAATGTAGTATAGGTACTGTAAACTGGGTTTCTTTAATCCAATTTTACTGAATAACCAGTTGGTCTCTACATCATAATGCCATATTTATTTGCTATAACTTCAAACTGTCTGATTTTTATGGGTATCACAGTTCTAAAGAATAGACATGCATGAAAATCGTTTCTCAATAACCATATCTCATACATTCAAGTGTTTTGGACCCGACTATGTGGGTTGGGTTTGGTTTGGTAAACCTTTTGTTCGCTGACGATGGATCTCTTTCTTCTCTAAATATGCATCTTTCCAATCTTGGCTGTGAGGAATCATATGCCAAGCCACCATTCGGTCGTCTTCCTCTGTTGTGAGATCCAGCCAGGCAAAAAGATCTTGTCGTCGTTCCTGGACAGCTCGAGTGTTCTTTGTAGGTGCTGAATGTTCCAAGTCGGCCGTGGTTGTGGTTGTGTTTCCGCGACTCCATGGCCACGAGGAAATCGTTTCTTTGACTTTTTGTGTTTTCAGAATTTCAACCGATGATCCTTGCGTCGGCTCCCATTCAGTATATCCTACTGGATACGAGGAAATCGTAGCTTTCAATCTTGATGTAACCCAGCAACTCCACTCTTCGCTTCTCTCATACTCGCCGTGTGGCTTTCCCATGCTAGTAATTTCTAGCCGAGAGTCCTCGCAACCCACTTTATATGCTGTCAAGACTGTCGCCGTGATCATCAATACGACAGTGCAAATCTGGGTATATAGTGCAGCCATGCCAATACTTATGACATGGACGGCAAATGCGACCCACCCAAAAATTCGACATATCAGATAGAAACGTGGGCGGGTAATACGGGGTGCAGCAGTAAAAGCAGGCTTGATAAGAAATGCAGGAGCAGCAAGGGTCAAAACCTTGGATTCTTCTGTCACAAGGATTATCTTGACAGGATCAAAGTCTGTGGGGCGCTTGGGAATTTTGACATTTTCATCCATCTTCCCATCGCGTTGACGCGTCTCTTTGAGGTTCTTGGAATGCTCATATCTCGCTAACCTCTCTGTTGCCTCATCTTCAGCCAAGCGAATATTCTCATCAATACCTGCTTGGTTTTCCGCGACTTGTACGCGTCTCACAAGCACCGAGACGATCATTGCAACCACATTTGCGAAACCCCACCAGTCAGCCGCCAGAACTGTGAGTGCCAAAAGCATGCCATGAAGCGGAACACTGACGAGGAATAGGCCGACGGAAAATGATTTCCGTCGTGGAGGCCGGTCCACAAGTTCCCAGGTCACTTTACTTCGGATCTTATGGAATTCTTGTGCTCGAAGCCACCGAGAAAACCACCCCGATAACTCAGTTGTGACAATTCCCGCTGAGATGTTGTAAAGTGCATATCCAAGCTTTCTCTCTGTGAAACGGTCACCAGCTACAACAAATGCACCCAGAAGAGGCAGGTAGTCAAAATATACACTTGGCATCAGTCGTCCAATACTGCGATCCATTTCCTCTACTCCGAGGAGTGTGACAAGACCCAGGGCATCAATCTGAAGACCCGCACCTTTTGCCCAGGCGCTCAGGGCGTGGTGCCAGGGATACATCTTGTTCCCCTCAATGAGAGTCTGCGACAGAGAAGAAAAAAGGAATACCGATCAAATCAACTTATGAGCCTAGATCAATCTAGCTTTGATTTACATTTCGCAAATTCCTGATTCTCCAGCAACAGTCCTTGAAGGAAATTGCATGGGATCATCTCGAAATAAGCAATTATGGCCCGTTCCCGTACATTAAGTGACTAACTAGTTTGTGGTGGCTGCTTATTTTGTGACTAAGTAGATTCTAATTGGGGGCGGAAAGCTCAGGGGGTAGCAAACAAAGTACAATGAATTTGCAGGGAATCCGGCGATTTTCGATGACTCTTCTACAAAGTACCAGACAGGATTACTTGCTACATACTATCTTGACTTCTGCAAATCTTGCTCTCAAGACCTCCCCAGTTTAGATGCCTCAATCTTACAAGCACCACTATTTTCAATTTTTATTTATCTAAATTTTCATTTTTTGCTGGGAAAGCTCGTCGGACTAGAACTTTAGCCTTTTACTATAGTAAAATTCAGCTCACGCTTAGAAAATTAGACCCTGTGAACAAGTCGGAAGCAAACAATCAACCAGAGTGAATCAAATGTAGTCAGTGAATGGTCGGGACAATGAATAATTTTAAGGTTCCCGTCATTCCTAAAATCGTCTACCCCGTCGTCGCACCCTATCCAACTAAGCCTAGCGCCTCGTATCTGCTTATATCTGCTGACAAATCCTCCCTTTTCCTTGGAAAAAGAGGGGCGGGTGCCACATCGACAAACGCCATCGCGCAAACCAACGAATCTGGCTGACATTTCCAGGTTTAAGATGATTTATATCATTGGTGGCCAGAGGCCCTAAGCCGAAGAGTGGAGATGTGGAAATTGCCGTGCCGTACCAAGGAACCTCGTGGTTCGCCCGCTACCAGTGCGCTGTCAGCCCCGAACCTTAACGGACGGGCGGCTCAGCCTAGTCCTGCTTAGGCGGAAATAGCGGCAGTTGATCATGAGTTCACCTCGTATCTCAAACGAGATATGGGTCCAATTTTGGCAACGCGGAATATTTATTTGATATTTTCATCCACCGAGGCTGGTAAATGAACAAGGTCTCTAAACCAATGACAAGTTACTAGATTCTTGAAGAAAGTTTCATTGCTTCCAACGTGCTGCACCTCTAAGAATATCTATGAGTATGCATACGCCATGAATTTCAAGGCTCCTGTCATCCATAAGCATCTGGACGTAGACCCATTCACTCAGGTCGCGACGGCTCATGCCGCATACATAAAACTAGCCAAATAATATTACTAGGTGCTTCAAGTGTTCTAGATCGATCATTGCCCGCGTTGGATTTATGAGGAGATACGCTAAACCATATATCTTTTGATTTCAAAGCTGAAACTCGTAGTTGTAATACAATTGTAAGCTAACCTCCGAAATCATCGAAGCATGGATCAAAACATTTCGTACATTAGCAATGCATTATAAATATACTATGTGTGTAGCTGTAGAGAATATCCGCATGAAGAATTCGATGCCATGTTGTGTCAAGTGAATTGAACTTGAACCTGGAAGGCTCTGATCAACGCCTACGTATAGAGAGAAGAATACACACGCATATTTTAATTTTTCTAACACGCATGACACATCCATTCACAGAAGAAAAGCCCAAGTTGATTTCAGGGGGCCGTCGCTTTTTTCAAACGAGAAGATTGGTCAAAACAATTTTTGCAACTAATCTCACTGCATGAGACAAGGTCCTAGCTTTGCTTTACTAGGGCGTGGTTTCCCCCTGAGCCTCCAAAGGGGATGGGGGCTGTGGATCCTGACATCTTCTTACTTCGAACAATGAAAACCGATAGCCCCGCCACTGTTTCGGGGATGATTTAGTTGATTCTTTGCATCCCTTCAGACTATCTCACAGCCTGATTTTCTCACAATGGGGCCAGTCCAGTCCGCTTCTGCCAAAGAGCTGGAGCATGAGAAATGGGAAAATAACCTGAGAAAGCAGTATAGTGGACATTGGCATTGGTCCAGTGGCGTCAAGTTCAAACGCCCTCCGAAGCTCAGTCCCGAACAATTTAATGATCGAGTAATAGAACTCGAGCATGAATCAACTACTATGTCAAAACGCCGATATCTCAACCCCACCGGAGATGACGAACATGAAAAATTCCCTGACCTCGATACATATTACAGCTCGACTAAGGAGATTCCCCGTCGACTAGTTGTGCAAGCAACGAAGGACGCACGTAATGATTCTCGACCTCGGCACTGGGCTCACACTCATATTGATGGAAGAACGCCGTTTATCATTCGCCTTGCGGAACTATGTGTCAACCCTTTAGGCCTCGAAAGATACGATAGCGGTTATGTTGATGATGACGATGATGACGAGGATTCAGAACGGGTGAAACTAAGTGGTGCCAGACGCGTTTGGTCAATCTTCCTTCGGATATTACACTATATCCTGTCTATCTTTTTCACATTGACCTTGGCTTGGATTATTCAAGGCTTGTTATCGGTTCAGGTTATCACGGAGCCGTGGAGCTCTGAGGGGTCGGAAAATACCTACGAAGAATATGATAACGTGCACTGGGACTGGCCTAAGCATGCAATCAACGCTCTGGATCAGTCACCTGGAAACCCCCGACCGCAATCAAATATCACAAGGCTCACGATTCCTCGCCGCTTGGTCGTATGGGACAAAGAGAAGAGTGAATGGGTAGCCAGAGACACTACACAACTTCGTGATAAGACAACAGGCATTCTTCAGCCATACATATTCCTCAGTTTCTCACGAGGAAATTACCCAGCCGACGATGATACACTGAGACCATTCTTTCATAAAGTGGCTCAAAGCATTCTAGATCGTGAGAACGCTCACAGAGATCCTAGGGACGCACCAGTTGAGGCTTTCTGGGTTGATACAGACTGTGTCTCACATGCTACTAAGGCCGAAGAGACTAGAGATATCAATACAATATGTGATGCTGTGCGTTGTGCGCGACGGGTGTACATCCTTCTGCCAACAAATGATAAGAAAGAAAAAGAGATATGGGGGAAGCGAATCTGGACTTTGCCAGAAGTTTTGCTCGCCGCGGAAAAGATACGATACTGCATCACTCCTTCCTGGCCAGGAGATCTGTCGAATACTATGCATTCTACAGTCAATTATTTTGAGGACGTCGCATTGACGGATATGTATTCCAGTTTCTGGCCTCTGCTCCCGCCGGTTTCTAAAGAACCAAGTGGTGAATGTAACGGGGAACGACATGAAGACGCTATTAGTCACCTTATCGACCATTATACCAATCGAACAAAGCTCAGCGAGTTACAACTATTTACCTTCGCTGTTCAGGCCATGGCTCAGCTAAGTGTGGGATCGAATGTCGAAGGATACACCACAACAAGCATGGCATACGCTGCAATGGGGCTTCTATCTTATCGCATCACACCAGATGACAACGATGACACCTTTCAAGCTATCGCCAGACTGTCTCTTGTCAATGATAGCAACCAGCTACTTGAGCGACTTCTTTGTTTATGGCCTGATTATACTCCAACGGGGTCTGCTCAAAAGATTGCGAAGGGCGAAGAGAAATATGCAGTCGCGGGTAGTGAGTCTCTTTTACGAAACATTGCCGACCAGGATCAATATTCTGTCCACCTATGGGATATCCAGCCTTCATGTGATGTTGTTGGTATCGGAAATGACAAATTCACACCCACTGTGATCATGGATCGCTGCAAGGGAGTTCCAATTCGGTGGAAGAGCTTCCCACAAGTGAGATATGCTCAGAACTTCCGAGGTTTTCGCGCCAATATCTCTCAGATAGTGGTTTATTGTGGTGCATGGTTTCTACTTGCAGGCTTCAATCTCTTTGCCACTGTCATTTCATTGGCGTTTGCATCTGTTGACTCTGGGCAAACTATCAACATCGATCAATACATGTATGGTATTGCGTTATACGTTGGGGTTTCTTGGATCATTTCTTGGTTCAGCCCCAGGGCTGTACGACAGCTCTGTAGTGGTGGGTCCTCCGGTCTATCAAATCACCTGGTGGGCTTTGAAGGCACAATGACCCTCCGAGACATCGAGAAATGTATATACGGAAACTGGAATGCTCGTCTTTCTTACGCACCATCGTCAACCATATTCTCTCAAGCGCTGCGTCACAAGAAAATTCGCGTGGGCATAGAGCCGCGGGATAAATTTGGAGAGCCAGAGGGCCCCGAACATTGGAACAAACAAAGGAAGGAACTGGGAATCCCAGACACTCATCGCCTATTCACAATTGTCGATACAGGAGACATGAGTGTATCTGTGATTGCTGCTGAGCGACCACCTGTGGTAGCTTTGCTTTGCGGCCGCGAGGGAGGTATGCTACGGGCACTTTTGTGCAGTTGGCGATTCGAAACAAATTGTCTTTACCGTGAATCAGTCATGCGCATGCGAAGCTCAATGGCAGAGCAAGCTACTCCCAATGACTGGCTCAAGATCAGTCTGGCCAGCCAAGGTGATGTGGGACGTACTCGAAAGAGCTATGTCCAGCAGAAGGAAAATTCCTTGCGCTCCACTCCTTCACTTTTGCCACCTACTCCTCCTCCAAAGGAACCAGTTGTACAACAGATTGCCACGAAGTAGTCTTAAGCTGTGTTTCAATTTTTCTTTTGTGCTAATAACCTTTGAATGAACAATTTTTCTTCATTCTATTATACCCTGTGTCAGAAATCTTGGGAGATTATATTGGATAGTTAATCAAAGTTATTATTCTTTTATCTCATTCCTTTAAAGCGAACACTCCTTCGGGTACTTCAAGTGATTCTAAAATAGTAGGATCTGCATTGAACTGTCCACCTTCCACACAATTCTTAATCACGCCCAATAGAGACCGCTCAACGACCAAGACCGAGGGGTCAACAGATTCAGATAGATCCATGACTCGAGACAAGTAGCGTAAAGCACATGTAAGTGGCAATTCTTCTTTAATGCGACTGAGAAGCGCAGGCACATATGTTGGTTGAACAGCAGGCTCTCCACTCAGGCCGTCCAGGTTGAGTGCATAAATTAAACTTTCTCTGGTATCCTCTTCAATCAAATTCCATGTCCCTTCGAATAAAGATGCCCTTTCCGAAGTTGTAACATTTCCCATGCATAATAAACGTAGCAATGCACGGTTATCTGCAATATTGACGTCTAAGAACGAGAATCCGCATTCATGAAGCCAATTTGCTCGTCGAGTCAGGATCAGATCGTACGCATTTCGAAGATTCGAGGAGCCAGCAGTGAGATTTTGACATGCATCGAAGACATTTCTATAGGATTCAAAGATTGGTTGTATAAGTTTCTTTGCGCATGTGCTGTCCATATGTCCTGCTGCACCCGCAATATCTAGTATTTGCTCCATAAATCGGAGCTGGAAGCAGATCGGGTTGTTTTTCATCCGTTTCAAGCCAGATAGGCACGCAGGTACATTTTCGGCTTGGGCCAATTGGCCAAAGTTGAACGTGGCTCCGAGCTCAATGCCACCGATGAGATGGTTCTTGTATTCGATAGGCAAGCGATCGAGTGACCTTATCAACCCAGCTTGACAAGCCTTGAGAAGGATAGCGTCGTGATTAAGATCTGATATGTCTATCCCGGTCACATTGTAGTAATCAAAGGCCAATTGTGGGTCTTTGCCCAAATCATTGGTTATTATTGAGGTTATCAGAGCATAAAGAGTATCTGGTTCCACAATAATTGCCTTGTAAAAATCTCGAATCCATGTGAATGACTCTATAGTCAATTTTACCTCTGGCGGTTGTGAACTGACGAAACTTTCATATTGTCCAAGGTGAATCCAACGCAGGGATAGAAATCCGACTAGCGTACGGTTCACTTCATCATAGTTGGATTGGTATAGAACATAAGACGGAGTTTCGTTGCTCACGGATATTTGGCCCTCACGAATAGAATATGCTCGCTTGAGACGATCGATTTCATTGGCGAATTCTTTGTAGACCAGCCGCAGGAGGTCTGCCTGGGGAGTAGCAAAGAAGGAATCTGGATTAACGCAAGCGTCTCGCAGGGACCGGAGTGAATCTTCCATTTGCTTTGTCAGAGTAGCCCTAAAAGTCTCAGAGTTCCTTTTTGCCTTGACCCCCTTTCAATATTTTAAACGAAGCCATTCGATTGCACAGCCACAGTCAAGACATTGAAAACAGATCAGCTGCCTGCGGGGAGATCGAGTATTGACGACCTCGGCAGTGGGGCTATCGATATCAGTCTAGCTATATTTACGAAGTAACGTGATTTATACCTAATTAGGCTTAGTCTGCAGAACAAATAAACAGACGTAACATTCGGTTGATCGGTCAACTCGTCTTCCATGTCCTCCCTCCCCTGCCTATGAAGAACCGACACGGGTTTAATTATTCCCCATAAGATGTTTCCGCTAACCAAGCACCTGAATCCTCTTTTTGACTAGACAATACATGCGAAGTGAAATTTATTGTCTCAAGTCGAAAAATCAACACAAAGGTGCCACGGGCGTCTCAATCCCTCCGCGTCTTGCAAATCCTACCACGAGATAACGTTACCATGCAAAATGCTGAACTGATTGATTCGGTCAAAAAACTTTGAACCAAGTCACCGTGTAAGCAGAAATACTACAAATCACGTTGCAACTTGAAGAATATTTGCATTCTCATCCTCTGGGGGTTCCATCAAAAGAGACATAAATATTCGCGTACAGGCCGTTGCAGTCAAAAAGTTCTATCCCAAGATCATCACAGGGATCACTTTTTAGATTTGACATAGTATTTACCATTTGGCACCACTGGCATGATCCAGATCATCTGTTGATTGCATTGACCCCTGGTTCATTCCAGGGTTTGAAGATCTTACTAGGCAATACTATGCAAGTTTACAGTGAAACATCTCCCTCCTCCCTAAAATTATCATTTGTATCCTGCTTTGGTGACCGCCACTGAACAACTGCTGCCCCGATAAATGAAGTCGCAGCCAATCCGATACCAGCATAAAATGTCCTTGTCACTGCTGCATTATATACTTTCAACAACGTCTGCAATGTAGCACCTTGATATCTGACCCACAATCCTGTTGGCCCCGCCTGTAACACCGCCGAGACATCTGATTGCGTCAAATTGGCCTTTAATCCAGCTACCAGCCGATTATTAAACAGATTTTGTGCAACAGAGACAAACACAGAGCCGCCAAGAAGCGGGGCAAATGTCATCAGTGCCGTGGCAATCGGGATATCAGTGGCAGGGAGAGTAGTCTGGACAACAAAGATGGGCAGTTGAAAGCCTGTACCAATTGCGATGCCAAGAAATAGCTGATAGCCGACCCATTTTGCAGGGCCACTGGTAGGTTCAAGCGTGGTGAGGATTCCAGCACTGATGCAGGTCATTGCAGCGCTGAGGAGCATGAATGGACTGAGATATCGGATCATTGTGACAAAGGCACCAGAAAGCATTGTCATCAGAACGTTGGAGAGGATAAAAGGGAGATTCATGAGGCCCGACCTTGTGGCTGAGGTGCCTTTGACGGCTTGAAACCAAATCGGAAGCTGTGAAGGGATTAATAGTGAAACCAGACTGGGCGGCGAGGGGGGGACCTACATAATAGACGAAGCTTATCAGCACACCATTCGCGCAGAAAGCGAAAAGTGCAGACCCCCATATATTCCGCATACAAATTAGATGAGGTGGCAGTATTGCCTTCTTTCCAAGATAGAGCTGAAGGCAGAGAAAGCATCCAAGTAAGGCTCCAAATACAACAAAAAGGGCAATGATACGTCCATCTCCCCATGGATGAACTGAACCACCCCACTGTAGAGCAAGAAGTAAGCTAACAATGGCTGACACAAAGATGATGGTTCCTAGTGGATCCATTCCCCACAGCTTCTCTTTTAAGGTAGCTTGGACAATCGGCTTGGTGTTTTGAAACGTGAAGAAAACAGTCACACCGGTGATAGCACCAAAAGGCAGATTGATATAGAAACACAATCGCCATGTTACATGATCAGTGAACACACCTCCAAGACTGACAGAAAACAGAAACGGAATGATAAGTTATTGAGCGTCAACGACACCGGGATTTGCACAGACTTACGGAGGTGCAACAACACTAGCGATGGCAAACATACCCATAATCAAGCCTGAGAATACTGGGCGACGGTGTACAGGCACACATTTGGAAATAATAACCAGCGACCCAGTCAAGAGGCCTCCTCCCCCCTAGGCCGGAGATAGCCCGTCCGATAATAAAAACCAAAGAGGATGGGGCAATTCCACAGATCAGCGATCCAAGTTCAAAGAGAAACAAAGCACTCAGATATGCCCATTTCGCTGGGAAAAGAGTATAAATCCGACCAAATGGAAGTGTCACTGCGCAGGTGGTCAGCATGTATGAACTTGCATACCAGCCAACATCTTCCAGGGAGTGGAACTGCGTGGCAATCTTGGGAACTGATGTGGCAACAATCGTGCCGTCCAACGCGGTACAGAAAACACAGCAACTAAGCCCAAACACCAGGGCAGCTAGCCTGTAGCCCGAAAGGCGCTCCTCATTAGTTTCATCGACAGGGGAGCTGATGTTACTATTGTTTGGGTCGGACAAGCATATCGGAAACTGGTCGTTTTCGAAGTTTGGTTTGCCAGCTGCCATGTTGGTGTTGGAATAGTATGTCATTCAATCCTCCGGCGAGGGCACGGTGTGGTGCATAAGTATTTCATCTGGGAAGGCAAAGTTCATCTGGGAAGGCAAAGTTCATCTAGGAAGGCAAGGTTCATCTCAGAAGGCAAGGGATGAACCGGGGAATGTTGGAATACTGGGAGATGGGAGACCATGATGATACACATTGGGCATTGGCAGTACGCAATTAGCATTCACATGCATCGGGCTTAGGTATCCCTTGACAGCACTGGTGCCCTGGCTCTTAATGGAACATTGAATTGTCCGAAGAATACATTAGCAATGTAAACAACTTAAATTTGAAATGTGGTACCTACCTTTCATCTGGAGTTCACTTGGAGGAAGCTGATGTTGTGAAGGAAATGCACACTTCCCAATTTCCTTCTCCTTGGCCTACATGCCTACATCCTTATATCAAACGGGTGTAATGTAACCATTTTAAGATTGCAAGTTGCAGTGTTAGTAGGTAATGGAATGAAGCTTGAAGTATCTTTCTTCTAGTTCGCCTGACTGGACTCATGTAAGACCTTCCAGTTTTTGTTTCCATAGGGACTCTCTGTATGGGAGAACTGTCAAAAGTCATAGCATGCGGTCTAGCAGATCAAAAAGATCCGGCTAATTCGCCATTGCCATAACTAGCATGTATGTAGTGATTTTACTTCCAAGATTTTGTCGAGTGTCGAGTGTGTCGGTTGCATCCTACTACACTCGATAGACAAGGAGTACTGGCTCTTTGTACCGTTTAAGATTCAAAATATTGAAGATAATGGACATTCTAATAAGACTAATGACAATACAGGATTCATACTCATTTTACATAGCTTTGTACTAGTAGATATTCTCTAAATAAGATTGATTAGCCCGCCGCTCTTGTGCGTACTATTTGGGTAGGCAACTTACTGGAAGACTGCTTCAACAGACTTCAGTGTCATGGAATCTATAACAAGTATATCTGCGAGGCCAGCATTCAAATAAGGTCAATTAGCTAGACAGTGCGGAACCAAAGTGAGGGAGAGGGAGAGTGAGATAGAAAGAAAGAGACCAAAAATATATAATATATAAATATAAATTCAAAAGGAAAATCAATTTTTGCCTCAAATAGGAAGCGGGAGATCCATCAATAGCATCAATACTTGATGTGGCCCTCAATCTGTTTCGTTAAGCTTCTCCTACTACTTGTAGCTTTAATGTTCATGATCAGATGTGTATGGTGCTAATGAAATAGGCATGTCTCTCTGCGTGGTGAGCTCCTTCCACGCCTCTCCCAGTTTGTGAGTCAACCACTCTAGTCTCGTCCGAGATAGCATATGTGTCGAGCCAGCGCTAAGGATCCTCACTGCTGAATCGTCGGGATGAATCATGAAATCTATTGGACAATCCATGATCTGGAAACGATCATGCCGATACCCTAGCCAGTCAAACTTGAGGTGACACGGATCTCCACCAAAGGATGGCGACGCCGACACGCCCGGCTCAATGGTAATAAGGCTGCCGCAACGAGTGTCCAGGGGCCAAGGGGTGCACTCAGCCACAATACGACGGGGCTCCATCAGCTCATAGTCAATCGTACGAGCATACTGATCCTTGACGTGACGCAGGAGCTGAATTGGTGTGAAATGCGGCTGAAAGGTTACCCGAATAGGGACTCTGGAGAAACATGCTCCTGCTACCGACGACATGGGGTCTGCGTCTGGAACAATGAGACTGTGCCCATCAACGACATGCCCGAACACGATATCAGTCTGCTGTGTGACTCTCGCTACAACTAGAGCCCAGGCTGCCTTGACGAGAGTGGGAAATGTAATCCCGGGAGGAGGGCATGGAGCGGGGAATGTAGTAAATACTACAAGCTGTTCTCTCTCTCTGTTCAGTAGGCCGGTGCCACCAGCCAGACTTTCACCCGCTGTCATTGTTCCCCCTTCAAGGTATTTACGCCAAAATCGTATTGTCGTGGGGTTGGTGGCCATGGCACGATGATCACGATAGTGCGCAAAGGATACTGAGGGTACTAGTAGGTCTTCTTTACCGCAATACAAGTCACCTAGCTCCTCAAAAAGAGGGGGGAGCATTGTTGCATCGAATTGCGCATGATTCATTCGGATTATAAGGAGATGGTGATCTGGCCCAGCCGAGGCCAGGGTAGCTTGAAAATATGGCTCCCCAGGAGACAGAGGAGTGTCTGCATCTCGCTGGCAGAGGGAATGGCGAAAATCCTCTAACGTCTGGCTTGTAACTTGGTAGATATGCAATGGCACATGAAGCTGGGATAGAATGATCTGCACATATTCATTCTGGTGTTGGACAAATAAAGACCGGAGGGAGCCGTGGCGATTAACCAAACGCTGGCATGCGTGTTGCAACCGCCCCATATCAATAGCTTGGTGGAGAAAAAAGTTGAAATGAGTCTTGTGCTCAGATATTAGGAGGTCTCTCTGGGCATCTGTAACCTGGAACATTCTCTCAATATTACCATGTATGAGAGGACCAGCGCCAGCTAAATTTAAGTCTTCAATATTCCACGGGGATTGCAACGGGGGAACATTCCCAGCCTCAGTGTGCCCCGTCTCTGACGATATCTGCGCCAACTGCGCTAGGGTAGAAGGACGCATAACAGACACAAATTTCAGTCCTTGTATTCCTTGCTTCCGAGCAGCTTGAATCATCTTCATGGCGAGAAGAGAGTCTCCACCGATATCCAAGAAGGTGTCGTCTACTCCAATGTGATTCGGTTTTAGGCCTAGAATCTCAGCCCATATATCTCTCAGTTTGATTTCCAAGAAAGAGCCCGCTGGCCGCCAGGGAAGTCGACTGTGGATACGGTAGGCATTGATTTCCGTGGTCGACAAGCATTCTACCTCCTTCCGAAGCTGCCGCCGATCTACTTTACCACTCATGGTGAGCGGGACGCGTGATAGGAGGATAAAGACAGTAGGAACCATGTATGCGGGTAGTGCGTTCCGTAGACCGGATTGTGCCTCTGCTGCCTGGAGTCGGAAAGATTCAGTCGGACGGGCGAGAATGGGTTCATCCGTACCAGAAATTGAGGCGCAGACAAAAAGTGCCAGAATATCCCCGCGGCGAGACTCCGAATTCGGATGAATGACCTCCGCAAAGAGGCTTGGTGTCTCGGCAAAGTAACGGACTGCTTGGTTTTCGACCTCTCCCAGCTCAAGTCGTTGACCATTCACTTTGGCCTGGAGATCCCTGCGACGGACAAAGCAGAGGGACCCATCTTCCGCATATTGAACCAAGTCTCCGGTGCGATACAGCTGACACGAGGCCAGCGGAAGGTTTAGCTGCATGCGCCAGCCTGGTGGGTTTATGAATACCTCAGCTGTTCGGTCCGGTTGACCCAGGTATCCCCGACCAACAATGGGACCTTCAATTACCATCTCTCCGACTTCCCCCACTACAGCGAGACGATTGTAATCGTCTGGTGCAACCACCCAGCAACGACACCCAATCGGAAACCCGAAACTCCGGTGGTCTAATGCAGGGCCCTTGCAGACCAGCATGTGAGAGTACGGCGTACATTCCGACGGTCCATATCCCTGGATGAAGCGAATGTGGGGGCTTGCAGTCCAAATTCGCGAGTCTTCCGGTGTAGTCGGTTCTCCTCCCACACAAAGCGTGGTTCCCGGCAGAAGATCGGAGGGTGATAGAAGTCGGGCAACAGACGGTGTGACCAAAATGTGAGTTACCTGCATATCTGCGATGACATCCGCGAGCCCGTTTTTGAGATTCTTTTCGGAAGGTATGCATAGACAGCCGCCATGTATCATAGTGAAGAGAAACTCAACCATGATGACATCGAAGGCGAATGCGCTGTTTTGAAGAGTTCGACTCAACCTATCGAACGAGAAGGAATCTTGCTGATGCTTTGATGCCGCACAAAAATTGCGATGCTCAATGACGATGGTCTTTGGCTTCCCCGTGGACCCCGATGAAAAGATAGCATAGAGAGCATTACTAGGCACGGTGAGGGAGTTCCGGACACCATTCTGTGTGGGTGCGAGTCGGGCAATCGAGGCTTCATCGACGACGATTCCTTTGCAGCCCAGAGCCTCGATCTGGTCCATGTAGTGAGGTGCCGTCAGGACTATCTGGGCGCCGACTTGGTGGCAGATCTCCTGAAGTCTTGGCAAGGGGTATGATGGTGGGAGGAAAAGAAAGGCTCCACCAGCTTTCATGACGGCCAGGATGGCAACTGGAAGCCATTGAGATTTGTCGAAATAGAGAGGAACAAATAATTCAGGACCAACACCTGAAGCAATGAGGTGGGCAGCCAAGGTGTTGGACTTTTGGTCGAGCTCCAAGTACGTGAGATCGCCATCCCAGGCATGGACGGCTAATGCCGCAGGGTAATTATGACACTGAGATGAGATGAGGTCATGAACAAGACGTTCACAAGATTCTGGCGTATGGGTATTCCATTGGAGAATGAGGTCACTAGACGGAATCTCCGAAGCGTCGTCGCAAGGACTTTTGGTGATTTCAGTATCGGTAACACTTGGTTTCATACAGTCATGAACCCGGGTAGGGACCTCGATTGGGTCGAGCATTCTGGTAGAATGGTGTTAGCCTAAATAACCAGACCAACTAGTAGCTTGTCCTAAGGCTTTCCAAACATGTTATAATGATAATCTTCAATTCCGGAAGCGATCAAAGTCGGATTAAAGTACGAATCACAAAGGAAGAGTAAATACTCATCAAGGCAAGGGACCATGCGATTGAAGAGGCCTGTCCATGCTGACTACCGCTCGACGTCTCCTAGCGTAAAGTCTACCACCCCAGTGCATATTTGTGATTTGCAGCAGCATTCCGAAGACAGCCTGGCATGAAAGTGCAGCTTAAAGGAGCATTGTGGGACAGTAATGCCCCAATCCCACCTAGGTCTTGGCATAATCTGGAGCTCGAAGTCTCAAACGCTGGTGTTATGTTGACAATTTGTCACTTTACGTATAGTGAGACATTGGAGAGCGACGGGGCTAGAATCGACGCCTGAAACACCCATATACAGAGAGAGAGAGAGAGAGAGAGAGAGAGAGAGAGCGGGCCCTGGAGAGAGTGAAGGAGGGATTGTGTGTGTGTGTGTGTGTGTGTGTGTGTGCAGACTTGAATTCGTCTACAACCAACCACTCGAATTTGCTAAATGTATTCTTTTCCTGCGCCGACATATATATGAAGTGGCATTCGGTATACCAGTCTGTAGTACTTTGTGAACCTCCAGCTACCCATAGTATGAGTTCGTCTTCCATTGAAGTCCTGGGCCACCAAAGCGCCAAAAAAGAACCTCGGCGTGCAAAAACTACCCCTTGCACGGCTAGTGGCAAAGTTAAGCAAGGGCCGGTCCGAACGGGCAGGCCCTGGCATGAACCTAAGTTTGGAGTAAAAATGCGAGAGCGGTCGGAATGGTCTCGCCGGACGAAGTGAGGACAATGAGGAGAATATTTGTAGAGGGACAAAAGAGCCGAAATGACCACGACGGCCTAGAGGTAGACATATCTGAATGGCGAAAGCGAGCAGTTCTCATCCTGACCGATCTATACAGCCTACATCTATCTTACGCATACATCGCTCCAAGTGTTTTGCCTTCCCCTGGTTTCTTTTTTCTTTACTTTTGCTTTTCTACTAAGTTCCTTTGTCGTCTTTCTGTTTCTTCTGTTCTAATTTTCTACATCGATGGACGGTTCGGCGATCGCCACATGCAGATAAGCATGAATACTTCGGATTGTGGTGTTTGTTCTGACGGCACATACCATCTTTAACTACTATAATTTGGATGTCCTTTGGCCTGTCACAACATAAAAAAAAAGACTCGGATGAGGATTTCAACGTCTGGTGCAATGAACTGTTCCTGGAGCACTAGGCACAAAACTTTCGCTCTGCATCCAATACTCGGATTCCATGGAATGTACCCAAGCCCACATAAGACTAATTGGACCCTGCCATCAAATTGCGCATCCACTATAATCTTATCATCAGTTAACTGCCATTCAAAAATCTCGGAGCATCCTTACTTCGCCGTATACAAATGGCTCACGTATCGCCGGGCGCTGTTGGGTAACGAATTCCGGCATAGGGCCGATAGTCGCAGTGTGATCAACATTCATGAAGAATGGGATCGATCGGCGCTGCTCTCCTGTGAGATTGATCGCCCGGTGCGGAGTCGATTTGAAAATTCCGTTTGTCCTGTGAGATCATATACCGCGTCAGATAATAGCACTCGCAAAAGAAAGCATGGGGTCGATTTTACAAGTAATGCAAAGTATCCCCGATATTGACTACCAAAGCGTTGGGAATGAGCGGGGCAGCAATCCAGTCTCCCTTGCGGTTACGGACCTGTAATCCAGGAACCTTACCCTGGAGTAAAATAGTAAAGAAGTCGATATCCTAGAGATGAGTATAATCAGCCATAATTTGCATTAACCGAGGTCACGCGGGCAATGTCACCAACCGTGTGCGGTTTGATAGAAGCGTGCTCCCCTGCGGACACTTTTCGAGGCAAGTAATGCATAAGACGACAAATCGAGCCAGGGGCATGGAACAGATGATCGAATGCACTGTCATCCAGATTCAGGGCCAAGGCAATTACCCTGATCAATTGATGGCTGAACCTGAACAACTTGCCATAATAGTAGAGCTGCCACTCCCGAAACCCGGGCAATGCCTCGTGAGAGGGCCAAGCATTGGGTCCATGAAGGTCGAAGGGGTCCGATGGTGGAGGATCACCCACATTTTTCTGGTCATCAGCAGCGTTCTCGTATCCTATTGCATATGCCTCGACTTGAGATGCAGCCGCTACATGTAGGTGTGGTGTTGCATTGGTAGGAAGAGCCTCAGCTTGTGGGAGGTACCCGATGAATTCCTAATACCAGATTGCAAAATATTAGTAAGACTTGACACCAGATATGAAGGAATTATTGGGAATTCGGACGTTGTTTCGCCCACCGCAGAAGGACTTCATCTTGACTTCGTGAGGGAGCTCAAAAAATCGGCGCGACCAATCGTCAGCCCCATCGAAGAGTTCTTGAGGTAATCCATGATTCTATAACTTATTAGACTCATAGGCTACGGGTCATCGGAGACACATATGCCTGACCTGAATGTAAAAGAAGCCAACGGTTGTAGCAGCTTTGTATATTTCCACAGCCACTTTCTTTCGATCGGCAAGAGACTCACTAGCCATATTTGCCAGATCAACGACCGGGATTTCAGTAAACTCTCCCGTCTGTACCTCTGCAGGCACTTGTATATCGCCAAAGCGAGCTTCCAGTGGGCCAGGGACAGTCATCTTGGATTTGGATATTTGATTGGAGCCTACCAGTTAGAGGAATTTGGATGGATATTTGTGGGAGTGTCGTACTCGCTCGTTTGAAATCCAGATACTCAGCTGAATCTGTGAATGAGCAAATCCGCATTTTTGTCGGGTAAGGGGGTTGCAATAAAATACCTCGCTTCAATGGTCTAGATCCATTGCCAATCATCTTATTGGTTGCTACATAGGCAGCCAAGTACGTATGATACTACATCTAACTGAATGTTTTAGAATTCCTTGCCTATATTTGAAGGGCGCTGTGTTTTTTATCCTCGTTTACGTCATATAAAAAAAACATTTTTATCATTGTCAGCATACACATTTAGTTACATCGGTATATAGATAAATATAGCATCGATATTCAGATATAAGTAATTCTACTAAAAATGACTCAAATTTGATCAAACTTACTGCATATTTTCCATGATGGCATGACAAAAAGGGCTCGTGGCCCGGCCTAACAATACCTGTTTATTGTGAGATAGTAATTAAAGCTAATAATAATATGGTTTCTTTGTGCTTTTGTGAGGTTTACCAAATTTTAGCGATATTTGGTAGTATTCAGTAACGTATGGACTTTTTGATTTTTCTTCGGGTGTTTTCACGCTGGCAATGCGACTAATTCTGTTCTTTTTTTATCACTTTTTTTTATACAAGGGATGGGATTTTGAGATGGGTAGGCGTAGTAGTAGCATTCCTCGCTGGCTACTGATGCAAAGGATCTTATGTATTTACATATACATATGCACATGTGCACCCTGAAAGAGTGATGTTTCACCTCATTTTCACCTCAGTTTTCCCTGAAATTGCATCTGTATATTCCAACAAAGTGAGACCCACACCTGTCCTAATATGTTGCCGCCTACACATGGGTGAACATTCCGATGTGTCATTCGTACTACATTCTTCGTATAAACATGAGTGGCCTTACATTCTGCACTCATCAAGGGCCTGTACTATGCCCTGTGATATTCTACGATACTTATCAGGACTATTTTCAATGCAATAGAGATATTGATACAAGACATCAAATTCCATACTTATTTTTCATTTCGAACTCGTTTGTCTGGAAGGCCTAACGACTCAGAATCATCCTTAGCTCCATGTCGGACTCTTGCTTTTTCCCCCACCTCAATGATGGTGTTTCGCATCCTCGTCAGGCGCAAGAAACTGTGGATATTGAGGGTGCTGTCCTGAAAAGACTCATTCTTCACTGCCAGCGCACACAGACCCCAGTCGAATTCTGCCTTGCAAGCATTTGGGCGGTCATCCTTGAACAATATACCTCTGCTGATTGCTATGTTTTGGGGATCACGATTTCGGACGCCCAAGCCTCACATTGCGGCGAGAATTACATCATCCAGTCAAGGGAAACACGCACAGCCTCAATTCAGCGATTAAGTGCACCCGAAGGGTGGGATAGAATACCTTTCTCTTCAACCTCATCGATGAACTATAATACAGGCATCTTGATTACAGAGACCAGTCCACCGGCTGCAGCCTCGATACGCGACTCATATGATGTTCAATTCACATATGAACGATCGGCAAAGTCTGCACGCCTGAGCCTGCAATATCGCCTGTGTGCCCTTTCCAAAAGAAATGCTGTGTTGCTGAAGGAAGCTCTTGGTGATGTTGTTGACTCTGTCGTCAAGAGCTCTCATATCACAATAGAGGGACTATCAACCCTACAGTATCCAGCTCACCTCCAGCAGATCCAGCAATGGAACGCTAATCCGGTCGCAATTCCTCCAAGCACCATGATTCACTCCCTCATTCATCAACATTCCATTCATCGTTGCGCCCATCCAGCTATCCATGCCTGGGATGAGAAATTCACGTACGCTGAGCTCGATACATTGTCCTCACGATTATCTCTTGACCTACAGCACAAAGGTCTTGGTCCAGGGACCATGGTTGCGACTTGCTTTGAAAAGTCTGCGTGGGCTATTGTCGCCCTGTTAGCGATTAACAAAACTGGTTCTTGCTTCGTGCCCCTCGAACCGACCCATCCAGAAGCGCGCATCGAAGCTATCCTTCAGCAAACGAAAGTATTGACCGTCTTGGTAGACTCTTCCCACCATGAAAATGTCTTCCAAAAGCTGATTCCGACTCGTTTGGTCATTTCGAGGAGATATATCAACACCATCCCCTACGACGCTACCTCTTATCGGGTGCCGAGAGTCGTGGCCACCGACCCGGCCTATTGCCTTTTTACTTCAGGTAGTACGGGAGTACCTCGTGGTTGTTTGGTGAGCCACACTGCGCTGGCAAGCGTTGCCAACCACTCCAAACATTTGCACATCGATTCCACTAGTCGCACGCTGCAATTTGCGTCGATGACTTTTGGTATCTCTCTCATCGAAATTTGGTGTACATTAAGCTCTGGTGGCACGCTCTGCATTTTATCGGAGCAGGATCGAAACAATTCCTTAGCTGCCGTAATGCGAGAGATGGAGGTCAACTGGGCCCTCATGACTCCCACCACCATCCAGGTCCTCCAGCCCGCTGAAGTACCCGCGCTCCGAGTCTTATTAATCGCAGGGGAGCCTCTTGCCAAGGCTCAAGCTGACATCTGGGCCTCGGCTCTAAGTCTGTTTCAGGCCTATGGGCTAACAGAATGGGCTGGAATTTGCACCGTGTCAAGACAGATCATACCATTCGAGTCTCACACGAGCATTGGATATTGTGTGGGAGGGCGGTCATGGTTAGTGAGGCCAGACAATGTTGAAGTATTGGTTCCAGTTGGCGCGGAAGCCGAAATGTTGATAGAGGGACCCAGCCTGGCGCTAGGTTACCTTCAAGAGCCGCAACGTACGGCTGATGCTTTCATATCCCCTCCTTCGTGGTATATGGCGATGAACCCAGATCATCATGGATTCAAAACACTATACGCAACAGGTGATATTGTTCGTTACCGCTCTGACGGGAGCCTTGAGTACCTGGGTCGTAAAGGTACGCAGGTCAAACTACGCGGGCAGCGGATCGAACTGGGGGAGGTGGAGTATCACATTGCCCAAAGTGCCCGAAACGTCAAGAAAGTTGTTGTTGAAATCGTTCAGCCAAAGGGTGTTGACAGCCATTCAACACTAGCTGCCTTCCTTTATCTTGACTATCCCCCGGAGCTCAATGGAGAGAAGTCCGTCTCCCCTCAAACAACTGATCCGGAGGATGGGTGGTTTACGGTTGCAAATGGCCCCTTGCTGTCCACCATCCAAGAAATTGGTATTACACTTGGCAATACATTGCCATCTTACATGGTTCCGCAGCTTTTTTTACCTTTGCGGCATTTGCCTGTCACCACTTCAGGCAAGGTGAATCGTCGCCAGCTTCGGGAGATGATTCAGCAACGTGATCGAGAATGGTGGACGGCGCTCACAAAGGAGAGGAAACCTATTATTGGCCCCGAAACGGACGCTGAAGTCGTCGTTCATACTTGGGTCAGTCAGGTGTTGCAACTTCCGCCGGATAATGTCGGAATGAATGACGATTTCTTTACCTTGGGAGGTGACTCGGCGTTGGCTATGAAGCTGGTCGGTATAGCCCGTCGTCAGCTTATTCAACTACAGGTAGTCGACGTGGTTTCCAACCCTGTACTTTTTGACCTTGCCCACTTGATAGAAGATCGGGTTGGTATTTCTCCATCATCTACACTGTCGTCTCCTCCCTTTCATCTCCTCCGGCAAGAGGGAATGAGCAAAGAAGCGCTCCAAAACATGATAGCCGATGCGGCAGACAAATGCGGAGCTGTTCCACAGGATATTGAGGACATGTATCCATGTACTGATATGCAAGAAAGCCTCATAGCTATGTCTATTGTCAATACAGGCCATGCTGTGGCCATATTCCGGTACCGGCTTCAGCCCGAAGTGGATGTGGACCGTCTCCAGAGCGCCTGGAAAGAAGTGGTTGACGCAAATCCCATCTTACGAACACGAATAGTCAATCAAAAAGTCAATGGAATGACGCAGGTGATCCTTAAGCCCCGTGCCGTTGGCTGCACATCGCTCTTCGCTCCCAAAGAGACACTAGGTGCCCGTCCTATCCGCCCTGGCGACGAACTGGTCACGGCGGAATTAAAAACAGATATCGATAACGCCTCCACTCTTATTCTCACTATTCACCATGCCCTCTGTGATCGATGGTCAATGACCAACATCATACATCATGTTGAACAAGCTTATTCTGGGAGAAGCATCCAGGCTCCGCCTTCATTCGCCTTATTTGTGGCCGAAACATCCCTACAACGCAAAGATAGCCGGGTTCGTCAGTATTGGCGGGAGCAATTGGCAAATCTCAATGCGGTGCCTTTTCCTACTCTACCCCCAGGTTACCGTGCCTTACCGCGGAGCCGAATTGAGCAATCAACGACCCTTCCAGCCCCGATTCCACAGGGGGCAACGGCATCCAACTTGCTTCGTTTGGCCTGGGCTACAGTCATTGCAGCAAATACCTCGAGCGATGATGTTTTATTTGGTACGATTGTTTCAGGACGGGGCATGGCTCTCGCTGGCGTTGAACAGATGACCGGACCGGCAATTGCAAATGTCCCGCTACGCATCCAACTGCGACCAGAGGAGCGGGTTGATCAAGCACTTGTGCGGCTTGGGCAGCAGTTCCTGGCAATGATTCCCTATGAGCAGTTTGGGATGCAGAATATTTCCCAGGATGGGGACGAGGCGATGGTGGAAGCCATTAAGCCAAACAATAATCTGGTCGTGCAGCCATACTGGGAACCCCCTTCACAGAGTCTGTGGGCCAATCACGATGCTGATGCTGTTACAAATGGGGGCTTCAGCTCTAGTGCCCTGACTGTCGTTTGCTGGCTTGGGAGAGATCCTCGAGAGATCCGCATTGAGGCCATTTTTGACGAACATATCTTCCATGCTGTAAGTGTCCAGCACCTGTTAGACCAGCTGCAACATGTTCTACATAGTGCTGTCTGTTATCCAAATCACACGATTGGTGCCCTTTCCGTGATTACAGATCGCGACACAAAACTTCTTGAGCGGTTTAATGCGCGTATGACGCCCCCACCACCACCGGTCGACTCCGTTGGGGAGCTCTTGGACCTCCATGTCAAACAGGGACCCGATGAGCTAGCAGTCTCGGCCTGGGATGGTGACTTCACTTATCGTGAATTGAGCATTGAGTCCTGCCGCTTAGCAAAACGACTGGCCGACCAGGGTGCAGTAGCCCACGATTTCATTCCTATTCTGTTGGGTGGGTCAAAATGGACACCAGTAGCTATGTGGGCCACAATCAAGCTCTCCTGCGCATTTACTCTGCTCGACCCAGCTCATCCCATTGAGCGACTCCAAGGTATATGCAAAGCATTGCGAAGTCGCATAGTTATCTCATCATCCCTCGCATACAGCCTGGTGTCCAATATTGGTCACCAGGTTCTATTGGTGGATGCAGAGCGGGACTGCGAGAGCCCATTTGAGCAGCAGGTTGGACAAACAGTTGCTGTCGCTGGTGGCCAAGCCATCCTCTATGTGGTTTTTACGTCAGGTTCCAGCGGAAAGCCTAAAGGCGTGGTTATTGAGCATCGGTCATTCTACGCGAGCGCCATGGCACATAACCCCATGCATCAAGTAGGAGCTAAATCTCGTGTCTTGCAGAATGCGTCACATGCTTTTGATATAAGCATCATGGAGATTCTGAGCACCCTCCTGGCCGGGGGATGTGTCTGCATTCCATCCCAGAAGCAGCTGCGCGACGAGTTCATCGAGACGGCCAACCGGCTTCAGATCACACACTCGTTCCTGACACCTTCGGCTGCTCGTACTCTTAACTTGTCTCAAGTCAAATCACTCCGTTGTCTTATTCTTGGTGGAGAGTCTTTGCGAAGTACTGATGCCCGATGGCTAAATCATCTTGAATGCCGGGTCGTCCATGAATATGGCCCAGCTGAATGCTCCATTGCCGCCACCGCAAAAAAGTCACAGTCGAACGACCTTACCAGCCAGACAATAGGGTTTCCAATGGGTTGCCGATGCTGGGTGGTGAATAGCCACGACCCCCAGCGCTTAGCACCCATTGGTGCAGTCGGAGAACTTATCCTTGAAGGTCCCATCGTTGGCCGGGGGTATCTTAATGATTTGCAGCGGACCGCTGCATCCTTCATCGCACCGCCGAACTGGTTGCGTAGTTTTGATCCTGCAATCAAGGCCGACGAGAGAGTTTACAAGACAGGAGACTTGGTGCGTTACCGCAAAGATGGGGCGTTAGAATATGTCGGCCGACAGGATTTCCAAGTGAAGATCCGAGGCCAGCGGATTGAGCTAGAGGAAGTGGAGCGACATGTTCAACGTGAGTGGTCCTCCGCGAACGAAGTCATTGTCGACTTGACCCGCTTGGGCCCTAAAAAGACACCTTCTCTTGTTGCCTTCATTGGCCCGGATCAGGGCGTGGAATTGCCGGGTGTGGGTTTGATCATGCTTTCTAAGAAAGAGTTCAAGACACGGGTTCACGAGGTCGAGCAGCGACTGGAGAGACTCCTCCCCTCCGCGATGATTCCAACTCTTTTCTTGGCCGTACGACAAATCCCTCGAGGTGCTACCAGCAAGATCAACCGTCTCTCCCTACGCGACGCCGCAGAGCAGTTGTCAACGGAGGAGCTGCAACTGCACCGACAGGAAACACAGATCAAGCGCTCGCCTGCGACACACAAAGAAAAAATTCTGTCCAAACTCTGGGCCTCCGTTCTAAACATAAATGACGACTTCGTTGGTCTCGACGATGACTTTTTCCGTCTTGGTGGAGACTCCCTGACTGCCGTCGATTTAGCTGCGCGTTGTGAAGAACATGGCTATGCAATAACGGTCTCCGAAATTTTCTCGCATCCAACATTGGCCAAACAAGCATATAACATGCATGAACGCTCTGAAACTACACTACCAGTGGTCCCTCCACCATATTCACTTCTCCTGCACGACAAGGATGCTGTGATTCTCATGGCTGTTGAGCAATGCCAAGTGTCTCGGGACCACATCGAAGATATCTACCCCTGTACGCCGCTGCAAGAGGGTCTCCTGGCATTGACCGCGCGTGACCCGGAGGCATACATTGGCCAATGGATATACCGACTGCCTCACGGAGTTGATTTGGAAAGACTGCATCTTGCGTGGCAGCACGTTGCTCAAAGTCATCCAATTATGCGTACGCGTATGGCTCAAGGGACTGATAATCGACTGTACCAGGTAGTCTGTACCAATCCTCTACCTTGGCGAGTATGGAGCGCTCTCAATGAAACTGAAATCCGGAATATCCGGGCCGAGATGACTCTTGGGCAGGCTCAAACCGATCTAGTTGTTTGCCTGGAGCGTGAGAATAGTCCGCCTCGACTTCTCCTCACCATGCACCATGCAAGCTACGATCAAAACTCCATGGTTCATATTCTGCGAGATGTTCATGCCACGTACCAAAGCCAAGCTGATCCGATCCCTCGACCATTCAGCCCTTTCATTCGATACATTCAAGGTACAGCTGCCGCTCAAGTTGACTTTTGGCGGGAGGCTTTGGCTGGCTTTGACGAACCCCCATTCCCAGAACTACCGGCCTCTAATTACCGACCAGCACCATCCATGGTGCTTGACAGGAAATGGACTTTCGATCCTGTTGCCGCTGGACGAAGTAGTGTCACCTTCACGACGAAGTTATATCTGGCATGGGCCATTGTCCAGTCACGATATCAGCGCAGCCATGATGTTGTGTTTGGCGTGACAATTTCTGGTCGATCAGCCTCCTTGCCAGGGATACAGAGTATGACCGGCCCCACACTTGCCACCATTCCTCTCCGTCTTCGGATGAGCCCAGATCAGTCATTATCGGAGCTCTTGCAGATGACACAAAATGTGCGAGCCGCTGCCATTCCATACGAGCAGGCAGGCCTACAGAATATCGGCCGATGTGGCCCTCATGCGGCACGTGCAACTGATTTTCAGACTCTGCTCATTGTCCAACAGAATACTGAAGCCGATTCAGCATATTCTAGTCTGTTAGAACTTGTGAAATCTGTGACCGAATGGACTACTTTCACGACATACGCTCTCCTGATCTCTTGCACCATTTCCAAGGACGGGCGAGTCTTTGTTCAGGCAAGTTTCGACTCGACAGTCATCTCGTCGGAGAAGGCCGATCGCATCCTCTGCTTCTTCGAGGAGACCCTCAACTTTTTGCACGAACAAGCAGATTGTCTACTTCGAGACATTCCAAGCGTCAGTCAGCGTGATCATGAGCAAATTATGCGATGGAATAGCCGTCCACAAGTCTCGATGGTAAATTCCTGTGTTTGCTGCTTGATTCGGGAAAAATCTCTCCAGGATCCAGTAGCCCCGGCAGTTTGTGCCTGGGATGGCACATTTACCTATGCAGAGTTGGATAGCCTGTCGTCGAGATTGGCCTTGCATCTCCTTGCGAAAGGGCTCAGCGTGGGAACGTTCGTGCCACTCTATTTCGAAAAGTCACGATGGACAACAGTAGCCATCTTGGCGGTGGTCAAGGCCGGCGGTGCATTTGTTCTTCTAGATCCCTCTCATCCTATGCCTCGCTTGCAAGATATCTGTGAACAGCTCGGGTCTCCGGTTCTGGTGACATCAGAGCAGAACACTGCCCTTGGAGGCGAGCTGTGCTCTCAATCAGTAACGGTTGGCGATTATCACTGCCAGTGGTCCAATTTGAGGGATCCGAAAGAGTTATGTTGTGGCCTGAGTGATCCGAACCGTCCACTCTATGTTGTTTTCACCTCCGGGTCGAGTGGCAAACCTAAAGGCGTGGTCATTGAGCATACATGCTACGCTACGGCGGCGCAAGCCCACATCCCGCTCTTGAAATTGACGCGATCTTCTCGAGTACTCCAGTTTGCGTCATACGCCTTTGATGTTAGTATTATGGATCACCTCAGCACGTTGATGGTCGGTGGCTGCGTTTGTGTGCCCTCCGAAGCGCAGCGCCGTGATGGGTTGGCTGATGCTGTTGAGACTTTACAGCCCACTCATGCCATGCTAACCCCCTCTTTTGCTCGTTCCATTCACGATCCAGATCGACTTTCATCACTGGAGGTTCTTTCTGTCATTGGGGAGAAAGTACAGGCGGTGGATGTACAAAAATGGGCGCATCGGGTGCATTTCGTCAACGCATATGGCCCGGCTGAATGTTCGGTCGTTTCCACCATCCAGGATTCTTGTAATGCTTCAAAAGATCCTGGCAACATTGGATATGCTGTTGGCGGAATCTGTTGGGTTGTGGATCCCGAAAATGCGGAAAGCTTGAGTCCTATTGGTGTGCCTGGAGAGCTACTTATTGAAGGCAGTTTGGTCGGGCGTGGATACCTTGGTCTACCCCAGAAGACGGCAGAAGTGTTCATCTCACCTCCAGGATGGCTTCAGATGGTACGACCAGGTTCTCCCGGGCGCCTGTATAAAACTGGTGATCTGGTAAAATACGCCGAGGATGGCAGCCTGGTGTATTTGGGCCGTAAGGACACGCAAGTGAAGCTCCGCGGCCAACGAATGGAACTCGGTGAGGTCGAAACGCGGGTTCTTCAATACTATCTTGGTGCTACAGATGCCATTGGTGAGGTAGTTGAGTTGAATGGCTCGAGTGTGCTGGTTGTTTTTCTACAATGCCCATCAACAAAGGCCACGACCCAGGAACCCGAGGAGCCTAGTTCTCCTTTCTTACCCAGCGACGCCGAGTTCAGTAAGACAGTGACCGAAGTGCTGTCAAAACTACGCCGGGTTTTGCCAGACTATATGGTTCCATCCTTGTTTCTTCCCCTGGCTTACATGCCTCGCAATGCTAGTGGGAAGGCAGACCGTCGACGCCTGCGGGAGACAGCCACTGAGTTGTCCCACGATGAGGTCCTCTCCTTCAGATCTGGAGCACCCAATGGCCAATTCCAGGAGGTATCGACTGGTGCTGAACGCATTCTTCAATCCGTCTGGAGCCAGACACTTGGGCTTCTAGTGTCCAGCATTGGCGCAACAGATGATTTCCTTCGGTTGGGAGGTGACTCGATCATCGCTATGAAAGTCGCCCCACTGGCTCGCGATCATGGCTTGAATATCACGGTGGCCGATATCTTCGACTATCCCCGTCTCTGCGACTTGGCTCGCATCGCTACGCAGCAGCCCTTTTCCGAGAGCGAACAGAATACGCCGTTTAGCCTCTCGCCAGTTTCCAGACCCAACCAGTATATTTCCTGTCTTCGTGCTCTGGGTCTGCCACTTGGCAATTCCGAGATATCCGATATATTCCCTGTGACAGCAGCGCAGTCTTTCTTCCTGACTCGACGCACTACCCATCATTATACATTCTCTCTGACGGGCTCGGTTGATGTTGGACGTCTTCAAGCCGCATGCAGCACTGCCTTTGACAAGCACAGTATCCTCCGAACCCTTTTCACTTGCCATCAAGGACAGGTGATCCAAACCGTTCTCAATCGGATGGAACTTCCTTTCCAACATATCGAGGGTCTTTCCGATGTGGCCGAGTTCAAGTCATTTCTATGGGGGGTCGACTCCACTAACTTCGACATTCTTCCAAGTGTGCCCACCCAGTTCATCTTACTCTCCAGCCACGATGGCCAGCAACACGAGTTTATTATCCGGTTAATGCATGGCCAGTGGGATGCAGTGTCTATCCCGGTCTTGTTCAACGACATTTCCCTGGCCTATAATGGACGGTCTGTCCCGCCCTCGACTGATTTTCCGGTCTTCCTCTACAAACGCGCACAGCAGCCACAAAAACCAATCTTGCATTTTTGGAGCGAATTACTCAAAGGTTCAACTCTCACTCCTCTACCAACCCTCCCGGGTGACACTGAAAAAGAGGTCCGTACCCTGTGGAAGAATCAGGATGTAGCCCCATCGCCACAAGTCCCAGCAGGCTTCACCATGGCATCTCTCGTGAAGGCTGCCTGGGCACATGTCTTGTGGCAGGTCACAGGACACCACGATATCACTTTTGTCCAGACGGTCAATGGCCGAGGTCTCCCATTGAAAGACGCCGATCGCATCCTCGGACCTTGTCTGAATTTCATCCCAGTTCGACTGCAGATACAAGAATCTAATTGGACCGTGAAAGATTTGCTCCAGAAGGTCCATGCCCAGCATACTCAAAGTCTCCGTCATGAAACCATTGAGTGGTCGGATTTAGTAGAGCACAGCACTTCTTGGCCCAAAGGAACGGAATATCAGTCCATTGTTCAGCACCAGAACTTTGATTTGGATTATAAACTGCCCATGGCCGGTCTCGACAGTGCTTTCTCTCTGCAGCACAACTTTACGCCCCGCTCAGAACTCTTCGTTTTTACCTATCCGCTGCCAGAGCGCCTCCTGGTGCAGGTTTGCGTCTCCACGGCGGTAATGTCTGAGGCACGCGCAGATTATCTTCTCGATCGCCTCTGTAGCACGATTGAATTGTTTGCGGGGAATCCAAACTGTTTACTCTGTGATATACCCACTGGTCAGCTTTAGGGATGAACTTTGATGAGCTGTACATACTTATTATCATCTAACAAACGTGGTGTGATGATCACCATCTGGCTTCCAATTAGTCCTAGTATATAGCTGATTCAATGGTCGAACTAGCAATGTATGTTGTCATATGACGCTAGTCCTTTTGAAATCGTGAACCAAGCCGCCTAGTAATTGTATATATACCGGATAATGTCTGGCGATTCTTGGCTTTCCCTTTCTATTCTAGTGCTCACCCCCTCGTCGCTTTTACTCCCTGAGTAGAACTGAGTACGCCCCTAACCGGCCTGAGCTGATCAGTGATTATTATGTAATTAAGCTGATTACTCACTGAGCCTGATTGAAGTCCCTTGATTTGCTTAGTGGGCCTGCTTTAAGTACTATAATCTGATTACTGACCTTGATATAATTTATTATAGGTTACTTACTAAACTTTGTATTTCAGGTGTTCTAAGTAAGTGGGTTTATTAAAATATAATATACTAGTAGTTATTAGAAATACTGAATCTATCTAAAACAAAAAAAATAAAACTATAGCTATAAAGAGATCTACTTATCTCCTAGTATCTTTTTAAAAGATAATCTTTATTTATTTTTCTAGTTGTAAGCTTTATTTTAATTTATAAAATATAGATTAAGCTATAGAAGGATATACTATATTTATTATTAAATAATAAAAGGAATTAAATCTTAAGACTAGTTTATCTTTTACTTAGTCTTCTAACTATTCTAATAATCTTTTATATCTATAGTGTAATGGTTACTAAGTTGTCAGGCTAGAGACCTGTGACTAGGCAAGGATATCGGATGGTAGAGATCAAATAGAACAGTTGATATACAGAACTGATTCTTGCAGGACAAGAATCGTAGCTATTGTTCGTGCGTTTTAATATTGCTAGAGCTTGCTAGGGCTTAGGGCAGTCATGCATTAGCGGGTGTATCGTGGTAGATTCGCCCGCGGAGCGGCCATGAATCGTACCCGAATCGTGCCCGAAGGGATTCAGGAATCCCGTGGCAAATATCTTCTCTAAATTTACTAAGAACCTAAGGTATATTATAGGTCTACAGCTTTAGGTCCACCAATCTATTAGTAGAGGTCGGACTAGTCTAATCGTACGTCCACAGCCTTACGTCTATAGTAGGATCGAGTCTATCAACTAGTATGGTTTAGAAGTACTTTGAGAGGGGAAACCGTGGACCCTCCTGAGAAGCCTTGCATCAAGGGTAATAAATATTCTTATGTTAACCAAGTGAGAGGGAAAACCGTGGACCCTCCTAAGAAGCCCAGTATCAAGGGCAACAAATCTTCTTATATTAACCAAGTAAGAGGGAAAATCGTAGCCCATCTCAGGATAGATTCTAGAGTAAAGCCGGGGCTGTTCTAAAAATAGTAACACAATGGGAAAACTATACTACACTAAAGAAAAAGCTAGTCATTCCTACGAGAAATTCTATTTATAATATAGAGTATTATAGGCCTTAACATTTAATGATCTCTTATTATTCAACTAAGTAAACCTCGAGATTCAAATATTTTGACCTATTGAATGGTAGAATTATTTTGCTGTCTAAATATTGGAGATACGAAATTTAATAGCCCTCAAAAATTTGCGCTATAGACTAAACAGCTAAGGTATCTAAGCGCCTGAGAGTACTTATAAAATTCAACAGCGTAACCACTTATGCTGCATAGCCTCGGTCTTAATTGGCGTTCGGAGCAGTTGGCTCACATTATTATTATTCGCGCGCACGTAGAGAAGACCAATAACTGGTCGGAGCTTGTGCATAAGTCTAAATCATCAAGAGGGGGAATTCCATCTATTTGAGTGTCCATCGATAGTCCCAACATGAGCTTTAACCACCGTTATATCCAACAGAGTCAGACAAACTTCACGTCGATCGGGGAATGCCTTCATTTTTCTAGGTAAATAAGGCGAAACATATATAGTAATTCCACATAGATCATGTTGTTAAGGATTTATGAGCAGTATGATGCAAGCACCCAGGAGAGAATTTCCCTAGGTCAACTAAGCCCTTGGGGTACTTATCCACTAGAATATCGAACCCCTTATGAAAGCTATATGTGATGCCCTTTTATCTTTGAGGGTGTGAGATTTGTGCCTCAACTGCCAGATCTTCACCAGGCTCCACTGATCTCCACCTCAAAATATTGAGCGGAAAGCCAACGGCTGCTCCCAGGAACCGTATTGGCATTGCGGCTTTCTAAATCGCTGCTAGCCCACCCTTACCCCTTCCAAAACCGCTCATAGTGGTTTATCAAAGAGTTGCTTCTAGAGGCTTTTCATGCTTTTCAACTGGCTTTGGATATTGGGCGCTAAACTAAAAAGGCAAAATTAGCCACATCCGGTAATTCACAGGTCCGGGTATTAGAATATGAGGACCTGTGAAATCGACGCCGAAAATGACGGCTTTGGACGCCAGAAACGGCCGCCTTTCCACCCGTAACTTTGGAGAGCGAGCGGGCGCTTCACCAACCTCTTTCTAGAAAAGAGCGGGGCTAGACGCAATGACCAAACAGCGTCTTTTTGAGATGAGCTGGGGGAGGCGGGGGGAACAAGTAGCCCGACATAGGGACTAGTACAGGAGTTCGAATCTAAGTGCTCTTGCTTATACAATACTGGTTCTTTAACTTAACCGGTAAAATGTATTCTTGATAACCAGGCATTAAGTTTTTTTATAATTTGGCAACAAGGCACCAACTAGTTAGACCGAGAGGGACAAAAGAATCGAAATGCCCACGAGCGTTTGTGTTGGAATCTATTACGTGGTCGGCGCCCGTGCGAAACTCCGGGAACCATAACATCTCCACTATGGACGATCCATACCCAGTTACAGCATGCCAGGCATGCAGTGCGGGATAATCCTCGGAACAACCGTGCACGAACTATGTTTGATTGATTTCTCATTCGTATTTTATGGCTGCTCTATCCACCTAGCCCCATTGCTATTACCAAACCTGAGTTCAAACTCTTGCTCATGGCCGAGAAATCCTTTCGCCCCTTTCCTAGGCTCCCCACGGAGCTGCGACTCGAAATTTGGCGGCTATGTCTCCCATATCGCGTTTGGGAAGTGGATCACCCAACCTACGAAGGTATCTGCGAAGGCCTTGGTCTTAAAGCTAATGCCGAAGGCTTATATCCATGTCAACTTCTATCTTCGGCTATTCTGAATGCCCTTCCACCCGTCATCAGTCGCGTTTGTCAAGAGTCACGCCACGTTGCCCACGAATCAGGGGGCATTATGCCAGAGGATTTCCATGACGATTTACCAGACGACGATGAATTCATTCCCGGTACAAGCACTGCATTTCTCGACAATTTCTGGATAGATCGCACGCGAGACTCTGCGCATCTAAATTGGGGTCCTTCGTATCAAGCAATTTACCAAAGAAGCGACGGTAGTGCACTGGCCTGTTTTGCCTGGCAATGTCGCCAAGTAGCTGGTCGTCCTTCACTTATGGCAGACTGGTTTGCGTGGAGTCGCAGTCTGTATAAGGAGAGATATAATGTTCTCGAAGATATACCTAACTGCTGGGTTATCATGCGGGTCGTTATTATTCATACTAGCTTCGAAGAAGGTGCACAGACAGGTCTATTTGGCTTACTAGGTGATGCAACCGTGCAAATTGTCTCCGTGTTTGACCGGGAAAAAATTGATGCTTTCTACGATTTTGCCGATGAACAAAATTCTCAAGCTTTTAGCGTTACCCGTTTTTCGCACACAACACCCGGATCCTGGAAGCAGAAACTTGAAAAAAGTGCGAAGTCGGCAAGGATATCCGAAAAGGTATTGTCGAAAATGCACCCAGCCATCATGTTCCGCCTTTGCACATCGAGATGTAATAGTCCTAGAGAGAAGGGACCGTCCGCGGAGTAGTACTATCATGGCTATTAAATGTCAAAAAAAATAAAAAAAAATAAACCAGGCCTAAAAAAAGGAAACAAATCTGAAAAGAGTCCTCTTAATGATAATTCAAAAGGGTTCCAGTAAACTCGAGTATATGATGATAGAATAGTAAAATTTAGGTACAAACAGGTCACGGTGATTCCTCAACAGGTATAATCAGCTTGTACATATACTATGTACGGCACAGAATTGAATTTTCAAATGTATGAAAATGTTGATCAATCAACAGTCTTCATTTCCGTAAATTCGGCTAGAACACGTCTGGGCATATAACAAGGCAGCCCGATGGTTCGCCTCCCCTTTAATTTCACTGCCTGTACTATCATCGTTTTTGGTAAATTGAATGAAGGATTTGAGTATAGTATCAGCATGTGCCTCATTCTTTGTGAGAGTTGCATCTGGATCAGCCTGATTCCATTTGAGCAGCCCATCCATAGCAGACTTTTCTTTTGTTTCTACGGACTAGGTGTACAGAGTTAGCCAAATTCCAGATATTGATAATTGAAACATGAAAACAAGGAAATTTCAGAATCTTCCTTTGCACTTGGACGAAGACTTACTATTCCGAGTCCATTTTGCGTGAACTCGTTGTTCATCCACGCGATTTCCTTCTCACACCCATCGGCAATTCGTCCTTGGTGCATTCCTTTGGTGGCATCTCTACCCCGCGAAAGAGCAGTATCGAAATCTGCTTGAGTATTGCCGCTCACAACTCCATCCCCTGAAACCTTTTTGCGGCTTGCCTGAATAACATCATATACCTTTCCATAGAGGTCGGGAAATTGTACGGACTGGCCACGTTTAAAGTCATCCGGGAAGAGCTTATTGGGGTCCTCATTCATGGCATATCTGTCGGTCTTCGTACCGGTGTTGCCAGTGTCTAGAATACCTTTCGCAGCATCTAGGACGTCTGGGGTCAAATTCTTACCAACACCGGTGTTACCAGTCCAGACCTTTGTTTTGGCACCACGCTGTCGCATCGCGTCGATAAACTCATCGAAATAAAAACTTCCGCCGGGGGCGGTAGCTTTCATCTTTGAGCCTTTCAGAATAGTGCGGCCGTCAACACCATTGGCCATAATATCCATGCGGTAAGCATACCAGAGTAAAACGGTCTAATCACCGACCAACAAAATCAGTACCAGTATCTATTACGGGCATCAAAAGCGGATGAACAGACAAAGGTTGGAGTTCCGCGGAGTTGGGGAATAAAATACCTCGTAGGGACCAGAAAACTTGTTACAGACTACTCCTACAATAAGAAAGTAGACATAAAAAGCGATGATAGAAAGCCTCATCCTTGCATGTGGTAGGCACAATCTGCACCAAGAGTCCGAGAAGGTATTTGATAAACAACAGCCAAGTTATTAAGGAAGGTGTTCGGTCTTATAAATACAGAATTTGAAGTAGACCGACTCACGCTAGATACACCTCGCACTCCTTAATCGTCCTACCAGGCTCCGGGCTTCGCCTCGGGAGTATTTTGAATACCATTAGATCCATATGCAGATGTAGGTTACATGCAAATGTTGTTTGTCCGTGTTGCCAAGAATAATATCCACTTAGCGGAGCTTAGTTGAAGTAGCTTGGCCCCATTTTTCGTGTCCGTGGCCCCAAGGTCATTTGAAATGTTTGGTAGAGAAAATTCTCGCATAAAGATGAAGAAGCTGGGATTTTTTTTCTCGTTCCTACGCATAATTTAGCCTTCGGGGTCTACTTACGGAGTCCCCCGTGTGAGCCGCTTGTATAAATGAAGGATCCAGAGGGGGCCAAAAGATGCAAAGCAATTTTAGAATTGAGATTGGGGGCCAAATAAGAAAAAAAAAGCAAAATCTAAGACTAATTAACGTAGAAAATTCAGGGTTCACCAGCTTGGCAAGACCCTGAAGACCCTTTGGCACCTGACCCACTGTGAAGGTTAAGCCCTGACCGCGGGGAAGCTAAGCTTCGAAAGGGAATCTAACATCTGAAACACATACCCAATCAGGGTTAGTGTCTCAAGAGACGGACTTTAGTCAACCAAATTGAAATTACCGAGCGGAAAGAACGGGATCTCTTCACACTTCTTCGCAGTACCTTCTGCTTTGGATATTAGAGACGGATTTACGGAGTACCGAGGTTACAGATTCAGGGCAATTGGGGCCGTTCCGACGCATTGACTTGTGGAGCATCTGTAGTGTGAAGCTAGCAATTGGCGATGTGATTCAAAGTCCATAGATGAGGTGGTATTGTCGAATAAGCCCACGGTAACAAAATCTATAAGAGGCCATGTTGCTTCCATTGGCATACTTGAATCCAACTTGCACCCACACCACCGAGCACCATGTCACTCCTTTTTGCTCTGGTGCTATCGTCACTCGTTTCTAGTACCCTGGGAAGTACTTGTAAATACATTCAAGCTAACGCCGGTGACGGATGCTACAATCTTGCCCAGCGTTGCGGTATCACGCAGGATGTTCTCAAGACAGACAACACGGGTAATGGCTTCACCTACACCTCTGGTGCTGACTTCTGCAACAACATTCTGAAGGGTGACTATATCTGTTGTTCTACGGGATCCCCGCCAGACTTCTCTCCCAAAAAGAACCCTGATGGATCCTGCCATGTCTATACCGTCCAGAAAGGTGACTTCTGTTCAGATATCGAAGATGCCAATAAGATGAAGAGAGGTACAATTGAAAAGTATAATAATCAGACGTGGGGATGGGCTGGATGTACTCTCATGCAGAATGGTGCGAATATCTGTTTGAGTGATGGGACTCCTCCATTCCCGGCTTCAACAGACGACGCTGTTTGCGGTCCCCAGGTAAGTTCGTCCCATCCCAATACAACAGGCTATAATATACAATCAAACTAAGCGTACTAACTCTTGTGGATGATAGGTCAAAGGAACCGTGGAGCCAAAAGGAATGCCTTACACCAACTGGACTAACCTGAACCCTTGCCCTCTTAATGCTTGCTGTGACAAATGGGGTCAATGTGGTGTCACTGTCGAGTTCTGTGAACAAGCCAATTCGTCAACAGGGTAAGAAACCCCAGATATCCCTTTCCCTTTTCACGTTGATGTCTGTCTAATCGAGAAATTTAGAGCGCCTGGAACCTCCAGGAATGGAACCAACGGATGTATCTCGAACTGCGGTACTCAGATCATCAATAACAAAGAGGGCCCTGATAAGCCTCTGCGTATTGCATACTATGAGAATTTTGAACAGGATCGCTCGTGCTTGAACATGGACGTTTCACAGCTTGGAACCCTCCACTATTACTCGCATGTTCACTGGGCATTCGCAAATATTACCAGTTCTTGGGAAGTGGATGTTAGCAGTTATAAAGAACAATTCGACGGTTTAAAAGACATTGATGCTGTCAAGCGCATTGTCAGCTTTGGTGGCTGGGGATTTTCTACCACTGCATACACGTACCAGATTCTTCGAAATGGCGTCAAGGATGGTAATCGCCAGTGAGTTTGCCCAAGATCCTGCTCTAGGCCTGTTCTAGTTCCTACGGGTACCTAGAGTAGGCCTAACAATCTACGAACTCACTACGTATCACTAACGAGTATCATTCATAGGACTTTGGCCACAAATATTGTCAAATTCATTACTGACAATGACCTCGATGGTGTCGACTTTGACTGGGAATACCCTGGCGTAAGAAATTTCCAGTTCCTCGATTATATACCAAAATTGAACCAAATTACTAACTTTCAAATAGGCCCAAGATATTCCTGGCATTCCACCTGACAGCAAAGACTCCGGTGCGAATTATCTTGAGTTCCTCAAACTAGTCCGGTCTCAGTTGCCATCTAGCAAGAGTCTCTCAATTGCCGCGCCTGCCTCTTACTGGTATTTGAGAAACTTTCCCATCAAAGAAATTTCCGAAATTGTGGTAAGTCTTAAATGAGTACCAATTTTGACAGTCAATATCGGACAAAGGATTGATCTCTCATAAGGACTACATCGTCTACATGACGTATGATATTCACGGTCAATGGGATTACGATAGCAAAAATGCCGAGTAAGTGTTCTATATCCTATTTCTGTAAGGCACATGTCTAATACCTGTCAAAGTTCCGGATGTCCCACTGGTGGGTGCCTACGTAGTCAGATCAATCAGACCGAAATCTTTTGGTCACTTTCTATGATTACGAAGGCTGGCGTTCCGTCCAAGAAGGTCGTGGCAGGTCTTCCACTCTACGGGCGCAGCTTCGAGATGGAGGACCCAACCTGTAGCGGACCTGATTGCCATTTTACCGGCCCTAAGTCAGGTGCTTTAGCAGGAGAGTGTACTAACACGTAAGTATTCTATATCGTCACTCGCATTGAATATTAATACTAACATTCCTATTACCTCAGTCCCGGCTACCTTGCCAATTGGGAGATTTACAACATCATTATTCAATCCGAAAATCCTGATATGTACGGGAATATGACCATTGAGCAGTACCAGTATCATGGGGATGTCCTAATCTACGAAGGAAATTGGGTATCATGGCTTTCACGTAAAAGTTACCTCCAGTACAGGGATTGGTATGATGGACTCAATTTTGGCGGAACATCTGACTGGGCTATCGATCTGAATGCGACCTATAGTGAGGGCGGCTCGGGTGAAGAAGTATCCATTGACCTTGATTTTGATTACCCGGAATGTGACTATACAAAATTCTACAAGACACTTGACGATCTTTCAGCAGCCACGGGAGACATGCGAACAGACTGCATCGCTGCTATCACCCTCCAGACGCTCGTCACAATGCTGAATACGGCATATGATAACTACACTGATGTCAACAGCGGATACGATGGCCTTTTTGAGTACTATGTCGATTATATGGATGATCTTGTTCCAACAGTCCTTGAGACTGAGCTCATGATGACCGATGATGGAGGTGCATCGGGTGAACTTACAGGCGATTCGCCAACTTTTGGAGAAGGCGCATCATGTAAGAGTATTCCTTCAGTATGCAAGATACATGATATGAGACAAATACTGACGCGAAAAAAACTTTTCAACAGACTTCTCTTGCAGTTTCGGTGGTGACACATATGCCGGATGCACTAACTTCGGGAGGGACACATTGATGCCAGCCAACAAGCCGAGTAACACAATCTCATGGAAACTCACTGACGAGGACGGATGGAACAAGAAGTTGGTAGATGAAGGAATATCCCCTGACTATGTCGTGCTTGGCGATTATACCCGAACGCAAACCCCCAACAGAGTTGAACACGGCGGTGTCACCGAGTTCAAGTACTATTTCACAAACTTTCCGATCAAGAACGACTCAATGGTCGTCCCAAACCCGAAGGATATCATGACCAAGGCTTTACCTCACATTCCAACTCTTCGTGATGATATGCAAGCGACTGTCTATGATATGATGCTAGGTCAATGGGTCGGCGGCGACCTCGCCGATCCTGTCCAGGTCTACAGCACCGCAGTATTCAGCATTATGCAGGCAATTGACTCAATGGCACAAGCAAAAAAGCTAGGTGAAGAAGAGAAAAAATTGAAGGCTGCGGAAGCTGCAGCGAAAAAGAAGGACTTCATCCTGATGATTGTTAGCGTTATTCTTGTTGTAAGTGAATCACTGATAGTATCTTTACGAAAGATGCATATGCGAAAGACATGCGAAAGACAAAATTAGCTGACCTGATGCTTAAGGTTGTTCCCTTCGTGGGTGAGGAAGTTGCCGCCGCCGCTGGAATGGCCACCCTTGCTCGCAGTATCGCTATAGCTGGCGAAGCTGCCAACACAGGCTATGCCATTTACGACACAGTGAAGGATCCAAAGTCCGCGATTGTGAACGTCATCGGCGCCGTTCTAGGAATTGGCTCGATTGCAAAGGCTGAACGCAGCGGTTCAGGACTTGCAGACGTCGCCAAAACTCGGGCGGCAATGAAGGCATCGGAAATTTCCAGTATGGGAGACCTTTTCAAGGCCAATGACGACACATTGCAGAGCCTCATGAAAGTTTGCAGACTGAGTTAGGCTTTGAAAATTCAAGCCTACCAATCGATTTTACTTGGTATCGCTCACCACAAAGAGTGATTCATCATACTTTTTCCTCGTTTCGTATGGACTGCAGAAACTCTGGAGCAACCTCGATCCTTTAACAGTACATATAATCGTTTGTACAATTTCCTAAAATAGTTGAATAATCACTTTTCTTCTAATCTAAATTTTGACTATTTATGATTTACAGCTTGGTCATTATAATCTTGAATTGAATTCCGCGAGTGGAGAAGTAGGCTATGCTCCAGGTGTAGTGTTTTTAGCTAGTAGAGGCCACGTTAGCTAACTGTGGAATAGCGCCGGCAAAATATAATAGAGGAGAAAGGGGGGAAGGGATATAGGAAAGAAGAGAATCATCGTTAAGCGATACACTATGGATTATATAGATAGCGGCCGTCGCGAGGCGGGCGGTGTAAGACAGCAGATCCTGATCAGGGCTAGTGTTGTGCGCTAAAAAGCGGGAGTTTTATATACACAAAATCAAGAAAATGGGGTCCATCCAAGCAAACTGTGTCTCATACGCGGGAGTGTGCAATAAGTCGGTGTGCAATAAATGAGAGTTGACTGTAATAAAGACTATAATAAACTTTATAAAAGCAAATAAAATATGTATAATAAGAATAAAGAAAATTATATATTATAAATACATTATTTTATGTATACGCATAAGATAAAGATCGGCTATTTTATATAAATGATGGGTTAAATAGGACTCGTATAGGAGCCTATAGGAAATGAGGTGGAATTGCCTCATTTCCTATGGGCTCCAATAGTATATTACATTTCCCATGGGTGGGGTATATGGGAAATGGGAGTGACCTTTGTAGTCCCATGGGTCCCATATGCACAGGTCTACCTGAGGCCTCAACCCTCTATTTGCAGGTAAGGGTACCCTACCCTTGCCGGCCCGCGGGTGTTCCGCAGCCTACACAGAATAGATGGCCTATTAGGCCCATACAGATTTTAAAAATAGCTAGAGCAATACTAGAGAACAAACATCAATTAGATATAGAGTATTCAGGGGTGATTAGGTATCAAATGATTACTGAGCAATACTCAGTGATCCCTAAGCAGCCCTGATTGGTCACTGAGCGATCGGTGTACCTTAGTCATATATCACATGACTAGGGTGATTCGATCACTGAGCCTGACCCCGTGCTGACATCTCTGTACTCACTGAGCCTGAGCCTGAGCGCCCTCATAAAAGCGGCGGCACCCAAGAAAGGAAAGCCCCACCTGGCAGATAAAATCCGGTGTATATATACACATATAATTCCCGATATATCTATGCAAATGCTTAATTCATTGTCCCCCTCGTTTCTGCTGTTCCTACAGTACCTGTAACCCCCCCTATTCTTGTAACATCCACTAGTTTTGTGCCTCTACCAATTCCTGTAATTCCCCTCCCCGAGACTCCGAGACTGGGTTCTCCCTCCGATTGCCCCCCCCCCTACCGCGCCTCGCCAAGCGACAAGGTCTCCATCTCCGTCTGTAGAGCCAATCTCTGTTGTTGTTGTTTTTTGAATCAGTCATGGCGGACAATACCACCCCTGTTAACACCGACCCTGTTAGCACCAACCCCGGTACTACCCAAGTCTCTGATCCGCAGCTTCTCCGTGTCTTGAGTACATTCTTTGCCCGACCAAACATAGTTGCTCAGCTCAGAGGGCCAGCTTCCCAATCAACTTGATCTTCTTGTTGTTTAGTATGTGCCCTCTTGGGTTCCTTCTGGAATGACAACAATCAATCCTCCTTTGAATTATAACGATAAAATCTGTGAAGAAGTTATTCAAGTGGCAAAGTCGCAGGGCAATTAGACGGTAGGCCTGCTACGGGTACGCAGGGTACTCGGTGAACAAAAGGCGGCGTAGTGGTAGCGGAGACCGATCCAGTACTTATACGGTCTGATATACATGAGGTGACCAGATGTACTTTACCCAAGGTCTATATAGATAAGAAGAACTGGTTAAAAGACAATTTGAAATACAATCGGAAAGACAACCGGAAAGGTAAATATAAAACATCTTCTTTCCTGACCATCGCTATTATCCCCTGTAGATAGGGTAGCTTAAATTTGCCATTTAGCTTAGTAGAACTTGAAATTGAAATTGAACATCTGAACAAGCCAAGGTATGTCAAATTATTCATTCCATGTTAAATGTCCCACTCTTTTCGATATTGCATATACATATTAGGGCCAGGGGAAACCAGAACTTCCCTCAGCCGGTCTTTATAATTCCCATCCAGCCGCGAACATTGCAGAAAAAGGTTGCCCATATCCTCATCTCCCAAGGAGATAACCATCGACAGCGGACTCCGCCCATGATAATTCGCCATCTCAATTTTAACCCGCTCACATATAAGTAATTGTTCCACAATATCAACCTGTTCTCTCTGGATTGCAATATGCAACGGTGTATTCCCGTCTGCATCCTGTGCATTCACGTCCACTTTCTCAAGCGTCAAAAGTAAGATTACAATCTCTAGAACTCCCCGCTGAACAGCGATGTGCAGTGCTGTCTCGCCGTGATAATTGATACAGTTAACATCTAACTGGCGCTCCGTGGCGAGTTTCTCGAATGTGACAGCGTCGCCTTGTTCTGCTGCTAAGTGGAGAATTGATCGGCCTTGCTGGTCTTTGCAATGGATGTCCAACTCCGGGGAATCAAATAATGCCAGAGGGCCTTCGCTATTTTGATTAAGCAATGCGAGGTGAAGTGCTGTGTGGCCCGAAGCAGATTTCATATTAACATCTACATCCTTGAAACCGAGAAGGAAGCGAACAACAGTTTCATTTCCCGCTGCTGTTGCGCGCATTAGTGGGGTGAGATCATCTCCATCGAGGCAGTTGGCATCGATTGCTTTGCTTTGCACTAGCTTGGCCAAAAGGCTAATGGTGCTTTCGTTGTGGTGGGCCGTACCAATGACGTGGGTGTGCCAGAAAGATGTGGCATAGATATAAAATCGAAATTCCGGGGCAGAGTGCTCTCGACAAAGAGGGTTAACCTGGGCGAGTGCTTTGCCTAGATCGTAATCCGGCTCGGATTTGACTTTGAGGAGCTTTATTGCAAGGTTACGGATGCTGGCGGATGAAGTCGAGGAGAGGGTGGATTGAAGAATTGTGGATGTAGCTGAACTAGCGTTGATCCGGGGGATAACAGTCCGCGATAATTGTTTTTCGAAGACATTATAGCTCAGATAAGTGACAATAATCTCTGCCATGAATCTATGAGCAGCGTCCAACGTTAAGGTAAAGTTTGTAGCCGATGTCATCGTCTGCGGACTGGTATTAAGAAGAAACTGTCGTAGACTCGGATGGACAAGACGTGCTGTTAATTCTTCTTCGTCGATGTTGATTAGACACCCACAGGTCGCGAGTGTAGCATGTATACTATTAAGACTTCTCGACGGATCCCAATGGATCTCACCGGGTATAACACTCAATGCTTCTTGCATCTCAAATATTGTTAATGGACGTTGGGAAGCAATGATTAAGTTGAGAATTGCCCTCTGTTGAGAGTCTTCCTTCCAATCAAACCGTTGCATGACCCGAGAAAATGTCTCTGCAAGGTCTCTAGGGAAATCTTTCAAAGCTCGTCTTAGTTCAAAATCAGTTTTCATAGTACAAAGTGTCTCAATCTGCAAGGCCGCCCATAGAAACATCCCCTGACACCCGTTGAAAAGAGCTTCTCGAATTTCTAGTATGAGGGTTGGGTCTCCGACTACCAGTTGTTGTGACTCCAGGCGGCTTTCAAGCTCTTCAAGAATGAATGTCCGAATTTCAGAACTATTATCTGGAATCGGCATCACGGTAGTAGAAAGAAAGTCGTCTAGATAACTAGTACCTCCGTCGTGAGTAGTTGGGTCCTCACGAAAAGATACACAAAGACGGATCTTGAATTTTTCTTGCAGTTTGAAGAGCTCCCAGATTGTTTTAGCTCTCTCGGATTCGTTCAAATCGTCAAGCCCATCGACAACTATGAAGCAATTTAACGCACGCGACCCGGAGGGGAAAGCACATTCAAGTAACGAAGACATTTTTTCAAAATCATCATAATGATGTCCTGTATATTGGTTTAATAAATCCAATACGGCAGCGAAGTCCTGAATGTTGTTCATTACCTGTCGCACAAGAGACCCGATAATCGTCCGAGCCTGGAGCGATTTGTTTAGATCGTGACGACAAAAGAAGTACGCGACAGTAATACCCTGCGAATGAAGATGAAGATCATCAACCATGTTTGCTAGCAAGACTGACTTTCCGGAGCCAAGCTTGCCCATGTATATAAGTGTGCATGAAATACAGGCTAGAGCTGGATCCTTCCAAGTTGTATACTCAGGGCTTTCACGGAACATAATTGTCGTCCCTGCTTTGCGGGTCTGTTTCCAGACGACGGCATGGTCGAATTCAGAACAAAAATTTAGAACTTGTAGACGTGCATTGATTCGCGCTTGATGGGAATCATCCTCGGATTTACTGATTTTTTTCCATAAAGCATTTTGAAATTTGGATGTTTTGAGAGACTCGTCTTCAATTCTTTCCGCAATTAGCAATGTGATTTCTTCTTTAATATTCGCAGCCCACCGTTCTAGGCTGAGTTGAAATGAATGGAGATCGCCTTCATTCAAAACAGCTGTCAATTGCCCGAATGTAGATTTGAGTGTAAATTTCAACATTTTGTGACAAATCTGGACGAGAGTGATGAAATAATCACACATATAAGATTGGAGATTCTTGGAGCGAGGGTAAAGAAGAGCCATCTTCTCATAGCGCGGTGCAGAGCGACCGGCTATCATAAACAGCGTCGAGAGCCTCTCAAGGTAAGATGAATATTTCGTAATGATCTATATCCAAATCAGGCTTTATGTTACAATTGGCTTGAGAGCACATTTCTGACCAAGACTAACCAGTAAAGAAGACCTCACGACCGTCCAGATACCACACGCGATGATATTCTGGGAGCCACCGACAATGATATCTCCAAGCGCAGCGAATTGCTGAACAGCTTCAAGAACGTTCATCATCCGGGCGCCAAAACAACGTCGCTTGAACACCAATGCCCGTTGATCTATCTCAGCAATGAGACGGAGAACATCTTGCGAGCTTGGCGGCGTCTCGCATGCTTGTGCTTTTGCGCTGCGAAACGCGACCTTTTGCTGATCTGGAAGGTCAGCTTCAAATAACGAAATAGCCTGCGCCAACCGAACTTCTGGCTTCAGGCGTGTCGCTGTGCCTAGTGATGATGACATCTTCTGGCAACGATTGAATACCTCGATCACGTGGGGTGGCTGTAAATGTAGAATCTTGGGACCTTGACACGTCTATGTAAGAGACTAATCAACACGTCAGCTGTGGCGCTCGCTCGGGTGTACAGTCTGAGGCTGTGCAGGAGAGGCTGAGGCTGTGTGATTCAAGTTCCTTAAATAAACTTCCTAGCGCCTATAAATCAAAGTATAACGAGGAGACATTTCTTTATTTGTATTTCTACTTATCTTTCCAATCGTCTTTCTATCTATGTACAGCTTATAGTATAGGTAGTAGTATATTGGGCGGTAAAGGTTATCTATGGCCAAGGGGGCTTTCCCCCGATCATCACTATTGTCCCTATCTGTGGCGAGGGCTTATACTTGCGGGTGGGTGTATGATGTTTCTCACCCCGATCAAATGGGAGCATATGGTAATGTGCGTTAGATGAAAGGTCTATACTAACTGTTGAAGTGAGATATGCCCTTACACAGGTTGAAAAAAAAAAAAAAAAAAAAAAGAAACAGAAACAGAAACATCATCCAGCATATCATGAAGAAGATGTCAAAATCAAGGTTGCAATAAAAACCAAATGTATGTACAAAGGCAACCAAATAGCTTCGCCACGCTTTCTTCAAGGTTCATAAAAAACAATAAAACGACCAAGAATACAAATCAGACAGTGATATAAGTATGAAGAGGAAAAGAAAGATGTCACCGAGACTGCTTAAGAAGGACGGTGGAACTTGCTCTCAATCCAAGGCATACCAACAACACTGGCCTTACGCACCTTGTTGCGAACCTTGACACCAACCTCGGTTCCCTTCTTGTGGAAGCCTTGGTTCACATATGCCATGGCAATGTTAGCACCACCAAGAGATGGACTGGGCAGACCAGAAGTAACAATTCCAATATCAACAGGGTTGGCAGGATCAGAGAGGTCAACGACGACAGCACCCTCGCGGGCTGGCGAGCCCTTCTCAACGGTTAGACCGACACGGCGCTGCTTGAGTGTCTTGGCGGGGCTAGAGAGCTGGGGCAGGATAGCGGAGGCACCGTTGAAAGTAGCGGTTGCGGCATCGCGGCGGTCACGGCCGACGACCCATCCCAGAGCAGCGGCGGGGGGAGTCTGCTCGGTGGAGATATCATGGCCGTAGAGACACATACCAGCTTCGAGACGGAGGGAGTCTCGGGCAGCGAGACCGGCAAGGCGAACCTTATCCTTGTTTTGGAGGAAAAGGTTCACTACCTGTTCGGGGAGGGTAGCGGAGGCGGAAGTTGGGATGGAGATCTCGAAGCCGTCTTCGCCGGTGTAGCCGGTTCGGGAAATAAGAAGGGGAGAAGGAGTAGCGGAGCCATCGGGGAGAGTGAGGTGCAGCTCACGGCAGTTACCGAAGTAGAGGGTGCTCAGGTCGGTCTCGGCGGCTGAGGCGTTGGCGGAGTTGATGAGGGGCTGCAGGACACTGGCGGCCTGGGGACCTTGCAGAGCGACGAGCGCGCGGTCCTCGAGGATATCCCACTTGATGCTGTCGGAGCCGTTTCTGAAGCGGTATGCATCGATCTCGGCCCGCAAAAAGGCCAGATCCTCTGTACGACGGCCGGCGTTGGTGACGAAGTAGAAGGTGTCTTCGCCGCGGCGGGTAATAACGGTGTCGTCCACAATGCCACCAGTCTCTTCTTCCAAGAGACAAGAGAGGGTAGAGGTGTTGGGTGCGAGTTTATCGAGGGATGACGGGGTGATTTTCATCAGAAGCTCGAGAGCACCGGGTCCGCTCAGGTGGTGTTGCACCCTAAATAGGAAACCTTTAGCACCCATTGAGCTTTTTTCTGAGGATATATAGACAGTATTGACTTACATATGGCTGACATCGAACAAACTGGCCTTCTCACGAGTCCACGCATGGCTTTCAACATGGCTCAAGTCGGCATACTGGAGGGGCATGGAGAACCCAGCAAAGGGGACCATCTTAGCGCCGTGAGCTTCATGCAAGGCGAAGAGCTGAGTCTTGCTCAGGGGCTCGGACGAGCTGGACGCATATCGAACGATTTGGGGCTTTGCCTGTGTATTCACAGCTGGAATGGCAATTCTCTTGCTGGGCACACGGACTGCAGACCGCACCGAGGCAGTCGATAGCTCCCGCCGCAGAAGTGTGGAGCTGATAGAGGCGCGGGGTGTGTGAAGGACGGCTGCTCTCGCGGCAGCAAGCTCGGCGCCTTTCTTGAAAGTACGGACACTGGCCATTTTGTATCAATGCTATGAAGAGAAATTGAATTGACTGAATGAAAGAAAGAAGGAAAAGAAAAAGAAAAGAGGGCCCTTGAAGACCCTCCTCCGCCGTCGGAGAAGAGTAACGGAAAAGTCACGTGTAGATAGGAAGTTGACGCCCGCGGTGTGGAATGATAAGTCATCTGCGGCGTTCTCCCCACTACAGCGGATCGATTGCGGGAAATCGGAGCTTCAAGTATAGGTATAAGATAGTATATATATACCTGGGCGGCTCCGAGAGAGATTCGCCGAGGAATTATTAGAATTGCTTATAATATCTCATGGTGATGTTTTATGTTCAAGTGCCAATGCAAATATCCAATATTACTAAGTATGGGCCATAAATAGGGCCATGTCGTTAAGTACACTTCAACGGAATGAGCGAATTTTCGAAGGAAGATACCCCGGAAAAGTGCAAATAGTGGGTATAGGGTCGCGCGAGGCATTACGGGTCGGAAATAAATGGTTTTGGTGACAGCAAGACTCGAGTCAGATCCAAATGGGAACTGGCATCGATCCTGAGCTCAACCGATTCAATTTCGGCAGTCATTATGTGCAACGAAGGCTGGTGTGCCATGTATAAACAAGCGAAGTATCCAAAAAAATCCAACACGAATATCCACCCAACATAATATCAAAGTAGGGATTATAAATTCCAGACCAAAATATTCCCTCACATATCCTGCAGGCCTAATTAGATGCAAGCAGATGCGGCCTTCACTCCTGCCTTTCGGTGGTCATATCATGAGCGTCCACTGATGGTTCATCCACCAGTTCAATCAAATGCAATAAAAATGATGCGATATGCAATGAAACAAATCATAGATGGTAAAAATAGACAAGAAGACGAACGTGACCCTGTCCCGCAGGTATTACAGTCCGTTGGAAGCACAGGTGAATACACCGCCGACTGAGCCCTCTCTGTAGCTGATAACCACAGACATGACAGAGGCCTAATTGAAATATTAGTAAATTGACATAACAAGGGAGATATGACGATTGTTGTCGGTCTGGAAAGGTCACTTACATAAGTACCAGCGCCGAGGAAGTAGAATCCTACGAGAATCAAAAAGACGTTGAAGATGGCACCGATCCATCCACGGATGCCTCGAACCTTGTAGAACGAGTAGCCGTCGTCAGCTATACGCATACGGATATATGCAACACCCCAGAAAATGAAACCGAAGAAGGAATCAAAGAGGGAACTCATGATAGACTCCAGGTCTGAGAAAAATGGAATGACTTCGGAGATAATCCAAGCGCAAACCCATAGGACGGCTAAGATTCCGGCCCAAGAAGCCCAGCCCACCACGGTGTTTTGGGTCTTGTGACGAGTGCCCTCAAAGATGTTGAAGAAGATAAATCGTGCCGAGACGGAGGCGTAAAGAACACCAAGGAAGATGAGAGTAGGGATCATGAACGAGAAGGAAATCTTCTTGTAAAGCTCATTGGAGATGGAGCCGAAGGCCGGTGTTTTCATGTATTCGGACTGTGAACCGGTGTAGGCATACATAATGGACCCGACCAAGCTGAACAAGATAATCTCGGCGATGGTCACAGCAGTGACGGACTTCCAGAAATCGCGAGGCTCTTTCATTTCAGCAATGAAGCTGGGCAAGGTGATTTGGCCAATGAAGGTATAGCTGATGTTCAAGAAAGCGCTCATTCCAGTGACGAAGCTTGTTCCCTTAGGCGGGATAGCAAGAACTTGGGGTTCGCCGTACTCGGGATAATTCACCGGGTGGCCTTCAATACCAATGAAGATCATGGCCAGAAGAACGGAGACGAAAGTGAAGAAGGCAGAGACAGTTGCCAGGTGAGCCAGGGTACCGAAAGTACGTGGTAATGAGACGAAGAAAGAGATGATCGCCACAATGATACCGAAGACGACCGTACAAGCTCCGTGGTTGGAGATGGTGTTCAGGTATTCAGACCCCACCACGCAATGCAAGCCTTGGATGAAAGTGTTGTTCAGAAGGAACATGACGGCAGTGAACCACCAAGCCCACTTGGAATCCCAGAATAGATATTGGCCGATATCACAAACATCACGAATTTCCGGGTGTCGGAGACAAAATTTCCTATAACAGTCTGAATTAGCATATGCGACCAATGAAGCCTTGGCATGCGTTATGAAGTAGAAACCACTCACCAAATTGTCAACGAAGTGTACAGGACGACACCGGCGATGAAAATGGTCAAAATCAAACCCGGCACTAGACCGAGGACAGAGTACGACCAGGGAAAGGACATCATAGCCAGACAGATGTACTCCGAAAAGAGTAGCGCGGCAGTCTATATCCAAACTAGTCAGCATCCGCTGATCTTGGATCTTGCAGTCGCAAGGGAATTCCAGCCTACCTTTTGCCAGCTGCATGTGCGATACTTGATGCCATTCTCAGCTTCCATCTCAATTTGGCGACCGACACTTTCAGAGGTGGAGGACGAGTCGACCGCTACCCGGGCGTGCGACAAACGACGTCCCCCCTCGAGGTCATAATCCTTTAACTTGGGATCATGCTCGAGTTTGTCGCTCAAATCATGGGACTGGTCGCTTTCGGCGGAGTGATGGTCCATTGTTGTGTGGTCTTTTGGCGCAGCCATTTTATTGTTAAGGAGCGTGCAAACCGCTTTTGGCGGAACTCGGTGGAGTCGAAAGAGACGAAGTCAACGACCTTCGGATACATATAACTGTGGATTGGGTAGATCGTTATACAAACTGTGCACCAGGCACAAATTTTGGGTGATATGTGCTTTAGGGGAGGGTGTTTTTTTTGAGTCGCTTGGGGTTGCTTGAGGAGGACCTCTGGGCTGTATCGATTTCAAGGTTGGCGCAATGGAAATGAGGATTTAGGGCAAACAGGATCTATAAGACCCGGCGAACGGAAGATCGCAATGAATGGAGAAAATGGAGAAAATGGAGTTTGGGAGAGAAAACGTGCGAGATAACTAGATTTTAAAGAGAAACCAGAAATAATTGAATGGATCGAATGGCGTGAGAGGAATAAAATTAAATTGGCAAAAAAGAAAAAAGAAAAAGAAAAAAGAGAAAAGAGTAACGTTCGATGACCAAGAATGGTATCTTAGGTATCTGGTATACCGAGAGGGCTATGCAGCACTGAGCGTGGGTGACAGTAGTGACAGACTATGCAGACTCCAGGGCTACAGTGTGGCGTATTAATGGGTAAGATGGGTATGCTGGATACCCCTGTCATTTTTAGAATTCGGATTCTCCACTCTGAGATGTTGCCGGAAAAGATGATAAAAAAAGGTCGATCCGGTCTGAATTGCATGACGTTATGGAGAACCAAGCCAGCCGCAACGGGCAACGCTTTTTTTCAAGCCATGGCGCTGCATCAGAAGGGTAAAACCGTCGGGAGAGGCGGTCGCGCCCCTCAGGGGGCTTGCGATCGGGCCACTTGGTTATTGACATTGGGGGACTTTTCGACGCGCTCGTCAATGGCGTCCAGCCCTATGAACATACCATACATAATTTGAAGCCGATTTTATGTCCGATGTAGAATCTGTAAAAATAGAGAGAGAGAGAGAGAATTCTGTCTCTGTATTCCGTAAATCCTCGTCATTGTACGGAGTATTCCCATAAATCGGCAAACCACGAAGGGGGCAAAGCAAATCGGCGCGCATATCATAGCTACGGGCTGCCAAAGTGGGACTGGATCCGCCCCGCAAGCAGGATTAGTCGAATGGAGTTCTTCGGAGAGTGGAATCCCCGGGATCAGACTCGTGCATCAGCTCTCTTTACGCCTTTTTACGCCCCCGAAAACATGGTTGCGCAGTGACCTCGGGCTTGCTTTTGGCTGCATTCTGCCACCGCTGATTCGATGGGGAGCGGTCGACCTTAACCGAATGCGGCAGAATGGATCCTTAGTGGTCCTAGGGGTGGTCCTAGGGTGGGAAGATACGTAATATTTCAACAGAGAACAGAGGTTCAGTTGGGGCCGATTCTGCTTTGGAAGACACTGATTCGTGGAATGCCTTCACGAGGCACGAATCAGGATTTAGAAAAGCAGGGAAAAGCGAGCAAAAGGCAAGATGAGAGGATGAAGAGGATGAGAAGCTGACTCGTTTAATACAACGTATGTAAACTAATTACCATATATTACCATACAGGAGAACCACGTGCAGATGACTCATCACTCTATTGAAGCAAGTGCAGCCGGAACTGTGCAGGGACAACATGTGCATTACAGTTATTGTAGTGCAGTGGTCTCTCTTATCAGGACTACTTGCCTATTATCTATAGCATAGGCGCCGTCAGATATCAGAGATCAATTTGAAACAAGATACTTTCGCAGGATTATGGGTCCATTTCGGGATTGTCGGTCTACAGAATCTTTCATTCCTCTTAAAATATCTTCCAAACAAAAGAAAAAGCAATAAGCTAACAGAATGCAGTGTAGTAAATAGAATAAAAACAGAGTCACGACTATGGCGGGTCCCCGGTCCACTCTTGCGTGCTCATCCCCCACAATGGCCTCACCCGGAACCCACATACTTGGCCCAGCTCCCTTCGTACAGCTACATTTATACTTACAATCTTCGGCCCCTCCGGCCCCCAACAGGATGCGACTCAAGTTTAATTGAACACCCGATCAATTTATCGACTGAGGTGAGATACTTTAAACCTTATTGCCCACCTACCCACCTGGGCAGCAGAGCCTTAGCGGTCTTTCCGCTTAGCGGACATGCGCTGCAGGGGCGCAATCTTAGCTCCCTTCTAGTTCATTAGCATCGAGGATTTGGGGGCGACCGTTTACTCCTTTCAGAGCTATGACATCGGTGCTGTTTTACATCCTTGTAGATCATCCATTTGCTAAGGCGTGATGAACTTCACGTTGAACATCATGATCCAAATGAAGGTAATATGAAGAAGATAAGCAAAGAAATTATACGTTTTTAGACTTGTATTCGCCAATATTTATCTTTGTTTTGGGGGCTATATATCCATATAACCACATTCGGGCTAGTTAGAGAGATTCAAACAATATACACATGCATAAGAAAACATAAGAAAGCCCAAATAAACGCCGTCGACAGTATGATATGCACGATAGAATGTCGGTGCGACGGTACTTTTCAAAAAAGCAAACGGGGTGTAAAAAAAAAGAGAAAAGCTTATATCCAAGGATGGAAAGCGGGCTATAGAATTCATTACATGCCCTCGTCCTCGTCTGCCAGTAGAGCGGCGTAATCGTCGGCTGAAGCAAAGGTTGGCAAATGCTTGAGCTTGCGCTTCTTCGACTTCGACTTCGAGTCGGAGGGAGCTTCCGGCTCGGGGGCCAGGTCGACACCACCAAGTTCCATGTCGGATGGCAGGTCGTCGTCGCTGTCCAAGAAGGCCTCGTCGTCTGACACATCCATGTCGAAGGCATCTTCGTCGTCCTCGTCCACCTGCTTCTTCTTCTCTTCCTTGGCGGGCTTCTTGGCCTGCTTCTTCGAGGCAGCAGGGGGAGGGAATGCGGCTTCGGCATCTTCCAGATCGCTGAAGTCGGCCATCTCCTCATCAGAGGGAACATCGGACTCGTCGTTGAAGATAACCTCGTCATCACCACTGCCCTCACCCTCGCCCTCAATATCAATCTCATCCTCATCCTCATCATCGTCGTAGGCAGACTCCAGATCATCCATATCGAGATCATCGTCACTGCCATCGTCGGCCTCCAGATCAGGACGGGACTCCACAAGGGCCTTCCAGATCTCATCCTCGTTGTCGCTGCCAGCCTCCGCATCCTCATCATCAGCAACATCAGCACTCTTGCCCTTCTTGGCACGTGCCTTATCGTTGTTGACACGATTGAAGTACTCGTGGAAGAAGACATCTTCCGCAGCAACTTGATCGGCCTTCTTCTTCCAGAAATTCTCGGAGTTGAGAGGCGTGCTTTGCTGTGTCGTCTTCGCAGCCTCGACCAATCGGTCTGCGGCATCACCACCAGCAAGAGGCTGCATGATAGAGGCACCACGAGCGGCAGCGCTGGCCTTGGGGGTTCGGTACACGAAGCGATCCAGGAAGTGAGAGAGCGTGTGCAAGTTCAAGTCAGGCTTGCCACTCATGGGGTTGTGTTCCAAGAGATTTGAAGCATTGAGAGAGACGGAAGGATGGAAGTGAGATGTATAGGGCAAGATTTCCCAGAGACAAGTCTGGTCGGCATTGCTGTGCTCAGGGTCACGCTTGCGAGGATCATAGATGTTGGTCTGCTTCGGGACTTTCGACTCGACAACAGGCGTAGGCTCTTCGTCATCCTCGTCGGGGACATCACGGAAAACCTCCTCATCGTCACTATCGTTTGCTTGAGGCTGGTCGAACAGAGATGAAAGACTTGGAAAGGTCGTCTCCAGCTCGCGGATCAAGTAGAAGACACCGCAAACAAACGAAGGCTGGTGAAGGCCAAGGACCTGAACAATACGCTTGACGAATGCCTTGATGCGGCGGACATTAAGGTCGTTCTTGAGTGCCTTGAACAGAAGATTCAGGTAAAGCGACTGCTTAGAGGATGTGGTTACGCGGGGATCGAGGAGCGACTCGTAAAGAGTACGGTAGAAGCGGTCTCCGGCAACCTGGTGAGATGCAGTAAGCTGCTGGATCAACAGCAGAGCCTGGATACTTGTGTTGAAGTTTGAGGAGTGAGTGATGCGGAAAAGCGTGTCGATGTGCTTCGCGAGACTGTATGTTTGAGTCAGATTTAAATACGGAAATCATTATCGGGGAGTAGAACTTACCGAGCGGAGTCAGCATCTGTGAATGGGTAGGCACGGTTGACACCAGTCAGGACACCGGATGTCAGCTTTTCGCGCATCTCATCGTCCTGGGCCTGTCCCTTTACAGGGCCTTGGTTCTTGGAACCCTTGTGGCCAGGCTTGCCCTGTGGCTTTCCTTTGAAGCCAGGCTTGGTGGATTGGTTAGGCTTCAGGATGGTCACAAACAACGAGAAGTAGATGTCAAGTAACTGCATAGCAACCTTCTCCTCCTTTGAGCTGAGAACTGTCTGGTTGAGAGTGATGATAGCGTAGTACTTAGCATGTGAGCTCTGACCAGGTCGGAACAGAAGCTCCTCAACAGCCTTGATGATTAAGGGCTTCATCGCCGGGTGTGTTTGCTGCAGCTGCAAAAGAAGGTAAGAAGCACGCGAGGCAATCTTCTTTCCTGGGTCTCCGAGTTTGTTCACCAACAGTCGTAACAAGTTAGCTTCCTGCTCGGGCTTCTCTTTCAGAAGCTCATAAACATAACTGACGGCGCGGGATCGGGAGAACTCAATCTCGTCATTGCACCACACCTCTAGAATCTTAAGGACCTCAAAGAACTGTTCCTTGACAATATCCTCAAAAGCCCAAATCATCAAATGGCTCTTCTGTAAACCACCGGGGAGGGGATCGCGCTCGGTCCATCGGCCGCCAGCTCCTTGGAACGCAGCAACGAGCGAGGGCTGATTGGCGAATGATTTCAGACGTCGCTCGCTAGGCAACAGGGTTCCCTGGGCAAACATATCCTTCAGGGAGCGCAGAACTTCGACTGCCTGTGCACGGCTACGCTTGCGTCCTAGAGCAATAAGGGCCTCGAGAGATTTTGTGTTGTGGAGCGGCGACTCTTGGGCAGCAAGTGTCAATGCGGAGATTTTATCACTCAGGGTACCGGAGGCCATAATGGTTGTGTAGAACTTGTGAGACGATGATGCTGAGGTTTGTTGCGCTTTCGCATACTTTTCGTTCTCCTCCTGCAACAGAGAATTGGCGAGTTCGTGGATGCGGTCAACTAGGTGTCTAGGAAGAGCGCTCATCTCTTTCGCATTTCCGGTAGCCACGGGTGGAAGAGGAGATGCGTACCAGTCAGAACGAGGAAGAATAGCCTTGGCCATAACTGTTAGTACATATATTTATAGATAAATGGGGCAGATGACGAACGAGAGAAGCATATTCCTTAGGAATAGTTACCAGTTCTGTTTTAGCTGGAGGGACCGGCTCAATATCAGAAATATCGGAGACTTCATCAGCCTCGCTCTGCTTTTCCTCATCAATTATATCTTCATCGTCTTCATCGTCCTCCTCTCCCTCATCCTCTTCCACTTCTTCATCTTCAAGGTCCTGCGGGACGACATGACCAGCAGCCTCCAACATCTTGGATAATTCATTTCGGAGATCATCGTCCTTAGCCTCAGCTGAAACGCCTTCCACCTCCTCTTCCTCGTCAACATCCGCTAGAAGATTAAAATCCTCTTCGGTGCCACCCAAGGCAAGAATTTCCTGTCGCAAAGTGGCATCGTCGGCACTCTTGTTCGCAGACTTTCCGGCCTTGTTCTTTCCACCCTTCTTTTCATCGCCCTTCTTTTCATCGCGAGCAATCACTTCTCCGCTACGATCCCGCTTCTTGCCTTGTCCAGAAATATCCTGGATTTTTCCAGCCTTAGAAGCGACATCCTTATCCTTTTTGTCATCCGCCACTTCAACGGGTGTATCCGGTTTATCGATTTTCTTCGACTTTCCCTTGGCGGAGCTCTGTTTCTTCAATCGCTCCTCGATTTTCTGTCGCAGACCAGAGAAGGCACTCTCGTCAATCTGGGGGACTTCGGACGTAGATTTGGATTCGATCGATGAAGCAGCTGCTTCTGGGGCAGACTCATTAGCGTCCGAAGAACGCTTGCCTTTCCCCTTTGCCATTGTAATGTGTCTGGGGTCGTGGTATGATTTTTGAATGGAGAGAAAAATGAACGGAGAAATCTTTTGCGGCGGACCCGTTATCACAACGCTCGGACCAGCCCGATAAGAGTCTTATCCTGGACCGCGCCGTTTTCTCGACACTCTTATTTGGCGACTTGATTGTGGTAATTGTGACACTGGAGGACTCCTCAGAGTGAATCTGGAAGTTCCCTAAGGTCATAATAATGCTTTCTACCATCACAGCTCGGCGTGCGTTGAGGTTACGGCAAACGCCAGCACTCCGTATTCAGCAATGCGGGCTACATGTACGCGTTTCTTCCAACAACTTTTATAAGCTCAATTGGGGATTCTGACGATTTGCAGTGTGATGGACGAAGTCGAGTCTCAAATTTCTGGATTCCTACTGGTGGTATCTCCAAGAAATCGACCGATGGATCCACAGGTGCGACTGCCACTTGACAGGAAGATTACATCGGCGCAACCGCTAACAAAGCATTAGAGGATGCAAATGATCTCTTAATTCGAGCGGGGTTTCTTCGCCAGGTTTGTCTTTTTATCTTGTTCAATACCTTCTAGTCCCCGGGCTAATTTTACTGGCCAGGCGTATTCTGGAGTTTTCCATCTACTCCCACTTGGGTTGCGAGTTCAGGACAAGTTGGAACGTCTTATTGATAAGCACATGCGATCATTGGGTATACCATGGTAGCCTCAATTCCTAAATTTAAATAGAACTGACATCTGCAATAGGTGCTTCTAAAGTCTCTTTGTCTTCGATCTCTTCACAAGAGCTTTGGGAGAAATCGGGGCGTTTGAACGAGGATTCTGAAGTGCGTCCTTTAACCTACCCTTGCTATGCATGTTGCTAACAGAAGATAAGGTCTTCCGGTTTCAAGATCGAAAAGACACCCGCTTCTTGCTTGCTCCAACTCACGAAGAAGAAATTACTACACTTGTTGGAGGACTGACCACATCCTACAAAAATCTTCCTCTGCGGGTCTATCAGATCAGTATGCACTACCACAATCACCCAAAAATACACTTTACTTATCAATCAAACAGCAAGAAAGTACCGAGATGAAGCACGACCACGTCAAGGTCTTCTTCGCGGGCGAGAGTTCATTATGAAGGATCTCTATACATTCGATTATAGTGTCGCTGAGGCACTGAAAACTTATCAAGCTGTCAAGGACACCTACATCAATCTTTTCAATGACCTTAAAATACCTTACTTGGTTGCTGCCGCAGACTCGGGGAATATGGGAGGCAACATGAGCCATGAATACCATTTTATCAGCTCAAAGGGAGAGGATCGTGTAGTGAGCTGTTCGCACTGTGAACATATCTACAACGAGGAACTGGCAGATGGAAAGACACACAAATACGGTGAAACTTCCGTGTCAACTCCTGTCTCCGGCTTTCAAACTGAGGAGCAATCAAATGAAGTTGGCCCCCCAACAGTCTCCACTGGCATGTGGATGGCCATCTCACACGACCGCAACACCCTTTTGCGCGGCTGGTATCCCAAGTTCTCGATGCAGAATGGATCAGCCGAACCCATTGAACGCCATGTGAACTCTCACGCTGTGAAGGCTATTGCTGATGCCGCAGGGATTGACCTCGATCTTAGTGTGGAGAATCCTTTGGAAAAATGGGTCGCGCATGTTCAGTCCCGCTCTTCAGAACAGAAACCACGGGTTTTGGATCTCTACGACTCACAGGTACGGGTATACAAGCGTCCACCTTTGAGCGACCTTCTTCAAAAGGCCGACTGCTCTGCTGCTGATGTCCAATATTCGATGCTTGATCGTTTTCCCGATACAAATAACAAGCTGAGTCTCGTGCGTGTGCATGACGGAGATAGTTGTACACATTGTGCGGACGGACTGTTAACCAGTAACCCTGCTGTGGAGCTTGGACACACCTTCCATCTTGGTACGAGATATAGTGAGGTTCTACAAGCTTCGGTGTCAGTAAACCCAGCGTTACTCGAAAATGCATCAGCATCAGATGTCAAGTCTGGCAAAGAGCAGATTGTCCCAATTCAGATGGGATGTCATGGAATTGGCGTCTCGCGTATGGTGTCCGCTGTGGCCAACAGATTGGTTGACTCCAAGGGCTTGAATTGGCCTCGAGTCATCGCACCATATGAGGTCATGATAATTCCTGGGAAGGGACTGGACGATGTCGCTGAGCAGGTTTACGATTGCCTTTCTTCGCGCACCCCAAAGCCCGTGGATGCGATCCTCGATGACCGCGATAAGGGCATGGGGTGGAAGCTAGGAGACGCTGACTTGATTGGATATCCAATCATAGTTGTTGCAGGCAATGGTTGGAAGAAGAACAAGACTCTTGAAGTGCAATGCCGCCGACTTGGAGTGAAAGAGGACGTATCTATGGACGGCCTACCGAAGTTCGTCGAGAGTCTGCTCTCCAAATTATAAGCCTGTCCTACGACTCTGTCTGGCAGGACTACTGTATCTATGTAACATTAGCATTCTTGTTCAATCTCCTGTATATCACTGTTGTATATAACGCCCTCTGCATTTCCAATATATTTCCTATCTATAAATCTAGCTCATTTGTGTCTTGTGCGTGCATATACCATGTCCCTCGTCATGTGTGTGGGAATAATACTGCGACCACGCTAGTTCCACGCCCATCACCCCACCTCCGCCCGCATCAACCTCTCTGCAGCGCGCTGCGAACCTCGAATTCTCCGTTTTTGCCTCCAACAGCAACCCAAAATGGCCTCTCAGAACGAGTCAGGCTCCGATGGGGCTCCCCCAGGCTCAGGTAAGTCTTGAATATCCAACATCAAGAATTTATCACATCTCCGAGCACCCAGTGGCTAGAAACTGCGAAATGAACCTAGCTCGCTACTAGGGCCCCCTTCAACCAAAGACCCAATCCCAATTGATCCATATCGATTTGACGTGCTAACCTTATTTGCAACCAGTGAACCTCGCGTCACTTTCTTTGCCCCAACTCCGCTCCCTCCAAACCCGCCTCACCTCCGAGTTGGAGCACTTGACAACCTCGCACGCGAAGCTGCGCGCCGCACAAGCCAAGTTCCGTGATTGTGTAAACTCGATCAACGACGGTGTCACTGGATCTGAGTCGAAAGGAACTACTGGTCGCGATGAGATTTTGGTCCCCCTTACAAGCTCTTTGTATGTCAAGGGTCGGTTGACAGACCGGGAGAAGGTGCTTGTTGATGTTGGAACAGGATTCTATGTTGAGAAGGTATGTTTTGGGTTATTCATATTACAGATCGGCATGGAACAACGTTCTAGAAGTTATATCTTTTGTGGTACTCTTTTCTTTGCTACATGCAGAAAGCTGACAGATCAATCTTCAATGCAGACACCCGAAAAGGCGATTGCTTTTTACAACGACAAGGTCAAGGGATTGGATGAGAACTTGGTTGAGTTGGAAAAGATTGTGCAGGCTAAGAACTCTCAACTGCGGATTGTTGAGGAGGGTAAGTTTATCGCAGCACCTTTCAAATCAAGTGCGAGTTTGAGAGAATATTTCACTGACAACATTGAATCTAGTCCTCCGACAGAAAATGCTTAGCGGCGAGGGTGCCGAGGCGGGCGCTCCAAGTGCCTAAACTTTTACACTTACGAGACTCGATGACGGCTTCATATGAGCCAGTAAATATAAAACAAAAATCTTTTCTATTCCACGACTCTAATATTGCGTTTCTGTGCTGCGATCTGCTCGGCTAACACGAAATAAATTGATTTATTGTGTATTTAAACTAACAATTAGCATGTCCCTGAACGCGTGAAGGCAACGAAAGGTAAGGAGATAGCGGAAAACTGGGTGTTGATGCTTGGAGCTAAAACAGCGTTCCAAGTTCGACATCAAGCAGCTCGGGGTTAATGTCCTTGTCCAAGTCAGAGGATGGACCTTCACGCACATCTTTGGTGGCACTTAGAAGTTCCGAAACCTTGTCAACGAATCCAATCAAATCCCAAAACCCACCCTCGTCATTATCAGGACTCATGTTCGCTCGGGGAGGGAAAAGGGACCGGAAATTTCCCATGTATTTCTCAGGTCTTCTCGGGGCATTTCCTTCCATGTTGAGCCCACTTCCTAACACAATATCCCAATACGGGTCGAACAAAGTTGCACCCCATGTGACGGTTGGTGATGCAGTCCGTTCCCATCCGGAGGAAGTTGATGTGTATCGATCGAAACGGGCCACCTCAAGTACATAACTTGTTCCTTTGATCTTCAATTGAACCGAAGCTTTCTCGACGAAACTGGCCACGGGAGCCTTCCAGTCGAACAGCACTTTCCTACGAGGGACAAGGGCCATGCCATGAACATGAATGCGGTTATCAAACCTCACAGTTTTGAGAAATTCAGTAAGATTGACCTGGATATCATCATCATTCAATGGCTCAAACAGTTCGATGTCCCCTTGCCAGTCACACCTGGAAAATATGTAAGTATTGGGTAGTAAATTATAGGTACGGAAAAGAGCGGGGGACCCCTACCGAGCAAAGTCCATCACGCCGGCTTGCAAAACCAATCGGCGAGGATTCTCAGCTTCTTCATGGACTTTGAACCATCTGTGGCGCTGTTGCTCAAGCTCTAGGGAACGATGCTTAAAGTCTACCTCTAGGCGAAATTGAGATTCGGTTTTACCTGAGAACTCAAAGTTCGCTGAATAGGTCGGAAAAGTGGTCTTGATTCCTGACAGGGTACTCAGAGGGCTTGTGGATTCCAAGAGGCTGCTCGCACTCAAACATCGGGATAGCAATTCTTCGCCACTTAATTTCAACCTAAAGCTGGTCAGGATCATATATCTTGATTCTAAAACATTTCCTTTACTTACCCTGGTACTAGGCGACCGATGGCTCGCTCATTCATGATCATCTCTTGGAATTCTTCTAAGCTGTATAGAGATTCTCCATCTTTTGGTTTGCGGTAATGATCCATTAGAAATGAACCGAAGTGGATGCGCATTCTCAAGCGCCCGGCAAAAAAATGGGCTTTCGACAGCGCTTTTTGGAAACTTCGGAGCAGAATCTCGTCGTTTTTCTGTTGAAAATGGGTGATTGTCTCTTCCTCTTTACGAGTAGTTGGCGAAGATCGTGGTACCCGCTGGTGAAGAATGGGCAAGGCAAACCTCTTTTTCTTGACAATCTTCACCTGACTCTGCATCGTACTGCCTTTTGGTAGCTCAACCAAGTACACTTTGATTCGAATATCAGCTTTTGCAACTGCTGCTTTCCATTTCTCTCGCAGCTGCTTGGCGATGAAGGACATATTCGTTTCTTCGCTTCCACACACAGTAATGCAGTCGTCAACGTCTTTCTGCAGGTAAACATGAACCTTGAAAGCTTTCCGTATAGAGTCAAGTGCCTCAAGTTTGTCCCCGAAGCTTTCTTGGAGTGTCGGTCCATCCTGAGGCCAAATGAACATGCACTAGAATATTTTGTCAGTTGCTCGTATCTTGCACATCTCCCAAAGCACCATTTTTACCCGATAATTACTAGCCTTGTTTTTGATCTGTCCCGACTTTGGTTCCTCTCGCAATTCAGACTCCGCTTCTCTCATTGCTCTTCCAATTCTTGCTTTTTTCTCAACAACCTCTGTGGTTCCAGAAGGATGGATCTTCAGCCAATGACCACGCGCATCAGGAGCGTTCTTTTCGGTTTTCTCGTAGAATGGGTCGACAAGGCCCTGAAGAATTTTCTTTGTCTTGGCAACTGAATCTGCATCTCCCCAGATACGAAGACACTGTTCATTTATTAGTCTCTGGTATAGTCTGAAAGTTATTTCTCAATACTCACTCGGCCTGGCTCTTGTTTAATGAATGTGCCTGTGGATTGACTGATTTTATCGAGGAATTTCTCCCTCCCGTCAGAATGGGACAAATTCGCGGCCAACTCGAGCGATTTGGTATCTCTTCGGAGTCTGACCCATATCGTTAGTCAAAAATACGAAAACTGGAACCATGGCTTGACGAAAGGTCACGTACAATTGCTGTATGCTGGGCGCTCTGGTGGGCAGCCTCACAACTGCTTTTAGAAAGTCAGTGCATTCTCACACTAAGGCTTTGTAAGACATACCATCGCTTTCATGCCCTTCCTGCCATTTACGTTGTGCGGGCGAAACCTCGAGCAGCTGACTGGTCCTTGAGCGGTCCTCGACCACTCTCTGGAACCTACGGCTTTGAGGAACAGACTCAAGAGTAACAGCCTCACCTGTACGTCGAGAAACGTGAGGCCCCAGAGGTGAGGGCTCTTCGCGTGTGATGTATCGATTTGTGATCATATATGGGGTTGTGGGTGAGACAAGGTTCTGGCTGATTGCTGTGGCAGTGGGCACATTTGGAGTTAAAGGGTCGGCGCCAGCCTCATTCCCGTACCCCGGCAAAGCCCATCCTATTTTCAATTAGTACGGCTTCCAGTAGGTCTATCAAACAGTTAATATAAGAATGAAGGTAATATTTGGTTACCTCGGGCAGCGACGTTTTCCCATCTAAAATTCCTGTCAGTCAATTTCTTAGTATATTGTCTGAATGCCAGAGCACCTACTCCATCGGGAACGGTGCAGACTTGATGAGGCTTTCTGATTCAGCAACCTGAAGCAGGAGGGAGGCAGAGCCAGAAGATTGAGTGGTTGCAAGGAAGAGAGAAAAAGAGATGCAGAGAAAAAGGGAAACAGTGGGCTAAAGTGGGATGGAGTGAGAGGGAAGGTGGAAGATAGATGAAGATAATGATAAGATCAGTGAAGGAAGGAGCTCCTCAGGAAGGTGCTCCTCAGGAAGGTTCTTGTAGAAAGTAAATGCCCATTCACTTCTCTCTCTCTCAGTTCATAGTACAAAGACAAAAGTAGCGCAATCATAAAATCTCTCGGGTCAGGAGTAATATGTAGAGTTGCTGGGTAAGAGGAGATCAGATCAAAACTTAGTGGCATCCATGTGGACAGTAACAGAACTAAGGAAAGGAAGAGAGGGGGGAATATACATTTGGCAAGTAATATACCTAGTTAAGTGTAGCTACTTGTGCAATAAGTCACGGGGTTTTCCATATCTGTACCTCAGGCTCTAATCTAGGGCTGTGGTGTTCAAGTTGATTCAGTCAATGTCCATAAATCCAGGAGAGGCAGGCTTGATGGCTGGGAGTATTCAGCATTGCTTGGATAACTTCATCTATATAAAAATATGAGCAACCATTACAGAATAGTTGAACCAAGTTGGCTATCTTGATAGCCAAAAAACTATATATATAGCCAATTACTATATATATCAACAGGCAACTCCCACCAACGTTGACATCAATGTAGTATGTAGGCCCCAGGCTGCCCATTCGCACGTGACATATACAAACTATATTCCATGTTTCTGATTGGCCCGGAGCGAGAGGGTGGCGCTAAACCCAAATAGGCTGAAAGTGGACAACGCGTAGTTTGCATCGTTTACATACTTTAGCTCCAGGCCAACGCGCCCCGAGATCCATAATTTTAGCTCGAGAATTGCTCTATCACGACCGCTATTAGAGCCCGAAACCACTCTAGCCTGTTCTTGCATCATGGCTGCTGATATGGACTCCTCAAGTGATGCTGAACCGCAGCAGAGCCGCCCAAACGCCCGTCAGCGTGCCCAGCAGTGGATGACCAAGGGCGGCTTGGTCCGAGAGGACTCGGACGACGAATTGGGCGATGAAGATCACCCATGGGATTGGATTTACGCTGAAAACGAAGGAGAAACCGAAAAGAATAACGACATTCCACAGAAATCCAGCAAACGGCGAACCTCGCGCCCAGCCAAGAAGAAGGAAAGAATCGTGGGAGCTCGGATGGGGTCATTTGAATGCAGAATTGGTCAAGTCGTGCTGTTGAAGTCGCCTGAAGCCGGTAAAGACTGGGTCGGCCTTATTGTCGATTTTGTGGAGGAAGAAGACGAAGATGCAGAGAATGAAATTATCAAGTCGGCCACGATTATGTGGCTCGCTTCTCCAGACGAGTTTTTGTCGACGAGAAACAAACGAAGAGAGGATGCGCTACCAAATGAACAATATTTGACTGCGGACTTCAATACCAATCCCCTATATTCAATTAGCGGCAAAGCCACGATCATGTCGAAGGACGCCTTCTTTTCAAAATACCCCAACGGCGCCCCTCCCAAAGACAAGGACCAGCTGGCTGAATTCAATAAAAGCATTGTCTGCCGAAGAGGTGTCAATCAACTCCAGGGACGATACACAGAAGAGTTTGTGTGGGAAGAGGTCTACCGCCCAGATAGCGTCTACGGGCTTATTGACATGGTTAAGGAGGGCTTGAAAGCAGCCCGAAAGCGCAAAGCGATAGACTCCGAGGTAGGTTGCTTCTCGATTTCTAAAGGCACAATAACAATATGGATGTGACACTAAATTATTATCCTTTTTAGTACGCTGAGCCCAAAGAAGAGAACGGAACTCCGACAACCCCGAGAAAAAGGCAACGAGTGACCGATGCTACCCCGAAGTCCCAACGGAAAAAAGCACTGACGACACCAACACATAAAAGGTAAGAAGAATGGTTACTCTGTACGATGCGTTCAAGAAACTAACACAATGTCCAGGATTGTCGTCAAGAAGCCTCTTGAATTTACACCGCTGGGTACTCGTGTGCTCTCCCAAGATCACTTTGCTTCCCCGTATCGCCAGGCCCGTACACTGTTACATGTCTCCACCGTTCCAGAATCACTTCCATGCCGGAAGAATGAGTTCAACGAAGTCTATAACCATCTCAGCGCTGCGATTATGGAAGGCACTGGCGCCTGTATTTATATTTCGGGTACCCCAGGAACCGGCAAAACAGCTACAGTGCGAGAAGTGGTTGCCCAACTCAATGCAGCCGTTGAAACTGAAGAGATGGACGATTTCATCTTCTGCGAGATTAACGGCATGAAGATAACCGATCCACACCAAGCCTACTCCATGCTTTGGAAAGAATTAAAGGGAGATCGAGTCTCTCCATCTCACGCATTAGATCTTCTCGAACAGGAGTTCTCACACCCCTCTCCTCGTCGGGTCTCTTGTGTCGTTCTAATGGACGAATTGGATCAAATGGTAACCAAAAACCAGTCTGTCATGTATAACTTCTTCAACTGGCCTGCGCTTCGCCATTCACGACTTATTGTACTGGCCGTGGCCAATACCATGGATCTCCCTGAACGTACATTGAGCAATAAGATTTCTAGTCGACTCGGCCTCACCCGTATCACCTTCCCAGGATACAAGCACACGGATTTGATGGAGATTATCGGCACGCGACTCGCAAACGTACCGGGAAATATTGTTGACCCAGATGCCGTCCAATTTGCCAGTCGAAAGGTCGCCGCCGTCAGTGGTGATGCTCGCCGTGCGTTAGATATTTGCCGTCGTGCTGTTGAAATTGCCGAACAAGAAGCGAATGAAGCAGCAGCCGCAGACTCCATAATTCCAGAAGAAGAGGAAGAAGCCCCTCCAACACCCAGCAAGACTCCTGCTCGCCAGAAAAATGCACTTGCTGCTGGGTCAGCTAATCACGCCCCTTCCATCAAACCTAAACCAGGCAAGGGCAAGCCTGGTCGCGTCACAATCGCAACTATTAAACAAGCTATTCAAGAAGCCACCTCCACGCCACTCCAACAATCGTTGCGCTGTCTCCCTCTATCAGGTAAACTGTTCCTAGCAGCCCTTCTAGCTCGCATCCACCGTACGGGTATCACAGAATCCACCTTCGGCGATGTTCTAGATGAAGCACGTCGAATTGCCGATGCGGCTGTTGCGGTTGCCGGTGCTGCGGGTACTGGTGTGAAAGAATTCTTGCTCGGTGGTGGTAGTACCGCACGGGTCCGAGCTTTAGGATTTGCATCGATGGAGCTTATGAATTCCGGAATTCTGGCTTTAGAACAGGGTACCGGTTCCAAGAACTTACTGGGCGGCTCTACAATCCCTGTCCGTGGTGACCGAAGCAGTAAGATTCGGCTTAGAGTTGCAGCTGAAGATGTGAGGTCTGCCTTCAGAGAAGACGCCGAGGCCAAGGGCTTTGGTCTTGGGATTGATCAGTAAAGCTACTTAATAAATATTCTAATAAATACTGTTATTTCACATATCTGGTATTCTTAGTAACTTCACCTGGACAACAATACTTGGAAGCTGCGGCGCAAAGCTTTGGAGTAGGGTAACGGGCTCACAAAGGACTTGGATTACTGGTAGTTCCAATATTTCTCTCATAGACCTATATTAGTTCCATATGCAATGTGACTCGTCCTACATATCGGTTGCAAAAAAGAGGGTCACTCAAATGCGGACACTTTCATATATGTACCACTATGTAACATTGGATTCTTTTCTTTTTAGACAACATGAACCCTTTCCCCAGGAAACATAAATCCTTTGATAATCCCAGAAATTGCTAGCAGACAAACACTTAGCCTCTTAACTCCGCACGGTCCCGTAAACAAAAATACAAAGCAGATAAGAAGGGTATTAATGACACAAGTTTACACAGGCAGAGTCTAATACCGCTGCCTGCCTAGAGAAGGAGCCCAGCTAACGGGGTGGCTCTCAGGCGTAGCTTGTTCATCCTGCTTCCAGACCTTGATAGTCTTATCGGCCTCACCAGTAATGAGACGTAGACCTGTGCGATCGAATGTAGAAGCCATGATACCCGCCTCGGCTTCCAGTGAGCCAGGCTGGGCCTGACTATCCATAGACTGGAATTGGTGACCAGTCTTCCAGTCCCAGAAAGACATAGAACCATTGTCACCACCCGAAAACATGACATTCTCATTGTTGACAGAAAGAGTATTGATGACGGCATTCTGGCCTTCGAAGTTCTGCATGAAGGCACCTTCAGGGCACTTCCATTGTTTGATACTTCCGGTGCTGGCACTGGCGAATGTGAATTCGGAAGGATGAGTGGCCAGTCCTCGGACACCCTTCTTGTGATGTGTCAAGACACCCATAGATTTACCTGCAGCCAGATCCCAAAGACGCACCGTTGCATCGAGGGACCCGGAGATAACCTGTGGATCGGCCTCTTGACACTTAATATCCGCAACAGTGCCCTTGTGACCGGCTAAGACGTGAACATTGCTTCTAGTACGCATATCCCACACACGACACACACCGTCACGACCACCAGTGACCAGTAGATCGAGACGAGGGTGCAGGGCCAAAGTGTATACACCACTCAAGTGGCCATGGTAGTGACGAATGACCTTGTTGGTTTCCAAATCCCAGCACTTCACCATCTTATCCTCTCCACACGAGAAAAGGTATGGATGCCGCGGCGACACTGCCAATCCACGGACAGTAGAAATATGACCAGTCAGGGTAAGACGAAGATTACCAGTAGCCAAATCCCAGATCTTAATTGTTCGATCTCCCGCACCACTGGCAAACCACTGGTTGTTAGGCTCTACTGCAAGAGCTCGCACCCATCCCAAATGACCCGAAATCACACGCATCAGCTTCCAAGGCGCGTGCCACTCCGGCTTCTGTTGCTTCGTCGCGGAAGGTCTCTGGATCAAACTCTTAGGCTGGTCCGCACTGCCTTCTGCGCCTGCGCCTGCTCCTGCGGGCCGCTTCACAAGCGACATCGAAGCACCGCTTCCGTCACCAGCACCCTGCTGCGCCTGTTGTTGGATCTTAGGCCGTTTTGATCGTCCTGCAGCGGCTTTTGCTTGCACCTCCGCCAGTGCGCGAGGCAATTCTTTCACATCATCATATTCGGCTCTCCGTCTGTAGGAAATACCGATAGATTCGTCTGTCAATGTCGTCGGGTTGACCATCAGGTAATCTGTGCCGAAGAGGTCGGCGGTGCGTTTCGCGGAGGCCCGTACGGCCTCATCGGGACTGTGAGATGCCAAAGACATATTTTGTAAATCCGATCGAGATATTATAAGAGAGAGTGTCGGAAAAGAAATTGGGGCGCGGAGGTGGGCAGTCGTATTGTTCGTTCAAAGGTTTCAGTTGACTCGAATACGGGTGCGCGCAAGGAAAACCCTTCGTCCCGGCCGCGATTGAAAATGTGGTATGCGGCGGGCTGTGAGTGGAGGACTGGGTCCGGGTGGTAGTTAGAAGAGAGAGAATAAACCCGCCGCTTGTAGGAAATGTCGACGTGACTTCAAAATGAAGAAGTTGAAGCTCATGAATCTCAGCGGGCGGAAAGAAGGTTTGTTTGGTGCCTGAGGTGTCACTCAGGTGTCAATGGCCAGTTTCCTTATCGCAGCTCTTATCGATATAATTTCCACCTTCAATGTCACCATGGATCCCAACCAGAACGCCAAGTTTCCTCTACATGAGGCTGCTCGAGAGGGCAGAAGTATGTCTGAGTTTCGAATGCCGGAAATTTCAGCCTACTGACTTATTTGCATAGCTCAAATTGCCGATTCGCTCCTGAATGTATGTTCCTGATTGCCTACTATTGCCCCGCATACCCACCATACAACCGATGAACAATAATACCTGATGACGAGGGCATGATCATGAAGGAATCACACTGATAACTGCTATAGGCCAATCCCAAGTCCGCGTTGACAAAGGATGACGACGAACGCCTTCCTATTCACTGGGCCGTAGCCTACAACCGACTACCTATCGTCGAGCTCCTAGTTGCTGTTAAGAACTTTGATCCTGATGTTGAAGTGAGTACCATGATTAATAATATTCATTCCGCATGAATCTTTACTTTGGAATCGCTGGCTCATGACCAAACAGGATGGCTCCGGATGGACCCCGCTGATGATTGCCGCCAGCCTGAAGGATGCCGCGGGCGATCCAATTATCGACTTACTCCTTCGTAAAGAGGCCGATGTGAGCGTGAAAAGTAATTCTGGACAGGTATGTTATAGGACACGAACCCATACGAGCCTCATGACATGTCCATTAACCAAGTAGCAGAACTCCCTCCACTTCGCTAGTTCGAAGGCCAATATCTCCACGGTCCGGAAGTTACTTTCTAATAAGTGCAGCGCCCGAGTAAAGGACATTCGAGGACAGCTGCCATTGCATAGAGCCGCAGCTGTTGGCTCCGTTCCTATTGTTAAGGCTCTTTTGGAAGAGGGAAAGAGCCCTATCAATGCGACTGATGGGGATGGTCTTACTGCACTACATCACGCGGTTTCTGAAGGTCATGGCGATGCCGCAATTTTTCTTTTGAAGTCCGGTGCCCAAGCAGATAAAAGAGACAACGATGGGCGTCTTGCCGTTGATCTAGTTCCAGATGACAAGGTAAGTGTGAGGCAATACTGGCAAAGTGAATAATGGTACGGAAGTTCGTCTACTAATTAATGTACTCCTAGGTCAAACAATATATCCTGCAAACTGCAGAGCGAGAAGGAATTGAACTCCCTTAATGAATTATGCTGTACACTATCAAGAAAATGCATGCTCGATAAAAGAAGCGAAATTTTGCAATCCTCGTGCATTCATTTATCCCTTATGGATTCTCTCAGTAACCAGTATCATACAGTTTGACATAGCCCTCGAGCAATATACATATCATAATTCCATTCGTCCCTGCTGATACTTCATTTCTCGATTTTTCCGATGCTCAAGCCTGGCTATATGAGCACGATATGGCGTATCGTCTTGAATTCGAACTGGTCTGCTCCTCCCTAGGGTCTCACCATCAAAGTTCAACGCCTCAGCCACAACAGAATATTTTTGCAGAGTCTCCAAAGATCCGTTGATACCCGCATCATACTGAGTTTCAAATCGTTCTCGTGTCTGAGCCCCAAGAAAATTAACATTGAGGCCGGATGAGTATTCGTGCAAGTGAAACCGCCATGTTTTCGTCTCCGTGTCGCCGTTCCAAGACACCCAAATCGACACTCTACCATCTTCATCTCTCAAAGCAAGAACTGCTGGGTCTTCACTAGAGTTCCCCGTCCAGTTCGATCGAAATCCACGATAGCTTTGAACGAACTTGTTCGGATTCGAGTCAAGATAGGCATGAAACAAGATCTTTCCCTCGGATGAAAACTCCGTGATAGCGCCCGCCTGACCCCAACCTGTAAAGGTGTTACCGTTCGGCAGAAATTGAATATTGCCCTGAGAGGTTGCTATTAAGCCATCTGGAGCAATGTGTGTCCATATCTCTGAGACAGTCTTTGTGTTGTGATTCAGCTCAATGTACCGAGTCTTGGCAACTATTCCGGTACGATGCTCAGGTTGCGCTTCGCTATTGGAATTATCAAAGAATGATATACGTTCAATCGACCCATCAGGGGAGCAGTAGCGCAAGCGAGCATCGTGCTGAAAGGAAAACTTCAAATGAGCAGGGATGTCAAAATCAGACCCGTTCAATCCACCTAGTTGCCATATTATCTTGCCGCTTGTTCCATTTATCTTAAAAATAGCCGAGTATTGACGAGACGATATGAGGTAATTTCCCTCGTCGTCTTTGTCGATGCTATTAATTGCAAAATAGCTCCAAGCGTCGAAAGCACTGCGACCAGAGTAAGGGCCATCGGATTCTAGGCTGAGATGGCTATCTGAGGAAGAATTAGCAAATGCATGTAGACAAAGGGATCCGCAACTACCTACATTCCGGACTAATATGGCCGAAGCTATACCATTCAAAGATCAATTCACTGGTCTGTATATCAATCTCTAAAGTCTCATGTTAGTGCCTATGAGATAAAAAAAAAATCAATACTCGGGGAATGAAACACGAACCCTGAAACCCGCTTGAAATGATCCATTGTTGTTCTTCATCGCCACCATAGGCACTGAGGTCTGTCAAAACTGGCAATCCTATCTCAATCAATGCCGATTTTCCATCAATTACATTAAACTCATGGCCCGACGATAAACGGTGAGATGCTGCTTGAATAGTCCGAACAGTTTGATATCGGTTATTCAGAATCGCATGATGACCGTTCATACGCACATGAGGAGCATCAATTGATCCTTGGAATGCACGCAAAACAGGTGTGCCATTGAGAGATACAACACCAAAATCAATAACATAGCCGGAGTAATATCCGACGCCAGACCACACTAGGTCTCCATTATCTCGAAATATGTATGGTGCAGGCTGCTCGGGCCCGACGGAACCTTCAATGCCTCCCGTTTTGAGAGAAACGAAAATGTATCCAGATTCTGTTTGCGATGAGGCTGGAACGGTGATATTCAGCTTTGGAGGAGCTAAGTCGGGACGTGAAAGGAATTGCCAGTCTGCGGATGCCAATTTGATGACACTCAACCAAATAAGGCCGTTGAGTATCATTTTTGCGATGTCTGATCCGTACCTTTGGCCGGGGTTGCGGAGAAAAAGATCGGCACCGGGGAGATTGGCTGCGGGGAAGCGGGAGTCGGTTATAGATCCACCACAACCTGAGGGAGGCTCGAAGCAAAATATAATACAACTCTCAGGAGTGTTAGCGTCATGATATACTTTTATTTATGGACCCCCAAGTACCCGTTGAGGTAGCACTGTATGGGTGCCCAGGTGGGACGAACTACAGGAATGGATCTCAAAATTGAGACACATATCAATACAACTTAATTATGGATCGAAGGTACTTTTTCTCGCTTTGGCTATGTTTGAGAGCTGTTTCAAATATAATTTCCATACTGTGGATACTATAACTTCAAGAAATGCACCAAATATTCGGTGACTTTGTACGGACAGGACCTTGTGAGATCTCAATTAATCGGCCATCAGCTGCGATCACGATAAATGGTTCATAATATAAGATGTATTGGATTTCTTCTTATCTTTTTCAAAGGAAAGGTAAAGGTTTGCTCTTAGTTGATCTGATGATAGCATCTGAGTAACTCACTCCTTTCCTAAAATTTCCCTTCATTATCCCGCTTCATGATCAAGGAATCTAATCCTTTGAAGTACTTCGCCCACAGTCCACCAGCACCAAGTGTTTCCAGTCGCTTGAATCGATCGTAATGGCGCACGGCATCATCTTGCGCTTCTGTCTCAACCTTTTGTTTTGAATCCGGTCCCCACACCTTCCACAAACTGGCATCAGTGTCTTTTTGCCATGGTTCTTCGCCATATGCAAAGCGAATCCAGGCAGTTTGAAGATCACCTGCTAGAACTCGTTCTTCGGCATTGAACGCGGTGTCAAAATTTCTGAACAGGTAAAGAATGTCAATTCCATGGTATGCTCGTCCGAATAAGGCATTGTGTATGCGGGAGCGCTGGTCGAAATGATATTTGAATAGTGCACCCTCGTCCCGGAGACGCTTGTTCACAATCGCAGTCTCGTAGTTCTCTTTTTTGAACACGCAATCTGCAGCCATAAAGCAAACCCTCTCTATGAGCTCTTTATGTGGCAGGTCTGAAGTGATTTCGTATTCTTGGAATACAGCATCTACAAACTTCTCGTCTCCCACTTGCTTCATGATCGTGTTTCGAACAGAGCCATACGAGTCTTTCATAAGATTCATGATGAAAATGACACCTTCATCATGTACATCACCTACCATGAAAGATTTCAGCCACGCTGGTGCTTCGGTCAATTGTTGAGGGTCATGTGCGTAAAACCATCCATCAAGACATGGATTTCCTGTACCAGCTGGCACGCCTTGAATATGAGGGTCTGCGTCCGCAAGTACTTGCTGGTCAACCTTACGTAGTTGATCTAAGGCATCAGGTGCATATGGGTCGATTTTGAAATAGCGACACGAATCATCGAACAGTTTCTCATGTCCTTCTAACGTGATCGCGCGCAGTGACAGCCCAAGGCCGGACATGCACACGGCACGATGGAACTTCATCGGATGATTCGAAGCCAGATGATGTCCAATCGATACACCTCCAGCTGACTGACCCACAACAGTTACGTTGTCAGGATCTCCGCCGAAATTCGCAATGTACTTCTGCACCCATTCCGTAGCGACCACTTGATCTGTGAAGCCAAAGTTTCCATTACCGGTAAACCCGTCTTGTTTGAGTTCTTCTCCGATCTTTGAGCAGGCAAGAAATCCACCCAGACCCAGTCTGTAGTTCATGCTGACAATCACAAGGGGAAGTCCAACAGATTTGCTGTGTGATGCCAGATTCAGAGTATCGTAAATGCCATAGTTTGAGCTGCCAAATAAAAGCGACCCGCCATGGACAAAAACAACAACGGGCAGCTTTTGATTTTGCTTGTCCAGACTATGCGCTGTCGAGACATTCAGGACCAAAGCGGTCTGCTCATCACTAACGGGCTGGCGTGTGAAAGTTGGATTTGCTGGAACTGGAATGAAAGGGTTGGTTGGGTTTGAATCACTGTCAGAGACTCGTGGCCGGGGACAATTATTCCTTATAAAAACTCATTTTTAGCTTTCACTTCATCATAGAGATATTCGGTTATATAGACTGCTTACCCCAACTGCGTGCCGTCGTGATATTCGTTCGGCCAGGATGTCTTCAATACAGATCGGGTCCAGCGTTTTTGGAGATCTGCGTATGGAATACCGCAGTACTGCTGCACTCCATCTGCATAATGCCAGCCGTCGAGTCGGCCTAGATCTTTCACGTCCAAGGAACACTTGTTTTGAGGAACTTGGAACGACATGTTGGCGCGAGCAAGAATGATCTGAGGTGAGAAATTTTGCGAGATAAGAGTGATGGCGATGAGGATTTATGCTAAGCGGTTGCACCTTCCTCGTCGATATGATAAATTGGCTATACCCTGAACTTTATGGCACGGGGACTTCAATTTCCAGGGGTCTTATGTTTATTGGATGGATCGCTCAAGATTAGCCAGATTGACATTGGAGAAAGAGTGTCACTTGATAAAAGCCCTGGTGATCCCAATGGTAGCCGTAGAGTGTTGGGAGGATGCTTGGTCGTGAGATGGCAACAACGGGAAATAAGCAGATTTATACTTTGCAGGTCTACTGTATCGAACTTACGAGTGAGACACAAAATTGCTCCGTGTTCCCCTCGGTGGATGAACCCTCGGCCCAATCTGCAGGGCAAAGATCGACGGTTATGGTGGGTCGGCATTAGACACACAGGACGTGAGAGTGGCGGGACTAAATCCATGGTGGGGGCTAAAAGAGGCATATTGTTCCTCTCAACTTTCAGTGTTTTCTCTTGTCCATTTCTGCTCGTCGAGTAGATAATTTCTGGCGTTTATTTCGAGGTTGGTTATGCGAGCAGGGTTAGCAACACTCATCTTCAAGCCTCCTTGGATAGCACTGTGTATAGAACTGGTCACTTGAAGACATCCTGTCTGAACGATTACTCAAATTTGATACAAACGACTAAGCGGTTCTTGACATTCAAAAAAAATCCATCTTATCCCCAATATAACCCAGTCTTGGTATATCGGTCGTGAGCAGAAGACTGGCGGTGCTCATAATCATATGTCAGACGAATCACCGAGTCTCTTGAAAGTAGTACTAAACAGAAACTTTAAATTGTGTTGCTTGAGGCCACTATGATATATGTTGTTCAGTTGAATGGGAAATGTCCATGTGAGCTAACTAATAGCTAGTATGTCTTTAGCATGGCAATAGACGAAGCTCGAGAGAAGGGATATGCAGAAAGTTACATTTGTTTCTTAGACTTGAATTGAACTGTCGCTAAAAATGCATTCCACCAATAATACCATGGGGCTGTTGAATTGAGATGCAGTAATGAATGAGAACCCTGATAACAATGATGCCAAACCTTGAACCTGTGATATAAAATGACAATACTAATGACTTCGCTTTGAACGCTCGAGGGCGCTATGTCTCTACCTAAATTCAAGAGGAAGATAAAACAAAAACGCCAAAAAATGCAATGATCCAGAACAAATCCAATCGATGACTAAAGCATGTCAATGTCTTCGTCATCGTCCCAGCCTAGATGTTCATAAATCGACTTCGATTGCGACTTTTCTGGAGTCACCGGGACAATAGAAGATTTTACAGGTGTGCTGATCATAACCGGTGGGGATTGTGCACGAGGTTGACTAGTTACCATGGTCGGCAAAGCGGGAGACGCAGGGATGGTGTGAGTATCAGGTGCAGGTTGCATGCCATGAACTTTTGGTGGTGTTTCCATGATCATTGAAGAAGCAGTCTTGCCAAAGGGGTTTGCATCGGGGGTAGATGTGACGGCGTCCTTACGCCGAGAAGAGACGGGGGTTGAGGGCGCCATGGGTTGACTTAATGACTTCGTTGTTGTGTTGCGGGACTCGGGGAGCAAAGGGACTCGGAATAGACCTCCTTTACTGGAAGATGAAGTTGGTCCCAGACCAGTACTGTCATCTTTGGGACCCAGATCAAACAAAAGTCTGTTCGTAGGAGGCCGAGTGGGTGTTTCGTGAATCGCTCCAAGCTCTGTCGAGGGGGGTTGTCGCCGCCTGCTCTCGCTTTGACTTGCAATGTGACGAGATTTGAATGGATCTGAATCAGGCCCAGAAAACGATATGGCCCGTCGGCCTGAGGAAGGAATCATGACTGGGGATTCAGCCAGCGAATGGTCATCCATTTCTCCGGCAAATGACTTTGACGGCTTGAGACTCCGTGGTAGCGGAGGGAGTCCAACAACTGTGTCCCTCTTACGATTACCGCGTGGAGTTGCCATGACTTGGACACCTTGTCCATGAGGATTGCGAACGGGATTCTTTGGCTTCCGTGAGCTACCTCCCCCAGTGGAAACTCGTTTGGTAGCGTCTTCTGCGATGTCCTTGGCAACCAACTCTCGGTTAGGTTTCCGCAAAGCAAGAATCGCAGCGTCGAGTTCTTTCTTCTGATCAACCAGCATTTGGACCTTACGCAATTTACTCTCATGTTGTCGTGCAACTGCATGGAGATCAACTTCACGATTTTCAACGCGTTTGACTTGGATTCCGCCTCGCACGTTCCCAGATAGTACCGTGGGAAGAAGAGGTTCCATAGAGTCACGCGTAATTTCATGTTTAGTCGGTGCAGTATTAGACCGATGCAAAGATGGGTGTCGATTTAGAGACGCCGCAGCCGCTTTTTCATCGGTCAGCACACGATGCAATGATCGTCGAGACTTTTGTGGTGGTGGTGGTTGACGTTTGACTTCAGCTCCTGGCTCAGGGCGATCTCTTTTGTTGGATTTCTTGCTTGTTGGTGAGATACCACCAGACACCCCGAATTTGCGAGTGATTAGCTTGCACTTGTCTGGCAGGCGTGCAGCATAGAACGGAATGATGACTTCGGTACAGAAGTCGCGAACAGCATCACTCTCGACCTTCTTCCCGGACATGTGACCCTCGCGAAAGGACGATGTCTTTGCTGTCTCGGCTGCTGATGTCTCCTCGTGGCTGACAGCGTGCCAGATACATAGTCGATCCAGATGCAGTTCAAGCAGCACATTCATGTCTTGTGCTTTTTTGGCCTTCTGCTTGGTTGTCGGTTCCTTGTCGTCTCCGACTTTCTGGCTGTTTTCCGTGTCCTTGCTCCCATCGGTGCCTGTCGATTCCAACGCAATCACTTCAAGAATCAACAGGATTTGTAGTTGTGTCTCACGTAGTCGAAGGTCAGATATGTGTTTCTTACTCTCAGCCTCCCGGGAACTCTCCTGTCCAGTAGGCTCCACCATTGCTCGATCTTTCCACCATTTGTGAATGAAGCTATCCTCCTCAGGATATAAACCATTCCTACCAAGCTTCTTCTTTTTGCTTTTACGTTTCTTAGTACCAGTTCCACCTTCTCCGTCAGACAAAGCGAGTAAGGCATCTCGAACAATGGCTGGGAGTGCTTCGCGGTATTTGAGATCCATCTTCTTGGCTGCCAAGATAGCCTCGCGATAGAACTCAACCAAACCAGCTGGTGACTCTGGTTTTCCACAGTCGGCTGATTGGAAAGCAGTACGGCAACGAGTCAACGGCCCCTTGGCAAAGTACGCCAAAGATGTCTAATTATATCATTAGATACCACTTCATCGTCCAATTAAACAATATTCTTACCTTCGAGATGTAAAGAGCCTGTAGATAATGATCTCGCATGCCATCCAGTAGTTCCTCAGGTGACTGCTTCGCATCCACACAGTTGGCATCTACACCAATATCAAGATCCATACCGTCTAGAGTACTGACGCCCTGAGACTCCGACAATCTATATGGAACTTCCACATCGGTATTGCCTTCTTTCGAGGCAGGCGGAACAGATGGACCCCGGTATTCAAGTACATCGACAAAAGAAGGTGCAACACTCCCCACATCCGGCACGGCCTCCTCGGCCTCCTCAAACACAACTGCAACCTGCAACCCGGCGAAGTCATCTCCAAGGCCTAGGTCAGACTGTGGTTCCTCAATCTGTGCCGTCTGCCACCAATTCAAAGCATCCGGTGGAGGAAACGCCGTCTCGTCGCTTTCCACATTCATTCTTGAAGATCCTTGCCATCCTTTTACTGCAACCATAATATCGCCCTCGTGCACCCACCGTGCCAGCCGGGTCAATGAATAGATACCCCGCTTCACCCGCTCAATAACATATAGTGATCCATCGGAGAGGAGCCGTACAGTGAAGACAGTAGGCTCTAGACAGGTAGAAAGGTCATGTTCGAGTGTAGGTATATCGGCGACGAACAAACCGCCCGGTTGCGCGTCGGAATGAGCCCATGACGCGTCTTCGAGCCAGGATAACGGTAGTTTGGAGCGTGGTATTGTGGTAATGGGATTAAGGACGAGTGGTTCATCTGAAAGTGAGGCGGCACGAGCCTAGAATGATGGTATAGATTAGATCAAAGAACTAGTTGACTAGGTATGTCTCTGGGTTTCTGGAACTCTACGGGGCGAAATAAGAATCGTTATGGATGGGTACATACTCTGATCACTATTGAATTCGTAGGTAGCTGTCCAGCAGCAGTGTCGTATCCAAACTTGCGCTTTTTGGAGGGGGGAGCCGTCTGGGGGAGCTTGTTGAGCGCGGATGCATTGAGGGGGTCTAGGACGGTTGGGATCACGCGCGAGGCCATAATCGTGTTTAGAAAATCGCGATCATTATGTGAAGGTATGCAATTCAAAAAAGGACATGCAAATAAGTCAAATCCAGAGTCGCTGATGCAATGGTGTATGAGTCTGGTGGGTTTAAGTGGGTAGATTGTTCGCGATTGTAATTGCTTGGCAGGGTTTTGGCGTCACGCGTCGAGATCAAGGCACCAAGGTTGTTCCCGACAAGTCTAGATAATCGACAGGACATTAAGTATACATCGCTCAAAGACGAACTAAAAGATAAATTTAATTTGTTTTCTATGTTTACAAGACAATAAAATGGAAATAATTGGTATCGTTGAAATGGTTTGATCATTATTCTAGTGCTAATGTTTAGATTAGCGGCCTTGCGCCCTTTCTAAGGGCGTCAAGGTGTAAGAGACGCCAACTCTTATTGACCCGAATCTTCAACCAGAGGTTTGAAATAAGGGTAATAAGATGAAGGTGATATATGGTTGTTGAAGACTTCGCTCCCGAGAAACGCCAGAAAACATCCCGTCCCAGCCGATGAAAGTGGTATCATGTTGAATTTTGTCTTCGCCGTAAGTTGCAGGGGAAGCATGCAAGGTAATTAAACAAGAGAAAAAAGAAATTTGATTGGTCCTTGGAAAGAAATAAGGATCAATCTTTTTGGAAAATGAGTTTTGTCGTTTTTGTGTCAGGTTCTATGCACGTGCTTTGAGTTGTTGAAAACAAAGCAAATCTCATCAAATTCGTCAAAACATCTGCAAGTAGACTAAACGAAGATTGTGTTTAGTACTTCAGAGTCTTGGGCTGCTCCCAGGAGAAGCTCTGGTTGGTGAAGTGACCGTTCTTGGCAGTCTGGATATAGATGGGCTTGGCCAGATCCAGGTCACGGACAATGACACCGGGGCGGAGATCGAAGTTGTTGCGGATGATCTCAACCAGCTCGTCGGAGGTCTTAGAGGAAGTACCGTAGCTCTCAACGAAGATAGAGAGGGGCTCAGCGACACCGATGGCGTATGAGAGCTGAACGAGGGCACGGCGAGCCAGCTTGGAGTGAACCAGAGACTTGGCGATCCAGCGGGCAACGTAGGCAGCGGAACGGTCGACCTTGGAGTAGTCCTTTCCGGAGAAAGCACCACCACCGTGGGCACCCCAACCACCGTAGGTGTCGACAATGATCTTACGGCCAGTCAGACCGGCGTCACCCTGGGGACCACCGATGACGAAACGGCCAGAGGGCTGCAAGTGGTAGACAGTGCGGTCATCCAGAAGCTCGGCGGGGATAACCTGCTTGACGATCTTCTCCTTGAGAGCGGCACGGATCTCCTCGGTGGAGAGATCATCAGTGTGCTGGGCAGAGATAACGACGGTGTCAACACGCAGGGGCTTGACGGCACCGTTGTCGTGAGCGTATTCAATGGTGACCTGGGTCTTGGTATCGGGGAGCAACCAGGGGATGGAACCGTTGTTACGGGCAGCGGTCATGGCAGCGTTCAGCTTGTGAGCGAGCAGGATGGTAAGGGGCAGAAGCTCAGGGGTCTCATCGGTAGCATAACCAAACATGATACCCTGGTCACCGGCACCGAGCTTCTCAAGAGCCTCATCGTAGTGAAGACCCTGAGCAATATCGGGAGACTGTTGCTCAATGGCAACCAAGACGTTGCAAGTCTTGTAGTCGAAACCCTTCTCAGAGGCATCGTAACCGATATCCTTGATAGCGTTACGGATAACCTTCTGGTAGTCGAGTTGAGCCTTGGTGGTGATCTCACCGAAGACCATGATCATACCTGGAAGATTGAATGTTAGGATCATGAACTATTTTAGGATGAATCTGACAGTCGGAAACCCACCAGTCTTGGTAGCAGTCTCACAAGCGACCTTGGAGAGGGGGTCCTCAGCCAAGCAGGCATCGAGAACGGCATCGGAAACCTGGTCACTGAAAAATAAACAATTGTTAGAAATGAAGCCCTCTATATATTATTGAAGAATTGGTTCGAAGTATTTCAGAGGGAGCTCGATATATATGCAATGAGCAGGGGTAAAGGAAGAAAAAAATAAAACTCACGCAATCTTATCAGGGTGACCCTCTCCGACGGACTCGGAGGTGAAGAGGAAAGTACCGGGCTTCTGAGCAACGGAACCCATTGTGAATTATGAAGATGGGGTTAATTAAAGAGAGAAAAGGTAGAGAATTATGAAGAGAAGTGGATGAGGGAAAGAAAGAAAAAAAAAAAGCGAAGAGAAAACGAGGAGAAGGAGAGGGGTGGTTTATGGGTAAGGAAGAGCGGGGCAAAGAAAAAATGGGACCCGGAACCAAGTGAACAATCAAAACTCTCGATTCACCGGATAACGCCATCTGTACTTTAGTTACTGCTAGTTACTGCTAGTTAACTATGCACATGTGTGAGGTACCTTACCCGTGTCCCCCGCTTTCACCGCCCCGGACACGCTGTCATTTTGCCCGGTGGAAATATCTGTCACGACCACCAATCAAAATACTCATGTGTTCACCGCCTGGGTCCACTCATGCGGCATTCGAAAATTCTCGGTTACCGATAAGCTGCTCGAGCCCGGTCTAAGAAACTTGGATCATCGTCAAAGGTGAAGAATACCTGGATCGAAAAAAAGAAAAGAAAGAAACGGATACAATTATACGCCATGTCCAAGTTCGGAGTCTTGGTGATGGGCCCCGCGGGTGCCGGGAAAACCACCTTCAGCAACGCCATAATCCAGCATCTCCAAAATACTCGCCGGAGTTGTTTTTATGTCAATCTAGACCCTGCCGCCGAATCCTTCACCTACGAACCGGATCTCGATATTCGAGACCTCATTACCCTGGAAGATGTGATGGAGGAGCTTCAACTCGGCCCGAACGGAGGTCTAATCTATTGCTTTGAGTTCCTTCTCCAGAATCTAGAGTTCCTATCCGAAGCGCTCGACCCGTTGAGCGAGGAATACCTTATTATCTTCGACATGCCAGGCCAAATCGAGCTCTATACACACATCCCTCTCCTACCGACATTAGTCCAATTCCTCTCCCGACAAGGCCCCTTGAATGTCAACCTCTGCGCGGCATATCTGCTTGAGAGCACATTCGTGGTGGACAAGGCCAAATTCTTCGCTGGTACACTTTCTGCCATGTCTGCTATGTTGATGTTGGAGATTCCTCATGTCAATATTCTTAGCAAGATGGATCAGGTTCGCGATATGGTTAGTCGCCGGGAGCTTCGAAGATTCACCAATGTGGATGTTCAATTGTTATCGAATGAGGAGGAGGATACCGCCATTACTTCGAATCCTATGGACAAGGATGCCTTGTTGAGCGGTGGGTCATTTGCTCAGCTCAATCGTGCTGTCGCACACTTGATTGATGACTTTAGCATGGTTTCATTCTTACAATTGGATGTTCAAGATGAAGACAGTGTTTCCGGTGTCTTGAGTCACATCGATGATGCTATTCAATACCATGAAGCCCAGGAGCCAAGAGAGCCCAAAGACGAGCAAGAAGTGAACTACGAGGATGAATAGATTATCGGCTCTTTGACTTTCTCGTTATTTCCTGGCACCTTTCGCTCTGTTGCACGTCGGTGCGGCGTATCTACAAACGCCGTGCGACACAAGGTTACTTCCTACCAGCTCTGGCTATCATGTCAAAGATCACTTGCACCCGCTGCGAATCTCTGCGGCGATGATATGTATCACAATGGTTTTTTTTCTACGACGGTAGAAACTGGAACGGCATTTGATTCACTGGAACTTGATTTACAAACGCAGTTCCGCGCGCGGGGCTCGTGGAGAAGGCCACATGCCCCACCAGCACCACATACAGTACGACGACTGTCCGAATCTCTCCGCAAATGATGAGGAGAAAACACAAAAAAGAAAGCATGTTATGACCAAATACCCTAATACGCTAAAGAACAATAAACCAATTTCATGAATTATGACATTTCCGATCTGTCCCGATCCAATCAATACCAAGTCCCAGAAACAAGAAACAAGAAACCCAGAATCAATAAAGCATAAGCCTAACCTTCCCCAGCCAATAACTCAACAAAAGCAATATATTCATCTCAGCCCCACAAATGAGTTACTGCGCAGGACAGTAGTACAGTAGAATCAATAGAATCCATAATTCCCTTCTTTTCCGTTCCTTTCCCTTCTAAAAGCTGACACCACAACACCCAACACCCAAATGACCGACCTTAAGTGCTAGAATCATCCATGCATGCATCTTATCCAATTTACCAATAAGCCCCACGACTTCCCCTCGTCGACCCAGATCTAGATCCTGCACCTGCATCCCGCCCCCAACCTGGACCACTGCCAGCACCACCCGCATTCGCAGCACTTCTAGCCTGAAAATCCTCCACAAACCCCATCACAACACCCCACACCCAACCAAGATCCCGTCCTGCATTTTCCACGCCAACCTTGTACACGTAAAATCCTAGTCCAAGTAGAGAGCCCCAGAAGACAAATCGGAATGCCAGCGTTACCCAAAACATTACTACGCGGCGCGCATAGTCGAGGATTTTAAGGGAAATGAAGAGGATAACTAGTAACATGAAGACGGAGATGAGGTCTGGCATTGCTGCGGTGCTTGTTGAGGTTAGAAATGTGGAGAGGGGACCGATAATGTATGGTTGGACGTAGGTTGAGCGTAGGTGGGATAGGTGTGTTGATAGTTGGTCTTGGGTTGAGGTGCGGATGTAGGAGATTGCGGGGTGTTGGAGGAGGGCTTGGATGTTTTCTGGATATTTCAATTAGTATATGCTTCTATTTTTTTGGTTCTATTTTTCTTTCCAAGTCTCTTGTTGAGGCAAGTTGAGATGTTGTTTGTAGGTTTGTGGTTTGGCTGGGGGGAATTCATGGATTTGGAAAAGTGCAAGGTAAGACGTACCTGGAAGGAGATCCATAGCTTTGATCGGGGTGTGTAAGGTATAGTGTTTAAGGTTTTGCGCAATAGGAAAGAGAAAGATATGATTATCTCTTGTGCTAAGTGTTTTGCTTTGCGGTTTTCTTCTGCGCGGGCAACTCTTTGAACTGCGATTTCTGATGCGGCTTTGTTTTGAATGTGGAGATTTGATTGACCGTGTCGTGAGCTGCGCAGGAAGGGGGAGTTTTAAGCAAAACTTGAATATAAAATGCTCTGTTATTCGAAGATGAATATAACAGGAAAGTGAAAGTTTTATTGACTGCTAATGTACGAGATGTAGTAAAGGTGGCAGTCGCACAGCAACGGCGATAACATGGTGCAAACCAAGCAAACATGGAATGTTGTTTCCTTATCGGCGTTCCTTATCAGCACTGCTTGTAGAACACAAGCACGGGGAACTATGGACACATTCCATAGCTGGATAGGCATTTTTAATGTTCAGGCCCGATCTAAATAATGGTATCCACTAGAGATATTGACACCTGATCTAGGATCCAGGATACATTGGCTGGAGTATTCATCACCCAGTTCCGGTGTCGTTGATAATGCCCCAGGACTAAGTTGAAGAAAGAAATATCAAATATGCTTGTAATAAATCGTATATGAGTGATAATGACTCTTGACAGAGTCGAATACTGTACAAATTGATTATTCATAAGTAACCAACGGAGGTCGGTATGGTCAATAGCTATATACAAGTGTGACCATTTAAGAACAGATACTCGTATTGACAAGAGTTCCAGGTGAAAAGCCCAATCCAGGCGACGCCACACGAAACAAAAACCAAAGTATTCCACAATAAATAGCTCCAAAGAGAGGGAAATATGAACTCCAAATCTAAACTCCGAAAGACCAATCGAACTCCCAATATCGAGCCGAATAAGTCCTGATGCTGATGTCGACGCCAATGTGGTGGTATATAACAATAGAAATGTGAAGAAATTAAACAAGGATCGCAAGTGATTTTACATCAAACTAAACTTAGCCCATCAGAGCTCGGAGCGTTTCGCGCTCGGCCTGAATGTCAACTTGTAGTTGGCGTGTTTGGCGCAATGCCTCGTCCCTGGAAGCGAGCGGGTTAGTCTCCGCATTTTCCGAAACACGACCAGTCATATAGATAGGGCTCGGGAGAAAAAAAAATCAAAACATACCTGTCAGATTGTAGTTGGGCCACATCAACCTGTGCGCGATTCATTCTTCCGATCACTTCTTCCATCTCCATGTCGGCGTCGCGAAGGTTCTTTTCGAGGTCCTTCACTCGCTTCTCAAACCTGTCAATTTGCACGACTTCGACGAGTGGCATTCCATCGCCGCTGGTGGTCTTGTCCAACTGTGGTGAACGAGTGCTGAATGGTGTGTTTTGGGGGCGTGGGGAGAGGGCTGCCGCAGTGCGAGCGCCATTCTTCATTCTCATCAGTTGAGCATTGTGGCTGTCTTTGAGTTGGCGAATCTCTTCCTCGTGCTTGCCCATCTCTTCTTCGGTGTACTGCTGCGCAATAATGAGGGAATCCTCGTACTCCTTCATTTGATTTTGCAGATAATTGATGCGCTCAACAGAAAGGTGCTGATCGCGCTCACCCTTGTCAATAGCTGATGCTAGGCGACCGCGCAATGAGTTGTTGACTTGAACTTGCTGCTGGACATTATAGGCCAGTTGGTCAGACCTGTAGATTGAATCGGTCAATTCGGTTGATGGCGCAACGCTACTCTCAGCATGCTGTCGATCGGCTTGCAGTTGCTCATATACAACTTCCAGTGAAGAAGAGTTCGCCATAACCTCGGCGAAGCTTTCTTGGCCATCTTCAGAGCCTTCGGAAGCAGCTAAGTCGTGTTGCTGGAGCAGAACCCGGAGAGAGCTGGTCTCCTGCTCAGCACGGTCAAGATCCATCTTGAGACCCGCCAGGTTCTTCTCGCACTGCCACTTTCCATCCAGGGCATCTTCGGCACGCATACGGAGGTGGTTTATTTCATCGCGCAAGCTTTGCACGTCTTTCTCATAGCCGGGCTTGCGGGGAGAGACAGTCTGTTGGGCGTGTTGAAGTTCGGCATCCATGATACGGGCGCGTTTCTCAAACTCCCGTGCTTGCTGGGCATGGCGATCCAAGAGGCTTCTTAATGTGCGGTGAAGAGCATCACGCTGGGCCTCAATATCCTTGACCTTGTCAACCAGTGATCCTTCACCTCCACTCTCACGATCCTTGTTGACATTCACAGAGTTTGATCGTGATAATGAACCTGACCGCGCTAAACCGCTAGGCTTACGAGCGAGGGAATTCGACCTTGAAAGGCCAAAGGCAGAGTTACGCTTGCTGGCCGCGCCTTCTTCCTCAGCAATAGAGGCAAAGCGCCCACCTTGTAACTGTGCGAGGGATGCATTTTCGACCTTGAGCGCTTCGATCTCCTCCAACAACCGCTGGTTGTCAGAGTTATTGTCTGAAGCTGACGCCTTGCCTTCTCGAAGAAGATCACGTTCATTTCGTAGTTGCTCCAATTCAACTCGCATGGCTGTTAATAAATCTTCAAAGTTATCCTTCGATTGTCGCTCTTCAAGCAGTTTCCGGCGAGTATCTTCAATGGTGGTTTCTAATTCTCGGGTCTTGGATGAGAGATCGGACAAATCCACTCTTTCACGGCGAAGCTAAAGTTCCAAAAAGGTCAGCTAGATTGAATATGAGGATGGTATGGATCCGAGAGAGGCCTTACTTGTTGGACCTGGTTTTCCAAGATCTGTACGTGAGACTCTGACGTAGTTCGCTTGAGTCGTTCTTCTTGGAGCTTTTGTGATAATTGTACTTTCAACTGTGCACGTTCTTGCTCTGCAGCCCGACGAATCTTCCCGATATCATCCTCCATTCGGCCCGCATCAGAAGGGATCCGAACAGAGCTAGTACCAGAATCAGAGAAGTAATCACTCGTACGCCGATTGGACTCAGGTCCCTCTGTTTGAAAGCGCTCAATTAAGTCTTCGAGCTCCATCTCGCGGCGGATAGAGCCGGCTAATTCGGAGCTGATTTCTCGTAATTCATTTTCTAGATCCGCAAACTTGGACGCATACATCACCTCCTGAGCACTCATCCCGCTTACCGAGGGTGTTCTAGCCGGGAGTCCGTAGCTCATGGAGGATTTAGTATCATAAGGAGAGGGTGGTTTTATGGGGACATTGGCCAGAGGAGGCATTGGTGATGGCATGGGGGACCGGCCACCATCGGAGATCTCAGTGCTAGAAGATTCACCACCAGGGGAACTTGCAGTGTTTCCTTTCCAACCGAAGAAGGAGCTTATTTTGTTACCGGGGGTCTTTGGTTGTCTGGGATCTGGACCCATGGGCATGGACATCGATCGATCGTTTATATCAATATGGAGAGGTGGCCGATTGATGGGTGGGTGCAAGGCCATACTCGAGGCACGTCGTTGGGTTGGAGGAGGCGAGGTCAGGACGGGTATAAAAGGCTCGCTCACTAGACGACTATGGAGGGAAGATGGGGTTCCATTCGTGAACTGGTGGGCGTAGTCGTCGTCAAAGTAGTCGGCGCCTTCTTCGGAGTCGTCGTCGTCCTCAGCGACAGACCTCAGAAATGAGGCAGAGGCAGCGGTATCGATCCGGAGTGGATTCGCTGGGTGTGGTCCACGGGAATATCTGGGGAAGTGGGACGAAGGTAAGTGATAAGTTTTCCAGACTTTGGGTAGACGTCGCAGCATATAGAGGCCATGTCACCATGAATCCTTCGATCAATGGTTTGGACCAGGCCTGTTCTTTTCTTTGGTGGACCAGTGATTTTCTTTGTTCCGCGGTGATTGGGCCAACCATGCGTTCCAAAAGAAAAAAAAGAAGCCAGAAGGAAGGGAAAAAAGTACGCAAAGAGGAGAAAGAAAAAAGGGGAAAACGGGTGCGGCCATTTGACACCATTGGGGATATGGCTCCACGCATACCTGAGTGAATTCCTTGGCGGTATAAAGGAGTCTTCTTCTTTGTCGGCGTTGTCGTCGTCGCGGTCGTCTTCGTAGGAGGAGAACAGGGAGGTCGGACTAGCAGGGGTATGAATGGGAGAGGAGTGGTCGGGCTCCTCGAAGTGGTCGGAGTGATCAGAGTGATGGTCCTGGTTAGACAGGGGAGAGTTCAAAGCGATAGCATGGTTTGGTAGAGGCTTCCTCTTGAGAATTAAAGGCGGGGAATTGATAGCAGAAGCGGGAACGCCGCCAGACTGGAGGGACGCCATGGTCAGGGTATATCTAAATAAGAGCCATCGATCGACAGACTATCATGCCGAGAGTCGCACGGGTAGAGGAATGGCACGCGCCAATGGCAGACCAAAGAGGAAAGGATGCTTTAGGGGGTAAAAAGAGGAGCAAGTGATAATCGGGGAGGGAGGGAAAAGGGAGATGGTTTGGTAAATCATGAAAATAATAATATAATTAAAATCAAACGAATAAATTCTAAATTATCATAAACCGTAAAGCATAAAATGATAATAAAAAGAGAAAAAAAGAGAAAAAGAAAAAGGAAAAAGGAGAAGAGAAGTCTAGTTCCACTATGGAGTCACTATGGAGTCGTGCTGCCATGCAAGTGATTGGCCAATCCGCTACAATCAGTCTACTGGTGTCAACTAGCGCCGCCAAGGAATACGCTCTGGCCGTGATCGACACAAGAACGTGATGGTCTTGGACAGTCTTGGACAGCGCGTCCAACCTTGTAGATGAGATACTGTAGTCTTTGTATGAATATTTTATTCTATTCTACTTTATTATATTATACTGTATATATGTTGGTAAGACACATGACTGAAACTGTTCATGACCAAAGTCTCTCCACTGTATCATATAAATAGAAACTGGCTTCAATAGTTTGCCTGTCAATGAACTCCAAGTTCCCCTTGAATCTGGTTGGGTCCGGACCCGCGCTAGTGACAGGGGGCGTTGGCTGTTCAGGGGTTGGACGCGGGATAAATCTTAAGTTTCCCCCTGGTACCTAGATGTATCCCTCCACCCTGCTTAACACCTAGAAGTACTTCCAAGTACCCGCCCGATACTCCCCTGCTCCCAAGGAGGTTCGTTCTCCGCATCTATGCAAGGTTCCTACCAATGCTCTATGTAGAGAGTATAGACGACAAGTTATGCAAACTTGAACCTTGGAACCTTCTACCTTGGAAGAATCCTGAAGTACGTACCCCGTAAGCATCGTATACATTCAAATGATCTTCTTCAGGTTCCAAGGTTCGCTACACTTACTACTTATAAATCCCATCTATATGATCATCAACCTATAACTATTTATGAGTATTAATTGTGGGTAGCGAACTTAATTCTCTCCTTCTCCTCGATATTCATTCACGTTTTAGATTAAGGGGAACTTTTCTCTATGGCAAACCCTCTCAAGAGGGTACGTAAACCTCCGTTCCTATCGCCCCATCGTGGATCCCCATCGTGAGCTTGAACTCTTCTCCGCCCCTTTTTCTCGCTGAACTGTTCCCCTTTCGGTCCATGTTTCCATCCTAAATGCCGACTCAGATACCTATTTACTAGTCCCTTCGCCTACCTTTCCCACCTACGCAACTCAGAACGTGCGCTCTCCCTCTCGTTTTTCTAACTGTAGTACAGTAGTGCGTTCGTGTGCCGTGTGCAAACCACCAATCATCACCCCGGCCTCTACTCTGGCGTCTCGCCCGGGCACTCAGGCCAGCGCGTGGCCCGCCACTGTTTCTTCAACAGGCAAGGTGCATCCCCTGGGCCCTGTTCCTGTTCCTGCGCATGTCACCTTAAACCTCCTCCACCAATATACTTCCGCCATGGCGCTATCTTTTCTCTCCATACACGGCAACTTACTCCATCACACCAGCTTGCAAACTTGCAAAGATGCGCTCATCGTCAGCTCATCATCTTGGAAAAGCTGAAAATTGTAACCCAAATTGTACACTCATTTCCAAATCGGGATCATACTAACCACCCCGTGTCTTGCTTGAAATCACTGAATCACTGATTCTTCACATCTAAACTTCGGCTAACCATCCAACCGATCCATTCTAATCCAACTGCAGTCTTGGCCCAGCCTTTGACCCATTTTTGAGACATGGGGTACAGTCCTATCGTCCACCGCCTCCGAGTCCACCGTCACGGCGCTACAATCGAAATGTCTCGGCAGCTCCTGAAACCAACCATGCAGAACATTCCTGTTCTTCCTGGTGGGGTGTCCGCGTCACAATCCAGACCAAGTCTGGACCTAGCGTGGCGAGACTGATGTCTTTTACTCTTACTTTTTCTTTATGTTTACTTTTTCTTTATGTTTACTTTTTCTTTACTTTCACTTTTTCTTTACTTTTACTTTTTCTTTCTCTTTTTCTTGCTTTGCGCCAACGCGCAATGGGGCCCATCCGTGCGGTATCCACTTTAGGATGACAGCGCTAACTAGCCTGCCGGCCAGGTACCTTTGTCTTCTTGGCTAGCTCTTCAAATAAATAGGAGTAATATGAGTAATATGAATAAGACTTGATTTAAACATGATTGAATAAATCATGTCTGTGTGTAACACATACTTCACCCTGGGCGGTTAGCTGTTTGAGAAATAAATAGCTGTAAGCGTCGTGGATGGGTCTAGTTTCCCGGATATAGCGGCTACGGCACTTCGGTCTTGCAAGGATATTGATAGGGCTGCTTTAGGGGTTCCACCTTGTCCTACCGTTGATAATGTGGCTGCTATAGAGCTGAGATTATTGAATCGCTGGGTTAAATACGATTGATCTATCTAAATGGCTTTTAGGGTGCCCAGGTGTGGTTGCTCTGCAAATCAGAGCACATGCTGTAGCTGCCCGTGGCTTTGGTAGAGAGCTCAGGCTGTTGACACACATAAGTACGAGGCATAATTCTATGTTGCACTGTCTGCTATAATGGGTTATACATACTATATTTGCGCCGCGAGCACTATCATTATCTAGACTCAAATGTCCACGGGTAAGTAGGGGCTCATTTATCAGTTTCAAGTTATACATGACGCAAGTACGTGGTTTGAGATAAATAAATTTAGATAATTTACAAATATACATATGTACCATTAACAAAACCACAACTGATTCAGATCTTTGTGGAATGTACTTTCTCATAACCTAGACCGGCCTCTATCCATTCTACTACTTAGTAGGTACCTGTGGATCTTTTTACTGTTAGAGATACTATCTTTGACTAGTACTAGTTATCCAGTGGTACCTCCGTATATAGATAAAAGATCAAATATTTTCAAATCGCTCTGGACCCTTGTTTGATTAATTTCCAAATATTCGGCTTTTTTTACTATAGTTGAGATCCTTGCCCTTCGATCTATTTTGAGGTCTGTGGCGGTTGGCTAGATGCATATAGTTGAAAGCCCTGATATTGAGTGGACCTCATGTCTATTTATAACTTGAATTCAAGCCCTGTCGGAGATAGGTACTACTATTCGCGCCCCATCTAAACCCCTTAAGCATTAAATTGACCCCTAATACAAGAAGCTTGGAAGTTGCTAGAGTTCTCCGGTGCTAGAATATATGCGTGTGTATATTGAATTTTTATTCATTGATCCTATATCACAAGGCGCCTATCACACCATACGCTACAGCTTGAAACACGATATATAGAAAAAACAGAAAACAAGACATATAATCTCAGTCCCCCCACCCTTTAAGCATTGCTCGTTGCACATGACACATATCGACAGGCTTTACTTAAGCCTAGTAAGGAATGAAATCAAATCTCATGCGGTCTATATCAACTTGTTAGTAATGCAACTAGGAATATTTGAATACAAGTATGTATTTCTGGAGTCTTACCAAGGAAATGGTTCCAGTTCTCATCTTCACTAAGTTGATTGGCCCAATACTGCTCGAGAAACTTCAAAGACTGAAGCACATTGGGAATTCGAACGGTTTCATGTAAAGATGCGAGTAACCTTCGCACCGTGTCGCGATCTTCACCGCGCGCTTCACAACCAGCAATAAATAGCGGCGTCGTAAGCATTACCCACGGGCTGAGACCAGATGACGGGCCAATTGACGCTGTACAATCCAATATACGCTTGACCGAATGTTGCACTTCAAACGACGTAGTTGGTGTTCTGCGAAGTCGGCGATGGATCTGTATAAGCGCACTGTGTTGAAATGCTTCATTGCAGAGCGCAAGCTGGTTGACACTTTCCTCTGTTAACCCTGCGGCAACATCGGGATATAACGAGGGCTTTGAATTCGCACCGCGGTCCATAAGCTGTCGTATAGACATCTCTAGTAACGCAGCATCATCCTCAGCGTTATTTCCAATCTCCCCCTCGACGAACCCCTGCGCCGCCTCTGCCTCATGATTGCGCCAGGCAGCAGCGCCAATCTGTCGAAACACAGCGGCAAGATCCACCGTAAATCCCCAGTAGTCATCCAGGTAATCTGGTGACTCTCTTTGACTTGCTAGACCTGAGGATACAAAGTCTATATTATCGCCGATTGGCGGGCCATTGCCCGTTAACGCGGTCAATGATACAATAGACCAATACCAACGATCCAAGTATCGACGGAATCCATGCCCTGACGCAGGCGAGTTTTCTTCTCTATCTGTGGTTTTCATCAGTGCCCGCGCGCCTTCTATATGCGCTCTCCAAGAATGTGGATTGATAGCCCCAGAATGAATCTCGGCTAGACAGAGTGTCCGCGCAGTCGCCACCAACGCCTCAGAGCCCTTGACCGATGGATCTTGTAGTTCCTTGCGGAAATGTTCTAAGCTTAGAGCCATGTACCGCGCTATATCCGGTGCTGTTTTCACACTCTCAGACTGATTATGTAGAGCCTGGAAATGTATAGCTGATAGTGCTGTAGTGGCGTAGAGTAATGAGGGAGTTTGTAGAGCCATGGGGACAAGCATCCGACAGATATCCTGCTGCATCCCGGAATGGCACGCTGTGATCTGAGATGCATCATTAATGAAATGGTGAAGTAGCGCTTTCTGGTCGGGCGATAGGGAAGAGAAGGGATCGACGGCTTGTGTGAGGGCGAGATCTGTTGAACCTGACTCCGAGAGGTTGGACTTGGACTTGGTAGTGTAGATGAATTCCCCTGGGGAATATTCTGCAGGCTGTTAGCGCGCGTTCGATCTGCGAAAGGGCCTCTGATAATTCCTTGTCATCTAAAACATACCTAGTCTTTGCATGCCTCCCTTGTCTACGCAGGCGCCAAATCGCGATCGTGAAAATGCCCGTCCTCCCCACTGCAGCTGCATTGCATATTTGCACTGAACACTAGCGCTCGAGCACCGACCGCATGTGGGTCTCTGTTCATCACATTTTTGGCGGCGCGATTTACATCTTGTACAGCCTGTAAACGATCTCGACATTGGGTGCTGGAGGGGTGTTTTGAAGTGGAGTGTGATTTTCTCCGGTGGACAGAATTTTTGCGGGGAAAGAGTAGACCTCCCCCAAAGTCTCGTGGCAAATTTGGGCGGTTCCGGGGAACCTCCTTAGTGGTTGATGAGTAGTTGGGGATCAGATAAACTTTGGACCTTTTGAGTTTAACGAGGATTTTTAGGATCTGGTCGAAGAAGTCTTCTCGTTTGTTTTGGACAATTTTTTTTTCTCAAAGTGCAAAGCGTTAGTACATTGAGTCCCGGTAGCGCTATCTCCCCTCGTGAGGGATCCACCGATCAGCGGGCTGTATCAGCGTAGAACTTGCCAATGAGAATATTCGATATGATACTGGAATTCTATTGCACAGGTGGACTCGGAGACGATAAGAGTAATCGGATGCGCTATGGCAATAATACACAGTACATGCCAGAGAAAATATGTGTATATGTTCAACCCAACAACGGGGAAACCTTGAAATCCCTAAAAAAAAGAAAATAAAGGAAACAAATGAAAAAAAAAATAGGGCTGATGCCGCTTCTAGCCGTCAAAGGTATACCGCAACCATTCACCGACAGCGCGTAAGCTCTCCCATCGAACAGACTCATCTGTATCGGCCATTAGTTCCATGATTCGGGTCTTCAGACCAGCGCGTTCCATTTGTGTACGCTTCTCGGGAACCGCTTTCACCAAATGTCCCACGTCATTACAGGCAATAGCCAAAACCTGCTTGTCGTTCTCCCAGCTCTTAGACAAGATCTCAGCCAGTTTCTTGGGAAGAGCACCGTTATTCTCCTCCAGAATCCGACGGGCATTATCCTTCCAAAATGTGACGTTCTTGTGTGGAGGTGACCAGCGTAAATGTCCGGATTGGACTTCTGCGGAATATTCATCAAAGGTGGTCTGGGTTTTGGTGTATTCTTCAAGCATGGCGGACAGCGTTTGGAGATCCTCGAGAAGGTCTTCATCAGTCAAGTGGCGACCGGAAAGCTTGGTCAGTTGAACGGGTAAGCCGACAAAGACTGCCACGGGGAGGAGAGTGGTGCGGTTGTCGGAGAGGAGGTTCAGTAGAGTTGCAAGGAGAAGTCGTGTCGTCTTCTCTTTCTGAGAGATAGATAGTAGATGCGTATAGAGTTGAATTATCTCATAGTTCCTAAAGAAAGGTAAGATGATGTTAGAGACATGGTATTGACCACAGTTGCAGATCATTTAGGAACTTACTCTTGTAATTCCTCACCAACAAGTTCGCTCTCAAAGGTGAGCTGCCACACTACAAGAAGCACTCGGTAGAGGAGCTGAATACCAATACCTCCTGCAATACCAGACTCGGTGCCGCGTGTGCTGCCCGCTGCCCCATTGTCCTTGATTCCCGCGGCAGTGCGAAGAGTATCAACTAAAGGATCCAGGGTTTCTCTGCGATGATTCCAAAAGATCTCACGAGAGCGCTGAGTTCGAAGCAGCTCTGAGAAACCCTGTACACCAATGTCTTGCAGCCCGCTGTCGTGGTTTTTGGTCAGGGTCGAGAGGTAAAGGTATAGCTGTGGAAGAGCTTCATCATCGCGACGCGCAGGCTTGGATGTGCGAACAAGACTGTGGGACACAAGAGCCGTAAGGAAGGTGGAGGTGAGGAGGGGAATAGGGTCTTCGGCATTTGAGGATTGGTGCAAGAATGGAAGGAATGGCTTATACGGTTCAGGGTGGGAAACGAGCGCATCGGCCAGTGAGGGAACGTCTATAAAAGAAAAGCCCATGTTTGTCAGTAATCAGATCACAAGTGTCATTGCATTCCTCGACATCAGCCACATACCGTGAATCAGATCCGAGGCTAACACCAAGATATATTGTACAATATCTGTCCTTCGGGAAGCCGACTCTAAAACACTCTTGCCCTGTGCACCACCAGCAAGCAGACTTGTATAGCCGGAAAGGTCTGCTTCTATTGTCTGAATGCGCTGCTCCTTGCGGACCTTGTCCACGGCCTTGATCTTCTTCAAATGATCATCGGTGATGTTGCCCGCCCGGACGGCACCTTCCCAAGGAATTGGCCGAGCTCGGATATTGTTTTGGAGGGAGCTGAGATACGTGGGCGGATCCAACGACATGGTGATGAGAAGCCCCCAGTAGGATGAGGGACTAGGCCGTGTAGGTTTATAGGGGAGGAGGGGTGGAGGTTTAAGGTAGGAGGGAGAAGCTTGGGGGGATGACGGAAGCTTCTGCCAAGACCGACTGGTCCATCCCAACGGATCGGAGATTCTTGCGTTTCATCGTGTGAGCCTCTCCCCTCTCTTCTTTCCATTCCCTTCTTTTGCTCCATATTCTTTTGCTATTCTTCTTGAAGGCTGCCGATCTCGCCGAGGATATTGAATTAACCTTCTTTATAATCCTTACACGTTGTGCGACGCCGATTTGGCAACGTAGTCGGTGGCTTGTACTTCCCGTCCTTAGCTTTAAATTCGACCTTCGATTTTCCGTTTTCAACCTTGAGCCTGTCAATTTCATTGCCTTGTACTGGCCACGATGAATTGACATCTACATACACTGCGTACTTATCATCCCATTTTCGAATTCCGATCGTTGTCGAAGCGCAGCCCCCGCCGAACCCCATGCAAAGTGAACACAAAGCGTCCACAGCCCCATAGTCCGAGTCGCATTATCTTCCGCGTCCGATACCATGGCGCAAAATCCCCAAAACCCTACCAAGCCCAAATGGGGCGTAGGGTCTCTCTTTCAGCAGGCAGTGGCAGGTGTCGAATCTCGATTGGATCATATTCTGCTGGACGAAGAAGAAAGACAGAAAAACGGGGGTGCGAATGCCAACGCGAAACCGCAAGATAATGAGACCAAAAACACGCCTATTACGAGGTCTCCAGCTGGCTGTAGGGATATCACATATAAGAATTGGACGTAAACTTTGCTAACCCGGCTTATAGCCATCTCCCGTAGTGCCTCAAATGCGCGAAGAAACGACCGGCTCCAGGAGCGCCTAGCGCGTGCCATGGTCAAGTCTAATGCAGGGAATTCGATATCACAATCTTCACCGAGCCGCTCTTCACCAGCTGCTAGCCCGAGACCAAGCAGCGACATGCAACAGAGCATAGACGTTGACTCTAATCACGCATCATCGATTGCCGAAGACACCATAACCTCCGAAGTAAATGCGCCAAGATACAGCCATGACTCCGATATATCGAATCGGATATCTACAGAAATAAACATTGCGGAATCACTTCCGCGGGCTTCAAACGACATGGGTGAACAGCCTACGAGTCTTGAAAACGCGACCGAGGAACCTGAGCAGTCGTCAAAAATAGAAGAGCCACCAAATAGCGAGCAATTGGAAGCCCGTAACTCAATCGACAGCGCACATATCAACGTGAATATTTCCGGGGAAATCGACTCTGATGTCGACAAATCCCCCGAGGCTCAGCGACAAGACGAGATACACGAGTATATTGAACGCATTGATGCACTTCAGTCTAAGCTGAAGTACCTCGCCAAGGAAGCAGCTGAATCTGCTAAGAATGCTGCCGCTAGTGCCTCACCAGGGAGTGCCAACAAACAATTACTGGAAAAGGACGAAAAGATTGCTTTGCTTCTTGAGGAAGGACAGAAGTTGTCCAAGTCAGAGATGGACCACCGCACGGCCATTAGAAGGCTTCGTCAGCAGCTCGCCGACAACAGTAAATCCCAGACGGACATGAAGAAAAATAACGAGAAGATGGAACGAGATTTGGCCAATTCGGAAGCTCGAGCAAAGCGAGCCGAGGCCGCAGAAAAGAGAGCAAATGACTCTCTGTCAACGCAGACCAAAACTACTAAAGACTTCGACGCTGTCTCAAACGAACGTAATGCGCTCAGCCAAACAGTCTCTGAAATGAAGGCACAATTAAGTCGAGCTTTAGCCCGAGCAGAAGCTGCTGAGACTAAAGCTCATTCGGACGCGCTAGATCAAGAGAAGCGGAAAACAGATGAGCTTGAAGAGGAGTTGTCGACTTTGAAGATCGAGCGCGATATTAGTGAGGAGAAGGCGAAGAAGGAAATTGCCGAATTGAAAGAGAAGGCCAACCAGGAGAGAGAACGTGCTCGTATGCTTGAGACGGAGTTGAAGGGCGAACAGTCAGTACTGGAAAGCAAAATGGAAAGCCTTCGAACACGGGCCGAAGAAGCCTCCTCCGGTGCGACTGGAGAGACCCAAGCCAAGCTTCTGCGACAAATCGAAACCCTGCAGACTCAGTACTCTGTAGCTAGCGAGAACTGGCATACTTTGGAGGGCTCTTTACTTTCTCGACTGGCGAACGTAGAGAAAGAACGTGATGATTTGGGCCGAAAGGAAGCGGAATTACGGAAGAAGATTCGCGAGCTGGTAAGAATATACGTCCCTTTCCTCCAGGATTGACCAGTTTACTTACCATGATATAGAACCTCAAAACCAAGAAACTAGAAGAAGACGCGGAAACTGCCAGAGAGGGAGAGCTAGAAATGAAGAATACACTGGAGGAGCGGACCGGGGATTTGCAGAAAATACAATTGAAAATTGACAAGGCAGTCGAAGACCAGGCCGCTGCTCAGAAAGAGCACGCGGAGCAGAAGAAGGCGTGGGATGCGTCGTGGGCGCAAAAGCTCGAGGAAGAGCGGGTTAAATGGCGGGAACAAGTGAACAGTCTTCAACAACCTCGAGGTGTATCACCTGTTCAGTCCCTACGACGGTCGAGCAACCTGAATCTCGATGCTATACCATCTGGTCTTTCAGATTATCGTCCTCCCAGCCGCCGGTCTTCCACTATGCCCTCAGCCTCACCCGATATAGGGACACCCCCTCGCCAGAACTCCTATCCGGCTTCGATCAACCACGGGACTCTCTCTCCACCTCCAATCAACACAACCACAATTATGGAGACTCCTGCAATCACATTCGAGCCCGATGAGTTCTTCGGGTCTGCCACACCTGCCACACCATCCATGTATGAAGGCACCCAAGCGCCTCCATCGCGCGGCATAAACGATATCATTTCCGAATCGACCGTGGGCGCAGGCCCGTCTGTACAGCTAGTGGAGCGCATGAGTGCTACGGTTCGCCGTCTTGAAAGCGAACGTGCTGGCTCCAAGGATGAACTTGTACGTGTCACTGCACAGCGTGATGAGGCTAGACAACAAGTTGTGGACTTGATGCGTGAACTCGAGGAAAAGAAAACCTCCGATTCTCGTCTGCAAGAGCTCAATGACCAGCTCGCGGAACTAGACCAGCGATACCAGACTACTCTTGAGATGCTGGGCGAAAAGAGCGAACAAGTTGAAGAGCTTCATGCTGATATCGCAGACTTGAAAAAGATATATCGGGAATTAGTGGACAGCACCATGAAGTGAGAGAGATGAGATGTAATTAGATGCATTGCTACCGAGCCTCGGCTTTTTATTTACGTATGCAACCGAATGAGCGTTACTTGCTGTGTATTACAATTGAGAAATCTAAGTTATGTATATAGATCTTTTCAGACAAGCCAATTTATCGAGCTTATTCTAATGTCCATTTCGCCGCCTTATGAAGTTGCCGGGGTTTGTACTGTGGTGCCGGAGTTAAAAAGCACAAACCCCGATCGACCACATCAGCATCACCATCTTTTTAACCTCAGCTGCCCCACTGCACAGTGCAGAGAACATGGTTTTTCCAAGCCCTGCTTGTATGACATGTAAAAAGCGACGTGTGAAGGTACTGAATCATCACTCCAATGGCACTAATAAACTAATTTCCTTTACATAGTGTGATTCCGCACGACCTGACTGCAATCGCTGCCACAAAGCTAATAGGAAATGCGCCTGGCAATCTGACCAAACAGAAGATTGGCCTTTCAGAAGTGAGAATGCATTTGCAGAGGGAAAGCCGCGCCGCCCACGCGCACGCTGCGACAACCAGTGTTTGCAGATTGTACAGTCTCATCAGTCAATTCCGCTTATTACCCTGCCTTCATTGCCACTGGAAGTCTATGCATTGAACTACTGGGTAGCGAACTTCACTTCATGGCCCGGGGATTTGCAAGAAATACAAAGCGAGTATGGCGCCTGTGCACTCCGTTTTTGGGAGGACTCTCGGAAGGATTCAATACTTCGATTGGCTGTTTCGGCCTTTGCATTGGCGAAGTTTGGAAGGGCTGTGCGTTCAAGTGAGGCGCTTAAAGATGCTGGTGTCATTTATGGCAAAAGCATTAAGAGGATGCGCTCGGAGATTATGAATCTATCGAGTGAAATGATTGATCCTTTACTCATTGCTACCTTGTTAATGGCTATCTACGATGTACGACCATACTCAGGATGAAAGACTTACCTGCCAGTCTCATGCTAACCCGACGCAGAATATTATGCACCCGGACAAAGGACAAGGGACTCTTTCCGCTTTGTACTCTGAAGGGAAATCCTTGATACCTAACACTGGCCACTGCAACGGCACTACGGGACTAATACAGCTTCGAGATCAGAAAGGATGGTGTTCGGATTCTTATATAGATCGAGTAGTTCGACGACCAGTTGTCAGTATATCAAATTGTGTTTTGCTAGGTGATATCAACTGACATAACTTACTAGACACGATCTTGTATTATTCGAGGAACTCCAGTCCCCGAGTGGCTCCAAAACCAAGCAATTGATACCGAAGACCCGGTCGCAATGCTTGATCATCTATACGTCCAACTGGCCCATGTTCGATCTCAGTATTTGGGGTTTCAACTAGAAAACACGGAGTCTCACATTGAACAACTGGATGCTCTTATCACAGAAGCCAAAGAGCTACAATTTGCCTTTGAAGATTGGGTCCTTTCAGTTCCCGACCAGTGGAAGTTTTCGGTCATTGAGTTCAAAGATACTGGTAATCTTAATTCGCGCAACGCTATATATGGAGACTATTATCATATATACTCGACAATGGAGCACGCGACTATCTGGAATCGATACCGTGCTGCCCATATGATTGCTAGCAGCACTTTCATACGGGTTCTGCTCACAATGTCTGCGATATTGCCCGAGGATCAAACATTGGCTGCCAGGGTCCAAGAACAAATGTCTAAAATTGAGTCATTGGTCTCTGATATGTGCTGCAGTATTGCATTCTTTCTCGTAGCGGGTAAAGACAAGGGCGCGGGTGATTTGAAGCTGTTCCATAATGAGCTAACACCAATGACAGCTACTTTGTTAGCTTGGCCATTAACACTGGCTGTCAGCACTAGTTTTGCACCAACGGAACAAAAACAGTGGATAGGAGAAAAGATCCAGCTTATATCTGCCGCTTTGGGGACAAATATACTGGGTGCAATTCCGAAAATGACCACGGCCTTTTGAAAGAATTAATTTCAACTAAAACAGAAGTGATTTCTTCTTTTCTCTCTTTTGCTCTACAATTCAAGATTGTAGCTAGAAATGAACAATTAATTATACGGTAATTAAATGGGAAGAAATCAGGAGTGTATCCAACTAATGGTTATATTAATGTCCAGAGTAGAGACTGGGTATTTATCATAAATAAATCACCCTAAAAATGACCAGCTACCGGTCTGGCTTCATATGGCTCCTCAAGGTACTTCACCTCTTCGTCTGTCAGTGTTTTCCCTTTTAGACCACCCATGTCTTCCACCCTATCAACTGAAGTGCAACCAACAATTGGAATAGTCCCTTTACTCGTGAGCCATACCAGAGCGACATGGCTCATATTCCACCCCTTTTGGTTGGCCACAGTTTCAACGCGACGGATTATAGCCTTGTCGCCTTCAGTCATAGACGAATGGTGATAAGATGGGCGCTTGGATCGAGTTGAACTTTCGTCTTCGACGGGGCGTCCCAATCGTCCAGCAAAAAGGGGCGACCAAGGGATAAGGCCGACGCCAGTTTCTTTACAGTAACGATTCATCTCCCGTTCTTCTTCGCGATAGCAGAGATTGTAGTAGTTTTGCATGCTGATGAACTTTGTCCAGCCCTGTTGCTCAGCAAGGAATTGTAGCTGAGCAAATTGTGTGGCCCACATGGAGCTCGCGCCGATATAACGGACCTTTCCTGCTTGAACCAGGTCATGTAACGCCTTCATTGTCTCTTCTGGTGGAGTGAGAGGATCATAACGCTGGATTTGCAACAGGTCGATGTACGTGGTTCCGAGACGGGCCAGTGATTGTTCAACTTGATAGAAGATACCGGACCGGGTCAACCCTGAAGTTATTAGCATGGGTATTTTCCTGTAGTAAGAAATATTTGACGCTCACCTCCTTGATTGGTATAATCCTTAGACTGGTTCATCTGGTCCGCAAACGCGGCACCGATAACGTTTTTCTCTTCGCCCACATGGAATCCACATTTGGTCATGATCACGACCTTTTGGCGCGGGATGTTGAACTTCTGGATAAATTTTCTGATGATCTCTTCACTCTCACCATTGGAATACACGTTGGAGGTGTCCCAGGTATTGATCCCACAATCATAGGCGGCCTTCAAGACTTCCATGGAGGCTGCTTCATTGAGGAGCCAAGGTGCCACTGGCTGCGGTGTGCCGAACGATAATGCGCCCAATATAGGCAAAGAAACTCGCAGGCCAGAGGAGCCAACCTGGGAGTACTCGACTTTGGTCTCGTCGACTGACTTTTGGAGAGAGGGCGGCAGTGGAATTCCGTACATCGTGCTGGTGACTGATAGAAGTATGCAGTTCAAGCGGACCCAAGAGATGGATTTGAAGTGTTTGGAGGCAAGTAAGAACTGAAGAAGGGAGAAGGGCAGTTGCGATGTAAATGCAGATGCAAGTATACAGACTACAGACTTGTTGATTCTGAAGTAGAAATATTGATTCCAAGGTTGTAATGAAATGATTGAAAATTGGAGTCAACCATTCTTTTTATATTCATTATTCCTGACCTGGCTGTACCTACTCACGGACTTTGCAGGGCTTTAGGTATCCCAAAAGCCGTCGATTCATACATCTCGCGGGTTTTTCTTAAAGGAGTATAGCGCGAGAATCCTTTAAACTTGGAATTAGAGCTCGCGGGTTTATCCCAATAAGTACTAGCGTGGGTGAGGCATATGGCCCTCACGCGGGACAGTTCGTTGCTTTCTACGAAGAGAAAGAAAACAGCCTGCCCTGGCGGTGGACTGTCTGATATTGAGTGTTGAAAATGCCTTACGAGGTGTTTCGTGAGCCGACCCCAGATCCACGCCGGCTTCCTAAGCCTTGTCAATCAATGATTTCCTCACCCGAAGGGGTTCGCCTGTGTAAGATCATAAAACAAAGGCTTCTCTTATCGATAGTTATAGAAAATAACGCCGTAACTATATGTAATGACACGCAATGTCCAGATTGAATAGTATGGCTAATAGAAGAGAGAAGATGTAACAGATTCAGATTGCTCCGCAGCGTGACTTAAGAGATATCGGGTCCTGAAGGTGATCACGAAATGAATCCCGGCTCTTCTGATTAGAGTATCAGATTTACCGAATCGACTGGTGTTTCCGTGAGCGCAAGCTAGTCTAGCAAACATCTGATCATGAGCAGCCACATGGGAGAGTGCCTGGCTTGGCTTCTGGGCTTATCAGAAGCTCTTCCACTTTAAGGACTTGGCCGTCGATTCGCCCGCAAGACACTCAGCAGTGAGCAAGATCTCGAAACGTATGATAATTTTGGAGTGGAAGAACATGTCCATGATATAATTGCCCAACTATGCAGCAGCACGTGACGAGCTCGGCCCCGGCGATGGAATCCAGTTCAGCAATCATACGAATTCCTTGAGTGGGAACGAGACTACCGAACCAGATGCAAGCCAGCTGTCGAGCACATCTCATTCACGGCCAGACCAGATCTGCATCCATCGTGCCGACGGCAACATGAACGCGCTATTAAGTACTGTTGGATATAAGCCGCCCCACAAGCTGCTTGTCGCAATTGATGACGCCATTTATTCACTTGTCGTAGTATGGTAGGAGGTTTCCATTAATTAGCCGATGCATCATAATCAAGCCATAAAAATGCCGCATCAAACTCATTTGGTATCTCTGGCAAATCTAGTAATCCCATGTCTGCAGGGGGCCTGCTCAAGAAGTCCTGCATCATAGAGCTCTGAAGAACCATTTCTGTCGTGAATTCGCAGTGCTGGAAGTCAAAGGTGGGAGACAACATCTGTGAAACATCGTCCAGGCAGGGTTGGAGCCCACTCCTCTCCGGGCCCAATGCCTCACGGTGTGTTGTTTCTTGAAACGATGAAGCTACATCTCTGGGTTCATCAATATTATTGGGTTCAGGTATATCTTTCAGAGATTCTCTGTTGTTGATGCATCGCTGAACTCGCAAACTGTGTTCGTACAGATCCTTCGCAGCTATGTTATTGGAATCATTGAGAACTTTAAGCATCTCCATGGATGTCTCAAATGCTGCCAAATCATTGTTATGGCCCATAGGCAAGAGACTTGCTATAGCCAAGACTAGTCCCGATGAAAATAGAAATGCCGGGAAAGCGTACCCAAATATGACGAGTGATCCACTTGTCCATTCTTTTAAACATAGTCTTAACGAATATCGTGCAGCGTTAATACATGCCTGGCTCAATGTCATCAATATACGTTTGGACTCTTCATCTAGATGCATGACAGACTGATGCTTTTGGTGCTGATTCAGAAACTTGAGCAGCACAGGCCTGATCGCCAACACGACGCACTTCAAAGGATTAGAATGGTGAGCACGTTTGTCTGGAGATTTCCACTTACATAGTTGAATTGTAAGTGTAAAAGTACTATATGTTTTGAATTCGCTTTATCGGTAAAGATCCTTAGGGATTCTGGAAGAGAGTTGATCCACTGTTGTAAATAAATCAAGATTCGTTGCTCACGCTTCAGGAAGTTTTCGCTCGATTTCTTCTGGGTGTAAATCTCTTTCATCATGCACCCAGTAATCTTTGCCAGCTCTATCGCCGCAATTTGATATGTAACTTCTGAAAATTGTTCGCCGTAATCTTTAAATGTGAAAACTGATGGAAAATCGACATGGATATCATCATCATGGATTTGAATAGGGAATCCCGACTTTGAGCCCCAATAGCGATCGAGGATATAGATTGACCACCATATTCTGATACGATGCTCACGTTCTACAGGGCTCAAGTTTTGGCTGTTAGGCATGTTGATATTTAGCCCAAGACTTAAACCCAGCCTCAGTGCATTGCCTATAAGAAGATAGGCTGAATTGAATCTATTGAGAAACTGGCAAAAGTATGCCTGTAGGATATTAGCATGTACATGGCGATGGAAGGGTGTAGACTAGATGAATATTGTTCTTCGCGTACCAAAAGAAGCAAACTCTCAATATGAATCATGCTAGGCCGTTCTGGAATGATTCGGAGTAAATCCAAGGCTCGGACAAAGTAACTTGTTCCAGGAACCATTGATGAATCTGGAGAGATATGAGGGGCAGAGTAAACCTGTCCTATAGCAAAAAGGGCAAAATATTTGCACTTGATGCTCGCATCATCGAAGCTTCCATTCTGATAAATGGTTTTCAAACCATCTAGTGTTTCTTTTCTCAGAACCAAGTGAAATCCTGGGTTGATGTGACCAAGGGCTGTTTTGATGAGTAGTTGGGCGTAAATAAGGGTCGGCCATTGTGTGTCTATTTCAGCCTGGGATGCCAGCTTTGAATCATGTATATAATTGCGCTGTGAAGCATAAAGTCCTGGTGAATCACTTGGTCTGAGGCATTGGCATAAACGCGTGGCAAAGGCGATACAAGCAGCTTCGTTGATATAAACTGGAAGAGATGAATCTTTTGTTTGAAACCATACTTCTTTATCAACCAGATTAGGTGCTGGAATCGAGTTTGTAGGCTTGGAAGGCCTCGAGTAAGAATTCACACTCGGCTCAATTGATCCTGCTTGGTGGTCATTTTCTCTTCTGGCATGAAGCTCCTGGCTGTCTTGAACAAGCTGCTCCAGGTAGCTTTTATGAGTTTTCAGCGAATTGTCTTCCTATCATATCTCCCGAGAGATGAAAATCGCACCTTTCATCAATTCGAACCTTGCGGTCACGATTGGCGTAACTGCATTGAGCAGCATAGCCAGCTTGTCGGCATCGCGAACATGGCTTCCCTCCAGAACACTTTATTTTTTGCGAATGGCATCGGTAGCAGCTGGCGTGCGTTAGTATCAATAAACCCCATGTGTGATAACGGTTTTCTTACGCAACCGATCTCTTCTGAGATTTCACTACCGCTGACCCATCGATCCGGAGAGAATCTCCTGATGTTGAGAACCTTGAACCTTCAGAGCGCATATCCTTAGCATCGAAGGAGCAAGTTCGACTGTCGAATGTACGTCTGCACTTTATATTCCTTCTCTGATGTGCCGCGAATTAGGACACAAATTAAAACTTCGGCTAATTTTAAGTTTGCCGTAAACAAGTGGAGTTCGCCGACTGCAACCGCGCCGGCATTTTTCAGGCTGGCCGTAGCGTACCACCGATCCTCTACTTCAAGTTCAAGACCAAACGAAGTTAAAGTAAGGACTACTTCATTTATAATTTCGGAAATTCAACCATTTGAATTATCATCGGTCTCATACAGCATTTGAATCATGACAACCAACTACATATATTCATACTTTCGGGTCTCAAAGTTAGACGCAATTCACGACTCCGTTCAGAAATACCGAGGTCTTCGTCTAAAAGCCCTCCAGGCATCTCCCGGCTCATTCGCTTCAACATATGAGACTGAATCTGCATTACCAGAATCTGAATGGATGTCACGCTTAACGGCTCCCGGGCGCGAGACTTTCATTTGTGCTGCAACACTCCATCATAACAGCCCAACTCGATCAGATACCACAGAATGGATTGGTCAGCTTACGCTTCGTGGCCCCGTATCCGCGCAGGACTTCACATTGCCTGTTGAATCTGGGCAACCGGTACAAAAGTTAGATGAGGAGGAGGAACGTTGGCAGATGCTAAGTTTGTTCACACTGTCTGAACATCGTGGCAATGGGCTGGGTACAAATTTGTGTCGGGAGGCCCTCGACTACCTCCAAAATTATCAAAAATGCCCTCAGGCTGTGCAAGTACGTCTTATGGTCAAACCAGAGAACCAGGTCACGGTAAAACTCTATCAACGGCTCGGGTTTGTTAAAGCAGGAAAGTGCACACTTGCAGAGGCCCTTATCGCAAACGGAGATAAACATCTTTTGCCCAGCGATTTAAGCTCTCCCAAATGGTCTACTCGGCAAGGTCTGATCATGATATTTAAGATACTTCGCGAATAATATATATAGAAATGAACGGAGAACTATAGAATCAACTTCCGAATAATTCAAATGCCCTTTGTATATTTAAAGTCTAAGTGAAGGTGGCTAGGGTGCCGCCCCTTTCTCTGTCATAATAAAGCTGGAAAAGATATGGCTCCAACCGTGGACTATATACTGTGTACTAGAAAGAACCGACTGCTAATATGGTCAAATTCACAACTTCTTGCCCAATGCTCTCAGCTTTGACCCCCAGATCCATAGCAGAAATGGCGTGGGTACTCCAAGAGCAATGAACACAAACGCCAGCAAACTATTTCCCCATCCATATCCCAGCTTATCATACATCTGCGGTGCAAAGATCGGGAAGGCGAAGCCACAGATGTTTGATAGCATTCGACCGGCCGCATTCGCAGACGCCGCATGTTCAACTTCATCAAGCAGATATGCTAACATTCCTTGTGCAAGTACAAAACTCCCACATGTATAAATCACGGCTCCAGCATCAACAAGCACCCATGACGTAGCTTTCTCAGCAGACCAGCCATACCAAAATAAGCCAACGGGAACTAATATGACACCGGGTGCAAGAAAAGGGGCCCGAAACTCAGGACTTGTTTTGCCTTCGTTCTTTTCACGAAGTTTTCGGTATATCCAATCCATCGTCGGTCCCCCAGCTTGGGTTGCAATTGTTGTTCCAATTGCGAAGGCAATATAGTTGAGGCTGCTTATTGTTTCGCTCTCATTGTATCGATCGATCCATAAACTGGCGTAAGTCTATAACATTAAGCAATATATTCCAAAGTTCAGAGCTATAATTAAAGAGACAACTTGAACGACTGGTCTATTCACCATGAGCTGTATTGGTCGTAGAATATGAGGCTTCATTTGAATGAACAGGTCCCTGTAGAAGTTTATTCCCCACAGGCTGTGTCTTAGCAATAAAGCATCCTTCCGCTGGGCCAAGGCTTTGCGCCGGAGAAGGGCAGGTGTATAGCATTCAGTGAAAAATAAGATACCAATCAAAGTAATTGCACCCTCGAAGAGTGAGAGAATCCAAAAGGACCACTCCCACCTTAAATTTTGGGAGATAACGCCACCCAGTATAGGTCCTATTGCCGGGCCTAGATACGGGAAGAAGGTTGCGATGGCGAGTGACTTTCCTCGGTGCTCTGCCCGGTACATATCTGTGAGTACAGAAGATGTAAGCTTTGAAGTCAATTTTGATTGTTAGCTCTGTATTATTGCCAAGGAAAATGCTGCGTTTTTCCCAAAGATTCATATCATACCGTGACCCCAACGCTAGTCCCAGATCCAGCCATGAAACGCCCAATAACCATTAGCGCCTTCAGATGCCCAATGGGACAGACCGAACTCCAAAGAATGTACCATACGTTGCAAAAATCCATACTCCTTTGCGGCCGTACATTTCAGAGAGTGCAGCGATGAGGAACGGGGCAAATGCAAGTCCTAGAAGAAAGATAGAAAACGTTATCTGCATCTCGGAGGAACCCATGTTCAGATCTTTGGCAATTGACGATAAAGATGGGGCTATTATACTTGTCGTCATAATAGTAACAAGTTGACCCAGGGAAACAATTATTGCGACCGTCATCTTGCGAGCTGAAGACCAGTCATAGGGATTTCGTGGGTCTCGAGGTCTATCCCATGTGCTCTGTCTTCCATTAATATTCAAGAACATTATTCTGAGTGTATTGGACTTTAAACTCACTCCATGCTTTGTCAATAGTTTAGCCAAAAGATCTTCGTGGTATTTTTGGTCAAGTTCCTCTTTGGTAGACTGTATTGTCGTGTTTGTATCTGATGCGAGCCCTTCCTCGGGCTCCGAGTGGATCGCCATTGTAAGACAGAAAAATAGAAAATAGTTAAAAATTGGCTCGATCACGCTATTTGGAGACTTTTCTGCTCCCGCATATATACCAGTTTCAAATTCAGTCACTATTTCTGTATATGATCGTGTTCTTTATAATCCAGATTGTGCTGGCTCTAAATCCGAGCTCCGCGTGCTCCGAGCCCAAAGCCGATAATCGCCGTCGCACTTAACATGCCGTTTGTAGAAAGTGTCAATCCAAGATACAAGTGTCTATCGTGCCATCTCGGTTGAATAATATCCTTCCTTGGGCATGTTTCACAACCAAAATTGCGAAACCTTGAAATTGTCAACTTCCATCATATCGGATAAGGGACACACACGGACAATAATCATGACCCGACCGTATTTGTCTCTCTTTCTTCTGAACAGTATAAATGTACATATTTACTCCAACTAAGATCCTCATTGCGTCTTTACATTAAAGGAACAATTTTGCTTTCGATTGGATATTGGATGAAGATTGACCAGCGAGGATTTGGACGGACATCCTCGGATCCTTCCGATGTCTGGAAAGAGAGGCTTGGTATATTGACAGCTGATGAGAAGGAGCAGATGGATGATTGTGTAAAGATGAGGCTCAAGGAAATGAGACAAGGGATCATCTTACTTGGGAGCCAGATGATTACACGCGTGATTATCTACAAAAGTGGCCTTTGAATGAGTGAGGGCGCTATGGCTGAATCAGACTCCGCTTATAGATCCCTTCATATCGTGACTTTAGGCTTTCGTTTTCGTTTTCTGTTTCTGTTTCCTTTTTTCTTTTTTTTTTGCAGCTCTTCTGCTGGGAAGAGAGCGAAGCAATATGACAGAAAAAGGCAAATTAATTGTTCACACTCCATCTCCATTGTAGCATAATGTGTAAATTGGCCAGTGCTTGTGGCCCAGGTATAGCTAGCTACGTATCTGCGATCGGAAGGATTTTAATCAACTCGTAAATCCGATTTCCCTAAGTCCGGACCTCTTAGCGCAGCCTGTAGATCGCGGAGCCTGCTCAGTAGGAGAATGCCACCCATGGGCCGAAATTTATCGGGGAGCTTCAAGTATGATTTCTGACAGTTGACAAATCCAGAAGATCGAAGAGTATAAATGGGGTCACAGTATTCTACATTTTCTTGTGGTAGAAGCAACAACCATTGGCCCTCATCCCAAACGCATTGACGAAATTTAATATGGCGACCGTCTCAACCAATCCTTATAATGTGCAAACTTACCTTTTGGACAAAGCCAATATTTATGACACGGTTGTCCGAACAGTATGAAGTCCGACCTTAAAATTTATTAGAGAAATGACTAAAACATACTTTAGGGGCACCTCTTCGATACCTGTACAACTGCATCAACAATAGAATCTGTCTACACGCCTGAAATTTACCTTGATTACCATTCAGTCTTGGGCTTCTCTCCTGAATTTATGTCTAGTGAGGCTTGGGCTCAACGGCTCAATCAAATCCACGAGCCATATGATGAAACGCAGCATCTTGTTCAGTGAGACTTCCATTCCCGGTTTCCCTGACCTGAAGACCGAATTGCAGCTAATTAGACTCGCAACCCATAGAAATATTCTCGTAAATCTCCCCCAGCCCACTGGCCAGCGCATGTCTTTCCGGCCAGAGCGCTGCGAGGTTTTGGCGTATGCGCAGGGCTGGTTCTACAATCGGGACTCAGAGAGATATCCGCGCCAAATGGCGAGACGCCAAGGAGTATGTCAATTTATCAAGGTTCCACTGCCATTTGATTATCATGCTTATCCATTCTTGAAATTTAGGGAAAGTGGAAGCTGGAGGTTGTCAGATTGCAAGAATTGGAAGACAGAGGAGAAAATCCGTGGCGAATCAACCGACAGCAAGTGACTCTAACATGGCAGGACAGAAGCGGGCAGTAGTCTAGACTCCTTGATGGTGGCGGTAAGACCAATACTACTACTAGTACGAGATCATTTCGCGAAACGTTCTTTTTTTCCCGACGTTATTTGAGTATATAGTTAATCGGGTTCAGCAGAGCGCGAATAGAGTCAGTGACTACCGTATCAGTATCCTGCCATGGGCCTATAATTTGAGGAAATCGCACCTCTGACTCTCCCCTCATAGATTTGCTTCTCTGTAGCTATACCATAGATTCTCCTTGCTGCATTTATGATACTTTCGGATTCCTTACATGTCTAATACAGGTATCTTTATTATTTCCCCTCTTTTTCAAATTTCCTCCCCGCAGCGGTTCAGCTCCAACAAGCCCTTCGGCAAAATTTCTCTTTCTCTCCGTGGCGTGCCCTAACCTGGCGATTTCATTTCCCATTTTCACTCACTCGGTCCAATTGTCGCAAATGTATTCAGACAACCCGAGACTACATGGTCTTAAAGTTTCTTTCGCAAGTAATATTACGCATCTTGATCATGTCTGTGCTCAAGCTCAAACTATACTTTCTGAGGGGAACGGGCACTACCTTAAAACTTTTTGTCACAAAAGAAATGGATCAAGTTACCAATCGAGTAGTAATACATGTTTTCAAAGCCTACGGTATCTGAGGCTTACTAGTACTAGCAGTGCCTCCAAGGCTTCATGCTTACCCTAATTGGGACTAGTCGTAGTACAAAAGTACATGCACAAAAGTGGGGGGTGCGAAGTGTCACGTTCAACTTGAAGTTCTCCTGAAAATATATTCGTGTTCACTTATTTGAAGCCCTGGAGCCTTTGAAAAGAAAGAGGAAAACGAAAAAGCAGATCGGAAAGAAATATACTAAGTTACAATGAGTTTCTTCTCTTTGCAGATGAGTAATCTTCTTACAGGAGGTCCGACAGATGCTCAGATATTCCTTTCCCTCGCCCTCCTGGGTCTCGCTTCTCATATGTTCTTTATTCGTCATCGGAACGTCGACCGCTTGGTAGGGATAGGCTTCATGCCATATCTATATGTCCAATTTGGGCTATGGCTGCTTTTGTCCATTCGCAGTGATCCTATCAAGTCAGGGATCTTTCTTTGGCTTGCCAATGCAGCCTTCTACGCACCACTCTTTGCCAGCATCTCTGTCTATCGACTATTTTTTCATCCATTGAAGCCATTCCCTGGTCCTAGCATGGCACGATTAACAACATGGTGGGGAGTTAATAGGCTTGCGATGGGAGAGCAGAGGTACCAACTCCACGATGAGCTACACCGTCAATATGGAAAATTAGTACGGATAGGTAAGTATATCCACATTGATGCTTCGGGCCTGCATACTTATTTAATGTATCTTAATCAGCACCCAATTACTTGTCGATCAATAGCCAGGAAGCTGTTGCGATTATTTATGGCCCTGGTACCAAGTGCGAGAAGTCAAATACATTTTACGGCTTGCGGGATGCAAAAAGTCTACAGCTTGAGGCGGAATTCACGAAACATCGAGCTCGCAGACCAGCGTGGGACAAGGCCTTGAGCGCCAAAAGTATGTACATACGACATGAAACAAAAACATCTGATTTAAAATATTCTCTAGAAGCTGACTAGCCCGTTAAGGATGTGTGGAATATCTCCCCAAGGTATATCGCCTGACCGATTTGATGATCGACTGTATCGCCAAAGCAGACGGGAAAGATGAGAGAGGCGTTCTTATCAATCACTGGTTGAAGTGTTTTGTATTCGATATGGTGGGCGATTTGGGATACAGCAAATCATATGGATGTCTAGATTCTGGCATGATTCACCAAGGGCTTTTGGAGGTAGAGAAATTTCTGTCAACAGGAGTGCTGCTATCGCCACTTCCATGGCTAGTTAGAATTATAAGCAGTCTTCCCGGCTTGCCAGTCCCGATGCAGGGTCTTAGAAGCTTCGCAACACTTAGTCTTACCGAGCGCAAGGCTGCCAAGATAGAGTCCCCGGATGTGTTGTCTTATGTGTTCCGAGGCAAAAAAACCTTGACTCCCGAAGAAGAAATCGAGGATACCATGATGCTGCAGATTGCCGCTGGTGACACGACTCTTTCTGCCTTGACCTTCTGCATGTATCATCTTGCGATCAATCCAGAAATCCAACTCGCTCTTCGCAGGGAAATTGAGAATCATGCAGATGCTACCAAGTTGACCTTTGAAGCAATTCAAGATCTTCCGTTGCTGGAAAGCGTCATTAATGAGACCCTCCGAGTTCATCCAGCCGTTCCATCTGGTTTACCACGCTTGGTTCCTCCAGAGGGCCTCTACATTGAAGGTACATATATCCCTGGTAATACCACCGTCAGCTGTCCGACCTGGACTATTCAACATAGTAAGTTTAGCCAATCCATATTTGTCGTCTTTATTCATATATCCCAACGAGTCATTAATTTTATTAGGTCCCGAGAACTTCGCCGACCCAAATACCTGGAATCCATTCCGCTGGATCAAACCTTTCGAAACCCATAACCCGAAAGCTTTCATTCCATTTAGTGTGGGGCCATTCAACTGTGTAGGTAAAGCCTTTGCTTATATGGAGATGAAGCAAGTCCTTGCAAGGATGGTGACTACCTTTGAATTCCAGCTAGGTTCAGCGGAAGATGGAACCAGGTTAATCAACGAAAGTCAAGACCACACAGCCATGTCTTGTGCCCCCTTGTGGTTGAAGATGAAGACAATAGTTAGGGAACAGTAGTTGTGTATGAAAACGTGAAATATGAGAGGTTGATTTTACACTATATGAATTATTTTGATCAATATCCTCTACCTCTCCAGATCTTCAGTGCGAGATCTTCAGATAAAAGTTGTGTTGATCTAGTATATCGGTTTCATCCAGTTTTAGGTATGCTCCATACAAGGCTCATGCTGGGGGGAACTTCGGTTGTTTCCGTTTGAGTTGAGACTGGGAATATGATCCTTGAGGGGTGTTTGGCCCAACACATTAACAATAGGGCATCCGGACATGCGCATGCCTGTAATACTATCTAGTAATTCAAAACATATATGACCCTTCACTCAGGCATACCATTTGTCGCAGCTATGCTGAAGCCAGGGCACATGAAGCCAGCCAGTTATAATAATCAAGATAAATGCATTTGTATAACTGTGTAAGGTTGAGACTTGCACGGTAACTTAGCGCAGAATAAATCTAACCGCCAGGTCCGGGCTCCATGCTCACAACCAGGGCTTCTACTTAAGTTCAAAAAAAAAAGAAAAAAACTATACAACAGTCAGGATTTGCACATAGTCACCCACCATACTAACTGACCGGCATATAACTTAAGTACAGCTAAGCGGATAGGAAGCCCTGTTCTCCACACCCTGTGGTCTTATTTACTGGATTTCTTACAGAAAGAAAATATATAGAGACAATGTGCGCTTGACTGAACCCTAGAGTCGTGGCTGCAAATTCAGGGGTGCCCCAGCCACCCATCAGGTAGGATAAACTTTGCCACTTGTGGCCTCTATCGAGTACCGTACATAGTCTCAGGCCCACACTGCTGACAGGTTCAACATCAACAAATTATCCCCGCCAGGACGACTGGCGATTAGTCCTGTGAATCCAATACCTGGATTCACCTCAGCAATGTCTCTATATATAAAAATGCCCCTCCTGCAGAACCAGATCCGCCTGCTGACTCTTTGTCCGCCGAAGGATCATCAAGATAGCCTCATCCATTGCAAGCTTGAAGTCGTGGATCTACTTGCCAATACTCCAAATGAGTCGTTCTATGCTGTTTCATATACATGGGGTGCGCCAGCTGTATACGGAAGATTCAAAAAGATGACCAGCGAACTCAACTGCCCCATTATCTGCAACGGGGAATCTATCTGCGTAACTGAGAATCTAGTTTCTTTCCTTGAGCGTGTTCAAAAGACACCATCTTTGTCGGACAGACAGTTCTGGGTCGATGTTCTCTGCATTTGTCAGGAGGATATAGATGAGCGAACTAGTCAAATCATGTTGATGGGTCGTATATACAGCTCAGCCGAAAGGGTTGTTCTGTGGATGGGTGAGGAAGACTCATTTACCAGCATAGCGTTTGCAGGATTGCAGAGAATCTCCGATCTTGTCACAAACAACGCCCTCATTGAAAGCCCAGCATACCTTCGTGGAGGTGTTGATCACTTAGGGCTACATGTCTCGGACAAAGAAGCATTCCTGAGCATTGGTAAGTTCTTCCAAAGATGTTACTTCAACCGAGCTTGGACGATCCAGGAAGTCATTCTTGGGAAAGAAGTCAAGGTGTTGTGTGGTGGGAAAGTCATTGACTGGGACGTGCTGGTGGTGGCATCTCGGTTCTTTTCACAGACAGGCTGGAACACATTCTTCAGCGCCTTGTCGACTCACTTTTCCGAAGAACCCCCATTGCCATCATACAGCCATGTGCCTGTTATCCTTAATTCTATCAGACGTGATCTTCCTCGTCAACATTGGACTACAAATCTGTTGTACGCATTGCACAGATCTCGGGACTTCAAGTCCAGTGATCTGCGGGATAAAGTGTACAGCCTCCTTGGTTTGGTCGAACAATCTGTCAAAGGCAAGGCTCTTCTAACACCTGTATACGGCGCTAGAGAGGTTGCTACAACCTATATCAATGTAGCCATCCAACTTCTACAGGATGGCGAAGACCTCTTTCTACTATCATGTATAGAGGGCGAGCTTTTTCAACGTGTCAAGAACCTGCCATCCTGGGTACCTGACTGGACTTGCGGAAAATCGACGGGGCTGTTGATTATTGGATATGGGCGGTATTCAGCATCCGGGAATACTACTCAACGGCCTCTTATTGATCATTCAGCTTTGAAGTTGTCACTCAGAGGCAAAGTGATTGATACGGTAACTCTGGTCGGGGAGGCAAAACACGAAGTCCTCGATGGTCAACCATTCACAAAATGGCTCGAGATACTCGAATCCCTACCCCCGTGGTATCTTGATATCCCTCAAGATGCGGGGGGTGAGTCAAGACTGGACGCTTTCTGGAGAACTCTTCTTAGGAATACCACAGGGAGGCCCCCCAAATTGATACCCACGTGCAACATTGAGCTTCGGAGGTCATTTGAAGTATGGATTAGAGAGAAGACAAAGAGCTCACCTCCCACCTCTGAATGGGAAAATTTGAGAACATGCTTTTCGAAGCTGGTTCAGTCTAATGAGATGGGAGCAACCACGGAGGAATTTGAATCACCCAACAGCGCTGATGATACCGACTTTGGGATAAGACTCGCTTGGGCTAAGCATCTCAGACTTTTCAGAACCAAGAGCGGATATCTAGGACTTGGATCTGAATGTGTTCGAGAAGGAGATTCAGTTTGGATTATACCATCTTCTCGTGTGCCGCTAATTCTCAGACCCGTCAGAGGAACTGACCCAAGCTTACAACGCTACCGACTTGTCGGTGGTACTTATCTGCATGGTACCATGCAAGGTGAGAAGATATGTCCCTATTGTAGTGGAAGAAGCGAGGATAAACTTGAATCACAGTGGGAATCAATCACAATAGAGTGAAGCATCATGTTAGACAGTGTGGGAGTAATACAGGCTACATTTCTCTCTCAGTGCACGCAACGATGCCATTTATAACATGTGTCAAGAATTCTCCTTCCTGTAATTGTAGATGCTCACATCCTTCTTGGCTTTTCATGTTATCAATGAAGTTATCGAACTCCCTTTCAATAAAACGAGCCAAATCATGATCATCCCGAGCTTCCAGCAAACGCAAAGTATTTCCTTTCAGCTCTTTGCTCGGGTATAACAAGAAGAATTTAAGACCGTATGATACAAGGCTCTGCCGTACCAGCCTATGAGTTCCTATCAATAAAATTTCTTTTCTAGAAACTCGGCTTAATATGTCTTGCAAGTAGTTTTGCGGGAACTCAGGGTTCCTGTCCCCAGTGGACAGCTTGGAGTATGATGACGTGTCCAAATCAACCAGGGTGTATCCGTCAATGGTTGCAGACGTTTTTGCTAGAGTCGTCTTTCCAGTTGCTGGGAATCCAGATACAATGATCGCTTGTTGCGTCGCCATAACTAATTTGCCGATCTTCAAGTGAGGGTGTGAAATACCGAGGGCGTTCTCTTTACTCAAGATAGAGCTAGCATTCAAATATTAGTTCTTATCGAGAGAAGTCCCACAACTTAATCAAAGCAGTGAAATTCGTCAAACTCACAATTATGTAAACGTGGCCGACCAGAATGTTAGCATCTCGCAGAAGACGCGCAACAGCATGTAATGAAGTGTCTTTGGTTTTCGTTCATTTTAAGAAATCTTCTCTCCAGATAAAATTGATAAATTCTATAAATAAAATGACAGCTGTCAAGCTGGGCAGGTGTCAGCATTATCAAATCCCGATGGAGCCACGTTGAACCTATCGATAACTCTGAATTCCATCTAGTAAAGACGATTCTACACATACCAATCCGTATTGAGCGTCATAAGACGGCTTAAAGTGGATACAGCCCCTCATAGCACCTTAATCCGCCAATCAAAATACGCACTCGGCTTAAATACCCATACATGTACGAAGCACAGCAGCTCCCGCCCCTGCACCTTTCTTCCGTCCTGCACCAAGTCAGTTTCATCTACTCTACTGCCGATGTAAGTCTCCGAAAAGATATCAGGCTGTCTCCAAATTTGTATATTTCACATTCTTAAAAGAAAGGTCTCTTCATTTGCAGCATGGCCGCACAGCTTTTCGAATTGCAAACAATCTTGTCCTAAAATCTGTAGATCTCAACTCTCACGAAGCCCAATAACTTCGTTTTATTGCAACTGATATGACGATTCCCGTACCAAAGGCTGATAATGCGTGTTATTATTGCGGTCGTTTCACGTCAATCGTGATAGATTACATGCCTTGCTGGAAAGCGACTTGATGAAGCTTGAGATGCTTTGGATCCTGGTCAAAAACTCTCCACTGCCGATAAACTTGACTCCTATATGAACCGACTGCGCTGTCTGAAGGGTGAAAGTATCGGGGCTGTTCGAAAATGCTATCATCGAACGGTTTTTAACAATCGAAGGCGGCCCATTTTATTCAGAATGACATTTCAATGAGTCTATCCTGGGGGAAATTGTCACGGTGAAGTCAGCACCAGATTCACTACGGCATTATGCTAAATTTGCACTCACGGATAACCACGAGATTTCTTTCACTCGTTATGATTTAGCCCCGCAAAATATCCATGTTGAGGGCGGCCACTTCACCGGTATCCTCGACTGGGAATATGCTTGTCGGTATGTATCAATCTCAAGTGCTAGAGTACACTCTGGCTCTTCGAGAGCATTTAATTTAAACATTTGAGCCCGATGTCCGGCTGGCCAGAATATCTTTTTCCTATCATCTCACTCAAATATGAGAAAGAATATACTGGGTTGTTTTTTTTCTCGTATGCTTGATAAGCCTCTAGTGTCAGTTGCAGCGATCAAGTGCGAGAATTCGCACCCTATGCATTAATCACGGGACCATGTACTATGCAATTTTTGTTTAGTATAGTATATGCCAAACTTTCACGGTTGGGAAGTGACGTCTTAGTCGCACAGGCCCCAACAAAACAATGTGGGAAAAGAAACTTGATTGTTCTAGCAAGCCTGGAAGGGAGCCTTCACTCGCGATCCTTCAACCGCAATCCGGGCTCAGGGAGTTACCTCAGTTAAGTAGTGCCCAATGTCGATCTGCCAACAGAAAAATCTTAAATGAACATATGCACAGCAGTGAATCCTGCCTTTGTAGAAACCGGTTTCTCAATGGAATAAGTCACTATTTAGATAGTACCACTTGAACTAGATAATTCAAAGCTCAATATGCCGACTGTGTAGGTTCCGACCCTTGATGTTTAAGATGCATGCTTCTTTCAAGAGCTCTGGTCACGTCAGCCAGGGTTTGCTATCTCAAATACGCATTTCAATCAAATTGAGAGTTTACTGGCTATCTATAATGATTACGAAGCCAATTGCCATGTGTGTCAGTCCTTGCAGCCTCTCGATAGATTAACGGAATTGGTAAGACTTTGGAAATCGTACTACTATAAAAGTAATAGTATCTTTAGCTGCTGTGGGTTTAACATGGATACGGGCCCAATAGGACTATCTGGTGGTCAACCCACTCAAGATTCTCAGCTTCGGTCAACCTATTCCGTTCTGCTGACTTTGCGGTTTTTGGAAGGTTTCTCAAAGATCGCCTTTTTGACTCCACATGGATTGCCATCAATGTTTATGTATTTGAAACGGATAATGAGTTTGATCACAGTCATAATAGTAGACTTGGCATGTATCCACTTTGGCTGTTTGGGTACCCTCGCAATCCTAGCTCATATTCAGTGCGCAGTCGTTACTCCTTTCATGGATGGAAACGTGGTAGTGGAGGACACTTCTTTACACCAACACGCTTGAAAAATGCCTCAGTCACGCGAACAGACCATGATCGGGCACTGGGGGTAGAACAACGTTGCACTCTGGGCACCTGGGGGATCCAATGGTCGTGTGAAGTTCATATCCACACGCTCCTATATAAAGGTCCCCAACATCGCCTTCGTTCTCTGGAATATCAGCTTCGAACATTGAGCCAATTCAAACCTTTCGATAAGAAGATATCCCAAGTCAAACATGTGGGGACATTTTTCCCTTGGAAAGGCCTTTTTCTTTCATAGATACTAATTTACGGAGTTATTAGTCTTCAAAATGCGCTCATTCATCCTATCCGGTGCCATGCTCCTGGCTACTCTCGTCAACGTGTTTAATGCAGCCGCACTCGACACCCGGGCTCAAGATTCTCAGTGGGCCAGCTTCTGCAATGACGACGCCTGCAGTGACAGCTGCGGAGAATGGGTTGCTGTGACAAGCGCCGGCTGTCTTAATGAGTCAGGCCGGGGCTCCTTCAAGATCAAGGGAGCCGCCTACACCCACGTCGCTTTAATTAAGTCCTCAGGAGCGGGCTGCCCATGTCAAACCTTCTCACGATCGTGATCTACTGACAATGCTCTGGCGTCTCCTCATCCCCCCTCCACTGCCGCAAAATCAACGCCGCCGGCGATCCAGTGTGTCATCTAGAGAAGGTTTGCGGACAGAGTAGCGCAGTCTCCGCAGTCAGTCAAGCAGAGCTTACTAATATCTCCCGGTCAAATGTTTGTAGTGGTATCGCACCATGAGACTAGACTCATTATGGGCGATTTGAGCGACCTGTGCAGCGGGAAAACACAAAATTCAAGCCAATCAGGATTTAGTATTTTTACTGCCTAGCTCACCACTACTAGTATCTATAATATAAACTTATTAACTTCATATATAGTATAACTACAGTAAATTATAGAGTCCTAATAACTCCAGCTCAATGGAAGAATATCGATATAATATCTATATAACTATGGAGCATAGCGTTTCTAAGAAAGCCAAGGCCGTCCATCGTGTGATATGTATGAACTAGTGTAAAAAATCGAAAAGGATAGTAACTTTATGTGTATTTACCTATAAGTATCAAAGACGGAAAAAGAAAGAAGGGAGGAAAGCTCTCTTACGTTATTGTACAGAAAGGAGAGAACGGGGGGGGTTGTAGGTTATGTGATAAGCACATGACCTAGCAACCTCAATATCTTCTACAAATGTAAGAAACTGAAAATTTGAAAGGGAGAACGGAGAACGGAGAATTAAAACATGCTGTAACAGTCAAGGGACCCTCTCTGTTCCCTAAAGGTACAATCCCTGCTCCCCTGAGGACCCTTAGGCTCCACCTTATCCGTCCCGATATCAAAGTATAGGGTAAAAAGATAGATATTAGAGAATAGATGTGGGATTATTTATCAGCATAAGCATTATGCTTCTTTCCTTTTTTGATGGTCGATTTGCCTCCCTAGTCCAATATCACACGCCCCTTGAATCAAATCTTCGTCGGGGTGTATTCAATCTAATATTTAATCTTGAGGAAGCAAGGAACTTGGCCAATTTAACCGAATTAATGTCTCAACGGGATTTGCATCATGTAAAATCAATGCGGGGCACAACTACAAACAGCAAAAGTCCGCAGTAATGCAACGTTGCGGAGTGAGTGTGGGGTAAAGATCAGCAGTCCGGTTAAAACCTTCATTTATTTCACTCAGAACATAAGCTGCTTCGAGAATATACAGCAATTGATCATTTAGCCGTTGACTTGCAGATCTTGACATACTAGTATATAGATCTCCTTCTGTAGGGACAAAAAATGTCAACAAAACAGTTGCCATCAAACGCGAGTCGTGAGGATGTGGTCGCATGGGCTTGCATTCGCCCTCTGCGTCTTGATAGCTTATGGTCAAGATGACAGCCTTGGCCTTGGTGATGGATACTTAAACTTTTCAACTTCCAACTTTGACTTGAAGCTAGTCAAGGACTCTCAAGTTCTTGCTTCCCTGAAACCAGCAGGTGATACTTTTGACTTCCTGCCTTTCGACTATATTTCTTACAGAGCAGAGAACGGTCAGTATCACAATGGCGACGTCACATACCGTTATCGTCTGTCCGGAGCAACAAAATGGCTTTCAGGCGATTCAGCACAGGACCGAAAAGCTGTAGGCAGTGTTGAATCAAGTTCATTGGCTGCCGCAGATCTCAAGGCGACACTACCAACAGACTCACCAATTCAAGTTACGCGAGAATGGCTCGACTTTGATGGTGACCTGGGATTGAAGTTTACCCTTACCAATAAAGGAAGCAAAAGCCTAGAGATTGGCAGTCTGGGTTTCCCGACCGAGTTCAATAGCATATTCACGAACCGCACGGCTGAAGACATGGCTGCGAAATGTTCGCTAACCGATCCTTACATTGGGATGGATGCAGGATATCTGCAAATCACACCGACTTCAGGTACAGGTGCTGCACTAATTGTTACACCTCTTGTCAACACTAGCACTGGCTTGGAAGCTTGGAGGAACCTGAATGAACTCAATACCGTTCCATGTGAATATGGAAGTCAGACATTTGAAGGTTTCTATGAGTGGCAGGTACATACAAAGGCTTATGCCGAAAATGAATGGTCTGGGGTCACGCCTTGGAACCCGCCCAGCTCACAAATATTGGAGTCTGGGGATTCCACGACATATGGGCTCCGATTCTCTATTGTCAAAGATGGGATACGAGGAATTCAAGAAGCAGTACGGTCTACCAATACTCCTATGACAATTGGTGTACCGGGATATGTTGTTCCAAGCGACCTGACAGCACAGTTGCATGTTTTCTATTCGGACATTGCCAAAATTGAATCAGAGGATAATGCCTTCGAAATCAAACAAGACTCAAGCGGCATAGTAACTCTGGTACCTACCGGCTCAGTCTGGGGTCGAACAAGGGTGACCATTACATACTCTGACAAAAAAGTTCAAACAGTCCATTATTTTATTACAGACTCTGCTCCGGGGGTTATTAAAAAACTTGGTCAATTCAGTACTACATCGATGTGGTTCAATGATACGAGCGACCCATTCAAACGAGGTCCCTCAATCATAACTTGGGATGATTTGGTTCAAACCCAAGTTCTCCAAGAACCACGAGTCTGGATATCTGGGCTGAGTGATGAAGGTGGTGTTATTTATCTATCTACTGCAATGAAGCAATCTGGTCTTGCAGACGAGTCCGAAATTGCAAAGCTGGAACAATTTGCTTCAGAGACCCTGTCGACAACGATCCAAAACTCAGACTTTACTGTTCGCAAGAGTATATTCTTCTATCAACCCGGCCAGGTTCCCGGATATCAATACGACTCTTCAATTGACTGGACATACTCGTGGAACAAAGATGCATCTTATGCTACAGATCGTGCGTACGACTATGTTCATGTTCTTGGCGCCTATTGGGCTCTTTATCGTGCGGGAAGATACAACGATTCTCTCCTTAAGATCAACACATGGCAGTGGTATCTCAGTCAAGCATACAACACTACTATCACTTGCTTTGCGACAGACTTGTCTGCAGATGGTAACATCGGCTACTCCCGCCTAGGCTTGATGGGAGAGACTGTTGTTGGCGAGGTACTTACTGACTTGCAGCGAGAGGGTTGGACGGATGAAGCGAATGCTGTCATAGCTTCTATGAAGCTTCGGGCTAATGCATGGAACTCGGAAGATGTTCCTTACGGTAGCGAGATGGCCTGGGATTCTACAGGTCAAGAGGGAGTTTACTATTGGAGCAAGTAAGAACTTTTCCACCTTAAACTTGACTGTACTCCTTCTAATAACATCACTTCCGTCCAGTTACTTTAATCTCACCAGCACGGCAACGAAGACCATCAACAGTATCATTGGGTATATGCCGACTGTATCTCATTGGGGATGGAATGGGAATGCTCGACGCTACTGGGATTTCTTGTAAGATTTCCTGTGACTTCATTGAAGACCATGACTGATTGATTTATTAGGTATGGCGGAAAGTTAGAACGAATCGAGCGCATGATACACCACTATGGGTCTGGTCTGAATGCTCTTCCCCTCCTCTCCCAGTTCCGCCAAAGTCCCAATGACACTTATCTTCTTCGGGTGGGATACGGCGGGATCACTGGTCCTCTAACAAATATCCGACAAGACGGATCTATGTACAACGCCTTCCATTCGTATCCCGATACACTTCGGGGCGATTACTACTCTGGAGATTACGGCCCAAACTTCCTTGGAATGATGCTCGGATCTGGCTGCTATATTGCTGATGATCCAGATCTAGGTCTGGTGACGTATGGTGGTAACATGGATCAGTCAGGTAGCTCTATTACGGTCCAACCTCGCGATGCTTTGCGTCAGAGAGTATATATTGCTCAGATGGGTGTATATGTTACTATTAGCACTGGGCAAATTTCGGAGTTCTCATTCGATTCCTCCGGTGCAACATCTCTTCGATTGAGCATTGTTCCTGGTCCAGCTAAAGCCTCTACTGCTGTTGTTTGGGTTGAAACTCCTGGAACAACAGACAACTATGGAATCGCGAATGGTAAAAAGCTAAGAGATGGCTGGAGTATTGATCTGAACAGTGGGAAAGTTAGCGTGACAGTTTCTAAGCTGTGATTTAAGAGGTCTCATATGAAAGAAATTTCAGTTTTCTTGAATTTCTATTCGCGGATGTGTACACTTTAAGATGAAGTTCGACCCTTTGTTACTTACACGCACGCTGGGGATCCCTGAGCAAGTAATTCCAGAGATTTAATCCCTTCGGATTTTCTAACGAAGTTATGAAGCCAATCAAATTCCCAACGACAGTGGCGTTCAAATTGCGTTGAAATCAAGTTCCGACTACTTATTTAAGTATCTTATTGTTGGGATTACAAGGTAAAAGTGGCGGCTATAATCGAACCAATTAATTGATTTTCTCGGGGTCTAGGCAAACTACTTCAGGGAGAGTGGCGACTATGCAGGTCGACAGCTTTCATGGCTCTCGGTCGGGACCAAAGTACCATGCGATGTTCAAAGTACTATATGATGTAAAATGAGAGAATCATCGTGATCCATGTTCAGTCCCGATCGGGTTATTTTCCGCAGCGCAAATCTGTGATTCGAGTGCCATCAAATGTGACTTGAGACTCATATAGACCACTAAGAGGCTCTGCTATGTGCAGGGGTAGTTGCACAGTTGACATATCAATTTCGAAAGAATACCGGGGCAACTGATCCCCGCATTCCAACCACCTTCTCGCCAAGATGACAGTCACTAGAACATGATATTCTGAAACATCATTAGCTTGAACTTGCCTACAGTAAGTCAACTTGGCCTTGAGCGCTATATATGAGAAAACCTAAAACTGATTGTCAGTAGAAGTAGTTAACATGGGTGAACAAAAGCCTCGCCGAGTTCTTGTCGTCGTCTCAAACAAGAACCCACTATGGGAGCAGGCTTGGTCTGCTTCAGAGGATAAGTGCAAAGCTGCACTTGAAATCCTCAAGAGTAACCATTTACTGGAACACGTTGACCCAGCTGGTATACGGCTACTAGCAAAGACCAACTGGGTAATACGCGTGTTCATTGTATTCGACATTGCGAATGCTTCCTATGATCCTGCTACGGGTCATTTGCCGGAGCAAAACAACCTGTTTCGATTGTTTATCTCAGTGGGACAGTCAAAGCTTATCCAGCAGGCCCTCCGGTACAGAGCAGGGTGAACCATGAAATTGCCCAAATTCACAATTCAAACGGCATCGGCAGTGTCCCGCCTTTTGTTACGGATTATGGCCTTGGGCCACCAACATATTATAATCCGCGAGACCCATCACTGCTTTAAACTTAACATAGCATCTTAAAAGGATTCTTGGGTAGAATCAAGTAATTCCTTGAACTTTTTTCCCAGACGCCACTCGTGGCTCCCGGGAAAGTCTGCCAGTCTTTCCGCTATGAAATCAATCAGACGTATCTCTCAACACAGCCAGCTCTCTTGTATCGTGAACATTGCGGGGTCGCGTCTAATTGGCTGGAAACACTGTTGCAATAACATGGTTGATTGGCTGGTATTTTGCCACAATTCGAGGTGTCTAATCATATACCTGCCCGTAAATTTTCCAATTCTTGAACATGTGCCATTCGTAGTTTGTACTTCATTCCTACGTAGTGTCACTTCTTTTTTCTTGTTTCATTCAAAGTTGGCAACTTCGATCGTTTCGTTGAAAATGGAGTCCGAGATGCTCCGACAGTCGAATGGGGGTTCCTAAAAGAGAAGGCTCTGTGACGATCATTATCTGAGTCACAATTCCAAAGGAGTCAGATCATGGGGATAGAAATAAGATCTGGGGTTAAGAAGGATTCATGACGTAGAGAAAGTCATTCAAAACATTGGAATTTACTGATGAACACTAGTGGCTACTACTTATGCGCGAAGCTGTATTAGGATAAACCATGATTTGACCAGCAAAAAAAAATTCGTCATTTTTGAATTAAGGATATAGAGTATATACAGAAATCCCGGTTTGTCTATCATAAGAGTCATCATCACATCATCAAGTCGTAAGGTCGGTTTTGAAGGTATCGCAGGAAAAGTCGGTCGCGTAGAGGGGAGTGGACAAATTTTTGGTAGGTGGCGAGGTATAGTGGAAGTAGCCTTAGTCCGACTAAGCAGCGATAGGTTGAACTGAAACCGCACAAAGATCTTTGGCGATTCCATCCGCAGGCAGGTACTCAGATGATGTGACAAGGGGCTCTTTATCTTCGGGTGTAATTTGAACGGTGACAAAGGTACTTTGTGACTTTTGTTGGGGCTTGATTACCTCCTTCTTGTGCTCGAAATCATCTTCGGATTCAGACTCGGACTCTTCAAACTCGAAAGAGCTGATGCGAGATTTCATATCATTTTCGGTCCAGAGGACGGTGCCACAGTGAATGCGGAAGTGGGCCACGCAGCGGCGAAGGTCTGGGTCGGGAGCAGTGGCTTCACGGGCCAATTTCTCCTTGGAGATGACTGTGAGCTTGTATGGGAGGGCGTTGCGGTTTGCCATGGGGGGCCAACGTTTTCTGACGTTCTTTTGGAAATTCGGTAGTGAAGGTCTTGGAGACGGTGTAGCGGGTGTGTTGATGCCGATGGCAACAGTCATCCTGGGGACGACGGGATTATGTAGATATTCGGTGGTTGGTAGAATGTGGTGAATTGGGTTTAATTAATCCGAGTGACAGATAGCACGTATAGAATTGTATGTGATTATGCAATGGTTGAAGCAGGTCAAGGTCAAGGAGGGGGGAAGGGAGAGAATGGTGAAGGGCAGGACGAGGAGGAGTTTTATACGAGACGGACAGATCTGCAGAGCTACGGGGAACCCTGGCGAAGGAACAAGCCCACAAGCCCACGATGGGCCCAAAAAGATTCGAGAGTTTGGGTCACCAGACAAATTCCCCACCAAGACACATCCGGATACCCGTTCTAGACCATGGCCCAGTCTCTCGACGAGTCTCCATGGCGTACGCGCTAGCCAATCTCTTCTACATATGCTTTGTTGTGTTGTAGAGTTCGCAATCCTGTTCTTTGACCTCTACCCCTCGAACGCCTCCAAAGTAAAGCAATAGAAATCAAGATTTACGTGTATGCCCTCCTGTCTTGCAAGGAGTACTTGCATTTCCGGCCGGAAAAGGCAATCTGAGTAATTTTGGACGGACTCACGATGTTGGGGGGCAAAACGTCTCTACGATCCCTCGAGCTGTGGGTCTAAAGTGGATGCGCCCCAGTTTTATTGATCAGACGATGCTTCGAAAAATTTTCTGGTGGGGACCCTTCGTAGCTTATCTTCCTTCGCGCCGACTTATTCATCTGAATTCAGCCGAGAATAGAACAGTCGCACGGCGAAAAATCCTATGCACACTCACGATCTCTACGGGTTACCGAATATGGAAGGCCGAGCCACCTCAACATCGTGAACTCTTCACATGTACATAAAGTACGTAGCACCGTGCACCAGGAAAATTGAAACAGCGAAGCAGCAAAACAGGTTCTAGTTTCACTCAAGCCAAGGCGTATCGTTAGTTTCTTTTTTAGCAAGGAATTGATGGAGTCACCGAGAAGTCTTTCAGTCAACGACAGAATCCATATTCCGGACTTAGAACCATGGTTTTGCACTTTTTTTCCTTCTTCTCTTCTTCTTCTTCTTCTTAACCAACCAACTTTTGCCCCTGAAAATCTGTGGCGGTGACTCAGCATTCTTGGCAGACACTCACCTACTGTATCGAGCGTTGCCGTGGAAGTATGTGCAGTTCCACTATATACAGAGGTTCCACGATGAGTTCCACCACCCATTTCTACGCCCTCCATTATTTGCACATCTTCAAAATTTTTGTGGTTCTGGCACTGCCTTCCTCTCCACATGCTAATTCCCCCCCATGTCGCAATTCGCACTGTTTCCAGAATCTTCAATCCTCTCTGCAATGTACATACACACTTATCACTGTGAAACTTCCCCCGCCCCCCATGGATGTCGCCACCTCCAACCAACACTGTAAACAACCGCCCCGATGGCCTAAATAGGAAATTTTGTGACTATCGTGAGATGTCGTGGCCCCAAAATCTGCAGCGTATGGCTCAGATGATCTTCCTTCACCGCTTGGTAAGAAACTCGGGCGAGACGCCTTCGACCCCACTTCGCTGTGCTGTCCGCCGTCCGCAAACGGGTCTACGGATCCGAAATCCGCACCTTGACTAATGTCATTGACTATTGATACTCGCTGTACGCGCTGTCTTCGTCCAATATTTAAGTCAGACACTCTGATCCTGTCCCGACTTAGGCCTAGGGGCCAATATCTATGGATGATAGGTCTGTCGGGGTGGATTTCATTTCCATGTTTATCCCCAAATTAAAGAAGAAATATCTGGAGACAAATCCACCTGATCAACACCCCTTCGCTCATGATCGACAAAGGATTCAGACCCTTGCTAGCAACTCAGACCACCAACAACTCAGACTACCAAAATTAATAAAGCAAATATAATGAAAGACTTCAATTAAAAGACTGAGTCGTTCCAGAACTATGCAAAACCCCATTCACGGGGTCATATCTCTCGTTAAGCTCTACTAGCGATCTGCAAGATGTTGCTGGTATTGTCTTGGCACCACACCTGGTCCGAGAATCAAGAGCACATGAACTATAACTACCGCGCGGGCCTTTTTATATACAACCTCTCGTATAATTCCGACAATCCCGGTTCTTTTTAGCCTTGGAGCGGTTTTCTACCACCGATGCACGTCGGAGTTGACAATTTACTTTTCTAAAGTATTGGTGTCCGAGGAAAAAGGGGGGCGTGGAGTCACGCGAAGATTCAAGAGCCTCTGATGTTCTACATCGCCATGTCAATATGTGGGGTATCCTTGAGCGTCCCTTGGTGTCAGTACCACGAATCCACGACATGGTGGCAATTCGACTCCAACTTCACTTCCTCACAGCAATTATCTTGTTGGCCCAACAACGCAAGTCCACGAAAGCATCATATGATCTATTCATGAGCACCCGGGTATATCGGCTCTTAGACATGATGCCTTTCGCCGAATATCATTATTCCTGGCAAAAATATATATGCTAACGTCTTCGGAACTAACCGGAGAAGATTTTTGTAAATTCTACTTGGACTCATTATTAATCTAGTTGAGTATTTCATCACCAACACATTCGCACATTACTTGTTGGACTATCTAGTCAGTCACTCCAAGTGGTCATAGATACAAATTGCCTCTGTCTACTCTTTTAGGGACCCAATACTCGCTTACCTCGCTTAAAACCATGTCGGACGCTTTGGCGGCCTTCTGATTGGAGGGAAACAAGGACGGAAGTTGAATGTGAAGACATGCTCCATTGATCTCATACTCCGACCGACTGTTAAACTACCAGGATAGGTATATTCCGTACATATGACAACATAACCTTGAAGTCACTGTGGCTCTAAGGTACCCCCTGCACTACTCAAACAGTGCCACGGAACTCTTTATAAAGCTCAGGCAAGAATTTAGCGAGATCTATCTTGTAGCATCAGCGATTGTTCATAAAATTCAAAATAGACAAAGGGCCTAACAAAATTCTTACGGGACATTTCCATATTGCAATGAACCATCAAGCCATGTGCCCCCATTTCTGGCATACCTTTAACCCAAAATCTAGAGCGAAGCTCCGTATTCCCATCTGCTAAACGTCGGACCTGATGGATCAGGTATGACACCCCATCAAACCCTTCAGTTATATGGCCTTGCTCTGTATGCAGAACGACAAATTAGTTCCAGTGGCTTTAATGCCGTTTATCAGGCAGGGCTTGCATACGAGGGGTTCCTAGCTTCGCGCAGACCATTGCCTCGATTCCTAATTCCGGCCACTTTGATTTATCAATTTCAAGCTCCTTTGGGACAATGAAGGCCACGGTGAGATGGGTGCAGTCATTGCCAAGGTATTCATTTATGAATGAGAATGTCCCAATATACCGGTCAGCGTAGGACTTGTTAGAGATATCCAAGGTATCTGGAAAACGCCATGCAAATTGGTGGGCGTTAGGGTGCCAAAGTTTATATCTGTTTCATGATATTGGTAATTTAAAAATGTCTCGTGTATGTCATGATAGAATCTTACCTGGAAGTTTCAACAGAGTGCCACCCAAACCACCAGTCCCATGCCTCACCAGATACTAAAAGGCATTTTCAGATTAGTACAAGGTTTTTTCACTCGTTGTAAGTGAAAGACCATTGTGGGTCGTCTCTTTTCAAGAATCAAAGGGTGCTTGCGTGATCCTTCTGTGGGGTTTCTTACCTTGCTTGAAGTCAGAACGCACAGCCACCATCATTGTTCCATTCTTGGTCTTCGCGAAGCCATTCTCCATAGTCTCATAGCCAGGCTGGAGAATGTGTTTGTGAGCATCGGCAGCCTAATAGCCTGTACATAGTTAGATGCTTTCTCTGTACTTGGAATCAATGGCCAGACTCTAGAATACATACTCAGCGCATTTGCCCACGGGCTACATATAAGACCCTTCTGAACTTCGTCAGATATAAATTCTACTTCGGGATTGAAATACTTGGCGTGAGGGCGAGCAAAGTCATTTTCCCTGTAACCAAGATAGAACGTGGTCTGGTCAGGGTCATAAGAATCGATGTTCTTGGAAACAGTTGGGGCGGACATGTTGGAATGTGATTTTCCTGTAAGTTGAAAAAAAGTCTCAATCTACTGTTTATCCACATCTACTATTCAGACCTTAAGTACTCACAAATCATCTAATTCCAGTCTTGGTGGCTTTGGGCGTGGGCCACCTCCCGGCTTTCCTTCCCACTTTCCCACTTTCCCACTTTCCTACCTCTATTTCCCCATTCCCCACCTCCCATATATCCTCTGTGTAAATCCAGGGAATATGATTTGGAGAACAAATATTCGTCATTTAGATCAAATGAATAAAGTGTACCATGTAATATTGTATACTCTATATAACCACAGAATCTTGTTGCTTTAGAGAAAGACATCATTAGCAAAGGGGAAGAAAGGAAGAAAAGGGCAAGTCATCCACAAAGATCCATCGCCAACTTCTCCAATACAACCACAAAGGTGTATATAGTGGTCAAACATACCGCCAGTATATTTTTTATTCTACTAATCACGTTTCAATAAAATCTTATTTCTATCTGCTCTGGTACTTGAAATGGTCCGATCATGTTGATACGAGCGGATGGGTCAACTATGCGTCCAAGAAGTATATCGGCAACCCATCTTTAAACCAAAATATCGTATGGTTTGTCTTCTCGAGACTACCACTACCTCGATTTAAAATACGATGTCAAGCAGCGGCCTACCGCCTTGTTCGATTAAGTCAAGCACAATTTTCGCACACACACACACACACACACACACACACACACACTTCATCACTGCCACTACAGTTGGTCAGAAGAGCCGCAGCGGCCTGCACAAAGCCACATCTCGTATGGTATCGTCCCACTTCCCCACACTCCCTAATTCTATAGTAGGTAAATGCTTCTTTAGTGAAGACTTTGCACTAACTCACCTCTTCTTCCGCGGGTTTACCTATTGTCCGAATTCATTAATATTTTCATAAAGCCGCGGCCACCATGGAGAACAGCGAGAAAATGAACAGTTCTCATATAGAGAGAATTCCAGAGTCGAAAAATGCAAAAACTAAAGATGATCAATATGGACTTTCTTCGCGAAAGCTGGTTGTTTTTCTAGTAGGTATTCCGGTAGATATACTGGTCAATCCATCGATTCCAACATATCACAAGCAATGACGACAGCCACATTCGTTCAGGTGGAAAATCTTGTTGCATCGGGCTCCGTATGACTATCAGTTGTCTCCGTCAAAGAAGTGGTGACAGTTTAACTGAAAGCTCCACATAGCGAGCCCAGGACATTTCGTCAAGTCTGGGTGGAGCTAGCAAGCAATATTGGCTCTCTCAGATTATCGCAATAATGACATGCGTTCTTGCTCCTCCCATATCCCAGATAGCTGACTACTGGGGTCGGAAGGGACCAGTTACTACCCTCACCTTTATAACTAAGTGGAATCGGTTGCCTGATTATATCTTGAGCGACTTCAATGAACATGGCTATCGCTGGTCAGATAGCTGCAGGTCTTTCATATGGTTACCAACCTCTTCTTTATGCAGTGGCCTCAGAGGCCCTTCCGCGTCGGGCTCGACCATTAGCCCAAGGAGGAACATAGCCATTACTCTCGCGGGTATTTTCGCTTTGCTTGTAGGAGCGACGCTGGGGAGGACATCTTCCGTGGGGCTTCGTATCTTCTGTTACATTACTGCGGGGTTTGACTTTTTGGCATCTGCAATCTGCTTCCTTCTATACAAACGTCCTCCTGGAGCTCTGCGGTCCACATTCACAACCAAAGAGAAACTGAGAAAAGTAAGTGAACCAACGAACCTTTGAAGTGAAACTCTCTGGTTGATAATGAGTCTTATAGCTCAAGGATAGGATACGCTTTGATAGCTGTCGGCCTGACTCTTTTTCTCTTTCTTTGAACTGGTCTCAGAACCCATGTAAGTTTCGCATCATAGCTTCGATGGACATCCTCTAACACGGCCAAACAGACAGCAGGAGTAACTCACACATCATCGCCCCTTTTACCATAGGAATCGTCGCAATCGTCGCCTTTTTCATTTACGAGATCCAAATTAAGAAAGATGGTATGGTTCATCACAACATTTTTACCCGCGACAGAAACTTTCTAGTTGCTATTTTCGGCATATTTGTTGAAGGAGTGAACTATTTCGCTGCTACCGAGTACTTTACGTATCAAATTGTCGACCTCAACTACTCCCGTACGCTATTTGCTGGACTCATATTTTCAATTACTTTCCTCACTGCTATCGTGGCGTCCATTGCAGTGTCTACGTACGCTGTTAAGACTAGGAAGCTCAGATGGCCAAAAGTTCTTGCGTACTGCTGCTTTGTCATATTCAACTCGTTGGTGGCATCTCTTCGCCTCACCAGTACAATCATCACATGGATCGCTCCGATGCTCTTAGGCATGGGCCTGGGGCTTTGTTTGACATGTCTAATTATGGTGGGCCAATTAAGTCCCCCTCCGGAGCTCATTGCTCTCTCCAGTGGTCTGCTATTCTCAATGCGCTCCGCTGGCGGCACCATTGGTCTACCAATTTATGCGGTATTGTTCAACTCCCAGATCAATCAACTCGATAAAAATATCAGATCTGCACTCATCCCCCTTGGCTTGCTAGGACGTAGTATCTCGGATTTTATCTCGGCTCTCTCAGCCAGAAATGAAACTCAATTGCAGAGTATCTCTGGGACAACAGCAACTTTAATCGATACAGGAATTCAAATTTATCAAAAAACTTACCTGAATGCATTCAGAAATGTTTGGATACTTGCTGCCGGAGTATCTGCCTTGGGAATTATTGGTAATTCAATCTACTAATTTCCCTTCCTCGACTTTCACTAATATGACAATAGTATCCATCTTCATGATCGACCCAGAATCAAGTCTGGATATGTATGTAGATGCGCCCTTGGAGGGAACTGCGAATGAACAAAAGTACGAAAGGCGTCTGCATGATACATAAATAAGGCTTGTTCTCATTGAGATTATAGGTTCCTCGCGGCTGTATATAGTGAGTGTACTGTATACTATAAATGGTGAGAAAAATTAGGAGGAAGTCTGACAAAGCGAGAAAAGAGCTTTTGGTTTCTATCTATTGACAGAATTGAATAATATCATAGTTTTTCTCAAATTTCATCCCCTGGTGTCCTTATTTTCTAATCAATATACTGCAGAGGCTACCATGCTTGTGGTCACACGATTGTGCGACTCTATCACTTTGTACATAGTTACTCGAAGACTCTATCTATCAATCAATCTATCCGTGAATCAAACCCCCCCCCGAATCGACTTCGAGTTACTATACTCTGGTAATCTTGGGTAAATGATACTAGGAATATTATTTTATATGTGCAGAAGTTCCCATTTATTCCTACTAGGCGTGAAATTTCAAACGAGACACATGTATGAGATAATTTTTATATATATAAAAAGAATGAATATTCGCGTTCATCGTAGTAGCTAGGTCTACGTTGCAATGCAAAGTATGATACAATATGTTAGTCTTGAGACCTCGGGAGTAGTATAAGGGATTTTAGACTTCAAGATCTCGGGAGAGGGTCCTTAGGATATAGTTTCTGGCAATGAAATATCAGGTTTTACATATACTTGGGGGTTGATGAAAAGGTCAAAGATCTCCAAGTCATGAGACGGAATCGCTATGACTAGTGGAATTTAGACCGTGCTAGTAGTTATCGGCCAGCATATATTGATGTTGACTATTTATGTATAGCTCGGCACGTTTACTTGTTTCCATGAAAATCATAGCTCCCGGCTATTTTTCATGGCTAAATGAACATTTTTATTTGTGTCATATAACCGGATAATCCCGATCGCCATCAGTCAATATCTACATCCCATGCATGATCATGTTCGTGCCTATCTCGTTCATCTATCACTAAGATCTCACATCCCCAGATTTTTTTAATCTTTTTAGCTAGTCTAAAGGCTTAGATAGTCTTTCTTACATAACAGCGGATGACTTCTTCAGCGTCGTGTTGCGGATCCCGATCTGCCGGTCATGGGTTCAATCAGCCCCGCCTTAACACACATCTCCTCCCGGCTCCTGCTGCAGCCTGAAACATTTCTCGCACCCGCTAATGCATGGAGGCGGCCGGTACTCCACATCTTTTGATCAATGTCTAGCGTGATTGCGCCTCTAGCTGAATCGTTGGTGTCAACCTGGTTTGGTTCCATGTACTCAGTAGGTTCAAGGACGTGTAAGGATCTATTCTCCTTTTTTCCACTTTGGTACACAAAATGCTATCAAATCCTCCGTTCCATCCTCGGATGTAAGAACTTAACCCAAAGGCCCGGAGCTCATCACGTTGAAAACTCCGTTTCTTCGAAGCCTGATGCAATGTTACATTCAAGGGGCGAATGAAATACCCCACTGTGACTGGTGATTGAATCCCGTTATACTGTAACGATCTGCACGCCATTCGGACTGATTGGGATGCTATAGACAGTGGAAACGCCGGCAAGATGTCTCGGTTAGGTGGTGATATTTGCTCAAGACTGAGAAATAGAGTTCCCGTTCAGTCATTGAGGTTATTTCCAAAGTCTTCATCGGAGTTGATATTGTTTGATGACTGTGATAGATCGACTTTGTTCCATTCTTTGATATCTCATTCGAGGTAACCTGTTCACGGGTGAAACGCGTGGCTTTCTTCTCCCCGGAGCGCAACCTCCAAGAAACATTGAGCAAAAACCCAATATAGACATAGAAGAACAATGAACTAGGGCTCTTTCTGTGACGCGCGTGATGAGCACACCCACATGCCACAAAATTGTAGCAAGCTTCTTTTCTCCAGACGAATAGGACTCCATTCCATCTACGGGGTTGCCGCTTCCGGCAATACTTCAGCGCGGGTCGGGCTGGGATCTACGTCCTCCGAGGAGCTCATTGCCTTCAGATCTTTTTCGTCAAGCTAGGCGAGATTTTTGTGTAAGTTTGTTATTTTTGTTGGTTCTTCGCTTCTATTACTTTGCCACTTCCTTCATTGGTGCCTTGTGCTGCCGTTGCATTTCGAGAAGCATGCATGGGAATCCCTTACGTGAGCTTTTGAAATCAGCCCCTCGGTCTTGGAACCCAAGGAATGCGGGGGCTCTTTCTATCAAGCTGTGATTGTAAATACATGGAGCTGACGAATGTGGCAATTTTGTTTGGGGGCTGTAAAATGGTCGAATTAATCTTTTCCCGACAAGAATATGCTAATGTTGTCGTTATTATTGACACTCCTATGACAACCGTGTATAGTCAAGAGCATCTTGGCAGAAGTCAGAGAACCTTCAAACGTACTCAGTAGGGTGGGGAAAAGAGATATCTAAGTTTCTAACGACACATTTATACAATTAGGATATTTTATTCGTTTCGGTGGTAATCTAATGACTATCCATGGAGTCATATGTTTATCCAACGTGATTTTACATAATCTTACAATGGTGCAACATTTAATATATAGGAAATCTAATTCTCAGGCCAAATATAAGTAAATACTGATCAGATTCATGTTCAACATGGTGTTCGAGTCTGTATGCTTCAAACGCATAGATTGGACTGGGGGCTAACCCTGCATCGATAGTGCGATGAGAATTCAGAATGAGAACTCCAATTATTCACCAGACTGGGACCTGCAGAGTTACCTTCTTTCCAGTTCGAAAACCTCAAAGTTGCGTTCTCTTTGTGCGACGGGAAAGCCATCTGCCGAAGCCGAGCGTGTAAACGGGAATGCTGTAGGTCGGCTGCTGTGAGACCCGGAAGGGCTCCTTGTCAATCAAGGCTGATTGCTATTTCCGTTTTAGACTGTGTACATTCGAGTGTCTTGGGTGGCCAGAGTGTCGTTTTTGGTGTGACGCTGTACGTCTTGCTTAACCCTCGTACAGCCGTGGGCAGGACGGTTTTGCTATAGTCTATCAGAGCCTAGTGAAGATCGCGCGTCTACGGTATTTGGAATTGACTCCTATTGCACGCATGGGCCGTTGATCTCCTCAAGTGACCGAATCTTGTAGGTCATCTGCTTCTACTCAACAAATACACTAGACCCAACGGGGGGCTTCTATGAAGATTCAAAAACGGGCTACGCCAACCTTCAACCGAATAACTATATGACCCATCCATGGATAAGATGTGATATAATACAAGATGGTCTCCTTTCCGTCTTGGTTTTATTTTGGGGTGGTTAAACGTCAAAATATCCCCACTTACCTTGAGCGAAAACCCCTCATGATCGCTCTCCCTATGACCGCGGTCCTTCGGGTATCAGGTAGATCCCCAATGTACATGCTAGTACTAGTATTGTTCCAGACGCACGAGCGTCATCATCATCCGTGACTCACTAGTGCAAAATAGTCGTTAGCTCATCTCATTTGGCTGACAAGATGCGGCCTGAGCTCAAAATCTATTCGAAAAAAAAAAGAAAAGAAAAAATCCTTGGATTTCGCGGTCTTTTTTAGTTTACGGATCTTAATGTGAGAACCCCTCATTACCTTTTTTTTTTCCCACCGGAGGATTATCGCCCGACAAGAGACCGGCACAAAAGCAAAATCAAGAAATAATAATACACTCTCTTGCTGTTTTGAAGCGATCGATTGGGGTCCCGATATAATCCGATTGTGCATCTTTATCCATTCTGCAGAACCAGGTCCCATGCCCGCCCTAGCGCTGCAGAGTCCGGATCGAGTAGAGTATACCCGTCTCCTTTTTGATTGTTTTTTGATTTTTTTAAAAAAATTCTTTTATATTCCACCAGATATCGAAAAGACAATAGATTGTATCGGACTCAAAGGTGATCATACCCTTCTAGACATGTCCGTTTTCATGTCTTGCCTCTGGTTTATGATTCCATGGTAGTTTTTAAGACACCTCAAGTTACACAATTCCAGGCCAGGCGCGATCTAGAGAGCCCCGCGAAACCTATCACAGTGATAGCTTCCCTGGTTGTGTGATGAGGACGTGAAGGGATAAAACACTTTGACGGCGAGGGGCACGAGGAGGATGTAAAAGGCTTTATAGTCTAGACTGAACAGTATATAGAGAAGTGTAGAGGACTTTCTTTGGTATAATTCAGACACCGCTTCTCTTCAAGAGAAAGAGATAAGGAAGTTATTTTTTTTTCTTATTTTTTTTCCCTTATGCTACAATCCTTCCTCCAGAGAGGTCCATGATTGAATCGTCCCCTCGCAAGGCTTTTCAATGCTACCACGTTCAAAGACCCCATTTGTACGACGGTTACTCTTTTGATAATCCTTCGTTCCTTTAGAGTCTATCTATCTTGTCCCCTTTTATTTCCACTCAACTACTACCTTTCCCTTGAAACGCAGGGTCCATATCTCTGTGTCAACCCCATTTTCATTCGATCGCTGTCCTACCTCGGGAAAATCACCCTCCGCTCGAGCCATCATTGACTAGTTCCACCACGCAGGATCTCATTTGTCTCTTGCCAAAAGCCCTGGCCGAACCCTTGGCTGCGCGCCGTACCCGCGCCCCTCCCAGAAGATCCAAAAGAACTTCCCGTTCTCTCCGAATGCTATTCAGATCTGATCCTTTGTGAAATCGTGGACAATACCCGATCCCTTCCCATGACCCGGGAGCCTTGCAACCTTGATTTCTTTTGGTAGCTTCTCCCAATCAATCCCCTTCGGCCCCGCGGCTGATCCCGACTCCTCCCCGGACTTGATCCGCTCTAAGAACCTGTTTTTGCGTCAATTTGGTCCATGCCTTTGTCCTTTCTGGTTTAGGTTACTTCTCTATGGTTGTTTCTGAAGATACATGTATTAATTTGGAGAAATTTATACAGTGTATTCCTGCTCATACCCAGAGGGGTACATCTCCCGCTGATGTTATTGGTTTGTTCTATTGATTATTTTATTATTACACATTCGACTCTATCACGGAGTACCACTCTGGTTCATTCCGTTACTTGTGCTTCTTAGCTCCAACATCCCCCCATTCCCGTGACCAATCACGCGACGCATTCCACTCTTACCCCCTTGCACCTTTGCTTGCCCATTCTCGGGCGCTTTTCCCATTATTATTGCACTGGAATCCCCTCAAAGGCGTGGGTGCCGCGTGTGGACCACTTTTTATTTTTATTTTCCTTTTTGGTGTTGTCCGTGTGTGCGAGATCTGACATCCTTCCACCCCCTCCCCACGAAGCCACACACCAAAAAAAAAATAAGCCCTGAAGAAAATCCATGACTTGTGAGGATATACTTACTCACGTGAGGATTATTCGCCTCAGGCAGCAATCTGTGTCAGCCTCAGGCAGCAATCAGGCACTGATATCTGCCCCTTCAAACCTTCACCGCCTCGCCCCTCTCAAAGTTCCAACCTTCCCAGAACGCCGGAGAGCTGGTTCATCTTAACCCGTTCTGATCGACCATTACCTATCCTGCATGCAAGTCTAGCTTACCCGCTTTCACTTGCGCCACCTCCCCCCATCGCGACCTGGTTTCCTATCGGGCGCGTTTCTCCTTCACCGTCATTCCGTCCAAACGCGCGCCTTTCGGCCTTCCAACCATTCGTTTTTCCAACTATGTATGGCACACCTCACTCTCTCGCGACAATGAATGGGTTGGCAGGAGAGGTCATTGATGGTTCAGGCACCATCGACCCGGCAAATCTGAGCAACTCAGGTATGTGGTTCTTTTTTTCGCTTGCCTTATCGAATGTTCTTATATCATACCCTTGATCATCCCATCATCACTTCCTTTTTTGTATATTTGCGCTTCTTATGTGATTTCTACCATCGCGACATACTACTTGCGCGACCCCGCGGGTCATCTTGGTAGCTGTTCAGCAATCTTGTCTACTCTTATTGCCTTAAAGATTAATGTATTGCCCGTCACCATCCTCCAACTGATGCGCCGCCTAGTCTCTGCTCTGCCGGTGCCATCTCATGCAGAAGCAACTCCCCGTGGTATTAAGCGTACTCGCACCCCAGATCGCAGTGGGAATGGTCATACAGCAGGAGATCAGGATGATGGTACGTGCGCAATGAGGCGCCATGCTGCTTGTGACCTTTTTTATGTTATCGTCTTCAGTTTTCCGATTCCGCCCCGCTCCATCACGTACTTTTCCTTCTTGTCGCATTTGGTTTTCTTTTCTCTCATAGCAGAGTATGCTGACCGAAAGTATCCATTCCAGAAGACCAAGGTCGCCGTAAGCGCGGTCGTCCACCCAAGATTCCGCGGGCTAGCTCCAACGACCATCCGGCTGCAGGCACCCCGATTCAAACACCTCAGATGCAAGCCCGCCCACTCCCTCAAAATAGTGCCGGATCGCCTCCTCTTGCGTCGCCTCCTGATAAAACGACTCCCACAAAATCCATGGTTAAGGCTCTTCCAACTGTCCGTGATCATACGTCAGATCAGCTAAATGATGAGGGCGACGAATACATTCCCAAAGAGTTCGATGATGCAGGGGAAACTAAAGTCGATGCCATGGGGTACCTGCAGGGCAGCCGTGAATATAAGTGTCGAACTTTTCGTGTTCCTCATCGAGGTACAAAACTGTTCATGTTGGCGACGGAATGCGCAAGGGTTTTAAACTATCGTGATTCATACCTGCTGTTCAACAAAAACCGATCGCTACACAAAATAATTGCATCACAAGTTGAAAAGGATGATCTTATTCAGCAAGACATTCTTCCCTACTCTTATCGGTCTCGTCAAATCGCCATTGTGTCTGCCCGTTCCATGTTCCGTCAGTTCGGCAGTCGTGTCATAGTGAACGGTCGACGTGTTCGTGATGATTACTGGGAAAGTAAGGCAAGAAAGCAAGGCTTTACTGAAGAGGATCTAGCTGGGGAAAAGCGCCCTGGTGCTGCTAAGATTCGGGATGGGTCTGCTGCAGAAACGACAACTTCTAGCTTGCTGCCGGCACTTCCACATAACGATGTTATCTTCAGCAACACGATTGAGTCGCTGCCAGCTGGTCTTTCGCTGGATGTTTCGGGTTCTCCCTCACTCACTCAACACCCTATGCTCCATATGGCTACAACAGACGACCCTCGGTTGAGAGACTATAACACCATGCCCCGTGTGCGTCAAGAGTTGACGGGTCAAACCTACCAGGATCGCAGTCAGCCTAGTTCGGGATCAGAAATTCTCAACCAAGCCTCGCATGCGGCCGAATTCAACAAGATTCTCGGGTCACAGCGAAGCTATCGCAAGAAGGGGTTGGACGATTTCTATTCCAAGCCGCGTGAAGCCCCAGAGTCAGAGGCGCAGTCAACCATTGCTCTTGATTCAGGGCTCTCGGTATCACAGCCTATTCAGCCTGCTCAAATACAACCTGTGGGTATTGCCAACCCACCCCATGCTCAGCATGTCATTCCCCATCAAGCGGCGATGATGCAAGGCCAGCAAGCCTTACCTCAGCAGACACACCAGCAGTCTCTCGCACAACCAAATGTTAGAGCAATGCCAGGATACCGTCCCGATCTTATGCATCAACGCTCTAATCCATCTATGTCGGCCGGTGTCGGACAGCCTGCTTACGGTTATCCTGCTCAACAACAGCCTCAGCAGCAAATGTGGGGTCAGCCCCCACCGCAGCCGCAGCCGTCACAAATGTCTCCCTCGGGACCGCAAGGGGTTGGAATACCTCAATATCAGCAGCAGATGGCGGCGCCTCCGCAGCAGACACAGTCCCCTCTCCACCATGCGCAACAGCCTCAACAGTCCCCTCGCAATCAACATCGCCCGCAAGTGCCCCAGATGGCTCAGCAATTTCATCAAATGCAGCAGCATCCACAGGCACAGCAGCAAGCTATGGGAGGTATGGCATTCCCTGGAGGAAATCCCGCCGCTTACCAAAATGCCATGGCGCGGTCGATGTACCCCTCTGCTCAAGCAGGACCGGGCGGCCAGGCTTTCATGGCTGGCAACCCTCAGCAAGCTAGTATGGCAATGGGTATGGGTGCAGGTGCTATGCAAGGGTGGCCCACCGGTCCTGGTGGACCAATGCAACCTGGTCAGCCCCAACCGGGACAGTCTGGAAGCCCGCTCGGCGGGTGGTCAGGCTACTAGATTACGATATGGCGTTTTCTAGATGGGGCGTTTCTTTGGGTTTCTTTCATTAAATCCGATACGTGCTTTCGACCTCGAGTTTCCCTTGCTATCTCATCTTATATTTACCATTTGCTTTTTTTTTGGACTATTCCCTGAGAATTCTTTGTCGTTTACCGCCCCTTGCATTGCAATTGTGTCACGCTTCTCTATGGAACTGATTCAGTAATGTTGATCTGGGCTGCTTTACTATACCCTTTTTTTTCTTTTATGCTGTTGATGAGGCCGACCCTTGGGTCTCCAGGCGCCTGTTGCCTTCTATGTCTATTTTTTTCCTGTTCCTGGGGGTATTTCCCGGCGTTATTACCGGTTTGTCAGGCGTTTGAGTCTCTATTGCCAACGTGTTACAGGAATATGAGTATGTATGTTCTTTTGACTATTATTATCTCTTTTTTTTCCTATACATGGTCGATAGAGGGGGTCCGTCTTTTGCCGCAGAATCGGCGATTTATTTTCATGCGACAAACTGATCTGCTCATATTTTCGCTTATCGTTTTTTTTTTTTTGCATTTCTATCGTGCTTTTACATTGTATCTCTCCACTTTACGCTGTTCTCGTCGTATGTATTCTCGTTCACTCGTGATTTTGGGGTTCCTTTATGCTCTATCGTAAATGATACAATCACCTGTTTGCCTATCGATGCCAGGCAAGATCAGTCTCTTTCCAGGCCTTTCTTCTTCTCCTGTCTATACTTTCACCGTGTTATTTTCCCCTGCTGGGCCAGCTTGAACTCTCCTTTTCTATCCTCCACTCGCTCGTATTAGCTTCAAATTGCAATCATACCTTGCTTGGCCGACATCTCCAAACTATTGCCATGTTTATTCCTGTGTAATATTGATGTCATAAGGAAAGATGATGAAAAAAATAAATCCCAAAAAGAGAAGAAGACAAAAAGAGAACAAATCTTCCTTCTATACATGACGGACAGATAAGAAAGACAAAGAAAGACAAAAAGACAAAAATCAATCGTCCCCGGGAAGGCTCGAACTTCCAACCTCCTGATTAACAGTCAGACGCGCTAGCCAATTGCGCCACGGAGACGATGAGTTGAAAAACCCAGATTTATTTCGCACTATATTCCAAGACCGTTTGTATGCATGTTTTTGGAGAGCCTTGGTGGTTGAAATCCAATTGGAAATTATAGCTTAGTACAACAGATGGCTGTTAATAGTTGTCTTGATCTGATGAGGTTTCCGTAGTGATCCGACTATAATTACTTTCTCTTCCATTTGTAGCTTTTATCCACAGGTGGAGGATTTTAAGGTCTATTTCAATTTTCTTAGCCCTGGAGGCAGTGGTACCAAATATATAGTAAACCAACTCCGCGGAAAGCTAGCACCACGACTCATTGTCACATGGGCAAATTTATTTTCAAATTTGTACTCCTCCGACCCAAACATGCTTTCTATTTCAGATAAGTACAAGAAACAAAGAACCTTGGAACCGGCTCAATGACTAAAATCAAACCCCCGGGAAGAAAAGTGATTAGAATATATATGTAGTGGCTGAACTCGTTGATTCACTTTTATCGCGCACATCTGGAGTCAATAGCCCTTAACCAGAGGACCACAGCCAAGAGCCCGGAACAATACCTATCTACATCAATACAACTTGAAGCATCACATATACAAGGTCCATTACCTAGGTAATAAAGCCCTGGAAACAAGAACTCCCCTTGGCTCATTCCGCATACATAGGTATTGTAGAAGTTCAATTTATCTTGAGAAAAGGTGCAAAAACAACGAATAACAACGTTGAAGAAAAGGAAAGAAGTGAGAGAGAGCTATACTACGTATATATAGGGAGCCCACTCTCAGATCAATCATCTGATTAGTCTAAATCCGAGAATAGATTAAACTAAGTAAATGTCTAAATATATAAACATGTCCACCGGCTGACCTCCTCCATGTAGCTATACTACAGGCCGATTCATTCTGTAGATAAAAACAAAAGCGATATGATTGGTAGCTTTCGAATTCCGGAAACCGGCCAACCACGCCACCACACAACGGCTTTGGAAAAAATTTCTAATATAGACCCAAAAATATGTTTTGATCGTCATCAAGTTAGCCCATATAAACAAGACAAAAAGACAAAAAAGGGACGTCCCCGGGAAGGCTCGAACTTCCAACCTCCTGATTAACAGTCAGACGCGCTAGCCAATTGCGCCACGGAGACTTGTTATGACCAGCGGCAAATTTTTGTGTTCATGACTACCAGACCCGTTGAGGACATCATTGAGGGTTCAGTTTATGACGGACAGTTGCTGTTAGACCCCGGAGGATGGGTTAATTCTGCACCGAATTTGTTAATTGGTAATTTTTTTTTGAATACCGAAGTGTCCAATTTTCTACTATATACTGGGCACAACCTACATATCATATCTAACATAGTACAAGCCGACTGTTATGGGCCGGGCAGTCACTCGGGCGGTCGGGGATGGCAGAGCGCCCGCAGCCCCCGCTATTTCTCTGAATAGAGGCATGTGTTTACAACTATCTTCCCTTCCCCCATAGTCAATATCATTTATTCGTGCACACTACTACCGGTAGTCTCGGCCAACTAACACAAACAATTTAAGCTTTCTACTTATTTCATTGATATAAATTCGAATTATATTAGTTCCAAGTTGTGGGCGACCACATAGTATGTACCTATATGTATATATATGTCTAGTAGTTTACAGCTATGTTGATTTAATGACAGCAAATATTTTCCAACGTAAGGAGAAATTGCTTAGAGTGTGCCTTCTCGTGCCTTGGGCAAAATTTATATGGTTCGTCCATGGTCGGTTGGCGAAACCTATAAACTTTGACTCTCGAATAGGTAGGTATCTTCAATTTCCATTTAGATTTGTTTTCGGGAAACATTGCTTTAGATTAAGTAGCATCTTGTTCATTTCATCCTCCAATAAGATGTCTCCGTGGCGCAATTGGCTAGCGCGTCTGACTGTTAATCAGGAGGTTGGAAGTTCGAGCCTTCCCGGGGACGTCTATTTTTTGTCTTTTTGCCATATTGATCTGGTTTACCTAGCTTATTGACTTGGCCGGGTTTGGTTGAACATGTATATAGGTATGATGGCTCCTCCCCCCTTTTTTTGAAGGAGGGGAAGAAGGCGATATTGTTTCGGATGCTGTGTAGCCAGATGCTTCTGCTCTATAAACTGGCCCCACTTACTACAACAAACACATTGGATCCCTGCATGCAATAGTGTCTAAGGATACGCCTACTAGTTATCATGACAGATCTAGATTAGGCATATACTATATGAAAAATGCAAGTTTTGATATGAAGTATAGCCAGATAATTGACCCGGTCCTCTAGGACTGCCGGAAGGTTGTATAATTGCTATAGTATCTATTTATTTCAAAGACCAATATCCTAACCAAGGAAGCTATGGGGTCAAACATCGAATATACAGGGAGAAAATCCCCCAGCAGATCCCGAAAGGAATTCTATCCAACAAGCAACCGACATAAAAGCAAATAGTTACAAGACTCAAACATCAGTAACCAGCGGCGTTGTCACAGGTGCCGCGCTAGATGGACAAACACAAGCTGAGACGGATGTCACAGGTGGCGCTGTGCAATGGGCACTAGCAGTCCAAGCAACAGACGAGACAGTCGCTCGCTCCTTAGTATTTCTCTCGGCACGAACGAGCACAGGAATAACGGCACCAGTATTCAGACTGAAAGTTCGGTGCCCAATAACTCTCAAAATAGAGGAAATCTCACCTGAATGAGAAGTGACCGACGCGAAAGAGTTCTCCTTAATAGACTCCGAAGTAAAGAATACTTCATCTAGTACCTTCTCGCTACGCACATCTTGCGCGGCACTTGTCTCCGCTGTGACTCCATTCCAGAGCTCATCTTCCTCACTGAAGCCCTTTTCAATGGGCCACTCGGGGAAGAGATCGTGGATATATGTGCGGTTGTGGCGGTGGTCACAGGTGTGGATGCTGATTCCTTCGCGGAAGAGCTCTTTGATGAGGGGCTTGAATTCAGCGCTGCCCTTTGGCAGTTCAAGGCCCGTGAAAGTATAGTTGGCTGTTTGGAGAGTGCGAACTAGCGGGCTGACGAAGTAGTTGTCTGGTGTGTGGATACGTTGCTCATTAATTTCCTTTTGCCAGAAGTCGTGGGCGACGAGGGCTTGGGAAACACCAGCTGAGGTGAGCGCGGCATCGAACCAGGTAGCGGTACCGTTACCGTTTAATTCGGCCCAGTAACACTAAATTTCGATTATTAAATCTAATCCTATCCCAATTTTTTTTATTTGATAGTATTCCATAGAGAAGTGGAAGGAAGACCTACATTCCATGCTGGGGTGCCGTAGTAGGTCTCGGCAGCATTGTGCCAGCCCTCGCCATGGCGACCCAGGAAAAGAACCTTGTACTCCACATCTTTGGGGGATTCTTCATTCCACTTTTGCACCTGGTGGTAGAAACGCTCCCACTGAGTTAAGGAGCGGGGGTTTCGAAGGTGTTGATCGGCAGGGTATGTGCGATTGATCAGGCCGAAATTGACAGCAGTCTATACATCAAAGCCATATATTGATTAGACGAAAATCATGTAGCAGCCAAGCCAAGTTAAAAGTTAACAAACATACATAGTCAAATGTTGAGGCATCAGTAGAGGTCTCATCTTGAAGAAAATAGCCAGTCACTGTTGTATAATCCACAGTGGTTGCTTGGACTGAAGCAGCAAGGCCCAAAAGGGCTTGTGTGAGGGCCAAGACTTTCATTGCGCAGATAATAAACGGCAATGAACACGGAAAAAAAAGTTGAGTTTGACTTTGGCAAGATCGGCATTGTCTCGTCTTTTTAATTCCCCTTCGGCACCTCAGGAGGACTGAGCTCGGAAATGGAACGGAGTATATCTAGAAGGTATGGTCCCCCGCAAGTGGGGCTTCACGGAGAAATTATGACCTATCGAGGGACGCACGTGTGGCATACTCTGGGCGGCGGCTTCGCCCGATCCCGTTTGGGCATTTTGACGGCGTCGGACTAACAACACTCACGCGCGGCTCAAATACTGAAGTTGGCGATGATGGAGCTATGACGAATTGTGTGGTCCAATCGCTAAAAACTTGTATGGAGCCCACCATGAAGTCGGCTATTAGACGGTTGAATTGTGTGGAAAACCGGAGATTATACTTGGGTAAGAATCAGATGGAATATTTGTTGTAGAAAGAACATCACACTCCTTTTTTTGGTATATGAGACAAGATCCAAGATCCAAGAAGATCACAAGGTAAAGAAGGTATAAGTACGTGATAGTATGTATCAAAAAATAGCCAAATGCTGCCAAATATGCAAGTTCAAAAACCCAATCCAAAGCCGAGCCGGTTCCAAAAAAATAATATCAACGAAAGTAAGAAAGTAAGGCCGAGCCTTTTTGGGCTCGGAAGAATTAAAATGTCATATCAAACCAATATAAAGCCCAAGCCAATAAACAGAATGCGACAATCTGCTCCGAATATGTAAAAAAAACCCTGGTGGAACAACACCGAATAGAGACACAGAGAAGGAAATAAAGAGACAGACAAGACAAGTCGATGAGGTATGTGAAGTGCAAAAAATGAAACAAACGGTGTTTCTCCGTTTATAGAAAGTTGAAAAAAAGCAGGCCACCGAGGAGGTAGGCGAAATTGAGGAAACAAAAACCCAAAAATCAGAGTGAGGACGAGACGCTGCGTAGCGGTTTCGTCCGGGACTAACAAAAGCACATTTATCGCGATACATTTCTCATTCATCCATTGAAAGTGACTCAAAGGTCATCCATCAAGGGTAGTTGTTAGGTGGAGCGTTGTTAGCAAAAGGGTACGCCTTCGGCTTGTGCATGGAGCCCATATGTTGAGCGGCATACCGCTGAGCTTCATGCTGATCACGTAAACCGTGCATGGTGAACTCAGACGCCTTTCTGTCTCCTCCATCAGCTGATATAGGCATCTCGGAATCCTCAATGGAGTAGATTAAGGATGGAGAGCCGGAGACCGACCCCATAAAACCATGCCCATGATGATCAATAGGAGCATCATAACCAATGGGCGACACCGTGTTTGAGTGGGGCACCTGGAGACTAGCCTGGAAGTCTGGCGAGGACAGGGCAGTGGCATCTGCCCAGCTTCGGGCGGTCATGGGAACTGGGTCACAGCTTACATATTCAGGGAATGTGCTAACTTGTGCTGGGGCTGACATTGGCGGGGCCGCATTTTGGTAAGGGAAAGAAGAGTACATGTCAAGGGGTGTGGCCGGAGGCGAGGCAATGTTCACCTGCATGGGTTGAGAGGAAGGGAAGAATTGTGTAGTCGAATGTGCTGACAAGCAATAACTGTCGGTTGGTGAAGCTGGCATGAAATGTTGGAAGTCCTGAGGAGTCAAGGGGGTTGGTGGAGCCAGCGTCGTTGATGAGACTGAAGGTCGCAGCATCTCAGCCTTGCTTGACTTCATGGAGCCGGACTCGGCAAATGTGAAGTTCAGAGGAGATCTCTGGGCCGCTGACGCCTTACGAACACCAGCGTATCTGTTGTTCAGACTCTGAGTTGACTTGGAATGCCTCATCGAGTTTCCAGCACCCGAGCTAGGCATACGGCTAGTGGGTGAGAGGGAGGACATTGAGGTAGAATTTGCCAGGGAACGAGTGTTGGAAGTTCCAATGGCAGCAGGACGAGGGCGCTTTCGTCGTGCAGCAAGATCCAGCTCTTTGCCTGGTTCTTTCCATGATGCTTCTCCCGAAGCTTGACCAGAAGACCCGGGGGTGCAAATGCCAATTCCTTCCAGAGAAGCCGTGAGGGCACTAGAAGACTCGCGGCGAGTGACGGAGATGTCGGGAGCCTGCATTGACAGGGGGTATTGCAGGTTTGTGTAACTAAGGGTGGCATCGGATGCCATACCATGCGCGGCATGATGATCCTTGGGAGTCTCAACCCAATCCTCGTCCACAGGGAACTGGGTACCGGCGAACGTATTCACATTTTGATGCATAGCATGGGAAGAGCTGGGGATCTCAGAGAATGCTTGACTAGTAGAGGGAAATTGGCTAGCATCGGAATGGCCGTGGGGCGGTGTCCATTGACTCGACTCTTTCTCGTCAGACCAATCTTGGTAAGAATGGTTGAAGGAGGCTTGGGCCTTATTGTCGTGTGTACTAGGGGTCGCCTTGGGTGGCGCCATCGACGTAGGGGAAATGGGTTCTTCCTTAAGAGGAGACTCACACTTGGCGTGCGAGCCTCGTCGCGTGAAGCGATCCCGAGCAGCAACTGCGGCGTTCAGTGCTCGCTGCAATGAGGCGAAGGTTGCGTCACGGGCGGACTCACTCTTCGTTTTATGATGCTTCTTATTTTCTTCAGCCTTTGCAATAGCTTCCTCCTTGGCTAACTTCTTGGGACTTGGTGTGTTCTCCACCTCCTTGGAAGCAGAAGCCTTGGACTCCGACGGTTGGTCCGAGGCGTCCGACTTGCGACGAGCAGCCTCCTCGGCCTCCGCCTTTGCCTTTTGCATTTTCTCAAATTCCTCTTGGCGTTTCTGTTGCTTGGCTTTGGCACGTCGATTTTGGAACCAATTCTATTCGAAAAAAAGATGAATTAGTATCGGGTGGATTTATTGACGTGGGGGACGTGGAATCCTCAAAAAGATATGGAACGTACAGCAACACGAGGTAGGCTTAGATTGGTTTGAGCTGCCAATTGACGCTTGACATTACTGCTTGGCTTGGGGTGAGCCTGGAATTGAGCTTCCAAGGTCTCGACTTGTTCCTTAGTCAAACGTGGGCGGGACAAGTTCTCTGTATATTCATCGTAGTCCATAATTGGTTGGTGGTAATAGTCCATCATCTCCATGGGCGGATGAGGGTATAGATAGCCGTCAATGGGGTGGTGCATCATAGGAGGGGGGGCCATAGAAGGATCGTAGGCGAGGGTATGGTCCATTGGGAGACCTGTGTGGCCTGGGTAGTTCCAGGAAGGATGGATATAGCTCATGTTGGCGGTGATATGGTATGGATGAAAGGAATGACGGAATGACGAAATGATGAGCGGGCGAGGAGGGGGATTAAAGGAGAGGCAGGGCTACACGACGGAGGTGAGTAGCCTAGAGACAAGACAACGACTATAACATGGGAGGTTTCAGAACGAGTCGAGTGCGTGTGATCGGGAACCGGGTGATTGGCAGGATGACCCTGGGAGAGATCGGTGAATCACGAAAAAGAAACGAGGAAACGAGCAAACGAAGCGATTTTGAAGGAGAGACAGAGGGTGGGTCAACTAAAAGGAGTGAACATAAAAAGAAAAGAAAAAGAAAAAAAGGAACGTCAAGACAGCCACCAGGATGGATGGGATGTGAAGAGGAGAGAGGGAGGAGGACGAAGACAGATGGACATGGGCTCTGTCTTGGGAGCGGGCCGTGATGATTGGCGGAGTCGGGGCTCATTAGGAGTACATGTAGCCGCAGTCTCTCTCTCTCTCTCTGCTTGTGCCCGGTATTATTTTGTTTTATTTTATTTTATTTCGATTTCAATTTATTTTTTTGCGTCAGTGCCAGAGCCAGCGAATAATAATAATAATAATATTATTATTTTCTTTACCCTACGAGAAGGGAAAAAGAGCAATTCGGGAGATATTCTGTGCTGGGGCAAGAGAGATCTGATCGTCGAGCCAGACTACGTGATGGGGAGGAGAAAAAGCGGGCTGAAAAAGAATTAAAATCGGAATTAAAATAATAATAATAATAATAATAATAAAATGAGATACCTAAAAAATACATAAGTTAAGAAAATAAAAATAAAAAATAAAAATAAAATCCAAGCCAAGTATCCGTAAGATGAGATACCTGGCTATACCTAGAAGGAAATACGTAGATGTTAATTACCGTGGAGTCACTACCGCCCGCGCGGTTCTTTCTAGGGGGTGGCGGCCTAGGCTGGACTCGGCACAATTGGGGATTATTCTGTATCTGAGAGGGTACAGAAACCAAGATACAATGTAGATATATACATATATACATATATATTCTATCTATACCATAAATTAGACATCTACTAGGTAGTAGTCTCGAGTGCCACCACAGCCACCATCGTCAAAATTAGGCGCAGAAAGGGGATGGGACGATGATGAATGTTTATCCAGCAGCCTAGCAACCTCGAAACCTCGAAACCTAAATCAACACAGGAAATAAAACCCATTTTTGCAGCCCTAAGCAAATTGAGATCTCTTCAAAGCCTGACCTTAGTAGCCAATCAGTGGAGTAAATACGTTTAACCGCTGTTTGAGAATGACTCCACACCGAATACAAGCGTGGGAAGTGTGGAAGTCCCCCCCGAGAAAAAAAAAAAAAAAAAAAAATCCCCCAAAAAGCTAGCTAAGTCATGACAGATGGGGTATACGTGATGGCCATACGCCACTCGATTCATGTGCTCAGGACTCCCCTGAGGCCTTGAAAATGGCCAGGTGCTCTAGTACGAAAGTGTAAACAAAGCGTTCCATGGTAATCTTGCGGAGAGACGGCTCGGGAAGTGCAGAAGAGGTAACCGTGGATGGACTCCCGTTACACCTATCAGAAGCTGCAGACACTACAACTCCGATGAGCGAGAAGGCTTGGAAGGTTGGAAGGGGTCCTATGTGAAGAAGTTTGGCAATAGTTGCATGCTCTACCAGACTTTACACTTGCTGTTAATTTGTAATCTATTTTCATTTTGAATCGGTTTAGTCTTTGCTCTCTCCCCTTCCCGCCCTTGGTCAGTTCCTGCATTAGCGCCATGTCTGAGCTCAAAGGAGCAACCAAAAAATACACAAGGTGGAGTCACGATAATAAGAGTGATGCAAAGTAAATCACATCACGGCTAAAGGGGGACTACTCTATTACACTTTGGTGGCTCATTATTTCCTTCTCGTATAGTACTTTTTAAACTACTTTAGCCCCCCAAAAAAGGTGCAAGCGTGAAGAAGTGTTTGGTTTTTGAGATACATGACATTTTATGGGGAGTGGGGCAACAAAGGAGGTCCTGCTTATCCCTGTAATCTGTCACGGGTGATCCAGCCTGCATGGCCCCGAGTCTCTCACAGAAGGATACAGAGTGAACACTTATGATATCGGGGTAATTTTCCAGGTATTTGCATGGAAATCTATTCTCTTAATAATACCCGATCACCGGGGACCTGGCATTTGGAACGATCGGAGCCTGTTCCCCGGGCATATTTCATCGTTGCAGATTATGCTACGGGGAATACTCCTGCCAAGATGGACTATAGACTACACGCTACCATATCGGGGCTCAGTTCGGGGGCCAAGATCGTCCCATTGATGGGGTTGATGATGTCTTTTCAATGGCACTATTGACATCTGAAGCAACCTGTCCGTCAGCTATCTGTCAGCTACTCCGTACATTAGATCGTGTCGGGACATCGCGAGAGAGAGAGAGCGAGAGAAGGCCAATGCCCGCTAAACTACTTTGGGGGCGCATGGCAGGATGCCAAGACCAACTAAACATCAATAGTCGACAGATCCTGTCGATCACTTTTAGGATCTGCCGACCTTCGTTGTCATTCTCTCTTTGCTTTTTGGTTTGTCCTGGACCCTCTTGCTGGGAAGATAAGTGGAAAAAAGTACCATGATTTCCCTTCTCCCCCTCATCGTTTGGCCCGACGTAACACACTTGTTCCCGACTGTCTGGTTATCCCCCTCCATCGACGGCGCTAAATAGTTTGGATCGAGAGGCTCCATGCACTCAAGTCACGAGCATTGGAGATCCTGCACTGCTGAGAAAGTTGCCCCTCTGCTTGCGATTGTGTGATGACACGCCCGCCTGTCTCTTCTTCCAAGGTTCTTTGCCCTGCAGGCTGTGCTGTTCATGCAAGCTTGTCGCTCTTACACCCGTAAATATGCACTTCCCGGGCGTTACGATATCCTAGGTTGTACCATGCTTGACTCTTCGCCATACATACCCATGCTTTCTGTAAGATCTTGTGTATCATCTAGTTTAAGCCATCAAACGCTCTTCATATGCACCTTATTTTACTCCCTAGGATGATCTGATCTGATCGACCCTTCCAACGGCCTTCAAACTGGACGGAGCTCCCCCTTTTCAGCAAGTCTCTCTTTCACCCTCCATTCCAAATATCTACTTCGTACTTCGTACACCTGACAGAAAAACGTTTCACAAGGATCCTAGTTCTTAAAAAGTCTAAACTATGGAGTCGGCCTGGTTCCGGAGAGGCCAATCCCCAAACCTTGATAATGTACCGTCGTACAGTACGGAGTACGGAGTACATGACCAGGAACATGATCATGTTCTTTGCTCCTTCTCCACTCCCTCCCACACTGCGCCTCGTAAACCAGTAGAGCATAGAGTTGCCAAATCACTAGAAAGAGGGGACATATGGGGCGAGAGAAGAATACCGGTCCAACGGAACCTCTGCCCTAAAGCCACGGGCCCACGATAACCACGCCCCCTCTCATCACGTTGTAAGTGATCACCTGCTTCTCTTGCCAAGTTGAGGATAGAGTCTGACATGGTGGAAGCCTGCAACGCTCAAATCTTCTCGATGAACCAGTGAATGGCCTCGAGGATGAAACGAGACTGAGTGGATCATGAATCCGCACGAACCGGGGGGATTTTCCCTTTAGTTTCTCCCCGGAACTCTCTCACACATGGCCATGTGGACGGAGTATATTCTTCTCCATCTCCATATCAACATCCATATCCATATCCAATACAGAGATGTGGGTTGTCGCCAAAACTCTGAAGTTTCGGATTGAGATAGAGCCCCACGCTTGGTATGGAGCAACAACGTGGCCATCGGATGCTACTGCTGGACCCAAACCCAAACTTTGTGTTCAATACTTTCGGCAAGCACATCGTGAACGACAGTACCGATGATCGCCCTCATCGTGACGATCCGGATTAACAGGCATCTCTGTTTGAAGTTTCACGTGCATTAAAGGCCCTTATTAGCGTTGTAAATCACCTTGGAGTAAAGAGACAGCTCCAATCAGCCCAATTAGAGAAAAGAAAGAGAAAGGTCCAATTGGGCATGAACATGACAAAAAGGGTAAAGGTCAGAAAAATAAAAATCTAAACCAAGAAACGCCTTTCAACAGTCACAAATGGGAGATTTACTCTGTACAATTCCTTGAGTTTCACAGGATATAGGATACATAGTGTGTGCTGACACTGCCCCCCCCTCCTTGCTCTTACCTTTTTTTCTCTGTCTTCACGTACCAAGTACTCCACAATAACCACAAGGCTCTGAGGGGGGGAGATGGTCAATGAATACTCCGGACTTGTGCTATGACCCCGGTCCGTCGAAAATCCCAGGATGCCCCGCAACACTTTAGGGGGGGGAGTAAAGGGGAAGAAAAAAGCCCACTAGGTTTGTTATGGCGTGCATGGTGCAAAAATCATCAATCATACCCATTGTATGGATCTCCGTCATCTCCGTCATTTGGATATTCACATTAGGTATAGTTAGGGGGATGTGGACAGGATCTGCCCTTGACGTGCCCCTGGATTGATCTGCAACGCGTGAGGGCCGCACGGATCCCTTGGCCCCATCAGACTATTGATTGGATCTGAAGGGAACCGTTACTATGGGACGAAAAATCTCAAATCTCGGAAGAGAAAAAGAGATACAGAGATGCAACTAGTAGCTCGAGCCATCCGGTCGGCAAAGGAAAAGTAAGAATTTCAGATCACAATGGGAATTGGTGCTCGTTACTGGGATATTGCTCGTATCAACCCAATTCCACCATAGAACTTCCATTACCCAGAAAATTCCCCGACATTTCCGAGCATCCATGATCGACGCCTAATACCTGTATTGTGCTTTTTTGTGTGACAGCAGTTTATAGTATCGCATCACTTCTCCCTTCCCATCGGGTTAGGATGAGGATCCTTGGCAAACTTGGGGGATCCTCAGATCGTCCCTTTCGGAGCACTGCTTCCGTCTTTCATCCTGGTCAAGTCCCCGCTTCTCGCCCCAATCTCCTGGGATTTTGGTCATGTATGTAATCCGCATACAGATCATATACAACTCGAGGATCACTCCTCTTGCCCATACCCCTGTCTGTGTCGCGTTTCGCGTTGTTAAAGCGAATTCGGGGGATTTCGGTCGCAATAGTGTGCTCCGCAATGGCTGAGGCTGTGAATGATAGAGAGTGGTTCCAATGATGCTTCCTTTTCCTTTTCCCTCTTCTGAATCGGGTTTGTTTTGTTTTTCTGGATGTGGCAATGGCCATGATCACAAATGTGACAGGTCTACTTATCTCGATTTCTCCAATCCCCTCCCCTTCATGTGGCTTAGCTGAACAGGCATCGAGAGAGATAGAGCTGTGGAGAGCTGTGGAGAGCTGTGGCGGTGCGTGACGTTCACGCAGGGAGCAGGAAGCAGCATGCGTAGCTCCAGGGTAAGTATTTGTCAAAGGTTGGGGCGACCAATAGTTTCTCTCAGCAAGGATGATTGATGCAGTCCGATGAACAGGGAAGAGGAAAGAAAGGAAGGAAAAAAGCCATGCTCTGGGGATCGTCCACAGGATCCGTACCCCCGCCGCAAGCCCGTTCCATGCACTGCATCCCGATACTGTGGTCCAGATCGGAATCAACAAGAAAGAAAGCAAAAAAAAAAAAAAAACCTGCCCATGTACGTGATGGACTTTCCTATCCCGCCACATTCGCCATCACGCATACCGTTGGGGAAGCCAGGGTGATTCAACCCGAGTGGGAAACAAAGAACCACGAAAGAGGAGATAATCCATGATCTACCAAGGATCTACCTTTAGTTCGATGATCGGATCAGCCCCCAAGTCTATCTAAATTCAAATTCAATGCACACTACCGGATCATGTATGATGTAGGAGTATCCTGTTCTGGCATTCCCATGCTCTAACCGCCGTGCTGTTCCTGATCTAGATAGCTGCAAGAACTAAACAACGGCACTTCGTATTGCGATATTCAGGAGTCCGCACGCTCAACCACTCCTTGAGCCTTTCTGCTCCAGACCCGTGCGCAGGATGCAACATGTTCCTTCACCCCCACCCTCCCTTGCATGTATTCCCTTGTCTGGACTTGATCCGGGCCTATCAGGGGAGCCGGGAGACTTTTCTCTCCCTCGCTCCATCTACCTACTTCTGTAGGTTGAGTTTCCTTCAGTTCTCAATTCTCTTTCTGGTGCGCGGTCAGCAGCGCCGATACGGCAATCCACAGTTGTAGTATCACAATACACTTTGTTCTTGCCGTCCACGGGTGTTGCCCCCTCATGAGCATGGACCTGTAAGACCTGTAAGACCTGCAGGTCGCTGCAGCCTCGTCGGGTTCGTTCCAGCTTTCTCTCTATGCCAGTTGTATTTACCCGAGTTTACGAAGTTGGTATGTATCTGTATGTATGAAGTACATACTTATCATTGTAGGGAAGTCTTCCCTTTGTATCATGCAGAGTGTCGGGGTTCTTGAACGACCAGATCTCAATTCGGGGGATGGACTCTGGTCGATTAAGACTAGGCCTGGAGATGCGTTTCAGGGTGGCCAAACGTGCATGAACAGCTGTTCGCAGCATGTTTGCTAGGGTGTCTTTTCTTGTTTGCAACTCAGCCTTGCACCTTTCTTTGTCTAAATCAGGTATTAGGTGGTCGAATCTGTCCGGTACCTAAGTTGGTTGTATCTCCCTGGTTGCAGCAAAACAACGCAATCCTGCAAGGATTGCATCGGGCGCGTTTCACTTCTGCCACCGACAGCATGAAGTAGCCTGTAGTATGTTTAAAGAGTCTAGACTATCCTTTACTAAAAATGGATGAGATAAAGACAACTGGGGTTACGAAATGAGGTATGAAGTACCTATAGGAATCTATGTAGCCTCACTATGCAACCTTTCAAATTCCAAGCTCTGGACCCCAACTCTGAGATACACTCGGGGAAGATTCCTTGGCCATAATCCCTGCAATATGCTGCTGTCATCACATCGGTGCAGTAGGGCGTTCGAGTGACAAGGTTTAGCTACAGACGCTGTCGAAGCTCCAACTCATCACACCGGGTCTCTAAGCTTCTCGCACACCCTTTCATCATGATCTCGCGTCTTGTGGATACGTATTTGGAATCGAACTTTGATATCAGATTCGGCATTTGAACACCGATCTGTAAAGTCCGTGAACGAGATGCCGAACATCGTGCAACCTTCAAGTTGATCAGTTGGAACTGAAATCTGGTCATCCCGCCCCGATTTGAATGGTCCTCTTGTTTTTGATTGGTGTAAATATTCAATTGGCGATTCTGTATTAAGCAAGAATAATTTGAATGATCTGTACGTATGAAGTAACCATCCCACCCATCTTACATTCCGCATGCACTTGCGATCTTTTCTTCGTGAATGGCCCCCGGCCCCCTGCAGTATCCATACTACATCTGTATGTACCACCAGTAAAAGGACCTGCCAGCGACTGTACGTCACCATCACCGCCGACCCGGAATATAATAGCATGTAGCACAGCTCAACAGCCAGAAAGAGGCGCAAACGTACTGTAATACATATAATAGCCTTAATTAACTCGTTGATCCTGCAGTGCACGTTTGTACACAAAGTACTTTGTATGTATGTTTGGAGCTACCCTGCTCCACTTCTATGCTCTATGTTGTACGACTCAACACTCAACGCGAGTGGTCATTATGCGTCTGCACCCTGTGCATACTGCGAATCTTTAAACCCTGCATTTGCATCATTGAAACGCATTCGTGATCTCAAGCTGTACGCGCCCATCAACCATCGCCTTCACCGAGACGCTGCGCAAGTCCTGTACAATCCAGTCTGCCCCCGCTCCCTGAAGTTTCTCCAGTGAGTGTGTCGTTGTCAGCGCAATCACTTTGAATCCTGCGGCCTTTCCAGCCTTGATACCAGATGGCGCATCCTCCAACACAACAATGTTTGTCGAGTCACCGAGTCCCAGCTTCTCACGGCCGAGCAGGTAGCAGCGTGGGTCGGGTTTGCCTAGCGGAACATCCTGCGCAACAACGAGCATCTTTGGTCTCGCAAGACCGAGGACACCCAGCCATCCATCAATAAGTGCTGAAGTTCCTGACGTAACGACGCCCCATTTGGCACCGGCGGTTTCCAATTCTGTGAGGAGGTCGCGTCCACCAGGGATCTCGACGGCGTCGGAACCATATTGTTGGGGAATCCGGCCTTCGATGAAGTTCACATCTGTTTTTCGTTGACAAGGTTAATATATTGTGGATGTCTTTTGTGTTATCACGAAGATGAGGAGATAACATACACTCCCAGTTGGCTTTGGTCTTGTCGTATAGTTGCATCACATCGATGCTTCGGCGGCCGTGGGAGGTGGCTAGAATGGTCTTAGGGTCAACACCGAGCTCGTCACCAATTCTGTTATGAATTGTATGTTAGTACGTTCCGTAATAGGGTTGTTTGCTTTCGCTTGTAGGTACTGACTGGTGCCAGTGCTTCACGATAGCTAGATATTCTTTTGTTAGCTTCAAATCTCATAATTTTTGCGTTTGTGCAATCGGATTTTTTCTTCATACCGTCTGTAGAGTCTACAATTGTTCCATCGAAGTCCGATAGAACGCCGTCAAAGGTGTGGACTTGAGCAGGAGCGGAGAAAGTCCCTGTGGTGGATGACATGGTGGGGTGAGAGGTGAGGGGTCAAGATGATCGTATATGTGACCTGGGTATTTCAATGGAGAAGACCGGGAGACAAACGACTTAGTCGAGCAAAAAGGCAGCAATTGTGTTTTATCAGTGTTAGAAATAAATAAATGAAACAGAAAACGAGCACCTGGGTAATCTTCAGATTAACGTTGCGTTGGCGGATGCATTACCTGATACGTCAGGCGTCCCGCACACCGCAAGTTTGCACTGTTTGCGTTATGTTGGCCGGCGATCGGCACAACAATTCACCGCTTATCGAAAATCGATTTGTCTTGGCACTCAACTTTTTCGAGGCGGTTGGAGCATCAGTGCGATCATTAGTTCATATTGCTACTTTTTTCTCTCCCGTTGGGTCTGTAGGAAAAATGGTCAAGAACAACTTCGGTAAGACAGCCTTGCTTTCAGAACCCACAATTTTCACCTTCAGACCGGCTCTAACAGTTTTTTTTTCTAGGCAAGAGTTCCAAGCGGGTGCCCGTTCGCCTTCGTCACAAGATTGAGAAGGCCGCTGTTGCTAAGCAGAAGAAGGCGAGAAAGCTCGCAAAGCAGGTGCGTGAATCCAGTTGATCTTACCCATATTGTGAACTCAGTATTTGCTTACGATCTCTTATTTACAGAACCCAGAATGGCGGTCTAAGATCAAGAAGGACCCGGGTATTCCCAGTCTTTTCCCTTTCAAGGATAAGATCCTCCATGATATTGAAGAGAAGAAGCGTTTGAAGCAGGAGGATCAGGAACGCATCCGGGAGGAGGCTCGCCTTCGTCGCGTCGAGGCCAAGCAGGCCAAGAGTGGCAACCAGGAAGGTGTTGAGATTGATGAGAACGATCTGGATGATGATATGGAACTGGAGGGTGATGAGTCGAACCCAATGGCTGCGCTGCTTGCCTCCGCACGAGCTCGTGCTACCGAGTATGACGACGAAAATGGAAGTGACGATGATGAGATGGAGGAGGACGACGACGACGAGATGGATGAGGATGATGAAGAGGGCGGCATAAATTTCAATGACACCACTGTTCCCGATTTGGCCGACACACAAAACCCCACCAAGGAGAGCTCACGGCGCGCTTTTGACAAGGTCTTCAAATCAGTCACCGACGCTGCGGATGTTGTGTTGTATGTGCTCGATGCTCGTGATCCGGAGGGTACTCGGTCGAAGGACGTGGAGCGGGAGATCATGGCCGCTAATGCTGGCTCTAAACGTCTCATTCTCATCCTTAACAAGATCGATCTTGTCCCACCACCGGTTCTCAAGGCCTGGTTGGTGCACCTGCGCCGCTACTTCCCCACCCTCCCACTCAAGGCCTCCAACGGGGCTGGAAATGCTCACAGCTTCGACCACAAGCAGCTTTCCGTGAAGGGTACCTCCGAGACTCTCTTCCGTGCTCTCAAGTCCTACGCCCACAGCAAGCAGTTGAAGCGCTCTATCTCTGTCGGTGTCATCGGATACCCCAACGTCGGCAAGTCCTCTGTCATCAACGCTCTTACCGCTCGCCTCAACAAGGGCTCCAGCAATGCCTGCCCTACAGGTGCTGAGGCTGGTGTCACCACCAACCTGCGTGAAGTGAAGCTCGACAACAAGCTGAAGCTCATCGACTCCCCGGGTATCGTCTTCCCCAGCACCAACGGCAAGACCAGCAAGAAGTCCAAGGAGAACGAGCAGGCCCGTTTGGTCCTTCTTAATGCCATCCCACCTAAACAGATTGAAGACCCCATCCCTGCTGTAAACCTGCTGGTTAAGCGTCTTTCTGCTTCGGATAACCTCATCGCCAAGATGCTCGAGGTATACGGAATCACCTCCCTCTTCCCTGTTAACGGCGATAAGACCACCGATTTCCTCATCCAGGTGGCCCGCAAGCGTGGTCGTCTTGGAAAGGGTGGTGTCCCCAACATTGCGAGTGCCGCTATGACCGTCATCAACGACTGGAGAGATGGCCGTATCCAGGGCTGGGCCAACGCCCCAGTTTTGCCTGTGGTTACTCCCGCTGATGCTGCTGCGGAACCAGGTGCTCCTCTGGCGGATACTACACAAGTTGTTACTGAGTGGGCCAAGGAATTCAAGATCGAGGGCCTCTGGGGCAACGGCGAGGGCGATGATGAAGAGATGGAGTGAATGGAATTCTCATGACTTTATCTTTGTCGAACCCAGTTCGATGCCGGCCATTCTCGCTTTCAATTTCATTGGATACCAAAAAGCAGGCGTTTTATGTTCGGATGTTATAGTTTTCTTTTCTTACAATCGAAGCATTTGTCAATATCTCTAGACGAGCGCAAAATCTATAAATGAACTTTTTTGATTAAATATTTCAACGCAAAGATGAACTAAGAGTGTTTTAATCAAGAGAATGCTTTTGAATGTATATCCAATTTATTAAATTATTTAATAAAATAAACAAAAGTTGTACCTCACCGAAGGTTATAATGTAGGACGATTTGCGTGCGCGGGTGAAGCCATTGATTGTGCAGGCCGGAGTCCCCACACCGCGCCAATCCCAATCGCATCTCGCGACGCGGATTTCGCGTTCTCTCTTCTTTCCGTCCAGCCTCGATTCGCTAGCGACTCGAGAGCCATCCATCACAACAGCGGTTAGCGCATTCATGTGATTTGGGAAACACTTATAACCTGAAATCTAACCCTTTGTCCAATAAAGATCCACGATCCAATTCCAACAATCATCTTGGCTACCCGATCCATCCCCGACCGGAGCATACGACACCAGCGAAGACAAAAGGATTCGAAAAGAGAGAGAACTCCTCATAAGCTCACAATATGCCCCCTCGCAAATCCACGTCCTCGGTGACACCCGCAGACCCGGACGATCAATCACTATTATCGCCGGTGGCACCTAGCACCAGCGACAAACCCATTACCGCAACAGAGCAGCAGATCAAGGCAAGGGCAGAGTTAGGCGTGAGCGTCGAGGTGCGTATACTCATCACCAACACAGAAACAGGATAATCAATCCGAAGAATTAGAGCTGACGTACTCATGTATAGGATTACCTCCTTCCACGCTCGTTGACTATTCGTCTGGCGAAGGCTGTCCTGCCACCCAACACCACAATTCAGAAGGACGCTGTCCTTGCCATCCAGAAGGCGGCTACGGTCTTTGTTTCGTATCTATCATCCCAGTATGCAATGCACTTCCACTCACCAAAACTATCCCACGCGAAGAAATACTAACGAACTTTTACCAGTGCCAACGACGCAACTCTTAAACGGACACTCGCACCTGCCGACGTCTTCGCAGCGCTATCGGAGCTCGAATTCGACTCTTTCCGCTCTAGACTTGAGCAGGAACTCGATGCGTACACGGAGATCAAGGCTGGAAAGCGAAAGGCGAAGAAGTCCGATGCCAACGGTGGTGCGGATGTAGCTCCTGCTGCTGCTGCGGATGAGGATGTCGAGATGGTTGATAACCCTTCGAAGAGGGTGAAGAGGGATGATGAGGGTGGAGAGGTCCCTGGTGGTGATGGGGATGAGACGCAGGATGAAGAGATTGAGGAGGAAGAGGAGCATGAGCCAGAGCAGGAGCAGGAGGGAGAGGATGAAGAGGAAGACGATGCCGAGGAGACGCAGGATAGAGGTGATGAGGATATTGATCGGGTTGAGGACCTGGATCAATCTGCTAGGCCTATGGATCCGGATGCTGATGAGACGGACGATGATGATGGACCTGCTAGTCAGCTGCGTGATGATTTGGGTCTTGGTTAAAGATTGGATTGTTGGTGAAGTGCTTTGGACTGATCGGTTGCATATGGGGGGAAATGTTGTTCCAGCGTCTAGGTCCCTGGTAGTGCTTGGGATTGCTGTATGATATAAATAATGATCAAAATAGTTAACTAAATTTTCCAATTCAGGGATTTGAAACCAAAACTGGGCTGAATCAGCTCTATTATGATGTTGCTAAGGTCAGATGAACACTACTTACTAGTAAACGCTGGAAGCTTGAGATTCATCAACGTATCCATGAAAATCATCATGGATGTGCAACTCTTGCCAGTTGGATACAAGCATACTACTCTTGTCTGGAATAGCTTGGAGGTACTACTAGTATTAGGACTACGAGACATCACGATAACAGGGCCTCAAGCTTAGTGCTAGGTTTATAGAGCCATCTCAACTTCCAATGATTCCAAGGTCGAAGTCACCCCAAGCATCCTTCCATATATATCCATGGATGGGTTGAAAAGTCGAATGTACAGATGTGTATCATGACTGATACTACACAACTTAAGGGAAAGCGCATTTTAAGGATATGTTACGTAACTGGAACCGGAACGAGTGTGGTATATCATCAATGCGAGAATGGCCATGGAAGACCAATAATGTTATTGAAGTAGGGCCAATCCCATAGGTCATCTCAACATCCAAAACGTGTTTACAGTAGTAACAACACATGTAACAAAAAGGGCATGCTATCATACATTATAACCACCGAGCCATTGAAACGCCAACGCCACTCATGCATCAAACCGTAGTCTATTATTGGTATCTTGCGAGAAGGACGGAAGAAAAAAGAGCCCACATCTTCCCAGAGACATTCGGAAGAAGCAGCAAAGAAAAAGAACATCCCATCGATAAAGAAGTCGAAGGGATATCATGAGAAATGAAAGGATCAGAAACCAGAGCGCCGTCTGGGACATGCATCATAACGCGATGGTTGAAAGGTAAAAGAAGAAATGAGAAATGAGGGTCGGAATCTCAGTTGAGGGGAAGAACCGTCAACTAGGACATTCGGTCACAGGTGTGGCTTCTACCCCTTCAACAACTTTCCCTGAGGCGTCCGCGTTCTTGGGAAGATTGGGGAACATAACGACTGGAGCCAGTGCTTTGCCGCCTGCAGTCTTCTTCGTGGCGTTCGCAGGCGCAGTGGCCGATTTTCCGACGGTACCGAAGTTGGTGATCTGTTTGGTTGGTTTGGCAGCTGTCTTGGGTGCTCGCTTCTTGGGCGCAGCAGCAGGCTTACGAGCTGCTTGAGCTGGTGCGGTGGTTTTGGCTGAGCCGAGCATGTCTTTGAGATTACGGCCCTTGCTTGCTGGATTGGCCAACTTGCCCACCTTCTTCGTATTGGGCTTCTCATCGTTGCTAGCAGACGGTGTAAGCAGGCCTGTCTCTTCGATGGTGCGCTTCTTCTTTGGCGTGATAACGACAGCAAGTTTGAATTCTGTTTCCGAATCGGTTTCTGGTTTGAGGCCGAATACAGGTTCTGGCAACAGTGATTGATATGGTGTACAATCCTCCCAATTCTTGAGTGCGACGAGATCCGCTACTTCATCAGTGTTTCCTTGAACGATCAAGTCAAAGCAATTTTCGAACTCTTTTCCAACAGGAGGTTCATTATTGATGAACATTGTCACTCCGTCCTTTCGTGTACGGATGACGGTACATAAACTCTTCACAAGGCGGCGGACACCAGGGATTTTAAGGCTGGTTCCTGCAACAATCAATACGCGAGGGCGAGATTTTACATCTGCGTTCATAACAGAGGTGATAGCTTCTTCATCGGGGTTATGCTCGTTGTACAGAACAATTCGTGGACGCAGACGTCCTACACCATGACTGCGTTGTTCGGCGATGCGACGGTTCCTGTCATTTTCGGCACAATCACCGCACTCTGGCGGGTCGGTTTCCACGAATATACTGGGATCCAGATCGGAAGTGGATCGACATTTTTGGCAGACCATCTTTTGAATGCTGCCGTGAAGTTGAATAGTTACAGGCCAGCGACCCTTGACGTTGAGGGGGACTTCTGTTTGAAGTGGCACCATGGACGTTTCAAGGCCGTCAATGTTTTGGGTATACAGACGCTTGAGGCGATTCTCCTTGCCCAGTCGAGCAAGCATTTGGTGAAACTTGGTAGGTTTGGTCTTTTCGGACTCAATCTTGAGCGACCGCACCAATTCATGAAAAGGCGCCGTCAAGGCGTCATCCTGATAAACAGCCGCATCAAACAAAAGTTTACCGGAAGCCTTCAAATTATGCTTCTTTTGCAATGATTTAAACAAGCCATCTGTGGAACGAAAATCCGGAACTATAGAGGTGTAAGTGGTGGTGTCCCCTGATGTGGAACGCGGCTAGGGGAAAAACTTACTACCCGCGGAGGTGGAGATACCAGCACCAGCAATAACGACAATATCTTTTTGGTGGCGAAGAGTTTCAACAAGTAATTTTGCTTGATCCTTTTGACTTTCGGAAGATTGCGACAGCTTCAGATACTGTGTCGTTCGTTCTTTGGGCAGTGGGTTACGTCTCCTCTTTTTGGCGGGAGGACAGTCTTGGCGGATAGAATCCTCACCTTCCTGCGAAGAGGACGGCGTCAGGTACCGTGCCGCAGGCTCCGGTGATGAACGCGGCGACGAGGCCAAGGAGCTCAAATCCGAGCAATCTGAAACTTCATGATTCATGACGAAGTAATTCGACGCGTCCACAGACAAGTAATAGACAGGTATGGGGGAGCGCGCCGGCTTATGGGGGGGGGGCGAGCTGGGTCGGAGGAGATAGATGGGTTGAGGGGATAGTTCCTGTTTAGCACGGATATGCTGGGAAGAACACGGGAATTGTGTATGACCGACTCATATATGACAAAATCATAGACAGTATAGATCAATGGAAGTGTTCAGGTAGGTAATAATTTCAAAATTGCCCTGTAATAGGGAACGCGCGGAAGGAAGGTGGTTGTAAGAAGGAAGTGTTGGAAAGGGGATATTTGCAGACGATGAGGTCAGGTGTTGGGGGGGGGGGAAGGGAGATCCGATATTAAAGTACAAATTTGAGGGGGGGGGGGGGGGAATAATATAATAACGGAAAAGAAAAAAAAGAATTCGAAACGGCCCGTTCTTCAAAAGCTTTTGTTTTGACTCACGTCCGAACGGAAGATTTAGATCTCACGTTTGAAGGTCGAGGAATGTGGTTGTGATGAACAACGCAACTCTTCGCTCCCAAAACCCGCGGTATGCTGGGCGAATGGGAAGTGCGGGTCAATGATTCGATGATGCGCTTGTTTTGAAGTAGAGTAACATCAGAGAACTCGCGGAGAACACTAAGAGAGATTTCTCCCGGGAAGCTATGTATCGAAGCTATGTATCTCTGAAAAAGTCCTTGGGGGCACCTGGGGGAATTGTGGGAATACACGAATGATTGGATCTAACCGAGTTCCCGGGCATTAGTCCCTCTCTCTTTCCCTCGCGTTAATGTTTTCAACTTTCGCGGATGATTTGGATATTTGCTGCAAACAGTCCTGATTGGTTATACAAGATGTGGGGCGCTTCTTCAGGGTTCTGATTGGCCCAAGCTGGTTGGCAGGGCTACCGTCACATGACCTGTTTGTGTCTGACTAAGCGGGGATGATAGAGATTAAAGACTAGGGGAAAAGAGAGGAAAGGAAGGTCTATAAGAATCAATCTATATATCTAGATCCTATCTGGAACAACTTTATACATCTGGGAAGCAAAGGAGTGGTGTCTAAGTTCTCTTTGTTGCCTTTCAACGGTGCCGCCAATCAATTTGGAAGTTCCCTGGCAGGAGTGGTTGATTCCCCCCTTCCCAACGGAGCCGCCGGTCATTCTCTATCAAGGCCCCGGGGTCTAGATCGTCAATCATCTAAGTTATGCGGGGATAGCTTCCTTCTATATATCGCATGATCAAGGTCCTTGATCTTCATTAAATCCACAGAATCCAAGTGATCATGGATCAGGATATCAATGTTGACGACCTCTTTGGGGAGTCGGGTCCGCTGGATCTGGGCCTGCCAAACGCTCCGCCCCCAACAAAGGGCCTCGCACAATGTCAAGATGAGATGCGTCTCTTAGGGTGTCGACAGTAAGTTATCCTACTATGTCAAAGGGCTATGGAAATAAACTAACCATCTACCATAGGAAGATTGCCTGGTCTCGATTGGGATGTATTGCATATATATCGTCAGATGGACTTCGAGTCAATCTACGTCATTTGAAATGCAATAGTTCAGTTGGAAAATGGGCTCTGAGTGATGAAACTCCACTCGCACCAGTTACAGAAACCCATGGTGGCAATCAACTTGTACACCTATCTTGGAATGAGACTGGCTCCGAAATGGCGGTCGTCGACTGCCTCGGGAGAGTTTCCATCTATTCAATCTCGCTCGCTTTGAATAGCATCTCACCTGTACGACAGGCCCAGTTGGATTCTAGCGATGATAGCAACCAGATTGTTGGCATGATGTGGCTCAACACCCAGCGAATGGCAAGTACTTATCCGATGCTTCTCACAATACGTGTACATACAAATGAAATGATAAAACTTGCTAACATCCCTACCAGCTCCATGCTTTCCACCAAGCAGCCAAAGTCAATGGCCGATGGGCTTACACGCCCTTTCGTCGTCGCCCAATTGGCCCCTTTCACCCGGCCAATAAGAATGCCCTGATCTGTGTTACCCGGGCCGGCCAGATTCGTCTGATGTATCAGAATCCAGACAGCAAATGGACCGAACTCCCTGCAGAGCTTAAAAACACTGGGTATTCAGATAGAATGCTGACCCATGCATCAATTGTAGCAACTGCGTGTAAGATCCTACCTGTTACCCTCATGGTTATAGTCCCCGACTAAAAAAATTTCCTTCCTTAGCTGGCGTCTTGATTGCCACCTACTCTGTGTGCCAGAAGATATGTCTATACAGGGTAAACATCACATGGAACCCGGATAAATGGGAGAATACGCAAGTCAAACAAGGCGCGCAATTCCCGATTCCATCCTTTCGGTTCCAGCATTGCAAGATCGATATGCCAAGCAGTATATTGAATGTCACTCGGGGGGTTGATGAACACCTGAATCAATCATTACCATTCCCCAACTCCATCTATTCATTGACTCGACTTGAGATCATGCCTGGTCAAATCGATAGCCCGACTGGTTCAACGGCCATCCCCTGGATCCTTGCCGTCTTTGCCAAGCCCGTCCATGCTACACCTGAATATCCTGACCAACAAGGGCCTCCAAGTATGATTGTGCGATGGCAATTGGATAGTGCTCCTCAAGCCTTCCATCCAAAGTTCGATGAAGTTACAACAAGGAAAAGCAATAGTCAACCTAAGGTATGCAATCTTCATGGTCCCATGCCGAACTTGAATGAAGTTAGCTGACATACTCGTTAAGTCCAAGATGGAGTTGCGTCGTTTAGATGATATCCATTGCGATAAATATATCATTTCGGTAGATATAGTGGAGCATGGAACTGCTCTGGCTGTGACACACGATGACAGCTCCGTCACGTTTTATGATACGCGAACGATGGCCGTTTTCAACGGACTGGACGACACCAGTACTGTGACATGCCTGGCACAAGCAGGCTTTCAGTACCCTATAGACTCAACAGGTTTGTTCCAAACAATTCGCTTTTACTGGTCTTCTTAGCTTACATATACAGGGGTATCCATTGCTTTCTCTCCTAACTCTTGTGTTTCTGTATTACTGGATACAGAGGGACAACCCCATTTGAGGTTGATGGAACATACGTTCGGATCTAATGATGGTCTATATGATGAAAGTATGTATTCCCCTCCTCCAAAAGTATAGCGAATTACCCAATCACTAACATCAGAATTAGCCAAGTTTTCTTCTGCCGTCGCAGCACTTACACTTGGCTTTAGCCGGGGATGCGGTGCTGAAGTGAATACGGATGATATTCTTATGGTAGCACTGAGGTTGCTTAGACAGGGTGAGTTTGGCGGTTCTTCGATTATCAACTAAGAGATTGGCTAACACAATTAATCAACAGAAACACAATCCGTATTCATTGGTGAAGTGTATCGTGCACTTCCTGTCAATTGTAACTTCACAGTGGAAACAGAAAAGCTCATGACCCATCCTTACATTCCTCGATGTTTGAGCTTGCAAGCTGCACTAGGCTTCAAGGGAAGATTGAAACGTCGTGGTCTTGCGTCCTCCGTTACCTGGACAACTCTTCAGCTACGCCATGCTGCTGTCCTAATTGCATATTTCTTTCAGCACGGCAATAAGGGCCAGAGCGACGCTTCTGATCCAGGTACATGAAACCCCCTCAACTAGCTAAAGGCCACCCCACTAACAACACATACAGAAATTCTACGAGTCATACTTGGAAATATCAAATGGGTCCTTGATTTCTCGCATTACATCCTGAGCGAGGTATTTGACTTAGCAGATGAGTTTGAAGACCTGTTTACAGACCAAGAGGTCTTCGCCCAGAAACGTAAACTACACGTCCCAACCTACATTCAAGGCTATTAGCTGACCAAATCACTCAGTGAAAACGGTCAACTCTGTTCCCCTCCTAATCCTACTCTCAAGCATGTCTCGCGCTTTCCTCCGCTTCATCTGTCGTGGTCTCCGCGGTGTCCACGGAGCCTTCGCCAAACTTAACCCCGCAATGCTACCTCCAGATTCAAGAGTCTACTACACAGAGATCTGCCACGCTCTAGACAACTCCCCCGTCCGCATAGATATCTACGAGAAATTCCTCGCAAGCGTCGACTCCGCCGTCAAACACGCCTACCAAGGGGCGGGCTTCGGAGACGCAGAACGACCAGGCCCCGAAAAGGAACTCCTCGTTAATGCGCGAATCCCACCTGTCCTCGTGACTGCAGTCTCAACAGTACTCAAGCACAATATCCCAGCGCTCAAATCAGAAATCAACTACAAAGATATCCTCCTAACTGACTATAGCTGGCTTGGTTATGGGAATGATGCCCGAACGGCTATGTACCGTAAACATCGGGATGTTGACATCCTGAAGAAAATTGTGCTGCGGCCGACGCTTGCCGTGGGACGGAGTGGAAGGGTTGTTCAACCACAGAAGAGGAGGAGATGTGTACGGTGCAGTGAGGTTTCGGGGGATTCGGCCCTGCCAAAGTCGATTATGTATTTTAGAATGGTTGCTAAGTTGAATTTGTTGAGGTGTTGTCCCTGTGGGGGTATGTGGATGCTTGAGGAGGAATCGGGGTCTGATAAAACTACTGGAGGCTTGTTGCAGGGGCAGCAGCGGAATCATATACCTGCGATGAGAACGCCGGCTATGATGCCGGTGTCTTTGGGGTCATGAGGTTTACATGCTGGTGTTTAGATCCCCAAAGTACCGTTGTCGTGTATGAATTGAATGATAGGTTGATTGAGTACTATATACTACTAGTATTTTTCCCGGCACCCATTGTAAGCGATTCCAAGATCATTCCAAGGTTACTACATCAAACCGTATGGTACTACGGCTTTAAGGATGCGTTCAAATGGCACAATTTGGATATCGAAGCAGGTCCAGTTGGTACTACTGACAGAGCCTTAGGTTGGGATATATGTTAGGTATACAAATGGATCACTTATTAACCGACAACTGTCATTCAGAATCTACATCCAGCCCTTGGGTATCTCCAGGAATATTTGAACAATCTAAAAGTCATGTCATGTCAAGAGTCAATTTGCATCCATCTAAGATACATAATCAAATTCCATTTTTTGGATAAAAAAAGAGAAAATCGACCCTGCCGCGAGGTTTCAGGTCCACACGTTCACACGTCCTGTTTTATGTGTCCAAGGGCAAGAACGTCTTCCCACAAACTCCAGATCCCATCAAGGTTTTTTTTAACTTAAGCCTGTTGATGTACAGTCAGCAGTTGTCCAGATGCAGAATTTCATATTTTTTGCGAAGAAAATGTGCAGATGAAGAATACAGCAACGTCGGATTGAACAAAATGCATTCAATGTAAAACCATGCCACATCCTACAGGCCGTACACTTCTTGCGAATATGTTCAAGGGTGAATCTCATACCTTAACAGCGAACTTGCGCTGGGGGAAGTGGATGGCGCGCTTGCGCTGGCGCTCAGTGGTGCGGGTAGCCTCGTGCTTGGTAAGACGGCGACGCAGCTCACGGGTGAGCTTGGGACGGAGGTCGAGAGGGAGGTACTTCTTGTTCTTGTAGAACAGACGCAGTTGGGCGCGCTGGTTGGCGTTGATGACGGTGAGGATACGGGCGATCGACTTGCGAACGTCGTGGCTGTAGAGCGGAAGAACCGCAAGTCAGTATTTTTGGCATTTCAAGATCGAAAAAAAATCCTTGAATATTCTCCTTGCAAGTTGGGATTTCCATCAGGGATTGTGCGTTGAAACATGTTGTCGTTTTTCTTGTCGTAGTTCGTCGTCCAATGTTTGCCCCCTCTTATCAGGATTTTTTTCCATGTTTGCCGCCCGGTCGCACAACCCCCTCGGTTTCCTTCGCTCACAAGTCGAAATATAGGAATCAGAACGTCGGAATCGAATACGCACATCCGGTTGGTCTTGGAAGAAGCTCCGGAGGAGATCTTCTGGACACGCAGCTGGTTAAGCTCGGTCTTCAACTCCTCGAGCTGCTGGGAGAGCTCCTCCTTGTTCTTGCCCCAGAGCTGACCAGCCTTGACCTTGGACGACTAGAAAACGTAAAACAATCAGCTGGGGGGTTCTCGTTGTATCGGCGGGCATCACGACGTACCATGGTGACTGATGTGTGTGCTGGGTTGTCGGCGTTGAGAATTGAAGATGTCCGATTCAGTCAAATTGTGGTTGTGGGACTAGGGCTAAGCGAGATGGCCGCACTAAACGGAGGCACGTGACAACTTCCACAATTTTGAGACCTGCTGGATACACCCTAACTTTGCTACTTACACCCCAATATCCCTCACCGCCGTATTTGTAATACAACCTAAGGCACGAAGGTATTCGTAATTCTGCCGGCAGCATGAGTACGGTCCGGAATCAAACATATACACTTAAAATCTCCATGTAAAATACATCCATTTTATTAATGATTTAACGACATTTATTATACTAGTAAGTTGACTTATTCCAAGCTAACCTAAAGAGGAAACAGAGGCTGATTTTAAAAACACCGGCAAATATATTTTCAGCCAAATTAACTAGCAAATCTATTGATCTGCGGATACCCAGGCCTTTTATGCCCCTCTATGCTGCAATTTCTATATATTGGCGGCCTCCTCTGAGATTGCTGAGTTGGTGGCTATTGTGAGTCTTGTTGTAACTATTACTTATAAAACTCATAATCTATAATATCTTCAATGGTATCTAACTACTTCTATAGGCTTGGGATTTACCCCTATGACCCCTCTAAGGCTCTGGGGGCTCAAGAGGCTTACCGAAGCAAATCTAAAGCTTGTAATAGTGGCTATAAGCCCTATAAGCTATATAGTATTATATATGACCCTAGTGATATCCATTTTCTCCGATTATCCTATATTCTTAGTTCTTATATAAGAAGAAGATCTAGATAGAATTACGGTAATCTAGTAGCCTAAAGCTACTATTATAGATAGAAGAGATAAAGAGGTAGTAGTTTTTACTTAGTATAATATTGGTTTATTTGGTGGATATATAGAATACTACTGCCTTTACTATATATACAAAATATAGGAATTTAAGGTTTTTCGGTATAGAGAGGAAGATATTTTTTAATTTCTTTCTTTAGATAGCAAATAGCTAGAATTGAAACTTTCTGTATAATATTTAGTAGTAAAAATATATGGAATCTATAATCTATAAATCGTCTAAGTATCTGATCATATAATTGATATTAAATATCAGTATATTAACGCTAAATTATCTATTCAAAGATCTTAAAAGCTCTAAGGAGTATAGTTAAGGTTCCCTATTTAAATATTAGTAGAGAATTTCTTAATAATTATAGGAGAATTACCTATTAATCACACTTAAATACCTAGTATACTGACTTATTCTAAGATATTACAACCTTATTAAGATAAAGATAATTATATATATAATAGTATAAGAATATCTTTATATTTATAGGATTAAGCTATTCCTTCTAGATATAATAAATTAGTTTAGTAAAGATCTTATAATAGTAAGTTTACTAAAATTCCAGCCATTTTTATTTATAATCTTAAGGAGTTAAAATAGTAATAACTTTATACTAGAGCTATTTTATTTTACTCTATTAATAAAGCTTCTCCTGTTGTATATAACCATTTATTAAAGATAGAATTTCCTATTTTTTTATAGCTTTTTTGATCTCCTATTCAAGATACTATCGAATAGGAGTATATATATAGATAAAGAAATACTTATTGATATACTATAGACATAGTATATAGTTAAGTATAAAAACTATTTCTATTATACTAAGAATTATAAGCTCCTTATCTATAAATATAGTTAATAGCTCTAGTATTAATTCTACTACTAAAACTAATTGTAATTACTATAATACCTAATAAAATGATTTGATAATAAAGTCTACTATAAAGTAGAAACCGGTAGAAAATATCTAATTTGTTGATATTATTCCTGTAATATCAAGTAATAGTATTTTAAACTTATTAGTTTTAAATATTATATCTATCTAAAGAATATATGGGTAAAGACATAAAAATCCAATAGAAATCTAGTAAATAGTAAATAAAGTAAGTAAGATATAATCTTTATTATATCTGTAACGGATATACTAATCCCTTAAGTTTAGGAGATCTTAGAGAAGTACTTAAATAGAAAAGTAGTTATTAAGTTATTCTTTATTAAGCACTAACTTAATATTATAAATATCCTTTATAATAATATTATTATCTTCCTATTGGAGTTAATCTATAATCTAGTAAGACTAAAGACCATCCTGGATAGCTTATTTAATAGCTAAATATCTTTTTTTTACTACTATTTAACAAAGGTAGGGAATATTGATTACTAGTAATAGTAGATAATTATAGTCACTATTTTAAATATCTAATATCTATATATCTCTATCTAAACAAAGAATAACTTGGAAAGAGTAATTATATTTCTATATATAGTATTTCCTATATTTTTCTATATTAATTCCTGGTTTTTAGTTATCACGATATTTACTACCTAGCTAATATTAATAGATAACTTAAACTTTTATCCTCTGATAGGTATTTAACTATTTTAATATAATAGTATAGCCTTAGGTAGTTACAAATTAATTTATCTCTATTTAAGCTTTATTTAGTAAAGAATACTTAAGTTTCTAGGATAGAAGTAGCTAAAATAGAGAGAAACTTAGTTTAATATCTAAGGAGATATTAACTAATACTCCTTTAAGAAATTAAGCTTCTTTATTAGGAATTATATTAGTAGTAGTAGGAAAATTATTATAGAATATAGAAGAAGGGGTAATAGAGAACCTAGGATTAGTTATAAAAGATTTATTAGTTTTAAGTGATATAATAATATCTAAATCACTTTAAACTTCTAGGTATAGTAGAGAAGATAAGAAATAATAATACTCTAAAAAGAAATTTATTTTAGTAAGGGGGAGGTATCTAAATATATGTTTAAAATAGTATTATTACTTAAAATATTAATATAGTAATAGGAGTAATAAAAATATATATTCCTGAGGGTACTATAGGGCCTTAACAACTAATTAGCTTCTTTTAATATTTCTGTAAATAGTAGGTTATATACTTACTATATCTTACTATACTTTACTATTTCCCTGTTATTTACCTTTATATAGTAACTTTATATATTTTTACTTCTAGTTTAATTCACTACAACAATACTATTTTAGCTCATTTTTTAAAATATTTTTGGATTAGTAAATATATGCTATTTATCAATCATATGTTAAGATATAATTGAAATTAATCAAAAAATGGAATTATCCAGGCGCTCCGCAATAGACGTCTTTTTTAATATGTTTTGGTGAGGTTTGGTGTGTCCGGCGTCCACCGCCTTACCTGACCGCCATTTTAAATTACACCGCCTTAATACCAACCGATAATACAAATACGGCAGAATTCCCAAAATGGATTAGCCTGGGTGTAAGTAGCAAAGTTAGGGTGTATCCAGCAGGTCTCACAATTTTATTTAGTGCCTCGAAATTTAGGTGTCAGCTATTCAGGCCACAAGGCATTAAGGGATCTTTCCTAATTAGGCTAGCTCCCTTGGCGCACTTACGTCGTCACCCTCTGCTATTATTGTCCGGGGTGAGGTCTAGTAAGAACCCGACCAGCTTGAAGGTGAAGAGGCTTGGAGTTACTACGAATTTTCACCTCATACATTAATCTATTACCTTCCATGACTTCCACTAGCTCCGGTTGGGCGCAACTTCGCCAACAAGCCCGCTCACTAGAAACTCAGGTATCTAATCTAATCCGACCGACTTGGCCGAGGCATTTGAGATATTCTACGAACATAGGACTAACCATGGCCCTTCCAGACCGAGACCCTATTCCACACCTATGCACAATATGCATCGCTTACGAAGCCTCCACCAGAGCCGACAGAAGACGAGAAGCGGGTTGAATCCCAGCTAAAGGACCTCCTTGAACGAGTAGGTGCTGTCCGGGATCAGAAGCCTTGAACTAGCAGGCTGACATTCTTCTCCCACATAGCGTGACTCTCTCATTGCTCAACTTTCTCGACTCCTCGACTCTGAAGCTACCCTTACCTCTTCTGCTCTTAAACAAAACAACCTCTCCCGGCACCGCGAGATCCTTCAAGATCATCGCCGAGAGCTTCAGCGATTGACCTCCGCTATTGCCGAGACTCGTGATCGCGCGAATCTTCTCTCTAATGTCCGCTCTGATATCGATGCCTATCGCGCATCCAATCCCAGTGCCGAAGAAGCTGAATATATGATCGAAGAGCGCGGTCGAGTAGAGAACAGCCACAATATGATGGATGGCGTGCTGAGTCAGGCCTACGCCATTAATGAGAACTTTGGGGTACAGCGTGAAACGCTCGCCAGCATCAATCGACGTATTGTTGGTGCTGCCAGTCAGGTCCCCGGCATGAACTACTTGATGAGCAAAATTGGAACCAAGAAGCGGAGGGATGGAATCATCCTAGGCTGTTTTATTGGTTTCTGTTTTCTAATGCTACTTTATTTCCGTTAAGGGACGGGGCTCAACTCAACTTTCCTGGATTTTTATCTGCCTTCGTGCATGCGAGGTTTCCATTTTATTTCTCCGTTGCAGTTGTCTAGCGACTTTGTCATGATTACTTCTCTGCTTTCATCGAGGCGTCCGGGGTTGGGCATTTCCTTAAGGCGAAATGCCTGTTTTAGCAGGTATGATGATAATATTGCACTTGGCTCAAGATAGCGTTCATTTGTTATCTCTTTTTCCTTCTGTTATACACATTCTCTATTATATATGTACAAATCCAATGTGGAGAGGGGAATTGCATCTTAACCACCGTATCTTACAGGAACTCAAACACTTCCTGGACCTTATGGGCCATCTCATAGGCGAGGACGAGAGCGTAACTCAGTAAGACTTTTTTGTTCCGCAATCAATTTCTCCAGCGCAGTATGCATCGACTCCAACTCTTCAGGATGTGCTGGTCCACTCCCTGCCCACCGAATGCGACAATCCGCATCAACGAGGTAGACATACCCCACATATGTATTTACCATCCCAATAGCCTCCCTCAAGGTCTCATTGAACCCCTTCTCAACCAAGAAGTATCGCGAATGCTGTTCAACGGGGAAATTCTTGCGTAACCGACCCAAAAACCGCCTCACCAGCCATGCTTTCATACGGTTCTCCTCAAGATTGAGGTCCACTCTTTGCGCATACTGGGAGTTCTGCGTGAGTATCTCCTTAAGCACGGGATTCTTATCCTCGCCGTTGTAGTTGCCTGAGAATGTTGCTGTTTGCAGTTCACCCCAAAGACTGCTGAAGAGGTTGACAACACTGACTTTCCCGCGAAGGATTGCAGTTGTGTCTTGGGGGTCTTTTGGTGAAGCGAGGGTTATGCCGTTGAAGTTGGGGAAGTATAATGACTTATCGGCGCGGAACAATCGGGGGTTTGAGATGAAGGTTTTACCCTTGTGGTATTGTAGGTTGGACCATTCGCGGAAATAGGGCTTTGCGACTAGTCGAGTCCTATTGGTTCATAAACATTATCTGATTAGCTTTTCTTCCCAAATTATCTCATAGAATGTGGGTCTAGTAGGTAGTGAGCCTGAGTGTTTGAGATAGTTCAACACGTACAATTCCTTTCGCCGGGCAATGTGCTTATCATAGTCCACAAAATCATCACGTCGCTCTTTGAGCGATCGAGAATCGACACCCGTGTTCTCTCCCACTTGAGGAGGATATTGTGTGCCGATTGGTCTACTTAAGATCGGAGGAACGAAATTGGCGTCGCCTGGCTTGGAAGCTGGTGTGGGAACTGGAGTTTGGTTCTGCTGGAAGCTCACAGATCCTGGCGCATTAGCTGATTCTTTCGGTGTGGAAATCTTCGTCTCAGCATCGCTAGGTCCGTTTGGGCTCTTTGGGCTTTGCTCGGTGGCATAATGGCGGACGGAACGGGGGTGCGCGAAAGGTGTTGTCGTGCGGAATTGGCAGCTCAGGCTCCGATTGGTTTGCAGAAGCGCCGGCTCCAATATGTGGTATGAATATATTGATGACTTCCACATATTGAATAAATATGCTGGCGGGGATCAAATAAGTAAACTTCGAACACGATTGGAGTTCGCGACGAAGTGTGCCTTGGACATCAAAAAGGCCCGAACGGGAAAAGTAAATCACGTGACCTATATATGCATGAGGCTCTTTTCAAGAGCCTCGCGTTGCTAACCTAAAAAAACTTCATAGGTATTTGCGAGAAAATTGGGAGCGTAATTTGTATATAATATTATCAGCTCAAACCCCCCATCTTTTATGAACAATCTAGCAGAATCCATGTGTTGAGAATGTACATGTAACTTCGAGCTTCCATCAGGAAGTGATTTTGAGCACTCATTCTACTTTTAATAGCAAATTAATACTGAGAGGTAGATGTTTAGTATTAAGCCTTAGCTACTACTAGTAATTCCAACGTTTCATCCAACTCTATTTAGGCAGCAATCACGAAATGCAGCAGCAGACGTCTTGAAGTTCAGGATTGGTTGCCGCTTCTATCTCTATTACTGCATGTAAGTTTAAAATGATCCGGTTTCTAATGAAAGAAAGCTTTAATTGCTAAGGTTTATTATCATCCCAAAGTCACAAGTAACATTATTCCTAGGTTGTAGACTGAAGTGAAGTAAAGCCTTGTATATGTTCGGGTCCGGTTAAATAGGCTTTGTCCCGTGACTTGGTGACACTTTCGCGCGACATCGCGTCCTCGGGTGCCTGTCATTTAATCGTCAACCGGACAAGATCATTCCTTGAGGTTCCGTGGACCTGAAACTCAAGTGCGGTACTTATTGCATATCTATATTAGGCAGCTGTTATGAATCATATGTGGCCAGAACGTGCTTCCCTCATTTGGATACCAGACTAGCCAGCAATGGAATGGACGAAACCGAGCAAAGGGAGCTTCTTTGCAGCTCTCGAGAAGCTTGACCAGTCGGATGATAGTGACGACGAATATGACTCGCTAGAAAGGATTGCTGCTCTCGGGCCTTCAAATATTTCAAAGACAACTGCGCCTTCTGTTTCAGACCATTGCGAGGCTCCAGTATACCCTCAGCTTGCTCGGTCGTCTGCAGACCCAAAACTATCATCGTTATCATCGTTATCATTCAATAACCCATCCGCAGACTGCGATATCGAGGAGATCAATCGGAACACCTTTGAAACCCAGAAGCCCCGAAGAACAGAGCAAACTGTCATTCCAACAGTGAGGAGAGTTCATACCTTGGGAGCTATGGCGGGAACCAAGAATGGAGGCCCCGCCTCAAAGAAAAGAAAGCCAAACAATACGAAGATCGTCCCTGAGAATCAGCAGATTTTCAAAGACTTTGTTCTCTGTGAGTATCATTCGACAAATCACCCGTGACTACAAAATTGGGCTGATCATCCTAGTTTTCTTCCCGAACAATGATATCTCTCCGCCTCGTCGACTACGGATCCAACGAGCTCAGGAGTATGGTGCAAAATGGGAGCGGCAATGGTCTAACAGCATTACCCATGTGATTTTAGATAAAGGCTTGGGGTATCAAGATCTTCTCAAGCATCTCAAGCTGGACCTAGTCCCTGTTTGTTTATACCCACAAAGAGCTGGATACTTGGATATTCGCTAACAAACCACAGGAGAAAGTTGTCATCGTCAATGAAATCTACCTATCCGATTGCATCAAATTCCGCTCAGTCCTAAGCCCCATATTCGAACGATTCCGAGTTGATGGAACTCCTGAAAAGGCCAAAAACGCAGAACATACGGAACCTGCGCGAACAGAGCCCAAGAGTCTTGAAACTTTACCCCTCAAGCAATCAAATCGAGAAAAACTACAATGCCAGGGCCAGGAGTCTACTCAAAACTCTTCCATGGATGGCATGACTATATTGCCGGCTAATGAACCCATCAAAGAGCACAATCTGGGGGCAGGGCTTCGTGAGCGCGATGTCCTTGACGATTTGATCGACGAGTCTAAAGCTATAAGCCATTTGGTGAGAATTCAAATTTATCAATCTCATTTCGCTTTACTAATGGTTATAACCAGCCTCTCGATTTCCTCGATTCTGCAGATGAAAGGGCTGGTGCGGGTGTACATGAATCTGATGATGAGTCTGTGGAATCATCAGAGTCGGAAATACCACGAAAGAGAAAAATACCAAAAGGACGCAAGGGAAACGAGGGAAACGAGGGAAACGAGGCAACGGAGTCATGGGCCAAGAGTTTCGCATGCATGCAAAAGTTCGATCCCGATGCACAGCGAGACAATCCAAACGCCAAAACGATCGAAATTCTGCAGCAGATTGTCAATTACTATGACCGAACAGCAGACCACTGGCGCAGTTTTGCCTATCGCAAGGGTATCAATGCCCTGCGCAGGCAGACTGAGAAGATTGTTACACGAAAGCAGGCCCGGTCCATTCCCGGAATTGGGGAACGATTGGCTGATAAGATTCAGGAAATCGTGCTTACCAACCGACTCCGTCAACTTGACAATACGAACTACACAGCCGAAGATCGTATTATCCAGGAGTTTATCGGAATTTATGGAGTTGGTCTGTCCCAGGCGTCCAAATGGCTGGCCCAAGGACACCGTTCATTGGTCGACCTCTTGGAGAAAGCCCATTTGAGTACGAATCAACGTATTGGGGTGGAGCGGTATCATGACTTTATGCAGCGGATCCCACGCAAGGAGGTTGAAGCTCACGGGGCGATCGTACAAAAAGCAGTCCAGGCGGCAGATCCAGATATGCAGGTGATCATTGCTGGTTCTTACCGCCGCGGGGCACCAAATTCGGGCGATATAGATGTTCTCATCACTAAACCGAACGCTTCCCTGGAATATATTCGTGGCTTGATGCAGGATGTGGTGATTCCCAAGCTATTTCAAGATGAATTTCTTCGGGTTGGGCTCGCCACCTCCAAGCGACATGACCATGATGGTTCTAAATGGCATGGAGCGTCCACTGTCCCTGGCAGTCCGGTTTGGCGACGGATCGACCTCCTCTTCGTGCCTGGGGCGGAGTTTGGGGCAGCGTTGCTATATTTCACGGGCAATGATATTTTCAATCGCAGTATGCGACTCCTCGCTCGCAAGAAAGGACTGTGTTTAAATCAGCGCGGGCTTTATACAAATGTACTACGTGACGCGCAGCGGGTGAAGGTCAATCCGGGCCGATTGCTCGAGGGTCGGGATGAGCGACGGATTTTCGCATTGCTGGAAGTGCCGTGGCGACCTCCACAGGAGCGAATTTGCTAAGAGAAGGAGGGTTTTCTTTTATTTTTATTCCTTCAATGGAAAAAAAGGGCCAAATCATATAGTTACTAGTAGTTGCAAAATATATAGCTCAACTAAACATGGAAGTACTACTACCTGATACTATATAAAAATCCTACAGTATGTAGGTGCGGTAAGCCAAAGTCAAATAGTCAGTGTTGGCTGCGTTGTCCTCTTAACACTGGGAGATTCTTCGTTTTTTTTTTCCCTCTCGCAAAGTGTGACCTCACAATCCTCTTTGACCCTCGTATCTTTTTTTCTCCCTCCTTTAACCACCCTTTCATCGTCTTGCTTCAAGTAATTCCCCCCTCCATCTTGACATCATTCCTTCTTCCATCACCGCCTTGACATTTCATCACCGCCTTTTCCTCCACTCATCACCGCCTTGCGTGCGGTGAAGCCGTCGTCTTGTCTTTCCCCCCTTGAGCTTCCCAGACCGCCTGCTACTGCCCCCCCAGTTTTGCCGCACATCATCGTATTGCTCGAGATATTATTTATTTCTCAGACTCGATCTGTGCCTGGTATTCTCCTATTTGACTCCCTCGGTTCTTGGACGTGGGTGCTCCGTGCCTCTATCGGCCTCCGGCCGACCCTTTCCCCATCTATTTCCATCGACCGCGTCTTGTTGTGGTGGGATTCCATCGCGTCTTTTCCATCGAGTTCGCGAGAGGAAAAAAAAACATTAGACTGCGATTGAAAAGAAACCGCGCCATCTGGTCTTTTGATCAAGTCTGGGATTGGACACGCCCACAGAATTTCCAGGCATCAAGTATAACACATTACGCAACACCCTCTCTGCCCTTTTTTTTTTTTGGTCCCCATTTCAAAATGGGACGCAAGCCCAACCAACTCATCCTCGAGTTCTTCAACCGAGGCCCCAAGCTTGAGGACAACAGCAATCGCTACCAACATACTTGTAAAGCGTGCGGAGAACGATTTCCCAAAGGTCGCATCGACAGCCTCACAAACCATTTGGTCAAGAAGTGTCAAGCTATTCCCCTCCGAGACCGTCAGCGTGTACTCTTGCGACTCCACGAACTCCCGGATCTCACCGAGGGCGACGGAAAAGAAGGAGGAAACAAAGGAAAAGGAGGAGAATTTCCCAACCCGAACCGCCCGAACTTCGACGGGCTGAACGTGCTGGCAGAGGCTTCGCGTCAAGTGGGTGCTTCGGACACAACAAAGCGAGGCCCAGGATACACTCAGTCTGTCACGGCTGGTGGGAAGACTGTCATTGTGGATCCGGCACTTGAAGCTGAAGGCTTTCAAGGCCAGGGTCAGCAAGGAGACGTTAAAAACGAAGATAGCACGCTTCAACAAGGTATGAGTTTCAGATAATCAAATCAAGATCGACAAGGACATTGTGAAAGCTAACAACCCTGATAAAGGTTCCTCTCAGACGCCTATTCCTGCCCTCCCTAGCCATACATCAGGCGATCACGCTTCTATGTCACCGCCCCTTGGTGACACATCTATGACTCCAGATTCTGCGAACAATGCGCGTCAATCGCTTTCCATGATTGCCGCTTCTGCTAACGAGATGGTACCCCAAGGCATGATGGATGGGGATAATGATGGGTTAAAGTTGGGTAGTTGGCATCAGCTATCAACTCAGGAACAGCTGCTGTTCGATAGCCTGCAAGAACATGATCCATCTCTTACCGCTGCCACTCAACGTGCTGCCTCATTTCCACGTCCGATTGCCATGAACCCCAATACCCAAGCTAAAGGTTTTGTGAATGAATTCGGGAACTCAACCAAGCCAACCAAGCCCAAAGTGAGAGGACGCTTTACTGCTGAGAGACGCCGTGAAGTCCAGGAAGTCCGGAAGAGAGGTGCTTGTATTCGTTGCCGCATGCTGAAGAAACCGGTATGAGCCATGTGATACACCGAGTCTAGAGAAACTTTCAGCTAACAGCCGGTCTTTTTAGTGCTCTGGTGATACACCGTGCACCACCTGTGCTAGTGTAGAAAGTGCTCGACTGTGGAAGCACCCTTGCATTCGTACGCGCCTGTCTGAGGAATTTGAACTTTACAATGCTAGTAAGTGTCTCTGGACCAAACCCAAAAATGATGGATCGGACCTTGGTCAGCTTCAAATTGAGATTTGAAATTGACAACCTCTAGACCTTCATGCGACTCTTGCCTACCACGACGTCAACGCCGTTCAAAGCCAGCTCAAGTTTGAAAACTACACTGGCCGCATTGAAGTGACACATATGGAAGAGAGCATGGTTTATGTAACTATCTGCGGCCTTCATGGCCAACGATCTTCGGTCTCAACCCTTGACCCTGCTCTTCAAGGACTAGGCGAAGACCAGTTCTCTGGAGCTCCCCACGAGATTTACCTCCTTGACAGTGATTCCGATGATATTCCCGGTAAACTGGAGATGTACATCAAGAAGACTGCGTCCTTCTTCTTCGAGCGCGAGTCTTCTAACTTCATGAAACATACTTTACTGTTAGCTTCCGAGCTGGCTCAATCCAAAAAGGTTAGTCTTCGGCGAAGAAAAACATGAGAAAGAGGAGCAGAAGAATGAACAAAAACTTGCTGACACAAGATACAGGACACTTTGCTTGAACGTGCAGTGGAATTATGGGTGGCTACACACATTTTAGTGGACACCGAGCTTGGATGGAAGACTTATTGCAACCCTTCTCTACCTCCTACTTCGATGAACCACATGTCCCAGCCGAACGACGAGGGGCGCATACCAATCGAAGAAGTCTCAGATTCCGAGACATACGGGCTAATATGCAGTCAGCTTCGTGCTGCCATGGAAAAACGAGCCATGCAACTAAGCAAGTCCGTCATCAATGATCTAGAGAGGCGTCTACTCCAACGACAGAAAACTGGCTGGTTTGAAACATTCCTTGTTGCCATTGTTCTACTGAACTGTGTTGAGCGTACATGCTGGCTCTTCCGCTCGTGGGACAACGACAGCTTTTCCCAGCGTTGGCCCCTCGACAAACGTCCACCTTACTATTTCAACCAATCCGAGCGCTTCGCTGATATCTTGCACATGCTCTTGCGGATGCGCAGTCTTCCACCTAAATCTGTCGTTCGCCCCGAGAGTGGATTATTGAAGGCCGCCGAGGGTAGTGATGAAAATGCCGTGCGCTGGTTCGACTCGATTCAAGTTTCTCGTATGTCATCGTTTTCTCCTGATAATATCTTCCTTGCTAACCTTGTAATTTCTTCAGCATACTACCTTGAAGAACGTGCAAACTCCATCTTTGACCCCTCTGATTCTCGTTCTCTTGACCTGAATCATAGTGCCCGCCTGCTACTACCGGGGAATGCTTAGGCTCTCCTTGTGTTCGATGCTGCGGTCCGTATGAGCATTGCTTTTGTATCTTTTAGCCGGCCCCAAGATGCTTGCAGGTGGAGACATCATTGCGGAAGAAGAATAGGAAATGCATTCTATCTTGATGACCCTTTTGTTGTGGGTCGTCCTCGGTGTTTATTTGGGTTTGTTTTTCCCCTTTTTATCTCCTTTCTGTCTTTCTTTTCTTTGTGGTGTTAAGGGGTTCCCGGTGGGTTACGATCTATATATGTTAGCAATTGATAGTTCTAATACTTGCTTTCATTTTGGTCCCCTTTTTATACAATACAGTAGAGGCTCATATATGCATAACTTGCTAAGGGCAACTGAGTTGAAAGTCTCCTATTTTGGAGAAAAAGTCTATAGAATTCACGTCTCAAGATTGCATGATTTGGGTGGATTTTTTCCCCGCTTGTTCCCCTACTCGTTCTCCTACCTCTCCTGCCTAATCTTCTTCGATCTGTGTTTATATGAGGCTATAACTCTATCGTTCTCGATTATAATCAAATCAGCATGTATTGATCTAGAATAAGAGAAAGCTTCAAGGAAATTTTGTTCTGGTAATCCTATCCTGGCTCTTGACCACCTAAAAATAAATCAAGGGATTGAAGCTCGATATCAATAAACACATACTTATCCTGGTACTTAGCTTAATATTGAATGGAGTTACATTCTTCAGATATCGCCATACATACGAAATTACTAGAATACCATACAATCTCCAGTCAAAACGCAGTCAAAACGAGTAAATACTTGACCTATTTTCTGTCTGGAATTTCAAACTTCAAATTGTAAACTTCGCATAGAATAAGAAGCGCTATAGGTTCACTCTCGAGATGAAAAATAGAGAATTGGATGACAGATCAGATATTCCTCCGTAATAACCCATCGAACCACATATGATATCCATGCAACCCGTATAACTTCCATCAAATGTCCATCCTAGCAGAATAGGTCGTTGCTCTGAAATGTCCCAAATCGGGAAGACCCTGACTGCCGCGAGTTAAGTGGCGGTGTCCGTATTATATCATAGCCTAAAGAGCTAACAGGGGACGGTGATCTCGATCGCTGGACACCCATACAATCTTGTGGGAGTGTTAGTGTCAGTGACAGTGGCAATATCGGTGAAACGGGTTCGGCCTCAATGACGGCTTTCTTTTGAGTCATGGATGTATCCGGTGGTGGCGTGGGTGCTGGAGGGGCCTGCACTGGGAGTATGATGGGTTTCATTTGCGAGAGAAGGACACAATAGAACCGCGGTATACTCTGTGTTTGCCAGCTTCGGACGAATTCACTATTGAACATCAATTGAATGAGATGACAAAATAGCTCCGATCTCAACATACTAGTTATGAAGTATTTTTTCTTCGTTCATATCTGTAGTCACGGCGTTGAGTAAAGGTCCGACGCTCGGATCTTCTTCTGCTGTCGTGATTATGCAGCTTTCTTCAGTAATGCGGAGACCAGGCTTGTTTTTCCATAGAAAGCCCCTCCTCTCCTTCCGGTAGAGAAGAAGAATATTCCTGCTAAACCCGGGCCCGGTTTCTGTGAGTTGAGGTGCAGCAAGGGTGTTGCCAGCCGTTGGATCTGGGGGAGGGATCGTGGGAGACGTGGGAATCGGGGGCGTAGGGGGAGGTGCCGATGTTGATTTGGGATTCATCTCCATGTTTGAATTATGATTCATGGCAAGAGGAGGTGATTTGGGGCCGAGAGAAGTGGATAAAATGGTTGATGCAAGAAGAGATATCCAAGTTCAAGTTGATATGGAATATTGAGATGGGCGCTGCGGCGTAGATGGTTTGGATTTGATGAAAGCCTCGAGAGTTGTGGGGAGAAAGAAGAAGAAGGAAAAGAAGAAGAAGAAAAAGGGAGGTGACAGGATGAATGAAGATCTTGAAGAACAGCAGAGGGGCTTGGATGCATAAGAAGTCAAATGATAATTTGGAAGTTTCATACTATCAAATGTCATTGCAAGGCTAATGACGGTTTTTCAGAAACATAAATAGCAATACTATGTAAAACTGAGGCTATAAGTCAGCAATAGACTAGTATGTCATGTAGGTATATATGAGAGAAAGGAATAGAGAATTATAACCAACAGTCACTTCTATTCGTCAAGACGCAGTATGTAAGTATCAATGTGGAAGAGCCATCACCTCAACAATATTTACAGAATCAAAGAGATGAAAACGGTACATATTTCACCAACTTTCTAAAATGGCCGTAGGCCCAGGGTAACAATCAGTCATAGATGTAGATATAGTATGGAACATGAAGAAAAAGAAGAAGAAAACAGACAATATTGCACAGAAAAAACCCCAGGATTATCTAGCTCATTGCCCCAGCATAAAAATAAACAGATGAGAATCATGATTTTTCCGGAGGAGATTCCTTCATCGCCTCATTCTTAGAACCTGCATGCAAATGCCCATACCCATGCAATTGTTGCGGATACCCTTGCACTTGTGGCTGCACTTGTGGCGGCTGGGTTTGCTCTAAGATGACAGCATAGAACTTTCCCTCATAAGATATGTCCCGGTAGGGACCGGCGCCAACAACCGCCCTAAGGTGAAGGTTAGTACAAGTCTCAGACCGATTATCCCATGATATAAAGCACAGCGAAGCAGGAGGAGAGCAAAAGGAAGAATACGAGCAACGTGGTAGCTACTTACCATCCCTTGTATTTGGGTAGATTGAAAAGATCTGTGAAGAAGATCAAGGTGCGCAAAGGAAGCTCAAGGATAGAAGGCAGTTCTGGGGCATCGCCACAGATGGGGAGACCGAGTTTGTTGATGGGTTCGTAGTGAATACCCACGGGGTTTTGGGGGTTGCGCGTCTCCTCGAAAATGACGAGGCGACGGGTAGGATTAGTTTTGCTCATTGTTGACATTGTTAATCGAAAGTGTCTTGAATTTCAAGTTTGGGGCGGAGAGAAAACAAATATGCTTTCTCTTGCACTCTGTTTTTCGTTGTTGTTGGGGTGTTTTTTTTTTGTCTCGTGCTGACGAGCGCGAAGTGCGCTTTGACTAGGACTCGGTTAATTTGAGACGAAACAAATATTAGATTCAACAAGACCATACCGATATTAACTCTTTCCCTTCCTTATTGATCTCCTTTGTTGTTGCTGTATGATGCGCGACAGAGGCTGCTTATCGCGTTTGGCTCGCCGATTGATTGGATGGAGACCGCGGGGCAAAAAAGGGGCAAGTACACTTTGCGCTGGGAAGTTCACGGCACAAAGCACAAAACACTTGATTTGAAGCTTGGAAGTGACAAAGGAGAAGAACTGATTCTATGTCTTCGAGAGAATGATCTGGCTGAATCCGAGGAAATATGTGTAGTTCGTGATGGACAATCGCGTTCCTTTTATTTGCTGTGCGGTTATCCGAAGTGGGGGTTGATTGGTCTTCAGCAGTGGGAAAATAGACTGAACAAAGAGTGTTTGAAACGAACATATAGACCATATGTTTTTGCTTCATGGTCGGTTGCTTTTACAATAATCACATTCAAACATACGAACAATGGATATTTATATGGTTATTGAAAGGAACAAGACTATTCCTTTTCTTTCAATTTAACATGACTTGTATTCTCTCTATGAGCCAATAATAGACTTGGCATATACAGGACAAGTAAATGGAAAGAGAGAGGAAGAAAGAGGGAAAGAAACAACATGAATGAGAGAATTGTGGACTTGGCTTGGACATCGAACCACGATACTGTGTATGGATCAAGCATAAATGGGCCAATGATATGATATGAAACAGGGACAAAGAAGGGAGGGGGGAAAGAAAGAGGCAGTAAATAATAAAGTTATTTGGGTATCATAGTAGAAAGTTAAAGAAAGATCAGTGGAAGGGAACACATGTGCAAAAACAAAATGTTCATGGGAAGCATCATAGCAGCCATACTGCAAACGCGAGTAAAGATGATTAAACGAATCGAAGAGCGATGAATTGATCAAGTATCAAGTTCGCCATCCAATACTCTGCGTGCTGCATCCAGTCGTCGGCGAAGCACCCGAGCTGCCTTGATATCAGGATCAGGGGAGGTCGTAATAGCCTGGAGATCCATGCAGACGTTGCCGAGACTCGAGAAGAGTTGCTCGAGCATCTGTGTATCATCATCATTGATACCACCGCCTGATGTTGGCGTTACAGAGCCTGGGTGAGGACTAGACGCTGCTCGCACTGTCGAGACGAGAGATGAAACGAGAGAGGTCGGAGTTGCAGAGCCCGTTGTAGCAGACGAGGAGCGGCCGGTCAAGCCCATACGACGCGGCGATTCTTGTTCTTCCATGGGGGTGACAAATCCAGGATTGCTACCCTGGACCCCGCGAGGCGTTTCAGCTCTATCTATTTCTTGAATGGGGCTCGGTTGGTGTGTATGCTGGTGGCGCAATTCTGTATGGGCTGGTGAGTTGGTGTCTTGAGAGTTTGGGGACGACGTACAAAACATACCATGGTTAAAACGACGGTCCCAGTACAGTAAATCATCTTCCTCTTCTGGCATCTGTTCGCCTTCGGTTGCGGTAGCGAATGTTGCCACGGTTGAGACAGACATGTTGCTGTTGGTGCGAGAGTGTCGGATTGACCGATTAGGGCGCGTTGTTTCAACAGATCCTCGGGAACTCTGGCTTGTACGACGAAGCTGACGGGAGTAGTTTCCAAGCGCACTGTGGAGAATGAAATGCTCATAGTCAAACGCATCCTCGCGCTCTTCGTGAGGTCTCGGGTCAATACCAGACGGGAAATCATCCATGCTCTCCAGGTCTTCATCGAGCGGCTCGCGCAAGATCTCATCCAGGGCCTCACGGTCAATATCACCATCATTGAAGTCACCTTCTTCAGCATCCTCATACATGCTCTCCGCAGCAGACCTCCGACCGTCATGATAGTTCTCTAATTCGTCACTGTTCCAAGCCTCCGGGGCATTGGTAAGGCTCGCGCGATTATGATCCACGGGGCTTTCCTCAGTTCGATCTGACTTGCGGTGCTCACTGAGGTTTCTTGCGGGCACGAGATGCTCATTAGAGCCTCGAGCATCTCGAGCATACTCAGAGCTTGCATCGCGTCTTGCTATCGATCCCTGACTGCTGCGCCCATCTCTCATCTCCAGGCCATTGGAATACCAGGGATCCGCTGCTGTCAGAGGGCTAGGGGTACGTAGGCTTTGTAGACTACGACGGCGCAAATTATCCTCTTGGCTCCGAACTTTGAGAGAAGATATTTTGATATGAAGACCCTTCATTTGATATTGCAGATCGCGCACTTGTAATTGAGACTGAGCACGACTGGGCGGGCCATACGAACTGTACACTGGACTGAAATCCCCCGGGTTAGACTTGGATTCGTCGTCTGCTGAGATACCCAGACCCTTTGGTGAATCCGATGGACTGTAATCCTCGCGCACGGGAGACTCCATAGGCTGAGGCGATTGCATGGGTGCTGGAGATTCCAATGAAGGCGGTTTCATAGATGAAATCGATGACCGGTGCGTTAGATATGCGCGAGTCGGTTCATATCGGAACGACCGATCATCGTGATGAAACGAAGAGCTGCTAGCACCCATTGCACTGACCGAGCGGGAGAGCCCTTTCGTATCACTCGACAGAGTCGCCTCGTCGGGAAAGTTTGTGTCACTGTGTACTCGGGAATGCCGATTGGTCGAGGCATCTTGCGAGGGCACAAAAGATTGTCGCCGTAACGCGGATCCTCGACGGTCGGTTCGAGAAATCGATCGATATAGGCCCCCAGCGGGCTGGTGAGCCCCAAGGGGCTGGATATTACCAGGAGCCGATGGTGAAGGCGAAGGCGTTAGGCGCACCGTGGAACGCGCTCGATTAAGGTTACCTTCCATAAGCTGTATAGATGATTGTCAGCATTCCATGTGTTTACCACCATTCGCGCGAATGCGCGGGTGTTTCCCTGATTTCCACATACCGTCAATCTTTTCTTTGCATTTTCTAGAATCCTCTCTGCTTCACTGCTTAATATCGCAGACGAGAACTCTTCCCCAGGACCTTTGCCCGATGCAGCAGCCGTAACAATGGGACTACCAGATACAATGGGGCTCCCCGACACAATTGGATTGCTCTCGGGGATGGCCACATTCTTCGGCTGCTCATTCTCCTTATTCGAGGTCTGATTAACAATCTCATCCTGTATCGGCGACGCCCCCCGTACAGTCTGCGGAGAGGTCATCTCTCTCGAAGGACGCGCGCTTCCCGCACTAACAGTCGAGTTGGAGCTGCTCCAAGCAGTATTGTCCTTCTCTTTCGAATCCGGAGCGATCCATTGCGATTGTGACGAGTCTGTTCCTTCCATCATCTCGTCAAATCCCCCCGAACGCGCGGGCGACAGCTCCTCCCCGATATCAGACAAGCGACGCGGATTCGGCGTGACGTTCACATCATCGTGGGACCAGGACCGTGAAAAATTTTTCTTGGGCCGGCTGCTCGAGGCTGCACTGGAACTGGCATGGGGGTCGGTGTATCGTGCGTTTAAGTTGGAGAGGTAGACCAGCTGGGAGGGCGGGGAGGGAGTCGAAGATTCGCGCTCGCTGCCGTCATACGGCAGGATCATGTCCGGGTCTGGCAGAGTGAGGGAGGGCATGCGGGGGTGATTCGGGCCCTGAGCCGACGAGAGTTGGAAGGGAACAACAACCTTGGGATTCAAAGGATAGAAAGGGTCTTTTACCCTGAGATTTTTACCCTAAAAACATGCCCCTAACGGGCGGTTTGTATGCGGTTTAGCGTAGGTTAAGATCCTTGCCTGATTGGGCCCGGAAGAGGATGAGGTCGATTTTACTATCTATGCAGGGTGTAATGGGGTTATACTGGTTGAGAAAGCATTAGAGATATAATAGATTAGCAGGAGAAGACAAATATAGTTTGATTCTATCTTGATTCTATCCCGGTGATGCATCACTATAGATTGAAGTCTTTAACAAGCATCTTCGACTACACTGATCAGTGATCACACAATGCCCAATTTTATTGCTTATACCGAATAGTTCAGACCAGTTAGAGTTCTTAGCTCGTCCCAGGTTTAAATTACCGGCTTTGTTTGGTTCTGCAGTGGAACTGTTTTAGATTGTGCTAGCTAGACCGAGGCAGACTCCAGACACTCATGAAATGATACAAGTCGTACAAGGGCTATGCATGGTTGAGCCGCACAATGTAAGGCTATGTTTCAGCTGCTTGTTTCGTTTCCCCTTGATTTTCAAATTTTGTTTGATTTTCAAAATTTCATTAAACAAGCTGCTATTTCTGGGCACGAGGGCCTGCATGTTTGCATGGAACGAACCCCTGAGATCCGCGGGTTGGGGGCACGGTTAAGGTCCACTTAGTGGGGAATTTAATTTCATTTCAAGAGACCAAGGTACATTACAAGGTACATATGGTTGAAGAGTATATGGCAAATGTATACGAAGAAGTAATGGATTATCAACAATTTTGGAATCTTTATGCTTTTTGGTCGCGGAACTCCGGTTTATACCTAGATACACATAATACATCGAGAAAGTGCAAGATGAAAGGGGTAAAAGGGGGAGGAATAAGGGAAAAAAAGAAGAATAAGAAAAAAGTCATTAACACTCCAACTTTGGAATGCTTATAGCTTCTGCAAAAGCAACTTGGCACCACTGCTAGTCGGGCCGGCCTTCTTGCCTTCTTGACCCGACGCTGAGGCCTGCTCCAGCGCCTTCTTGTTCTTCTTCAGAGTCTTGAGCAACTCACTCTTCTTCTCGAAGTCGTCAGACTCGGCCAGCGCGACGATCACGAAGGTGTTTGAACCAGTAGCCCACTCCATGACCTCATCGCTGATCTGATCATACAGCAGCTCGTGGAAGTTAAGCGGGGGCTGCACCTTCTCCACAGTCTTCTCCGCGGGGTTGAATCGACCACCCTGCACGAGGGACTTGAGCAAACGTCCCACAGCGGCGGAGTCACGAGTCTCAGTTTGGTTCTTAGCAGCCTCAGCCACGGCGGTGAGGGCAGCAGTCTTATCACCATCGGCGGAGAAGAGCACCTCGCCGATGCATTGACAGCCGAAAGTGGTCTCTAGAAGGTTTGCAGCCCGAGCAGCAACGAAGTTGAGGAGAGCTGGTGAAGCGCTCTTAACAAGCTCTTGGCGTCGGATCTCGGGGTCTTTCTTAGATGTCTCTTGTCGGATATCGCGAATCTCCTTAAGAATCGCTTGGTCATTCTCGGGTAGGAGCCACTTGACACGATCGCCAGCGAATGGGTAAAGAACGGGAACACGAGCAGTCAAGTCGTTGATCTGGTAGTATAATTCCTCATTTCGGGCTTCCTCGGAGTCCTTCTCATTCAAAAGCTCAGGGAAAATGGACTTGGCAGTCAACTTGGTGTCGTCGACAACCTCGTAGGCTGCAAGAAGGACCATGTGAGCGTGAACGTCACCGGCCATCGCCTTGACAGTATCCTTGTAGAAACGCAACAGCAGCTTTCGGTCCTTGGCGTTGGCATAAGCTAGGGACAGACTCATCACGCGAGAACCGGATGGGGTGAAAGCCAAGTTCTTCACCAGATCACCCTCTTCGTCACCTTTGAGCAGCTCAATGAACTCGTTTGCCTCGGTGCTACCGGGCTTGGTGGCAAGGAAATATTGTAACATAGCATCGTGCAACAACTCAAAGCCAGTGGTCTTCTTCTGAACTAGCTGGTTGATCAATTCGTGCAAGAAGTGCATAATGGGCGATCGCTTCTCTGGGTGAGCTTCCAGAATCTTGAGAAGATCGGATGACTTCTCCTTGTCATCCTGGAAAATCACGAACTCCGGCCCGTACCATTCACGCAGAATTCTTGTTTTTTGCTCTTTAGTCGCAGCTCCTCGATAGACATCATCAAGAATCCAAGATCCCTCTGGGTGTCGAATAAGACGCTTCACATTTCCATAGAACTCTGGAACAATCATGTCGCGTGTCTCAGAATCACCATGAGCGAACAACTTTCCAACCAAGAACTTAGCATAGCGGCTCTCCGCCAACTCCTTGTATCTTCCCTTCAGTTCCTGAGCAATTTGCTTGCGCTGTTCCAGGTTGCCGTACTTCAAGGCTGTTTGAACGACACGGACAGAGTCATGCTTGAACACGAAATCTTGAACGCGGCCAGTGATAATCTCGAACAACTCCTTGACAAGTTTCTTGCGCTGCTCCAATGGAACGTGGGACTTGCGGCGCAACTGTTCCCAAAGCTTCTTAGAGCGAGCAATCGTATCGGCATTGGGCTTCGCGGCCTTGCGCTCCAGCTGAAGGGCCTTTTGCTTGGCGTGGGATTCGCGGGATGCGTTGGCGTTGGGATCTGTTCAAAGCAAGCATGACTGTTAGCTCTTCTAATCTCACGTATGGTTTGCAAACGAGGACGTACTCTTGGGTGCTTCAGACCTAGCAGGCTTCTCCTCAGCATCTTCATTAGACACGTCCTCCTCATCTTGAGGGGCATCCTCCATATCAACATCGTCCTCGGGGATTTCATCATCAAGCACATCAAAACCATCGTCTCCAGAATCCGAAACATCGTCAATATCGAAATCATCCTCGTCCGAAGACTCCTCCTTGCGAGCCTTCTTTTTAGAAGAACTCTTATCACTTTTTCCAGACTTAATATCCTTATTTGATCCGGACTTCTTCACCGGTGCAGAGACCTTAGATTTCTTCACATAGTCGGAGCCCTGCTTGGTCTTGCTCCGCTTTCCATTGCGGTCTTCCTTCGCCTCAACGGCACGTTTCACACCGGCCATTATGTGTATATGAGGTAGCAAACTTGGCTACAACTCTAGATCCGGATAGAAAAAAAGAGAAGGGTGAATATCCGAGCTGAAGGTGCTCGGCGTGCTGGAGGATAATTTTTTTGGTTTGCGGGCGGAGGAAGTTTTTTTGCCGATTGTTTGCACGGTTTGCACTGATAAGACAAAAGGATGTAAAGTTTGAAATTAAGTAGGAAAGAGTCTTGTCTTGATGTGTTCTCGATTTGTTTATTTATCTATTTCATAAAAGGGAATTAATGAGACTGGGAATATTTGAAATATACATTCGTGTATGAGTATGAGTTTGCAAATGTAAGTTGTCCACCTATAGACAACTGTCCGCGTAAGAAGCGGACATGATCTCGACGTGCAGCGATTAAAAATCAGTCTGCTCTTCTCATAGATAAAAAATATATACAGAGTACGACCGAGAAAACAAAGAAATATCACCGGAAGGGCATAGAGGAGATTCGCTTCTTCCAGCCCTGGGGCCATATCCATTGGAAACCCCATGGATAATCCCCGAAGATAAACCAGAAACGCCATTCCTTCATCAAAATAACTCATTGGTATCTTTCATCATTCATGCATACTTACTCGCCATTGCCTTCTGACGTAGACCCTGGTACAGAAATTGGCGCTGGTACTTGCATAGAGCCCAACTCCGAACCTCCCCCGCTCTGTCCACGCTTTCTTCCGGGAATGTGAAACCCAAATGAAGTAGAAGATTTGTTGCCGGATGATGGTGCGTCACTAGATGAGTCGCCGAATCGTGCGAAAAGACCCTTTTTCTTGGGCTTAGCTTCGTCATTGAGACCCACGTCTTCAAATTTCTCTTCTTCCATTGCGTCGGCTTTGTCGAAACTTGTAGATCGCTGTGCGGATGATGTGATACGGGAAAATCGGGAGTCGAGTGAAGTGCGGGATGGGACGGCATCGGCGTGTATTATGGGAGAGCGGGCGGAAATATCCTAAAATCCAATTAGTATTCGCTACAGATATGCGTAAGGAAAATTGAATGAGAATGGTGGGGGACATACAAATGATCGGCGGTAGGAGTCGAAAGATTCGCGCGATATTGAGAATGGCTCATTTTCGTCGACCAAGTCGCGATGGTTTGAAGGTCGTGTTGATCCGGGGTATCGGTGCCAGAAGCTTGGTTTCTCAGTTGGGGAAGGCTATTGATTGTTAGTTGAGGGCATTCGACGCCTCGAACCACAGATGGCGGTTCATAGTGAAAGGTGTCGCACCGGAAGATATACTCCGCTGCCATTCACAACTATATAAGACGGAGATCATTAGTACAAGCTACGATGATTCCAAAAAAAAAGCCCGCAATCTTACCACTCAACTTGTACTCTGGAGGCTCGCCATCTTGGCTTTTGCGAATAGTGATCGGTGTGGGACCAGGGCGTGCGTTGGGCGACAAATGATTCTCGTCGAAACCATCCGCTTCCCCACCATTGGGTTGGGATTTGCGGGCAAGGAAGTTGCGAAAGGGAGCCATATTGACAATGAGGGTTGGTCAGGTTGCTCAGGTTACGGTGGGTCGGAAGTCAAAGAGAGTGATGAGCAAAGGTATCTTCAAATTTCACATGATCAGGCCATGGCTCTGTGGTGGAGAGTTGCATGGAGAGAATCAACCGATCCACCAGTCCGGAGCGGGCGGGTGTAAGGGCCCCGAGGGGCATGTACGTCATGGCCCCCCTTTCCCTCCGCGCAATGCAATTAAAGACTCGCAATCACTACCACGCCAAGTTTTAATCCAGGCTAATCCATGCTTTGGGGCTGGTACTAACCAATCCGGGGCATCTTGATGCAAGTTTGACTTTGTTCTTTTTTTGCGCTTTTGATTTCCCAGTCTTGATTGGTTGAATCTTGCTCTTGTGGCTATAGTGACTTTGCCTTACATTCATGTATAGTATGCATTTGGCTGATTGATACATTACACTATGTATGAATCCTATCTATCTTCTTCAAACATAGGCTCTCGCATGAACGGGCTCCGTCGTCGAATCGCAGGACCTTTCACTATAAGGACCACCGGCACAATAGAGAGACCAGCGCCAATGAAGCCCAAGCGATGTCCCAGCCCATCCATAGCCTAATTGGTCAAATAGAGCAAGATAACCAAGTGGAAGAAACCCACTAACGATGTTACGCCCCAGAGAAGTGGACGAGAGTGCTGAAGCGGCATACTTCTCATAGGAATCTGCGATATAGTTCAGCACCGACAGCAAGATGGAATAGATTCCAACACCGGTACATCCAATGCCAAGTGTAGGCACAATCCAGTGCAGTTTTCCATCGCCGACACTAGCCCAGCCGTACCAGAATAATCCGGCGGTGAAAATGATACTTCCTGGTATAGGCTTGCCAGAGGTTTCGTGATCTCTCTGGGCAGAGGGTGCATAAAGCCAGTCTTGAATTGGGTTGAGAAAAATACCAATAACAGCACCTACAGAGATGGCCAGCTCAATAAGCGTGATTGTGAAAGTATCCATCTTATAGTTATGGCGAAACGTGAGACTCACACTATCGAAGAACAGAAATAGGATTCCCCACGCGAAGCTAACCCAGAGCGTGAAGAATAATACAATGGGTTCTGTGAGAAACAAGCGAGTAGGGCGTGCTGTCGAGACTTTGAGTCGTTGTAAAGCACTCGGCATTTCTAGTTCGAATCGAGAGTAAACGACACGGCCTGTCTCCTGACGAATCTTCCTGGCGCGCTTGGACAACAGGGCATGACCGCGAGTTTCACGAATAATGAACCAAAATACTGGCATCAAAGCTAACCCCCACATTCGTTGAACCCAGAAAATCCTAGAGAGCAAGTCAGAGTCCATTTGTAATAGTCTTAGATGATGTAGTACCCTTACCATCTCCATGGGTTACCGACATGTATGGTTTGAAGACTGCCACCGATAAATGGACCCGGTGATATATCAACAATCTGCGAGAACACATATAGGGACATAGGTCGACTGCGGGCTACACCTCCAGGCCAGATATCAGCAATCATACCACCCACAATATTGATGGTAGACGCAGCAGCGCCGCCTCCAAAGAATCGAGTAACTACCAATGTAGCAAGGTTGGGTGCAAATGCAGATGGAAACATCCAAATCCAATATAGAGAGTAGCCCACAAGGTAACCTGGTCGGCGACCCCAAGACTCTGTGAGTGGAACGAAAATTGGGGGTAGAGATGCGGCTCCCATCTGGAAGGTTGTTGTTGCCCACATTAGATTATTGAAAGGTTTTGCTTTGACATGGAATTGTTTGGACATGTATGATTGACCGCCACTATATGAACCGGCAGGAAGGGCGACGATAACAGACCTGTTGTTAGGCAGAGGTTCCATCAGCGAGTGTGGTTCAAGATTTCATGGAGAGGAATAGAAAGATAGAACGAACATGAAGCAGCCATTTATCGTGAGTAGCCATCTATCGGTTTTGCTCCAGTTGAATCTGCAGTGCAAGAGCTGTCAAGTCCTGTTCACAATGGAAATTGTGTTTTCTTTAGTAGCGATAGGGCTCACGGATTTTCTCGGTCATTGAGCCCATCCCAGTCATGTATTTCAGCTCTCTCATTGTTTGGAGGTAATGAGCGCCTAGGATGAGTAATTCTATGAAAGAGAGATCGTGTACTGTCTCATGTTAGCTGTGGGCCCAAGAATTCATATGTGATCATTCATACCTGTCGGAAGAAGGAGCGTCTTCATCCTTTTCCCAAAAAACTAGTTTCTTGAGGCGATAGGTTTCCGACATGGCCATTCATTGTGGAGGTTCACAGGCAAACTTGACTGATTTCTTAGAGTCGACTCGTTGGTCTCGGTCGTGGTATAGAGTGGAAGGGCAAAGGAGACGAAATTTCACCACAAATGGGGCTTCATTACTTTTTCGGGGGCTCGTCCGAGACTTTTTGAAAAATGGAATTACTATGCTATTAATAAAAGTGACATAGAATGAGGCCCTGCACCTTCATAGTAGATTTGATGGAATTCCACTGCCGAAGCTTGTAGGCCGCCTCCGGAGTAGTCACGGTGGCGAGTAGTTGAACCAACTCTTGGCGTGACACGAGCTGAACTCATAATAACATATGTTTTACACTAGATATATTCTCAGGAAGTTGAATGAACGCATACCGTCCGGAGGTAATCTATTGGAGGCAATCTACATAAGTGGAGCAGGTCTTGGCAGGAGAATTGACCCGATCGGACCTGGGAGCTTTGAACTTTCAAAACGGGATTAGCGAGGAAAGGAACACAAATCAAGAAAAGAAATCAAGATCAATTATGTCCATTAAGTATGTTTGGTGAGAATACAGATAGATTTAGTAGAATCAAAAAAGAAGTGGCTAAAGGGTATATTTCTAATTAAGTGAAAATCCGGTAATCTGTCATGGATAACCTAGTGGGAGGCACTCCGCCAAGTCCGCAACCTTGCTTCGGCTCACGCCAGCAGGACCAGGTGCCTGGTACGAACCCTGGGGTGGTCATTACACTCGCGCGAGTAATCCGCGATGCTGTGAGGCCCTAAGCCATGGAAGTGACCCTTCAGGGAAGCAATTCCGCAGAGACACTTCCACCCTGGGGTGGCGTCGCCAGAATACACCGTCCTGTTACAAGGAATTGGGCTGTTTGGTGTGACAACCATTATCTTCTTTTTGTTTTTTAAATTTTCCCCTTATGACTTCATCTTCTCCATCCTCCCCCCTCTCTCCCCCCTTTCTTACACCACAAACAACACTTATTTTTTCTCCTGCAATGCAATCTCCCAAATTTTACGGTTCGTAATTTCGAATGTATGTGATCAATAATCCATCTAAAATTGCTTCTATAATACAAAAACTCCCAACCCAATGCACCAATACTATATCATCAGCCGTGATGAGTTCGTGTCCATCCCCATTTCCAGCTGCTGATATTGGTGCGAGTCCGGGAATTTTTGACTTGATGGTAGGAGATCGATAATGAAAGAAAGGATATAACCGGTAAATGTGAAAGCGATGACTAGGTAGCGACATGTTAGTGACATCAATTTTGGATGAAATCAGGACATTCAAACCGAATTGGAATACTTACTCCACTCTAAAACAGCCGCTGTATCTGATTGCAAGTTGCCGCCAGCGGCTAGAATGCGGAAAGCCACAATAAAGGCTAACTCGACAATAACAAAGGTGATTTTGATCATAAAGCTTGTCATAAGCATGCGCTTGTTCACGCGATTCGAAGCACGCAGGTAGAAGTAGTCCATGCAGATGACCACGGCACTGACCAAGTAGCCCGTCCTAGAACCAGTCAGTAACCTCGAATATCAAGGCATAACAATAGCGCCGTAAATCATGAACTCACAAGAATATAGTTACAGAGGTGTCGTGGAGTAGTAAGTGATCGAGGTTGTCAAAGACAGATAGTGTAATCAGGCCGACGCTTCCAAGCATCGCAAAAAGGAATGAGGCATAGACGAAAAGACTGTTGACGTGCTCTTTATAATGCACGAATTGGTAGAATGTTACGTTCATGAAGAACATTGTGATGAAACTTCCGATCATAAAGAGTGGCTTGAGCTGTTGCGCTCCGATATCAGAAATGAATCTGATGTCATACTGTATTAGTCTCTAACAATTGAACACCAAGTCAAAGCCGTAGGACTTACGGAATGGTTTGTCCAGGCTGCATCCTGCCAAATGTTGGTTCTCCCATCATATACCAGTGTCCCAACATGCCCGACAGCGTGGCTAAAATCATTGAATTAGAACCAATCAAGCTTTCTTCGCATCGCACCCGTTGATACTTACTTAGCCATGTCGAAGCAGAGATGACTGGGAAAACCCAGAAGAATTCGATCAACATCCTGTGGGCGATCGCACAGCGAAGATGCTGCCGACCTTAGCACGTTGTTGACAGCCTGGAGTTGCCGTGAGTGAGATTAAGAGGAAAACCCAGATCCAGCCCTGGGGTTCCCTCGAAGAACACTAGACGCTAAGCTGCATGGGATAATTGCTCAAATTCCTGTCAGGAACCAGGAACGAGGAAATGGCATCAGTGCACCGCCCTTGCATTTATTTGGGTGATCATCCACCAGTAGGAATCATGAACGCCGATCCTGATTTTGGAGTCGAGTTGCCCTGTTTCGGCATTTTGCTTATAAGCTTTTTAAGTTCCCGCGTGGATCGTTCTTTATATCTGATATTCCTACTGTCTACTTGAAGCCAGGTTCAATTTCTGTCGTGGAACATCTATCAATGCCCAGCCAGTTCTGCTGTCCACTGTAGCGGATTAAACACGCTGGAAGAGCTTGGAACAGGCAACCTTGGAGTGTTGTTAGGCAATATGTGGATCATTTCCTCGACTATCGAAAAGAATGGAGCCCCTTTAAACAACCTTAGAAATTAGACTGGCGATCAGTCTTATATGCGCGACAAAAAGAATGCAGGGTGGATACATAGTAAAACCCATCAGAGCCCACTTTTCCTTGCCGTTGCATTTTTTTTGGAGAGCGCCCTACACACCAAAACTTTTTGCTAAAAAGCTGACAACTTCGCGAGATGCCAATTTTTGAATATTCTGAACAAGATAGGATATTTAAAGTAGAAAGTAGTAGCATAATGGTACATCGACATGTTTGATCCATCTAAACTTTGTCTCCTGAAGCACGCGACACGGGTCATGTCCGCAGCCAATCAATGACGTCTTGGTCCAGGGGAAATGGAGCTTAAACTGCGTCAGCGAATCCTACAAGGGGCCACCTTTTTTATTTTCAGCCACTAAAGCTCTTTGGGATGAAATTGACTTGTGTTAAGTTTATTATGTGGCAAATGACTCGTAAAAGGGTTCCACCAGGTGCGAGGCTGCAGTTCAGGGACCTTCGCACTCCGTACGGGGTAAGAATCCACGTTTTTTAAGGCTGTGCAGCCAGGTTCTTCTGGATCTTGGGTAGCAAGATATTAGCGACCGCTTTCATTCCGTTAAGGTTTGGATGAAGAACGATTCCCTCTCGGATCAGCGAGTATAAGCTGAAGCCTCCGACCCATGGCTCTTGGCTGCCCAGCACATGGCCCAAGCTAAGTTCATGAATCGGGACTGTTTCGCACCATTCTGATCTTGCCCCTGCAGCCGCGATATACGCATTCTGCAACGAAGATGCCACCTGGCAATGGTGATCAATCTTTTCTTGACTGAATGAGATATCAACATTGGCTTTTGTACTGGGGCCCACCACAGCAAGATATTCAACTAGATAGACACGTGCTTTGGGAGCTTTCTTATGTATCTGATCAAGAACATCACCCATTCTATGAGACAGTTCCTCTGGTGAGAGGGAAGTAGGGGTCTCCTGTGCCGTGGAGAGGACCGCTATAGCGGATCTGACGGTTTGTATGACGGCATTGGCCATCCACCCCAGCGTAGTGCCTGTTCCAGCATCAAATATCATGTTACCGATGTAGCCGATATCGTTTCCGCCCGCAGTAACCGTGATGATGTCTGCATCTTCGGGAATAGACTCGATCTGGGGTTGAAATACATCCTTTGAAAAGGCAGCACTTTGTGGCTCGACCGTGATGTTTAAAAGGGTCGCGCCAGAGACTGTCAGGTCGGTGAGCTCGGCATTTAGCTCTTTTGCTACGAGATGCGGGTAGTTCTGTCCTGAGCGCCGCGCAGAAAGGGGCTCGAGTTGTGGGGGGATCCCGGGACCCGCTGCAAATGAGCTTCCCACGCTTACGATGCGGAGTTTCTTATCGTCTGTGGCCATGGTGGGAGGTTTGAGGTAGGGATCAGTGTCGTGTACCCGAGGGTGAGACTTGTAGAATGTAGAGCTTGGGATGACTTTTCGAGATTGTGGAGGTCGGCGACAGATGTGGATGCCGATGATGAGTGAGGCTAAAATCTCACGCAATGTGGATTGACCGTGACTCACGTTGAGAATGTGTCCAACAATGAATGCGACAGGGACTACTTGATGAGTCCCGAATGAATTTACCAATATTAATGATTTATTTTTTAACCTATGGAGAATATTAAGTATATGGAGTGAGGGCACTGCGTGTTAAGAACGACGCTGTGAAGAAATCGATTTTAAAATATTATCATGTATCAATCGGAATTGCTAAAGCCAGGGAAGTCAGAGATGAATAGTTCTATATAAGGTCAAATATCTCATAGTGTTACAACGAGCCATCCGAAAGACCTTACCAAGTCATATAGCCGTCTTGCTCGGCAACAAAGGACCCCGAGGCTTGAACGGGTCGATCTGGTTGGGCAAGCTACTCCGCGGAGGCATCACAATCCATCATGTAAATAATGCCCACGTAAAAGGGACGAGATCACACATGAAGTAGGGAGCTCATTGTTTTCACACTTGGTTCGAATGACCCCTTCAGCTTCGCTAGCTACAAACAAACCTATGGACCTCAGTTATCCAAGATGGTTTGGCGGGTCTGCATCGTGCATGGCAGTATTGGTTTCTCATCCGTTTGATCTGAGTATGGACATCTTCCAAAAACCATAAGAGTCATTGCTAATATTAATCTTCGATGTAGTCAAAGTACGAATGCAGACAGTATCAACCGGTGCTAAGGAAGGGTTCGTCCCTACTGGGCTGCACATTATCAAACAAGAGGGAGCAAAGGGTCTCTATCATGGGGTAAGTGGCTTTTGCTATACTCCAATTAGCGTCTATCATTGTATACCGGATAGTAGTCTATTATTATTGCATATGATCAATATGGTTGCACCCGGCTAACTAATAAATCAATCAGCTTTCTGCTGGTATCATGAGATCAGGTTAGTGACAGATGAATAAACCCCAGAGATCAAAGTGATAATGACGGATATCCAGTAACCTACGGAACATCTCGAATTGCTCTCTACGAGGAGATGAAGCAATCTGCGAAAGATAGGGACCAATCCCTTAGCATCCCACTACTAGCTACAATGGCAGCCGTTTCAGGTTTCATCGGTGCAATATTCGGTACACCATCCGATATAGCTAATGTCAGAATGCAAAATGATCGGTCATTGGCAATTGAGAACCGTCGAAATTACAAGCATGTCTTTGATGCTTGGATCCAGATGAAGAGGCATGAGGGCTGGAAGGCCTTCAAACAGGGACTTTGGCCGAATTGTTTTCGCTCTGGAACAATGACAGCCAGTCAGCTGGCTTCATACGATGTATTCAAACGATTACTGCAGAGACTCGGAAAGACAGAGGAGGAGAAGCCTTTAATTCATCTTTCTGCGTCGATTTTGGCTAGCTTAGTAGCGACGTCGGTCTCTAGTCCCATGGATGTGATCAGGACGCAGTTGATGAATTCTTCGGAAAAGATGTCGGTGTTGCAGGTCGTGAGACATCTTACTCGATCGGAGGGTCTTCGGTGGGCTTTCCGCGGTTGGGCCCCTAGTTTTATTCGAATGGGCCCTCAGACTATCGCTACTTTGGTTATGTTGGAGCAGCATAAGCGCGTTTATCGTATGATGAAAGCCGGGGAATGCTAGAATACTGGAGTTTCAAATCAAATAATAACATCAATAATCTTCAATCGAATCATTGGACTCTGAGCAAGGACATCTAAGAAAACGAGAGATGTCTAGGGCTTACACTCGACTACATCTTTGATTGCTTGAGCAACATATGTTACATTTTCCTCATTCAGTCCACTCATGCTCATTCGCCCATTTCCAAGCATGTAAATGTGATATTGATTTTTCAGCCTTTCAACTTGCTGTCGTGATAGCCCAGTGTAGCTGAACATTCCAATCTGTCGTTCAATGTGAGACCAATCACCCCTGGTGTCGATGCGTTCCAATTCCGACCTCAGTGCAGACCGAACATCTTGAATCCGTGTGGCCATTGTCTTTACATCTTCTTCCCATTTCTGACGCAGAGAATCGTCGGACAGAATGGTATCGACTATTCGAGCACCGAACAGGGAAGGGCAGGAAACCTCAGCTCGAGCCAACTGAGTCAAATGCGTGAATGCACCTTGTGTTGAAATACCAGGCGGTGCGACAAGATGTAATGCCCCAATACGCTCCCCATAAAGCCCAAAGTTCTTGGAAAACGATTGGCAGACCATCATGCCAGCTGGTACAAACTTCTGTGGGACCGATAAATCACTAAAGAAGACCGAGTAGAAATGTCGAATCGCCCAGGCGTCTGCATCAGGATCTCCGGAGGCAAAGCCTTGATAGGCACTGTCAAACACGACAAAGAGCCGCCTGCGCCCGATGACCTCTGCAATCTTGCTCCATTGATTGCGCGTTGGATCGTGTCCGGTTGGATTGTGAGCGCAAGGATGGAGGACAACGACATCATTTTCCTCGCCCGTCTCGAGTTCGCTCACCATTCCATCAAAGTCAAAACAACGTTTCTCGGAGTCGTAGTAGGGATAGAGCTGCTGGATTATTTCGGGGGCAGCGGTTTTCCAAATCTCATAATGATTGTCCCAGGTTGGATTTGAGATGAAAACTCTTTTGGATCGGATATGCCGTGCGCAGAACGAAGCGGCCAAGTAGTTAGCACCAGTTCCTGCTATGGTCTGGACCGTTGTAATGTTCTTCTGTTTGGATATTTTGGAGTTGAACAAGAGTTTCCGGGCTTTCTGATTGAAGCTTTCGTCCCCTTGGATGGGCAAATATTCATGAGTGACCTTTTCCTTGTGCAGGATTTCTTCAGCCTGAAAACAAGCGCAATTAGCGAGAGGGAAAATGTTGATGACGCGTCTGGAAACTCACAACTCTGACGCTTGGTAGAACCCAGGGCTGGCACTCTTTATCGCGATAGACACCCTGGCCGAGGTTGACCTTGTTGGGGGAGGAGTCGGTCTTGTAAGCTGCGGTGAGTTCAAATGACTCAGCTAGCGGTAGAATTGGGAGATCTCCTAAGTTGAAGCCACTCATGTTTGAAATGATTTGGGGTATGAGTAGGTGTAGTAGATTGCTGTTGAAATCGATTGTGGTCGAAGCAGTGAAAGTGAGAGATACAAAGAAAAGAAAATCACCAGCGAAGATAACAAACACTATAGGGAAGTCACCTGATAGCAACAATCCTTGATATCCTATAACCTTGGAATTATAAAACAAGCGAGTCACATAATCTTCAATGTTAGATTCATGAAGACAAGGGTCTTTTTTATCTTCCTTCGGGAAACAGCCCGAACCCCGAACAAACACTCGGCGACATTTCCATTCGCCGTACGCGGAAGCATATTCAATGTTTGAGGCGATCGGGACCACAGCTCTCTTTTTTTTTAGTCACGGTGCTTCTTGGGCGGACGAAGCTTGGAGAAAACGTTCATTCAAGTTACCAGTTGAAGCCCGTCTTGCCTGGTCAGTAGCCTGTCGAACTGATTTAGAGGCTTGTGGGAGGAGTTCTAGAGTTTGTAGCAAAATAGACTGCAGATCCTCATAGGGAACTTGATCCAACTTTCCAGCAGAGTAGTCTCTTTCGATGCCTTTCCATAGAAGCTGAACGCCTGCTACCACATGGTGAGGGTATGGGTCAATCGCAACCAATGGAAATGACTCGGGATCATTTTCTGTATCCCGTCTTCTGGGGATTTTGAAATAATTACTAATTCCGAATTGAAGACAGTTGAGTAGACTACCTTCGGCTTCTGACCTTGTCGTCGTCATTTTGTTTAGGAGGTCTTTTCGAGATGCGATTTCCACTGCATCAATCATAATCAAAATACAAAGATGATGATGAACCATTAACTCGTCTAAGTACGGAAAAGGGTCAGTGATTGATGTCTTGAATAGAACGAGACCTGAGACTCACACCACCGGAGTTTCGTATATCCTGAAAGAAATTGCAGACGACGCTCACATGCTTCAAGCAAAGGTCGATAAGTGCCATTAAACTGCTGAATAGCATCCTCGGCACACAAAAAGGCACGTTGAACTGAGTTTTCGCCATGGCCTTCTCGAAGGGCTTCTTTGAGAATGGTGCCCATCTTCCATACGTAAAGTTTCCAGGCTTGTGCCGCGGCAATAATTTGATTAGCAGTCTCTTCGGTGACTGCAAGTCCATCTGTCCGCCAGTCTTCAGATTGCTCATGGAATATATTTGTGCACGCTTTCACCATACGCCAAGAGGTTTCCGATTCCCATCCTAGAAGGCCGGATGAAAGAATGGACTTGGTGTTCAAAGTAAGTGATGAAGAGGTATCGAAAGTAAGAGCAGCCCAATATATCATGCTTTCAATATCCATGAACTCTGTCCGAATTTGATCAGGGGTAGATATCGGAGTAGCTTGGTCTGTAGGCAGAGAAACTTTCGATCCGTTGAATTCCAGGCTTCTTTGTCGGGCCCGAAGAAACTGTACTTGTTGTAGGGCGGCTTGCACACATATTTGAGCGGGTAAACCGTCTTCCTCTTCCTCCTCATCAATTCCCACTGGAACCGGAACCATTGCGAAAAGATATAAACTTAGCATTGATCGATAACATGGCCGATTTATGGATCTAGAAAGATCTTTTCGAAGCTCTCGCCACAAAGTCTGGATTAATGGTGTCTGTGCTGCTCTTTGTGTGGGCGAAGTGCAAATAAGAGGTAGCCAACGTGCAGAAAATGTCTGTATTGCTTTGTTGAGAGTTGCTTCGATTTGCAACTCTTTCTGTAACTCTCTTTGGCTTGGTGGGTGGTTGATTAAACCGGGTTTGCTCTGGCTTTCTAGATTCTTCATCAAGTGATCAAATTGTCTGCAGATCGATGATATGCTAACGGATAACGAAAGACTAGGCTGCATATTTGTGTCATTATCTAAGTGGCCACGCTCTCCAAATCTATGGCCATATTAATGTCTGCTCGCAATGCTCACGGGTACATCGCTCAATTCCAAACTCACGCGAACGGACAACTATAGTTGCCTAACCATGACCCAAAAATAGCTTCGAAGACATTCTCGTACATGTCTTGAAGCCATAAAGACGTTTCTGATGTAATAGGTTGATTTTGAGAAGAAGGAGAAGGAGTTTCATCATTGTTGTCATTCAAAAGACGTTCGCATACTCTGCAAACTGAAATTAGCAAAACGCCCGGCGTCAAAAGACATCAAACGGTAATTCACCTTGTGACCGAAGAACCTTGAACATTGAGTTCTGAGGCATGTAATGTATTCGGGTCCAAGGTCGAGCTTGCGATGTAGGCTGGGGACGGCGACAAAGCCTCATTCCAGCGATGCGGGGAAACTGCAGTTCTGTTTGAAGAGGAGGTAGTTCTCTTCATCCACTGTTGACAATAATCTCATCAGATCTACATAGCCCCTGTACTGCAAGACAGACTTGGAAGCGAAGACATACCTCAAAAGTGCAACGTCGGTTCCGAGATTTGCATCGGCTGCAAGGGGCAAAACCCGCTTCCCGGTGCATGGCATCGCAGGCCACGCGAGATCTACGACATGTATCACAACTTGAGAACTGCTTCCGACGTTGAATACGACCAGAGGGCATACTGTACTTGTGAAGTTTCCAGATCAACCGGGGATATGATGGGTTTGCAGCAATGCTGAGATCGAAGCGGGTCAGACTCCACCCCCGCGTCTTAACCGAGTTGAAGATACAGATACGAACAATGCAGGAGAAGATCGCCGAGACAATTTCCAATAATGACGAGTTGAAAAAAAAGGAGAGAATATGGAATGGGCTCTGCAATACAGAATGATCTGCATTAAAATGGATCTCAAAGTTGCTAATGTCTAGGTATCATGGGATTGATTATTCTAACTATTTCCGAGTCATTCAGATGTCTTTTTCTTTTTCTTTTTGTACTTTTGAATAAGCCCAAACACCATAAAAAGCGAAACAGTACATCTGAGGAATAGAATCGGATCCGAATTTCCCGCATTATCTGTAGCATTCGGCTCTGGCGCACTGACTAAGTGGATCGGATCCGGTCGACTCGGAGCGTAAAGCTCCTTCTTTTTGGCGAATGACGGCGCTGATCAAATCGGCTAATCAAAATTTAGTGTTATTAAGCTCTTTTGTGCATGAAACCCCAGTCTGGGGTTATGGGCGATGCGGACTGAGGCGCCCCGTCTAGTCGGCTTCCCCCCGGTCATTTAGATGTTATTATAAAAAGGCGCTTCCCTGTTTTCATATTTCATACAACCTTGAAGAAAGCAGGTATACCTTATAAGCAAAATTATTTTGGGTTAAGAAGAAATATTGTCACGATATGGCTCGATTCTGGGGCCTAAGAGGCTCAAAGCTTCACATGGCTATCTGGATGGAAGCCTGCTTCGGGGTCATGATTTTTGGTTATAATCAATCATCTGCTGGCGGAGTTCTCTCGGACGCTACATTCAATCTTCAGTTTCCACGCATGGATACATTGTCCACGACTGGAAGTCTACAAAGATACAATTCTAGGATTCAAGGTAGGATCTCAAAATACAAAATCAAAACCAAGGCTGATCAAAATTAGGAACTGTTGTCGCACTGTACACTTTGTTTGGGGTATTTGGAGCTTTGGGCTGCACATTTCTCGGGGATATCTTAGGTCGCCGAAAAACCATATTCGTTGCTAGTGTGGTGCAAGCTGTTGGCGCCATTCTTCAATGTTCGTCTTTCGCTTTCGCCCAGTTTATTGTTGGACGAATCTTGCTTGGCCTCGGAACAGGAGGTATTATCGCCACAGTCTCCGTATGGCAATCGGAAGTCTCAAAAGCGGAATGTCGTGGTGAACATGTCTCTGCCTTCGGAATATTTTGTGGATCTGGCATTGCCTTAGCGTTGTGGATTGCCTTTGGCATGTCATATACACAGCCGAGCTCTGTCTCTTGGCGCTTCACTCTGGCCTTCACCATCTTTCTTTCATTTCTTGTCTGCATCTCAATCTTCTCGCTACCCGAGAGCCCTCGCTGGCTATGCAAGATGGATTGTTGGGAAGATGCTCGGGAAATTTTAGGACTTCTATACGATGAAGACCCACACGGCGAAACGGTAAACAAAGAAGTTGAGGACATTAGACTTTCATTGGAACGTGCAAGTAAAGGATCTCTCGGAGCCATGTTTAAAATGGGACCCCAGAGAGCCTTTCATCGAGTTGTTATTGCTGCAGTCGCCCAGATCTTTCTGCAAATGAGTGGCGTTAACTCTATCACTTACTATGCTCCCACGATCTACCAACAACAGCTTCATTTTGCGCCAACAGAGTCAGGAATTCTAGCCGCATCATCTCAGCTTGTCTTGGTTATAGGCGCAGTATGTTGCACCTGGACGGTTGATCGCTTTGGGCGACGAAAACTTATGATGTTTAGCGCATCCAGCATGGCGATATGCTTCGCCTTTATTGCAGGACTGACATCGCATCCTGGAAACCCCGCTGCTTTGAAAGGCGCAGTATTTTTCCTCTATCTGTATTTTTTCGTTTATGTCCTTGGATTCTTGGGGATCCCATTTCTCTACGCAAGTGAGATCGCGCCAACCCCCCTCCGAGCGGCGACCTGTGGATTATCTACTGCAGTATCGTGGTTGTTTAACTTCCTCGTCGCAGAAGTCACTCCTGCTGCCTTTGATGACATTGGTTGGAAATACTTCATTGTCTATTGCTGCCTCAATGCTGCATTTGTCCCAGTGATTTATTTCTTTTTTCCCGAGACGGCCCAGCGATCGTTGGAGGAGATTGATGAAATTTTTGAAGCCTCGACAAGTATTTTTGATACTGTCTCTGTTGCGCAGAAACTTCCCAAGAGACATCTCTCTGACTTTTTGAGAGAGGAAAAAGGAGCTGAAGCTTCCCATCTCGAGGCTTGAGGAGGATGACAACTATACGTTACCAACGGGAAGTTTTTCTCTACGCTGTCATTAAATACATTCTCGGTGTGCGATAAGATCATTCGATATGATGTCCAATGGAAAGAACTGTTATTCATAAGTGAATGAAAACGCGTTATGCATGCCTATTCGGACCCACATTCGAATGTTATTTTCAAAGTCTTTCGATTTTCCCCATCGACGGAATCAAGCAAATGAGCTAGCCATGCCATAAAATGTCGACGAGTGACACCATTTGAAACACAGAGTGGCGAGGAATGTGCCTTTACACTTAAAAATCAAATTTTAGAGCCTCGCGATCTAACCCGAACTCACAGTACATTGCGCAAACTGGTCTTAGCTGCGCGATTAATACTCCGAAGCTTGCCCGGGACAGCCGCCAAGTGGGTACACAGCGTGGAAAAAGATCCAGACCCCGATAAACATGACAGGAGACCATGTAATTGATAGGAAAGCCGACCAGTGAGATGATTTGACTCGTCACGGGTATGGACTCTGACATGCAGACCAACATGAAATATGCCGGGAGTGACCAGTTTTGCGGAAGATACAATAGACGGAGACTATTGCGCAATAACACCCATGCCCCCCTCTTCTCTACGGACGCGACTTTGTCTGGAACTTCAAGGAAAATTCATACAAAATATTTAGATTGTTGGACTTTGCCTCTATTTGTTTTAATTACATTCTACCTAGTAACTTATATAGAGAAGAGGGATAGAGAAAAAACCACTTGAGATATACAATATAACAAGGTTGTTCTAACATCTAATCTAGAAAGTTTATTTCAAAGTTCCTAGGATAAGGAGAAGCTGCATAAGGAATTCTTATAGGAGTGACGTGATCGGGGTTTATAATGGGATCATGTTTACTACTCACTATTTATAAAATCACCCGATTCCTCGCAAATTTAAAATATCATGTACACAGGGGAATTTCATCATGGCAGCCGATACAGAAGCCAACGTGGCACAACAGCAGGAGCTGGTAAAGCCGATCAAATCATGGAAAGGTTATCTCTGGGACACGTGGGATTTGCCCAGCGATCAGCGTTGGTTGTTGTTCAAGCTTGACGCGTTCGTACTCACGTTCGCATCTGTGAGTAAAACACAGTGACTTGGAGCGTGAATTAAGGCTGACGATTTGAAGATCGGTTATTTTTTGAAGAATTTGGATCTTCAGAATGTTACTAATGCCTACTTGAGTGGCATGGAAGAAGATTTGGAGATGTATGGCAATCAGCTGGTAACAAGTACATCTGTGTTTACAGTGGGCTATGTTATCGGACAAATTCCATGCAACTTATTATTAACTCGAGTTTCTCCTCGATGGGTAATTCCTACGGTATGTGAAATATTTTATTGTTCAAAATTATCCATACCGCACTACCAGGTACTAACAAACTCTGTAGCTTGAGGTTGGCTGGGGTATCGCCACCATGTGCATGTCCAGCGTCAAGTCCTACAAAGCACTTTATGCTCTTCGTTTCATCGTCGGAATTTTTGAGTAAGAAATGATAAGTCGGATTTCGATATTAGTTCCAACTAACCTGTCGTTTGGTAGATCCGGATTTTACCCTGGTATTCATTATTTACTCGGATCGTGGTATACACCTCAGGAAATCGGAAAACGCGCCATGACATTCTGGCTTGCAGGGTCGATTGGTCAGCTTTTCAGTGGGTTTCTACAAGCTGCAGCATATACGAACCTGGATGGCGTGGATGGCCGCGCGGGATGGAGATGGCTTTTCATCATTGATGGCATCATCACACTGCCACTCGCATTGGCTGGGTTTATTTTCTTCCCTAACTTGCCCCAGAGCGGCAAGAAAACTTGGTGGACCTCCGAAGAAGAACATGTTCTTTCAGTGAAGAGAATGCAGGTGATTGGTCGAGCTGGAGAAGAGCCTTGGACAAAGGCTAAGGCGCGAAGGATTTTCTTGAGTTGGCATACTTGGCTTCTCCGTGTGTATTCTTACCCTTCAATTGATGCAAGGCTTCCGACTAATATTGAAAACAGCACTTCTGTATATCGTTTGGAACAATGGATATCCACAGGTCGGCATGGGATACTGGCTGAAAAGTTTCAATGCGACACCAGCTCCTGTTCCTGGTAAAACCTTCACGGTGGCACAAATAGACAACTGTAAGTTCCCTGAAGAGTCTGGTCGTGAAAAATTATTAATGCCATCTGTTCAAAGTACCGTTGGTTACCACGGGTATATTTATTGCTATGGCATTTGTTTGGGGATGGCTTTCCGATGGTCCCATGCGAGGTTCTAGATGGCCTTTCATTCATATTGGTGCTGTGATCACTGTGAGTACTGGGGATGAAACTTCTGCAAATTTGAGTTTCTATACTTATCTCAAATCATTTAATTTAGATTGTGTTCTGTGTTCTCCTGCGTCAAATGCCTCTCTACACAAATATCGATGGCCGGATGACGGTATACTGGTTGAGTTTCATCGGAGTAAGTTCCAAATTATCTATGCAGGATTTTTGGGAAACAAATTAACATCAATTACAGACTGGCGCTGGTCCGTTAATTCTCAGCTGGGCCAATGAGATATGCTCGGCTGATACGGAGAAGAGAGCTCTCGTTGTTGCAATGGCGAACGATCTCGCCTACGTTGTACAGGCAGTGGTATGCGTTTCAAGATCCCGCTCACCGAATGAATCTCTTCTGACAAAAAGATAGGCGCCTAATTTTGTGTGGAAAACGACCGACTTTCCTGCTGCGAAGGACGGATATCTCTGGGCGATAATACTGCAAATTCTGTCGAGTAAGTTATTTCATACTTCTACAGGCTATAAGACAAGCAAGCTAACTAAGAATCAAGTTATTGTGACTGCGGCCATTCAGTATCTTGTTTGGCGGGACAACAAAAAAAGAGTCTCAAGCTGAGATAGAGGGGTCAACTCTAGCATCGGAGCAGATTTCGATTGACGAGAAAAAGTTACCGGAAACAGTGGTTGCCCGGATAAGTTCCGAGTAGATCTCCAGGGCTTGCGATGTGTTTTTCAGAACTTTGTCCGTGACGAGTCTTCGATAGATTCGAAAATCAAACATGGAAGTGGCACCATCAAAGTCTTTTCCAAGACTGCTTGCACGTACATAACGACTGATTGTATTTCCAACCATGGTATAAACTAAATATGTCTGGGACCAAAGGGTCCGATGCCATCGGTCCGCTGCCCTCAGTTGGGGGCTATAGTATAAGGTCATCTGTACGCCCGCCGGGCGTCAATAATGGCTACGGTTGTACTAGTGGGTCCAAAACTGCACTCGGAACAGCCAATTATAATGGAGATAAATGATTAGCCAGAGGCATTTATGAAATGATTCGCTCTAACGAACGGCCCGATGAATGTAGGTCGGACATAGGCGGCGGAAGAAAGATAAACGTGTCCAACTTTTGTTTAGCATAGATATTTGGCACAATTTCAGCTGCTTGGAATTTAATCATAAATAAGTCTAAACCATCGCTCCAAATTGATACTTTGTTTATATCTGCTTTAAAAATTTGATTCAAGCCGCAGACTAACGGCCATACGGAGTATCCATGTCGCAAACAATTGTTCTCGTCACTGGAGCCAATCGTGGTATAGGTAAAGGAATATTGGAGCTATATTTGAAAAAGCCGAACCATGTCGTCATTGCCGGTGTCCGCGATCCAGGGAATGCTAGTTCTCAAGCGTTGGCCCAAACCCCCAGGGCTGATGGGACTGAGCTCCATGTCATCAAGATCGATGCAACATCTGCGACCGACGCGGCCGCCGCAGTGAAGGAGCTCGCGACTAAGAACATCAACCACATTGATATACTTCTTGCAAACGCTGGAATTTGTTTGAACTGGCCAAAAGTATCGGAAGTCAAGATCGAGGATATCCAGACCCATATTGATGTCAATGTGTATGGCTTTATCTACCTTTACCAGGCTTTTCGTGATATCTTGAAAATAGCTAAGAATCCTAAATGGGTGACGATCGGTACAAGCGCGGCATGTCTCACGGTAAGATCCAGTTCATTATCATTATTGACGCGAAGGAACGCTGCTAATCTAAAAATCCTTAAAGTGAGTCGAGCAAAGCCGACATGTTTTCAACTAATTCTCACAGAAATGAACAGGAACTTTATCCCTGCGCGGAATGCATCATATGCTCCTAGTAAATTGATACAGCACTGGTATACAAAGGCCATATCAGCAGAAGATGAATGGCTAACTGCATTCCCGGTTGAACCAGGGTAAGCTTGTTTTTGTGAACCCTCATAAATTCAATGTTGCAAATATTGACCGGTTCCGTAGTTGGGTGCAAACGGAAATGGGTAATCGGGGAGCTGAGACTTTTGGAATGGAAAAAGCTGCTCTCACTGTAGAAGAGAGTGCCAAGGGCGTGGTGCAGGTTGTCGATGTTGCTACGCGGCAAACTCACAGTGGAAGGCTATTCAGACACGATGGTGGAGAAGAGCCTTGGTAGTTTGTATTTCTTTTTGAATAAGTAGAAAGAATCTCTAACGTTAGCAAGACACTCCTAGGAACCGTGGTAAAAATACGTATTCATCTTGTCTAAAACCATCATGATCCAAACAATGGTGTCTACTAGGTCAGGTAGACTTTAGGATCTTTTGAAAGACAGTCTGCTTATATTGCCCTTATATTCCCATTCTAAAACTCTTTACTTAGAGAGATACAAAAGTCTTATATGTTATGTAATAAAAGAAAAAATCCCGTGATCAGCCGAGAATATGAAGAATGAGAATGTTAACGACTCGTGAAGGCTAGTCGAAAATATCACCATCCAAGCTGCTATACCTTGCATATATCACCGGATGTATGCGAGCCAAAATTTTGTACTCCTTGAGCATCATAAACTATCGTAGTTATAAAATCCCTTTCCACTCTTCACTCCCAGTTCACCATTTTGAATAAACCGCTTAAGATATTCTCGTGGCTCTGTGGGAAGTCCATCTCGAGACTCAGCGTAGTGATTCTCAATATCAAGAACAACATCCAGGCCAACAACATCCATCTGTTCACAGGGCCCCTTTGGTGTTTTGAGAACATTCTTGAAGATTGAATCTATTTCTTCAGGGGTACAGACCCCTTCAGAGAGAGTGAGAAGAGTCTCTCGTTTGATAGCTGCCCAAATCCTGCCAGGTTATTTAGCTTTTTTTTTATTCAGCATCTCCGAGTCCTACTATTCGCAAAGGAAAAAGAAAGTTTGGGTAGGTAGTAGTACCTGTTGTATATATAGCCGATTGAGCTTTTCTTGACATGGAAGGGAGAGAACCCATGGGCTTTGCAGCTTTCAAGAAGATGAGCCAAAATTGGGGGATCGGTCTTCTCATGCCCCATTATTTCGATTGCTATAATAGATTTTGTTTAGTTGATATTGAAAATATCGTCCCTTCCTATTCCCAAAGGTCTTACCTGATGTTTCAGGTGGCCAGTCTGATAGTATTTGATCAACCTTATCAGCAACGATGTCTCGTCTCTTATCTTCAGATACATATCAAGACTCACAGCAGTGTGCACTAAGTACCCTTGTTTGGTTCTTCAGCGAAAGGCCGTCTAAAATCTCTGCGATTCCATAGCTACTGGAGTTTGATGCGATGATGGTATTAAGTGGCGCCAGATCATCCAGCTCGGCAATCACCTTTCTTTTCAATACCAGATTTTCAGGAACACACTTTTCCCATCAGTTGTCAGTGGATTTATTTCAGAATCATATAATCAAGAGGCTTACTTCTATCACCAACCATGAATTTTGCAATGATGCTGCAAGTGAATCAGGGCGAGCAATTTCGATTTCCCCCCAATGATCAGCTTCGTCAGGTTTGGCTTCTCGAAGCTGTTGTACATAGTCCAATCCATCCCGTAGTTGCTTCTCCTGGAGATCTACCAAGGTAACGGGACCTCCTTCACTGGACCACTGTAGCATTTCAATTTGTAAGTAAGTCCTAGATATAGCTCAAATAAATTAGAAGAATCACACATACCATATACGCCAGTCTCCTTCCCTGCGTGCCAGCCCCGAGAATGACAACCCTTGTCGATTTTGATGTTGACATTTCCGTTTCTAACTCCTTGAGCAGTCTACCCGGTCAGACAATTGTATAAAGAGATGCTCAATCTAGCTGATCTTTGAGAGTTTTTCTTCTTTAATATTATGTGAAAGATGAAAGTTTGTTCGAAAGCTGAGACTTATTTCTCAAAACCCGTTTATGCACGAATGCCGTTTCCTTGGTGTTATATTTCGGATCCGACTGTGTCAAATTTTTGCGTTTTTTCTCTTTTCCCATCATGTATGATTCGTCCTTCCTGCAAAGGTCCAGTGGCAGGACTTAGACGCTTCTCCATCATTTGGATCGGAACCGATGAGCCGGTCATGGATGAGTGTTAGCTAAGACGTGATTGGTTGATATCAATAACATCGGATCCGATGTGGGGAACGCTGCGCAGTATAAGTTCCTTGCTTTCCATCATGGTTTTATCGTCATTGATGCTCTCCCTACAATGATCTCCATAGATACAAGATAGATATAGGGGTATAAGTGGGCTTGAATTTATACGAACGATAGTCTGTCTTTCATAGCCCACAGGAGGTCCGCTGGGTGGGTAAGCCCACTTACTACTACTACCTATGCCGCTTCTAATTCCCAATGTTGGAGTTACTAGTTGGAAGCAAAAAGCCATGTTGAAGATATAGTATTTACTATGTTTCCAGTGCTCCGAATTTCAATCTGCAGGAAAGCATCGTGCTGGCGGTAATACGAGGACAGAAATAAAGGTGAAAGAGAAGACATCGGAGCTTATGTTTCACACAGTGCTCCTGAATAGCCTTATGACGAAGGGCGGCAATTGAAGAACTTAATGGAATCAAAAAATAGCGCATCCAGGCCACAATGCTGCCACGCCTTACTGCTATATACTCTGTACTTGGATTCTTCACGCAATGTAGATTAGATAAAAGCACATAATTCGCTCAGCTTCAAGTTTCATGGTAGTCTGGAGAATCTTTGTGGGGATCAGTTTCATGCCACATACCCCTTCGTCAAAAATTCTATTGATGAAGAATCTATGACGGCCATGTTACTACTGGGAGCCTTCGTCGGATGTATTTTCATGCCCTTCATGGCTGATTGATACTCTCGAAAATGGGCAATCACAGTCTGCGTCGTGATTTTTGACATCGGAGCTATCATTCAAACTGCAGCACCAAGCTACGAAGCTCTGATAGTGGGTAGATTCACTGGAGGAATTGTTTTTGGAGCTCTTGCGATGGTAACGTACCTCTTCTTTGACTTGAATAGAGTCCCATACTTACAGGAGAACTGTCCTTTACCAGGGTGCCCCTTTGTATATCTCTGAGATCTCGCCTCCCAATATCCGTGGAAATTTGCTCGTCCTTGAATCGATTTCCATAACCGGTGGAGTGGTCATTGCGTACTGGATCACCTTCGGGACCCTTGAAATCCCAAGCGAGGTATCATTTCGACTGCCCTTTGTCTTACAGATGATTACAGCGACAGCTCTTGGAACCGGAATACATTTCTTCTCATATTCCCCACGCTGACTAGCACTGGTTGATCGCAGTGATGACTGCTTGAAGGGTTTGGGGAAATTACGAGGACTACCAGAGAATGACGAGATAGTACAAGCAGAGTTTCACGGTGTGATGGCGGAGGTCAATTTCCAAAAAAAATTGATTCAACAAAAGCGCCACCCGGGAGCGACTGGAGTGAAGCTTGAATACCTTCAATGGATGGACCTTTTCTGCCGCAAACTGTGGAGATGAACTCAGGTTGGTGTTGGTGTCGGTTTCTTCCAGCAGTTCTCGGGGATTAACGCATTTATCTATTATGCACCCACATTATTTACCCCAGTGAGTTATCTGCCATGAGGATTGTGGAATCTTGAACAATTCTAATTTTGAGATAGCTTGGCCAATCCACGGAGCAGTCTCGTGTTCTCTCTGGTGTGTTTGACTGCCTACAGCTGGTCTCATCTATCGTCTGCTTTTTGATTATTGATTGGGTTGGTCGTAGGCCATTGGCCATCTGGGGAGCGTTTGGGTCAGCTACTGCATATGGCATTATTGCTATTTTAGTTGGTCTATTTGAAGACGATGGGCTAGGACATACGTCTGCTGGTTGGACGTGTGTGGCGAGGGCTTTCGTATTTATTTTGATATACGGTGTCTCCTATTCCCCTCTTGGCTGGGCGCTTCCTGCCGAAGTCTTCTCAACATCTACCAGATCCAAAGGTGTCGCATTATTTACGTGCACCATTTGGCTTGCTGACTTCATCGTCGGTATTGCTATCCCAAGTATGCTTGACAGTATAATCTACGGTACGTACATTTTCTTCGCGGCCATGTGTTTTTTTGGCTGGGCTATGGGCATACCTTTTAATTCCCGAAACAAGTGGGAAACCCCTTGAGGAGCTGAATAAGTGTTTGGAGATACCAGTGGGCAGGAGGAAAGGGATATCGTCGCCGAAGCCATCGCATCCCAACACAACCACGCGATGGCGTCGGCTTAGAACCAATCTGTCAATTTACCTATATATTCTTGCCCTATCGGAATGATACTTATTTAGAGCATTAGAAGTACCTTGCACTCAAAATTATTTTACGTAGAGTATTTTCAAGATCCTATATGTAATTTCTTCTAAAAGAATCATGTACATTTGCTGAATTAGGGCCGGAAAAAGCTTCACGCGGTCACATCATTCCACATTATCCACATGGGTTGTTCCAATGCCTTTTCCATCAAAGTCGGTAAGAGCTTCTCCGTGCGCCATATCGCGTTCAAAAATGGCACCAACTTTGCGGGCCTGGCGATCTTTGAATACCCAAATTGTCCTGTCTTTAGAGAATAAAAAGTCGACTTCTTCCAGTGATTTACCGGCAGTTTCCTATTAGGGTCAGTATATTGTCATCTCTCCGGTATAAATGCACATAAGAACGTCGTCACTTACCGGATATAAGAAAAACACGACGATGGCCATCACAAAGCAAAGAGTCATGAAGATCATATAAAGCTTCCATCTAATACATTCAACTGTTAGTACTTAAACTTATACAATCGCAAGGTCAATCAACGGGACCCGTCAACTTACGATATCTCATTCATTGCTGTTGGAATGTAAAGAGCAAACCAAAAATTCTATAATTATTAGTTCTGTATGCCCGGCTAGAGTGAAAAACATGCTCTGTCTAATGACTTACCACAAACCAGTTCGTCGCGGATGTCATAGATGTTCCACGACCTCGAGAGCCTGTAGTGAACAACTCTGGAGGATAGACCCATGCTACACAGGCCCATGTCAATGCGAAGACCATGACATATACATAGACAAAGGCGATTGTGGCATTTGACGCTGTTTGGCTACTGAAATCAAAGTTTGTCTTCTTCGTGAGAGGATCATATACCGGGTTTCCTGAGTAGAATTAGAATAGAGTTCGGGAATATTTATCCTGGATACTCACCTTTCGTTTTCATAATTACTCCAATAAGCATCATAGCAGTACCCATACCAGCTCCTCCAATGACCATGGGGGTACGACGACCCCATGTATCCATCCAGTACATGTTTGGCCAAGTGAAGACGTTCAATACAGCTCCCTGGATACCATTTGCGAGTAGAGAGCCTCGAGTTGAGCTGATACCAGCTTGTTCAAATAAGAATACTGCATAATACATGATTCTGGAGTCAGATTATCGTTAGTACAATCCGTCAAAATAACCGAGGCCTCAGCCAGATGGTAGGATGTATCTTACACATTGATACCGGTCACCTGTTGCCAGAATTGCTAAATGGGAATTAGCGAAGGTTTCAAATGCCCATTTATTCCAGCACTCACCACTCCAATGCCTAGCCAGGTGCGACGTCGATCTCGTCCAACCAACATCTCAATGTATGTCGGGGGTGGGTTTTGTCTCTCCCATTGAATTTTCGACTCAATCTCAGCCAGCTCGGCCTGCACAAAAGGATCATTGATATCGCCATCTGAATGTAATCTGGCCAATGAGTGTAAAGCCTTTTCATGTTCATCGCGCTGTGCAAGCCACCGAGGGGACTCTGGCATGAAATACATGGTCAAGTGCAAAGTGACGGTGGGGATCATCTGAAGTCCAAGTGCCAAACGCCACGATTTGTCTCCATCTAAAAAGCTCGATCCATATTGAATCCAAAACGCAATTAGAATGCCAAAGTTAATACAACATTGCTGAAGAGAAACAATGCGACCACGGATTCTACATTCAATTAGCTAGTGCAATAATTAGCAGGGTAAGAAAGCACCTTACTTTGGAGGTGCAATCTCGCTTTGGTATAAGGGTACCTTTGCGAAGCAAATACAATTAGTAAAAGATCAACTTAATGTTCTTCCCTCTTAATCTCATACCATCATTGCTAAACAGCCGTTTCCCAAACCATTAACAACACGTCCGGCAACAAGAGCGGTAACACCGTTTGCTGCAGTCGATATAGCTACGCCGATTGTGAAGATCAAGGAGCCCAATAGAATAGTTTTGCGACGACCGAGTCGATCCGCAAGAAAAGCACCAGTTAGAAGTGAGCCTGCAAATGACCCAGCTTGGATAGATGCCGTTATTCCGCCCTGCAAAAAGTTTCCGGGGTAGTTCATGTAAGAAAGAAATTGAGTCATCGTCAAAATACCGCCTGAAAAACGAGCGTCAATGTATTGCACCCAGCTGCATTTCGTGAGCAATATGCCGACTCACTCATAGACCCGGTATCCTGCAATTGTTAGAAATCAAGTATGCAGACTTAGGAATTGGTATCCTTACATATCCAAAAGCAACACCTCCCGTACATGGCGCAATGCCATACATGTACATTTTCTTGTCTCGTTAGTGATTTCCATGTTGAAAAGGCATAATGGTCTTACCCACGAACCACCCATTTTGGCTGATGGGTGTCTATTCAGGGATAGTGCACTGATTGTAAGTTTAGGAGTATCTCTTGTGACTGAGAGACCTATCAAGCATTTTATTGTCACAACAAGGAGCTTCGCCGGGTAATTTCCCCTCATTCTGCGTAAAGCTTTGGCCTGCTTTTATGTGGATGCGGGGCCCCGGTTATTTGTTCATTGGCCCCCCCGCGCGCTGCTCAGGGTCTTTGGGACACAGAGGCAATGAATTAAACTATTTTCAATGGCATGTAGCGTTACATTATCTGGATCAAAGTTGGAGAGACGTCGTAGGTTGTAGCCTCGGTATGTAATTGCTTAGTTTAATAACTCGGGACCTTGCAGTCATCCCCGGATTCTCAGTATACCAACCAACTTATCTATGCCTTTCATCCTTGATTCCATGGATGATTAAAGGAGCTGGTTCATGCCTTCCATGATATTCGGGCTCCTATCATCCACCACACAGCGTGTGTCAACGCGTTGAGTATATCAAGAACCCAGGTCAAATGATCACAGGACGAGTCTTCTGGGTATTCGGTGTATTGAGATAGTTGAATCCTCAATTAATGCCCACTTCACTGAGAAGCTTGCTAGCGTCCTCTTCGAATATTGAAGTGATCATGTATCGTTTATCAGGATGATTCCTAGTATTTGATATGGCTGTTGATATCCATTATGGGCATTCGGTCAAACAACGTCCGGTGGCAAATCATCTCTTAGACAAAGAAACAAATGACAATAACACGGTCGCGTCAGGCCGTGAAGTGGAGATGGTAATGATCGGCACTGTCTGTGTCGACCAATGATATTTTTTCCGTCGGATATTTGAATCGGAAAATTAAGTGTTGGGCAGCTCGGCGTCGGCTTGCCTTGGCTACGAAGGAACAGAGCAAATCGTGACCAGTGGGGTGAAATGGCCAGAATTAAGAAGGAGCTGTGAAAATGAAAAAAAAGCAGAGGAATGTCGAAATATTTTTTCTCTCATCTTGGAGTATCTTTCGGGAGCACAGTCGCAAGATGAGTGTTCATCAAACTCCAACGCCGCTATCACGGCTCCTACCGCCGCTCATCCTTGGGGGCGCAGGCTTCAGTCACCAAGTCTTTCGAAATCCCAACTCGGGCCAGGCGCTGGAGGTACTCAAACGCGCATTTGAACTTGGAATAAGGGCTATCGATACCTCTGCATACTACCACCCATCCGAGATTCTTTTGGGGGAAGCTTTGTCACATCCCGATATCACAAATTCCTATTCGCGTGACCAATATTTTTTGATGACCAAGGCTGGTCGAATCAGTTCGGACAAGTTTGATTACTCTCCAGCATGGATACGGCATTCGGTGCTACGATCACTTCTACGCCTGCGAACAGACTATTTAGACGTCGTGTTTTGTCACGATGTGGAGTTTCTCCCAGAACACGAAGTACTTCAAGCCGTCGGGGTCTTGATTGATATGGTCCATGAAGGTCACATCCGATATATTGGAGTATCTGGATATCGTATTGATATCCTCACACGCCTTGCCGACCGTGTCCAGAAACAATATAATCGTCCTTTGGATATTGTGCAAAATTGGGCGCAATTGACGCTTCAGAACGATCGGCTAGCATCTGGGTTGTCAGATTTTCAAAATTCAGGAGTCTCTTGTGTTTGTAGCTCGAGTCCACTGGCAATTGGGCTTCTCCGTGAAAATGGTGTGCCGGTTGGCGATTTGGGCGACTTTCACCCTGCGCCGCCAGGATTGCGGGAAGCAGCGCAAGCTGCTGCTGAATATGTGGCCTCGCGCGGTGAATCTCTCGCATCGTTAGCTTTGCGATATGCTATTCGCCGAGCCCAAGTAGAATCTTCTGATAATTTTCGCGTAACGACAATCATGGGCATTACTTCTGTTGCAGAACTGGAAGAAAACCTAAAGTCAGCCAGAAAGGTTCTTCGGCCAATAGGACAAAACAATTCATGGGGTTGGACTAGTAATGAGAAGGCCAGTGACTCGGATGCGAGTGAGCTCGATCAAGAGATAGAGATATGTGCTAAAGTGCAAGGCATACTTGGGAAATGGCGAAACTATAGCTTCCCCAGCCCAGGAGATGGCTGGGATGTGGCTAATAAACAACCAGTTCAAACAAAACTATGATGAATCCTTCGGCAAACTCTTGTTTTCTAGTGCATTTAGACATATAGGGGGATTAGAATACATACTTCCATGACTGGCAAATGCATAAATATTTATTATTATTAAAATTGCTGAAGATTCGTGTGCATTTTGCCAACCAATTCTTGGATCATACTAAAGTTCCTGCAATGTTACCCTTTCAAAACATACAAAGCTGGAGATTGTAACCGTGACGACTGGAATCGGCTCACAGTGGGCCATGCTTCTCCACTTCTCCACAACATCGTCTCCGCACCCGAAGCCGATTTCTGCTCTCCCCTTTCCCCGCAATACGGATTTTCTTGTAGGCGCTGGGCTTCACCATGTCACATCGAAATCATTCGCGGGTACTGCGAGCATGCGATGCATGTACTCATTCAAAACAACGCTGTGATGGCGAGCAACCATGGTAAGCAGTCGATATCTAAAACACACACAGGTATTGCGGCTAATCAGCAAAACTCGAAGTCGACGATGCGCAGGTATGACACAATTAGAGGCTATTCGTTTGTCGCAATGGACTGACCTGGTCGGAAGAGCGCGATGAATCTTGTCACTATACAAAGACAGTCCGCAAACGCGGTCGCCGCCCTCGTTCAGATTCAAGTCGCTACCCGAGGAGAGAAAAGCGTGGTTCTACTGAACGTGAACCATCACAATACATGACTCCTAGTTCCACAGGCACTGGTGCATCAAATCCTGCTTCTCTGCCAGAAAGCTCCGGTTGCATGGCACCCCCGGATTGCCGAAGACGTACTACAAACTCCACAGATGGACCACCGGCCAACTCGACGGAGTTTGTAGAAAGTCCCACCGATTTTCATACGGCCAATTCTCCATATACCACTCAAACACAAGTTTTTAACGGGTTGTTTCAGATTCCTGCTGATCCTAAGGATCTAGGCCCTAATCAAACTTCACTTTCACCTGGTCAAGTACGAACATTGAAAGCTCTTTTCGTTGAAACTTTCTAATTCTTCTTTAAGATCTCACGCCCCTCTAGTCCTATCCATACTTTCCATAATGACACATTTGATGATGTCTCCAGTAATTCCAACAAATTTCCGCTCAAACAACAATACCGCTGCTTGGACACAATTGCCCATAACTTGAAAGGGATATTGTCTTTGGAAGAGGCCTCAGATATGCTGGAAATATACTTCAACGAAGAGTCAAATTATCCCTTCAAATCTACGTCTCCATACATGTTGGCTCATGTTTTGCACCCCTCAACAATCTCACAACCTACATGTACCCGTCCTATCTCTCCTGCTTTGGTTGTGGTGATTCTCTTCTGTGTTACACAAACCGCTGATATGAGGATATTTGATACGCCTGGCGCCCGAGAGCGTACAAGCGTCGACCTATATCGTCTTTCAGTGGACTTGCTTCAAGCCGAAGATCCAGATAATTATTTTCGCACATCTGGTAAGTCTATATTGGGGCAACAAGAACTTAGACCACACTTCTAACTTCGTCTTTCCATTTGTATTTAGATGGCTGGCAATTTCATCCTCAGACTACAAAGAGCCCCCAGCCTGATACAAGATCGAGCCCGGACTTCCAGCCTTCTGGGAAATCTCTACTTCCTAAACAGCTTGGATCGACTGATATCATTCTGGCGGTTGCTATATTGACATTGGCGATATCTGGAGGTCACTATAAGGCAGATTCTCTTAAGTGGAAAGACAAACTGATACGACTGGTTCGGGCTAGTGGGCTTAGTATGGAAGACCAGGATATCGATCTTGGGCCAGTATTTTGTGGTCTTTACAACGGCGATGCTACGTTTCGACGATGGTTGATTTCGAAGGAGGAGCGACGGCGGTTGTTTTGGCTCATTTACTCATTGGATCGCCATTTAGCATTATCTTTCAACATGCGAATCAGTCTCCCCGAAGGAACATTTTGTGTAAGAAACCCATTACCTGAAACAGTGTGGCAGTCCCTCGACACAGCAGACCTGACATACATGCCTACATGTCAACTTGGCCCACCAACGCAGATCACAGGCTGTGGGTTCTTTGAATACTTTTTACCCTTGGCGTCGCTTTTAGGCCATATCATCGATATGCATCATTATCGCAGCCATCCCAATTTGGGAAAGTTCGTTCCTCAAGCTGCTGTCCATCAGATTGAAGCTATGATATCCCAACGAGAGCAAGAGCTAGATTTTTTGACAAGTCAGATGAATGGAAATCCAACAAATGGCTCCCATAGCCATGGATTTTCCCAGCCCACCGACGGGCTTTCTCGAATGACCGAGAAATTTGGCACCCCTAAATCGGGAACCTCTTTGCAATCGAAGTTACACTTGGTTCATATATACAGCACATATTTGCTCCATGTCTTTTACATCCTTCTTCACGGCAAATGGGATCCAATCTCAATGATTGAAGACAAGGATGACTGGATAACATCGGAGAGCTTCTTAAAATGCGCCTCCCATGCACTTAGCGCAACGGAGGTAGTATCTCGAATTTTGACCCTAGACCCAGAAATGCTTTTTATGCCATATCTATTTGGGATATATCTCCTTCAGGGGAGCTTCATTCTCTTGTTATTTGTTGATCGCATGCCAGAGCTTGGCCCAAATCGATCTGTTGAGGAGGTCTGTGAGACGATCATTCGTGCCCATGAAGTGAGTGTCGTAACACTGGACACAACATTTCAGGTAAGCTTTTTTCATTTACGAAGCCAAAACTCTCGGGCTAACAAAAAAAAAAGAAAAATTTCAGAAGGGTATTCAGATCTATGTTATATGATGCTCAGCAAGCAGGGCCTCACTCGTGGGATGAGCACAAGGCACGGCGCAGAGAATTGCTGTCTTTGTATCGTTGGACACCGTTAGCTCATGGCCTCGCCTATTAACATACGTAGACTTCTAGACTGAGTATATCTATAATTTCAATATGATTCAGAGCACAAGCTTTGTGCAAAAGTGAGCCGCTTCGCTCGGCGCATGTGTGTATGGTGACCACTTTGCCTGGTCAGTCAAATAATCCAATTATGTTCGTCGTATACTTACTTGAGAGAGCAACCCCAAAGTAAGTACATACACCCAGTGATATCAGAAACTACAAAATCTTCATATACTACATACCAAATTCAATTTCCAGATATTGATAATCTTCTGCTTCTTCATGGATAGTAGGCAATACTTGCCCTAGAGTCCGTTCTATTCTCGCTATCATCATTATTTCCTTCTCTCTCGTCTAATATTCGGCCATTCAAAATGTCACTCTAGCCTCATCGCGCCCCGGCAAGCCCTTCAAAAAAAACACCCAACTTTTGCTGCAGGATATCCGCTGATACCGGCTGTTTCAAAGCAATTTATTTTTGGTCCCAATTTTAAACCAAGGGGTCAAAGAGCCTTTTTCATGTTCGAAATTCAAGAAAGGACGCTTTAGTTTCAGTAGTATAGATGATCAAAGCCAGTTAATCCCATTATATATGAGCATATTGACTTTGTTCTAGTCTTTGCTTGAGTCTTAGTTCGAGGTCAATATTTGAAACCGGCGCTTATATTTCACTTTTATCAAAATAGAAAGCCTTTGTTGGAAGGGTCCGGAACAGATATTCTTTTAGCACAGCGTATAGCAATATGTCTTTGTCTCATGGTTTTACTCTGTGTGGACCTTCTTGCCAAATGTATAAAATGAGCTCATTATCTCTCTAAGTCGAGTATCCATACAGTCCACCAAGTTCGAACACTCCTTGAATTGAATCAATCATTACAAACATTCAATATACTTAGAGTCCATATTATTATCTTCACTAGCCAATGACGGCTTGTCGTTGCCTTCGAGCTTGCCTCTGTGGAGGTAACCGCTCTCCTTCATCTAGTAGCAATGAGGATGTTTCTTCTTCTCAAAAACGCCCGGCCATCAACTTTGGCCTCATTAGAGACCCTCTTCGAGATCAAAAGTCACTTCAATCTCGAGGCGCACAAGTATCGTTGGATTGAAGCCCCTGCAGAACCTGGCTGCCCCATTTTTCGAAACTTACTGACGGTTGAACAGCTTGAAAATGACGCCGAAATTGACGTCCCGGAAGATGATTGTATGCTTTCAGATCTAAAACTCCCTGACGAATTCCGGTTGCTTGAGCCTTGGACAACTTATCGGGTGTACTTTGGTGAAAATATCTGAATCGGCCACGTTACACCTGGTGTTATCATCATGCAAAACATCAAGCGTACACACGAAAGCCCCAATATCTCGGAGCTTGCTTTAACTATATATAATAGAGAGTACGATTCAACTGCAGACTTGCGACATATTTTCTTCACAACCGTTATAAACGAACAGACTCGAACTCTTATTACTGAAGATTTGTACCCATCTTGGCCAACTGCTCCGGTAATGACTTGGGAGCATGGTACCCCGCAATTTGAACAAATCATCGGTACGCGGCTTGGACACCTTACTGGGTATATTGTTGGCGGCTTTGATCGTGGAACTCGCCGCATTGCCCGTGTAGTGGGCTATTCTCTTTATCGAGATATTTTGGATTTGCGCTTCGACATCGAGCCTATGTAAATCATTCGCAGATTGAAATTTCCCAAAAAGCGCTGTTTGGTGCTATATTAATATGAGAACCTCTTGTAAGTCCTCGTTACTTTGATATTGGCGAATGTAAAGTTGGACAGGTCGGCGTTTCTGAATGTTTTGTGAGGGGCGGAGGAAAGGTTTCGAAAATTCCCTTGGCATTGTAAGACCGCAATATAGTAGATAAGTATAAGAAAAATGAAGCTGTTTCTTTATTCCATAAATCTTTGTACCAGGAGACGAGTCTTCTTATTGCAAAATATGTGCAGTTTTGGATGTTGAAGGTCAATTATGTGCTATTGTTCTGAGTAGACTTTCAAGGTTGGATGGATAGTAAATTAGATTTAAAGGTCTAGTCAAACTCAATCGAATAATCCTTAACCGACGAACAATAATGATAGGGATGTTTTAAAATGCAATGGGGAGTTTGGATCGGGAAAAGACATCTAATTAGATAAGTCTAAACATATGACATGCACCGGTTTATCAAAGCAAAGAAATATACCGCTAAGCCACTGACTTAAGTCAGGTTGGGCACCTTTGAGAGTACAAAGGTATCATGTAAGTTAAAAATGGCTTTCTCAAAGCCCAGACAATCACTAGTGGCGACCGCGCACCCGTGTCAGATAGGTAATAACCAATACCATGGTGAAGTTGAAAGCTATGAATCCAATGAAGACACCGACATTGCGAGCGCGGTGACTGTAGCTATAATCATATTGTGTGTACTAAGGGTGTGTCTTGTTAGTCGAACCAATCTCGCTAGAGTAAGTAGCACGATAAAAGGGTATTAATACTTACATATGACTGACCATCCTTGTACGGGCAGTACTGACAGTTTTCAGCACTGTCAGGATTGACCAGAAACCCAGTAGCCGTTTTGAGAAAAGATTCGGCATATTGGTAGCAGGTTGTACCGTTGAGCGGTTGAAAGATAGAGACCTCAGAGTCTGTGCAATGAAGTGGCAGATTGTGCAACACGTCCACTACTATACCTTCGTTCAAGTAGAATAGGGGGGAGACCTTGTAGTACCAGCTCCATCCGGATGGTGTCACAGGCTTGGGTGATAAGGTACCGGCAAAAGTATTGCAGAACATGAAGAAAAAGCCGTTGGAAGAAAGAGCGGCTTCAACAGTGGGCATCAATGAGGCGCATAGTTGAGCTAAGCTCGTAGCAAACACAGAGAAAAGCTGATACATCAAGAAGCTGTATCCGGCATGGTTGGAGTCCTGGTAGTAGCCTGTGGGGAAGTACCATAGAAGCCAATACACAAGTGAGGTGAAGAAGGCATATGGAAGCTCCACGATAATGGCAGATAGGTTGAAAGTTAGCCAGTGGTAGGTCAGACTCTCGCGTTCGCGGTGCTCAAAAATGTTTCTCAAGGTCACGAATCTTGGTTGAATTTGCAACCCAAGAGGCGGGCCTACAATCAGGGACATGAATGATGAGAACACGCGGTTGTAAGCACCTTGCTGTGTTGACGGCGAGTTGAGATAAGTCATTCCATTAAGCAGTGCATTTCCAGCATTCAACCAGAACTTAGCTCGAACATAATCCGGCTCTCGCCAGTAGTAGAGCCAAGTTCGTTTGACCATGACAAAAAGCTGGTAATGGAATGGAGCGGCATATAGCGACTGCGGATTATCGTTTCCAAAGTCACTTGTGTGGTTAGTCTCAGAGGGCACCACTGCATTGTGGCCTTCCAAGCCCTTTTCATGACTTTTCTTCCAAATTTCCGCCCAATCAGTTTGAACATCTCTGCGAGTGCCAGCGCCAATGATTTCCAAAAAGTACTCTGCGGGATTTTCTCCTTCGCGGCAAGGCCGAGCATGCAAGGCAAAATGAGCAATTGCCTTCTCACAGTCTTTACCCAGAGGCCCGTCATATACCACCTTTCCACCACGAGCAAGCAGATAGAGCTCATCAAAGATCCCGATCAATTCTGCAGCAGGCTGATGAATGGTGCAGATAATTGCCTGTCCGGAGTCTGCCAGCTTTCGCAAAAGTCGAACAATAGAATATGCTGACTGGCCATCAAGTCCGGATGTAGGTTCGTCCAAAAACAGAATATCAGGCTTCGCGGCCATTTCAACGCCAATGCTAACCCTTTTCCGCTGTTCCAGGTTAAGGCCAGCTCCAGGAGTTCCTATCAATGCATTTGCAATTGAAGCCATGTCCAGTGAACGAATGACTTCCTCGACATATGCATCTTTCTCTTCGAGCGAGAACTCTTGCGGTCGGCGAAGCCGGGCTGTCATCTGCAATGCCTCGCGTACACTTTGCGTGGGCAAGTGGATGTCCTGCTGCTGCACATATCCCATATGGCGATTGAAGGATCTGGAGAGAATCTTTCCATTAAGCGCAAGCGTTCCTGACAATGTTCCAGTCTTTGATCGCCCGGCTAGAGCATTTAATAACGTGGTTTTACCGGCTCCAGACACGCCCATTAGCGCTTTCATATGGCCACTGTGAACTAACCCATTAATGTCCGACAAAAGTCGTTTCTGTCCATCCTTAGTTTGCACATCAAAATTAAGCCTTGTCCAAGTCAAACTGCTCGACTTATTCTTGATCCTCTCGTTGAAACGTGCATCGGGAGTAGTCTCGTCCTGAATTGGGGGAACGTCCAAATCAGCAGGTCCGCTCTCTTGGTCACCAGATTTAGAGCCGGGAGAAGATTTTGTGGACTTCATTCCACGGTAAAATACAGTGGCTAAACGACCTGCTGGTTGTTTTAGTCGCTCCATGCCAGCTCTGCTTCATTGTTAGTACAGGTGTATATGTCAAACAGGGGAGTAAGTGGCAAAGCAGTGTTGTAGACTTACGCTGCAGCTAGACCAAAAATAATAAAGAAAGCCACATTGACCCCAAGATCTCTCCAAAGATTACCCTCCTCAAAGCCATACTGCGCTCTGATATATGACATTCCCGACACGAATCGCTGGCCAGGTTCAGAGCCTACCACAGCACACACTTGATTGGCGATGTCATTATAATCAGGTCCAGATGGTACCAAGTCGGATGTGCTGCACTCGTAGGTTAGACTGGCAAACTCATTGATCATAACAGATTCAAATCCGTAATGAAGCGGCTGGATATTTGGTTAGCCAATCTCCTATCAGTGCCAAGTTGAAGGGTATACCTACGTTCAAGTATCTCAACCAGCCTAGCCACGCCTGCATCTGAGGTATAGGAACGTATAGACCAGTGTACAAGACGTACATGTTGAAGAAAATTCCGACGGGAAGAACAGCACGGTACATGTTAGACGAAAAGACTGCCACCGAGCGGAAGAACATGGACAACGCCAAGTGTTCAACATATACTACGATGAACCAGGTGAAGAAGTGGCTGGCATCTTGCTGGAACCCAGTCAAAAAGTATAGAGGAATGTTCCAGAATACAACAAATATTTTCCACACAATATCCGTCATGATCAGCCCGAATCCATAGGCCATGGGTCGGTAAAGTCGGTATCTCTTGTGCTTAAGGATTAGTTGCCGTTGCGCAAAAGTGCTACGAAACTCCGCCATTGCCTGGAGAGCAGGAACAAGAACTGAGTAGAAAAGAGCAGATGCGAATATGAAGAGAGAACCTGTGTTTCGCTGTTGATTTCGGAATAGGGTTCCTAGAATCAGGCTCTGAACAACAATGCAAATAGCTTCCACGAGAATAGCGCTGTAATTATGCTGAATGATGCGGACTTGGCGCATTGCACAGTATGCGATCTGTTGATATAGCGGTAGAGCATACTGGTGGGATTTGCCAGGTCGAATCACGGCAGGAAGGGACTTTGATATCTGTACAGATGATTGTAGCGCTTTAAAATGTGGACTGCTTCGGAATCTGCTCTGGAACTCGCTTGGTGTGCGAGGTACTTGACTTTTATAAGACTCGTGTACACGGCGAACGCCAGGGTCAGCGGACATGGAGTTCAGAAAGTCGGTGGTTGTGGTGGCGGATGAACATTCAAATCCCAGACTCGAGAAGTATGCCTTGGCTTCCGGGATCGTTCCATAGAATATTTGGTGACCTCCGTTAATGACAATGACCTTGTCGAAGTATGGAACAACAGCATCACTTCCTTGGTAAACACTCATGGCAGTCACACACTGGCTTTGTGTAGTCCACTCCCGCATCATTTCCATAAATTCGAGTGTTGTTGAAGAGTCTAGCCCATTGGTCGGATTATCCAAACAAATCAGCCTAAATTTAGAGAGTAAGTATCAGTATCTCCAATGCAAATCTTAAATAAAAAGTGAACTGAAATACCTTGCACGTGTAGCAAGCGCCTCAGCCAAGGAGACACGACGTCTCTCACCCCCACTCACTCCTCGGACATAAGCGTCTCCAACTTTGGTGTTCAGTACATGACTGAGACCAACCAGTTGTGCGAGAGATTGAACCTTCTCGTCGATTTCTGACGCCGATAACTGAGGACCAGAACGTGCCCTCACTGCGAACCGCAGCGTTTCAAAAACAGTCAAGGTTGGGAAATGGTCATCAGACTCGCCTTCTCTTGTTTAGTACATCTAATCTTGCAAGGGAGAAGTTCCGATGAAAGCTTACCGCAAAATACAGCATCTTGTGGATGTTTATCTATAATAGAGCTCATCGGCTCTCCTCCGAAGGTCAAGTTTCCTTGCACGCCCTTATACTCACTCCACATGCCGGCTAGGATTTTCAAGAATGTTGTGCAGCCACTACCGGGCTTGCCAATGACTAAAATCATCTCGCCAGGCTCGATGGCTGCAGAAAATCCATGCAGGATAAGCCGTGATGACGGGCGATGCATATTCTTCAGGATGGGCTCCAACAGACCCAAGCCTGATTTCGCGTCTGTTAAAACACTAGGGGCAGGTAAGGCCTTTGCTTCCCGTGTTAGTATTTCGTCGCTCGATCTGGAGAAAAGGCTGAGAAATCGGAGTCATTTATTACTTACACCTGTGCCGGTTCCTTCAACTTTAATATCATCAACAACGATCCTTGAAGATTGAGGGTTTTGCTCTTGGGCATGATGAGAAGACAGAAACCTCTTCACGCTCAAGGAAATGGGCTCGACGACCACACTATTAGATAAAACAGACATTGAGTCGTCAGATAACCCAGTAAATTCCATAGCCATGGTTGGTTTGTTGTCAACAGGCGCTGTCATGGTATTCTTCTCCAAATCCCGTTGCATGGTGTCTGTTGCTTGGTAATTCTCCGGTGGGATCATGAATATGGAGAGATTCAATCCAATGAGTCTTGCAGATTGCAAGAGAACTGTTTCGAGAGTAGAACGACATTTTGAGAGGTATTACTAGCGGGCTTAAATATAAAAGAAAATTGGTTGTTCACTGTCACTTCAAGAGTGGAGGAATAGCATAGATTCGCGGACTTCTTAAAGGAGCTTCGGGGGTGACTCCACTATTACCCTGTTAGTCATCTGAAGGACATCCTAAAGGAGTTTCGGAGTTAGCCTGATCTGGGACAGCGTCCAGTAATAAATGAGTTAGTCATCGTTCTTGGATGCTGAGCTAACCCGATTTAATCCTCCTAAAGGAGTCGCGGATCAATGTGCAGCCTTGCACTCCAGAGCCCAACGTGGCAAGAATATTTGAGCAGAGTGCGCTAATCCTATATTGATAAGATAACGGATCTTAGGTATTACGGAATTGAACGTGGATCCAGTTTTTTGGCGTAGCAAACTTCCGAGATCGTAGATATAAATCAATGTCGCCCTCCGGCTGCTCTTACCCTTCCAAGGTTAATATTTTCCCAATCTATCTCTATCCTCCCCCAGGACGATATACAAAGAATGACTCTCAAAACTGGTCTCCAAGGCACCCATGTTCTCATAACAGGTGGAACACGTGGTATGGGTCAGGCAATGGTTCGCCAGTTCCTCCAAGAAGGAGCCGACGTGTCATATTGCGCCCGCACTGTCACCAATACTGAATATGATGAGATACATTCGTCTCTCCCAGCCAACAATCATGCCCGAGCATTTGGAACGGCATTTGACGTTTCTTCCAAAGAAGCTATCGTCGATTGGGTTAACAAGTCTGCTGAGCGGGTGGGGCGTATCGACGTCGTCATTGCGAATGGTTTGTATCCTACCCACATCTCCTCATATTACAGAAAACAATGAAAATAAATTTGCTAATTTTTTACCTAGCATCTCCAATGCACATGGAAGGAGAAACAGAGCATTGGCAGAGTAGTTTCGCGATTGATGTCATGGGATTTGTGGAATTAGTCAAGGCCGCCGAGCCGTATCTTGAGAAATCTCCACAAGCCTCTATTATCGTGCAGAGCTCTTTCATGGGTCGAGAGTTCTACCGCAGTCCACCTGCAGCATATGGACCATGTAAAGCTGCCCAGCTGCAGCATGTGCAGGAACTCTCACATTACTTGGGCCCCAAGGGTATTAGAGTCAACGCTATCTCGCCGGGCCCAGTTCTCTGCGAGGGAGGCTCCTGGGAAAAATCGATGAAAACAATGCCGGACTGGGTGGAAGAGCAACGGTTGAAAATTCCCTTGAAAAGACTAGGAGAACCGCAGGAAATTTCAAATGTCGCAGTCTTCTTAGCGAGTCCGTTAGCTAGCTTTGTCACCGGAACAAATGTTCTGGTGGATGGAGGTATTCATGTGGGGACACAGTTCTAGATAGTATACCTATATTTATCCCGTTTTATACGATTTGAGGACGGCGAATGTCTAGATACCGAATCGGTCAAAGAGGCAAATATATCAAAAATCTTTCAATTATCATAGTCGCGAACTTATACACTTCATTGTATTCCTCTGTTATTCATGCAAAAGCGTTCAATACTTGTCGCTTCAGATTTCAATCTCGGATCCTTTTGCGTTTAGGACTCTCAGCTTCTTCCTTCTTCCATAAACAGTGGCGCTCTGTACAACACCCTCTGAATCCCATGAGAAATCGACTTGACCACCGCCTCGGAGCTGCAAACCACTTACAGATCCACCTACCCACGAAGAAGATATCGCGGGACCCAGGACGATGGTTTGGATGCCATTATCTTGGTGAGATTGCGGTAGATCTTGAATCAAAATTTCCGTAACTGCAGCAACAAATCCAAAGTTGGCATCAATTTGAAAGGGCGGGCTCTTGCCAGAATACTGCGAAAGACCATTTCCGGCCATGTTCTGCTGTATGGCAAAGCGGAGCTCATAGTTCGCCTCATAAGTGTTGTTTAGCCGAGCCCAGCATGCGGATCTCCAGACCTTTTCCCATCCAGCATTTGTCTCGTCTGTTTTGCCATCACCCCGAGACCATAACATGGTTTCAACTGCGGTGCTAATGGTTCTGTTGTATTCTTCGATGGCAACACTATAACCGGGATACCATCCTGAAAGACCGCTCAGATGGCGATGAGTATCATTTTTCACATCGAGATCCAACTTCCATTCTTGTAGCTGCCCCCACGACCCAATGTGAATACCGCGATCTAGGCGAGCTAGAGTATCCACGACTCTGTTGTAAAAGTTTTGATCATCATCGCCGCTATCAGACCAAGTAGCTAGAATTCGGTCAAAGAGCTCCCATAGCTGTTGTTGGTACATAGAGCAGCCAAAAGTTGTTGAGCCATGCTCAGGCGAATTGCAGGGATTTACAACCAAAGTGCCATCTTTGAAGTAGAGATCATCCTGCAGCTGCGACAACCAAAATATGGCAGAGCCCTTGAGCAAAGGATAGCCTTGTTTCCGATACCATGTAACATCATTAGAATAATCCAGCCAGTTCGGAATGTGGAGCGCCATCCAAGTGCCTGCTAAAGGGAAATCAGCCCATACAGCCTCATTCTTCATTCCCGTATACCCGAATGTATTGATCTCGTCATGAATGACCCAGGATGAATTAGTTGCGCCGTATAAAAGACTGGCGGTTTCTTGGCCGTAAGGTACCCAAGTGTCTTCAATAAAATCCCAGAGACATTGTTGAAGCTTTCCAAGTCCGACTTGTGGTGCGGCCCAGTAGTTCATCTGAATATTGATATCTGCGTGATAATCCGCACTCCATGCAGGGTATTGGTCTGCTGCCCAGCGGCCCTGGAGATTTGCTGGAAGTGAATTGTCGCGGGACGAAGCAATCAGCAGATAGCGACCGTAATCAACAAGCAAGGCCTCAAGCCAAGGATCTCCAGTAGTGATGTTGTAGTTTGAAATAATTTCCGCAGTTTCGATTTCACTGGAGCCTAGTGGGTCGAGAAGCTGGAGAGAGAAAGTATCAAAAAGGCTCTGATGGTCTTTGACATGCCGAGCAAGAATTTCATCGAAGAATTGCGATGCTGCAGCAGAAACCGATTTTCTTACTGCGGCAGTGGGATCTACTCCTCGGAAGGAAAAGCCAGCTGCTCTGTTGCCTTTCTTCTGGTCATAATCCGACCCTGCTCCCAGCACAATTGTTACATTTGTATTGCTTGATGATTTTGGTAGAATAATTGAATTCCCAGTGCATTGAGCTGCCGAGGGCTGTAATGCTTGAGAAACTCCTACAAATCTCATTCCAGGGTCAGCAAGTTGGCCACTTATTTGAAGTTGACTACCAACACATGTTGTCTTTGCCAATGTAGAGTTCAGGTAATTGTTGCTGAGTCCGAACTTCACGGATGGAAGAGTAGAGTTAGAGACGATCTGGTAGACACAAATATCGTCTGGCTGGGAACAAAAGATAGATGTATTGAACTCTTGGCTTCCACTTGTGAATCGCACAGAATAAACGCCGTGCTCAAGATCCAGTCCTCTAAAGTAAGATGAATAACTCTCCAGGCCATCTATCTCAACGGTAAGGTTTGCAAGAGGCGTATAGGAACCATATGAATAGATTGGACTCAAAAGTTCATCAACATTCCCAGTGCCATTCTTGAATATTTCTTCGCGTATTCTAGGAAGAAAGTGAGATCGGTCACTTGTCGGATTGCCCCCGAAATAGCTTTTGTTTTCGAATGGTCCGCCAGACCAGAGGCTGTCTAGATTGACATTGATTGACTCCGCACCGGGCTCACCGGTGGGCATGAAACCCAACCGGCCATTTCCCAAAGGGTAAGCCTGTTGTTCAATAGAATCAAAGCTAGCCGGGGATTTTGACCACAGCCGTTTCGCTGCTGATAGATTGCACAATCCAACGATGATAATCGCCTCTTTGACGAACATTCTCGGTGGTTTTGGCTGGTGGCTAGACCCTTTAACGCATATCAGCCAGTGGTCGTGAGTTTGATGAAATGTAAAAATCAAATCCCCGTGGGGAGTTCACTCAATTCTTTTTTCTCGTGAGCAGTCCATGATTTAATATTTCTCCGAACTTCATCGAGGAATCGGATGTCCGTAACGTAGATCATGCACGCGTGCGGGGAAAGTTCATAGTTTTGCAGAAATTAATTACCCGTAATCCCCGTCGAATAATGCAACAGTGGAAAATCCCTACGTACTTCTTTGAATTAAAAGACGTATGCATACAATTATCCGCAGGCGAAAATAACCTGATCAGCGCCTTAGAATTACCCGATGTTTTGATACGAAATCTGAAGACATGACAATAGCTAGCTAGCTTTCAAATGCTCTAGGACAAAATTGATATCTAAACCACGTCCGCGTCCAAACGATTTAGGCTCCGCTAGCTGTTTATCATTCTATTTTTATAGAAAGCTCAACGAAGCCAAGGATTGCAATTTGAAAAGAACCAATGGGGTATGAAGAGCGTCTTCTCTTTTCAGCCTGGGCTTTTTGTTCTCGCGTTCTCTGTCAAATATCAACACGAACTCCCACGTACTCGAAGATCTCGGAGGAATTGGAAGGATTATTTTCGCCTTGGAAGATAATTTCGTGGGCAATCTTCATTTTCAGGTAGCCTTTGTCAAAAAACATAAATTCGACCACCTCCGATGAGCATTCAACATCCAATAAACAAGCATCATTGCTCACCGTTCTTGGGGGAACAAATGGCTTGAGGTCAGGGCAATTTCTGGGATCGATATAAATGTGGCCATTTATTTCTGCCCTTGGTTTTCCGTTTTCGCAGATATCACAATTTGAATCACAGAAGGCATGTATGTCACAGAATTCCACATTTTTCGTCATGCCGCGCGATTCGATATCGAAATGCACTACATATTCAATAGAGTATATATCGTTTGTAGTGGCAGTGCGCTCCAGAGCGAGATCTTGTACATGCTCTTGGTTCGTTGCATTCAAGGCAGACTTGAATGCTGCGTCTACCTTAGCTTTAACAGACCTCTCGCAGTCGATTGCCTTTTGTTTTTCAATCCGTGCCTCTTTAAGTCGTTCTCGTTCGAGATCCTCTTCTTCACGTAGTTCTCCCAGATCATCTTTCCGCTTCTCTCGAAAACCCTTGCACTTGAGGTAGACAAGATTTCGGAGGAAGTGAAAGTGAAACTGGTCTACGAAACCAGTTCAAAGACTCTTTGTCCCGAAATTTATCCAAGTCATCTTTCACGTGCTCATTCGACTTGGGATCTTGAATCTCGCCTGCATCGTCGTCGTCTTCTTCGTCGTCATCGTATCCGTATTCGCTGTCCTCTTCATCATCAAGTTCCAGCGACAGGTCTTCATCGAAGACATCATCATTCAAATTGCCGCCAGATTGCAAGAAAATGGTGAAGGCATTGTCGAACCATTCTGGGTACGACCTTGCATTGTATTTGTGCTCGCTATGGCTTCCACTGTGGGGATTAATGGGTTTGATAAGTCTGTTACGCTCAGTGGTGGCTCTTGGTACGTTTGTTTTGTCTTCCCATATCTGCTAAGTATGCCATAGAGCTTGGGAAGAGTTGTGGGACCCAGCAGTGGCCAAGATGATTCTTGCTGCATGTCTACCCGGGAAAGTGAACGCGACGGGATGCTGCAGCGCGTGGGGCGTACGTCTCGGCCACCCTCATGTCAAAGCCAACTGGACAATTACTTTTTTTTATTTCGATTCACTCGAAATATAGAATTACGGTGATAGAGGGGTTTGATCGACAACTAGTCCAATTCTGAGATAACTAAACTTCGTTCCTATGGACCCAAGCTTTGAATTAATTAAGCTTGTAGCTTTATAAAGCAAGTTCCATACTCCGTATATACTCTGTAATGAAGAGGCCTTCGATGAGCGCCACGTGAGTATCGCTCTTCGCCTCCACGCAAGATAAGGGGAAAGTTGGATTGGGCCTTTGGATTTCGCGTTCTGGATTTCGCGCTCTGTGAGCTGTTTTGTTCGCGTCTATACAAAAAGCAGTGTTTCTTCTCGAGACAGACCCGCATGGTACTTTGATTTCCCGCAAGCTAAACAAAGCCCCACAGCAAATTAGAGAAGAATGTACAGTCGAACATGTATTTGCTGTCGAGCTCGCAAGGTTAAATTTGATCGACAGAGACCATGTGGAGCCTGTTATCGCATGGGGACCGAATGCGTCTATCCTGTAGGGCCAGGGAGGGCGCCTAAACAGAAAAGACAATGGAATGCCGTTGCATTTGTTCTATCAGAAATCTGTTTTCATCCTTCAACCCAGGAGTGCGATCGTACCTGGGGCTATGTTCAAAGAATTTGGAATATTAGGAGCGAAAAGGAAAATAAGGGTAATTTATGGCTGCCAATAAACCGGCTTTTGGCTAAAGCTCAGCGCATACGCGATGCACAAAATATCAGCCGTACAGACAATAAGACACATTGGCGAGTCACCGATGGGCCCCGACAATCTTATAGTGAGCCAACAGTCATTGAACATGAATCTACTGCTTACAATTTCCAGGAGTCAGTTCCTAAGGTATCATCAATTGAGCAGTCTAATTCGGACATCCCTAACAACTCGTGGGACGATGTCTTTGACACTATTCCAAACGACGATATGCTCAGCGCCGTCTATTTACCCGCAGATGGACACTATATTGAGAGCATGATCAATATTTGTATTGGTGATCTTTAAAAGCCAAAGATCGCAAATTTTCATTAACACTGTACATAGACAAGTCATGAATCTCTATTAGTCAGGCAACAAGGCAACAAGGCACACATGTCATGTGGGTCTAAGTGGAATATGAACCACGTGACCCATTCTTGTAGAAACAATTTTGATTCGGTTTGATTCGTTAATCTTGTTCAACCACAGCCAATTTCATCCATATCGTTCCATTATCTTACTCGTCAAGAGTTGCCGTGCACAATCTGCCAGCGTAACTCTGGGACCAGGCGTGCTTCTAGGCGTCACAAATATATGGGTCTTGGTCCCTTGTCTCGGGCTGATTGGTTCGGGAATCATAAGAGAAAATTCTATGCCCCACATGCGCGTTACCATGCTTGGGTGCAAAACTGAGCTTATTTGCCTTCAATTTTGCCTCCATGAAGATTGGGAGTCCAGCACGGGCTTAAGATCATGTCAATACATGGCCAGGTTTGATTGATGAGCATGCACGAGAAAGGATGCAGATCCACTGCAGAACGGTAGAAGCCCAGTCAAGCATTTAAAACGTGGCGAATCCATGGAGATGTTAGCAAATAGAAACAACATCTAATCACCTTCAGCCGTCTTGGCGTGCCGTCAATTCAGGTGGATTTTTCGACAGCAATCACGCAATTCTGGTGGCTTTCTGTTATGTAAAATTTTCTCTTTCGAGAGAGCTTCTTAACTTCCTTTTTTTGCTGTTCTTGGACATCTCATCATCCAGCTATCTGAAAGGTAGAGACGACAGTGGACAAAGTGGTTCAAATCCACAACCAAAATGGCGTCCACAGATTCGAGCACACAAAATGAGTCCCTCGCGGAAGAGCGCGTGGAGAGCCCCGTCCGGTCTTTCTCCGTTCGATCGATCTATCGATCTATTCCCTTCCAAATCGCCATCGCCAGCGGTGTCTCTTTCACTGCTCCGGGCATGTGGGATGCCATGAACAACCTTGGAGCAGGTGGAGCAGCAGTTCCCTACGCGGTTTCTGCAGCTAATGCGCTGGTTTATGGTCTGTTCGCGATCGTCTGTGTTATGGCGGGAGCTATCAACAATCGCATCGGTCTTCGTTTTGGATTGGTTCTGGGATCAATTGGATACCCTATTTATGGCGCTGGTCTTTACACCAACAACTACTCACCAACAACATGGTTTATGCTTTTTGGTAGTGCCTTGTGTGGTATCTCTGCTGGTTTCTTCTGGGCCGCGGAGGCCGCAATTATCATTGGGTACCCAAGTCCTCAAGATCGTGCTTTCTACCTCGGTAAGTTAAATCATATCTGAGCCAGATGAATGATAAAACTGACACCGTATTCAATAGCTATCTGGCAAACTGCCAAGGCAGCCGGTCCTATCGTGGGCGGCGCAATCAGTCTAGGCCTCAACGCCAAGAACTCGGCACAGGGAACAATCAGCGCAGGAACTTATATCGTCTTCATCGTCATTATGTGTCTTGGTCTCCCCATCGCACTTTGTCTGAGTCCAGCAGAGAAGGTCCAGCGTAAGGATAGAACATTGGTTCTAGTGCACAAGCAGCCAACTTGGGCCAAGGAGTTCAAGGCAGCGCTTACGCTGTTCACCACTCGCCGAGTTCTCTTATTGCTCCCTGCTTTCTTCATCAGTTACTTTTACAATGCTTTCATTAGCACCTGGTTAACGGACTACTTCACTGTTCGGTCCCGTGCTTTCTCATCTTTCTTTACCAATTTTGCTGGCATTGCTTCCTCTTTCTTGATTGCGGCGCTGCTGGATCGGCAATCAATCCACATCAAGACTCGGGCAAAGGCCGCATTCTCGGCCATTGTTCTTGTGCTTGTGGGTACTTGGATCTGGGCTTGTATCCTTCAAAATGAGTTCTACAATGCGCCGACTGCTCCCGTATTTGACTGGTTCAAGGGCGGGTTCGGAAAGTCGTATGCTCTCGTTTTCTTTTGGACATTCGGAGGACAGGCATTCCAGCAATATCTTTACTGGCTTGTGGGTCAATACAGTACCGACATCTCTTCTCTCTCATACCACTGTGGTATTTTGAGAGGATTCGAGGCTCTCGGGCAAACTGTTGCTTGGGCGTAAGTTTTCACCGATCCCTTCCTTTTCAATTACAAAATACTAAGAAATCGTAGCATGCAATCTGAGGGCAACGCAAACCACTTTGTCAGTATCGGACTCAACTTTGGCATTACAATCCTTTGTATCTGGCCTACCTGGATTGTTCTATCAGGACTCGAGCATAGCCACGAAGTGCAAGTCACCGTGGATGATGTATCTCACAAGGTACAAGATAATGATACCCAAGCTTAATAAGTGAATATTCAACAGCATTCACCATGCAGGATGAACTTATATCAACAACAATATAATTAATTTCAACAATTCAAAAAAAAATTTCTTGAACTTTCGATAGACATAGAGAAAAATACAAGATTCAAATAATTACCGCAGAGCGCTGCCATTATTCTTATGATACCAATTTAATTTGAAGTATTTAATCTTTCAATGGTTAATCTAGTTACACTATTTATCATAGAAAGCTCATCAAAACATAAAACCCCCACAACCAAGCTGGGCGTATCATACTCGGTTGACCTGGAGAACAGGATAACTAAGCGGCGCGGGTGCAATTACGTTAGCAACAGACCCGTCAAAGAAAAAAAAAACATCAAATTTTGCCCAAAAAGATGCAGGTTTACCAAAATCAAAATCAAAGACAAAAGAATAAGATAAAACCCGGAACTCAGCTTGGGCGATCTCTTCAATTCAGTACTATTTATTCGGAAAATCTCCTTTCATTGCATCCATAATAAATAATGGAGGAATTACCCATCGAGCCAAAGGGTATTTTCTGGCAAAACGACTTCATCACACCAGAGCATGAGCAAAGGCTCATCGCAATCTTCAGAGAGTTAAAGTGGCCCGATCGCCCTGGTCGCATATCTCTCCATTACGGCTACACATTCGACTATAAGACTTTCGGGCTGGATCCGGACATCCCATATCAGGAGTTCCCCGAATGGCTCCAGCCACTGATTCCAACGACAGAGTCTCGCCCACCAGAGCAAGTGTGTCTTCAATATTATCCGCCTGGCGCGGGGATACCCCCCCACACAGATGCGCATATGGCATATGATCAGCTCTATGCACTTTCAATGGGTACGCCGACTATAATGCAATTTCGCCAGGGTGAGAAGCGGAAGGACGTGGATCTTTTGCCTAGGAGTATGATGCAGATGACGGGTGATTCGAGGCTGCATTGGACACATGGGATTAAGAAGAGGAAGACTGATACTTTACCTGATGGGACGGTGAGGCCAAGGGAAGAAAGGTGGAGTATTACTTATCGTTGGAGTAGGGAAGGGGAATGTGAATGTGGAGATCTTGAGTTCTGTGATGTTGTGCAGAGGCGCAATGGGGTTGAGAAGGAGAAGAGATCGGTGAAGGAATTGTCAGAGGGCAGTTGAATTGGTGATGCATCATAAGCGAAAGTTGTATATTTACTATTAAGGTCGTGGAATTGAGCTTCGGCCTATCTAATCGCATAATCAGGTTCATTCCGAGTATTTTGAATCTCTCCGTCGTGTTTATTAGTACACGGTGTGTATTGAATTTGATAAATACTATGTACAGAGGATGCACGAAAACATGGTACAATGGAGGCCACGTCTGTCGAAACCAAATCTGCTTGAAACCAATTTGTTACCACCGCGACAGTGCCCACGATCCCATAGGATGATTTATCTCAAACCATGATTCTTTGGGCGAGGGAGAATGATAAGGGGTTGTCGGTTTGAGTTTCTCTTCTTTTTCTTCACGAATGCCAACAAAATTAAAGGTATCTGGTACATCGGCAGAGGATTCGTCATGTTAGACCGTCATTGCCCGTGGAATCATCGCTTTCAGATACTTGCTGCTGTAAAATTGGAACTTTATAGTGAATGACTTTCCCAAGTCGCCGATTGCAACGAATTTGTGCCATTCCTGACTTGGCTCGCTTGGGGCTTTGAATGTTCAATCGTGTAGCTCTCGTAGCCAAAGCAGATATGCGCGTTGTGAAAATTGGGCAATGCGTGACGAGGTAGAGGCGGGGTTGTATGATATGCGCCACGAAAACCGACAGCCATCTCGTTCAAGTCGCCCAGAAACCCCAAAGACTACATTTTTCTGTTGAAAATCGTATTTATTGCCATTGTGGTAGGAGTAGCCATGTTTTGCATACTCGCTAGAGTATATATTCCATGTTCCGTCGGGATATTTTGTATCAGACTGGATGGAGGGAGAGCTAGACGAATTCCTGGCTTCATCTTTAATTTTCCTCTCCAAGGCGAGCACTTTTTGCATTTTCGATGATTCCGCGTTTTCGTTCTCGACGCATATCTTTGAATTCGATGAACTCTGGGTAATCCCAATCGTCGCTAGTTTCGTCTTCACTGCATGCGTCCCCCAGCTCCGTCAAATCTTCGTCAAATCAACATAGCTTATCGATTGCTTTTCCTGTTCAGTCAGGGCTGTCACTCGGTGATACCATGCCAAATAATCGTAGTTGATCTTTTTCTCCTCAGATAGCTCTTCCTCATCATGATTGCCGTTGACTTGATTGCAATCAACGGGTTCAGGCTTGGGCACTGTTCCGTTTGTATGCGTCGAGACATTCTTCTGCTGCTTAACTATTTCTCTCTGCGCTTTCCATTCCTCGCGTCTTTGGGTCTTGGCTCTCTGAATGCCACGTAGCTTTTGCTCCATTTCTTGCTCTGTTTGAATTTGGTCTTTGGACACATTGATTCGGTTTTCTTAGCCTTGGTATTCTCCTATTCAACCTTTGATTTCCGAGCTCGTCTGTTATCGGCCTTGTTTAATTTGCGTCTGTACTTCCCGGCTTTTCTGACATTGACTGTATCTGTTTTATCGCCTGCCGAACCTGACTCTACCTGGTTGATCGTCGGTTTTCTCGTCTGAGGCATATACGGCTTAATGATCCATGATCCACGGATGCGAGACTAGTGGAACAGAGTCCACTGTATGACGCGCGACGCGTCACGCATCACGTGCCTGATTGTGATCTATTGTGTCACACGTGACCACGCGTCTCCCCATTAAATGCAGAAGTACCTAATACATCTTAGCTTCTTATCTATTCACTATTCCTCTCATTGTGGGGACAAGTTACGTGTATCCATTAGGTGAATGGACATTATAAGCGATACCCCGAGCGCAACAAGGGGCGAGCCAATGAACAAGCTTGCAAATATGCAAGACCGGACATGACGAACAGCCTGGGCCATTTCTACCGTCCCGGAGCCACTAATTGTGGGGACATCCGTGGACCTTCACATCTTTGGATGCCAAGTTACATGTATTCCGTTTCCCCCCGCATGATCTGCATAATCAAGCTGCTGCCCGGGTGTTCTCCGTCCGCCTCCGTCTGATTTGCGGTGGACAAAGAGGCAGCAAAACCCCTGACAGACAAAGCTCGAGATAAGTGGACTACTCAACCCCGCTTGATTCGAGGGGTAAAACGCCACAAACCCCCAAAGTCCAAGAAACAGGATCCATCAGGAGGAGGGCCCAATGGTGAATCTCTGCGTTGATTGATTACCAATTCCAATCTTCATTCATGAACAACGACAGAAAGATGAGGATGTTGCCTTGTGCACCTGAGAGTGGTCGAGGGCAGGGCTAGATCTGAGAAATTCAGGTACACACTTGATCTGCATTGTAATTGGTATTGTCCAATGGGATGAGCCTAGAAAACCAACGTACTCGACTGACGAGTTTCAAATTGAACTTCAATCTAGTCTTCGGCCTTGGATACTTATTAGGGAAAGATTTGCAAGCGCCGATCCCCTGCCGGATTGTTTTCAGGGTGGTGAAGCGGAGATCAGCAGTCCATGTGGGGAACGTGTTGGATGGATGAAGAATTCGCGACATTTTCTATGTATCTTTCCAGGAATTATCACCGAGAAGCAGAGTCCTTAAGTATAAAAGACGGGCAGAAGACACGCATTGGATGCCAGAGCTGGTTGTGATTGAAACAGCCTCGCATCAATGGCATCCATGGCAATGAGATATCTCCTCCTCGGCCTCGGCCTGGGCCTATCTGGTGCCAACGCAATGCCAAATCAAGTTCTCGGCACTCGAACCAATTCCGAAAGTCGATCGAGCTCCGCTGTAGCCTCTGCAGAGTCTCCCACAGTCTATATTGACACCTATGCGGCCACGGTGCAGGGAAATCGATCACAATACGTCAATTCAGTCTACAACTTCAAGGCCATCCCGTTTGCCTCAGCCCCTACCGGCGAGTATCGTTGGAAGCATCCGCAGCACGTTTCTGGATGGTCAGGTATTCGTGATGCGACCCACTTTGCCCCAGACTGTCCACAAACCGGGTCGGATAACTATTCTGAGGATTGTCTGTATTTGAACATTTGGACTCCAGACTCGGTTCCGCTCAACAATGTGGTCAATAACACCATTACTGGCATTGGTGTTTCTCCAGCCAACACGACCGAGAGTTTACCTGTTTACGTCTGGTTCTATGGTGGCCGCTTCGGCGCCGGCTCTGCTAGTCAGTCGACATTTGATGGTGCCGGGTTGGCTGCTAAGGGTGTTGTCGTCGTGACCGTTAACTATCGTCTCGGGGCGTTGGGCTGGCTTGCGCATCCGGAATTGAGCGCTACCTCGGGAAGTGGAACCTCCGGCAACTATGGTCTGGTCGATCAACAGGCTTCGTTGCACTGGACAAACGAAAACATTGCTGCTTTTGGTGGTGATGCTTCGCGGATCACTATTGGTGGGCAATCTGCAGGCGCTGCGTCGGTGTTAGACCACCTCAACAGTGAACTGGCAGATGATCTTTTCGAGCAAGTCATCTCTGAAAGTGGTGCTACCTATCCATCGAACCCGCTCATTGGTAGTCTTGCTGAGAGCTACCGTCATTTGGGCGAAGCTGAAAAACAAGGCGTCTCTTACCTTTCCAGCCTCAACATCAGCAACATCACCGTGGCGCGTGATGCACCCCTCGACTTGTTCTTGGATAGCGGTGATTTGAATGATGTTACTTTCAAGGACACTGTCTTTGCAAACAACTCGGCTTATATTGAGCCTCCCTTGTTTAGACCCGTGTTAGATGGATATGTGCTTCCAGCCACCTACCATGAAATGCTCGTGCGCGGAAACCACACAACTGCTCCCGTGTTGACCGGAGGCAATCTTGATGAGAACGGAGCCACACCAAACCCCGGCTTCACTGTCAGTAGCTACAAAGCACAGAGTCAATACGAATTTGGCAGTGTTGGACTGGCAGAGGAATACTTCAAGCTGTACCCTGCTGGTAGCAGTAACACGAGCGCCGACACCGCCATCAACACCTTCTACCAAGACCAGACGAAGGTTTCCATTTGGCTCTGGGCAAGCGAGTACCTTGCTGGGTCTGCGCGCAATACTTCCGGCAATGGAACCTACCAAACATATACCTACTATTGGACACACGCCCCTCCCGGTCAGGATGCAGGTGCCTACCATGGCAGTGAGCTCAACTATGCGTTCAACAACTTGTATGCGACCGACTTGCCTTGGACTTCCAAGGATTATGAAATCGCCGACAAGCTTTCCAGCTACTGGGCAAACTTCATCAGCTCTGGCAATCCTAATGGTAAAGGTTTGCCTCAGTGGCCAGAGGCCAGTTCAAAGAAGGCAGTCACTATGGAGCTTGGCGACGCGTGGAAGCCCATCACCGTGGCTAGTGAGGAGAAGATCTCATTCATCCGCAAATGGTTCTCCAAGTGGCCAGTTTATTAGTTTAAAAATAGGCAATAGACCCGTTATTGAGTGAAGATAACCGACACTCTGGTAGCTTTTATCTTCATTTCAACCTTTTTGGTCTCTGTATATCGATATTTACAGAATACTAGTATTTTCCTTTCTCTTTCAGAATAGCAACCCCTCCCTAAAGTATGATCCTCTCATGTGCAATCTTGAGCCGCGCGCTAATTGTTTGGTCATCGAGCTTTGGGACATGATCCATTTCGAACTTGACTAATTAGTATACCGTAATTTGGATTTTTGATGTGTCCACGAGTGTTGCTATCGGCCTCCGTAGTTACCTAGCCACTGGCACTCTCCCCTTGCATTGATTTCAATCGGCTGCGGTCATCATCAAAGGGTGTCCCCATAAGCAATCTACTCCTGTCTCAAAAACCCATTGCTCTCTATGAGGATGAGGGGGTTTACAAGCACTGGCGACTATTCGTCGATGGCCCCACAAAGCAAGAAAAGAAAATCCTCCAGGTCATGGGCTCCTCCTCACGATACTATCTCGATCCGTTGAACATTGATGCCTGTGATCTACCTCAGCTTCTGGAAATGATTCACATTTGCGATGTTCCGACTTCCAAAATCCAATCCATTGAAAAAGCGGGCGCAGAGGCAGTGATCCACAATGAATTCCCGGGCTACAATTGTCAAGACTATGTGCTTGAGCTGCTAGATGAATTGGAGGCAAGACAAATCATTATTGGGAGACGAAAATTACAAGCGACAAAAGGATATTGTGAAACGCAAGCAGGAGGGGCTTGAATGAGCCAAATAACTGTGTATCTTGGCGTTGCTGTTTATGAAACAAAGGGGGGCCCACCACTAGCTAAATCCACTAATTAGCAGTTCAGTGTTGGCGTTATCTCCAGTATTAGTAGAATATGCCAATATTAGAATCTGCATAATGCTAAATTCTATCACCATTTTGTGGTCTCAACCCTCAAGAATAATCCCATTGGTGCACTTGCTCAATCCAAGTTCTTCACATTCTTTTAGGCATTCCGGGTGGGGAGGGTGAGCCCTCCGTGGCGTTTTAAGTCAGGAGTAGGACAGGTCTGGCGCCACTTGAAACAACGCCATTGATTTTCCCATGAATAAGTGCCGGGGCTTGGAACCCTCAAAGCACTATCTCACCTCGAGACACTCGGCGTCGTATCTTGATTACAGGGAAATTAAGCTACGCGCATAAATAGCGTCGAACTCTTTGGACAGTAATTGGTTGAAAAATATTAAGGATGGCAGTTCATCTGGATTTCTTCCGATACTCCACATCAAAGCATAAACGAAAAAGGAATGGGCCTTTCTCCTGATTTGAGTATTTGAGCTGAGCTTCCCTTTATGTTGATAAGTTCTTTGTTAGAAAAATTCCATCAGGATAGCACCATGCAGCTGAAAACCCTCTTCCTTGGCCTCGGCTGGCTATCTGTCGGCTGGGCACAGCTTGCAGATACCACCGATTACCCCATCGGTCCGTTGACTTCCTCGAGTACGAAATGGGCTAAAAAGGTCTGTGACATCACAGATTATGGTGCTGTTGCAGATGGTGCGACAGATTCTGGGCCTGCGATCCTCGCGGCCTTCGATGCTTGCTCTTCCGGGGGTGTAGTGAATATTCCATCGGGAACTTTCGCATTGGCAACTTGGGTGACTTTGAATGGCGGCAGTGCATGGGCTATCAATTTGGAGGGAATCATTGTTCGCACAGGTACTGCAGGGGGTAACATGATTTACATTGAGCACAGCACGGATTTCGAGATTTACTCTTCTCGTGGTGAGGGTGCTATGCAAGGATATGGATATCAATTCCATGAACAAGGAGAATACGGACCGCGCCTGTTGCGTCTTTATGATGGTGAGTGATGCTTTATCTAACATTTCCAGTATAAATATTTGAGCTGACAATTTTAAGTGACTAACTTTGCCATCCATGATATCGCTCTGGTTGATTCCCCGGCTTTCCATTTGACGCTCGACACTTGCAACCAGGGTGAAGTATACAACCTAATCATTCGTGGCGGAAACGAGGGCGGTTTGGATGGCATTGACTTATGGGGATTCGATATCTGGGTTCACGATGTTGAGGTAACAAATAAGGATGAGTGTGTGACTGTTAAGAGTCCAGCGAACCATATTCTCGTGGAGAACGTTTATTGCAACTGGTCTGGGGGTTGTGCAATGGGCTCTTTAGGCGTTGATACCGGTACGTTCAAGCTATGTATAATCAAGCATCTATCTCGTCAACTAACTTTATGCCCTAAAGATATCTCAAAGGTTGTATACCAAAATATTTACACGGTTAATTCAAATCAGATGTTTATGTTCAAGTTCGTCTTTCATTCTTGATATCTTAGCTTTACTTATCATAGAACTCCCTCTAACTTCTTCTTTTAACTCCACCTACAGGAGCAATGGAGGCAATGGAACAGGTAAGTTGAATCTCATAAAATCTTCATCTTCACCAGGCAATCTAGCTAACGAAATATCTATTAGTCACCGATGTCACCCTTGAAAACTTCATTGGTCATGAGAATGCGTATTCTCTCTACATTGACGCCTACTGGTCCTCCGAAACCCTAGCGGCCGGAGATGGCGTCTTGTACAACTCTATCACCTTCAAAGACTGGACCGGAACATGCCTGAACGGAGCTCAGCGGCCGCCATTGTATGTTTTGTGTCCTTCAACTCAGCCATGCACCAATATTATCATTGAAGACTTTGCGATGTGGACCGAGTCCGGAAGTACTGAGTACTATAAATGCGCGGATGCCTGGGGCTCAGGATATTGCTTAAAGGCAGGATCAGCGCATACTGAGTACGGAACAGTGACGTCGACTCTGACTTCTGCACCATCGGGCTACACAGCTACGACCATGCCGGGTCAATTGACTGCGGGGCTGGGACTCACTACATCTATTGCAATTCCCACTGTCCCCAACACGTTCTTTCCGGGAGCTACACCGGCCACGGCCCGAGTGTACGGTAGCTAGTTTGCTTACAAGTTGAATTGAATTGCTTCAGGCAAGCATATTATGAAAACTCGCGGGCAATTATGCAGTGCCATGGTTACTACGTTCATGTATTTCATAACGCTTTCCTTCGTTTGCCTTGAAGCAACATCAAGCTGATATTTATGATATTGATAATAAAAAATCTTCAAATCATCAATCTGCCCCGACGAAAAAAAAACTTAAAAAACTTCGGCTGTCCCCGGATGAAATCTCGTTGAGATGCCCAGGTGGCGTGAAAAGATTAATCTCCACCCATTGGTTGTACAAAACGTGGACTCCACCACCTCCGTGGGGGTACTTACGGGGAGTCGTGGGATCTCGGCTTCAGCCCGAAAATGCTCGGTATCCGTCCTTGCTACGAGAATGTAGGAAGTAAAAGGCAAGGAGTCACCTGGGATTCTTGGTGTGTAAATATCTGAGCCCGGTCATTGTTCTACTTGTAATTAGGAGGGTATGTACTGTACTACCAACGTTGTACACTGTGAACCCTTGACTCGGGGTGGAGAAACAACCGACCCGGAACCCCGTGACATTCGGAACCCGTGACTCTCGGGACCCGTGACCTTCACACCACACTTTTTACTAGTGTCTCTCACGTGATCCCCGCTCCATTCCTTGCCGATTCTTTCTTTTTCTACTGCACAACAATAATCTTGGGGATGCGGGTTGAATTAATCTCCACAGACTCTGGATTTGTCACGCCAATATGAAAAGACCATGTGTTGAAAAGCCACAGAACTCTAAACCGGTGTAATGTCGGGGTCCCCAGGGGCACAATTTTCCTCATGCTTCGCTTTTCTCCTCATTCCAAGGTTGTTTACCCGATTCCCCACACACAGACCGGCCCGATTGGCAAATCATGACTGAACACGGGAACCCCAGCCGTCTGTTCTCCGCTTCTCGGAGACCCTACAACCGATACAACTTGCCGTAGCACACACTGAAATCCCGATGGTAGTGGTCAATCTCCACCAGAACCCCCGCAAATGACGATGGTTTTCGCGTGGGGGTCACTGGGGTTTACACACAAGAAAATTAGCGTGGGGTTTGGGGGAAAGAGTTGACCAGGCATTCCTTAAATCAAGGGAGAAGAGAAAAACTCTGCCCCTGCCTCCTGTTCCTTTTTCCTTCTCGTTTTCTTCTTTAGTGAGAAACGAGCCTGGGATCTGTATGCACACACAATGGCCGGCGATATTTCACGAGAAAATGACCACATTACGGTCGACGTCGAGAAGGAGAGGATTGAAAACCTCGAGCATGTGGCTGAGCCACAGAATGCTATTCCACGCATTGACCCAGCTCGTCGAGCTGTCGTCGAGAAGAGTCTAAAGCGCAAACTTGATGCCAGGTGCAGTCTGTTCGTGCTGATTTACATCATGAACTACCTTGACCGAAATAATATCTCTGCCGCTCGCTTGAAGGGTTTGCAGACAGACCTTAATCTCACCGATACCCAATACTCAACATGTTTGAGTATTCTCTATGTCGGATATATTCTGATGCAGGTACCATCCAACATGTTCATCAACCGCATCCAGCGACCCTCGATCTATATTTCCATTTCGATGACTCTTTGGGGTCTCATCTCTACTCTCTCCGGAAACGCAAGGAACTTTGGTGATATGGTTGCTATTCGTTTCCTTCTGGGTTTCGTCGAGGCAGCTTTCCTTCCTGGTGCCCTCCTTATCCTTTCCAAGTGGTACACTCGCAAGGAACTCACAACTCGAAATGCCATCCTGTTCTGTGGTAACCTTATCTCCAACGCGTTCTCTTCCCTTGTCGCCGCTGGTGTGTTGTCCAACATGCAAGGTGTTCTGGGCCACGCTGCTTGGCGATGGTTGTTCTGGATCGAAGGCTCCATTACTATGACCATCGCCATCTCTGCTGGATTTATCTTGCCTGATCTGCCTACCAATGCACGTGGCTTCACTGAGGAGGAGCGTCTCGTCGCCCAGCTCCGCATCATGGAAGACGTTGGTGAAGCTGATACCGATGACAATGAGCAGAGTCCCTTCGCTGGTCTCATGATGGCTCTGAAGGATTTCAAAATCTATATCATGATGCTTTCTTTCACTGCTTACGTCGTGGGATTGTCATTCAATGCTTTCTTCGTAAGTTTCAACCATAACACACAACCCATTGGATAGTTATGCTGACTTTTATTTCTAGCCTACTCTTACAGGTACTCTTGGATTCGGCTATGTTCCTACCCTGCTCATGAGTGCTCCTCCTTGGGTCTTCTCGTGTATTTTCTCTGTCGTCAACGCCTGGCACGCCGACAGGACTCAAGAAAAGGTGAGACTGACACTTCCTCCTGCAATTTAATGAATCTTACTGACCTCTCAGATCTGGCACATCTACGGTCCAATCTTCATGGGTCTGGTTGGCTTCATCATCAGCATGTCAACCCTGAACGTAGCAGCTCGTTATGTCGCCCTCTTCCTCCAAGCCGGCTCTTACGCAGGATTCATCGTCTTCTACTCCTGGATCAGCTCCTCCTTCCCTCGTCCACCGGCCAAGCGAGCCGTCGCCTTAGCCCTGATCAACGCTTTTAGTCAACTTGGTAATGTTGCAGGCTCATACGTGTGGAACCTTTCCGAGAACGGCTACCGCAAGAGTTACGGAATCGTGACTGCTATGTTCGGCATCACTATTGTTGGGTTCTGGGGCTTCCGAATGATCCTTGTCCACTTGAATAAAAAGATTGAGGAAAGTGAGGTTCAAATGGATGCTGGACATACCGAAGGCCAAACTGGCAATGATGGATTTATCGAGAGTGCTGATGAATCTTTGCGCATGCGCAAGGGATTCAGGTACCTGGTTTAGAGTGCTGGGCCACTTGTATCAGATCTCCTCGTGTTTGCACTTTTGGGTGCATGTCAAATTTTGGTTGTAGCCCAAATATTCTGGTTAAATTGGGCGACTAGCACGACTATTTGAGATACGAAGCTATAAGATAGATATCATATGAGCTACCTATACCTAAATTTGAAAGTTTCTGCTTGTTATCTACCCTTGGCGCTCATGACTGCAAACCCAAGCATAATTTTTTTCTAATCTCGAAGACTGTTTCTGAATTCCCATTCTAACAAGCTTGCTGACATATCGAGATGCACTATCCACGCTATTTTGCAAAAGTAGAAAGGCAAGTCTCCATTATACAAGGAATATCATCATTTTCTCTTTATTTCTTCATTTAATGTTAAAATTCTGGTTTCTTCTACATACTCGCGCATGATGTGTGGGCCATTGAATCCTTATACTGACAAAAAACATCCTCGTTCGTCGCACAACCCCCTCGACAAGATGCTGGCAAGTCCAAAGTCTTGCGAATTTATTTTGATATATTCACATTTTCCTCCTCCGCCCCCTCCTCCCTTGCTAGATTTCTGACCGTATGCATCTTGGGTGGTAGTCTTTAGATGATAATGAAGCTCTATTCTCTTTGTTCTCCTACGGAATGAACCGTGTGCCTTTTCTTCAGCCTTTCTCTTGCTGGTCTCTATACTCCATTTTCACTACTTCATTTTTGTCGCCTTCTTTTCCATTCCTTCTTTCATTTTCATTTTCCTTGGCTGAATTCAATCTTTCCAAATACACATTCCCAATACCACACTTGTCGCACTGACACAAAGCCATTCGAAGTCAAAGTAAACACGACTGTGTCAAAGGTGTCAAAGGCTGCCCCGGCTCCGTTGATCAAAGAATCCCGACAGTCAGGCCTTTGCTAGGGAATTTAAAGTCTTTTAAGTTCTTTCATCTCGTAGCCACAACATTGCTGACAGTCTTGTTTGCATGTCTAACACTGTTTGCTAATGGCCGATTTTAGCTATTTTTGTCAATTCAAGTCTCTTTGTTGCAAATTTGTTTTTCCAATATAAATACTATTCTCGTGGCTAGGACTTGGTAAACTGGAGACAAAGACTTGAGGCTACGACATCGATAGTCATCGCTCAATATGGCGGTCAGGGTCGCAGATGACGAGATCGCCCATACGCCTACGAAGAAAGGTCGTCTGGGAATGATGGTTGATAGATTTCAACAGAAGGTTACAAAGTCCAAATCCAAGAGAAATTCCAAGAATAAGACAAAAAGCAAGAAACAGAGCAAGAAAAAGTCCCAAGGCAGAGTATGGGATCCCGAGAAGTCATATGTAGAAACTATAACCCCGCCGAAATTCGAACCAAAGGGCCCTAGAATGAGATGGCAGGTTACAGGGGAGCCTATTTTGGATCCCAGCAAGATTCCTGAAGGTTGGAATGACGAGGAGCCTGACCTCGACCCTGAGTGAGTTTCACTGGTCTTTTAAACTGCAGGGATTCCCCTATGGTCCTCCTGGACACCGCCGCCTGTCACCCATCCGACACACGCAAAGAAGAACGAAATCACTAACAACTATGACAGTGATCTTGACGCACATATTGAAAGAGGCGAGGCGAGGATTCAAGAAAAAATATTACCTGTTGTGTTTGAAGCCAAGCTAAAGCTGTTACAAAGGCGCCTAAAAAAGAGAGAGTAAGAACCATGGCCCTCTTAGGATTGTTTATAATATCTCTAACCTAAGCTAGAATTATGATGAAGCATGCTCCTGGCCTCACATACGATTCTGTACGCCGATTAGAAACTTTATGTATGATCCACGATTGGATTACTAGAACATCCGAATCGGAAACCTGGGAGTTGTTGGAAACTGTCAGGTGTCTTATCACATCCTATCAAAGAAAAGATCTCGAATGGACTCCCGGTCTTGTAACATACTGGTCTAATGGAAAACAACTTTGCCAGCCAAGAACTTTTGACTGGAAGGAGTTTGATGGCTTAACGCAAAGCATAAAGGATGGGGTGCGTTTTGGGTAGAAGGGGTAAGCTAGTAGTTTTCAACTGCAAGTAAAAGAAAGTGGCTAAAGAAGGCTAGCTCATGGTAACAAGCTTCACGGACCTGGGCCCGGGCAGATATTTTATCAGCATAAAACGTTATATCCGGCAGTGTGGCCAAACGAGAGATAGAATAGTGAAGCCAATGTCAAGGTATGTGTCTCCAAGCTCAGGCTTATCCAGTTGCCTTCCCTAGCAATCGATTTCAGGTCTTCTGACTATTTCATATTTCTAGATTCCAATTGCCCTTCGGATACCTGGTGCCCAATCTGGTGTCACACACGCCCCAACGCGAGTTTATCATGAGGTATCGAGTGTCCCAGATTCTGTGGTGGCATCCACCATACCTTTGGCTGGTGAAAAACGACCCGCGCCAAATTTAGAGGGCCCATAGGTAGAAGGAGGCCCACTTTCCTCTACGCGCCACGATATGTACATGCCATATCCACATTATACTTTCTGGATGCAAGACGACACCGGGTCCCAGATCATGCAGATCTCCAGGTATGACCTGGAGCTTTTACAACAACTTGAATCCCGTGCTTCGAGATCCGAGATTCCTTTGCCGCCCGTAATGGGTATTACGGCCTTTTATGGTTGTGACGAAAGATTAGTCTTCAGGGTTGTAAGACCCCTCGAAGTCAACATGTTCGATGATAAAGGGAAGGCAATGTCTCCAAACTGGGATTGGGTAGAGTGCGCCATCAAGAATAGACAAGGTGATCCTGATGTCACCATCAGGCTCGCTGGTCCGTGGCTTCGGCACAGATTTTATACTGCCACGAGTCCAGATAAATCTGGCCGGCTTTACGTTCACGATAAGTTCAGGGGGTTTCTCCATGTAAATAGGCCAGGTGAACTTCGCTTCGGGATCTGGCTCATTGGCTGTCTATATTTTGGAGTCTTTTCATTTCTAGTTTCTTTTTTTTTTGGCCCTTTTTCTCTTTTCTCTCCTTGTTAGTGATTTGTCTCCTTTGGTCTTTAGTTATGTATGTATTGGTTTCAAGCTATCGGTTTCAATGCGCTATTTGAGGTCTAGTTTGTTCCATTTCCAAATTAAATGAGCCAGATCCTTCAGGATTCCTCATAATCTAGAAATATTGCGAGATATCCTGAAAGTTAAGTTGGATCTGTCAGCCCCACCCTCGAGGACTTACTCATGTAGGGAGTACAGCCCTATGGAGTAAAGGTCGTTTAATGCGCCAAGAAGAACAAAAATAGAACCTCCCCAAAGCTGACTTTTCCCTCGTAACAGGAAGACTGTACGAAATACTTGTAGAAAAATCTGATTTGTCGAGAACCTGATTCTAAAATACAAATATTCAAGAAATTCCCCCAGGGGTTGGCCATGTCCGAGCGTCTTATTTTTTTTGCTTTCGGGCAGATTTACCCGGCGTAAAGTCCTCCGTACGGAGTACAATGTGGCACTTGGGTTATTGGTTCTTTTATGAACCCCGCTAATGCCAGGTTATCATGGCCAATGACAGCCAATGCCCTGAATTGCTCGCGTGCACGGTCGTAGCTGATTGAGGGGAGTCAGCTAAGGGGCCACGCGTTCCCAAGGTCCGAGGATACTGGATATGTTAGCATTTGAACAAAAGAGACGACTTTGTAAATATTTAAGACACTGTTCAAGAATGTGAAGTGGCTTTTTTAAGGCCAGCCAGGCCATTTCGGGGGAATTGTCAAACCACCGAGGTGCCGCAGCCCCAATACCACCCAGATAAAAAAGGGTCCAATAGTGGATCTTGGTATCATCTTGGCGATACAAATCAAGGATAGATACTACTACGGGGAATCAGAGGGCCCATTCAGAGCCCAAATCAGAGAATTTCAGGAAAGATGTGGGGTTGGGGGCGGGAGTGTGAGCACACGAGCACTTGCGCACACGAGCGAGAGAGTTTTCCCGATGACGGTGCCAACGTCCCGGACTGCCGATCTCCTACCGGAAGCATCTTATGGTGGAGAGGACGAACACCTGGAATTCCCCTTTACCCTTATCTCCGTCGAAATCAAATCTCTGCGTTGGATCAAACTTTGAACTTCCTACTCTCTTTCGTCTCTTTATGATTTCTAAAGGTCCCCTCATACTTCCTGGTGCGATATGAAATCCCCCTGGAAGCCGTCGGAGGGCACTTCGAAGAGGATCCAAGCCTACTTTTGGGCGGTGGTCCTCTTCGGCCTCAAGGTCGCGAAATCCCCCCAGCTTTATGCTGATCGCGCCTGGGAAGCCTCGCGCAGATACTTCTTCTCCGTGACTTTTATCTCGCTGGTGCTTTCGAAATGCTTTCGCCTCGCCCTACACCACAAATCTTTAGGGATCGTGTCCCTCGTCCTCTGGGGCCCCACATTCTTCTTAGTGGATATCGTAGTGATTCTGGTCGCGTGCCTGTTTACCCGATGGTTTAAATCGTGGATTTTGCGGGATATCGCCGCACTAGTGACTGTGTCATTCAGGTATACTGCTGTGAAACACACTTGTCGAAAAATGATTAGATGCTAACTTCTTCTTCAGTGCAGGTGTTTCGTGCATGGTCGCCGCCAATATCTCCTATTGCTCGCAAATGGGCTATGAGATTCACTGGCGAAAGAGTGCCAAGGGCTTCCATCAGGACTCTCCCCCTCCCGGTTTTCTCCTATCCGCAATCGCCGTTGGTCTGCTCACAGAGGGCTCGATATTGATCAGCGCCTACTTCCTTGCCCCATATCTATTCCGAGTCACTTGGGCTGTTTTGGGTGTATGGGGCTCTATCGTCCCCGCTAAGCTTCATTTCCAGCGTCAAGAGAAAAGCCTCCCCGACCCAGAGACATACGAGCAGGTTGCTTTGGATGATTATGAGGATGGACAAAATGATGACGACTCTGTGGGTGGGCTAGATGCTCCCCAGGCTCCTCCTAAGGAAAAGAAGAGCCGGTCATTACCGTTGCGCATTCTCGTCATAGTATGCAGCTTAACCGTGATACTATTCAGTCTGATCCGCCCACGAGATATGGCTTATAGTTTTTACTCCGAATCTATACCTTTCGCGCCTTTTGGTCGTCCGAAACATCTGCCATTTGACGAAAGCATTGCAGCTTTACCAGGCGATTTCAGCTGGTTGGGGAATAGGACCGCCCTGGACACATTCCCTACCTTTGAATGGTTAAAAATGTTCGACTCTCCAGATACGTCGGCGTTCTCTCCTTTCCAGGTGAACGGGTACGAAGACACGATTCACAAGGAGAACTTTTTCGAGGAACACTACAATCCGTTGAAGGACCCTCTTCACACGCCAAACCTTGATAAAAAGATTCTGGACTCTATCAGTGGGGCCCTTCACAGTGGAGATGTTAAGATCAAGCATATTGTTCTCCTCAAATTAGAGAGTAATCGACAAGACGTGTGGCCCTTCCGCACTGATTCCCTCATCATGGATCTGATCAAAGACTCTTATAAGGGCGTCGTTCCTGATGAGGTCGAAGCAAGACTCGCCAATATTACCCCCACAGCTGAGCGATTGACCGGGTTCAAGACGGGTTTCAACAAGGAATCCGCGCCTGTCAAGCCATATGGTGGTATCAGTGCAAGCAATGCTTACACTGCCGGTACCTATACATTGAAGAGTATCACTGGTAGCGTTTGTGGAATGAACCCCATGGCCGTCGAAGGCAATATGGAATACTACCACGACTTATACCAGCCATGTCTGCCCCAGATATTGAAGGCATTGAATCAGCAACCCGATGTCTCCAGCCAGGCGGACGATTGGACTTCCTGGCCATGGTACTCAAGTTGGATGCAAGCTAACTCTGATGGCTGGGATAAACAAGGTCTGCTTACCCCACGTTTGGGATACGACAGTATCCTCTCGAAGACAGCAATCAACGAAGCTGGTGGTAAATACGTACCAGAAGAAAACGAGCGAGAGGAGAAATACGGACATGAGGACAAAATGCTGAAGAATCATATCCGAGATCTTTTCGCCGATGCTGAGAAGAATAACACTCGCGTATTCCTCACCCACATGACGCATGAAACACATACTCCTTGGTTCAGACCTGGTGACTACGAAAGCTATGATGAGTATATGGGTGGCGCGTCGGACGGACGTAACAAGCAGATCAATGGATATCTCAATACCATGCACTATCAAGATGAGTGGGTGTCCGACATTATGGGAGTTCTGGAGGATGCGGGTGTCGCCAATGAAACTCTCCTCATTATGGCCGGCGACCAGTAAGTTTCTTCTTATTCCAGGATATCTCGGTCTGTAACCATCGTGTCTTAACTAACAATCACAGTGGTATCTCTCTTCCCAACGACGGTGGTATTACAGCAAACCACGATCCACACGTTGCTAATTTCCACGTTCCTCTTCACTTTTCGCACCCCGGTATCCCCCAGATCGAGGTCAGCGATGCAGTCATCTCTACCCAAATTCTCCCCACCCTCCTTGATCTCCTTATCGAGACATCTTCTATGAATGACCTTTCGACACAAATCCTCAAGGATCTGCTTCCTCTATATGAAGGCCAATCAATGCTTCGTCCGCTCATCCCAGAGCATGATGGAAAGCAGGAATGGCATTTCTCTACTATGAACCCCGGTGGCACATGGGTCTCGATGCGCTCAGCCCCTGAGCCATACCGTCTCATCGTGCCGCTCATTCCTGATGCACCATGGCGATTCAGCGATATCGTCACCGACCCATTGGAACTCCACGTCGCCGAAGACCTCGACATTCTTACTCTAGTAGAAATTGTTCAGGTGCGACACGGCTCCCATGCGGCTAAGTGGGTGAACGAAGCCGCGCACGTGGGTCAATGGTGGATTAAAGAGAACCATCGCCGCTGGGGCCACGATCCTGTAGCGGAGAAGAAAAAGGACGATGACGCTTAAACGCCTATCTTCTGGGTTGATATTTTCTTCTTCATTAATACTTGGCATATAACAAGGTTCTTGGCCACTGGCGGGCTAAATTTGCGTGATGATTGAGCAACATGCCATGTGACACCCACAGGTGAAGCCATTGGGTGCTCTGTTCCCGTCGCGTTATGTATATTAATGGGCATTCAACGGCCCCGGTCATTTTCTATTCTCTATTTTCTTATTCTTTGATATCTAGACATGAACACTCCTGTTGGGGGGCTGTTATGTATGTACTCCTGGTAACGAAATTGCATATTAGGCATCGCTTCAAATTGTCATGTTTTGTCCATTTTCATATGACACTTTATGTCTGGATTAATTTAGACTGGATATTCAAGACAAATCTTAGAATTTGGCTTACTAATGTTATGTCTATATGAAATTCTCATCGAACATTCTTTTTTGAGATTGAGGACGTGAAGTATGAAGCGAATGCGCCGACCGACTGGATTTCCTTTCGGTCGATGAAGTTGATGGACAGGCGAGAACACAGCAATACCTTTCTTTCAATAGTCATCAATGTGGAGGCGATATCGCCAGTGAGAATACCGACATGAGCTTGGCGGTCAAAATTGTTGGTAAGTGTTAGCAGGGCCGTGAAAGTAAATGGTCGGTATCAATCTTCTTCCATTTCCTGACTGTCTAAAGCACACAGCTAGAATGATCATGTTCTTATGTGATGTTTTCGTTTTCTCGGGTCTCTGTTTGATCAAGTTCTAGATGTTCAACATAGCCGACTTCCGCAAGGGACTATGTCCTCCCTTCGTTTACAGTATGGCAAATTCATCCCTTGCCACCTTGAAACGGGCCTGTTATGTGGGCATCCACACGTAACTTGACCCTGCTCAATCTGTCTTTTACTTGTACTACTATATAAGAATTTCATTTATAGAGCTCCTTTTTCCATCATCAGCTGCTTAGGCGGTCGAGATCAGCTACACAGATTAGGCAGGGTGGATCTACAATCTAGCACAACTGTAGGTTCGTGGCAAACAAAAAAGAGGCTTAGGAGAGAGTTATTTTTGGATCGCAAAAAAACTGTATTGAAATGTGGGGAAATAAATAAATAGAAAGCAAGGTACAAGAACAAGAGTACTGTATACAATCAATGCCGTTTCGCCGCAGCCATTTGTCCATCCATCATTACGGCCATTTGCCTTATTAACCAATTCACAAGAATAAGTAAAAAAAAAAAGTATCTATCTATCGTATATTGAATGCAAAGAAAAGAGGGGTTTTTGGTCTTTTCTTTCCAGTCGCAGGTCTAAACGGCGACTTGTACACCCATTCGCTCTTTGGCCCCAGCACCTTTTCGGCTCACAGCGAATAGGCCAATCACTAGGCCCAACGCGGCGAATCCAGTTGAGCACCAAAGACCGGTCGAGTATTGATGAGCAAGTCCATGTCCTTTTCGGATATCAACAGCCTGGGTAGTTGCTGCGGAGATAGCAAGAGCGACGCCAGAACCAATTTGAAATGCGGTGTTAAGCTATCGTAATCACAAATTAGAATTATCCATCATAGAAAAGAAGGAGCTTCACTCACCATTCCACCGCAAAGGCTCTGAACCTCTGGTGGAACACTTGTCAAAAGTGTTGTACTCGTCGTAACGAAAATGAAAGACACAGCAGAAATACTGATAAGGGATGTAGCGAGTGTATTGATCCAGCTGTATTAGTTAGTGAGAGCCTTAATGATAGCTGATGGGTTCACATACAAGTCATCGGTATGGATAACTGTCAAGGCACTGGGTAGCGGAGCCAATACCGATAGGGTCAGGCCCGCGAGAAGACAGTATTTTGCGTTCATATATTCGAGCAGCTTTCCAGTTCCCAGTGACACGATGAATCCTATTACTCCCATGGGCAAGAAACGAATGGCGGTCTCACCAGCGGATAAATCATCAACTTTCTGCGCCATCAATACGATATAGTAGATGACATTCTGGTAGCTTCCATAGCAAGCTTTTTCAATTAGCAAATGAGCGTATATTTGTCGAATGATGGTAGACTTACTGAAGCCTGCGATCCAAAGACCCGCAAAATTTCGGATCTTCCAAAGAGAAAGGGGCATCAAAGGGTTGCTAATGTACTTCTCGAGGATAGTAAACCCAACAAGGAACCCAACGGCTAATATCAATAGAACGATAATGAATGGAGTACCCCATCCATACACTCCGCCACTCGAGAGAACAAATTGGAGCAGAATCAAGCCAACTGTTGACAGAATAGCGCCAAGGTAATCCATTCTTCCCCTGTCCTTCCCGGCGTCATGATCCTTGGGTAGAACAATGAGACCTAAGATTCCCAGCGAGCCGGTGATAATGGTAATCAGGTAGAATATGTACCTCCATCCCAACGATGAGGTAAGGAAACCACCGAAGATAAGGCCGGCGCAGAACCCAACGGTTCCCGATGCGGCATAGATTGACAATCCTCGAGTTCGATCAACACCCGTGAAGTATGAACTAATGATTCCAATAGCAGATGGCACGGTAAGTGATGCTCCTATTCCTTGGATTCCGCGGAAAACGGTGAGTTGGATAAAAGACTGGCCAAAGCCAATGGCTAGAGTCCAGATGGACAACCAGCAAAGGCCGGAGCAGAGAATCAACTTTCGCCCATATCTATGATTGTTAGCCAAATTCCATGTTTAAATTCAACATAATCTTCTCTTACCGATCAGATAAGGACCCAGCTAGTAGTAAAAATCCTCCAAACGCCAATGTATATGCTGATATCATCCATTGTAGATTTGTGTTGGATACTTCGAACTCTTCTTGGATCGAAGCCAATGCCATGTTAGAGCTGGTCATGAAAACGTTATCGAGAAATTGCGAGCCAGAAGTAACAAAAAGAATTAAAGCTCCCCTCCAAGACGCAAGCCGACCAAATTTTTGTGGTGACATCTCTAATTGAATGCTGTGTGTATCGTCCAAAGGAGACCCTTTGAGGGTTGAAATAGTATCGCTTTGAATAGTATCGAGAGTGTCTGGCGTTCCGGGGGATACAGGGATAGATGTGTCTTTGCGCTCAAGATACTCTGGAGCATTGACCCTTGAGTCGCATCCATTGTTTTGCCATGAGGTGCTCATCTGGCCACGAGTTCGGCGAATCCAATCCATGATTGAGTTTGTGTTTCAGCTGATTCCTGGGCTTGATAAGAAAGTAGAGGGATAAAAGGGACATTATCAGTATCTTTTATAGCATTCGAAGGGGAAATAAGCGCCCTACGTAAGAAGGTCTGAACTATGAGACTATCTTTGCTTGTGAAAAGTGGGTATTGCCCCTCCGCGAAGCATCCACAGGTGGGCCTTTTTTGCACGCAATCAATACCTACAATCAAGACTTGCACTGCCACCTCCATTCTCAGTAACTTGAAACTGGTGACAGTTTGCAAGGGCATGTTTATTACTTGCTCCTTCGTCTGACAATGAGGCAATATGATCGACAACTCGGTGGTTCATGCCCTTCCCGCCCACTGTGAGGCTCCCCGCTAAAGTTTATACTAAGACCCAAGCTTTCTTATAAATAATGGTTTAATACACCTAACTAATAATTAATTAAATTGGCCACCTTTCCATCCATCTGCCATGGCTAATATCGCTATTCGCTTTGAAGTTGCTAGCATTTGCCATGCTCTGGCTATGCGTGCAAGGTCAACGATTTACAGCGGCATACCTACCCAGATTGCGTTTGAGGGAAGAAGGGGTTTACCCAAATCAGTGATCGACCTTCAAATCAGGAAAGTATTTCGAATTGCTTAATTCTAGCTCTTTGTCATTGGTGAAGATCACCCGTCGAAGGGGCTGCTGATCATCGATCTCTTGGTTCAATTAGCGGGGATCTACAAGGGGTGGAGCTAATCAAAAAATCCGATTGTGCACTTTCGACTGTATGAAATCCCTTCTGTCTGGGAAACCTCGTACCTGGCAGATGAAGGCTGGCAGGAACTGCAATGCACTTTTTCTGCAGCGGTTCCCTTCGTCGAATCTAGTTCATTCTTGGATATGCGTCAAAAAATACGAACCCGAGAAGGAAACAGGTCGGGATAACACAATATCCGTGAAGAAACACATCCACAGTTATGGAATGGGGTATGTCCAAGCTTGCGTAAGAAACTATGTACATGACAGGATCACCCTGGGCCGGCTCAGTGTAAATTAAACGTGTGGGTGACTGGCTGTCGATCGTTTCAACCTGGAATCTGCTTCGTCATACATACATATTAACTTGAAAATTTGGCGTTTTTGAGTTGCGCGTCTTTTTCATTCTCGGAGGCAGGGGGGGCTTTCTCGGCTTGCCGTGAAAGAGAACAGAAAGTCCCGAACTGTAAAGTGAATCAAGCTACCAGCCATGCATGACGTAGAAGTTTAGCTTGTCACTTACCTAGACATCCTCTAGACGTCTAGTCCGATTTCGCAATCAGATAGAATGCGATATTATCTCTTGTGTCCGCGTGTGTGTTTGTGTTTGTTTTTTGTTTTTGTTTGTTCAATGATCGCCCTTGAGAGGAATGACAGCGAACTATCATTTGCACTGAACACTGGCAGGTGGTGAGCTCGATATCCTGTCTCAGCTCGGTAAACTGCCGGCAAGGTTAACCTCCCGTGGCACAGGCCCTCGGATGTCTTCGGTCGGGTTCCACCACGGTGGTGAAGCCGGCCGTCTCGGTGGGCTCCAGGAGCTAAACTTAAAATACACTTGGCTCCTGTGTGCTGATAATCACCCTGTGGGAATTTTGGGTAGGAAGCGCTAGGAAGTTAGACATAGTAGTAGTTAGTAGGCCTGGGTATACTTTGTAGTACATATAATATGGCCTTTACTGGGTGAAAAGGAAAAATTATCTTTGCGAAGTTGCTGTATGAATGAAATTTATTGACTATCGTGGTTTTGGAATGGCTTGCTATCTTGCTAGTGACTGTTGCATGATATAATATTGTTAGTACCTAGTATCATTTTTAACTAGGTTCAATTAATGTTAGTCGATAGTAGTATGATCATGGCAAGACTCGCTCGGCGGTTCCTAGGCTCGAGATAGGCAAGTTATATATGGAAGATTCTGCATTTAGAATTAATTTTGAAATGACTCTTATGATCGGTAATTGTTCACTTGGGGTGACTTTTTAGGAGCTGCTACTACTAATTGTATACTAGTAGTACTACTAGTGTGTAGAGGTTCAAGTTTACCGTGACTGTGATATATCTCTGAAGTTCTACCCGCAAATACCCAGCTGAGCACCTTGAACACACTCTGACCTGGGAAGTCTTGGAAATACTTTATGGAAATTGACAGAATCTTAAAAAATATGACAAGACTCGGTACTTGAATATGAGTAATTCGAAAATAAATCAAATCCTCTCACAAATACTGATAATGATACAAATCACAGTAATTTGATTTTTGATTAGATTTATGATGCAAAAGTTTCCTAAAACTTCCATCAACCACCCCAAGTGGCCGAGTGGAACTCAGCTGTCTTATCTTCCTTGGTCTAGTGGTCATGATTTCCGCTTGTCATTAACACCGTCAAGCGCGGGAGACCGGGGTTCGATTCCCCGAGGGAGAGTTTCTTTTTGCATTTTTGATATTTTGTCGCCTATTTTGAACTTCTTCTTTTCATCTACAATAAAAAAAGAGAAAAGAGAAAAAAACAAGTACGTTTACGACCATGTACTGTTAGGAAAGTACATAGCCATCGCCTGTGTTGTTGAACTCTAAAACAACAACTTCAAGCAGGCAGGCGCACCTGGCAGATCTGCCAACAATAGAAAGCCTAGTCACACTGACCTCAATTACAACACGATGTGATCTTTTTCATCACTCATCACTTTTCTTTGCCCAGTTGCCCATGCGGCTCAGTCATCATCAGCTCTCACTGGCACATAACAAGCATAACCTACGAGTGAGGCCATGGCATTCTGGGTTGATTGGCAGTTATGGGAGAAACTCAGCATGGCACGAATGGTCCTACCCTTTAGAAACACTGAGACAGCGCGCTTGGCTAACAACATCTGCAAATTAGGTATTGGCAATCTTGATCGTATGATCCATCTCTGATGCTCCTTTGAATGGCCCAGTACTAACACCCACCCTAGGCTCTTGTGGTCACTTATGGTTGCTGTGTCCTTGTATACAACAGGTGTAGGGTCCGCAGATATGCCGCGATCGAGGCTCGCCAGAAAGAGGAGGAAGCTGGGTTATACCCCATGCTGAAGAAAGATGACATACCATTCGGCGCCAGAGCTCTAGAGAGGGGAGTCGAAGTGCCGGGAATCTGGATTTCCAGCCATAACTCGCCAACGCCCAGTCCCCACGTTCCTAGCACACCGATCAGAAGTCGATCACCAAGCCCAGCCCCGAGGAGTTTCGCAATGCTACCGCGGAGCCTCTCACCAACGGTGGCACTGGATAGTGCTGCATGTCACCTCTCACCTTTACCATCATATGCTCGTCCTGTCACCGAATCCGAAATTGATATTGTCGCAGCCAACAATTACCGATACGAATCATACAGACCCGGTGGGATTTACTCGCCTGGGATCGTAAATAGCACCCCGACGCCGCACAGGCCATTCCATCGTCGAAGTGACACTTTCCCCGGCAATGAGAAGCGTGCTAGTTTCCATACCCGCATATTACGCGCAAGTCAGATTTTCGACAACAGGCGAAATAGGTCTGGGACAAGCGAACAAGACGAAGCGGTTACAGGATCGCCTATCTATGAACATGAATCTCGTTTCCCAACCGAGCAGTACCGGGGTTCACGGGCTCACAGTAAGCGGATAACGTGGCCTCATCACTGCTTGGAGTAAGGAAAACTAACTCATGTATCAAAGGAATCCTTCGCCGACGATCATCCGAGGAGTTCAGACGCAGAATTAGCCAAATATTCAACGAGAGAATACATATGAATATGCCTGCCGAAGGACTCCAATTCAACCCCAATTTTTCAGAAAGCCAGAGACGTAGGCTTCGTCGTTCGATACTGTCGCCTTTTCGGTCCTCGCATTATTGATTTGCTAAGGCTTTCTTTTCTTGGTACAATGATCCACTCGGGAGATGTAACGACAATATGTTCCTTAGGACATAACCATGGGCCGAGCCCAAAACATGAGCAGTGAACATTACATGAACGGGGGAAGATAGCAAGACCAGGTTTGTTTTTTTTTACTTTCTTCTTGATTATAGCTGAAAAAGGGATATCGCGGGGGGGGGCTTGAATTAGTATAAAGCAGCAGCGTTCCTTGAGTGCATGTCCAAAATTTTATTTGTATTTCTTACAGAGAGACGAGTCACATCGAAGACAATTGCCCATCCTTATCGTAAATAGTTTGTGATGATTATACCCAAACGGTGATAGCGTTGTTGTTGTTGCCTTGTCCATTTGGTAGACTTCGCACGTGACTGCGCGACACACTGGACGCGTCTGGGGAAAAGAATCATTTGGATTCGTGTAGAGCACCAGTCTTTGCCACAAACAGGAATTTATGGGCCACGGCTGCCTAGTGACTCATTTCAATCTCATCCCAAGTGATTATACCCCTTATTAAAGTTCGACCATACCCCTTGAACTACGCCTCAACATCTATCGCCAGAAGACAGCTCGACGCGTTTTGTCAGAGATAACTCCTCGAACACTACCTCATTAGCTGCGACAGCCGAAACCTGAAAACCGAAAAACCAACGATAAGGCGCCTACAGGATGGAGAATAATGGAGAGGCTCAAGGCGAACATGAAGATAGCCAACTGCCAGGCCCAGGTGCTCCAACTCCGCTTTCTGCCCTGGAGGTGAGTAATGTTTCCAATGGGATAACATAACTATGTCTACATCTCCATTATCCGGCGACGTACTCACAATGTGGTATTTAGGGACTCGCGGGGTTGACTGGGAGAGACATCAAGTTATTTGTGGATGCAGGATATCACACAGTTGAGGCAGTCGCCTATACGTACGTCTTGGGCCCATACAGCAGAAGTACCACTGGTTTATGTGGAATGGCTTAGACAGATGCTTATATGATGTGAATTCTTTAGTCCGAAGCGATTGCTGGAACAGATAAAAGGAATTTCGGAGCAGAAGGCGACAAAGGTCTTAGTAGAAGGTACGTTTCTATTTATGTCGCCATAACAGGCCGCTGTCCAACCGAGGGACATGACCAATGATAATGTTTGATATAGCCGCCAAACTAGTTCCAATGGGCTTTACCACAGCGACCGAAATGCATGCTCGACGAAGCGAGCTCATCTCTATTACAACGGGATCCAAACGCTTGGACACACTACTAGGTGGTGGTGTCGAGACTGGTTCAATCACGGAGATATTTGGAGAATTCAGAACGGGTAAAAGTCAGATTTGTCATACGCTGGCTGTCACTTGTCAACTACCCTTTGATATGGGTGGAGGAGAAGGGAAGTGTCTTTACATCGACACAGAGGGAACCTTTCGCCCAGTTCGACTTCTTGCCGTGGCACAAAGATTTGGGCTAGTTGGTGAGGAAGTCCTCGATAATGTGGCATATGCTCGTGCCTATAACTCGGACCATCAATTGCAGCTGCTGAACCAGGCGTCTCAGATGATGTGCGAGACTCGATTTTCGCTGCTTGTGGTGGACTCAGCGACCGCGCTCTACCGAACAGATTTCAATGGACGCGGAGAGTTATCGTCACGACAGACTCATCTGGCGAAGTTCATGCGCACCTTGCAGCGCTTGGCTGATGAATTCGGTATTGCAGTTGTTATTACCAACCAGGTTGTGGCTCAAGTTGACGGCGGTCCATCCTCCATGTATAACCCCGATCCCAAGAAACCCATTGGTGGTAATATTATTGCCCATGCCAGTACCACGCGACTTAGTTTGAAGAAGGGTCGTGGTGAGACTCGAGTTTGCAAGATTTACGACAGTCCCTGTTTGCCAGAAAGCGATTGTCTCTTTGCTATTAACGAGGATGGCATTGGCGACCCCAATGAGAAGGACATGGAAAATGACTAAGCCATAGATCTGCTTTTTCTATTATCACCCCTGTTTCCTATTATTTTTTGACACGATTTTAGTGACTTGACGAGCCTATTCAATATCCCTTGTACTTAACCTTGACTGCGTGGGTGTGAAGAAAATATTGGCATAAACCGATTATAGTGTGTCCTTGCATATGTATTTTAATTGAATAATATCTGCTATTAGTATTCTCTCTTATATGAATAGAATTGAAAGAAAAATAAATAGTTATTTCTAAGTAGAAAACATGCCTAGTTGATGTTGCGGGTCAAAGTCCAAGCGCGCCAAGACTTTGTTTTTTGAGAGCTCCAGCTTTCCGCCCTGCAACTCTTTCCCGCCTTGAAGACATGGGAAGTCTGAGACGACCCTGATCCTTGTGCAGTCCCAGAGCTGTTCGCCATGGCGAAAATCTACAAAGATACCAGGGTTGACCTGCGACCATTTTCGCCAACCACTGTTGCCAATATCCAAATTTCTCCAGAGAGCGCGCTACGCCGGACACGCTTTTCGATCTCATCATCGGCCGACCACGAACCCCCCGTCGCGAAGGACGAAGACGAATTTGCCAAACGATATCTTGCCACGCAAGGGACGGTCTATTTTCGCAAGCGCAAGACCTACCCCCGAACCTTCTTATGGAGGGTGATCAATGACAACAAGGTGTTGGAACTTCAATGCGCGGACCTCACCAAGGCCGGGTTAGAGCAGTTTGAGTACAACGTAACACTACGATTGAACTTCTCCGAGCAGATTATTCCCTCTGGCGTCGCACTAGCAGATCATGAAGATCATGAGGTGCTCAGTGTGTTCGTGATCACGACCTCGAAACAACTACATACATTGTCCCTCCGACCTGAGTTCTTCCGAAGAATCGAATCAATTGACGAAAACGTTACAGACTGGTGCAAGACATGTGTTCCTGCGCCACTCTCATTCTCTCACCCTCACCGATTACACGCCAGCAGTCCACTTGAGCTGTTTGTTTCTCTTGATAACGGCGCACTCTTACGCCTGACTCGCAGAGCCGGGGACGATGGTGGGTGCCTGATGGCCTATTTTTTTTTCTACACAACGATTGGTTTTAAAGAATTACGGGACTAACCTTAAATTCGAATAGGTTCTCATTGGACCCCTCTTACCTTTGACGAACGAACATGGGGTGCTTCGATCCGGGGCCTTGTGAAATGGAATGCAGCCTCCTCGCTTCGCCATAATGGACGAAGCCTCGACCTGAATGTTGCCAATACCATTGCCACGACTTCCGACGAGACATATGTATTCGCTGTTACCTTGAATCACACGTTGAAGATCTGGAATCTGGCGACGAACAAGTTGGCAGCGACAAAGGATCTACTCGGACGTACAATCGATCCTGACACCGTACCATACACTTTGAACCCTGCCGAGACATCTTTCATTCGAGTTTTCAAAGCAGAAAGGGCCTTGGATGGAAGCCATCGCTTCTTTGTGGTGACATACTCTCCATTTGAAGACGGCCGATTTAAATTCTGGGCTGTGAAGGGCGGCCTCACGTCTGATCTAGTCATTGAGGATCTTTTCGCTGATGCGATTTTCCGACCTGTTGATCCAGATGTCACAGGCAACATGTTCTGGAATATTGCGGACTTCCAACTCAAGTCTATGGATGAAGGCAAAGGAATGGAGCTGTGGGTGCTTTGGAGGAATCATGGCCTTTATCAGCTATATACCCTTCATTTCGACCTTCAAACCTTGGTCAAAGATTGGGAGAATAATTGGGTCTCCACGACATTTGAAGCGCATCGACAGGAAACGTTACCTGCTCCGGTTCTGGATGATGTGGTTGATCCAACCGAGAAATGGCTCGAATACCTTTTGCATCCCAATCGATACCTGCCAGAAGTTCTAGAGACTGCTCTAGCCATCTATCAAGAAGCACTGAAGCCTTTGTCGAATTCATCCTCTGGAATCCTAAAGAAAGATATCCCCTTGGCGGAGAGATTGTGCTCTACCGTCGCAGCAACAGTCTCTCTGCGCAAGTATGCTGAAGATGAGATGGGCTATAGCCGTTACCGAACAGACACAGATGCGAAATGGCGCCAGTTCTGGCAAGTTGCAGATGATCTTAACAAACGGCGATTTGAACCGGTATCATTGACTTACGATTCGTATTTTGAAATGCCTTGGCTTCTTCTCTCTGATGCTTGCGCGGTTGTCCGCGAGTGCAATACTACCGAATTATTTGTGCATAACACTGGCTCCGATCTTAGTGATGAAAAGCCGAAGATTGCAGATCGCTGGAAGCACCGCAATTTGAGCGCTGAACTAGGGGGCTTATATGAACAAGCCTCTTCATTGATGAAGGTTGCGTCGGAATTCAGGAAACGATTTTCCGCCGAGCTTGATGCAGCATGTCGGGCTGCTCTTGATACTGAGATCTACAGTGAACCCGCGTCATCCATTACTGACCGGATGGACAATTTCCGTGAGCGCTGTGAATTCGCAGATCAAATTTCCAATAAGACATTCGATAGCCTGGTTTCAGCTTTGAATGAGAACTTGGATGCCGAGAACTTGCCAGGGGAAGCCTTCGACGCCATTATCGACACAATCCCGCTTGGTTTCAATGGAAAGGATTCAGAACTCCAATCAACTTTTTTGGGGCTCGAGTTCTCGTTAGTGGAGCCCTAGAAACTATTCTTTTGAACCGCCGCATTCTCTTTGATCTACTGATCTTGGTTACGTTTGTGGACAGCGAAATTGAACAAGGAGGGCGTTCTAGCTTTGATGCCGCAGGTCTATTCTCTAACATCATTGAGCTAATCAAAGAATACGAAATGATGCATTGGCTCAGCTCCAACGTTCGGAAATGCGCCGACAAGCCTGCAAATAACCGGTCTGATATTTCGACTCCGACATTTTCCTTGAAAGACGCCAAATCTAAGACAAAGAACCAGAGGACAGCGACAATCCTTGAAGATCTGTTTGTTACCGATATCAAGCCGCGTCAAACGATTGGAATGCCCCAGAGCTATGCACTGAGTCTGGGCATCCGAGATGTTTTGGCTTGGGTCACACGCCCGGGGGAGGTGGCGTACCCCAATGCTTTGGCATATATCCAATGCGATCTCATTGCCAAGAACAATATCGACCTTGCATGGGATTTCCTTCGATTTCAAGCAAGTACTTCATGGGCGACTTATGTTAAAGGGCGCTTGTATGTTGCTATGTCAGAATTTGATGTTGCCGCAATCTACTTCCGGAAAGCGGCATACTTGCTTTGTAAGTTACTGATCTGGTTTATTTTATTTGAACTTGGCAAGCTAATATTTCCTACTAGCCTGCGGCAAACCCTTGGGCAACCTGCATGAGATGTCTTCCACACTCCTGGATCTTGTCTCGGTGAACTGCTTCCATAATGGTGTCCCGAAGTATTATCAGCACATTCTTTCAGTATTCGAGCAAGTGCGATCGTTCTCACATGTAGCGGATTTCGCTAGTCTAGCGCTGCAGGCCCTTGATTCGGAAGCATGGGCGGAGCAAGACCCCGATTACACGAGTATGCGAACTGACCTGCTCTCACGCCTTTTCCATGCATCACTCAAGACCTGCCAATTTGACCAGGCATATTCTGCCTTGGCTCGATACCATGATCTTGCTCTACAGCGTTCTGCTCTCAGTTCACTCATATCTCACATCCTCACTGTCTGCGGGCCTGGAGTCGCAGGCCTTGAGCAAATTCTCCGTTTCCCCACGTCTATCGTGCCTAATATTGCATCCCACATTGACGAAATTCTTGTTAATCTCGCCCGCAAACAAACTTCTTTCAATTCATGGCTGGATATAGATACCAATGAGACCGACAGTGCACCCGATTACCACCGTATCTTACAAGCCTACCGGATCGCTCGCAGGGACTACCGCGGCGCTGCTGAGATTGCTTACCGCAATGTTCAGCGTCTCCGCCAGGCAAGAGACACTCCGTCCTCTGCGATTGTCCGCAAGGGTAAGAAAGAAGTTGAAGAAGCTGTTGTTCCTGAAGATGACCCCGAGAGCAAAGAGATTCGGCACGAGCTCTTGTCATTGATAAATCTCTTGGCATCAGTCGATAAGAGCGAAGCATACATCCTTGTCGAGACTGGTCCGCTGTCATTCTCCAGCGCATTTGCCGACCCATCACATACTCGCCCCCGTAGTTCTCATGCCGATGAAGACGGCAATGTTTTCATGGATGATGCGGACGTAGGGTCGCCTGTCTCATTCAATGCCGGACGTCGCTCTTCCAGCGCTTCCTTTGGGTCTACAGGGCGCCGAGGAAGCCGTTCATCTATTAGCGGCGGACGCAGTGGCGTGTCGTTCAAACCCGTCATCGAACAACCCCAAGAGCGTGTCATTGTTACCCTCGAACATCTGCGCCACGAATTCCAATCTGAATTGGACCGTGTTAGTCGCATTGAGCGCGGTGATTGGGAATTTGGTCTTCTGGACGATGACGAGGAGGATATCGATAACGATGAAACGATGGTACTTTCTTAGAGAGCATCTGTGGCCATTTTTGAACAGTCTATACCTTTGCTCTTATGTTCCTTGTATGTGGAGGACTAAGGACGGACGATATTCAATCTTAACAAAATTTTCTGGCAATTTCTTTTTATGCAGCTGGGAATTGACATCGGTGGAGTTTCACGCATCATGTCTGAATAGCTTTATTTTTTCTCGATTCATAGGATAGTTATGTGCAAAATAGGATCTCACATGTTTTTGATGATAGTTTCTCTCTACATTTAGCAACACATACCTCGTATGTGCCCATCAGTATTCAGGGAAGAAATTTATATCTACAGATGTAGGGATATGGCCAACAAGGCATGCGCTACATTTTGAATCAGCCATAGGTCGACTACTACTACGTACAGCCGACCAATATTTACTAAGGCTTCTTAGTTGTTGTCTCTCTCTCCATGTCTCTCTATCTCTAAAGTTCATCTTCGCACGCTGATATTCGAAGTATGATCAATCAATTCCTCAGTCTGACAAATCATTATTAGAGATCATTCAAATTGCAAGACTACAGAGCATTGTCTTTTTGCATTGAAATCTATTGTGGCTTCTTAATAATCAGATCGTTACTACAGCCAAGGAATCCAGGGCTGACCTACGTTGCATGTACTCAAAGAAGAAAACTCTTGGCTGATGCTACCCAGGAGATCTGTTCTATTTTCATTCATCAACCTCAATGGACTTTTTGAATGCAGTTCAAACTACTCTAGTTGATTCGGATCAACACCGCAATTATATGTTAGTGGCCATGAAGTCCTGCTTGCTTCTCATGTTTCTCGCATTTTTTAAAAGAAATCTTTTCATTTTTAATCTAAGAAGAATCGACCGGAGGATTGCCTAGACTCTTGAAGGCCAGGATCCTCGCCCATTGTTTTGTCGAGTTCACATACTTCAGCCCTGCATTTGAGACAACCCGGCCCGTCGTCCCTTGGAATGTCTAGGAATTATAGCCAATTATATTACATCGGGAGTGCATCATGTTGAGTCTTATCATCAGCAAGATCGCTCCAGGACTTAAATTACAAGGCAGTCCTCGGAGCAAAGTGGAATGCCCAGGCTGAAGAAATACCATATCAGCATTCTTCGTACAATTCTGTAGCAAAAAGCGTTAAACGTGATGCTTAGGATAGGGAAGATGGAGATCTGTACCGACAGGGGCGAGCTTGGTGCCGAGAAAGTGAACCATTTGATTTCCCTTATGAACTGTCGCCGATCCTCACTGCTATTCATAACTCGGAAGCAGCGAGGATACAGATCATCGTCAATGGCAAGACTTTTGGATTGCAATCCTCTTACTTTGCACTATGTATATTTTATTGCCATATCAGTGATCGGCAGTGTGATCATTTATATGACTTCAATGCCGATCTCTGATCTACAATATGCTGACGCGTCATTCATGAGCTTCAGTGCCATGACAGGGACTGGGCTGAACGTGGTACGTTCAGTTTGTCAGATCGATCTAAAAATACGTCGAGTTGCTAACAATATCCCAAGGTCAGTCTGTCTTCGTTGACAGTTGTTCAACAAGGTACTATATTTACCCTTTTTATATTAGGACACGCTATTCCAATACTGGGTGTCCTGTCCTTTATCCGTGCTCGAACGCTTTGCTCCATCCTGAGAGAAGCGACTCATAATGAGATAGCTTATCAAAATGAGCATAAAACGCGACCTTTAAGTCAAAATATACCGGAGATTCCGCATGAGAAAGAAGTTCCCCTACCGAAAGAAATACCTTCACTGGAATTCAAACCAAAAGCGGTGGAATCGCTGGCAAAAATTTCAGTTATTGGAGAGCATGAGCCATGCAAGGAGGAAGACTGCACCGTTATCACTGATCTGACGAACCCCACCCAAATCCAACAATTTGTCGTTACCGATGAAAAAAGAAAGGCCAAGAACAGAGGTAGCTTTGTTTCGCGTAGTCTTCTTCGACTGAAGGTTGCCGTGCGAATTTTGAAATGCTATCTGAACTGGACAGTTCCCGCTGACCTCCCTGAGTCTGACGGGATTGAATGCCGAGCACTGTTTTTTCTCTCTGGATTTATTCTTCTCTACTTTATTACCTTTCTGTTTTTCGGTATCTTGATACTTGGGCTTTGTTTGCATTTTTCCTATTCAGAAGTTCCCCTCAGTTATGGAGTCTCGCCATTCTGGGCTGGTGCTTTTCTTGCAACGTCTGCATTTGTCAACAATGGAATGTCTCTCATCGATACTGATATGGCTGCCTTCCAAAAAGAGTGAGTGCTGCCAAGTGAGAGCATTTCCTTGTAAATATGCTAATTTTGTGCCGAGTAGCTTCGCTCCTCTTCTTATCTGCTCCGTCCTGATTCTAGCGGGCAATACCCTTTTTCCTTGTCTCCTGCGCCTGTCTATTTGGAGCGTGAAACGAATACTACCACAAAGACCAAAATGGCGGATTTGGCGTCAAACCCTTGACTTCGCTCTTGCAAACTCCCAAAAAGTCGTACGCTCTTGGTCTGTTCAACATGCTGAAGCTAACCAAGCTGATAGGTCTGTTCCTCCCTGTACCCTACCTGGCATACCTGGTTTCTACTTGGTACGATATTGGTGCTCAATAGCATCATGTGGGGGGCTTTTGAGCTTGCATCTATCCAGGACCAGGAAATAAGGTCCCTTTCTGGTGGAAACCGAGCTCTGGACGGCCTTTTCCAATCGCTATGTATGTGTTTGACATCCGGTGGCATATTGTTAGTGGCATATTGTTAGTGCTAATAAATTATCAAAGCTGTACGTGGTGGCGGTTTTTCCGTAGTGACATTTTCTAAGTTACCGCAAGGGCTTCTCATCCTATATGGTATGTCTCTCCTTTATTCTTATTATTCTTTTATATACACTATTAGAATTGTGCATCAAAATTATTTACTAACGGAATTGCCAACAGGCTTAATGATGGTAAGAAGCCCAAACTTATGATTCGAAAGAAGTTTGTCTAGCTGACTTGTCAATAGTATATCTCTGCTTTTCCAGTGTCGGCAGCAATTGGGTATGGCTTATATCTCATCCTTTCTAAGAAAGATCCTGACGAACAGCAGAAGCACGAAACTTTCCGAAAAACATCAAGCAGATATCTCTAGTATTGAAGAAGCAGAGTCAATATCTAATACCCCAACAAAAGATCAATATCGTCCACGCCTGGCACAGAGCTGGCTTTTTTATCAACAACTTCGCTCGCAATTCAGCCATGATATTTGGTGGCTATCAGTTACTGTTCTTTTCATAAGTATCGCCGAGTCTGATCACTATAAGGCTGAGCCTATTTCTTTTTCGACATTCAATATTATTTTCGAAGTTGTGTCTGCATATAGTTGTGTCGGCGCGAGTATTGGATACCCGGGGAAAAATTACGCTTTTTGTGGAGCATGGCACACCTTCAGCAAGATTTTATTGATTGCAGTCTCATTGAAGGGTCGATTACGCGGGGTTTCCATTGCAATTAACAAGTCAAGTTTGCTTCATGGGTCTCCGACGAGAATGCCAGAGGACCTCAAACTGTAAAGAGAGAGCAGCCTTATTTCAAGGTGATTAGAAGACTATCAACTGTTTGAATATTTGATCAAAATGCATTTTTAGCCTGTACGATGTAATATAAATCAGTGTATAATCATTTTATTGAGAAAGCCTCTCACCTTTTCTAGTACTAGTATATGCACGTAATTCAAGTTTCAACAATACTAGTATATTATGAAATACTGCATATGTTGAATGTTCTAAAGTTGGCCTCCTATTCTTGCTTGAAAATCGCTTAGTAGCTATGAAGTTGAAATTTCTTTATACATGTATATCTTCGTAAATTAAAGAAATTGAAAGTTTTAATCCTAGAGAACGCTTCCCACGCTATTATTGCTCCTTGAGTAATGAATATACATCTCAGTGCGCATTTGTTCCATTTCGTATTCGTATACCACAACCCGCCCTCCATGAAGTGTTTTCACGGTGAATATAAAATTTCCGATTGTTCATATAGTTGGAAGCTCAGGCCAAGCATCTATGCCATCCAGTATAACCATCCCCATGCCTGAAGCCAGATGCGTTTCTGTATGACAATGTAGTAGAAACGCGCCTGGGTTTTCAACATGATATCGAATAGCAACCCAAGCCTCACCAGCCGGTGAAGTAACAAATGTGTCTCTGTATGTGGGAACTTCGTAAAAGCTACCCGGAGAATCCTTTGCTGCATCACTGATAGAGCTCCAGTTAAATTTTCCTTGGCTTGCACCAATCAAAAAAGCTTTGTTAGAATGCTTGTGGATTGGGTGAGGGGGCTGAAGATAGGTTCCCTCTGGAATCGCAAGTTGAAAAACAATGTCCACCCAGGTATTGTTCTTGGTTTCTATTTTGAGAGCAGAAGCTAACTCAGTTGTTTGTGGATTGAAAAGAACGGGCTGAATTTCAGCCAGGTTTGCTGGAAGAAATGAAGTGCCATCCAAAGTCCACTCCCATGATGAGTTGATTCTGCCCAAGGTGAGAAGATGAAAATCGTCGGCATAGGTTGCTGGCTGAATTGGAGGATATGGAGGTAAGCTGGTAGTATTCAATGAGATAACCGAAGATGTTGTATTAAGCCCTCCATAAGTGATGTATGGTATGGATTGGCGCTGGTTCTCATCTCCACCTCTATAGCTAAGCGTTGCAAACCCAGAGATAACTTGATTACCGTTTCCTGCTATCCGGACTGTGTAGTTTCCTGGGTTTTGGTCTAGACGTACCATGACAGAGTATCGTTGTCCATTGTATATCGGTATTGAGTGGGCGAGTTGTGGCTCGACTGAACGGCCATCAACTTCGTACACATACATTGGGTGCTCATCAATAGATAAGACAAGAGCTTTAATTCCAGCTGCACTGATGAAGTTAAAACTAACCCATTCATCGTCAGAGTCGACTTGGAACACTGATTGAAGGCCCTCACTCGGGATACAGCCGGAGTTTAAATTGCCTGGAAGTGCATCGGGATGGTGCTCCCAAAAGCCTTGCAACTGTGGCAAAAATGGATCGCATCTGCTAGTTGTGAGAAAAAGGATATCTGATTTTGAATGAAGGAGATTAGATCTCACCCTTTGTCAGTTAGAGTTGCATTCACAATAGCTTTGACTTCTGGTGCTTGCATATCGGTCAACTCTTCAGGATCCTTGCAATAGACAGAACCCTGGCCATTGACCAGAATACTATCAGAGCAACTATTGGAATTAGTTTGGGGATCTCCGACACTTGGCTTGTAAACTTACAAAATATCATATCCTGTATCCATTTCGGCTTGCATATAGGCATCCGACGTTAGATGGTCCCAATCGGAAAGAAGAACAAGTTGCGGGTCTCTTCGAGCATTCTCCATGGCTTCTATATCTGTAGGATCACTCGAGATCATTGACACTGGTGAATCGCCAGACGATGGTCTGGATTGAACTTAGTATAGCAGATGAAACATCTACAAAACAGACTAACCTTATGTAGATGGCACCGTACAAGCCATCCATCATCCTGGCCTTATCGTGCGAATGATACCAGTATGTTCCATATTGATCCGCATGCCACTTGTATGTATATTTCTGACCTGGTCGTATGCCCCATTGTGAAAGACCAGATACTCCATCAGCCCATGGGGTACCCTGCTGCCTAAACTCCGCAAAATATCACGCCAATTAGCCAGAAACTTAGTATAAGTGAAGAACTGAGTCATACTGGATCCCATGAAAATGGATTGATTGATTGAAAGGTAGATGGTTTGTCACTTCGATCTTACATGGTCAGCAGTTGAAACTAATAGGTATTCAAAGTCATACTAACAGAAACATCATCACCTTCATCTAGGATTAGAGGCGGGCCAGGGAATTGATCATTGACGAAGATAAATTCTCGCTCTACTCCATTCGGCGACCCCTTCTGCCAGGTAAGCTCTAATGAAAAGTGTACTTGAGCTGCTTGAATCAATGCGGCTAGATTTACCACCGTTGGAACGAGCCATTTTGCACGCGCCATCGTTGTGAATATTTCCGGAAAAGGGGGACTTGACAAAGGATAATCATATATTTGACGGGGAAGACGCGATTCTCGTCCTTTTATTTTATCAATAATTATTGCTCGCATACCTGCCAAGCTAGGAACCTGTTGCTCACATTCTTTTTGGGCCGAACGACTCGACCTTCAAACAACAGATCAGAGGTGAATAAAGGGGGTCTTAAATTTTAGGGACACAGTCCCCGAGTTTCTCTTTCTGAAATCAAGAGCATTGAAGGGGTTTAGTTTGCAAAGGGATGGTACAAGATAAACATTAATTTGGAAGTTGAGAAGAAGGCGGCGAGCTCAAACCCCTTCAGGTCTATTTTATAGTGTATGATATAAAGAGGTAATAGACCCACCTCTATTTAATTGTTAGACTAAATTCGAACAATGTACATCTGCTTGCTCTTAAATTCAAATCGCTCTTTCTCTGGAGCTTGCTGTAAATGCGACCACAGGGTGCGGAGAACAGAACAAAGGCAAATGCCGTTAAGTTTGCAAGAAAGCGATACCGAGTAATTGTCCAACCATTTGTAGGCTCCTTACTTTCGGGTTCATGAAGTGCGCGGAAAAGAATAGTCGAAGAAAGTGAGGTGGACCAGATCACGGCTCCGGGATAGAAAATCGATCGGCGAGCAAGTCCAGTCAGACCAAAGCTGAGGAGCTATTGGCTAATTTCATCGAGTTGGTATCTAACTAGGGATGAAGTTGGAGGTGGAGAGTGATGGGGAGAAGGGGAAAGTTAGGGTAGGAAATCCCGGGAATATGCGGCGCAATTCGGTATCACTCACCCTATAATCTGGGTTGTGAGAAGATACAGGAAGGAGAAACCCGCTCCATAGTTTCGATTTCAGTATACAGGACTCTCGATCGCCACCATTGAGCCCAGCGCGTAGGCGATGGAAGCGCTGATATTGACACACTGATGAGGGAAGGTCAGTCCTGGCTCTTAACATTACTTGGCCGAGATTCACAAATCAAGGGTACCTACAATCACAATAAACGCTTGCTCCGTCACAGTGAATTTCCCAGGATTGAGAATCTCCATAGAGGCACAGTCCATATGGGCAACTTCTCCCATGCCCGACCAATAGGGAACACCAGGATTTGGGCCACAACATAGCCGATTGCGAGTGAAGGCTGAGGAATTGTTAGAAATGTGACTTCCAAGTTTCTTCAACGCAGGACGCAGGACTCACATATCGCAAACCGAAGAACTGATTGACCCCAGAAAAAATTATGACAAAGATTGTCATCAAAATCCAGGCCCGAACAGCTGCGGCAATAAATATAAGTAACAGCTCAGTCATCATTAAGAAACATAGTACTTACTGTTGCATTTGATGGTCGAGTCATCTTTGTTCGAAACACATGCGGCGACTTCGGGGACTGGATAATATTGTTAGATGACACTCCGAACAAACTGACGAGCGTGAACATACAAGGTGATTGGTCTCCCTCAACATTCCAACTGAATGCCTCCACTTGCGTAAGCTCAGCAGACTCTGCTCTGTCCGATTTATATACCCAATCTTTCTCGTCTGGGCTGCTACTCTCCGCTTCCAAGTCTACTTGTGGCGTTTCAGATATATCGGCTTTCTTGGTAACAACATCATTCGATGCCATCTTCCAGTTTGCTTCAAACTTCGTTCGTGGCGTATAATGAGGAAAGAACTTGAGATTCCCCCCCCCCCCCCAAAGCTACCTTCGCGGTCGATGTCATGTTTAAAGAGAGACAAACCATCGATGATACAATAGTACCACCTGATCACGGTAAACCCCACCTTTGTGAGCTGATGTCCAAATTGATACTAGTCAACGTGAGTACCCCAACGATAGAGTAGAAAAATAACCCTAGCCTACGGCAGTCTGAAGGCAAATTTAGAGGTGACGCGCGGAGCCAGAGACTACTTGGAAGTACTATCTCCAGTCTAATGTATGTGCAGACTAACGCATGGGGGCGTGCCTCAATGCTCACCTGGGCATATTCGAATATTACATATTCTCTAGTGGAAGACCGCCTGTACTTGAACGTCTTTGATGAATATGTTTGCATTAAAATCCCCAACAGCAATTTGGATTTGGCTTCTCTGATCATTTTCTTTTTGAAGCCTTCCTTGCATGAATAGAAAGTTTAATGGAATAAAACCAATTAAACTCTTATCGCACGCCAATTGTACTCTAATCCGGCAAATAACTTAGTGTCTTGGTTTCTTGATCTAGGCGCAAATTGGCCGATTTAGCATCGAAGAACCCGTCTCAGTTTTTCCTAGTAGGTGGGGCGCCGTGGGTTCCACTGCAGCAGGTTTATTAATCTTCTTCGCCGTATTCATTCCTTTCGAAATATATTTGAGGCTGGGTTATTTTAATGGGAGCGTTGCAAGTTGAAGAACAGTACTTCCACTGGAAAAATATGCAATCACTGATCCTGAATTTGAGATTAAGGGGAATGCCGCCACCTTGGAATTAGAGATTGTAGGTATAGAAGGTCAGTGCGCGATAAGTTATGGATTAAAGAACCACGGATGGGCAAAGCTCCGATTTGCCCATCGCCTCACAAGAAAATGCCTCGGTTGAGCGTCCGGCGAGGTGTGGAGTATCACTTCAATTTCGCTGTGGAGTCTCTCGCCATGGATTTCAGTCTATTTTCAGTGACAGGCTTTGATCATTTGACACGACTTTCTAACGGATATTCACTGCGGTTGGGCAGGGCTGATGCCCTACTCGTAGCTAGCCGTATCGCCGGAGCATTTGATACATCTTAAATCAGTCGCGAAAAAGGTGGTTCTGGTTAAGAGACATCGCTATACCTTTCTTAATGCAATACAGGAAACTGGACGGTTCGTTAGAGCTTGTGAACCAATGCTCTTATAAATATGACAGCACGTATGGTAGTATAAGTTGAAAGATCGAAGTTAAAGAAGTCAAAAGCAGTTAAATTGATATATTTTCGTAATGCCAAGCCAAGATGATGTGTTCTCCGAAAATCTCCATAAAAGTCTGTAAACTTTACGTCAAGTGAATTAAACACCCGTGTCCTCCTGTTCAATATCGTATGTGGAATCATAGGCTTTCCAAGAATCACAGTTTTGTTTGAGAGAATGATAATCGAACAGACTTTTGATTTCATCATACCGCTCAACAAATTGCAAGGCAAATCCTTCATCGGTATGCTAACCAATATGACAGTGCATAAGCCATGCAGCGGGATTATCTGTTTGAAAGGCAATGAAGAGATAGCCATCACTTACGAGCATCGTTGTATCTCTTCGTGGGGGGTTGTTTTGGGATATAGTGCCGTCCCAAGGATTTGAACCTCGAGCAAGAATGAAGAAATCATGGCCGTGCAAATGAATCGGATGGGCTATTGGCATAGTTGTATTGATAATCAGGTAAACCCATTCATCGACATTGGGAAGTTCAATGACAGCGCTGGAGGCGGAAAAATTGGTTTCATGATGATAAATTTGAAGCAACGTAGGATTATCCCACTCGACCTGCATAGTTGTGCTATTCAAGTTCCAGCGGAACAGATTTTCGAGATTTTTCCCTACGGTCACATCTTCCAAATATTTCCATTCCGCGGAGGCAACGGATTTTGACACAATTGGGACCAAATTTCTGACATCTTCATCGAAACACACGAGTCAATACCATAGTCATATGGGCTAGTCTTAGGTGTGCCTACTTTTGACTGATAATGAAGAATACCTTTAATACTATCAACACTTTCATTATCGGTCCCAGTTTCACTGCATTCTGAATTTCTGTAACATGCCCGGTATATTTCAAGTGAATGAGAATACTTTCGTTTCGTTTAACAAGTCGTTTGCTAGCCTATATAGTTTTCCCCAAAGCTTAACCTACCACATACGACCACAGGGTGTGGAGAACAGGGCTTCCCGTCCGCTCAGCCGTACTTAAGCCACACGCCGGTCAGTTAGTAGTATGGTGGGTGACCACATGCGAATCCTGACTGTTGTATGTTTTTGTTGTTTATCCATCCAGTATTCACTCCGTGTGTTGTATAGCAAATGAAGTTTTTTAAGGTTCGTTAACTCTGTAATATCTTTTTAGTCTAAATGGGCGAGTTTTCGTCAAATAAACTCTTCTCTTCTTTCCTGCCTAAATAAGATTCCCCATTAGATATCCATTTGATAAGGAAGACTGAAACAAACGTGACCTATTTGAAAGAAAAAAAGATTTTTTTTATAGATTGTTCAAAGATAAGGACCGCTTGGTATATGGAGACAAGAGCGACATAGGATCGGTATTGCATTCACTTCAAAATTATATGACAGACTCTCAATTTATTGCATATACCGGTGGGCGACCCTGATTTCTACCAGAGATATTTCTACCGTCGTTGACCATCCATGCTTTCCTGTTGAGAAGCCTTCTTGTTCATTTGTCGAAGCCAAAGGCCAAGGCCAAGAGAAAGAATAATGCCCCCCATACGATACTGAGGCTCATCAGAGCTGGGGAAGAAGTATGACCAGTAAATATTAGAAGAGTTACCAAACAAATTGACCATGGCATACATAATGGCTGGCTTAGTTCTGGTCCGCGGTACAGTGCTGGCGATCCACGCCTGAACCACATTAAATGCGGAATATGATCCAGCACACATCAAAAACATGCCAACATATCTAGGCGCGGTGGAACGTGTGGTGATCAACATGACATTTCCCACGATATCGACAATCAGAGGCCATACAATCAGGATTGCCCTCTTATCCGTGTGCTGCGGCAGAAGGGAATTTCCGAAGGAAGTAAAGAAACCAAATACATACACAGGAGCAGTAATAAGGAGCGTTACAGTACTACTGAATCCGAGTGTCTTGACAATAGACTAATACGAGCAAATTGTTAGTTTTTTCTAAAATATTGTCGATGAATGATAAGGGTACCTACTGGGAAAAAGTACGTCCATGTTTGAGAAGTTAGCTGACAGATTTGAAAACCAATGAGCATCCAAGCTTTAGGATTCGTAAATACATCAATAAGAGCCTGTTTTATCGATCCATTCGCATCAATTGCATCATTGGCTGCCTGTGCTAGTCGCCATTCTGAAAATCTTTGCTCTTGTTCCGAGAGCCATTTGCGCTGACCAGATCGAAGAAAAAGTCAGGAAGTAGAAACACTGAAAGATCACCTGCAACAACAGTTCTTAGGCCCTCAATAATGAACAGGCACCTTTCGTATTTCATTAGCTTCAAAGCTTTTGGACAATGGAAGGAGAATTGCGAACCTCCAACCGGCAAGACCTCCGGCGCCATTTAGACCATTCAAGATACCAGCTGCGAGTAGTCCACCAAATCCATTTGCAATTGTGTTGCCACAATAGAGAATTGCAACGCGAGGTGCAATTTCTTGTGGCTTATACCAAGAGCTGACCAACAGAATATAGCTGTCATCAGTAATTTATTATAGTAAAGGTAGAAAAGGTTGGCCGTACAGTGCACCTGGGAAAAAGGGAGACTGCAACCCCAACAGTACTCGGGCAACCATTATGCCAGTGAAATTCTTGGTAGCCGCAGCGCATATAGAAATACCGCCCCAGATAGAAATGGCAACTGGTATATATCGGGAAGGCTTGACACGCGTAAAAATACATTGCTCGGTATTTGGCCAAGCAAATAACCAACAAACTGTCGAGCTCGATTAGTTCATATTCTTTTCCAAGTTTTCAGAGTATATACTTACCATAATAGCAACAGCAGTCTGGTACTGAGTATCTTCAAGACCTAGGTCTTCCTGCATACCGCCCAGTCGTGCATTTGCAATGTTAGAACGGTCTAGAATACTGAAAATAAAAAGCAGACATGGTGATGAGACTAGATGCAAATCAATTTTGCGAACAACTAGCATAAGTCTGAGTCAATACAAAATCAAGAAAGAAGGTATACTTGGAACTCATTGATACCCACGTCTTTTTTCAAAGCTTCTAGTTTCATCTGAAGTAAGACCTTCGAAAGTGGCCTCTTCTGGAGAAAGTTTTAGGATATCTCCAGATGGCTGGTATTGTCTTTGAGATTTTCCACCTCCATGATTAAATTTCTGGCGACTTATGAAGTCAATTAAACACTAACATTTTGACAAGCTGGCTCGACCGGCTTATTTACTTCCCTTCTTCAGACTTGATGCAGGCCACAAAATGAGGGGTTACCCCAGCCCGGGGTTTCCCCAGGTTTCCCCGACATCCTTATCCGCCCGAGCGGAAATCTATGAGCGGAAATCTATGAGCGGAAACCTGGAGCCACAGAGAAGCTTATCCGCCTCGCAGCGGAAATTTGTGTCTACGGATCACTTTCCTATTGCATACAGACAAGCTAGAGTCAAAGGGCGAAAAGAAGAGAGAGAGACATGCCGATCATTTCAAGTTGTTTGAAGATAGCGTCCAGCGGCGGAAACCCCCCATTTCACCTATCTCAGACCGGCAGACAACTACAACACCTAGCAGGGACATCCTATAATTTGAAGTTCGAATCTTGGAAGATTAAGTAGGTAACTTTGCGAGATTGAGCATTGATACTACTATTCTAATATTTAAATATTTAAATTGCATATAGGAAATAGTTTTCTAATTATCTTCTGACTTGTATCTCTACTTCTTGTTCTACGGTGTATTTATTCAGAGTTTAAAGTACAGATATTGCGTAATAGACGTTAAAGGTTGATATACGTATCTACCAAGCGCTAAATTTCACATTCTGGGTCCCCTCCCCAGCGAGTATCAACAGGCTTTGTCTATATCGCCCGCAGAAACAAGTTGCATAAGCTCATCATCTTGTGCGATAAGCAGCATATCTGAACCCCCTTGCTTGAATTTCCGGCCAGGAAAAGTAACAATCCGCGTCAGGAGTAGCCGGGGCAGCACCAACAGCGAGGCGACTAGAGCCTCGTGTGGGATCATTTCCCAGATATCTCTATCTGAAATACTTTCTAAGTTATACTTCGCGTCCAGCAAGTATTCTGGAGTAGCTGTAAAAGCTTATCTCAATAAGCAGAGAATTCCATAGCTGGGCAGTAGCTGTGTGGGACCCTTTGGACGGCTGGTTATCGCTGTTCGGGGCGGACATAGATATCCGGGTGGGCTCCACCCAATTTAGAGACACAATATGAACACAACCACGCTAGTCGGTAGGACTGATTGCGCGTACCTTGGGGTTTCAATCGTTAAAGGCCCCTGATCTGTTTAGATCCACTGGAATCTGCAGGGAGATACGCTAGGCATATTGCGAATCCAATCATTCAACCCGGTTTTGTAAAACAGTTCCGTGCCGAGCCATCAAGACTCGTCCGGGTAAGCACTTTGCTCAAAATCCCGAAAACAGATGTAAGCACTAGAATTGGGATAAAGGGCCAGCTTATAACTTGCAGGTCTGTCTTTACTGCTTTAGGGAGCGCGTAGGAATGTGGCTTCATGGCGAAAAGCGAATGAGAGGTTCATCACATTAGGTGTGCGACGGAAATAACCATCAGGATCTTTCTTGGTCCCCACTATTGATTATGTGCTATGAAGTGGGTTAAAGCGTCATCCTTAGAAGTAGATAGGTCCACGTAGAGTCAGCCGAGTTCTATTTGTCACTCGCGGCAGTAGTAGGCGAGTTAAGAAATGTATATAAAGTCAGGTTGAGACTGCCGTATCCTAATATATTTCACTTCCAAGATTCATTCCAATCATCAAAACTTGCAATAATCAAAGACAATGTTTCTTGAATCGACGCTTATTGGCGCCATTGCCTTCTCTGGCTTTTTTGCATCTGGTATTTTCTAGCCGTTAGTTGAATTTTGCTCTGATTCTAACAGAGAACAGCTCATCAGGGGCCACATGCACAGTTCAGTGCATCAGAGCTGGCAGCGCGGTCTGAAAAGGTACAACAATGCTCCAACACTGTCGGGGAAGGTAAAAAAAAAAGACATGCCCTCCGCCGCAGAGAAATGGCCAAACGGGATTCCAATGGTGAAACCACTTATGAGATCCACGCCCAAGCTCCCAAGTATGATCTCTTGAAGAACGGCACCACCCTTCTGACCCCAGAAGTGAGCGAGGGACCCTATTGGTACCCAAGAAGCCAGGCACTTCACCAAGACATTGCAGAAGAACAAGAAGGTGTCCCCCTTGTCCTAGATATTGCTCTTATGGACATCGATACCTGTGAGCCTCTGACCGGTGTTCTGGTGGATATTTGGGTATGCATGATCGCAGTCATTGATTCGAATCGTTCAGAATATTTGAACTGACTACTTTGTAACAGCACTGCAACGCCACTGGATCATTCAGTTCGTTTACCGGCTTGGATCCCAACGAGTCATTCGGAACGGTGTATAAAGAAAAAACTGGAAAGACATTTTCCACGTCCGGTGGACTTCCCGAGTCCAAGCTAGAGGTTAACATTTTACCGAGGTTTATTTGATGTTTGAATTGATGCTCATTCTTTTCAGGGCCTTTCAACCGACAGTGAGACGTGGCTCCGGGGCATGTGGCCCACGGACAAGCATGGCGCGACCTCCTTTCAGACTGTATTCCCTGGATTCTATGTATGTTGATCATGATCTATCCATTTTACGAATATTCATTATCGATTGGCTGGTAATAGATCGAACGTGCAATTCACATCCATGTTCAAGTTCATACAAACTGGAGCGTCATTCTGAATGGTACTATCTCTCACGGCCGATCGTGAGCACGGGACAGATATTCTTCGCTGAGGACTTGGAAGAGGAGATCATGGCTCTGGAGCCATATGCCAGCCATACTCAGATCTCCCGCCTGAAGAATATCAATGATGGAATTTACACCAATGAGTCATATAGTAAGTCATCGGCACAACCTTTATTCCCAAGACTGAGGGCATCATTTCTTAACAAATATTATCGCAGCCGGTGCAATGACCATCATGGATACCGAACCGCTCGGCGGAAGGTCCTACAAAAACGGAGTCCTTGGATATATTGCTTTGGTATGCTGATCTTCAATTAATTTATAAGACTTGATTCTAACCACTCGATCAGGGAATTGATACTACCTCAATTAAGGATGGTACAACCGAAAGCCCAAGTAAGCATTTCAACTATTCAACGCCTTTGACAAGTGACTGATTTTGCATAGATCCTCCGGTAGTTTCAGACCCTCCTACTATCAATTGAGATAAAGGTATCAATCATCAAATACTCGCATGTCCTTTGACACAATTGACCTAGAAGCTATAAACGTTGAGCGTATTGTGCTATAGTACGACGCATTTGTTAACTGCTTTGGATGTACGAATATTAACGAGAGTCTGGACTTCCTTCTTCATGCCTCGTGATACAAGCATGAGCTCCGATTCACCATGCGACATGTTATTTTTTGCACTTAGCCCTTGCAAATAGAAACCCTCGGTTTCTGAAGAAGTCTTATTACTGTTATCCCTTTATTTGAACGATGAAACACTTTATTTTGGGGTTTGGCTCTCAGAGCTCAAAAGAAATAACTTCTCTTCTATTTATTCGCAAAAGAACCTTTTATAGTAAGATGATCTACTTTTTGCATCCATTTCAAGTGACAATCAGAATGATTTTTCAAAAAAGTCTTATACTGTATTCACGTAGGTGTTTGTTTATATAATCTTGGAAGACTCTACAAGCATCCAAATACACAAAGGATAAAGACATATAGTAGATCCAAAGGAATCTATCTACTTTTCTATCTTAGCATGAGACTTTAGTCATCTAGTCCAGGGCAGTTCTCGCTGGTCTTGGACGTAATATCGTCATAAGGTGAAGGATCAGTCCAGATAATTTTGAAGCTGTATTGAAGTCAGCATGTCTCGCTTCAAAAGTTCCGACTACTTGGATGAGACAGTCGATCCGCAGATCGAAAGTAGCATATGTGGGAAAGACGACTAATACATACCTATCGTCGGGATAATCAGGAGCATCATCGTCGCCTAGTTTATCAACAATGTCGGTCAGGGCATCGTGTTCCCAGCAGATCAGGATATTTCCAGACCCGGTATATCCATCGACAACATCCTTGACGCAGCTAGGGTCATCCCGGTCGCAAGAAGTATCGACAGTCAGGCCCAGGTCCCCTGCTAGAGGCTCCACGGTATCATAGGGGCGCTGACGGCTGCCATCTGTTCTCTTTGTTAGATACATAAAGTTTTTGAGATGACAATAATTGGTAACGGGATTACTTGAGCAAATATAATTTGGCTTTCAAAGAATTCGACCCGTGCAAATAACATAAACTCCCAAAAAGGTTGATGTGCTAACATTCAAAATATTTACTTACCACTTTGAGGGGTTTGCGCCATAATATGGCCAATGTTGTAGCTGGAACTCGAGCTAAAAACATTTCGCAGACATTGTGCACGCTCAAGGCCCTGGGAGCTTAGCCCATCACCATCATCTGGCTTCTCGCCATGTCGGATAAGATAAACGGTTGGATCAGCAACTACGAGTGCGGCGGCAGCCAATATGTAAAGCGAAGCAGCCTTAACCATAATGAAAGTTTTTACAGTATTCAATCAATTGAAACCGCAAAATCTGATGTTAGATCTTAATCTTCAAAGACGATAGAAGGAAAAATCGATTGATTCAAGTTCATGGGACTCATTTGACTGCATTTATACTTGAATCTCACGAATTGAGTTTATACCGTAGATATATTCAATGTTACCTTTCGTGGTGCTCGAGCGGCTTCTGCGGTTACGTATAGCCATTCGTTTTTCTGATCTCCATGTCATGGGTGTCCAGGAGAGTTTGATTCGCTCGACGATCAGCGATCTAATCTGATATAGGTAAATGAAGATGCGCCCGCCCCCGCGCCCCGATATCGGAGACTTGGCTTGGTTTGGTTTAGCGCTCTGGGATGCAGAGAAAATAGTTATATCATTGAATTGGATAAGAGAAACCCCAGTGGGGTAATTCACCAGGAATTGATGATTGGAATGTGGATGAACGCGTGAACGCGTCAACGCGTCATGCCCTTATCGGGCCGGAAATCGGTTTTATCGAGACTCGATGCGGCCATGTTCATGAGAGATCACTGCTCTTATGAAGGGCAAAAAAACTAGAGAAATCGTTTAGATTTGACCATTTTTACATACATTAATGCGATATCATACTTGAATTGCCTAGCTTTGTGTGCGTATCGCGAAATTAGACTCTTATTGATGACTTGGGAGCTATTGGGGGGCATTGGCAAGATCATACCACGGAAAATTTTTGGTTTCTACCCAACGAAATGAATTTCATTCGTTTCCCTATCTTTGAAGACTTGAAGGATATGCATGTAGGTTCCTATAAACTTAAAGTAGGAGTATCATACTTCGTAGTACATCCATAAATCTTCCAAGGTTAGTACTGGTAATACCAAGTTCCAAGTCCACTGGTATTTGAAGTTCATGGGACCCGCAATGTATATTTCCAGCTTCATTCAAGTTGATAGCACATCATGATGTAGTTAGTACTAGTAGTAACTTAGGCAGTACCCAAGCTGTCGCACTATCCTAGCATCTATACTCCCCAATAGGAGCTCATGTATTCATTATTTACTCCTTTTTTCCAGCGCTTTTTGGTGGCAAAATATTATGAATGGCTTGCCGCTTTGCTCCAAAATACAATAAGTCACAGAAATGTGCAGTATTTGAGGATATTATGAAAGGGTTCAACTACTGGAAGGCGGTGTTTGGCTGTCATCCGTACTTCACGGCTCATGATAGGTATCAGCCAACCAGAAGGTTGGAGTGGGATGTTCCGTCAATCTGGGTTTGCAACTACGAAGACGACCCTAGGTAGTGGAGCGATTCTTGCAGGCGATACATTGAAGCCAATACTATTACAACACTGAATGACGGTGTGCGCTACCGCCCGTACGCCTCCGGCGATTGGCTACCTCCCCTCCCGTATTCTCAAATTGCGCCCAAAGAGGCGAATGTCCATGTCCGATGCCTGGACTTTTTGAGAACAAAGTTAACCTAGGGAGCCTCCCGCCCCCTTCTCAAAAAGTGCTTACTAAACGATGCCTTTTCACTCGCTAGCCGTGTGAACACCAAGTCAGATGAAATATATATTTCAAATTATACAACCTCCGTCTATGCCACTGGGAAGAGCTTCGCCCCCCAATCATATCCTGAATATAATGATTCTCCTTTAGGAATAGATTTTAGTTGAAAGTTGACAAGATATTTGTGAAAGATAGCCATGAATATCAGCGGTGATGAGAAACACTAGTGTGAAAAAATCAGCCACTTCGGTTACAGAAGAAAGAGAATTCCCTGATGTAATAATTGATGAATTAAATATGATGTTATAGGCTTCTGCTCTATGTATAGAAAATGGGTTTCCCCGTTGGCCTGTGACGGCGGAGAATGTGGATAGCCACCCCGTGAAAACCACTTGGACAGAGCTCTGGAGATTCGAATGGAAAGAAATTTTACCATAAGCGCAGGGGAGACTACTTGAATAATATGGAAGTAAATTTTAAGTTTAAAGTAACGAAAGCATGGTCACACAAGTGTAAATTGGAAATATAGGTCATTCAATTTGATTTTCAAGTATTATCCTTGATTATCATTAATAGCGAGCCAAGTGATATGCACGAGTATATCAGATTATAGACAATCCACCCAATCGAGTTGCCAAACTCTTGTCAAGAGTCCAAAATGAAGTCAACGAGAGTGCAGAAGAGAAATGATACACTCAGACGCTGACAGCCCGAATAACCGAGAGTCATGATAATAAAAGCATCCCAAGCGTATCAGCAATAAAAACGAGACAGAAATACAAAACGCCTGGCAACCAACTCTGTATGTTGACGTCGATATGTACCGTAAAGTAAAATAAATCAGTGCGCCATATCAAAACAGCAAGCTCGCCAGTAGCTAGCTAGCAAGCAAGCAAGGCAAAAAGGGCTCAATTTGTGCAGTGCCATAATGCAAAAGAAGGGGAGCAAAACCCAAACAAGAAGAGACATTTCGGGAACAAGATCATGTACAAGCTTAATCCGAGTCTTCAGAGGCCATGGCGCTGGAGTAGAGTCGGCTGAAGTGAGACTTGGGCTCTGTCAGCAACGCGTACGGCTCGCCGTTTTCTACGATACGGCCGGCGTCCAGCACCACAACACGGTCATAGTCTAGAATGGTGTCGAGCTTGTGGGCAACAGAGATGATCGTGTGATTGCAGAATTTCTCACGGATGACGCGTTGCATGATTTCGTCTGTCTTGGTATCGATGCTGTTGTTTGAGATTAGCAAACATCATGTACTGCAAGGGGCAGAAATAGAAAAGTGGGCGGTGCTGGGGCGCTCAGATCAAGCCGCATATGCAGGGGATGAGTGACAGGCAGGAACAAAAGAAATTAAATCGGAAGAAGCACGAGTCAGAAATACAAGAAAAAAGGAGAAGTAGATGTGGGGACGTTTGCAATGCGAGGGAACACGTCAGGGGGTGAGACAATAAATGGATATTCACTCACTTGCTGGTTGCCTCGTCGAGAATGAGGATGTTTCCCGGACGAAGAATTGCCCGAGCAAGGCAGAACAACTGCCTCTGGCCGTGCGAGAGGTGGATCTCATCGATGTCGGTGTCTAGGTCTCCCTTCTCCTGAATGGCGGGAAGGAGATGCACGGTCTTCAGCGCAGCCAAGATGTCTTGATCGTTGCAGACACCTGTCGGGTCCGCATTGAGTCGGACACTTCCCTTGAATAGTAGAGAGTCTTGCGAGACTCCATTGATACGGGATCGAATGTCGCGCCTCGGTAGTCGAGAGATGTCCTCGCCATCGACCGTAATCATACCATTCGTCAGCTCGATCATGCGGAAAATGCTCATAATCATCGAGGTTTTGCCACTGTATTCCATGTCAGAGTTGGTTCAAAGTAGAATTTTCAAATCAACCGATTCATTTTGTCAGATTATTGACGAACCTTCCTGTTCGGCCGCAAATGCCGACCTTTTCACCTGCGTTAACAGTTAAAGACACATCGTTGAGAACCGGCTCCGAGGGTCTGGTGCCCAATGTTAGCATACAATAGGTCAAATTTGTTTGAAGTCAAGTAGGAAGAGTCTTACCTGTAGGCCGCAGAAACTGAGTGGAAGCTTACTGCGCCTTTCGAAGGCCAGTTTGGAGGGATCTCGCCATCTTCTCCTGGCTTGTCCTCCGACTCGACAGTTTGAGTAAAGTCTTTGATGCGCTGAATCGACCCAATATGGGTCTCCAGGTTGGTCCAGAAAGTGACTACTAGTTTGATGGTTTGGCTAAACTGGATAACGTTGAGGAGAGCAACACCCACTGAGCCTGCATTCAGAGAAGTTCCACGGAGAACGACCACGAGGACAATCAATAGAATGGCAATCCCAGCAACGACCAAGTCAAGGGAAAGAGTCAGCCACCTCTGGATAGCAAACATATAGTAAAATGGCCGCTGTGAAGTGTCCAAAAGCTGAATATTTTTCTTCTCCATACCATGTTGCCAGCCAAAAGCCCTCAAAGTGACAAGTCCTTGGAGAGAATCCGTAAAATGGGTAAACAGAGGAGCCTTAGCTTCAAGATCCATGTAACGAAGCTGACGCGAAGTTCTTAGGTAGAGTTTTTGGATGAGGAAGAGAACTCCAAGAACAAGTGGGAAAGAAATGGCGGCATACTTCGACCCGACACCGATCAGAGCCATCTGCGCCATGCAGAGAAATACAGTGGCAATAGTGTTGATAGCCGCAATAGGCAGCTCCATGTCAATGAGTTGGAGGTCCTGACTGAATCTGTTGAGAATGGAGCCACTGTCTGTTGTGGAGAAGAACAGCATCGGTGCACTGAGGACGGTAGTCAAGAGTCGACGGTGGAAGAATTCTCCAGACTTGGGTACCATAGTAATGATCATTTGCCAACAACCCACAATCAGGGAGATCATAGCAACACAGCCCAACATCACATAAATTCCAAGGTAATAACCGACACGTTCCCTGGGGTGGATCGTGTCAGACTCAGCCCACCACTGCACCCAAATCGTGGGGAACGAAATGCAGAACACAAAGCCCGCCATCGCAACCACGAAGACCAGAGCAGGAAACCATCCAATTGCATTGATATAATAGGTATAGATTCCAAGATCACTTCCGGTGGCTCGGTTCAGTGGCTCTGGCTCCAGAAATTCTTTCTCCTTTTCAATGGAGTCAATAGTGCTGTAACTGGGAGACTCAGAGAAGCGTTTGGGCTTATAATCCCAATCGGCGGCAGTGAGCCCAAAGCTGGAAACGTAGCCACCGGTTTTGTTCAGAGCACTGAAGCTTCCCTGTTCCATTATACGGCCTTCGGTGTCGAGAACGACAATGTGATCAGTGTAAGGAAGACGTTTCACTGTGTAATAGTAAGCGAGTGAACAGCATATGTAGAATCAAAAGTTCTTACCGGAAGATGAAGCGACAATAATAGAGGTTCCAGTCTCTCTCAAGAGTCCCATATGACCGAAAAGGCTGTGAAATATGCGATTTTCCGTAGTAGCATCAAGCCCACTCAGCGCATCGTCCAAAATTATAATCTTTCGTCTAGCATAGACAGCTCGAGCAAGGGCAATGCGTTGACTCTGCCCGCCGCTGAGGGCTACTCCCTTGCTCCCAATGACACTCCGATCGCCACGTGGAAATTGTCCGAGGTCTTCTTCAAGAGCACATGCCTGGATAACGGTAGCATACCACCTGGGATCATAGTCTGACATAGCAACGATGCTGTCTTTGATGGTGCCATTCATGTGCCACGGCGTCTGGTCACAGAAGGCTACACTCCCTGAAGACAGTTCAATCTTACCATCTGTGCAGGGCATCTCACCAAGAAGAGCCTTGAGAAGAGAAGACTTGCCACAGCCAGATGGTCCAATGATCATCGAAAAACTTCCACGAGGAATGCTGAAATTAATGTCTTTCAATACGGGTCCTTTTTCTGCATCCCAGTTAAATGTTCCATTTTGGATCATTCCAGAGTTCATCGTCGATGAGGTTGAGCCCCGCTTGAAGGATTCAACGGAAGCGGAGTTACTTGAGGACAAATCCATATCACCAGACTTAGAGAGGAACTTGCTTTCGCCCAGATCTTCTAATGAAGGAAGAAAAGGTGATTGTCGTCGATGGTCGTTATGATCCTCCTTTTCGAGAAACTCTTGAATACGAGCAAATGATCCCACGGATCCGGCAAAAGACATGAGCGCCATGACCAGTGTCAATAATGGATCGGAAAGGAGCGAGAACAGTGCCAGAGAAGTATAAACTCGTGTGACAGTTAGAGAGTTACTGGAGATACCTTCGTAAACCCCAAAGGTGAAAATCGGCGCAAAGATCCGGGTCAACCAGGCTGTTACGGTCAGTATTGAGGTCAATTCTGATGGAAGGAGAATAAATACCGAAACCCATGTTCCACACTAGTAAAGTACGGAATTTCTTAGAGATGTTTAGTTCATCAAGACGCAAGCCATGAACAAACTTCATGAAAGAGTTTTGGAGACCCAGCATCTTGACACCTTTGATCGATCCCAGCATACCAGAGGTAGACGAGATTCTTCGCTCAATGGCCTCAAGCCATTTTGCCTGACGTGCTACAACAAATGACATTCCAACGAGAGACCCGATCAATGCCACTGGTGAAATGTTAGTACAGATGGAAGTATGGTAGCTTCGAAGCCCAGAGATATCTAGATGGAACCTACCAAGAGCCACGCAGACAGGAACAACGCATGAGATTCCCAATTGGCGTTCTAGGAGATAAATTGCTAGCGCAATCTCAACCGAGTTTGCCCATATCTCATGCATAGTTTGCCAACCTTGAGTAATTCTCTCAACGTCCGCACTCATCAATGTGAGCGAATTAGCAGGATCAGCATCGCTCAGAGTGAGGGCGCTGGCCTTTTTATAAAGCATGGTAACCAGGATACCACGAGCCATGCTGATACCTCTGTAAGTCATATGTTGGTATTGCCCCATCGAAACCTAGATAGTTGTCAATTGATGTCCAGTTCATGAGAACCGAACTACTCACAGCCAGACCAAGATAAACGAGAGCATAAGCACCAATCAACCCGTAGCCAATATTGTTGGTCGCTTGATTCACCGGCTCATTAAAATAAGAAAGAGATCGTGTTAAAAGGAGCGGCTGCGAAAAGTTGAATGCCACTACACACGCCCGAGCGGGAATCGCCGTAAGAAGGGGCCATTTAGCCGCCTTCAAACACTCCAAGTGAAGTGTATTGGGGGTCTTGCTCTTGACTATGGAGAGTTAGCTCATCGTTGAAAGTCTGTTTAGGAATTGACTGTCTTAAATTACCTTTGCTCCATCGTTCTTCGAAAATGGCCAGCAGTCTTTCAGAGCTCAGCTCCTTGTCCAGAGGAAAGAGATCCTCAATAGAAAGTATACTGCTAAATCCGACGTTGAAAACAGGGTTCAGCCAGTAGAAGACGGATCGATTATAGAAACTAGCAGTCGCTTCTGGAGGATAACCTTGGAATTCAGACTTCAAGATATGTCTCTTTTCGACAGCTTCGAGAATAGCAAGCAGTAGCTTGGCCCCCACTGAAATTGTAGTGACAGTTGCAATGATGTCGTCGAAGGAATTCGCAGATCGCAGCCACAGGGTTCTAGCCCGAGAAACATCGAAAAGCAAGCTGCAGAGGAGGTATGCATTCAAAATGAAAGACGGTCGGACAGACCGTGCATGTTCCGCATACGAGAGTGCAGCGAGAAACAGGACACCGACGGTCAAGATGGCATTTGTCGGGAGAGAAGCTTTCGTGCCATCGGCGGAAGGCAGAGCCCAAAGAACTGTTTGGGTGATTTGAAGTCCGAAAAAAAACAGCCAAGCAGTCTGGTAGTGGGTGAAGGACGCAGGTTAGCCAGGTGAATTCATGATTTGATGTTCCACTGCTTCTGACTTTGGCTTCTCGGAGAAATAAATAAGAAGAGGAAGAAGCAAAACAAACTTACCAGTTTAAGCAGAAGCAACCATGAACCAACAACCTTGGGCCGTTTTTGCGAAAGTTGGTAGATTCGGAAAGGAACAATTATTAAGATTAATGCAATTGGAAGTATTTCGAGAATAGCTTCCTCGAAAAGTAGTGTAAAATCAAATCCACCTCGACATGAACCAGCCCAGACACGCATGGTGTTGTCCACAACGCGGCACGAAGTCGCTGAGGATGTCGAAGAAGCCATAGCTACTCTCCAATAACCATCCAATTGGCGTGAAATAAAGATGGTCGAAGAGAGTAGTTGCCGAAAGAGCTCCACGAGTGTCGTAGATGAAGGAGAGTTTAACAGAAGGTCATGACTTGAAGAGACGCAAGTTTGGGGTCTTGTGGTCTAGATCAGATACATCCAAAAAGGACTTTCAGGCTCTAAAGGCGCATTATCCCTCTGCAGGAGCTTACTACAGTGCATCCAGGAGAGGTACACCCTGAACTCCTATAGGAAATGCCTGTTTGGTTCCTGCAACTTAGTGGGCATTCAATGCAACCTTACACTGACCTTTTTTCGCCTTCCTTTCCTTTTCTTTTTTTTTTTTTTTTTTCTTTTTCTTTTTCTTATTTTTTTCTTTTTAAGAAAAAGTCCTTTACCGATGATGCCGTCTGATGGCATGGTTATTTCGGATTTTTTATTTTATTTGTGGTATTATTTTTTAGGGTCTACATTAGGCGGCACTGCTGGCTAGTTCTCAGGGTTTTCTCTTTTTACTTTACCAATTTATTTTTTATTTTCTCCCTTTCCCTCTCGCGTTTACCCCAGTGGATTTTCTGCACGCATTGTATTTCGGGGGGTTTTTCCGTTTTTCTCCTCTACCATAGCCCGCTGGGGCCAATTTATCCCCTGTCCATGGGCTGTTAATTGGTTCCTTTTCTCCTCTCCTTGGGGATGTGGGGGGACGCAGATGCAGCAGCATCAATAGAGCTCGACCCCCTGGAGTGAATCAAATAATAGTAGGGAAGAGTAAGCTTGCCTGGGTAATAGTTTAGCATGGGGGATAGGGGAAAAATTAGATTAAAAGTTCATACAAGTGATCTCATCCGGTGGATCGTCGGACCAACACGAGGTGAATCCCGAGCAACCTTGCAGCAATATTGTAGTGACGGGCCAATGAGCATTTTGCCTCTGGAGACGGTCAAAAGACCCTCCCCCTAGTTAGGTTAAGCCCATATCTGCCGAAGGTAATTAAACCAGCATTTATGCGAGGGTTATACCTTTCATCTGTATAATTTATGATCCTGAAGATCCCTTGGATGATCCCGATGACATGACCCTTTGAAACAATGCAGCTGGTAGGAAGCTTTTACATAACCTTCGTTGACTGCATAGAATCAGGACTTCAGGTCAGACAATATGATGCCCAACTCTACGGTTCTTGGTGTATGACTAGACTCTCGGTGTAGATGTGAGTTATGTGTCAGGTGTAGCTAGTTGATTGTGCTTTGGGATCTACCCACAGCTTTCGAGGAGTTGAGAATACGGAGAACACTAAACAATTGTTTCTTCCAGATTGCGTGGAAGCTGGAACTCGTGGCGTAATCAAATACCTTCAAATACATTGATTTTATTTTAGGTTCCTTTATTTTTAATATCTCATCTATATGATCCGAGCCCGTTGTGTTGTTTCCCAATTTCCACGATTACCGACGATATCTTCGTTTTAGTTTTTTTTCTTTTCTTTTCTATCTTCTTTTTTTTCTCGTTTTCGGGTGCTTTTCGTTACTACTCCACTAACAGTCCACAGGTAGATCAACCTGTCAACTACGGGATTTGCTTTTGTGAAAACTCACCAGTGGGGGCGAGGCCCGGATGTGCTATTTCCATATTTAGATATATTTGGCGAATGATTACTCTAAGTCTGCTTGCTCGACTGGCTATGGAATAAAACCAAGACTAAGCGCTTGCTGCTCCTGACGCAACATCCGATCAATTCTAATCACGACTGGGGATGGCAAGAAATGCGCATGGCGACGTGGAAGTTCCCCGAGGGCCCAGCCTTTGTGCTTTGGAATACGTACGTACAGCTACAAACCCAGAACCTCGTAAGCGAGGCGTATGCAAGATGTCCAAGGGGGTCCGGATTCTCCTTAAAAAGCGTGGTTGATGGGTGGCAATGTGGAATCAGTCATGGTACTTTTTTACCCCAGAACCCACAATGTCCCCTCCCCCAATTCCAAATCTGTTTTGTTCCATTCTTCCGCGAATTTCTCATCCATTGCACATGAAAAAAAAAACAAACAAACAAACAAACAATTGGACTTCATTTTGAATTTTTGAATCCAATGTCATATCGGGCGATCTCGATTGATCATGTCTAGTGGTTGATCACAGTGTATAATTCGATTTGTTCGCTATTATTCTGTGCCACTAGTGGAGGACTGGGTTTACGCGGGCCTTAACCGTCGCGGGAACTAGAGAGTTTAGTGTTCCCTCAGTGTTCCCCATAGAGCGTCCCCTTCTGCTTCCCGAATGGTTCGTCGGGCTTCGGACTCTCCACTTAGTACAATCGGCTCGTCTTACTAGTTTCAAGCACATACAGCTCATCCCCATTCCTTCGGACCGGTTTGTGGATTAAGCCATTGCGTTCCAGGCGTCGAGAGACCATCCAATTGGCACCACTTACTGGATGTGGCGAGTTCCAAGGCTTGCGAATGTCGGCCGAGGCGGGCGCCTCACTAGGGGGTGGGATGAGGTTAAAGCCGCGACAGCGGTCGGGGATTTGGTAACGAATGATTTACAAGGCAAGCTTGTTTGCTATTGACGATCACACCCTAACTAAACCAGGGAAAATCAAACAACAGTCAATGAAAGGATACAGGGAAATCAACTTCGCCACATGGACGGAGAATTGTTGGCGAGCTACATTCTTCAACAGAGACCATGCTTTTTGTGTGCCGCATTTCTGGAATAATGACATCGACATAGATTTTAGTATTCTGTTCTAGGTCCTAGGCAGTGTTTGAATAGCTGTGGGGGAAGCAAAGGGCTGCTCCTTCTTTATGCGCGGGGCTATTGAATTATAGATTATGAATTTTATCTATCCCCCCCCCTCTTTTTAATAAAAGAGTCATTTTTTTGCAAGGTGATGTATCTTCTAGGGATAGAATAATATGACAGCCCGAAGATGGTCGGGGCACTTGTTGTCCCGAGCGACCACTGGTTAAATGTGGACGGGCCCCGTCGGATAGACCCGCAATCAGCCATTTGACGACGCCCTTGCAGAACTTCCAAGGTTGACTTGGAAGTGTGAAAGGGGCGCTTTCGTTGGGCCATAGTGACCTGCGCCACAAACACCACAAGTCTCCTCTAAGTACCAAGTACATGCGTGGACATGGTCAGTCCCATACTTAATGCTGGTCTCGTGACATGAGCTAGACTTCCAGTCCCAACTATAACCAATAGCGTTAATTACCGTGATTTATTGTCTTAACCCGAGTCTTATTAGTCGGCAACCTTACCCGAACTATTAATCCGGTTTTAGTGGGAGTGAAAGAAGAGTTCTGGCCGTCAGATACAGAAAGGGATGTGTTCTAACAAGTATTTTGGTGCACTACTCGACTAACTCCCTCTTCCAAGCGATTGCGACTGCAACTCCCCCCACCCACAAGTCATTTACTAAAGTTGCAGATCACGGTGACACTCCGGAGAATCCAAATGGGACAATTATGCGAGGCGAATGGAGTGATCAGAACACCATGTCTCGATTATGATCACCGCTACGCCTCCACTTTGTCAATCAGGTGCGCGGTAAATCATAGATCTCCCCGACCCGTATTAGAGAAACCTTGCTGATGCTAAGAGCCTTATGCTTTGTGCAGAGCACAGACTACAACAGCCGCAATGGATCTGTCCAGCTCGGAGACAGGTGAGGCCCTGATCAAGGTGGAGACTTTCTGCCATGTGTGCGTGCAGCTTGGGCACATCCAGTCGGTGTAACAAAATGTAATCGTGTTGAGATCTTGTGAAGTGAATTATAGACTGATCAATGCATGGTTGATGCTGGACCCTACATATTCTTAATCCAGTATATTTTACATTAAGAAAGAGCTGGAGAATCATTCCCTAATCCGGGATTTGATGTACCTGTTCTTGAAAATGTTTTAAACCCTATGCATCTTCTAGAAACCATCGGCGTCATTGGTATCAGCATCAGCACATCGCCAGCTGACGACTAGCAACTATAGATGAGAGAATTAGAAAGGAATGTGAGGAAAATCCCGCGCCGTCTTAGATGACAATGGTGGCGCGGCCCCAATGGCAAGATCACGGCTGTTGACAGCCTGGCGTCCTGCCTTGCTGAACCCACGTTCGAGACTGCAGACAAGGGGTCATCCTGATCGGGAGATTGCGAGTGGATTTATAACCCAGTGAAAGAAAGGCTAGAGATGTGTCAAGGTGTAAATTCATAACGAAAAAAAGAATAAATCTACCGCGTCCAAGGCGTTCAACACACAAGGTGAAATATTACACTCGAAGGCCTTCCTAAACGGTCATAGTGAAGTTATACCCCTGCAGCGTGGTGTTTTGTGTCGAATTTTTCTTTCTCAAATTTTTTTCTGCTACCTAGTTTGGGCAGGGTTTTCCATTTCTATTTTAGTTTTGTTTTCGCAATAACTGTTCGGTTTTTCCCCGTTTGTATTCTACTGTAATTTTCATTTAAATTCAAATTCAAATATGATTAGGATTATTATTATTATGATTATTGTGTCTTAGTCTTTCTAGGCCTTATTCTTCCGTCGGAATCATGGAGCCCCGGGCCTATGAGTGCTCTAATCTTGCTGCTCGGCTGTATTTCGAGAGTACCTTATGCTGTCTGACTCGGTCCCACAGGGGCTAGGATACTGGCTCCACTACTTGACCCGCACTGGCTCCATCTACCGTGGCGTCTCCAACCCTTCCTCATCTAGATCTGAACTTGATGCAAGGAAGATACATGGAGGATCCAGAAATTGCGACTTTTCTCCCAAGCAGTACCATTGGGCCGAGCGCCGTATTACTGTATTTTCATACATACAACCTGTTGGCGAACTAGCGGGAGCATGGCCATGCTGCATGGAGTCCTGATGACCGATTACCGATGGCGTAACTATTTTAGCACTCAGATTAAGAGAGAAAAATTCAAAAATAAATAAAAATAAAGTCACATTTCTTTTAAAGCCACTGAGACATCCGATTTCGCGGGTCTCTGTGTCGAAGATAACCTCTCTTTTGGATCTAATTTATTCACATCCAACCTAATTCGAGGATTATTCTTCTAACACTCGCCCTCCTTCGTTAACAGCTTCGAAAAATCTTATTGAAAAAAGCTGCTTAACAGAAGAAACGAAAGCGGAGAGAAGTGATCAATTGGAATCTTTATAGGCACCTACTCCGACAACATGGCACAATCCTCGCAATGCTACCTTCCTCGCTTCGCTACTGCGGTTGACGGACCGAAACGCCCAGTTTCCATGAAAACCAGACCGACGACTTCGCAAAATGCGCAGTTATTAACCGCATGGCACGAAGGTCGCTTGAACTCGTTGCTGCAGGCCACCTGGGGCCTGGTCCTCCACTACTATCTCCGCACCGAGGATATTTGTTTCGGTTATCAACACATCGATAGTGACTCCATTTCTTCCCGACAACCTGTACAGCGGTCAAATATTACCAACCTCTCCACCGTCCGACTAGCGATTGGTGAAACAGACACAATCCAGCAAATTGTAGATAGATTGCGGGGAAATGATGGAGGCAAGCAGCTCCGTGGTGGCAATATGGAGACCACTCCGGATAGCTTCATGCCCTTCAACACCATTTTGATGTTGCGTACATACAGAAAGGCGCCAGAAACGTCTTGCTCCAAGCCCATGCTGGCAACTGCTCTGCCCGAAAAGGTGCGTTTATTTGCAATAACTCCATGCTTTCCCTCCTTTTGTTGTATACCATCAGAGTCTAATATGAAGTTGTACCAGTGCCAAGTTCGACTCCATGTGAAGGTATTGCGTCGCGATATCAATATCTTCCTTGAGTGGCGGAATGGTGATATGTCTGGGGAACAAATGAAGAGTGTTGCAAACATTTTTGAGGCGATCCTTGCCAAAGCCCTCTCTACCGAGAACCCCGCTATTAGCCAGCTTAATTTGTTCTCGGAGAATGACTGGCAGCGAATTCAAAAATGGAACTCTCACACCCCAAAGTTGTATGACCGTTGCATCCATGATGCTATTCATGACCAGGTGACGAGAGGTCCGGACCGAGAGGCTGTCTGCGCTTGGGATGGGAGCTTAACATATCGAGAACTCGATGAGCTCGCTTCGAAACTTGCATGTCACTTGCGCATGCAAGGTGTGGGGCCTGAAGCTCGAGTAGCCTTGCTCTTTGATAAATCGGTTAGTGAAAGGTCCCTCTAGATTTTGGTTCTTAACTTACGATGTACAGAAATGGAATATTGTCGCCATGCTGGCCGTTATGAAAGCCGGTGGCGCCTTCGTCCCTATGGATCCTACACACCCAACCTCCCGCCTGCAACGTCTGATTGAATCCGTCAAGGCGTCGGTTGCGTTGTGCTCGGAGAGCCGTGCAGACACTCTCCGGCCCATTGTAAAAACCTTAATTCCTCTTTGCACCGACGCAATGGATCGTTTGACAGACCCGGCACTTGGGGTCGACCTTGCATCTGGGGTAACCAGCCAAAATGCTGCTTATGTTCTGTTCACTTCTGGATCAACGGGAGAGCCGAAGGTATGTTTTCACTTGTCAAAATACCTTAAAATGCCTTTTTCTTACACATTACCCAGGGAACCCTCTTGGAGCACCGCGCGTTCCTTTCAAGCTCCATGGCTCATGGTGCTGGTCTCCTCGTCTTCAGGGAATCAAGATGTCTACAATTTGCGGCGCATACGTTCGATGCTAGTCTTGCAGAGACTTTGACTCCATTGATTCATGGCGCATGCATTTGCATTCCCAGCGAGGAGGCGCGTTTGAATGATATCGTGGGCGCAATTAATGAAATGCGAGTCGATCAGGCGTGCTTCACCCCGTCATTCATCAGCTTTATTGAAATTGAAACGGTGCCCAGTTTGAAGGGTCTTGTGCTGGCTGGAGAGGCAATGTCGCAGTCTCAACTGGCAACTTGGTCCAAAATCAAATTGGTCAACGGATATGGACCTACTGAGGCCGGTGTTGCGTCCGTTCTGAACACCGGGGTAACACCTGAGACCGACTGCAAAAATATTGGCCTGCCAGTCGGCGTGCGGACGTGGCTCGTAAACCCTGAAAACCACGACGAACTGGTCCCTGTTGGCTGCCCAGGTGAACTGGTGCTGGAAGGTCCAACATTAGCCCGATGCTACGTCAACAACCCCGAGAAAACAAACGAGTCTTTCATATATGACCCTGCTTGGACGAAAATGGACCGAAGAGGCGTCAACAATCGAAGATTTTACAAGACCGGAGATCTGGTCAGGTATAACTCCGACACGGGTGCGATGAATTACATCGGTCGCAAAGATACACAGGTGAAGGTTCACGGTCAAAGAGTTGAACTCGGTGAAATTGAAACACAATTGAGCAAAGACATTCAGGTGACTCACTGTTCAGTTCTCTTTCCCAAGACTGGATTCTCCAAAGGAAGATTAGCTGCGGTGATCTCCCTCGCCGGACTACTGGCCAACAAATCGCAAGAAGACCTTGAAACTCTGCGATTGGTTTCAGCATCAAGGAAGGCAGAGATTGTCCCTTCGATACGCGAAAGAGTTGCGGCGTGCCTCCCAACGTACATGGTACCTGCAACCTGGCTGTGTGTCGAAGCACTTCCCCTTTTACCTTCCGGAAAACTCGACCGAAAAGGCATCGCGGCCTGGGTGACTGCCATGGAAACGGATCCTGATATTGGGCAGGCAATTTCAAGTCCCTCGATTGACCCTGAGTCATCCCAGCCTGCGAATGAGACAGAGGATAAGCTTGCCGCAGTGTACAGTCGCGTCTTGAATATCCCGCCAGGCTTTGTCAGCTTGGATGAGAGCTTCTTGGCACTTGGTGGAGACTCTATCGCGGCGATGACCTGCATTGGACTAATTAAAAAGCGCGGAATCGGTCTTTCTGTCCAGGATGTGCTTCGGAGTAAGTCCATCCGTGAGCTGGCTACCCGTGCCAAGCCAATCGACCACAGTACGACGTATGAAGAAGCTGTTGATGAGCCTTTCAAACTGTCACCTATTCAAGTCCTCCATTTTGGCCTTCGAAAGGAAGGGCAAGGTCACTTCAACCAGGGCATTTTAACCCGCCTGAGCAAGCCTCTAGACGAGAAGACACTGCTGAGAGCAATTGAGATCTTGGTATCTCGGCATTCTATGCTTCGAGCCCGATTTGATAAGACCCCTGAATCTACGGCAACTTCTCAGAGAATTACTCGGGACATCAAGGGCTCCTACAGATGGCGCGCTCACACTGTCACCAGTATGAACGCCATTAAGCCGATGGTTGCGGAGAGCCAGTCCAGCATCAATTGCTTCTATGGGCCATTGCTTGCTGTGGACTACTTCCGCACAAACGACGAAACTGAGTCCCCTGTCCTTTCGATGACCGCACATCATCTTGTGGTTGACATTGTGTCTTGGAAGATTATCTTGGAGGACCTGGAAGACTTACTGTTGAATCCTGAAAAGTCTACCTCTGACGATGGATCCCTTCCGTTCCAAACATGGTGTCGTCTTCAGGAGGAGCATTCCAGAAACCTGGTCGCCGAGGAGAAAGCGCCGTCTGAACCCCTCCCCAGCATCGATTTTGGATATTGGGGACTTCAAAACAGCGAGACCACATACGGTGATGTAGACTGCGCAACCTTCGAAATTGACGAAGCCCATTCCACGTCTATTTTACTCGAGTGCCACAGAGCTCTGGATACTGAGCCAATCGATCTCTTCCTGGCATCAATGCTGCATTCCTTTGGCCAATCTTTTCAGGATCGCTCTCTCCCGGTTATTTACAATGAAGGTCATGGCCGTGAAGTTTGGGACTCTTCAATCGACATCTCACACACTGTTGGCTGGTTCACTATCCTTCACCCGATATCTGTCAATCAGTTCAACGCTGAAAATGCTGTTGATACCCTCATCCAAGTCAAAGATCAACGTCGAAGGGTTTCTGATAACGGTCGGTCTGATTTCGCAAGCCGTGTTCTGCAAATCGCGGGCCCCCAGTGTGGAACATACCCTCATCCCTTCGAAATGTCTTTCAATTATGTGGGTCAACACCGGGATTTACAGAGGAAAGACGGTCTTTTCCAACTCGTGGATCAGATGGCTGGTGAGACTGGACAGGGTAGCGATGCCGCTGACTTTGGCCGGGTCACTCCTCGCTTTGGCCTGTTTGAGATCTCTGCCATGGTGGTTGCGGGTAAGATTCGCTTCACCTTCTCGTTCAATAAAAACATGCAGCATCAGAATCGCATTCGCACCTGGGTTTGCAACTGCCAAAAGCAGCTTACCAATCTTTCAGAGGAACTGTCAGTCATGTCACCGCGATTGACTTTGAGTTCTTTCCCGATGCTTTCTCTGGACTACGGCAGCCTCAATAGGCTAATGTACGAGAAGTTTGCGGCCCTCGGAATTGAATCTCCAGATATTGTCGAGGATATATATCCCTGCTCACGCATGCAACAAGGCATATTACTCGGTCAGTCGCGCAATAAGTCCTATTATGCCGTCCATGATACATTTGAGATCCGGGGCACTGGATCTACGGCACCAAATGTAGACCGCCTTGCTCAAGCATGGTCTCAGGTGGTGTCTCATCATGCCATGCTCCGGACCATCTTTGTTGAGAACCTCACTCCACGGGATCCATTCTCCCAGGTTGTCTTGAAACATTATGATGCCATTCCAGTCTATCTCCAGTCTTCGGGAGACAGTGATGTGCTGGCTACGTTCGATGCGCAGGAGCCTAAGGTATACAATGGCTTCTCCCCTGCCTACCGGTTCAGCATTTGTCAGACTTCCACCGATAGATTGTTTTGCCGCATTGAGATTAGCCACGCAGCTATGGATGGTAATTCTATTTCCATCATGCTTCGCGACCTGCAACTGGCATACGCCGGAAGACTCGAGGAAATTCGTCAGCCACTGTTTAAAGACTACATCCAATTCCTTCAGGATGCCCCACAAAAAGCTAGCATCAACTATTGGCGCTCATACCTTGCAGGCGCCAAGCCATGCCTTTTTCCAGCCCTGACAGATGGCGAAATCTCTCAAGAGCAGAACTTGCGATCAATCCCTGTGAAATTTGAGTCGTTGTCGCAGCTTCAGAAAATTTGTGAAAAGCAAGGCATTACTCTTTCCAACGCTTTCAATGCTGCATGGGGCTTGACCCTGCGTTTGTTCTGTGGCTGTGATGACGTCTGCTTTAGCTATATGGCATCTTTACGGGATGTTTCAGTCGATGGAATCCAATCAGCTGTTGGACCAGTTATAAATCTGATGATATGCCGCATGAAGATGTCGAGTGATTCAATCTTGAGTGATGTGCTGCAACACATTCAAGATGATTACATGGACAGTCTCCCCTTCAGACACACCTCATTGATTGACATTCAACATGCTCTCAAGCTATCTGATGCGAACTTGTTCAACTCGGGTGTATCATACCGCCGCCTGCCCAGTGCCAAGGACGCCGTGAGCAGCGATATTGAGTGTGTGGAAGTCGGATCAATTCATGACCCGGCGGAATTCCCTGTTTTTATAAACATCGAAGCTACGGATGCTCAGGCCACTATCGATCTCAATTACTGGACCACGACCCTCTCTGATCTGCAAGCCTCCAACGTCGCCAATACGTACATCCAGTGCTTGGAGAGTATAATGAGTGAAATGGAGAATCGCCTCTGCCATATTGATTTCACGAGTCCCACTAATAAGACTGATATCCGTTCTTGGAACAGAACGACGCCCAAAGTCACCGATCATTGCGCACATCAATCCATTCAGGCCATGTCTGCAAGAAAGCCTGATGCTTTGGCGGTAACTTCTTGGGATGGTACATTGACATATGCCAAGCTGGATCAATACTCCTCACGACTTGCCAGTTATCTCGTTACATTCGGAGTAGGCGTCGGAAGCTTGATTCCCACAGCTTTTGACAGATCGCTCTGGAGCATTGTGTCCGTCATTGCAGTCATGAAAGCTGGTGGTGGATGCATCCCCGTTGACAGCCCAAAAACTATGACGCTGATTGAAAAGTGGATCGTCGAGAACTCGGTTCAAGTTGCACTGGCTTCCCCTGAAAAAGCTAGCGTGCTCGAAGAAAGCGTTCCATACGTGATCCCCGTTAGTGAATCATTGCTAGAATATCTCAATGATGACCACCTCTCGCCTACTGCTTGTTCAACTGATGCCGCATATGTGCCATTCACAGCGGGAACTTCGGGATCTCCCCGAGCCGTTGTCCTTGACCACAGGGCAATCATGACAAGAGCACAAGCTTTTGCATCATCGATGCGTATCAACGATGTCTCAAGAGTCCTTCAATTTGCCGCCCAAACTAGCGATACTTTTCTCCTAGAGGTATTTGGGACATTTATGTGTGGTGGCTGCGTTTGCATTCCCTTCGATGGAAAGCCATCCAATCTTCTCACATCCATCAACGATCTCCACGTGAATGTCGCTTGTATGACGCCCACTGTTGCAAGTTTTCTGATTCCAAAAGATGTACCAACTTTGAAGACCTTGGCAATGTTTGGTGAGGCGACTTCAGATGGGAAAGTTCAAATCTGGCAAGCGGACGATCTTCAACTGCACAACTTCTATGGGACCACAGAAACCTCATCCTCCTCATTCCATATCCCACTCCTCCCTGGATTGGATCCGACTATTATTGGGGCAGCAACCTGCTGTGTCGCCTGGGTCATCGATCCTGCAAATCATAACGCCCTCGTTCCTGTTGGCGCTGTTGGCGAACTGGCCATAGAAGGCCCTGTTCTTGGCTCTTCATATCTAGGCCAGGCGCAGTCTGACGACTTCTTCCAAACTCCATCTTGGCTAGCCAGTGTTGAAGGAAGATCTGAAATAGATCAGGTTTCTACTCGCAGATTCTTCAAGACTGGAGACCTCGTAAGGTACAACGCAGATGGGTCTCTCGTCTATTTGGGTGCCAAGAAAGTCGATCGTGAATATTCCCCATGCTCAGATCGCCTTTGTGTTGAAGAAGGCATCCGGAGCTTTTTCCAAGGCAAGCGTCGTGGTATTGTTCACAATGTGCCTTTCGAGTTCGATGAAAGATTCATTGCTTTCGTCTGTCTTTCTGACGATGCAACCGCAACTGCTGGCGAGGAAGTTGTCCAGTCTCCAGATGCTGAGTTTAAGAGCACTATCGCAGCGTTGCACATTTATTTGGGCACCAAAATGCCTAATAACAAGGTTCCGAGTCTTTATGTTCCCATTTCATCCGTCCCACTGACCCCACTTGGCAAAACTAACTTCCAGCGCTTAACTGACGAGATTCTCAACCTCTCCCCCACAACCCTTGCTTCGTTTGATGTTAAGCACTGGATGGGAATGCAGTCAGGAGCAAGTGCCTCCCGCCAGTCGTTCTCCAATACAAACTTTGACTTCTGGAAAGAATATTTGGCGGACATTGAGCCATGCAACTTTCCTCTTATCTCCCACGACACCAGCAAAAAAGGTCGATCGACTCGTACCCTCAACAAGCAGACCCATCAACTACATGCATTCAGTCGACTAGCCGGCGTATCTGTGGATATTCTCTTTCAAATCGCATGGGGCTTGGTTCTTCGATGCTACACTGGGAATGATGACATTTGCTTCGGATATTCCGCTTCAGATGCCGATCACGCCGAATCCATTTCTGCGGTTCGCATCATGTTGAATAACGACCGCAACATGAACGAAACTCTGCAGCAACTTAAAACCGATTTTGAAAAGCGACAGGATCATTTTATCGACCTGACCGTGGTCAAGCACCAGCTTGGCTTCGACGATGCGAATGTTTTCAACACGCTTTTGACCTACCGCGCTGTACCATCACTCCCACAGCGTCGAGCTCGTGACAGTGCAACTTCAAAAGCCTACAATGTCGCTGTCACAGCTCAAGTCTCACCTTCTGTTGCTGAGATTCATTTCAGCTATTCTACCGAGACCCTCACATCCGTTCAAGTTACCCACGTTATCGACACTTTTGACCAAATTCTCAACAACATCATCTCGGTTGACCCTCGCAAACGCGCAATTGGTGATTTAGATCTCCTGTCTCAGCGCTCGTGTCGTCAAATTCGAGATTGGAATGCGGTGACACCCCCACGAGTTGAAAAGTGTGCAGACGAACTTATCCAACAGCAAGCACTCCAGCACCCACGAGCCGAGGCAATCTCCTCCTGGGATAAAAACTTCACCTATGGGCAGCTTGAGATCACATCAAGCAGATTATCTCGCTATCTCATCAACCTTGGTATTAAACCTGAGGTCTTCGTTGTGTTATGTTTTGAGAAATCCGCTTGGTCGATCGTTGCTCAGTTGGCAGTTCTCAAAGCCGGTGGAGCTTTCGTATCTATTGACCCAACCCACCCTGACTCCCGGCTTCAAATGTTGATTCATGAGATTGGAGCTGATTTAGTGCTTTGTTCATCTAACTTACAGTCGAAGATGTCCAAGCTTTGTACCAAGGCCTTTGCAGTCTCACAAAACACTATCTCCCAGCTTCCTGAGTCGCCTCTTGCCCTTCCTGGTAGGCGGCCAACTCCAGCAAATGCCGCCTATGCTATATTTACCTCTGGAACTACTGGAAAGCCAAAAGCAACTGTGGTCGAGCACTTGGCCCTGAGTACAACCGCCATAGCCATGATGGACGCTCTTCATATGAATTCTGCAACTCGCGCTTTGCAATTCTCCAATTACACTTTCGATGTCAGTATCCTCGAAGTGATGATGACTTTGATGACTGGCGGCTGCGTCTGTGTCCCTAGTGAAGAGGAGCGCATGAATAATCTCGGAGGTGCGATACGCCGCATGGAGGCTAACTATATGGCCTCGCCGCCCGCAATTGTCAACACGTTGGAACCAAAGACTGTGCCCACCCTGAAGACCATTATAACTGGAGGAGAAAAGATGCCCGCCCATCACATCGATCGGTGGGGTGACCGGTTTGTTATCAATGCTTACGGTCCCTCTGAAGCCACAGTCGTTGCCACAGTTGGGGTCAAGGTTGACTGGGAGGGGAGACGTGTCAACGATGACCCTACATCAATTGGTACTGCCGCTAATTGTCGAGTTTGGATTGTGGATCCCAACAACTACAACCGCCTACTTCCAGTTGGAGCTGTTGGTGAGATGCTGTTAGAGGGCAGCAACATTGCCCGTGAATACCTTGGCAATCCGGATAAAACTAAAGCTGCCTTTGTTGAAGATCCTGTGTGGAGCCACCATTCTGGCCTACACGGCATATTCAAGCGCAGTGACCGCATGTATCGCACCGGTGACTTAGTACGATACAACAGCGATGGTACCCTTGCATTCATCTCCCGAAAGGATACTCAAATCAAATTCAACGGCCAGCGCATTGAACTCGAAGAAATAGAACAGCAATGCACCCGATGTCTTCCTGAGGGTTCTCAAGTTGCTGTTGATGTTGTTGTTCCCCAGGAGAAAACAGTTGCCAAAGGTCTCGCAGCATTCTTCACCGTCCACGATGAAACCTCTGATCAGGGAGGTACCAACGATCAATTCACGCCCACAATTCCTGGAGCTGATCCTCTTCTTTTGCCAATCTCGCTTTCTAACATGGATGCGGTCCAGAAATTGAAATCTTCTTTGCCGGATTATCTTCCACAAAGCATGATGCCGCGTCTGTTCTTCCCGCTACGAAACCTGCCATTCACTTCTTCGGCCAAGATTGACCGAAGGCGACTTCGCTCAATGGTCCAGACTTTGTCAAAAGAGACTTTGAAGTCTTATATCACCTTCAACACTGGTGGAAAAGCAGCGATCATCTCGGACGATGGCATTGACGCCCAACTCCGAACTCTGTGGGAACAAATATTAGACCTTGAACCTGGGTCTGTTACTAATGAAGATAGCTTCTTCGCGCTTGGCGGTGACTCCTTCTCCGCTATGAACCTAGTTGGTGCCGCTCAGGCGCAGGGGATTTCCCTTAGCGTTGCTACCATTTTCAAGAGTCCAGTCTTAATCGATATGGCGGGCATATGCTCATCATCCATGGAAGGCCCTCCAATCGTACAGAAAGCCCTCGACCCATTCTCTCTATTGCCATCCGGTGTTGACCTCGAGGGTCTTCTTGATGAAGTTATTGAAGGATGTCTCATTCCCAAGGACTCAATTTCGGATGTCTACCCGTGCAGCGCCGTTCAAGAGGGCCTTTTGACTTTATCGGTAAAGCACCATGGTGCTTACGTTGCCCAGCCCGCCTTCCGGCTTGCTGACGGCGTTGATCTTGACAGATTCAAAGCGGCCTGGGAGCAGACTGTTGTCGATCTTGATATTCTAAGAACTCGGATTATTCATACTGATGCCATGAACTTCGCCCAGGCAGTTTTGAAGGAAGACCCCATCGAATGGGTGAATGCTGAGTCCTTCGAGAAGTTACCTAGTGACTTCACTAATCTTCCCAAATATAACGGCGCTCGTCTCACTGGATATGGTCTTGTGCAGCCCAATGGATCATGTACTCGCTACTTTGTGTGGTCTGTCCACCACGCCCTTTACGATGGTTGGAGTATTCCGCTCGTATATCGTCGATTCGAAGAAAACTACAAAGCTTCCTTGAACAAGGAATCTGCTGCTTCGTATGGGCTTTTTATCGAATACATTAACAAGAAGGACATGGCGGAGTCTGACCTTTTCTGGAAGTCCTACTTGAGTGACATCTCCAGTAATGCTTTCCCACAAAACAAGCATTCCGTAGCCGATGCTCTTCGTGCTGGTAACTCTCAGCAACACAGGATGGCCGTTTCCAGGCCCGCCAACAGCATTGACTACACGGTTCCCGTCCTTCTCCGAGCCGCGTGGGCAATTGTGGTCGCTACTCATACCACATCCGGTGATGTCTGCTTTGGAGAGACTTTGTCAGGACGTAATATCGACCTACCAGGAGTCGGTGATATCGCCGGCCCCGTTCTCTCTACTGTCCCTACTCGCATTCAAGTCGACAACAATATGCCAATTCTGCAATACTTGGAGAGTATCCACCAGTCCACCACAGACATGATTCCGCATCTTCATGCCGGTCTTCAGCGCATTCGCCAGATAAATGCCGACACTGCCTCTGGATGCAACTTTCAAAATCTCCTTGTTATACAACCAAATGAAGGAAACCTCAATGACAGCATTTGGATTGATGAAAAACGCGAGACTAGCGAGGACTTTTTTACCCACCCACTTGTGCTCGAATGTGGAATTTCGAAGACCAATATCTCCTTCACTGCTCATCACGACGAGCTTGTTATCAACAGTTGGCAGGCTAGGCGTCTGATTGAGCAGTTTGCTCACATCCTAAAACAGATTATGTCAGTTCCCAAGGGAAGTATCTCCAAGATTTCGGAATTGGAACTTGCCAGTCCAGAGGACAAGCTTGTCATTGCAGATTGGAACAAGCGTGTGCCACTTGCTGTTGAGAAGTGTGCCCATGAACTCATTCGCGAGAAATGCGTGGAGACCCCTAACGCTCCCGCTGTGTGTGGCTGGGATGGTGAACTAACCTACAAGGAACTTTGGGACTTGGCATCATCATTCGCCAATTATTTGGTATCTCGCGGAGTCCGACCTGAGATGATGGTTCCCGTCTGTCTCGATAAATCTACCTGGGCGATGGTCACCCTGCTGAGTATTCTGATCGCTGGTGGTGCTTATGTGCCACTTGATCCTCACCACCCGACCTCTCGGCATGAAGAGATTTTAGCTGATGTTGGAGCCAACATGATTCTGTGTAGCCCATCTTACAGCAACAAATATACCAGGGTTGTCAAGACTGTTATTCCAATCAGCAGAGAAACTTTGCAAGCCTACGGATCCCTCCCCACCTCCAGTCGGTGCAACATCCAAGTCACCCCATCCAATATGGCCTATGCACTCTTCACTTCCGGGAGTACTGGTCGAGCCAAGGGTATCATTGTCGAGCATCGGAACTGTGTTAGCAGTATATTAGCCTACGCCCCAGTCGTTCATATGACTCCATCATCACGCGTCTTCCAGTTCGCATCTTTGACCTTTGACGCCGCTATCTTGGAAACCCTCACTGTCCTTATGATCGGAGGTTGTATTTGTGTTCCAAGCGAAGATGAGCGCCTGAACGACGTATCTGGTGCAATCAGACGTATGAACGTGAATTGGACTTTCCTTACACCGTCAATCGCAAGTATTATCGAGCCATCATCAATTCCATCCATGAAGCACATGGTCGTTGGTGGTGAGAAGGTCACCCAAGAAGTCATTACCAAATGGGCCAACTCGGTGAAGTTGATGAACGGGTATGGCCCCACCGAGACTGTTGTCTTTGCAGTGGTTGATACTGAAGTTGCGTCTCACCGGGATCCGGCTCGAATTGGGTACGGCATTCCAAGCACTTTGACCTGGATTGTGGATCCTGATGATCACCACAAGCTCACTCCATTGGGTGCTGTGGGAGAGCTTGCATTAGAGGGAATGGCTCTTGCCAGAGAATACATGAACAATCCTGAAAAGAACGCTGAGGCTTTCATCGACAATCCAGCTTGGGCAAAGGATTTCAAGAATCAGCTATCTGGGCCCCGAAGGATTTACAAGACTGGTGATCTTTGTTACTACAACTCCGATGGCTCAGTGGAATACATCAGTCGAAAGGATCACCAAGTCAAACTTCACGGTCAGCGCATGGAGCTTGGTGAGATTGAGCACCGTATCGGAGCAAATGATCATGTCCGTCATGCTGTTGTCATTCTCCCCAAGACTGGACCGCTCAAGCAGCGTCTTGTTACTGTTATGTCTATCAACAAAATTTCTGCAGAGATGAAGCTTATTTCGGACAAACCTTGTGAGCTGATTGATGATGAAGACTTTAGCAAGCATGGTCTTTCCGATCTTGTGGAAGTGCAGGCGAGTCTTGAATCTCAACTCCCAGTCTACATGGTGCCTCAGACATGGGCCTTGATTAAAAAATTGCCGATGCTTGTTTCTGGAAAATTGGATCGCAAGAAAATCACGGCCTGGCTAGAGAACATTGATGATGAATCTTACGAGCGTATCATGCAAGACTATGATGCCATGAAACGTGGCCCTAATAACGAGAAGCCCCAGGAGCAAGAACAGGATGGCTCTCTCAAGATTATCAAGGAAGTGTTCGCACAGGTATTGAATATCTCCCTATCGAAGGTCAATGTGGACCGATCTTTTGTCAGCTTGGGTGAGTTTTCAACAGAACTTGGTCACACTTGAAAGCAGTAGCAATTCTAACAAAGTTGACTAGGTGGCGACAGCATCACAGGCATGGCGGTCATTTCGCGGGCGCGTAAACAGGGTCTCGTTGTCACATTAAACGACATCCTTCAAAGCAAGTCCGTGAAGGATCTGGCACGAGTGGCAACTGCCAAGGTTCCTGCCACCATTATTCGTGAGGAGAAAGTTGGGGAGGGTTTCGACCTATCTCCTGTCCAAAAACTCTACATGAACTCCTCAGCCTCATTCAGTGGTGCCGCTCGCTTCAATCAGAGTATCACTGTCCGCATCTCACGCAGAGTTGAAGGGGAGGTCATCCGCCGTGCTATCAAGGCTGTTACTAGCCAGCACTCGATGTTCCGTGCTCGCTTCGATCAGGGCAAAGATGGTAAATGGAAGCAAAAGGCTGCACAGGTACGTCTATTTTTACTTCTATTGGGCAATCGGTCACTAAAGATTCTTCTACAGGATGTCGATCAGTCTTACTGCTTCAGAGTTCACTCCGTCAATGACACCCGTGCAATGGTCCCCAAGGTTGCTGAAAGCCAGTCATGCCTTGACCCTGTTCGTGGTCCGATATTCGCAGCTGATCTCTTCAACCTCCGCACGGGCGGCCAAGTTCTTTTTTTGGTGGCTCATCATCTATGTGTTGATATGGTCTCGTGGCGAATTATTCTGTCGGATCTCGAAGAGATGATTGTATCTGGCTCACTCTCAGACGAGAAGGCGCTCTCCTTCCAAAGCTGGTGTGCCATGCAATCCGACAGGTCTAAGACTCATGATCACTCCCTGTCACTGCCGTTCAACCCAGAAAAGTCCGATCTCTCATACTGGGGTATGGAAGAATCATCCAACGTTTATGGAGATATCAAAATGGAATCGTTCAGCTTGAGTGAGGATGCCACTAGATTCATTCTGGACGACTGTCATGGCATTTTTGGAACAGAAACAGTAGATGTCTTGCTAGCATCTATTATTTACTCTTTCCGCCGTGTTTTCGATGACCGAAAGGTCCCCACTATCTACAATGAAGGTCATGGACGCGAGTCTTGGGACGCCAATCTGGACCTGTCGAGAACCGTCGGCTGGTTCACCACAATGGCACCCCTCCTGGTCGATGAAACCCGTGGTAAGTTTCCAACTATCCCTTCATGGTGCGTATTGCTAATCTGGAATAGGTGATATCAAGGAAATCATCAAGCGGGTCAAAGATACCCGTCGCAAGATTGACGATAATGGTCGCCCTTACTTTGCGAAAAACATGCTTCAAGCTAGTGGCGATGATTTCGAGGTTCCATTGGAGATTCTCTTCAACTATCTGGGAAAACTTCAACAGCTTGAGCGTGAAGATTCTCTGTTCCGCCATCAAGGTAGCGTATTTGACAGTTCGGATTTTGCAGTTGCGGGCGATATGGGTCCGAAGACTGTTCGGTTTGCTCTGTTTGAGATATCCGCTTTAGTTGTCAAGGATCGCTTGAATGTTGCGTTTACTTATAACCGCCAGATGCAGCGGGAGGGTCAGATTCGTCGATGGATCTTGCAGTGCAAGCAAACATTGGAGAAGGATATGTTGGCTCTCGTCAACGCGATTCCCGAGCCGACTCTCAGCGACTATCCTTTGCTGCCAATCACCTACAGTGGCTTGCAAACTCTCACCAACACCACCTTCCGAAAGCTCAGCATTCGCAACAAGCATGAGGTTCAAGACATTTACCCCTGCTCCCCAATGCAGGAGGGTCTCTTGCTCAGTCAACTCCGGGATCCCACTGCTTACATGTTCCATACCATCTTTGAAATGAAAGACCCTCGAAGCGGCAAAGTGGATGCTGAAAGACTTGCACGATCCTGGATCTTATTGGTTGCTCGTCATCCGGTACTTCGAACAACCTTCATTGACAGCAATTATAGTGGCGGATCGTTTGATCAGCTTGTCTTCAGAAAAATACCTGACAACGTTCTACGTGTGGAATGCCCTGACTCCGATGTGCAGGAGAAGCTGGCTGGTATCTCAATGGCTGAACTAAACGCCATGCGCCCTGCCAAATTATCTAACCAGTTCACTGTCTGTAAGACATCCAGTGGTCGAGTAATCGTGAAACTTGAAATTAACCACGCCATTATTGATGGTGGTGGTGTTGATGTCTTACTACGTGACCTTACAATGGCCTACGACCATCGTCTCCCTGAAGGCGCGGGCCCTCGATTCAGTAATTACATCAAGTTTATTCGAACTCAAAACCAAGTTGACGCACTTAGCCACTGGAAAAAGTATTTGGACGGCGTCAGCCCTTGTCATATCTCTCCGAGTGCTGGTTCCCAGCCTAAACGCGAACTCAAGGGCATTTTGATGAACTTTCAACGTTTCTCCGAACTGCTGAAGTTCTGTGAGCAGTCTTCGGTTACTCTGGCAAATCTCACACTTTCTGCTTGGGCAATTGTACTGAAACAATTCACTGGCTCGGATGATGTATGCTTCGGTTATCTTTCCGCCGGTCGTGACGCTCCCGTCAAGGGGATTCAGGACATGGTCGGCATTTTCATCAACATGCTCTGCTGTCGAGTTCAGTTTTCTCCTCGCCAGACTCTCACTGACATTTCTAAGCGTGTTAATGCAGACTATGTCAGCAGTATCCCTCACCAAAGTTGCTCTCTAGCCAGTATTCAACATGAGCTTGGTTGGCAGGGACAAACATTGTTCAACACCACCTTGTCAATTCAGAACCATGGTGTCGCTGGAACTACCAAAGACAAGGGCCTATCTTTCGACCTGCAGCATGCCCATGATCCTAGTGAAGTAAGTACTCCGTTATCCCAGACTTCAATATCCTGTTTCTAATATCTGCGTAGTACGCTGTCACCGTCAACGCAGACATCTCGCGAGGTGCCGAAGGCATCATGCTCCGGTACTGGAACGACATTGTCTCTGACGAGATGGCTCAGTCTCTTGTGGACACGATTGCCAATGTTTTCACAGGCTTTATTGAGTCCCCGACGACGACTATCTCATCGTCCGAATTTAACGGAGGTGTAGCATCAGAGCAAGCATCGGATTGGGACAACTCGCAGGCCACGTTCAATGACAAAATCAAAACCCCGACAGATGCACTGGACGGCGTCGCCATTCAAAAGATTATTGATGATCGAGTTCATCAAATTATTGGACAAATGTTGAGGGATGGCAAACTGATGGTCCCACAAATCCAGACATCTGGGCTTTCGGGCTATGGCCACCCCGACGATGGAATCGACTCGCCTTACCCCTTGGAAGGAACTCAAGGTGCGGATGACTCTGGCGTCTGCTCTGCGACCTCACGATGTAGTGAGGAGGGAGTCTCAGCAGATGTAGAGAGGAGACTTTGGAATCTTTGGAGTACCGCCCTTGGTTTATCGCCAAATGTGGTGAGACACCAGGACAGTTTCTTCAAACTCGGGGGTGACAGCATCACTGCCATGAAAATGGTCAGTGCTGCTCGGGAAGACGGATTTGTTCTTACCGTCGCAGACGTGTTCAACAACCCTGTATTTGAAGATATGCTCGCTACCGTCCGCGCTGCCAACGTTACCCAGCAAATTCTGGATGTGGATCTTCAGCCCGCGCACAAGGAGGTCGATGCTTTCTCTGATAGTAAACCTACTACCTTGACCCAAACCCCATCATCTGAAAGCATATCTGTTCTACGCCCCACAAAAGCGATGGACGATGCGTCCCTGCAAAGTGGTATATGCCCTAAGATCGGTGTTTTCAAGGGTGGAATTGCCGACGTTCTCCCTGTTACTGACTTCCAAGCCATGTCACTGACTGCCACCCTATTCAAGTCCCGCTGGATGTTGAATTACTTCTTCTTAGAGGGAAATGGGCCTTTGGATCTGCGACGTCTCCGCGAGAGCTGTTTGAAGGTTGTCGACGCTTTCGATATCCTGCGTACAGTTTTTGTCTGTTTCCATGATCAATTCTTCCAAGTTGTGCTACGCAAGATTCGACCAAGTATCTTCGTATATGAGACCGATCGTGGCCTTGACGAGTTCACCAACACTTTGCAGCAACGTGACCGTGAATATGGTTCCCGTGAAGGTGAGCAGTACGTGCAGTTCTACGTTGTCAAGAAGAAGGGTAGCGATCAGCATCGCATCATGATTCGTTTGTCGCACACCCAATACGATGGTGTTTGTCTCTCAAAGATCATGTCTGCTATCAAATTTGGTTACGAGGGTAGTCCTCTTCCCCCTGTTACTCCCTATGCCAGCTATCTTCGGCAACTTCCTGGGACTATTGGGCCAGATCACTACAACCACTGGGCAAATCTCTTAAAGGGGTCCCAAATGACACAAGTTGTCCGCCGCAAGGGCACAACTATGTTCCAGAATATTGGCGCTTTCACTGAAATTCGCAAGACAATCGAGATCCCGCCGACAGCTCTTGGAAATGTCACTGTTGCTACAGTCATGCAAGCCGCTTGGGCATTAACTCTCGCTAAGCTGTCTGCTCAACAAGATGTCGTCTTCGGACTCACCATCAGCGGTCGTAACGCTACTGTCCCGGGTATTGAGAATACCGTGGGCCCTTGTGTGAACGTCGTCCCAGTACGTGTGAAGTTTGACGACAGATGGACTGGCTTGGAACTCTTCCGCTACCTTCAAGACCAGCAAGTTTCCAACATGCCTTACGAGTCTTTGGGCTTCCGCGAAATCATTAAGCACTGCAGTGACTGGCCAGCCTGGACTTACTTCACCACATCTGTCTTCCACCAAAACGTTGACTACGAAGGTTCCCTTGAGCTAGACAACAACAAGTACCGCATGGGCGGTGCAGGTGTCAACGACAACTTTGCGGACTTAACAATGGTTTCTCGCCCAGCAGATGAGCGCAATCTCAATGTAACTCTGGGCTACTCCGAGAAGGGTCCCATTCTCCCTGACTTCGCGGAGAGGGTCCTCGATATGGTCTGCGAAACCGCTCAGTCTCTCATTGCGAATCCTTCAACTGCTCTTCCCTCTCCAAGCATGCTGTGCTCGCTTCCTCCTCAGGTCATCGAGGATCTCCCACGTACTACGGATGAACATTTCTTGAGCGCACACCTTAAGTCTCGCTCCATTGCTGAGCTACTTGTTCACTCTGACATCCTCTCCCGCTCCTGGCACCAGGTTCTCCCTAGCCGCGCCTCAAGCACCACGGTTGATATCGAATTAGGCGAAAAGCTCAATACTCAAACCGCCTTCCAGCTTGACTCATCTTTCTTCGACCTTGGAGGTGACATTTTCAACATGGCCCAACTGACTTGGCTCCTGGAGCAGGAAGGCCTCAAGGTTCGCCTAGAGGACTTGCTTGAACATCCGTCATTCTTGGGTCAGATGGCTGTTCTTGCGTTACACAATGCTAAGTATCAAGATGAACTACCACCACAGTTTGCTACCGGAGCGGTATCGCCTGATCCAAATTCCAGGACCCCCGTGGAGAAGAAGAAGACATGGGAGAAGGCGATGACTCTTGCAAGGAAACTCACTCGTCGGAATACCAACAATTCCAATGTTGTTAGCAGTCGAGCTTGATATCTTTTTTGCGTGTCTGAAGCAAGAATTTTGGCCATGGCCTTTTTGTCACTCCTGAAAACAGAGGACCAGAAGAGAGTGGGAGAAAACCAAAAAAAAACCCCGAAAAAAAGAGGAAGAAGAAAGAAGAAAAAGAAAACAAGATTTCCACACAAAAAAGGAAACAAAAAAAAGAAAAAAGAAAAAAAGAAAAAACAACGCAAAATGTCCTTCTATCCACTTGAAAAAGCCATACGAGTCTATTGATAGCTGTGCTTTTCCCCTTATCATGTTTAATGCTTTGTTGTCTTCGAGACAACTTCATACTTTTTTTATACTTCTTCACTATGTTCATTACGCGCTTCATGGGATATGGATTTCGGTTTCTACACGGATCTTATATCTCGGCCTTTCGTTTCTTTTTTTTCGATGTTCATTACTTACTCTCTTTTTATTAATCCTGTCTCTTTCCTCTATGTCTCTTGTGTATCTCCTTTATGCCATGCAATGATAAAATGGAAGCCTATGTCCAACAACGATATCCATCCAGCGTATATACCGTAGTAGAGAAGTAATATTCACGCCGCGTAGAGGTAGCTCGATTCGACCTCGGGAAATGGACCACTAATAGCGGAGTCGCCATATATGTAGCAAAGATCAACAAAGGCAAGAAAAATGCTAGAAATAATAATAATCATTGATATTATAACGCTTAGACAGGGGTATCTATCATATTATCCACAATGCAATCCAAAGCCACGACAAACAGAACAAAGAAAGAAAGTCTAAACAGACCCAGCAGACCATTTTCCACGCGCCCGAATCCGCTTTCCATAAGTAAAGAACAGATATGGAATCGGTATCAGAGCCACAGAAACAAAGCCTAAAATGCTAGCAGCCCACGGCACACCGAGGTTATGAAACATAGCGTTCGTGAAGAGTGGGAATGCACCCGCAAACATCGATCGCAAGAAGGTGTTCGCTGCAATCGCACTGGCAGAAGTCTTCTGAAAAGTATCCACAAGATAATTCAAAGCAGCCTGGAAGATGGTAAAGAAACCAAAGCCCATCATGACAGCCCCGATGATTGGTGCAATCCAGTGTATATGCTTTGGGCTTGTCCAGCCGAATACAAACATGCCGGCGGCAAACATGACGGATCCAACCATCATAGGAGGCAGACGAGCCTCGGGTACAGGCCGATTGTTGTTGGCCTTGAAACGACTGATATAAAAGCGTTGATTTGCGAGATTGACACACGCACCAATAAGGATACCAACTAGGTAGGCAAGGAATGGTAAAGCGCCAACAACTTGGTTCCACCCACGGATTTCTTGGAAAACAATCGGGAAGGCTGCAAGGCTTAAGTAGAGGATTCCATAGACGAATGAGGCGTATAAAGCCACTAGAAAGCAGATTGGTGTTGCAAGAAGCGCGAAGGGGCGGATTAGGTATTTGTTGCCGAGCTCTTTGAATGTGACATCCCATTCTTCGTGGCGAGCATGAAGGGCCCAGTTTCCGCTCTCAAAACGTAACCGACGGGCCTTATATAGCAGCAGTACGGGCGGATAACTTTCATCAACGAATAGGAGATCCATTACGAGGAAAAGCATCATCATAATACCAGTGATCTAGATTTTATTAGCATAATGCCAGCAAGAACAGCACAGTGTCAGGAAATGAAATCAGGAGGGAACTTACATATTGCGTCCATCGCCAGCCCAGGGAACTCTGGCAGATAGCGCCACCAGCAATAGGACCAATGACAGGACCACCAACAACAGCCATGGCATACCCAACAATCGCCGCTCCACGTTGCTCAGCCGACCAAATATCACTCAGCACTCCACCAGTGTTGGTGACGGGCGCCGAGGCGAAAAACCCAGTAAAGAACCGGGTTAGCATGACAGTTTGTAGATCTTTTGAAACGGCAGTGCCAAATGACATAATGGCTGCAATGAAATATGGCGCCAATACAGCGGGCTTTCTTCCATAAACCTCTGAAAGGGGTGCCCAGATTAACGGACCAAGTCCCAAGCCAAACAGCAGCAATGATGTTCCTAATGTGGACACCTCAGTCGATACCCCAAACTCTTTCGCAATCTCATCTGTGCCCGTCGAGTAGATTGAACTCGCCCATGTCGCACCCATGGTTGTCATTCCATACAGAACAGTCGTAATCGCCTTCTTCCTGAACGGCCAATTCAAGGGTCTGTAAGGGTCATCCGGCCCTTCAAAGTCGACAATCATGTCTGGGCTGGTTTTTGTATGCGTAAGAGGGTGTGTGAACTTTGCGATCTGGCCTGGATCTCGACTTCTGATGCGCGAGACTACTGACTGAGCGCGCTGCTCAAAGACCGAACGTCCTGATGCTGCGGTACTTTGCTTCTCGAGTGATGCGATTGGCTCCGCATTGTCATTTTCGATATCATCATGGCCATTTCCAATTATATCGCGGGTATTGCCGCCAACTTGCGACCTAGTATCTTCGGTGCTAGATCTGTCGCTGTAGTCATGTTCGGTCCGTTCAGCCATGACGGCGGCTTGTCCCACTGCGTGACTATATCAAACTAAGGAATTCCGTCCTCTCTCTAGGGCTAAAAATGACGACGGGAGGAAAGAATAAACAAGACTCAATTGTGCTTCCGCAAAAAAAAATCCCAAAGGACCGTCAATCGTTGGATCAATCGCAAAGCGGAAAAATCAATTGCCCCCGCACCAATAATGGGGATCTGTCAAAACTTGTGGGCCCGGAAAAAAAAAGAAGAAAAAAAGGAAAATGGCAATGTAAAAGACTAGCGCACGATTCCAGTGTGTGTATTAACATTTATTTCATTCGGTGACTCGGAGTGGCGCTTGGGGGTCTTTAAGCCAGGCTTTTCAAGCTTTCTCATGGCGCTGGAGATCGGACGTCCGACACCGAGCAAGCCGCTTTATCCGGGAACGGTTTGGAGCTTTGGGTCGTAGATGTGGGGCATAACAAACAATGGATTCAATCTCGACTCTGAGATGAGAATTCAGGTCAGTATCTCATAGGGCCGAGGCGTTTATTATTATTTTCCATCGGGCTCTTATACATATGACTAGGTTAATAGCTAATCAATTGGCGGATTGCCATGGCCAATTTTCCCACACTCGGCGTTCCACACTCGGCGTTCAAGCTATGACCGAGTCAGGATGGGGCGCAAGTGGACACATATGGGTCGTGGTCCGCCAATCGCACTCAAGACAAGGCGCGCGAAGCATTGTGCCAGCCGAGGACGTGGGGGCCAGCGATATACACAAGAACAAAAGGAACCTCGACAGGTTGAAGGGGAGACGGAGAGGTCACATGATCAGTATGATGTCTAGCTCTAACGAGTTCTATGTACAAAAAAGGAAAATCTCTAAAAACAGACAAAAAGAGACAAGAATAAAAGAATAAAAGAATAAAACGCAAAATATCCTCTACTGTACATGGTAGTGGTATGGACAGTTCAAGAAGTCGTATATATATGGTGCTCGTGGTCGTCAAAAGTCATGTTCAAGTTCAAGTTGAATGCATACTCTCCCACTTCCGGATAGCTTCATTCCCAGCTGTGACTTTCAAGCCAATCCGCGCGTCTAGTTCGTAGCTTTCCCATTTGGCAGCATGGTCCAGGTGCTCTTTGCATGCACGAACAAGCTTTTTCTCGGCTTCTGACCCACCAGAAGCCACGGAGTTAACTGACTTGGTATCTGGCCGTTCGGCATTTTCGGACATGCTATCGGATTTGCCCTCGGCGTTGGGAGCTGCCGATACGATATCCGAGGATCCATGTAAGGCATTGTAGGCGGGACGCTCCATCCACAGGTTAGCTGCCATCTCAAAGTTTGCTGCGGGTAAAACCCAGTCATCCTTCAGGTGGCCCTTGAATATAGATTTCTCATTATTCAGAACCTTGGTCTTGAGGATCTGCTTTGCTTCTTCGTGTCGCCGCAGAGACCGGTACACAGCGGCGCGCAAAAGATCCATGATGGCCTTCTCCTCGGGCCCTTCGCGCGACCAGGTCTTATCCGCCTCACTCTCGCACCATGATAACCGGTCTAAAGACTCATGGAGCTGACCTTCAGTCATACGGCTGTGTCCGTTCCAAAAGAAGATCATTTCTTCGATCGGATCTACTCCAATAGCATCCACCAAAGAGACATTCCATTCTTTAGCTCGGGCTTCCCATTTGGCGATCTTACGGGTGACAAAGACATCGAATGGGAGTTGACGTGCCATAAACCGTTTTTTGCCTGCCAGTGGGGGTGCGTTTCGAATGTATTCGGTGGCAGTGTCAGCATGTTCCTGTGCTTTTTTGGGGTCTTCGGTGAGGAATTGTCGGTAGAGAGCGACATGACATGATCCGGCGATATAATAGTACAATGCGCGAGACCAGGAATTAAGATCCACGCACTTTGAAAATTTTGTATGGTTAATAAATGTAGGACAACAAGAAGAAGAAAAAAGCAGGGATAGATCAGCCAAACTCACCTCGATGAAGGCATCCGAGCACACGGTGTATCTGTGCAAAAATAAGGCATTCAAACTCTTCTCAAACACACAAAGAGCTTCAACCTGCTTCAGCGGGCTTTTCTTATTCGCACTGAGGAGCTCCAAGGCACCATCAAGGTCTTTGTTAGCTCCCTTCATCCGTGATTCTTCGAGCAACCATAGTCGACTGTTCGGGAATCGGGAGCGCATTTCCGCCAACAATGCCGCCAACCTTTCAGCCTGGTAACCCTCAACATCATCCTCACCGGGAGTAGGATCGGGCATAATGTCACAATAACGCACGAACCCATTGTAGTATCCCAGCATAGCCAAAGCGGCCATGGCTCCAACCAAGTTATGGAATTTACTGGCCTGCCACAACATCTTCAATCCGCGTTGCTTATCTCCATGAAACCCAATGATGGATAGGAGTTTGCTAAATGCAGGTGGTACCATGGAAATGAGCACCAGAAGAATACCGAAGCAAAAGTTGGCACCGGAGTGAATGAAGATGTCGATCTCATTCTTGAAGATATCCGAGTCGGGGTCATGGGTAATGTTGGAAGGGGTCGATGTTCGGGAGACGGGTTCCGAAGGTGCCTCTGGGGATATATTCAAGCCAGAAACGCCTTTCGCCAGGTCTGTATCCAGGGGAGTAGCGGTGTTGGCAGTTGCGGATGATCCTTTGCTCGAGAAGGTCTTGCTGGATGGTTCCGCTGGGTTGGCGCTGGCCTTGGAAAGGTCGCTGGACCGCGAAGAGAGAGCTTGCTGCATACCCCGGGATTCCATAAACTTCTCTTCCATTTTCAAAATAGCATCAAGCGTGATATATGCTTTGCGCAGACGATAGAAAGCCTTGATACTCTCAGTCAAACTCTCATTTAATACGCCGACCACGGCACCCATGAGCTGCGCGATGGCTTGACACAGGGCATATTCGGTCCCAGCGGTATAAATCTCGGAATGAAAGGCATTGGGGGCTTGCGCGTTTTGCTGTGCACGGTATTGATCGTTGCCGGCACTCGTCTCGGCTTCGTATAAACGTTCGCAGGCTATAATGGAATTAGAATTGACGGGTAAATGGGATGATAGCAGAATTTCAATGCCAACCTTGTTTCATAATCTCTTGTTCAAATCCCAGGGTCGCCCTCACAAAGGCTACCATTCCTTTTCCCAGCTAGTCGCAGCGCTCAATGTTAGTTCAACACAAGCCCACTTGGAATTTGAAGGGGCTACGTCATGGGATAGGAATTGTACATTATGAAAGGTGGAGTGACCCTTGGCCAGACCTTCTTCTGCGCTGTCGACATCGTCGTTTAGAATACAGGTGGCGGCTGAATAGTTTTTGATTTATGAATTTAGTTCAATGTTTCCCAGGTGGCGGGGCGGGAGATAACAACGAACCTTTCATTGCCTCATCCACTTCCCCGCTCGTAAAATTCCACGGTCAGCCAGAGCCTCATTGTACGCCGCATGGGTTCAATGTTGTAGGACAAAGTTCCGAGTAAATATCCTTGGCAGTATAGTATAAGTACCTACAGTCTTTTAATTCGGCCAATGAATCCAATGACTGGGAGGCATTGGTAGGCTTTTTGCCATACAGCCAGGATCCAACGCGAAGCATATTGGAATAAATAAGTCCAGAGCGGATGTCCTCAGAGCAAGAGAAGAAGAGAAGAGAGAGAAGAAGAAGAAAAAGAAGAAAAAGAAGAAAAAAAAAGAAAAAAAAGGCAGATGAAATAAATAAGGGTCGAAGCTAAAAAGGTGAGATCGGGATCAAGATCATGACCGAAGCCGATATTAGCAAGGACGGATCGGGAGGAATGTCAACGGGTCTCCATGTGATGAATCCGAGTGCATCAAGGGAGAAGGGGGAGGGAAGAGGATAAGCCAGATGGACCAGGGGGGAGAAAAGGAGGAAGAATAGGAATAAGTGAGACTTTGCTTTTCCATGGACACAGGTGTTGCCGGTCATGCCGAGAGAGGGTAGTGCAGTGCATAACTATGGAGATAGGATATAGAACTGTGTTCTGTATATATGAATCAATAAATTGACTACATTAACTAACACAGATACAACTATATATTAACTAATACACATGTCCAGATACAATGTACTCCAGTCTTTACTATTTGTTGATCACTATACTAGCTACATCATCGCTGATCCTTATCTGACTAAAGGCGGTCACCGACCTCACAGCACTTGACATATATCCGACCCTCACAGCTACAATATCGCCTTCTTCCATCAACCATCTCCACATCCCAGAGCTTCTTACTCTCTCTCTCCTCGCTTCTTGCATTCAAACACAACTACCCTCATGATGTCGAACCCCACAGACAAGACCAACCCCGCAGAACAACCACAACAGAAGCCCCAAGTGCTGGAGGAAGACGATGAGTTCGAAGATTTCCCCGTCGAAGGTACTCACAAAGAATCCAATTTCGATCATTCGAGCGTTCCACGCTAACTTCTTTGTCATGTTAGATTGGAGCCAGGAGGATGCAGAGCAGTCCGCTGCTAACGGCGGCAATGAACACCTGTGGGAGGAGAGCTGGGATGATGACGATGCCGCCGAGGACTTCTCTAAGCAGTTAAAGTATGCCATCCCTTGACTTCTCCCATCTATTATACCGACTAATACTCTATCTCATTTCAGAGAAGAACTAAAGAAAGTTGAGGCCTCGACCTAGAGGATGAAAGGGGAAAGGAGAAAAAGAAACCTCAACGCCCACACGCGCGCCCGTACATCCCTCTATTCACCCGCTTGCGCCTCTAATTCGCGCTCACTCATATTCACCGAAAGGGGAAGGAGAGATTCGATCCAGTTGCTTTCTTCTGGAGAGATTGTCGAGCGCATACGAATACACATACTATACCCTTTCAATCTATTTTTTCTTCTTCTTTCTTTTCTCCCCGGGAAACATGTGTCAAGATTCAAGATCCCCGAGCGGTCCGATACCTAGCAATGAGGGGGTCGCTGCATTCCAGAAATACTGTCCTGATATAATCTTATGCCTGCCATTTCAGTAAGAATCACCGTCGTTTTCCAGTTGCTGTGGCCAAGTCGGGATACATGCCTGTATTATTATGTGGATTGAAATAATGACATATGTCAACTTGACATTTTCCCTGTCTATCTGGGCAACTGTGATGCAAGTTTTTGCTTCATACGATTTTCTCCCTTTACACCATCTTCTTTCTTCGCTTCAAATGCAAGATCCTAATGTTCGTAGCAATGCTCGTAATATGTACACTTTCCGAATATCAACCCCTCAAGGTCCCCCCGCACTCCCTCCTCATAGCTTCGGTCCCGTGTCTACAAAGTCATCATTTAGCTTTCATACGAGATGAGAAAAGTTCCATTGATCTGATTTTTGAGAAGGAGTAAGATGAAAAAAAAGTTGGAAATTGATTTTTAAGTTATGGACGTTTCGGCTGTGTACATTGCAGGTTCGTGAAGATGGAAATGAATATTGAAAAGTTTCCTGTGCACGCCAAACTTAGGACTTACTGGACAGAGCAGCAACACCAGGCAATTCCTTACCCTCCAGCAGCTCAAGCGAGGCACCACCACCAGTGGAAACGTGAGAAAGCTTGTCCTCAACGCCGTACTTGGCAGCAACGGTAGCAGTATCACCACCACCAATGATAACAATGGAGCCAGACTCGGCAGCCTTGACAGCCGCATCGAGGGTTTTCTCAGTGGCATTGGCGAAAGGCTTCAACTCAAAGACACCAGGGGGACCGTTCCAGAGGATAGTCTTGGCCTCAGCAATGGTCTTCTGGTAGCTCTTCACAGACTCGGGACCGACATCCAATCCCATGTAGCCGTCAGGAATGCCAGAGGCGTCAGTAGCCGCACCAATAGTGGCATCCGCAGAGAACTTGTCGGCAGTGACGTAGTCGACGGGCAGGACGATCTCGACGTTGTACTTCTTAGCCTTCTCAACGATCTCGCCAACAATCTTGCTGCCGGCCTCGTCAAAGAGGGAATTGCCAATCTTGACATTCTCCAGGGTCTTCTTGAAAGTGAAAGCCATGGCACCGGTGATGATGAGGCTGTTCACCTTAGGCAGAAGGTTGTCAATCAGCTGAATCTTGTCAGAGACCTTGGCACCACCCAGAATGGCCAGGAAAGGTCGGGCGGGGTTCTCAAGAGCCTTGGCGAAGTACTCAAGCTCCTTCTTGACGAGGAAACCAGCGGCCTTCTGGGGAAGCTCAACGCCGACCATGGAGCTGTGGGCACGGTGGGCGGTACCAAAGGCGTCGTCTGTGTAAATTGTTTAGCAAGAGCTGTAGAGAGGGGATAATGTCATAGTTGTGTCCTTTTTAAGGGGCGGGAGGATATACATACTGACGTAAATATCACCAAGAGCAGTCAAGCCCTTGCGGAACTCGGCAACCTTCGCTTGATCAGCCTTGACCTTCTTGCCCTCGGCATCCTTAGAGCTACCCTCCTCCTCAGCGTGGAAACGCAGGTTCTCCAACAAAATCACCTGGCCGCCGGAGGCCTTGTTAACAACCTCCTCGGTCTCGGCGCCAACGCAGTCCTCAGTGAAGACAACGCTCTTGCCGAGCAGCTTCTCCAGCACGGGAACGACGGGCTTCAGACTGTATTTGGTGTTGGGCTTGCCATCAGGACGACCGAGGTGGGACATCAGGACAACAGCCTTGGCACCATTCTCAATAGCATACTTGATAGTGGGGAGAGCACCGACGATACGCTGGGGGTTGGTGACGTTCTTATTCTCATCGAGAGGGACGTTGAAGTCGACCTATCATTTTGGAGGATTGGATTAGCAATTGAGGGTAGAATATTGGGTTCGAGCGGGGAATCTGGATTTCCCGATGTCAAGTTTACTTACACGGATCAAGACACGTTTGTCCTTAAGGTCAACGGCGGTGATGGGGAGCTTGTTGGAGAGAGACATTGTCGGTGGAAGTTTAATTGCACTAGATACGAATTAGATCGGCCCAGCTGCGAGGTAAAACAGAACGAAAGGATTTAGTATAAGTATAGGGGCATACCTCAACAAGGGACGGATATGGAGAAATAAAGAAGCCAGAAAGGGAGAAGTTGGTAGTATTAAAAGGAACTCTCAATCAGGGCCACGGTGAGTCGCGACAAGTAAAGACTGGAGGGGCAGAGGCACTTGTGGTGGGGCCCGGTGAGAACAAGATACCCGCATTAAGCTGGTGTTGCAATCGGTACTTCCCGGTGATGTATTCCATGGCAGCTCTATACTTGAACCTATTACGAGAAGATCGTTTAACACACAGGTACCTTTCAACCCATCAGTACTCCCCAGCCAGGTTTGCTATTACCTTCTGGGGCACTAGAATCGGGCTGATCGGGCTGATCGGGCTGATGCGGGACTGATGTCACAACTTTCCCGTTGACTACGGAACATGCCGGACGTCCTGGGTCATTCCATAGCCTCGGACATCTAGAGTCGGGGAATCCTGGGGAGATCGCTAGCATGGGAAGATGCAATTGGCCAGCCTGGAATTGTACATAGCCGCTACAATGGTGGGATGTTTTCGTAGATTCCTTTTCATTGCAACATCCCCAAAAGAACAACCCAAAAAATGGAAACAATCCCTAAAAAAAATCCTGAATAGCAAACCCAGAACATATAATGATCGACAAATTCATACTGAAATGGTAGAAGACAGAAAGAAAGAAAGAAAGAAGAAGAAGGAAACTGTACCCGAATTGATCCCAAGCAACAAAACTTCAAATTACCTTGGAGAAAATGCAACCTTTTGATTCCCCCAGTGCGAAATAACCAAAAACCAAAAAAAAAACAAATTTAATTTTATAGCCTCTGTGCAGGAAGCCCAACAGCCCTGGGCCAACCGGAACGCCTGAACCAATGGATCGCAAACGAAAGCAGTGTATAACCTAGAAGAGGATCGTGATCGTAAAATGTGGCCGCGTGGGCTAATCGTTTCAGGATTCATCAGAGGAATTGGTGAGTGAAAGATATGCGGTCCACGCGATACCGATGGAGGAGACGAATGGCTGTATAGATATAGTCAGTACGATAAGGCAAGGTCAAGTCTCCAGGAGCGACTGAGAGAACTCACAATCTGGAACTGAATAGGAATGACTCGGAAGTTCAAAATCTGCACAGCCGGCCAAAGGACAAAGTTGGCCTTGAGTGTCGGAAGATAAACATCTCGGAGCTTTTGTGTCAAAGCTCTCTTGCCTCCACCTTCAGCAATCGTCATATAAGTGAAGAAACAAGCCAACCCTATTCCCCAAACAAGTCAGCAAAGTTCCAAGCCATCCCAGTCGCGGCAAGAATTTGAACAGAACTTACCGAACGGCGCAAAGATAAATTGGTCAAATGCAACACGTTTAAATACCGGGGTGGTCGGATTTGCCTTGGTGAGAGGGAATGCCCTTGACAGGAAGCCAAACCATTGAAACTGTATGGGGGCCATGAAGAAACCGTACGCCATGAAGCGAGTCAGGCGCTCGAAATCGAATGGGGGCAGGGAGCTTCGGACATGTCCAACTTCCCCAATCGCGGGTGGTTTCTGTTTATCCAAGTCATGAATCTCTATTGAGATAAAACTATTATCATCATCCACCGTTCGTTGCTGCGAGCGAGCCCGGAACGCAGTGATTAATTGCGCAACCGTGTCAGCCACCCCACCAAGCACCTGTGTTCATCTCGTCAGTAATCTATATCTATTGCATAGCGATGTTCGCCCGGTTCGAAGGAGGCATTCGGAGCTTACAGCGTTGGTGACCATGGTCGTGAGCACTATTTCGCCAGCGGAGTCAGCCACGTTGCACACCGCAACGCCGGGATCCGGCGGAAGCTCTCAACTCACCAGGTTTTTCGGCATAGTAGGTATTGAACTTGGCAGCGATTCGAGTGGCTACTGCCATTTCGATGAGGAAGATGATCGTGTGGAGGAGAGGCTATATATTCCATTATGGGCGACTGAGTCAGTTGTGGCGCTCAAAGTGGTCCAGGAAGGGATCCGGAGCAAGCATTTGGAAATTATAAGACACAGGCTCGCCTTGTTATTGCTCAGCGGAGGGGAACATACCACGCGACCGTAAATGTATCGACGATTCAGTCCATCGAGAACTTTCCGCTTCGTGGCGGCGATCATGGTGTAGTTGGGTGGCCGTTTCCCGGAAGGTGAGGTTCAATCAGTGGTTGAATTTCCGGCAGAGTGGCTGCGGCGCGCCAGTATGACGCAAATGAGGTGTGAGAACCAGCGTAAGAAAGAGAAAGGAACCAGATCTGATCCGGTCCCAGTTTTTGCACTGGTACAAAAAGAGTAAATAGCGGATAAGGGGGAACGAGAAACAATTATATCAAGAAATAAGATGATCTGTTTCTACCCCAGATCCGAGAGAGATTGAACAGGTTCAAAGTGTGGATCAATTGATGCGACTCCGCTTCTGACTAAAGAAGTCACGTGGAGATATCACAGCCCTGTAGCCTTGCTCCTACTCTGTTCTGTATACTATAGTTAGTATCATCTCTAAATATAGGTACTTTTCTACACTTTGTCGGCCCCCAAGAATCAGGTTTTATTAAGAGCCACATTTCTCGTGTCTGTATTCTCATGATTATATATGGTTTATGTTCATATATCGTTGCACTATCAATATACATGGTGTGTGTGTGTAGTTCTTCTTCTCTGTTCTTTTTCTGTCTTCGTCACCCATCTCAATCCTAGGATCGAGGTTGATCTCCAGCAAGAATGTCAGGGAGATCTCGAATATCGGTCGTTTCATTCGTATTCGCATCCACAAGTCGCACAGCCTCCAAGCGGAGTGGACCTGTTGCAAGAGGAAGCAACTTGATTTCAGTGGAATGGCAAGTTCCAGGTAACAGTGGCCTGTAGAGATGATCAGCGTCAGATGAGATCATAATAATGCAGAAAAAAAAAGAAAAAAAAAACCAAATAAGAAACTCACCCAACTCGGAAATCAGTACTCAAACTGATCAACTCCGCTTCTTGGCCCACCGAACTCTTCTGCATGGCATGTACAATATTGTCGTCGGTGACAGCTTCCGCCACTTGATCTTCTTTCCGACTAGAAATAGAGGCTGAGGAGGGTCGCGCAACATGCCCTCGAGGGTCAAGCCGTTTACGGCGCGGAATCACAATCAGCGCAAATTTACGTGGCATATTAGATCGGTTCACGATGAAGACCCCCCATGAAAACGGGGCACCAACTTGCACGTTGACTGGTCCTGAAAAGGAGATGGTGACACCCACGTCGGTAACAGAATAAGCGCGCTCCCGTAAAGAGCTACGAGTAGCGGTAGCTGCGGGTGATTGCCCCGAGACAGAGAGGCTCGTGGGCCGATTGGTTCTCTGGAGTGCAGTACTGGGTCCGCCAAATGTGGGGTTTAAAGCCATGGAAAAGTCCACATTGGTCTTCCATTCCATAGAAATACGTGGTTGGCAGTCATCGGACAGAAGAATCACTGCGCTCAGGGAGATGTCTAACACACTCATCATAGCAGTGGAAGATGGATTGGTCTCCGGGCCATACTCCGGAGTAAGCTTGTAAACCAGAGTGACATCGTCCCTAGGGCGGCATTTTAAAGGCAGACTGAGACCAGGGGTATTAGACATAGATTCGAGGGTTCCCTCGGATATGCTCAGTGCTGCTTTGTCGAAAGAAACCTCGCAGTTCAAATATGGCGTTACCTCGAAATCGAGGCTGGCGACAGTCGTAGGAATGCCAGTATAAGAGCTGAGCCGTGAATACCTAATCCTAGCGCTAGCTGCAGGAACAACTCGAAATGGGTGGCCATGCTGTTGTTGAATATTATAGATTGGATCTTCACTGTAGGCTGTGGGTACTACACGAAGCAGTCTTGAGGCGGGAAGAAAGGGATCTTTGTGGGCAAGGGACCTGTCGCCTGCCAATGATTGCAGCATATTGGTCGATGCAGGGACAAGAGGGGGGAGGTAGTCATCTTCAGGGTCTACTGGTCGGCAACCTTCTGAAGGGTTCAAGGTTGCTGAACCGATGAATAGAAGGGAGGGGTGTTGGATTCGATTTCGAGGGCGTTCTTGTCATGTCAGCATGTCGGAATTTGTAGCATTGCGTTGAGTACTCACTCAAAAAACTCTCAATGTTCCATAACAGGTAAATATGGTTTCCAGTGCCACCATCCTCTCCCTCGAATTCGTTGAAAACCACCAGCGGCTCTTCTTCTGTATTCACAATCCCAGAGAAAATCACCTCTCTTGTAGGTGTCGGGTTTTCCGCGACTGATTCTGTCGGGTCCACGGCGTAGACATCCAGTCTGACTTCCAAGCTGGGGAGGTAATGCTTAAGGATAACATCGGTGCAATCGGAGAGTCTTAGAACAATACGAACGGGAAGCGTCTCGTCTAGTGAGCTTTGATCAGTAAGACGAGACCTTCAGCTTAGGTTAAAGTGGACAACATACCGAAAAAGAGAATAGATCGTTGAGGAATTGAGGCAAGAACTGAAGGTAGATCATCGGCGCCATCTTCTAATGCGGCGGTCAGAGCTCCCTCGAGATCAAGTGCTGGAGAGTGCGGCACGACTGTTTCCAGCACTGCATGCCGCAAGAACTCGCCAGGGATCTCCAGGCCAGACATTACGACTGGAATCGTCGCATGTGAATGATCTCAACAAGCTCCTAGGGTAATTGACAACAAGTGCTGTAGGCGCAATAAGGAGATACGGGATGATAAGATGAGAGTGCAAACCGTGCAAACTCCGAGCTTCATCCGCGCGCGCTTCGCTTTTTCTTTCTTCTTGATCCCCATCAGTCTACACCTCTAGTGCAACCATGAACCCAAAGAATGGCCCAGGTGGTGCCTCAACCATTTGGCAGGAGGCGCGCAATGCCGAGGGAAGGGTTTACTACTATAATGTGCAGACAAAAGCGACACAATGGGCTAAGCCCGTTGAGCTGATGACTCCTGTTGAGGTTGGTATCTCCGCTACGTTACCCTATGAAACCCTGTACCAATAATCATATATATTCCAGCGTGCGCTAGCAGATCAACCTTGGAAGGAGTATACAGCGGATGGTGGACGAAAGTACTGGTATAATACGGAGAGCAAACAGAGCACATGGGAAATACCTGAGGCTTACAAGAATGCGCTTGCGCAAGCTCCTCCTGTGCCAGGTCCGCCAGTGGCGTAAGCATACCATATAACCTTGGAAGCTTTTCTTTGAATTTGTCTAACACTTTTCAGTGCTCCTTCTTTCGTTGCAGGTGGCGGTAGCTCCTACTCGCACCCACACCATGAACGCGATGATTACGATCGGGGTGACCGCGGCGATCGAGGTGACAGAGGCTACAACGACCGACGAGGATACGGTAATTTCGATACAAACGGCATGGTTGCTGCCCCAGCAATGAACACTTCGGAGCCCGAATACGGCTCTATCGAAGAAGCTGGGGGCGCTTTTATGAAGATGCTCAAAAGGCACAATGTGCTGCCCGATTGGACTTGGGAGCAGACCATGCGGGTGACGATTAAGGACCCGCAATATCGGTCTCTGAAGGATCCGCGAGATCGTAAAGCTGCTTTTGAGAAATACGTGGACGAGGTTCGCACGCAGGAGAAGGGTCGGGCGAAAGAAAGATTCGCTAAGCTCCGAGCAGATTTCAACACTATGCTGCAGCGCCATCCTGAGATCAAGCACTACAGTCGCTGGAAGACGATCCGTCCCATTATCGAGGGTGAGACGACTTTCCGAGCCACCAGTGATGACAACGAGAGACGCCAACTCTTTGAAGATTACGTGATTGAGCTCAAGAAAGCCCATGTGGATCAAGAAGCCGCTACACGGAAGGTCGCCATGGATGAGTTGGTTGGTATCCTTAACGGTCTGGACCTTGAACCGTACACGCGCTGGTCCGAGGCTCAGGTGGTCATCGAGTCCAATGACAAGGTGCAGGGTGATGTTAAGTTCAAGTCTTTGACCAAGTCCGATATTTTGACTGCATTTGAGAATCATATTAAGTATTTGGAACGTACATTCAATGATGCCCGTCAGGAGCAGAAGACTGTTCAAGCCCGCAAAGAGCGCCGCAACCGAGAACATTTTCTCGAACTCTTGAAGGAATTGAGGTCTCAGGGTAAGATCAAAGCAGGAAGTAAGTGGATGAACATCTGCCCTGTGATTCAAAATGATCCCAGGTACCAAGCTATACTGGGTCAGTCTGGGTCGACTCCCCTTGACATGTTCTGGGATATGGTGGAGGAGGAAGAGCGCTCGCTTCGTGGTCCTCGTAATGATGTGCTGGATGTTCTTGATGTAAGCCAGACTACCCATGCACTTTTCTTCTTCTTTTCTTTTCGTTCTTCTTCTGTTGTACTCACACATTCACTAGGACCAACGCTATGAGGTTACCGCGAAAACTACCTTTGAAGAATTTAAACCTGTCGTCGAATCCGACCGGCGAACCTCTAAAATTGACCCTGACACGCTCCAGCTCATCTTCCAACGTATCCAAGACAAAGCAATTCGCCGGGATGAAGAGGAGAAACATGCAGCTGATCGCCACCAACGCCGTGCTGTCGATGCACTCCGTTCACGAATCAAGCGCATCGAGCCCCCACTGCGGGTTACGGATACCTGGGATCAGGTCCAACCTCGACTAGAAAAGTACGAAGAATACAAGGCCGTCGAAAGCGACGAGATGCGGGAGTCTGCATTCGACAAAGTAATCCGACGCTTGAAAGAAAAAGAAGAAGATCTAGAGAAAGACCGCGAGTTGCGAGAGCGCGATCGAAGCCGTCGAGACAATGATCGTGAATATCGCAGTCGGGGAGAACGACGAGGTGGCAGCCGCGCCAGTCGCTCGCCCGAGCCAGACGCCTATGAGGCAGATCGACGCAAAGCCCAGGCAGATCGCGAACGATCTTACCGTACGCGTGACGATCGCGGCGATCGCAGCGATCGAGATAGAGAGCGTGACCGAGACCGCTACCGTGATCGGGAGCGGGAACGGGACTTCGATCGCCGCCCAGGCAGGGATTTGGACCGCCGGGAAGACGAACGTGAGCGCTTATACCGTACTCGTGGTGATCCTCGTGGAAGTCGCGATGAGCTCGATTATGGAGAAACCCGCAGCACCACTAGTGGTGGAGACCGTAGACGCAGACGGGAGAGTGACACTGAGAGTGTAGCAAGTCGTTCTGTGAAGCGATATCGCCGGGATAGTCGTGAACGGGACCGCAGCAAGGGACCACGACGAGACCGTGGAAGAGAGCGCCCTGCCATTCCTGAGGAAGACATCAAAGATGCAGAAAAGGCAATTCATTCTGGAAGTGAGGAAGGAGAGATTGAAGAGGATTAGATTGAGGAGACGAACTATACCTACTACAATTTGACTTAGAAGAGATCAAATATCAAGCTATATTCTTTTCTTTTTGGAACTTTTATCCTAAGTTTATATGACATTTCTATACTAGGGCACCTAACTATCTGCCGCTTATCACACCTGCGCTATATACTTTAAACTTCACTGGCATAAGTGCATATACATGTACAGAGACGAGTTCTGCTTTGGATATCTGTGTTGGTGGTAAGGTAACATGGATAGAATCTCCCTTAATACCCTGCAGCATTTGGCATAGTCTCCGGAGCATCCTTTCGGAACTTATTAGTGATCAAATTACCAAAGGAGGGTGACCATGCAACCCGTGGAGTCAGAACTGGCAAATCCCACAGCTCAGAAACAAACTTCAGGATCGAAGTATGAGTAAAGTCGCCACCCCCAGCGCTGGGCTTATTCTGGACCACGCCTTTCTCCACCCAAGGTGAAATCAGCATAGCAGGAACCCGGATACCCAAGCGATCGAAATGGAAAGTGTAGTTCTTACCATCTGGAGCCTGCTCTGTATATGGGATATTATCACCAGCTGGAACGCCCGTGGGAGGAGCAACATGATCAGCAAATCCACCATGCTCATCCCAGGTGACGATGAACAGAGTGTCTTTCCATTGTGGGGACCCACGAACTGCATCATAGACGCTCTTCATGAAGTTCTCGCCCATATTGATTGGGGACTTTGGATGCATAGATGTGTAAGAGCAGCATTCAGGATTAATCCATGTGAATTGGGGGAGCTTGCCATTTTTGGCATCTTCGTAGAATCGGTCAATGGGGAGAACATTCGTGTTTCCCATTCCTGACTTGGCAGTCCATTGGTAGAATAATGCATCGGGAAGGAAGTCTAACGATCCTCCATTTGTGGTGTTTTGATAATTTATCCAGGTGATGTTGTGCTCTGTTAGCTGCTCAAAGATAGATTTCTGGGGCAGCATCGAGGTGTTGTATGCATTATCGTTAGATCCATGGCCTAGATGATAGGTTAGTTACCTAATGATTAATTTTCCAGGATTGTTGGTTTGAGATGATATATGTATCTGGCACATACCATGAACAGTTCCAGAAGTCAAGTAGGCTCGGTTGGGGTTTGTCGGGCCTGGGATGGCGGCAAACCACCGATCAAAAAGAACAAAGTTCTCTGCCATAGCTTCTGTGACCGGAACCAAATCTGGCTGGTAATAGTTGATGACTTCAGCTGCCTCCATCATGTTTTGTTGAAGGCTATACATATAGCTCTGCTCGGTGACAAACCCATTCATGGACGATTTGACATTTGTAGAAGGATGGTAAGTACCAAAGACCTGCATATTCCCGCCGGTGATTGTGTGGTCAGGATCATCAGAGGCGACATTCTGAGCAATCCCAGCAGCGCAGATATTCTCTGAGTGTGCCAGTGATACATTAGCTGGGTTGCAATAGGCGTGGTTGACAAGGCCATCTATAGCTGAGTTATAGGTAAACCCGCCAGCTAGGGTATCGAATGAACGATTCTCTTGAACAAGAACCACAACATTTTTAATATTTTGCATGCCAGAGCTAGTAGGAAGTGCTGTGGCTCCAAGGAACAGGGCACATGTGAGGAGGACAGAGGACAAAGCCATGGTGGCAGAGAGATGAAACGGGACTCTTTGAGGGACAAAGAATTTCGCCAGGTGAACAGGTGAACAGGTAAACAGTAAAAATTAGTAGGTCAATGGGCTTCTATTTATCTGATTAATCTAATGAGTCTAGTCTACTCCTTGCATTTCTGACTCGGAATCTGAATTAACCCAATATTCGCTTCCCACGCGACCTCTTGCCAGGCTTGGAAACATGTGCAGATCAGCTAGAAAATCCTTATGCCACATATTAGACGGTCAATCTACTACTGCAGTAAATACTCACTAGTCCTCTATAGATCCTCAACTTTGCTTGGCTTCCCCACACAACCCCCACTGGTCACACGAGCGTGACTGGCATGCCCCACATCTCGTCCCTGGCTGTCCTTTGGTCAGGCATAATCTTGGTCACCTTAGCTCAAGCCAGCCCGGTGATCAAGAATGGAACGTTGCATTATCATTAGCTTAGGTAGATGGTTAAGTGGGGATGTGAAGAGGGGTTCCGTCAACATACTCGCCTAGACATGCCGAGACAAAGGTAAGATCAACAATGTAACATGCAGGACATCACTCGAAAATTAGACCTGAGTGGGCTATTTTCCGCGGGGGTAAAACATATCATAATCGGTTGAATGAAAAGATGCGAAGGATTTATGGAAATGTAAATAATGGATATGTAAATAATGGATATGTAAATAATGGATATGTTACTAGTAGAGCGCTCCACGCTTTTGCTACTACTATATCGCGAGTAGCGTATATACTTATGCGTGTACCACTCCTTTTCTCCATATAGCTTTAGGTAGTGGGGAAAATAACAATTGAATGTAACGCATGCATCATTACGCAGATATATGCCTTTGTCTGGCCTTCTGCCTTGCATATGTAGGTACAGTATCTATTCCCGCCTGGGCATGCTGTGTATTGAAACTCAGATGTATGTCTATTTGTCTATTTCGCCCTTACATTATACTGTAAGTATGCTTTTCAGTCAAGCTCCATTGATAGGGCTTGAAATGGTACATTTTTTTTCCGTGTAAAGATAAAGTTTTCCCATGCGCTGCCTAGGTTCTAACTAGCATAGACCTCGGGCTATACTCCTTTCCCGTTATCCGGTTTCGGGCGGAGAACAATGTGGTTGAAATGGCCCTGAAGCCACGCTATCAAGTCAGATGGCCTGATTAGAATAGTATGACCAAATAGACTTTTTCTCATTAAATTCTCCGATATTCCAAAGAAAAGAAAAGAGGAAGGGGGAAATAGGAGGATGCAAAGAATGTCCCCATCGGATACATACTCGGCCCATATCAAAGTTGAACTCCCGCCCTTAAGAGTCTCTGAGTCTCTATTCAGGTGTTCGATGCTGAGAATCTTTGCAGTCGTTGAGTGCAAGAAAGTTCATTCTCATGCTAGGGCGCGTTAATCTGAGCTTCATACATATATAGGTAGTATCTACTAAGCTTTTCAGGCCTTTGTATATAGACATAGATATACATGTAGTAGGTAGAGGTAGTAGTAGTAGCAGTAGTAGTAGTAGTAGTAGTAGTAGTAGATAAACAGCTCTGCTACATACTTGGATGCACACGTGTCTACTATAATATAATGCTTCAAATATGCCTTCGAAGTAGGCTGCTCATCATTGTCATATTGTTGAATGCTGATCGCCCGGCACTGCGCATAACTCCGGGCGCACTCGGTCTAGTTGCAGGCCCTAGCTTATCTCCGGTGACGTCGGCCACACTCTATGCCGATTCATGAAGAATCAGTCCCCCACTAAATATGCCGAACCAATTGCGATGAAGAGCGGGCCCGTCGACCGGTGTAGAGGTTCGGATGTAAGGAGTAGACAAACTATGTGTATGAGGTATGGAATCTGTTGACTGAAGCTGCCGGGAGGCGATCATGAAAAATCAGGTATAAAAAGTCTCTCCCACCACGGTAAGAACACCATCCGTTATCAACCTTCTTCCAATTCCTGCCTCTCTGATTTCAACCATTAGACCATTCTATAAGACCCAGGAGATCTTTGAAGGAGAAATATATACCCACAAACCTTGGAAATGCCTTTCATTAACGGTAAAGAAGTCGGTCCCACTGGCTATGGCACCATGCGTAAGTTGTTCTGTTTGCAGAGATCTCAAACCCCCTCAGTCTGTAACAAGGCCAAAGAGATTGACAACACCCAGGAATGACTTGGACTGCTGAGCCAACTCCAGATACCGCCGCTTTTGAAACCCTGAACAAGGCTCTAGAGCTTGGTGCCAATTTCTGGAACGGCGGCGAGCTGTACGGGACCCCGGAGTACAACTCGTTGCACTTGATGAACAAGTACTTCACCAAGTACCCCGAGAATGCCGAGAAGATTGTCCTCAGTATCAAGGGAGGCCTGCAAGTTGGCTCTTTAACCCCAGATGGCTCAGAAGAGAACATACGCCGTAGCGTGGACACTTGTCTGAAGCTGGTGGGCGCGAAGAAGATTGATATCTTTGAGTGTGCACGCCAGGATCCGAACTTTCCTATTGAGCATACCGTGCAAGTTCTCGCGAATTACGTGAAGGAAGGCAAGATTGGCGGAATTGGATTGAGCGAGGTGGATGCCGAGACAATCCGGCGCGCGTATGTGCATGAAAGAAAAATTTCGATTCTGATATGCTACATGAATATATCACTAACTGATCTCTATAGAGCTAAGATACACCCCATTGCCGCAGTCGAGGTCGAGGTGTCCATGTGGTCACCCGATATTTTCGAAAACGACATCGCCAAGACATGCGCTGAGCTCAACATCCCCGTCGTTGCTTACTCGCCGCTGGGACGTGGCGCCTTGACCGGTGCCCTCACCTCGGTATCCGACATTCCCGAGGGCGACTTTCGCCATCACTTGGCACGCTTCAAGGAAGAGAATTTCCAGCAAAACATGAAACTTATCAATGAGGTCAAGAGCCTAGCCGGTCGAAAGGGGGTTGCACCGGCTCAGGTGGCTTTGGGATGGATTCGAAGCCTGAGCGACAAGCCCGGCATGCCTACTATTATTCCCATCCCCGGAGGTACCACCGTCGATAAGGTCACACAAAACCTGAGTGGAGTCAAACTTTTCTCCGTTGAGGAGATGGCAGAGGTCGATGCTATTTTGAAGCAACATACTGTTGCTGGAGGACGATACGTGTAAAATAAGTAAACCTGCTGGATTGTTAGAACGAGATTCCAGATATACAACAATGAATGACAATGCATGTATAGTTTAATAAGAGAGATCAGATCAAGTGTAGAAGAGTCAACATACAATCTCACAGAAATCGAACCCGAAAATCCAATTTGGAGATTGTCTGCATTGCAGAATTCTTCTTTGTGTTCATCAGGGAAACAGGGGTGGGGGGAAAAGTAAACATAAGATGAATCTTACATTGTAGATGGCTAGCTCAAGACAAGAAAGCTGGTTATTAGTGTGATCCCTGAGGGAGTAAGGGAAGAGGAAAGCGCAATGAAGAAAAAATAAAAATCGAACTTAAAGCTGCATATTTGTCACGTGATCCGGGAGCGACAGCAGCTCCATACATCGATTGACTTACTCCTTGAAACTAACAAGCATTCTCGATTCAACACTCCCCCTCAAGTCCCCGATAAATCTTTGACAAAGAACCTTTGTCGCTGGCCTTTATTTATTCACCATGGCCTCTCGCGATTCCCCCGGTTCGCCCCTTTCATCCGTCGGCACTGCAGAGGACTCGGACCATGAAACAGTCAAGCATGAAAGTCGCGCACAATCACCATCAGCCCCATCCAACATGCCTCCCTCAAAACGACGACGCACTGGTGTCGCATCTTGGGATCGAAATACCCCTCTGTCATCTGTTCAAGATGATGCTCCTCCAGCCTCACCAACAGCCTCCATCTCCTCCGATAGCTCCGGCGATGCTCCAGCTTCCGACTTCCCAGCCTACTTAGGCACCGCTAACCAGGACGATGATTACAGCGGTCGAACTTCTGACCAAGTCACCATGTGCCTGTGGGATGGGTGCACGGCCGGTGATCTCGGGAACATGGATGGGTTGGTGCAGCACCTCCACAATGAGCATATCGGGAGCCGACAGAAACGGTACTCGTGTGAATGGATCGACTGTTCCCGCAAAGGTCAAACGCATGCCAGTGCATATGCTCTTCGTGCTCATATGAGAAGTCACACCCGCGAGAAGCCGTTCTACTGTACCCTACCAGGTATATCCCATTTCCTCCCTCCTGCCTCCTGCCCTACATTTCATGCGGAAAGCTTCTACTACGCTCCTATGAGGTTTAATCATACACAAGGCACACCACTGAATTGAGCTAATGGCATGATCTTATCAGAATGTGACCGTAATTTCACTCGGTCTGATGCCCTCACAAAACACATGCGCTCTGTCCACGAAGTCGACTCCATGCGTCAAGCAGACGCAAAATTGAATGCTAGCGGCACGACTAGTGTAACGGGCACACCGGCTTCAAAACTTCAACGCATTCGATTGAAACTCACGCATCCGCAAAAGGATGGCGCTGATGGTGACCACCCGGACCATATCATTTCTATGAACGCTGCACCTCTAATAGACGCCGACACGGAAGACATGATGATGCCCGAGTATGGACCCGAGCTTGGGTTCGATAGCCATGAGCTCGCCACACCTCCACATGACCTATACAGGCTACTACGGCGACAAATCTTTTGGGCGGAAAAGGAAGGGACGCAGCTGCGTGGGGAGTGGGATGAGGTTCGACCGCAGCGCGAACGCGCGTGGCGAGAGAAGGAGGCTATCTTTGAGGATCTTATCGATGCAGAGTTGAGGCTCTTCAGTGCTATTCTTGGGGATTCAGATGTGACTGTTCCGCCTGCGACCAGTTTGGGGTCATCGGATCCGTTAACCGGTCTACAGAAGCTTCAGCAGCAACAACAACAATTTGCCCGCCAGCAAGAACAATTGAGAGCGAAGTCTGCAGAGGCAGAAGATAGTACAGCCGTGGTATAGTTCTTTACCAGTTTTCTCTGAGCTCTCCGCTGTGTTTTCATTTCCTTTGTCCTTTTTCTGTTTCTCTCACCCCCTTCGGTTCTTCATTTTTTCGGCGTGCATGGTGTTAAAGATTTTTACGCTTACGGGCCTAGGAGGAATGGGCAATTGTATGAATAATTTCTTTCTTGATACTGGGCTACGTAATATCCCAGGGTTTAGTTTATTGAACTAATTTATGATGGGTTTGTGAACATGGATCCTAAACACATATTCCCACCCATCGATAAACGCAATATATGTGGACGAGGCAATTGGAGTCCGAGAAGTCCTGAATAGGACTACTTTCTTTGTTCTAATCAAATAATGTATGAAATTGGACATCACAAATAGTGCCCCAAACTAGCTGAATGTCTTGTGCAGCGTAAAAATCAATCGACGCCGTGGTAGCCACTCCATAGGATACAAATGTGCTGAGAAGCAAAATAACATGACAAGATGATACCAAATAGAGGATGGGTCGAGGGACAAAAGTAGAGGGGGGAAATTGAGAGAGAAAAAAAGACGGTCTGCCAGGACAGTCTAAACAACTGTATATTGGCGACCCCAAAGAAAAAAAAAGAATAAGAACAGAAATTAAATCTGGGCAGATCCAGCTAGCCCAGAACCCCGCCCAGTAGGAGAGATGAGGTCAAGTCTTGCGGTCTGCCAAGGAGGAAAGATGAAAGTAAAAGCAAAGCTGGGGAGACAAAAAGGATAGACAGAAACTCCAAAAAGAAGACCCCAAACACGCCATGCAAATATCGTCTGACATTCGAATCATTTTCCAAGTCAAATCGGACTCCCCTTCGGTGTCTGTTTTGGGTTGCGCAAATCATTCGACGCCTTTCGCAATGCCATGCAACTCGGTGCATCCGTATGTACTTCAATGAAAGAAATGATCATTGACTTTTGAATGTTGGTAAAAAAAAAGGGAAAAGAAAAGAAAAGAGGAAGAAGAAGATAGAGAAGAGAAGCAAAGGGGGAGAGAGATAAATAGAGAGATATGAGGGAATAGTCGTGACTGAGTTATAAGAAAATGTCCGAAATTCCGCCAAATGTAGACAAGGGCTTCGTCAGATAGTGAGTCGTGATATGCGGTAGACGGAGATGATGAAATCAAAGAATTCAATGGCCAAATTAGGCCCTAGAGGCCTTAGCTTCTTGAACCTTCTTGAACATTGCCTGAAGCTTTGCACCGGTGACTTCACTATTGGGCCAGTAGTTGACGGAAACATAGTCCCTAGAGGAGGATTAGAGATGAGGAAAGGGAGGGGGGAGGGATTGGTAGAATGTCAGGGTTGGAACTTACCACAGACGCTTTTCGAGGGAGGCCACTGACGTGTCGTCTCCTAGGGTTTCACGAATAAAATCACCAATTTTCATAATGGTTGTTCTAAGCTCATGTGCTCGTTTGCCCTTGTCCGGATAGTTCTTAGCCGTGATTTTTGATACGTTGTCCAAGATGCCCACAATAGGTTTCAGCACCCTGAAAGCCATGTCGTCTTTCTCTTTGCTAGAGCCGCCGTTTTCTTGGGATTTGCGTCGACGTAGCTCATCATTACCAGCATCAGAAATCCGACGTCGGTGACGATTGGCGTCATGTCCTGACTTGGGACGGTCGTGACTTGGTGTATGGTTCCGGTCAACACCATCTCGGCCGCCATGGGAGCGCTGCCGGGCACGATCCACTTCTCGCTGGCCTTTGCGGGTCGATGGAGCAGGGGACGCAGAGACACTACCGCTGCCAAGGCGCGAATTGCGCTTGTTGTTCCGGTGGTGGTTGTCAACTGCACGTCGGGCGCTAGCATTATTGCCACTACTATATTTGTTTCGCAAAACGGAAAGTAGGTACTCCGCTCGGCGGACAAGATGAACGGCGCCGGGTGACTTCGTGGACCTTTCCTCGCCCTGCAAACGCTGGGTTTTTCTTTCCACCCGATGCTCTTCTAAGAAGAACTTTTCACTGAGACCCAACTCTGTGTCATCACGAATTTGGGCCCAGGCACCGAATCCATGCCGGGCAATGCCTACCAAGAGCATACCGTCCTCTTGAGCACCCCAAGGGCAACTGTAGTCAGCCAATTTAGTGGCTTCTGGAAGACGAAATGTTCTGAAGTCGGCGGGTAAGGTCGTCATCTTTCGAACCAGCCGCATATCAGGAGGCCGGTCCACAATAGTCCAAGCATTCAACCGCTTGACGCCGTGATGATCAAACAAAACTGCTTTTTGCTCTTTCTTGGTGAGATTCTTGCCAGATTGCTTCATGGCCTCCATTTGCGTTAAGTTATCCTGGACAAGGGAGTTTGCCTTGTCAGTCATTTCGCGAAGAGCAGCGCGTACAGTCTCCCGGTCACGACTCTGTAATCGAGCATCTTCAAGAATAAGCTCTTCGCAATCATCCAGATCGCCGTAACGGAGGAATGCACGGGACAGAGCTCGGTACTCTTTCTCTCCCAGAGGACGCATGGGATCTAATGAGCTATTATCCTCGTCATCGCCCTCATCAATGGCGACTTGAGCCCGAGCTTGGCGTTTGGCTTTGCGTTCTTCTCGTGAATCCCGTGACTGGGTGGCAGCTTGACGTTTTCTCGGTTGGTTTTCCTGGATCACATCTGCAAGATATTTCTCATCTGCCTTGCGTTTCTCATCGGCCTTGATCTCATTTAGTTGTTCTTTGGGAATGATGTCATCCCAGCTGAGATCATCGACCTTGATGTCGACAAAGTCAAAGGCCTTCAAAAATTCCTCGCCACCGTCAGCTTGAATCTGCTCCGTTTCTTCGGTCTGATGAAGCTCGGCGTTGGCAAGCACGGAGTCAATGTCCAACGATTCCAGCTTCTTTTGGTTATCGGTTTGTTCGAACATTCGCTGTCCACGTCGCTTCAGAATCCGAGAGATGTCTTCCGTCGAGTTTGGTTCCCCAATTACTCGAGACATCTTATTTTGCATCTCAGAGGCTTCCTTGTCAGTGACACCCCGTTGTATGGTGATAAATTCTAGCAGAAGCTTGTTTCGTGCTCTTTCGATAACTTCTTCTTCAATCGTGTCTTTTGAAACGAGACGATAGACACTGACGGGCCTGGTCTGGCCAATACGGTGAGCCCGTGCCATGGCTTGTAAATCGGCTTGCGGGTTCCAATCCGAATCAAAGAGAACGACAGTGTCCGCTGTCATCAAATTGATCCCAAGACCACCGGCACGTGTAGACAGAAGGAATGCAAAATCCGTACTTTCGGGGGCATTGTAATGTTCAATTGCCAAGCGACGGGCCGCCGAGGGGATAGTTCCATCCAACCTTTGATATTTGTAATTACGGTACTCCATATACTCACTCAGGATGTTGAGCATGCCAACCATCTGACAGAAGATCAATACGCGGTGGCCATCTCTCTTCAGTTTTCCAAGAAGTTGATCCAACAACATCATCTTTCCACTGCTAGTAATCATAGCACGCAAGATATCTTCACGTCTAGTACTGCCTTCCAAAATCCTAGCCTCCGCATTAGGAAACATGAAAGGGTGGTTACTTGCTTTCTTCAGCTCCATCATGATGTTCAGAAGCGACTGCTTCATTCCTCTGGCACCGTCATTTAGCGCAGCATAGTTTTTCGTGAGAATGTTTTTGTAGTACTCTAGCTGGACATCGGAGAGTTCCACACGAATGATCTTCTCAGTCTTTGGAGGGAGGTCGGATTCCACCTTGGACTTGGTACGTCGTAACATGTATGGCTGAATGGCATCAGTCAACTCAGCCAGCTTTTGTGATGCAGCGTCAGAGTTGAGATCCATATCGACATCCACTTGGATCACACCGGGATTTAAAAAGTCCATAAGGGATGACAACTCTGCCAGATTGTTTTGGATCGGAGTGCCCGTAATAAGCAGGCGCGCCTGGCACTTCCACTCCACCAGCTTCATATAGAGCTGAGAGTCGCGATTCTTCAAACGATGTGCCTCGTCAACGGCCATGAACTGCCATTTGAATTGTCCAAGGAATGGCGAGTCATTCATGGCATACTCATAGGTCGTTAATAACACGTGGAATTTTGGCCGCTTGGGATTACCATCCACCATCAACTCATAATCACGGAGAACACCACGAGCTTTTTCACTACCGTTGTAAACAACATAGTTCAGATCAGGTGTCCAGTTGTCGAAGGTATCGGCCCATGCTGGCATGGTTGACAAGGGCACAATAACAATAAAAGGTCCTTGTTGTCGGCGAACATGACGCATCCAGTTTATGAAAGACACGGTTTGGACTGTCTTGCCTAGCCCCATCTCATCCGCTAGCACCACATTTCGATCTCTAACCCAGTTGAAAGCAAGGAAGTTCAGACCCTTGATCTGGAAGTCCTTTAGCTCGCCATTTTGCAAAAAACTTGGCGTGGTATGAATTGCCTCGAACGTATTGCGCGTGGCCGGATTTGATTCCAATTTGTCAGAAACGGGATGCCGGGCGGAACGATCAATGAATCGATCAATTTCGCGCTGTGCGATGACACTAATCAGATCTTCCGCCTCCCACGTACATGAGTCGTAGAAAAGCCGTTTCCATTTGACGAGATATTCAGTTATGCCATTGTCCTCTCTGGCACCGATCACTCGTTCAACCTGTTTGTAATCCTCAATTGCTTCGACATCTCTTTCACGGTCGAGGTTCCATTTTTCCCGATCTTCTGGGGGGGCGTCTGGGTCATGCTTAAGCCGAAGATCTTCATTCAGCACCTTGCGAACATAATTGTCCACTCGACGAGTGCTACGGTAGTTCACAAGGTCTTCATTCGGCACCCAACTAGAATGGTAATATGACTGATCCTGCCACTTGATGTAAAACTCGAAATCTTGGCGATCTGTATCAGGATTATTAGGATCGACGCCATCTTTAAGTCGATGGTTGAGGACGACATCAACGGCTGGTCTATTATCTTCCTCGTAGCCTGAACCCCAGTAGCTCGGTTTGAGCTCATCTGGGTCCTCTTCGAATATTTCATCATCCTCGTCCTCGTTGTAGTTTGATATCTTAGACGCGTTTCTTGTGGAGAAACGAACTTCGGTGAAGGAAGACTCGTTGCCTGTAGCTTGCTGGAGGCGGCGGCGTCTTGCCTTATTCGCACGAGCACCTTTGCCGCCATATTCATCGCTGTCTGTCTCCGATAACGACGAGGCAGTTGCTGATCGCGAGGTCTTTGAGGGCTGTTGAGAAGGCTCCTTGCGCCGGCGCTTAGAGCGCGGCGCGACCGAATCGGATTCAGAATCGGATGAATCTGCAAGACGACGTGTTGTACGGGCACGACCACTCCGACGCAACCCAAACAAGTCCGCATTTTGGTTGATATACTCTCGCTCATCCGGCGGTGATGATTTGCGCTTGAGTCCTTGGTCGGCATGCGGGGATGCAGAGTTTTCACGACTTGACTGGGCCATGTCATCATCGCTATTTTCCATCACTACATCATCATCATCTCCATCCGAAGCCGGAGATTCGGCATCGTATGAATCATCCGCGGCATCGGGCTCGGGGGAGGACTCGTAGACAGGATAGGACTCGACTGGATCGGATGGGGTATGTTCGTTCTCTGCAATCGCATCGATATTGGGCTCGACCTTATCAACAGGGAGGGAATGCGAATATCCGTTGGACATTGTGGAAGTAGAAGGAGGTCCTTGACCCGATGGGATCACCATGCTAGATGCTATGACCGAGGGGCAGTCAGCATTGAAGCTCAATTCAAGTTGGCAGGCACATTATGTACGTGTATTTCGGTAGAACAATGATACGCGACTCAGTTCGCAGGGAATTAAAGCTTATATGAGGTAGATTGGGGTATGATATCAAGACTGATGGGCTTTGATAGTTTTTGATGCTGGGTGGCATGGACGCGGTCACCACTGAAGCAGGCAGCAAGAGAGCATTGACCGCGACGATCCACCAAGGATAAACAATAAAGGCAGATTCTGGGGATTGTGTTCATCATTCTCTTCCCATGTCCTTTAACATGTATAAATTGGGGGATTCTGGCAGTGGGTCGATGGACGCGGAGAAGTACCCGAACGAAGCGCTTTGGCGATATGTTTGGGGATAGGCGTAGAGGAAAAGAAAAACTTACACTCCATAGCGTGGTGACCCCAGAATAGGGGAGGCTAGGGTATCAATGTTGTAAAAAAAGAAATGGCGGGCGGCGAAGGCGACGATGATGGAGATGAAGACAAGACGAGTGAGGGAGAGAGAGTTGGGGGAGGATTGATTCGGGTTTGGTTTGGTTTGCAGGCAAGGATCGGCCTTCCTGCCCGATAATTCAGGTATCAATTCTCCCGGGTTTCAAATTGGGACTAGCGTATTCGCTTCGCGCATGAACAACTGGCAGTCATGTGACCGCGTGGTCATTCACGGATCATCTGTTATTCCGGTGGACTGTCGGGAACCAATCAGCTTCAAGCTAAATAATGCGGACGCCATCCAGGCGGTCACTTTGTGTCAGCCTGAGGCATGACAGCCCACAATAAGAAAGAAGAAAGCCGGTTCATTTCTGCCCCCGACGCTGCCATTGTTGTCGTCTTCAACCCCGTCAATTTGAGTCTGCGCAGATACCTGGTGCGTTTACTGCGCCTGAATACTGTGTTGCATCAGTACCGATCTCGCCCAACCCACCGGATCTCTTTGGAGAAGCCCTACACGAATTTCTTGTTACCCGCTTTTATACATAAATAACGCTGGTTCCTTGAACCGAAGCCTTCACCATGTCTGACAAGCTCACTCGGTATGAACCTCCCCCCCACGCGATGGAGCACAGGTTTTCGTTTTTTGATATATGACGCGTTGCTAACACTTTTGCGCTTTGAAGTATTGCCATCATCAACTCGGATAAGGTTCGTCCCAAGTACCCCGCTAACGCGAAAGGAAAAAAAATCTCGTTCACAACCCGCTTACGTCAAATCCTTTCGAATATGTAGTGCAAACCGAAGGTATGATTGTTAAACTACCTGGTAGGAAATATGGTGCTGATTGAGTATAGAAATGCCGTCAAGAGTGCAAGAAGTCCTGTCCGGTCGTCCGTAGCGGTAAACTCTGCATTGAAGTGACCGCTGAGTCGAAAATCGCATTCATCTCCGAGCGCCTGTGTATTGGTTGCGGTATTTGCCCTAAAAAATGTCCCTTCGGTGCCATCCATATCATCAACCTGCCCACCAACCTGGAAACTCAGGTTACCCATCGGTACTCGGCCAACAGCTTCAAGCTCCACCGTCTTCCTATGCCCCGCCCCGGTCAAGTCTTGGGTCTTGTTGGAACAAACGGTATTGGCAAGAGTACTGCGCTAAAGATTTTGAGTGGCAAGCTGAAGCCTAACTTGGGTCGCTATGAAAATCCACCCGATTGGGAGGAGATTCTGAAGTACTTCCGTGGCTCCGAATTACAGAGTCAGTATATAAAAAATGATCTCGCAAAACGTTTCAATTTACTGACTCAAGCTAGACTACTTTACCAAGATCCTGGAGGATGATCTGAAGGCTGTTGTGAAGCCCCAATATGTCGACCAGATTCCTCGCGCTGTGAAGGGACCTGTCAAGGGTGTGCAGGAACTCATCCAGAGCCGCTCCCAGCTCGACAACATGGAGGAGATCATGGATGTGCTTGGTACGGCCGCCCTTTCCCCTTTTACAAAAAAATATAAACACTGACTAGCCTCTCATAGAGCTGAGACAGGTTGCGGATCGCGATATAAACCATCTCTCTGGTGGTGAGCTGCAACGTTTTGCCATTGGACTGGTTTGTGTCCAAAAAGCTGACGTGTAAGTGTATCTCAAGAAAATTCATTTGACACTATATCTAACCTCATTCCAGCTACATGTTTGATGAGCCTTCGTCTTATCTCGATGTCAAGCAACGTCTAGCTGCTGCCCGTACTATCCGTAGTCTCCTTCGCCCCGATGACTACGTTATCGTTGTGGAGCACGATTTGTCCGTACTCGATTACCTTTCCGACTTCATTTGTGTCCTTTACGGCCGCCCAGCTGTCTACGGTGTCGTGACTCTGCCTTCCTCGGTTCGCGAGGGCATCAACATCTTCTTGGATGGACATATCCCCACTGAGAATCTGCGTTTCCGTGAGGAATCTCTCAGTTTCCGTCTGACTGAAGCGGGCGATGATTTCCTCGTCGATAAGGATCGCGCTTTCAGCTACCCCAAAATGGAGAAGACTCTCGGTGGATTCCACCTGAAAGTTGAGCCTGGCAAGTTCACCGATTCGGAGATTATTGTTATGATGGGTGAGAACGGAACTGGAAAGACCACGTTCTGTAAGATGCTTGCTGGCGCAGAAAAGCCTGACCATGGTTCATCGGTGCCGAAGATGAACATCTCCATGAAGCCCCAGAAGATCACGCCCAAGTTCCAGGGTACCGTGCGTCAGCTGTTCTTCAAGCGTATTAAGGCCGCTTTCCTCTCGCCCCAATTCCAGACTGATGTGTACAAGCCCCTGAAAATGGACGACTTCATCGACCAGGAGGTTCAAAACCTGTCTGGTGGTGAGTTGCAGCGTGTTGCCATTGTCTTGGCTCTGGGCATACCTGCCGATATTTATCTCATTGACGAACCCAGTGCCTACTTGGACTCTGAACAGCGTATTGTTGCTGCCCGTGTGATCAAGCGTTTCATCATGCACACCAAGAAGACCGCTTTTATCGTCGAGCACGATTTCATCATGGCTACCTACCTGGCAGATCGTGTTATTGTCTTTGACGGCAAGCCTTCCGTAGATGCTCGTGCAAACACTCCCGAGTCTCTGGTTACCGGCTGCAACAGGTTCTTGCAGAGCTTGGACGTAACCTTCCGTCGTGACCCCAACAGCTACCGCCCTCGGATCAACAAGTACCAAAGTCAAATGGATCAGGAACAGAAGTTGGCCGGCAACTACTACTTCCTGGAAGAGGAGGCTTGAAAAGGGCATCTTCAATGAACATCACCGCCGCCATCACCGCCGTCATCGCCGTGATGGCCGCGAATCAGAGCGGCGGCGTAACCGACGGCGCGGTAAGCGAAGTTTCAGGCAGTTCATGGCGTTCCTAGGCGTTTTTAGAGCCCCGAGGAGTATTCAGGGCATGGGTCGCTTCCTTGTTAGGAATTCCCCTAGTGGCAGCAAGGGTCTGTTGGACACTGATGAAGAAGATGACGGTGATGATGATGGTGATGGTGATACGAATAGCACCATATGTGGCTAGCCAGTGACTTCCACTGATTTTGGGCCCAGTATCTCATCATCTCTTCTTCCGGGTCATCAAATCAGCATGCCTCATATCCACCCTGCAACTGATCTCTCAGGCTCTCCGGTCTTCGTTAATATGCATATCCGGATATGTTGGTGGATCCGTTTCCTAGACTTTTGAGTCTAGTGGTTCTTGGTAGACATGCTTTTTTCTTTTTCTTTTTCCTTTTTTTCAATCGGAGTTATTTGATGGGTTTCAAAAAGCTCTCCATGACTTCATGAATGGTATAGAGATGAATGATTTCTTCAGAAGAGAAAGCGGGAGGCATTAGCCCCAACATGGGAAAAGTCACTGTTGAATAGCTTCATATTGTACATGTGCATAGATAAATGCACGTTCGTTTTTTCTTTCAAACCTTCTTGATCGATGAAATTTTTTTAATTATAGTTTTCTTCTTCTTTTTCTCCTCTTTCTCTCTTTCTTCTTTTCTCTCTCTTTTTTTTGGAAATGCTGCTGGGACTGTAGTGATTATAACTAAATAATGCACATGCCTTGCATTGCTGCATGTGGTGGTGGAGTGGTCGAACACAGTGTGATTAGTAACTGAACTAACTGCGTAGCAACCCCAGCACCCAGCACCCCCTTTTACACCCAAACAACATCTGGACTTGATGAGTCTTTTGGAGGGGCGTTTTTATATCTAGCTACATTCTTCTGATTTAATAACCTTGGGAAGACCTCTTTGTTCACTTTGAAAGCATATTAAAGCATCTGATGACACATTGTTTTCTACATACACCCTTCAGCTGAATTGTCCGCAGAATGGCGAGTGTACTAACTGAGTCACAATCGAAGGAACTGTATATTCATTTTCATTTACCTCCTTCCCGAGAATCATTTCGCTAAACCTTTATACAGCCAGAAAGCGATAATTGGATACCTATCAACGATAAACGCTGAAAAGACCGCTGCCACTATGCACGATGAGCTGGGGTTCAACAAGGGCCCCACTCATACATATAAGCAACTTGCACACATACTAGAGAAGAAATGGACGACCAATACATTACTTCAAAGAAAGGTAAGTTGTTCTTTTTTCGAAGTATCGCCCTCGAATTTTTTGGAATTTGATACTAACAGTTGTCAGGTTATAACCTTAGAGGCCCAGATAGATCGACTGAGTAAAGCGCTAGAATCATCTCCTCAATTCCAGTCTCGCAATCGAGACCCATTCAAATGGCTCCCCGTACAGCCGGCTCATACTTTGAAATCTCATCGAGCCGCGATTACAAGTGTAGCTTTCCACCCAACATTCTCCTCCCTAGCCTCCAGTTCCGAAGACTGTACTATCAAAATTTGGAACTGGGAGCTTGGTGAGCTTGAAAATACTTTCAAAGGGCACACAGCAACAATTACAGGACTGGATTTTGGTGGACAAATTGGGCGTACCTTACTTGCGTCCTGTTCTAATGACCTCCTTATCAAATTGTGGGATCCCACCAAGGGCTACGCTAACATACGTACTCTCTCGGGGCATGATCACACTGTTTCTTGCGTCCGATTTCTCACCCCGAATCAAAATACCCTTGTCTCGGCTAGTCGTGACACATCTATCCGTTTTTGGGATATATTGACCGGCACCTGTGTGAAAATGATCTCTACGGATTGTGGTTGGATTCGGGATCTGGCACCCTCTTATGATGGGCGATGGCTGGTCTCGTGCGGCAGTGATCACAACGCAACCATTTGGAACGTTGCCTCTGGTAGTTGTCAGACAATACTCCGAGGCCATGGTAATCACTTGGAATGTTGTGCCTTTGCACCTCCGACAAGTTACTCTCACCTTGTAGCTCTAATGGACGCGAAAGAGCCTCCTGTGGGTTACTCGTTGGGATTCGTTGCTACAGCTGGGAGAGATAAGACGATCAAACTCTGGGACCTCCAGGGGGTATTGATTAAAACTTTAGTGGGTCATGATAGCTGGGTACGAGGCCTGGTATTTCACCCCGGTGGAAGGTTTTTGCTCAGCATTGGTGATGATCGAACTATAAGATGCTGGAATCTTGCGGAGGGAGCAAGGTTATGGAAAACACTTGATAATATCCATGATGGTTTCGTCAGTTGTATCTGTTGGGCACCTTGTGCAGTGTCCCTTATCGAAAGGCATAGCTCGTCAAAGGAGTTTCTGGAAACCCACCCAGTTCCAGAGCATGAGATGATAACATCTGATTTCCCTTGTGTCTTAGCCACTGGAAGTACAGATTCCAAGGTACACGTCTACGCCTAGATTTTTGTATCACCCTCGGGGCTCCATTAGCCTTGAACTTATTACATGAGGAGAAAACGAGCCGCAGAGCAACCGCCATATTGATACATGATACATAGCTACTAATTCGACTTAAAATATGCTATTTAATCACTGGACATGTCCCAAGGTTGTAGGTAGGAGCCGGTTTTACAAAGACCAAGTACTTAATACAATTGCTAAGCCAAGGATTCGTCGCGATATAAATACATTCTCAAACTACGGATCACATCATATCGTTCAATCTCTTCTTCTTTTGGGAATACCCATTCGAAGGTATTGGTGAGTATATATTATCACCGTGACCGATCCCATCACTTGTTCAACCCAAGCTCATCTGAGCTGTCAACCAAATCGTTAAACCTATCCGCAAGCGTGCCGTAGACGGCGTCCATAATGAATGGGACATCAGAAGCCTCGACGCGGTTTTTGCCCTCCCAACCAGATCCAATCTGAATATTCTTGAAAGGCTTATCCTTCCCATTCTTGATGGTTGTAGTAAAAGTCACCTCATCGGCAGAAGTCGTTGGAGAAGGTGACGGGCTATACTGCTGGACTTTGGCTGAAGTGGCCATGATGTTTTGTGGGTGAACTTCTTCCGCCTGGATAGTCGGGGTTGGGGCCAGTGAAGGGGTGCTTGATGGAGTATTCGATGAGTCTAACGAAGGGACGCCTAGCATGTCTAGAACATCGGCGAGATAGTGCTCGGTATCCGGGATAATTCTCTATTCCACTGTTAGAAAATGCAAATTCGAAGTGAGCTATAGAGCTATAGCTTGGCTTTGGTTTCATGCTCCACTGACTGGCTCGCGAGGCTGAATAGTTGAGGCTCGTTGGGCTCGGGTCTCATCACTCGAGTCGCAGATTGGGACGGCGTAAACAGCAGTGGTCAAAAGAGCCATTACTACCGCGACGCTCAAGGACGATCTGAATCTATAGAAAAGCATTGTAGTAATTCTTTTTTGCGCGAAATCACAAGTTGAACTTGGCTGTATCAAAGAGCGTAGAGAGGTGCAGTGTTGGCAAATGTAAAGTACACAGGAACGCTAGAAGATCTCCACACGCGAGGTCGATCGGGTATCCACTGATGATTCATATATAGCTTGTTTTCTCAGGATATGGGAATTGTTGTTATCTTCTGGAATGAGGATTCTACATACTCAAGTGTCGGACGAGTGTCAACTCCCTCCCCTCCTCAAATATTACCTAACAAACCTAGCATCTTAACACCTTAACGATTTACCAGTAAAGGATTCGACGAATTTATTTATGCTCAATTGATTCTCCACGCAATATATGTCATATCGCCCTTCTGCAAAAGTTCTAACGAGGTCGTTTAAATTGAAAAAAAGTTGGTTTCTTGGGAGATGAAAGACACGAAGCTAGGGGTGCGTGATGTCGGCTCCTGGAATGACAGCCAGCATTCCAATTATTTCGGATACCCAATAAGACATTGACTTGTTAGATCATAATTACAATGCTGAGAAACAAATAAAAATTTAGTTGACTACAGAGATTATAGAAATTAGAGGATATCAAGCACAGCAGGTACGGCTGAAAGATATACTCCACTCCATAGGCTCCCTAGGTGCTCCACATTAGTATTTATCAGTTTAATGTACTACGCTAGGCCCAAATATGATTCAGCTGATGGTTTATTCATGGTTTATTCATAAATCCCATCGGCAACGTATTCGATTGCTTCATTGGCTCAGCATGATAAAAAATAATTCGAAAATGCACTGGTATATAGAAAAGTGCATCGAGTTCTGTAGTGTGGTATAAACCCATCCGCGTATTCCAAGGTTCTAAATAACTATACTCCTTAGGAATAGATTTCTACTCGTCCCTTTTCCCTCCCATGGCATAATCTGCTCGTATGAACCTGCTCAAAGACCATTGCTAAACACCATCGTTGAAGGTATAATGATTCATCCATCTCTAGAAATCACAATCAGCACACGAGACTCGCCCAGCTCTCTGAAAAGAAAGAATAATATATCCAACATACCTTATCATACGGCTTTGAAGAATCGCAGAATCGAAGGTCGGTTGCAAGACGAATCACATTATCTGGATCGTGATTCAGCGTCGATGCATGGATCTAGATCATAACAATTAACCTCGCAAAAATGAATACTTCCCAACTGAGGAATATCATACCATGTGAGGCTTGTGCAAGACAACATCACCCGCCTCGTAGGCTGAGACTAGCCAACGTCGACCATTTTCACGAGCAAATTCAGCGGGGAATTCCGATAACAACCCAGTGGCCATCATGTTTGAGTTGAAGGCGTTTTTGGCCTCTTCATCACTCAACCCTGCTTTTTTTGCCTTTTTGTAAAATGCCTGCTCTAGCTCAACACCAATGCTGTCCCCTGTGGCAAATATTAGCACTGATTAAGCGGGCCTATACAAGCAGCTTCAACTTACCATTCTCCAGATAGATGAGCCCACCACCATTCAACTTAATATCACCCATGGGAACCCAGGCAGTAATACTTGTTGGGTCGCCGTGCCGTAAGAAGATTTGATCATAGTGCACTCCAATTGGCTTAGAACCGGGGATATTATTCCTCAGTAAAGTGCGGCGCAGGCTGAGGGTATTTTTATTCCAACCAGAAAATTTTGCAACAAAGTCATAAAGCGCGGGGTGGTTACAAAACTTCTCTGCATACCAATGTTGGTAATGAGCATCCAAAGCAAGATCTACAAATGCCGCCGCCTGTTCACCCCCGGGCCTTCCATTCCCATCAGCATGTCCTGCTCCAATGCCAGGGTAATCTTCATGACTTTTTGCGGGGTCGAAGATGCCTTCAACTGGCTCGGAGCCAGGTTTGAGAACGCCAGTAGACTTGAGGTATGAAAAGTATGCATTGCGAGCCTCGAGGACATCCTCTCGTGGGAGGACTTGTTTCAAGAACAGATATCCGTCTTCTTCATACCTCTTGTGGAGCTCCTCGAGGGGCAGTGTGGGATCCGAAGGACGAAGAAGGGTCGCATTTTCCGAGTTCAACGGCCCGTCGCTGACCGCGAGGTTTTCTGCTAAGATGCCAACCATTTTTTAGACCGATTTTCCTTTAGATTGAGACAGTAAGGGCGGAGAGAAAAGAAGTTTTAACAGAACCAACTTCTCTCGACTGCAGATTGGCGCGAACTTATAGTCTCCTGCTGTCATCACGGGGGGGCAGTCAACAAGTCATACAGAAAATGCATCCAACCGGAAGATCACAATTATTATCCATGCCCCGCTCACAAGGGCCCTCGTCGACTGTTTTGTGGGGCGTTGACAACAAAGAACACTCTTCAGGCTGCACGGTGCCCATGTCACAGCCGCATAGGTAATTATTCCCGCCTGTTGTCGCGGGAATTCATACTTGATTAGGCATTTGGTGGGACCAGGCAAGTTCTCCACTGCGGGCGTTACTACTCTTTTCTCTTCAGGCGGGGAAATGGGGACAGCGACTGGCTGTAAGTGATACATCAAAGACCCACACGGAATGGATATCTGGGGTTCACTGGAATATTCAGTAACACGAATCGACGATATTCTGTGATCATCTTTCATAACGACGTGAGGATGCCTCGGGAGTTATCGATGTCCCCAACTTCAGCACTGAGATATAGCACGGACAAGTTAAACGTATTACCCGGACTATGGCACCTTTGCGACCATGTTACCTACGTACCCTAAACCAAAATTACTATCCTGAGTCTGTGCGATCGTGCACAAGGAGGTTAGCGCTTGAAACATCACAATATACATACATCATATAATATCATATCCCAGGCCACCCAGACTGGTTTATATGCAACGTTACATGTTTCCCCGATTCTCCTGGATAATAGAATAGTAGTAGATCATATTGTATTCTTCTATATTTTCATGACTATCATGATGCGCTTGGTTTACATTGTCCCCAAACGATAGTATTATCAGTAATCAACGCCAGCCCAGGTGCATGATCGCTTAACTGTAGATTCTCTTTCTCTCATGATTCTTCCTCGTTGACCCATTCGCTGATGCGCCACGATGCAACATCGTTTTCAATAACCAATTTCATGGTTTGAAAAACAATGTGTTCGTATAATTCGCGTCCTGCAGCTCTTGCTTTTGCGTGCCATGGCCCTTGGCCTCCTGACCTGGCATCATTCCGGTTTCGCCATATACCTATTACAAGGTAATTGTATTAGTTACTAGGCACTGGTATAGTATCCAAAGGAATGAGTATGTATTAAACTTACAAGTTGCCAAGTTTTCCCGCTTCTCATTTTTTGTACCGAACCAATATTTCAATAGGCCGCCACTGGCAGTAGCCTCCTGATGCGAATGTGCATCCAACGCATGCAAATAGTCGTTGTCGATCCCTGGTTGTAACTTGGATCGAAAAGATACTACATAGAATGTTTGCGTTGTCCATGTGTGATGTTCCACTTCCGAAAAACCTCTCAAGAGATGAAAGACCTCATCCCAATTGAACGAGTCCAGATAGTCTGCCGTGGCATAATCGTCTCGAATTGGCCTGAAATAAGCCAAGGCTAGAGTCAGGAGTCGACTCTGCGTGTCCAGCGTATTTAGGTCCAGCAGATGGGGGGATGTGTTATACGGGGAGACAATTAGACGAGAATCCGATTCTGCAGAGGTATATTGGTCCCTTTCGTCAAACCCCAATTGACGAGCTGCAGCAGCGCGAAATTTCAATTCGTCAAAATCCGTCGTTATGAGATCATGACGGATTAGTCGATTGAAGGCTAATTGAGGGCTAATTGTCTTGCTCAAATCCTGGTTGGTCGGTGCAGTGCTACTGGGTAACTGAGTAGCTGTATCGATTGCCATCCTGGGGACCCTGAGCAGTGCCTGATCTCCGACCTTGAAAGCCGAGATATCTGAGATCGAATGTCAAAGAGGTCAAAGAGGCAATGTCATGCAACTCAGTTTTCCTGAAGAGGAGACGCTCTGCTTTTTGGCAGGACAGAATATTGGGAGGAATTAAATGAGCAAAAAAGAAATAATCTACTACGAAGCGCACATTTTGTGGATCTTTCTAGGATCAAATATATAAGCACGCAAGCCCTGCACACCGCTACCATGTTTTCGAACTGTGTGTCAACGTTTCCAACCCCTGATTGCGAAAGAAAGACAAAGGATTCGGCATTCGGCAATAGCACGCCATATCCTTCAAGTGGCGGTGTTACCATTTAAGTTTCGGGTCAATTTGTTGAAGTCTTATATGCATATTCTACATTGTAACCATCTTCCTTGTTACTAATAGAAATACATTGATTCCTTCATAGGTTGCCTTTGCCTTATCGTGGACGTCTATTGGGACGTTGACAGCTGACTCCACATGTTTCATACAAAACCCTAAATTTCTAAATTTTCTTCAATTGTAACCAAAGGACCAAGTAAAAAATTCTAAAAAATAAAAACTCTTTTTCCTTCTCTTCATCCTTCTGGGTCCTTACCGCTCCCATGAAACACAGGATAAGATCTTAGCACAGGGCGTGGCGACATTGGAACCTTGAACCTTGGGTCTTTGATCAAATTACGTGATTTCATGCAAAATTCCCGACTTTGATCCCGTGAGACCCAATTGGGAAAATCATTCATGGACATGCCTAGGCTAGTCATATGCTGCTAAGGTTATTATTAAGATTATTTATTGCATAGTTATATTGTACAACACCCGGGCATGGGCGTTGGGTTTCTATATAGGTAGTAGGTGCCTTAAGTAGTATGGAGAATTGCTGAAATCGCTTCTTAGTCGCAAATCGAGCCTTGAAACCTTCCAACTTGGGTTATTTTTCGAGAATGGTACATGTACCTACCTATTATCTACTAGTAGTATCCAACTATATTATTAAAGTATATAGATAGACATTTATATGTTCCCCGCATGCAGGGCTTCCCCATACGCCGCGATATATATAAATTACGCACTTACTATGTGCATGTCCTACTAGTACATGCCAGTCCCTTCTCTTAGTTTTAGAAACTGTATCTTATGGATATATGATCTTTTTAAACAAACAAATTTGGTATCACACGAAATTAATATCAAAGCCAGATCGCCCGTTGTCAGCCGTGTCTGAACGCCACCCAAATGCAGATCCGCAATAAACAAATAGGACAAAATGCGGATTCACTTATGGCTTAGTAGGTGGACCCATCTTGCCATCTCCAGTGTCTATCTTTTTCTTGGGTGGCAGGGCTGGGACTTTAAACCCTTCCTTCTCTTTAGTTTGGCTACCACTTTGACCGCCGCCAACTTGTGTAAACGTTCCAGAGTTGAACCAGCGGTCTTCTTCGGCCTTACGTTTTCGACTGAGCTCAGCTTGCACTTTAGGATCAACCAGCTCGAGTCCCTGAACGGGGGTAAAAGCAATGGTACTTGCAGTACCGGCAGAGCCGCCACCTAGTGATGTGCCTACACCTGAGCTCCGAAGACCCTTGGATTGAAGGACACTAGCAGTACCACTAATGCCACCCTGGCCAAATCCACGCAAAGAGGAAGCGGTGCCACTCGCAGAAGTGGCAGCACCCCAGCCCTTGTTATTCTTGCTGAGCTTCGCACGGGTCCGCTGGTCGATTTGTGTCGCACGGATACGACCATCATTCTGTTGGCCCAACATACCCAACCCAACGGTGCCTTCACCAGCGCCATAGCCAACCTCTGACTCCTCCTTGCCAAATGCAACACGGTTCTGAGCTTTGCGCAATTCGGTCATGGCAATGGCCTCCTTGGCTTTTCGTGCACGTCGTCCACCACGCTTTCTGGACGGCTTGTCGTCCGGCGCCGGGAGGGCCTTCACGCCAGAGTTAGGGGCAGCCTCAGTCAATTTCTCTAATCGTTTGAAGCATTGTTCTTTCAACTCTTCGCCCAGGGAGCCATCTTTGCTGTAGTTTGAGACGTCGGCACGAGCTGCAAGAACCATCTTTGCGGAAACAATCCGGATGGCTTGTTTTTGAAGGTCATTAGGAACTTCTTGAATAAGAGGCGAGTCGTAGAGAAAGCCTTGTGAGCGGACTCCATGGTTCGTAGCGAAACCCAATCCATCCTGCCGCCTGGATCCTTGCGCACCCAAATTACATGCTGGGATTTTTGCCAGTTCCAGTAGTCCACCGGTCTGGTTGAGAAATTGAGCAGCGGTTTGAGGCCCGATCAGTGTGGCTAGGTTGGGGGCAATTTGGTTCACACGAGACCGAATACTCTCTGTCAGAGCAATACGTTCACGATCAAGACGGATAATCTTCTCGCATATGTCCATAACCACCTTAAGCTCTGAATCGCTCATCTCGCGGCCGCGAGTGGTGGTTCCTTCGACTGCCACGACCATCAGAGAGGGCCCATCCAGGACAGATTTGAGCGACTCCTCTGCCAAATTGTCTGCAGAGTTGGAAAGCGCCTTAATATCATCGAAGGGACCATTTTTGAGAATGGCAACAGTTTTCGCATATTTAATAGGATTCGTGACGAGGGTCTCTAGTTCGGGAAATCGGATAGAGTAGTGATCGCGTAGAACTTTGTGTAGTCGAGTGAGCTCGTCTCCTGTTGTAATTGAACGATCGAATTCATTTGTTGCTTCTGCGCCTTCTCTGATAGCAGCTTGTTCCTCATCAATATCCTGGTCCTGATCTTGATCTTGTTCGAGGTCTTCATCTTGTTGAAAGTCTTCTTCATCGTCTTCAAAGTCGCGCAGTAGTTCCTCGGCGGTGGACATGTTGGTGTGAGATGCGTGATAGGGTGTGTTTGAGTGATAGACGGCAGCAAGGAAGGAAATCAATTAAATGGTTCACCCTGGTGCCACCAAGACTCTTAGAAGGTGTCGAGAATATCTCTTTGCCTTTTAAAATTGGTATGCGATAAATCAAGCGGAAGCTGCGCTTAGTCATGGAAGCTAGTTCGGGTGGCGAGAGGAGCCGTTAATGCATGTTCGCCGATTCCGAGATTAGATTATTTGACTTGAAGTGACGAACCAGACCTATCATCTGCTCACTTGCGACGGGGGGACGGTGCTTGACGTTTATTTAGGACAAAGAACCACCTTTGTGATTTGGGCTGTCTTAGCTCTCCCATTTTTGTTCTTCTCCGGTTACGACTCTGCCGATTAATTCAACCATTAAATTTCGTGGCTCCCGATCAATTCTCAACATACCACTTCAGATTCGCCCGTGAACCTCATATTTCTTCAAATAGCCACCCACCATGGAGGCGTCTCGAGGCCCTCCCCGGGTCAAAAACAAGGCCGCCGCGCCGATCCAGATATCCGCAGAGCAGCTCCTCCGTGAAGCTGTAGACCGACAAGAGCCTGGCCTGCAGGCCCCAACACAGCGCTTTGCCGATCTGGAGGAGCTCCACGAGTATCAAGGTCGCAAGCGCAAGGATTTTGAGGACTATGTACGCCGCAATCGAATTAATATGAACAACTGGATGCGCTATGCCGCATGGGAACTGGAACAGAAGGAATTCAAGCGCGCACGATCCATTTTCGAACGCGCCTTGGATGTTGATTCAACTTCTGTTATTTTGTGGATTCGGTACATCGAAGCTGAAATGAAGACCAGAAACATCAACCATGCTCGCAATCTTCTTGACCGCGCTGTCACCATTCTCCCCCGCGTCGATAAACTCTGGTACAAATATGTCTACATGGAGGAAACCCTGGGTAATATCCCCGGTACGCGGCAGGTTTTTGAGCGATGGATGTCATGGGAGCCCGAAGAGGGTGCATGGGGTGCTTATATCAAGCTGGAGAAGCGATACAGCGAATTTGAAAGAGCGCGAGCAATCTTCCAGCGGTTTACTATCGTGCATCCCGAGCCACGGAATTGGATCAAATGGGCCCGATTTGAAGAAGAGTATGGGACAAGTGATTTGGTCCGCGAGGTTTATGGCTTTGCCATCGAAACCTTGGGAGAGGATTTCATGGATGAGAAGCTTTTCTCAGCCTATGCCAAGTTCGAGGCCAAGTTGAAGGAATATGAGCGCGCCCGGGCAATCTACAAATACGCTTTGGATCGTCTGTCTCGTTCGAAGTCAATGGCTCTTCACAAGGCCTACACAACCTTTGAGAAGCAATTCGGTGATCGGGAAGGTGTGGAAGATGTGATCCTGTCCAAGCGTCGGGTTCAATATGAGGAGCAACTGAAGGAAAATCCCCGCAATTATGACATCTGGTTTGACTTTGCGCGCTTGGAGGAAACCTCCGGAGACCCAGATAAAGTCCGAGACGTCTACGAGCGGGCTATCGCACAAATCCCTCCTTCACAAGAAAAGCGCCATTGGCGCCGATATATCTACCTCTGGATCTTCTATGCGGTGTGGGAAGAAATGGAGGCGAAAGATGTCACGCGTGCGCGACAGATCTATCAAGAATGCATACGGTTGATCCCACACAAGAAATTCACATTTGCAAAGGTGTGGTTAATGAAGGCACAGTTTGAGGTTCGGCAGATGGAGCTGCAAACTGCGCGAAAGACATTAGGAATGGCGATTGGAGCCTGTCCCAAAGATAAGCTCTTCCGTGGCTATATCAACTTGGAGCGGCAGCTCTTCGAGTTTGTGCGATGCCGTACCTTGTACGAAAAGCAGATCGAGTGGAACTCCTCTAATAGTCAATCTTGGATCCAGTATGCTGAACTTGAGCGTGGCCTGGATGATCTCGACCGGGCGCGCGGTCTTTACGAGTTGGGCATTGAACAGCCTACCCTCGATATGCCGGAATTGGTATGGAAGTCTTACATCGATTTTGAAGAGTACGAAGGGGAGTTTGACCGCGTTCGGGCCTTATACGAACGTCTCTTATCCAAGACAGACCACGTGAAAGTGTGGATTAATTACGCCCGATTTGAGATTAATATCCCCGAGGACGAGGAGGATGAGGAGGAAGCAGAAGAGCGACCAGTCAGCGAAGAGGCCAAACGTCGTGCGCGAGCGGTGTTTACTCGAGCACACAAGATATTCAAGGATAAGGAGCTTAAGGAAGAGGTATGTTCAAATTTCTCCGTGTGGATCTTCAGTATTTCTGTTCGGAGGATGTGCGCTAATACTCTCTTTTAGCGAGTGGAATTGCTTAATGCGTGGCGATCATTTGAAAACACGCATGGCTCCGCGGAAGACATTGAGAAAATTGAGAAACAGATGCCCCGACGAGTCAAGAAACGGCGTAAGCTGGAGGATGACCGGTATGAGGAGTACATGGACTACGTATTCCCGGCCGACGACCAATCGGCGGCTAATCTGTCCCGGCTCCTTCAAACGGCGCACGCGTGGAAACAAACCCAAGGCTAGTAGTAATGGAAACGGGGCTTATGGGGCGTGGTTGTATGATCTATTTTCAATGTTGGGACAATTGTATGTATCCATGTATGGTGTGGGATTTAATCAAACCGGATTTCAGCCCCATGGTCTGACGGAGGGCAAGAAGAGGACTGAGCGACAAGTAGAAAACCTGGAAATGACCAGAAAACACGGACCTCAGGATTATCTTCTCTTTTGAATTTCTCTGTTCCTTTATACCCTTTAATCATCTATCTACAACGACCGTTGGGCCCACGAGGGTGCAGAGTGGGAACTTCTGCATGGCTAGTTGGGGGCCAATCCATTGGATTGATTTATTCAATACACATCCTAGTACTAGTACGCTAAACAAGTGGGGAGTGTACCCTCTGTCTCTGTCTCTGTCTCTGTCTCTGTCTCTGTCTCTGTCTCGATATCTGTCGGTCTGTTTACTATGTATGTATAATGGTCCCGAAGTCACACTATGCACGAGCCAAGTAGGATTCCATGGTTCCAAAGTTTCGATTGATCCACTGGTTACGAACAAGAACAAGAACAAGAACAAACAGAGAGGATGAAGAAGAAATAGGGGGTGGTTGGGGTATAGTTCAATGTTTGCTATACTTAGGTTGTTGGCACAGATGATATTCCTTGCAGCTTCCTACAACCAACCCCCCCCCTTCGATGCATGGGGAAAAGCTTGCAGATGGTTCCTGACTTGTTCCTGAGACCAGGACCCACTTTTATCAAGAGAAACACGACACTTCCGTGGTATTTTGTTTTTTCGAAGATGGGGGAAATTCTGTGTACGTAGACTCCTGAACTGAAGGGAATAACAATCATAATAATTACAATCTACCTCTGTATACTTCATACTATAATCCATGTAACTATAAACTAAGTAAGTCAAACTCCAAATTAAACAGGAAAATGAACCGCGGATCTATTTCGTCATGGTCTCGGGTTCAGGGGCTCATTGAGTAAGATGATCCCGCTAACCTTCTAGGGTGTGTCTCACTCCTTCTCTTCCCTCCTCCTTCTCCTCCTCCTCCCCCTCTCCGCGGTGCATGTTGCATGTGTGTGTCTGTCTCAGTCCTTACCCTCTTTCCTGTGCTGTGCACTTGGTCCATTCGGTTTGTTATGATCGTTCTTGCTGATTTGTTTCGTGCTTCACCACTAATACCCTGGTCAGCTTCATTCTTTCGCGACGTGTCGCCGAAATATACCCCCATTCCCTCTCTCTCTCTCTCTCTCTCCACTTTTTTCCACCAACGCGTGGAACCTCTTTTTCCACTCACCACGATTCGCTGTCCCTTCTTCAACCACTGTGACTGGTCATCAAAACTTTCGCCTTGATTTCCGCCGCTTCCGAATCTTGACAATCACAAATTTCGATCCCGATTTCAGCATACGAAGAACAACGGAACGAGGGGGGGAATCGCAAAACAAAATACATCAGCCGAGATGAGATAGTGCTCTGGTAGTCACCCCCATCTATCTATATTATCTGGGCCGATCCTGCCGGCTGGTATCGCATCCATTTCGTCTTTCCTTGGTCTGGTATCATCCTTTGAACTCAACATGACTATACCGCAACCCCCAATGGCCTTGACGGGTCATTGTTCGGCAATATACAACAATACCCTCTATGTTTACACTCCAGATGGGTTTGCATCCATCTCTCTCGAACAGAGTACGAAACAAAATACCACTTGGACTCCTTTAACCCCCGGCGTCGCTGTCACCGGCGCTGCGTGTGTCTCGGCGGCGATTGAGGGCAACAAGGATAGTTTGGCATTCTATGTAGTCGGCGGGACCGGCAACTCATCCACGTATTCCGGAATCCAGCGATTTTCCTACAAGGAACAGAAATGGTCAAATCTAACTTCTGCTGGGTCCGGTAGCCTTCAAAATCGTACCTCTCATGGCATTGGATACTTAGAATCATCGGCTTCAATTCTAATGTATGGTGGGGACGCGCCGAGCCATCCCACTGCTGACGGGTCTTCTCAGGACACTTTCACTATTAGCACTACCACTCCCTATACAGTTAAATCATTTAACGACCAGGGTGCCCCTACCGCAGCTAATCCCATGCTCTTGACTTGGAATCAATCCGCAGTTGCCCTGCTTGGTGGTTCATCCTCGAACACAAACATTTATATCTACGGCGACTCCGGTTGGACATTTTCCGGCGCCACCCTTGATGCTCCTGTTGCGTCTGCTCTTTCATCCACAAATCGCTGCGCCCTTGCAATTGATGACGATGGCAACAAGATTTTGCAGGAGTTCAATCTGGACGTCTCCCCCAACACTGTTACTAGCTACGAAATGATGAAAAAAGGAGAAGCGTTGAGCCCGGCTACTCATTTAACCGGCTCTACTTCAAAACGAAGCTTCAGTGTCTACCCCTCATATAACAACTCGAATGCCCCGACTTCCAAAAAGTCCGACTATTCAGTTGCCCAGGGTAGCAATAACTTAGTTGTTCTCTCTGGTGGAAGCGGTGATAATTCATTATCCATCTTCAATCAATCGAGCAATGATTGGGTTAATGCCACAGAGCTCTTCTATGTCAGTAACTCGCAGAATCCTCTACATGGAACCACAACAACGGCATCAACCACGTCTACAACACCCTCTTCTACCGCTTCATCATCTGCCACTTCATCCCCTGCCGCTGCCGCTTCAGGGAACTCCGGTGAGCATATTGGTTTGATCATCGGTGCAACTCTTGGTAGTATATGTGGTGCCATTGTTATCCTGGTGGCGATTTTATTCCTGCTGCGCCGTTCAAGACTAAAGCAAAATCAAGATGATCAAGGGCATGGTGGGGCTGGCAAGGACCGTCTGAGTTTTCAAGATCAAGGCATTGAACCTTTGACTGGGGGTGCCTATCCCATGGCAAAGAGCCCTGTTCCTGTTGCAACGGTATCAGATGATTCTCTGGCGATCATGTCCGGAAGATATGCTGGAGAAAAGTCTTTGGGGCCTCCTAGCCAAAACTACGGCTATGGACTGTCTAAAAATAGCCCACTTTCCACCATCCCATCGAGCGGTATTGCACCATCAAGCATGTATTCCGATGATTCAGATCGGTCTGCTGCTGTTGCTGCTGCCGTCGAAGCCATCTCTAGCCCTGGTAATAAGCCTGGAGATCGCACAACAGATGAGGGATGGGGCAAGTACTTTGAAGACAACAGTGCGACGAACCTTGCTGGAATGCCGTCCGACCGCTCTACTGTTAGCTCTGTATACACCAGATCCGATTATCGTGGCAGCGCCTGGCCAATGACCAACCTTGCCCCTTTAAATCACGGTTTCCTCGATCAACGACCACTTGGCCGCGTGGCTAGTGGCAATCCTGCAACAGAGAATACAGGTTCAACCGATCGTAACCTCATTATTCCCGAGAGTCAATCGGCGCGAATTTCCAGTGCGGATTCGGTCAGCGTCCTTTCTGATGATGACCCCCACGATACAAATTGGACTGGTGCGGGTCACAGCAGCTGGTTAGGTCGCCCAACGAGTAGTAACTACAGCACGAGCTTTTACAACTCAAGCAACACTAACCTCCCCGCCGCAAATCCTCAACACGGGTTCGCACGCTACTCCAACGGCCGCAAATCCAGCGTGGTAATACCAGATGATATTGACGAGCTACCCCATTCTGGGACCATGAATTCAGATATGAGCTGGCTTAACCTTCATGCCGATCGTTAAGCACCATTCCTCTAAAACAAATCTACATCGACCACACTCTTTGCCCACTTCGCCTTTACATGCGCGTCTTCCCTCTATGTGTGCTAGTTGACTCTGGCCCGCTGCGATTTCTCACGTTCTCCCACACCGTCCTCTCTTTCTCTCTCTCTTGCTCTCTCCCTCCCCCTGATTTTTGAATGATTCCTTGCATGGCGTTTCTTGGTCGTTCATGTCTTGTAAAAACTTACTGGTCGGTGTCGCATTTCTTTCGTTGCATCTCCCTTGCATCTGCATGTCTTTTGTCTGTGTACGAGCGATTCTTTAGCGATGTCCCACAGCTTTTCCCTTTTTTTCCAACTTCTGTCTCTGTCTGTCTACGTGTCTGTCCATATTACTCCGTCTGGTTGACTCCCTTGCTCTCGTGCTGATCGAGCACCGGTCAACTTTGCGTTTTGTACATATTTGAATCCTGAAATAATGAGTGGCTGGGTACTCTCTTTAAGGTTTTTCATAAGGCTTTGCTGTGCTGAATTGGTTAAAATGACCACGAACGATAATCTATCAAATTATGTCTCCAGATGTTTGATTCTGCTCAACAACCAATCTGGAATCTGAGGTTTCTGTTCCCATCCAGACCTCCATTCTTGATCTCCGCCAGGTTGAGCATAGACGGCCGTAACAAACCAAACGTCACGGCCAGGTTTCAGATCAACGGTCAACGATGGAAGCAACGTGCGGCCATGAATCAGATTTGAATTCGGATCAGCAAGCACAATCCGTCCAGGACGTCCACTGGCACCTGCATAAATCTCTGTGATACCAACAGCACCGGCAGAAGAGACTGTCAAAGCACTAGACCCATCCTGTACCGTACCCTCCTCTATCACCTGGCCATCACCTGTACCTGGTCTCTTCTCCAAACGGCCGAGCATTCTTCCATTGTCACTTCGGCATCCATAAATCGCAAAAGCCCCCTCGGAAGTCTTCAAAGCTCGCCCCGTCCGAACTCGATGCGCCCTCAAATGCCAGTTTGGTGTCCTTTCACCCGGGGGGATGAGGATTGTCTCAACCTCCACATCCCCCCAAGGCTCCCATCTTGAGACTAAGACCGGCACATCATCGGATTCAGGATACTCAAATCTGGCATCCTTTGTTACTCTTCTCGTTTTCCAAACTTCTCCATCAGCGTCGTCACAAAGTGCAAGCATGCTATCTGGCGCATACTGCTCCAGTTCGTAAGACCCTGTAGGAACTGAATACCCAAATGATGCGCTATATGCGAACTTTCCATACTTTGCATGCGTCCCTCGCATAGCATAGTGGCATGCCTGTCCCGCTGAGAGCAAAAATGAATGTCCACCTCTTCGCACAGCAATATGTTTCGGATACGTCAGAGCCTTCACCTCCGACAGGCTGCGAGTTGGGTACGCCTCTTCAGCTGATTTCCAAAAAGGGTGCGTAGTTGGCAGTGCGAGTGCTAAGAACGAGAGACAACACCAGTATGGGGATCCGGGAGAGTTATAATTCTCCGTCAAGTAAGGATTCGCATAGCAGAACCCTAGGTTCAAGGTTCCATCGTTGGAGAATATGTCTGGTTGGTTGGTCCACCAACGGAAGTGACGAAGGAGAAGACCTTTTACCATGCCCCAAGTTAGTGGGGAGGGAAGGTCGACATCTGCATACGCCAGAGCACCCCAGAAACCAGCCATGGCAAATCGATAAGTCATTGAGCGGCCAAAGGGGATTGCGCTGCCTGGGAAGAGTAAGACTGTGTGTTAGCCTTTGGTTCTGTGTCTTCTCTTGGTGAGTAGTCACTGGGACTGGGTGGCATGTATATATCAAGGAGAAAACTAACCATCTGGAGCGAAATAGTGCACGAAGTCCAAGGCGAATTCCTTCGCTCTGGAGCGGTATCTCTCCGCACGTTCCTGGTCAAAATCCCCTGCTAATTTTGCATATAGCAGCTGCAGAAACTGTATTGCAAATGATCCAGAGTAATAGTCCATTTGGTGGTGGCTTTTTGGGCCATCATTGCTCCAACCTCCACCAACATGGAATGTATCGAGGTGATCCATATCCGCCTCTATACGAAAGTGGGAGTATTCTGCGCCGTTCCTTTTCAACCCCAGGTTGGCAAAAACCCGAAACCAGAGCCTATATAAGAGGATGTTAGTTGGAGTGTTAAGCTAGAAAGTCAGACGGGCGGGAAAGAAACCAACCAATTTGTGTTTGGCATCTCCAGATCATTAATCTGTCTCATCCAATTCCCAACATTTCCCCTTTGCGTTTCATTAAGCGGCGTCCAGAAAGTGTTCGGAGCAACAGCCAGTGCAAATCCTAGCGGACACATCTCTACCATCCTCTGATCCGAATCTTCCAAATCACCCCAATATTCTGGATGGTTTGGATCACACCCATTGGCGATTCCTTCACGCCACCGCTCTGCATCAGGGTAATTGTGATCTCCCGCCGCGAGCAGTGACGCGAGACCCCATAACGGACGCGCAAATCCTTCGATTTGGGCACCACCCTCATCGAAGCGAGTAGCTGTTGAGCCAATTTTCACACGTGTCTGGGCGGGCGTGAAAAGAGGCAAAAGAGGGTTTAAAAGGGAGGTGCACGCATCTTGAAGATCGGATCTCGTAAGGAGGGGATTCGTTGTGAAAGGGTGAGTGGGGGATTTGCCGTTGGCGTTTACAGACATGATTGATTGATTGTCTGTGGGAGAAGGCTATCTTTCTTTTGTTGCTGGGGAGTTTCAACTTGGGGTATTCTGTATTGGGCTGCAGTAGATGCTAAAAAGAGGGATGAGTGTATAAAAAGCCTTTACTTGGTTTCATTATCGGGCGTTGCTTCTCTTATGTACCATGGGACAAGATCCGACTATTTACTGCGGAGTATTACTCGGCTATATAATCAGTACAAGTAGGGCAATTAGCCGGAAGTTCAATATGGTTGGCTCGTCTTTTGCCGTTGTGCCTCAATCCCGGTGCTCGGGTATAGATCTTAATCGAGTGTGGGGGTGGAATGTCTTATCGGTGAACAGGCCGATGTTGGGGTCCGGGGTAATTATCCCACCTATCAGTATATACAATGTATCGGATTTTGCTCGGAACACCGACCGAACACCGACCGAACGCCGACCACCAGGCAAAGAATTTTGTATTTTCTTGTGAATAATTAAATTATTCATTATGGTCATTGGGATCATCAGTTATAAACACCTAAAACCACGAAAAGAAATATATAAACAAGCGTCGCTCCAATCCCCTGTATATGTCGGCAGTAAAGATGAACAAAACTCCCAAAGACAACTTGAATGGCAGCCATGCTTAGGTATCGCCAAGTAAAGAGTGCAGAATACCTAATAAAATTTCGCCAACCATGACCCTCGTTTGGAAATTTTCCTAAACTCGTTAACAGCCGGGCTGACAGGTTTTGTGCCTGGCTCCTCGATATCCATGGGATGAAGCTGAGAATAGCCAGATGATATGCCGTGACTATTAATCCCATCCGCTTTGGAACGGATATAATAATGCTCGTCGGCCTCTTCCATCCCAATGAACCACCGTTCCTTCATTTGACTCCCAGCTGGACCACAACCACAAGCACCTCTGAGTCGAGAACTTTGTGGACTATTAACCGCCAAAGCGAATAGGTTCTGTGGCTCTGTAAAATCAGTGATTTGATGCCCGCGGGCTTCGATGATCATAAAAACCAAGCATATTGCGCTGGTGAGGAAGGCAAATATCAGGACTACATAAAAAGCCCCTTGCCATTTCTCCGTGCCGCCAGAGGCATACCCTACCGCTTGCAATGTGGCTTTAAAGTGCTGGTATGTGGGAGTAGTGAGGATATCATTTGGGGTATTCGTGTAGTTCCATCCCTGCACAAATGGCGCACTTTGGGTACTGAGGATCAACGTGCTTCCTACCATGACAGCAAGCGCCTCGCCTATAGATGGCAAGGCCGGATTAAGAGTATACGTGTCTGTTGCGTTGTCGTGTGAAGGCATCATCTGCATGATTAAACGTTCATTGCTAGCCTGAGAGTTCGTAATGCCAGATCCCAAGCTCAGTGCGTTGGCCCATTCTGTCGCAACATTCTTCCAGTCTGAAGACCACTCGCCCTCAATAAAACTGGGATCATGGCGGTTGTATTGAAGATCGTTGGAGGTATCTTCACAATGTGTGGAGAGAAGTGCTCCACTTGATTCCGCATCATAGCGTGTCGAGCAGACACCAGTTTCCTTTGCGCGAATTGCACACATCACATACTCGGGGTTAGGCACCGAAGGCTTGCCGACGAGATAAACCGCATTTGCAGACCAAAGGCCGGTGGTGTTGGTGATAGTATTGTGTATTTGTGGGAATGTGCCAAAGACCGGGGGCCGCTGGCCATATTTTTCACCAAACCCAAAGATGGAATCAACGACTGTGCTATTAATCCATGACGGATATTGTGGGATATCTGGCGCTGCTGATACGCTCCAGGTCGTGGCGCTGAAATTGGCGTTTGGCCATGAGGAGTAAACGAGCGGTGACAATTCATCCTCGGACATACCAACGCAAAGCACATTCACGGCAGGGGAGGGAACGGATGCTTCGATGATATATTGGCCTTCGCCAGACGATTGTTTTGGCTGGTGAATGTTATTTTTCTGGTCCATAGCTGCGCCGGGTATACCACCATGCGGGAATGCCATAGTAATATTGTTGATCATACGGTTGTGCCTCTTTGATAACTCAGTTATATCTTGAATCTCGATCCAGCTTCCGGTCACTGTCGTATTATCCCATATTGAACCTGTCGGTTTTGGGCGTTTGTCCAATCGATCAGAGGTGTTACCCTGGTCGACCAGGTTGCTCCAGGTGGTGATCCACTGTTGGTAATTGTGATATGCTGTCCCTGCATGTTCGATTTGAAGACATGTGTCATTTCTTGCCTTCAAATCCATTGATTCCGGGATGGGCGTTTGGCAGTTATAGGCAAGATAGTCGGGATTACCAAAGCTGGCATAGACTTTCCCCCATAGTGTAGCTTTTTCGTTGGGACCCATGATGAGCTTCGGTGATACTGTTGTAATATAAAAAAAGAGAGAGAAATGAAATCAGAAATCAGAAATCAAGGGATTTAGTGTGGAGTTGTAAATGTGGCATTCATGTGGATGTCTCGACCTACCCAACGCTTCAGCTGCTGTAGTATATAACATTGCGACAATTGAAGAGGTCAAGGCCATAAGGCCCAGAAATGTAAGTGCAGAATATCGGAGGGTTTCCCAATGCACTAGCATTGACCCTGGCTGCATGATCCACGAGCGCATATTCATATCGGATATGCTGATGCCACGAGATTCTCCGGTGAGGGCGCGTCGACTAAGAACTTGACCCAAGAAAGCAACACAAATGGTGACATAGGCCAACTCAATTGTTTTGGCGAAGAAAGCACAAAGAAGATTTGCAGTTGATGCAGCCACGGGGGCTCCACTCCCAACTCGGGTCCATCGAGGTTTCCAGAACGCCACAGCGAGATAGACGCCAGAGAAAGCGGTCGCGTAGATCGCTAACAAGAAGATAGAAACGGGCACCCAACTAAATCTTCGTTGAAGAACGGTCGAGCGGCTCGGGCAATTAGTCGGGTGTTCTGGTGTAGAGATGGTGGGGATCTGGGGGGTTTTCAAAAAGCCTGGGGTGTTGGGTTGACTAGGCTCGCTCGAGCGAAATGAATCTCGTTTACCCCGTGCGGGGAAGGCATCGCCCGACCCATTAGAGATCCCTAAACCTACATCGCGAAATACCTCGTCGGAGAAGCTTTCGCGGGACTCATAATGATGTAGCAAATAGGAATAATCTGGCTCGGGTGAAAATTGACCTCGGCCAAGTGGGTTCCATGAACGATTGGGTCGTACTGTAACAAGATCTTCTTCTTCGGGTAAAATTGAACGCTGAGAGTCGCGCGAGTTGGTCATTGTGAAAAGGATAGGGAAGAGGAGGAAGAGGAGGAGTAGGAGGAGGAAGGGGAGGAAGAGGAGGAAGAGGAGGAAGAGGAGGAAGAGGAGGAAGAGGAGGAAGAGGAGGAAGAGGAAGAAATCGGTATGCAATCGAGATACATTATTCTTTTCTTTTTTTGAACTGAATTCAAGAATAGCTTGCAGCTAGCCATAAACCTTGGTCAGGTTCGCAACTTGGGGCCAATTTAAAGGAGTCAAAGGAAAAGATTAGGCGCTTGGCATCCTAGGACGATCCTTATTTATCCGAGTCAAAGATCATGGCTGAGTGAGACGGCCCCGCGAGTACATAGTAGGGGTCCACTTAACGGCCTTCACCAGTCAATACTAAGCGGGTCCCTCCTATCGTTCAGCTCTAAATATAGAAGCTTAGTAGTTACCGTAGTGATTAATTAGTTCTTTCCAGGCTATCAATGGTAACTATAGGAAATTGGTTAAGGCCCCTACACGCTGTAGGCTGGGCGGCCTGCTAAGCTAGGCTATACCTAATAACGTGGTCGGTAAGCGAGTAAGCCATGTAAGTAAGTGAGCCACCTAATCAATTTTTCGCGTCTCTGAGAACACATCTATCTTCAACCCACCACCATGCCACCAAAACAGAGTATATCAAGCTAGGATTCTATCCAATAAGAAGGCTGTATATTACTTGCTATAAGAGCTATAAAAAACAAGGAAATTATCTCTATACGATAAGCTACGACCAGATTCTATATTGATTGCTATATATTTATATATTAACTACACAGCACCACAAATTAAGCTGAATCTCGTACTAATAGTTATAAATTAACTAAAATTAAAGAGAATATTCTTATATAACAGATATTATCTCTAGATATTTATAGTATAGCCCCTATATAAGCTTATATATAAGAGATAGCTAATATTCTTCTTAAAAAGTATAGTTCTACATAGATTTAAACCGTCAGCAAAATATAGATATATAATTTTATCTAATATTATCTAGAGATCAAATTATACTTCTTATAATAATATAACTACTAAAGGGTACTATAAGAAGATCTAAAGATTATTTAGAAGTAGTTTAATCTTATCTAAACTACTATCTAATAATATAATATTGTAATGGTTACTAAGTTGTCAGGCTAGAGACCTGTGACTAGGCAAGGATATCGGATAGTAGAGATCAAATAGAACAGTTGATATACAGAACTGATTCTTGCAGGACAAGAATCGTAGCTATTGTTCGTGCGTTTTAATATTGCTAGAGCTTGCTAGGGCTTAGGGCAGTCATGCATTAGCGGGTGTATCGTGGTAGATTCGCCCGCGGAGCGGCTATGAATCGTACCCGAATCGTACCCGAAGGGATTCAGGAATCCCGTGACAAATATCCTTATAAATAATATCTTTAACTTCGATAAGATTAGATTTACTATAGGACTTTATTTAGTATAAAAAGTTATTACTTAAATAGAATACTATAGTCAAAGATTAGTTTTATAACTAAGAAATTATAAGTAGATTACTATAATTAAGTTAATTAATATATTAGGATAGATACTTCTACTAATAATAATCTTTAAAGGAAAGTAATATAATGAAGTATAGTTTTAAAAAAACTTCTACCCGACTAGCGCTTTAAAATTAACTAAAATAGATAGATAACTAATAAAATAGGCCTTCATTAACTTTAAAAATAATTTATCCTATTAATAACTTACTATACTTATAGACAATATTAACTTCTTATTCTTAATAGATATAGAAGCTATTTATTCTAATATTTAATTAAGTCTATAAAGATTCTAATATTATTCTAATCTATATATCTATATATTTATTATATCTTTTATAACCGCTTAATATTAGATATTTTATAGTTTTAAAGTATATATATAATAACTATATTAACTAAAAAATATAGCTTAGAATTAACTATATTAATAAGCTTAGCTTCCTTCTTACTTATCTAAAAGCTTATATTAAAGCTTTTAAATTAAATATAATTTAAAATAGCTTTTAAGTAGTAGGATTAGTACTATTTAATCCTAAGTTAATACTATTAAAGCTTATTATTTAACTTTATATATCTATATCTCTAGAAAGCCGTAGTAGTTAAGCGAGTATATTTTATCTATATATATCTATAAATATTTATAAGCTTTATAAGTAAATATTCTTAATTAAAATATTCTTTAAGTAATACTTAAGAAGTTCTTTATTACTATCCTAAATTATATTAAACTAGCTTATTAAAGACTATTAAATTATAATACAAAAAGATATACTTCTTAAGATAGAAAATAAGCTACTATATAACAAAAATAATATATAAAAGGAAAGATATAAATATATAACAAGATAGATAGTATATAAAGATAGTCTATCTATATAAAAGACTCTAGAGCTTTAAGAAGCTTATAATTTCTTCTTCTAAGTAAGACTAGGTCTATAGGTATCTTTAGTATAGACTATATAAATACTAAAGTAATAGGCTTTACCTAAATATAGTAATTATAGTAAAATTGGGTATAGAAAAACAGTATATCCAAATATAGTTAAATAAATATAAAGGCGTTATGGTTAATATATATATATATATATATATAAGTAGAGGAAAATTGATTAGGTGGCTCACTTGCTTACATGGCTCACTCACTTACCAACCACGTTACAGATATAGCTATACTGATTATTACTAGCTCTCCTAGGTATATATCTGGTGAACTAATGCAATCCTTGTAGTTGTTTAAATATACTCAAATATATAAGCTGAATTACGACAAAATTTAATCTTGATTGGCTATAATACTATTGTGTCACTAATGATTTGAAATCAAGTTTTTTTGCTACTTTTACTGTTATAGGCTGATGCCTGAAGGTTAGCCATAGCTGTACCGTGTCTAGGGCTTACTATATATTGAACCCCTGTGATGTTCCCGGAGTTTTGGTACCTAAGTTTTTGAATTATATGACTTAAGTTATATAACATCTGGAAGAGGTATATTATATAACTCCTGAATTTTGATAAAAGCTATATAAGTATATATAGACCTATATAGACCTATAGGTATACCTATTAATAAACCTACCCATTTATAGATATACCTAAACCGCCTATAATATATCTATAAGTAGGGTAAATAATAAGATTATATAATTTGTATAAAAGATAAAGATATAGGCTTTACTTAGCTATATAGCTACTATATTTAATTATATATATTATAGAGATTTATTATAATGGTTACTAAGTTATCAGGCTAGAGACCTGTGACTAGGCAAGGATATCAGATAGTAGAGATCAAATAGAACAATTAATATATAGACTGATTCTTGTTGAATAAGAATCGTAGCTACTGTTTGTATATTTTTATATTACTAGGGCTTAGGGCTATTATATATAAGTAGGTATATCGAGATAGATTCGTCCACGGAGTGGCTATAAATTATACCTAAGTCGTACCTAAGGGGATTCAGGAATCCCGTGACAGTTTATTATTCCTTTTTAATAATAGTTGACTTAACTATCTATATAACTTATATTTCATTAGGTAATCTATATAGAGTAGTATTATATTAAATAAAGCTTCTAGGACTAATACTATCTTAGATATCTTTATATATAGATATAAATAAAGTAATATAGCTTCTTTAATATCTTTAAGATAAAAGCTTCTCTCTTATCTTCTTAACTCTTACCTCTTCCTTCCTTTTAACTTTTAACTTTTCTATCTCCTCTCTCTCTACTTTTATCTTATTTCTTTTTTAATATATCTGATACTGTTGTTACTAATATTTCTAGTGGTTCTTCTTACTAAGATAGTTATTATATAATAAGAGATAAAGATTGGGCTAGAAGTAGAGATAATAGTAATAGTAATAGTAATAGAGGTAATAGGATTAATAAGTATAATAGAAGTATCGCTAGTACTTCTATTAGCTTATATCCTTTTTATAATTAAATTGCCTATCCTTTATTTATATTTTATATTAGATATATTACTAAAATAACTCTTTACCCTTCTATAGATACTATTCCTAAAATTAGATATAACTAGGATTATATAAATTTAATTACTTATACTTTATATAAAAAGTATAGTAAGAATTACTTCTAGATAAGGTTTTTCTTTAAGTTATATTTAATTTAGTACTAATTTATCTTAGATATCTTATAGAATTTATAATAATTTATATTAGTTTTAGTTAATTCTTAATTAGATATATAAAGTTTAAAGTAATAATACTACTATAGTAATTATTAATAGTATTGTATCTATCTAGAATAAGAAAACTAAGACTATAGCTATAAAAAAATCTATTTATTTCCTAGTATCTTTTTAAAAGATAATCTTTATTTATCTTTCTGATTATAAGCTTTATTTTAATTTATAGAATATAGACTAAGCTATAGGAGGATATATTATATTTATTATTAAGTAATAAAAGGAGTTAAATCTTAAAGATAATTTACTTTTTACTAAATCTTTTAGTTATTTTAATAATCTTTTATACCTATAGATTAATAATATTAGTTTTACTTTTAAATAAAATAGTATTTAATCCTTTTTTATAGAGGTTATAATAGGATATTAGTATAATATAACTTTAGTTAGGATTACTTTAACTCTAGTTATAATAGTAATTATTATTAATATTAAGATATTTATAGCTTAATATAGAATTCTATAGTAGTTTTTTATTTTTTATCTTATTTATTCTTCTTTTTTTTTAACTAAATAGTCTTATTTAGTATAATTTTTCTTTATCTAGTATTAATTTAAAGATATTTTAAGAGGATTTTAGAGGGTTTTTAATATTATTATAATATTATTTTATAAGCTTAGTTTTTCTTAAATAAAGTTATTATATCTTTTATATTTTCTAAATATTCTACTAGTTTCTATTAATTATATTTTAAAGATTATTCTATCTATTTTATATAGTAATATAGTACTTTATTAAAAACTTTTTTATCTTAGGTCTCTTTAATTTCC